TCCCGTGTTTCTCTTCCACTCCCAACATGCCATCGCTGTTATACAACCTCACTGCCAGCACAATAGCGCCCGGCGTATGGTGGATGGGATTTCTCATCCGCTGTTATAGAACCGCTGGAACAACGAGGCTTACCAGTAGCTTACATTATGGTAGGGCGTTTCAGTGGGGGGGGGGAACGAAAAGAGATGGAGGGCTATATGGGGGCATTCGTTATGACCTACAGGCAATCAAAGAGCCTCCGAGGTACGACCGCTTCGCGCTCTAGGGAACCCCATACTGCAGGGTCAACACGCATCAGCACAGCAGCAGCGTGCATGGCGTGGAGGGACAGCCCAGCCAAAGGGAAGAATATACGTCAGATACGAATGGGCCTGGCGGGCGGCGGGTGTGCCACACGCTGGGCCCGATCCGGATGGGCGCCGTTTCGTTTGGCAACCAGCTAAGCTAAAGGTAGGCTGGGGGGCTTCTCTACAAAACCCAAGCAAACTTGTCGAACCGCCTGTTGGACCCCTTGTCGATAGGAAGAGAGATCTGCTCTATACCGAAAGAAGATGCCATCGACAGGCGGAGGAAGCGGGCGCTCACTGGGGGAGAGGATGGGGGGGCTGAGGGATTACACTAGCAAAAGGTTCAAAGCCCGACTACGTGTGTATTTACTACATGGCTGGGTAGTTTTCAAAGCCCGAATCACGGGACTTTACGGTTCTCATCGGGGGGGTTTTAAAAAAATTAAAATTAATTCTCATATGAGATTTGATAATGCTCGTGTTCCTTTTATCCGTTTGTTTTCAACACGAAGACAAAGATCGTCACTCCGCCCGTGGAGATGTTTACTCGCTCTCTTCTACCCGAAGCCGAGGAGATGGAGACGTGGAATACTACTTTACTACCTTACTGTTAATAAATGTATATAGTGCGTACTAGTAAAAAAGCGGCCAATATGACAAAAAATAATCCGTCGAAACAAGAACCCTTTTAACAAGGTTTATAAACTTTATGCAGGCGCGTGAGTCGTTGACAGCTTTTTCTTTCATTAAGCCTAGTCTAAAAATTCAATTAGACGTGGGTGGCTGGCCCTCCCGGCGATCTGCAGCCGCTGCAGGTTCAAGAGCTACAGTACAGACTCATACATAGTTAGTGTACAGAGAGAGAGAGAGTGTGTGTGTGTACCTTTCATCTATTTTACGAGTCTATCATCTGGCCCTTTCATTTCCCACGCTAACGTCCCACACCCACTTCTGGGCACCCCCCACATTTGGGCACCCCATTTACACCAAAAACGCCGTTTTTCGAAATTCTATATTAAACTAACTACTATACTTACTAAGAAAAGAAAATATATATAAACTATGTTAAGTATAATTATAGCCATCTAATTTTTTATAAAGGTTTAAATATAATAATAGTTATAATATAGAAGTTTAAAACTAAAAGCTTTAAAATGTTAGTAGATACTAGTAACTTACTAGTATTCCTTAACATTAGAAAAATATATTTTCGCTTATATATACTTATTTAAAAAATCTAGGAAATTAATATTTATACTTATTAAAAGTATATAATTATATCTAAAAGAGATTTAAAAGTATTACTTTAGTAAATATAGTATAATTAAGGGTTAAAATTCTATAATAGAAACTTTTCTTAAGGGAAATTTTAAAATATTATTCTAAGCTTAAAGAATTTTTTACTAAGTATAAGAATATATAAATCTACTATATCTTACTTAAAAATTCTAATCATATTAGTTAAATATCTCTACCTATTTTATATATTAAGATATAGGCTAGGTAAATTAGTATTATAAATGTTAAACCTTGAATTTATAATACTTATTATCAATAATACTAGTATATAGCTACTTAAGTATTATAATTAAGTCTTAATCTATTTAACATATATTTATTCTCTTTAATAAGTAAAGTATTTAGTTTAATATAGAATTTCGAAAAACGGCGTTTTTGGTGTAAATGGGGTGCCCAAATGTGGGGGGTGCCCAGAAGTGGGTGTGGGACGTTATTTTACTTTTTGAGGGAAATAGATAGTTCCCTTTGACCAACTCCGCTCCGCCACCATGAATGGGCAGATTACGTAGTCCCCGGGTTAAACCAACGACACGAACGGACGGGCCAAGAGAGCTATGATGCTGTTGGTGCTCACACATCCATCACACTACCTTGGTATATATGTACGTATGTATCTGTAGATGTATCTATCTATGTACCCTTTCCCCATAGTGGGGCGCCAGCTGCTACCGATTGGCGAGAGAACGAGATGTTGCATTCATGGGAGATGAAGAGATTGATGAGAGAGGATAAATCAATCTTACAGCACGAACGACGCCGAAAACGAAGACGAAGCCGGTTAACGCTCCCATAGTGGTAAAGAACATTCATCTTATCGAGGCATCCTGTAAATTCTCGTGCTTGAGCTACTGCATAGATACTACGTAGCTGGCACATAGCACAAGGCACAAGGCAAGGTTGAATGCGCCGACAAAAGTATGTCGGGCCAACTATCCAGTAACGTTCAAGTTCCCCAACCATAAGCCAGCAAAAAAAGCAGCTTTGGGAATCACTAGACGATTCCATGGCTGTTCTGGTGTGAATCTAGCGTGCTTCGCGACGGAACAATCAACTTATTCTGTGCTAGCACGCGGCATAGCGGTAGCAAAAAAGCCATTCGTCTCTGGTGATGGCTTTTCGTCTAGAGAGACATGAACGCCGGTACGAGAGAAAAAAAAAAGCAATAAACGGCTGGTTGACCCCCCTTCTTCCATCAGCCACGCAAGCCTTACAACCGCCCTAGTCGCACCCGTTCGTTCTCTTGAGTCTAGCGCAACCGCGTACTAGTATGGGGCGCCCGTCGAGAGAGGGAGTCTTCACGCACTAGCCCCGAGTCTCAAAAGAGAGGCTGTGGTGTCTCTTCTGTGTGTCTCTGGTTTTTCACGTGCTAAACTGCTAAAGCATTTGGCGAAGTTGAACACGGAGGCGCTAACTGACGCCGTCGCCAGCCATTCTCTCAAGCGAAGTCTGAAAGTCGGCACTCTGTCTCAACTTTTCTCCATTTTCCCCGTTCCCCGAGCCTTGCAAGCGTGATAAGGTCTCTCTCCTTCTGGAAAGTCTACTACTTACTACTTACTAGGAGAGGGGAGGGAGGGGTACATGTTCCTCGTTTCTCCAGTTGTGCTCGTGCCAAGATGTCATCAAGTCTCAGGGTGGCTCATCTGTCACGACGCAACGCACACATGGCGATATATGCAGAATGCAAATGCATAGAGGAATGCAAAATGCCATCAGTGTAGTCGCAGGCACAGACACAGAACCGTCCAACCGCACTCGCGTCACACAATCACAGACAACTAATCTGCTTTGACTCTCTGTAACAAATGTACGTACGATACAACACACACACACACACACACACACACACACACACACCTGGGAACTCTTGTTGCCGTGAGTGAGTCCCTCGGTGACAAGGTAAAAGCAATGCAGTCACAAAACGTCAGAGCGACCGGAGCTGTCACGGCAAACAGACTTGGGACGACGTTGGCGGGACAAGACGTGACGGGGCCTGTCATATTCTTTCCGCAGCAGCAGCAGCAGCAGCAACAACAACGGACGAGTCACCGCTTCATCTGATCCCATTCAGTTGCACATTCGTGCCTGAGAAGCACCCGGGAGTGGATGACTTCTTCATGCCATTGCCCTACCAAGGAGGGAGACCCCAGCTTCAATTCTGCCCACGGTCTCAGGCCTTTCCTGGTATTCTGTTGCCCGTTCCGTGTGCATCTCATTCCCGCTCCCAAAACCTATTTCCTCCCCGTTATGCTCTCTTCTCCCAACCCTCGTCTCCGAAAAGGTCGATCACGGACCCCTTTCACCAGGGCAGCCAGTGCCAGAGAGAGGCATTGGCAACCTTGCAGCGGACAGGGGAAGGACGAGACATCGTGGTCGGGGACCCGGGGGATCATTTGTTTGGGAAAGCAAGCAAACCAGCCCACACAGCAATAACCACACTCAGAAAGTATCCGAACACACAAGAGGCAGAACGAGAGAAAGATCCGGAGCCAAAACCCAGACTTGGTTGCTCTCCCCACCATGGCCCTGCTCCCCTGCTTCCCCCCGCCCTTGTCCTTGCAAGCTTCAAGCCACCCTGCGCAAGCGAAGGGGGATGGGATGGGAGGCTTCCTGGTCTTCCCCCCCGAGCTAAACTGAAGATCATATTGAAATTAGCCTTTGTTTCCGACCATCTGTTTCTCTGCCCCCCCCCCCCCCCCCCCCCTTTTCCCCACACCCCTCCCTTCTCCCCTTCCTCACATTCATCTCTCACGCCCTCATGCCATGCCAATATGGACTCTTCCCCCCTTCAAGAAACACCGTGTAGCACAAAATCAAACCCCCTAGCGATGCCGAGCCGTCTCTTTGACGCCGCCGCCGTCCGATCATCTGGTAAGAAAGCCCACCCGCGATGGATGGATAGATGAGGGGTTCATAACGAGGAAGAACAACATGTCAGAGCAAACTCCGAACACAAGGGAGCCAATGGAGGAGATTGATGACTTACTGACAGCTACTTGACGTGCGCGGCCCTTTCGCACGGCCGCCGCTGCAAGCGATGTTGACGGCGCCGTCTTAGCGGGAGCGCCATACTACGAGCGAGCGACGACCTCGGCAGGGCTTCGACCGACGCCATTCATTTTTATTTTTATTTTTTTTCGTTTTTTTTTTTTCTTTCCGTTTGATGACCTCGAGTAAAAAGAGTTGCCGACCGTCGAGTCGGTATGTTAGTAAACAGATTCAGAAACTCTATCTGGGGTGCATTAAGTTCTGCCGGTATTGCGATCATTGCGGTTTGACTTAAGTCAAGTTGCTAAGGTTTCCATCTCGGACAACCCGACCCAGAGAATCTACTAACGAACGGACTGGTCCCTTCATCCTGAAAAGCATCTTGACAAAGTGCCCGGGTTTCTCTCTCTCTCCCTCTCTCTTACTTTTCACGTTCCTTGGCCTTGCCGGCCGAGCGAGCGGCCGCTTGGCTTTGACTCTTGCAACGCACATACGACACGTCCAAAAGTCTGCCTTCGGGTGGCTCCTCGTAACATTAACAACGGCATTGTATTACCTGTTCATCACCATTCGGCATGATTTATGCCAAGCCCGGCTGTTTCCAAGTCCTTGGACTGATGGCCGTTAAGCTTGTCTAAAAAAGAGTGATATGATGAGCGGCAATCAAAACAGGAGAGCGCACACACGCAAACTCACACTCACAATACCATCATCCTTCATCGATGCCCATGCCAGCCCGCTCTTACGTATTGCCTTGTCCATCAAACCCTGCAGCAAATCCGGAACATTATTGCAGACAACGACCCTTGGTCTGGGACGGGGTTTTTTTTTTCTTGCCATGCTGTCTGATGCTGGCTCCGCCCCGGGACGGGGATGAGATTGACAGGCAGAATAATAACAACACACGCGGAAACAACTCACGGCGTGCCGGGAACAGTCGTCGAGACAAGATTGTGATCATCTCGCATCGGGCGACACGTTATACGGAAGGGCAAGTTTGGATCTGACAATCTGCATCATGGGCATCCTCCGACAACATCAGGATGATTCTGGAACAGAGACACCAGTCATCCGAACATGGGACCCAGCACGGCACGTCGAAGCACCGTCCCCCCTTTGCAGTCTTGGGATGACGTTCTGGCATCTGCACACAACGAGGCAGAAGCGACGAACGGCATAAGATCAGCTTGACAATCCGGTCGCAGCGCAGGGCTGGCAGGGTATCGATGAAGCTCTTGGGGCCTCACACGACGCACGCCCCCCCCTCTCGACGTCAGTCAGGCACAGAGGTCCCCGTTACTCGTCTCAAGTCGGAGTGCGTATGTGTGGAGCAGAAAACTAACTCTCTCTCTCTCTCTCTCTATGTCTGTGCCTGTGTCTGTCTCTCTTGTCGTCTACCCAGTAGTAAGACGTTGTGGGTGGCCGGCAACCCCCGTCCTCCAACACAGGGAACAAGGACAACGACTTTGCATACGTTTACCCCTGGGGGCCCCTGTCCCAAACACTCAAGCCTTCATGACAGGACAGGGGTGTGACAGGCATCTCTAACTGCCCCGTCCTCGGAACGGGCACAAGGTCCATAATGGGAAATGGTGGCCCGAGTGGTGCCATGCATAACAGCACTGCATTGGGATTAGCGCTGGGCGTGTTAGTGACCCACGCACCACAGCCGTGGGAGGGGGGAGCCGGGGAGGCGTGAGCTAACGGGGGTGTGTGTGTCGTGAAGACAAGTGTAAGAGAGAGAAAGAGAGAGAGAGAGGCACAAGGGGCGTGTGGCCAAGACATGTAGGGGACTCTCTGAGTACTTTCCCGTGTGGAAGAAGGAGGAGAGGCTTTTCTGAGGTAGGCCCTGACGAGCAGCAGGGATAAACAGCCGGGGGGTGTGGTCTTTTGGACCAACAGACCCTACCGTTGCATAAACCAGTGACCGTTTGACCTCGAGCGATCCCATTGACGTTTGATCCCAGACGGGGGGCCAGTCGCCCTCGATCTCACCCGCAATCCCGGCTACTGCCAGCCAGCAACACGGATCCCCATTACCACCAACCAGAAAGTAGTCACTCTTTTCTGCCCAGGGAAGAAGCAGACTTTACAACGCTGCTGTTATGATTGCTCTTCAGACACACTACAAGCATCACTCAGGAACCCCCTCCCTCCTCGATGTCCCTGTCCCCCATCTCCCCCATGCTAGAGGACGCGGGCCTTGTACCCTTACTGCTTCATCCCATTATCCAGGAGGCGCTATAGCCAGGCCCAAGAAGAGAGAGCAAGTAGTGTGCTAAGCAGGTTCTTCTCTCTCTCTCTCTCTGTATGTATGCGTGTGTCTGTGGGTGTCTCTCTCTCTGTATGTATGCGTGTGTCTGTGGGTGTCTCTCTCTTCCTCCACCTCTACCTATCGTCTCCCTCGTCGAGGGTGTCCCCCCCGGTCAGGTCTACCTAGTACCGATGACCCCGTCTTCCCTCCCCTTGTCGATAAACCTCGCAGTACGATGAGCACGTACTGTGTTGAGGACCCAAGGACGAGGACCTTGGATTAACCCTTGCTTAGCTGCCACCGACTACCACACACCCCCATCGCTGCCTTTCGTCTGGTCCCAGGCCTGGCGTAACGGTCCCAAGACTTATCCCACTCTCCTCTGCCTCCGACCCACACACAATTTGTGACAGGCGATTGTGGCATCCCATCGTCCAGGGATCATCGTGTGGATTTACGCTTGATCACCCATTCCACTCTGCTTCGGGAGATCTGATATACTTGCCTCCCCCATCTGCCACCTCTACTCCATCCACCCACCAACAAGCTTCTCTGGCCAGGTCATTTCATACTTAAACTATCCACCCTCCCCCCTTCCCCTCGCCTCTCGTCCTGGAAATCTTGGAATCTCCCGAATCAAGAACAATCTCTAGTATCCAGCTGGCACTTGGGCTAATCACTACTCTACAACTTAATACTTGTTGTGTTTCTTAATATTTCAACGCCGACAACAACCTCCTGCCACACACTCTCTTCTCGTCACTCATCAACGGACGAAGAACCAATAAGAAGAAAAGGACAATACGACCAAGCAAAAAGGAAAAGCTACATCAACGCCAAAGGCATCACCCTCACGCAAAGTTTTTCTCGTTTTTCAGAAGAGAAAAAAAAAAAAAAAAAAAAAACTATAATCAGCAAAAATGGCGAGCGCTTTAATATCGAACCCGTACGCTGCCCAGCAAAGCGCCCACTACGGATACGTTCAACCGCCTCAACCTCCTCCTTCGCCCCCCATGGACGAGACATCAAAGTGCTCTCTTCCCTCCATCTCAAACCTGCTCGGCCTCGCAGACCAGGGCTCGCCCACCTCCGAGACTCACCCTCAAATCCCTCAACAAGGTACGAAGCGGGGAGGACACATCAACTCAGCAGCAGTTTAACCCCCAGCCACCGTGACAGCAAGACTAACATTCGAAGCAGCATCCTCCCAGAAGCCCGAGACGAGACCCAACTCCTCTCACTATGGCAGCTCGGCGATGCGAGGACTCCCTCCCACCCCTCCCATGAGCTCTGACGCCTCCTTCGACGGCTACAACTCGCCCTCGACAAGATCAGTCAGCCAGCTCTCCGTCGTCTCCCAGCCCCAGAGCAACTACTACTACGAGTCGACGCCTCCTCTGGAAGCCGACGCCCACCGCCCCATGGCGCCCGTCGTCTCAAGAGTCCCGGTCCACGCCGCCTACCACCAACCTCAACCGTTCCAGCCCGCCTACATGCCCGCCTACATGCCCGCCCAGAACCACCCCATGGCGGCGTCTTACTACCCTCCCATGCAGCCCACGCCTCCTCCTCAGGCGCAGATCTCCGGCCTCTACTACCAGCGCCCTCTGCCCCAGCAGTTCCCTCCCATGGCCGCCGTCCCCGTCGGCATGGGCCCCACGCCCGGCGCCAACCCGTGGCAACACCACCACTACATCTCCCCGTCGTCCGCGGCCTCTTTCCCCCAGAGCCAGGACCGCTACATCTGCCAGACTTGCAACAAGGCCTTCTCCAGACCGTCATCTCTGCGCATTCACAGCCACTCCCACACGGGTGAGAAGCCCTTCAAGTGCCCTCACGCCGGCTGTGGCAAGGCCTTTAGCGTCCGCAGCAACATGAAGCGTCACGAGCGCGGTTGCCACAACTTTGAGAGCGGCAGCAGCAGCAGCGGATCAACAATGTAAAGCGGGGTGAAGAACACCCTTTTTACTATTTCTTTATTTGTTCTATTACTCCATTTCCATTACTCTCTTTTTTTTCATCACGACCAGGACGACAAAACAAATCACTATTGGAGGTTTTATTATCCAACCGGGAATGGGCTAGAAACAAACAAAGGGATGTGAAAAAGAGTTTGGGGGGGGGAAAGAAATGGTGGGCGGTGATGGAGGGGAAATCGCTTCGGAACCGGATTTCTTACTATTTTGTCTTTTTTTGTTTTCAAACGGGGAAATATACCACGTGGTAGATTACAACAACCATCTACCGCGACTGCGCAACTACATTACGCCATTGGAGGGGGGTTTCCATCAAACATCCTCTACTACAACAACAACATCAACATCATCTTCTAACATAATCAGCAACGAGACGAAAGCAAAAAAGGCCTTTTATTATCAAACGGCGTTCTATAACAACAACACAATGATGGGAACTATGGTGACACCCATTCGGGAAGACGCCCGAGGGTGTATATCTTTCCGGTGGACGACTGGGGCGGGGTGAGACGACGACACACAACACACTTATTTTTAGTGGAGAGAGAGAGAGGACGGGGAAATGGAGTTTTTTTCTCCTTCATCAACATGTCTTAACTTGGGGACACCTCTTTTTTTCTCCCTCTATTCTTTTTTCTGCTGGTCTTTTGTTTTTGTTTTTTTACTGGAGCAAAGAGGCGTGAATCATGGCTGGGGCAAAACTGGTCGCGGACGCAAAGTCCCATCAGACAATGACAAAACTTGGCATTTACAGGCGTTTTAGTTAGTGTGAAGTTGAGGTGTGGTGTGTTGCGAGGAGTGTGAGAGAATTTCGAGTGTGGCGGCTCAGTCTCTTGTTTGGAAAAAAACGACGGGCAGAGTCGATTGAGGGGTTCGGGGTTAATCCTGTATAGGATTTCTCTCTCCCTCATCCTCCTCCTCCACCACCACCCTTGGCAACGTTTTGGTTTTTTTCGGTCTTGTTTATTCAATCATCTTTAGTTTTATTGGTTTTTTTTTTTTTTTTTTTTTCTGCAAACGGTACAAAATCTTTATGTACGATTATGTGGTAATGTATATAGAACGGAGAGAAAGCCCTCACAGAATCTACAAGAAAGTGGTCAAATCATACAAAAGTCCCTTTGCTGAAAATGATAAAAAAAAAAAAAAAAAACTGGAGTGTCCCACTATGTTTTACTGGCCATCTTTGTTACATCATCGTTTGCAACTTGAAGTCTTTGTGTGACCTGGCCACATCTTTCGTCTCAAGACTTGAGGCGAGTGTGTGTGTGTGCGTGTGCGGGTATGGGTGGTTTGGTGGGTTTTGAGTTTACAATGAGGCGAACTCTTCTGTTTTGGCAGAGGGGAGAGAAGGACCACTGATTGACCGGCTTGCTCCGAGCTTCTTTCCTCCATCTGTCTTTTTTTGCTGGTCAAAAGACAAACCTTCTTGACGTACTACCTAGTATACACTCAGTACATAGTAGACACACAACAGACACACAACATTACAGTGTTGAGACGCCAGCGAGTTAAGCATGAGACCGGACGGAAGTGGCGCCGATCGCACCGTGAGATGGCAGCTCGCTGACACAGATACAGATACAGATACAGATACATGTACACATTTACACACACACACACACCACCACACACACACACACCACACACACACACACCACACACACACACACACAACACACACACACACACACACACACACACCACACACACACACACCACACAGCCTGCTCACCTTGGTACGGCTCTGTTCTTCTCCGCGGCGAAATCATCAAGGTGGACCAAGTTCCTCTCCAGTTAAAACTGGCTTGTAGTGTACGTGTCGGAAAGAAGAGCGAGGCGAGGGGGGGAGGAAAATGAAAGAGTGAATGATGAGCAGCGGGAGCGGCAGGGGGTTTGAAGGGGGGGGGGGGCAGATGATCGACGCTGCAGAAGGCGTCACAGCCTTGGGATGAGACAGACAAGAATTTACGCTTAAAAATTCCCTCCTACAACGACGTTCGCATGTTGAGCCGAATTTCCGAGGAAAAAGAGAAAGACGAAAAGAAGAAGAAGATGATGATGATGAAAGAGGTTCGGTAGTTGATTGCTCTCATCTGCCTTTGCACCGGTAAAAGTAAGTTGTCTTGCTCACTAACACTTAAAACTAAACTTTACACTTTTTACAACCATGTTGTTAAAGACCAGTATGAAAAGTGAACCCCCCTCAAGTGTGTCTTACTAGTACTCAACCTTCCCCCCTTCTGGCCCCAGCGTCTACTCTGTTACTCGAACACAATTTTTTTCTTCAGCCGATGAAACGAACTGGAGACCCCAGCCCCAGACCCCTCCCTCGCCTGACATCCCATCCTCCATTTTTTCGTCCAAATTCTTTTGCCCTCTTACCCTCCCTCACTCTCTTCTCCCATCCCGCATGCATTGAATACAAAAAAAGGCAAGGCGCACAGTCGTCGTCGCTTGCTGCGGCCCCATTGGTTCTCAGCCCTGCTCTGTCAGCGCTGTATAATAAGCTTGAGGTGTCTCGTGCACGTCACGGAGTTTGGGCTATTCTTCAAGTTCATGTTTCTATGCCCCGTGTCCGTGTGTTTCTCTGTCGCAGATGCCGTGATCTACCCAAAGCCGCATGATGAGACGGCAGGGTAATCGTGTTCTGTAGAGAGAGAGAGAGAGAGAGAGAGTATACTCTGTAGCGTAGCGTATGCAACTCCTCTAGTGGCAACACCACATCTGCCAAAAAAAAAAAAAAAAAAAAAAAGGTACAGAGTGAAACATTTCCCGGACCCCTTTGGGCCGTCTTTGGCACTTCTCCCCCCCCCCCCCTCCAGTAACGAGGGATCTGAACTCTGCCTCTTTTCGGTCAAACACTGCCTCATTCAGCCAAGGCCCATGACTACGGTAAACCCCCGCTGGGGGGTATAGCCGCCGTAGCATTACTAACGCCGATTACCCACGGCGGGACAACTGATACCGCACAAGTCCGAGAAGAGTGCGTGTGTGGGTTCAAAGAAAACCATGGTAGTAGGTGTAGTTACTCTTACCTCGTACCGGACGGGGGGACATGACAGGACAGGTCCAATGGTTTTAGCGGACGAGGCCGACGGGTCCTGATTGGAAGAACCACCACCATGCCCTTATCCGAACCGGTTACCAGAGACGAGCAGAGTCTGGTTTGACAGGCGCGCCAGAACGGGAAGAGAAAGGGAATGTCGACGGGACCAAAGGCTGTGTGTGGGGTTAGGAACTTGAAGGGGGAGGAGGGGGGATGCCGCACGCCGATCCGCGTGAGATTTGTCGACAGGGGGGAGAAACAAAACCTTCAACTCTAAACTGGGGGGGGGGGGGGGGGGGGGATTGAGTGAAGGGAGAATAGCGAAATGTGATTGGGAGAAAGAGTCACAGAGAGAAAAAAAAAAAAAGGTTCGACACGACGGTAACATCGTCAAGGACACATGGAAGAACGTTCCCTGTTTAACCTAGTCTAGACACATATTAAAAATGCTACATCAACCTTGGTCTTGGTCCTGGCCCTGGTTCCATCAAGACGTTGAAGTTTTGGGAAGAGGGCGGGAATTCTCCGGTCGTGCGGCCACCGACGGACAGCGACGCCAAGATGGAACAGTACATGAAATAACAATAGCGTTGTAATGGCACTATTGCAGATATATTGAAGTCACATCGTGGGAGGGAAAATAAAGTAACGACAAAAAAAGCCGTTGCGCGCGCGCGCGCGGGTGCTTGCAGATACCCTACATAGTAAAGGGGAACAGGAATTCCAGCATTCGGGATTCTTTTAGTGTGGCATCGATGACTCGGCCTGCAACGTTAAAAAAAAAAAAGTATATCTCCCTTTGATATCACAAACACATGCATGTCGAACTGTAAATACCTAGTAAAAAGAAGAAAAAAAAGGATAACAAGTTAATGATATCCGTACGGTAATATCGATCTACCATTCGGCACCCCCCTTCATTTGTTTCCTCAATGCAAAAAAAAAAACCCTCTTATTTTGGTTTTCCGCTTGATCGCCATAATTATAAAATAAAAACCAACTTCATTTCATAATAATAACAAAATATGCGTGGGAAACCAGGGGGCGGGAAACTCTATGCGTTATGATTTGCCCTAGGGAGGGTGCTTAATTGATCAACTCCGTCATTTAATATACTACGTAGAAGATGCTCGCTCCCCATTTCCCACTCACTCATTTGTTTGCAAAAGTACCGATATCAAAGAAGGCAAAACATTAAAACGAGATAAAAAAAAAAAAAAAAAAGGTATAGTGTTACCACCAAAGGGGGGAAAAAAAAAAGTCAAATGCATGGCCACTACGAAAATGCACACTGGACCCCTAATTCATTAATACGCATCATTCGTAATACCAAGCTTTTGCTTCGTCAGGACCATTGACGCAGCTGGATCCCCTTAGGACCGAAAGGGCTGGCGACATGGCCGCCGAGGCTCAAAATATGGCCTTGCCATATTTCCCATGTTCGGAGATGCAATCACCCAGATCTTTCGTACGCGGTGGACCCCCGAGACCCGAGATGAGGCTTCCAAGCGCTGCTGTACGAGTTAGCGTCTCTGCTGGCTTTGTCCCGTATTGCTCATAGTTGTTGTTGTTGTTGTTGACATGGCGCCATCTGCAGTCACCCAATTGCGCCCTGATTTGCTAATCCAGCGCGTCATCATGTCTTTTGGGCATCTAACCCAACATCAACAATGACCCGCAAAAGCCCATGGCCATTTCCCACGTCCAAGTAGGTCAATGCCTGCGGCGCCAGGTACACCGATGCAGGAACGGCGTTGGCACGCGGCCGCCACGAAGGATCTTGCTTCCAGCAACAAGGGAGAAAGAAATAAAAGAGGAGACGCTGGTGATGATGATAATATGCGGATGTCTCCGACTAAGGTAGTCGAGTGGGAACATCAACAAGATACTATGGTATCCCACGAGGTCGGGCCACCGGGGCGATGCTTGCTCTGCTTGCTTTTTCGGCTTCCCCTCTCCCCCCACAACCTTCAACAGATGCGAGAGTGGTTTATCTGGTTCGTCAATGCTGCCAGTATGCCCGCGGCGAGCGAGAAAATGGCTGCCCAAAGTTACTACTAGCGTAACCCCTCCCTCACAAATGTCATTCCATCTCGCGCTAGACGCATACCCAAGTCCTTCTAGCCTGGACGCGATCCTCGCCGTGGTGAAGGGAAGAACCCTGTCCGGCGGCCGGCGCGCCGGGAAGAAGGGGGCAGCGGTGGCCTGTCTCTGCGGTTCCTCGGGAACGCCTGGCTAACACCCAGGTCTGTGTGCCTTCTTTTCCAGCGATTTTCCGCTTGGTCTCGGCGAGGCTGGCTAGTTTTGTAGTGTCCTGGGCTATTCGGCACTAAAAAGTTAAAATGACAGGCCAAGATGTGAGATGGCCTGATGTGTTATCTCACCGCCGTCATGGCCCATTCCTTTGAGCATGAATATTGCGAATCTCGTTCTGCAAGAAGCGAATGCCCCGACGGCGATGGATGCAAGCCTGCAAAATTGTCCTGGTCTGTGTGGCATGGGTAGCCAACTGGGGGGTTGAGGTTGCTTTGCTATCGCCGTCGTTGGGAAATGCGATATCCTGGGGCAAGCCGTTATAGGTTATATCATCCCAAAATATCGATAATCTCCCCCCCAGCTGACGTTTACGACGTTGCAATTGGGGTTCCTTTCGGCCGTCACTGTTACTATACGTACCATGCACGAAGTACCTATCAGCGACGTTATAGAATAGAATCCTCGCTGTAACAGCGAACGAGCGAGATTACTGAGCTAACGGAGATGCCTACAAGGAATGTGACCCCATCCCACCTTACGGCTGCTAGTCCCTATTACCTGGAAGCAAAGTTTAAACAGGCAAAATCCTTGTTCCGACGAGGAACAGGGGCCCGTTGGCTTGCTTGCCTCGACTGTGCGCGCGTGTGTGTGTGTGTGTGTGTGTGTGTTCCTGCAGAACCGATTCAGGACATGCTTACCGTCATCGGTACTCACTCATTCACTCCCATCCCAAGAGGACCAGCCTTCCCTGCCATGCAGAACCTCAGACGATTCATTGTGTAGGGGGGGGGTGTGAGAGGAGAGAGGGAGAAAGAGGGAGTTTGGGGTCTTGGCGGTGTGATCTCTCGTTCCCAGCCTTTTCCTTGCAAAAGGGAAATTCTGCCCTCTCCGGAATTTTTGTAACGTGCGCGATGCTACACCAGACGCGGCACTTTACTTACTGGTAAGAAACTGGTTCAGAGCGTCAATCCCAATGGCGTGGAGGTGGGAAGAGTCTAGTACGACAGAGGTCTCCTCCGCCCAAGAGCACGGTTACGACTCCATCGGCGCCGTCACGACGGAGATTCCGTCAACTAAAACCAACGTTAGCGCCGTCCCTTCCCAATGGTAATAATGGACCGCGGGTCCGTTTTGACCGGGCCATCCATCTGTCGACGGGGATTCCCGTTCTTTCGTGGTGTATTCTGCCGTCCTTCTGCAGTGGCGTTCCCTCGTCTTGGTCGACAGGTCATTGGTCTGGCTTCTATGGATACCTTGCCTCTTCGAGATTGAGATTTACCATCGATCCTCTCACTCCCCCGGCGTGCAACCAGCCATGTTGGAGATGGACAAACTACCACATGTAATGTTTCAAGACTTTCATCTGATCAACCTTACCCTCCACACCGCGGTACACCCAGTCCAAAATCTTAGCCCTCAGCAGTAGTCAACCGTGGAAAAGGTCATACTGGGTTGGCAAGGCTCACAGGCTAAAGTCTGCTAAATGTTAGCGCGAGAGAGCGGTTCAGACGGACCGTCCACTCTTCGTTCGCAGATTATCTGCTCCTCCTCACCTGTCACCAGCCAATCGACTGAAACACTCGGACGGGAGAGAGTCGAGGTCCAACGCCTCGCTTATGCATCATCAGAGACGTCAATGTTTGAGAGCCTCGCCAAGCGAGGTCTAGTTCCATGCCGTAACGGCACCGATGGGCGACGACAGACCAAGAGGACGACGACCAAGAGGACGACGACCAAGATGCTCGATCTGGCTGTCTCTTCCCACCGCTCGGACGGCAGCGTTGCACTGTCACCTAAACGCCAGCTGCAACGCCATGCGCTAGAGAAAATGGGAAACAGCAAAAGGGCAAGGGGACACGCATCCCATCTTTCATCCCTGCACCAGAATCTCAACATCCCATCTACCCCTTTGCCCCGGACGATCCCAGATCAAAAAGTGATCACCATGATTAACCCTCTCCATCCACCCCTTGGACGGCTGCACGGCGCCGTGGCTTCAAGACAACCCAGCCACCAGATTCGGTCTGGCCTCCTTGCCAGTCATTCTCGCCGTGCTTCCCAGTGCGCTTGTCTTCTGCCACTAGCACAGCTGCTTACTGGTCCTCTCATTTAACGTTGTCTTTAATTCCCTCAATAAGCCTTTACGCTTGTGAGCCACGCGACAGTGCATACCGAAACCGAGGCTGAGAGACAATCACTACTGTTCGAGCTGAAGTAGGAAAAAAAAAAAAAAAAAGCTGACTTCTTCAAGATTGATTGTCTTCTCTTGTGCTTCGTCTGCCCATCTCCGCTTGTACTCCGTACCCCAGCACGTCGCTGACAAGGTCACTGAGGGACGACCGGCATTAATGACGGCTGTTGCGGCTACGCCCTTGACAAGGCCTGACAAGCTCGGGAAAAACATGGCAAAGAGCCTCTTTCTCTCTCCCTGACAAATATGAGTATGAATAAGATAGACATTGATGGTAGAGCTGGAGAGACAGAGAGACCCTCGTCCAGGTCTGTGACAACCCTCCCGTTTCAGGTGGCTGGGACTGGGTTGCAGTACCACCACCCTCTCAACTACTCTTGACAAGCGGGATCGCGGATGCCGGAGTGAACCTTGGGCTGCTCTTCATTTCTAGGGTGTGCACTCTTCTGACTATGTAGGGCAGTAGATGCCGCCTGAGGCGTTGACTAACGGCTTTGTCAACCTGCGAGCTTACCTTTTAGAGTTTTGCGTATATTTCGCTTATCGCAGCGCTTTCTTATTTCACGCCATATCTCGACGAAAAGTGATTGACTCGAAGCAGAAAGAAAATCACCCACCCACTGCACAAATGGATCGACGAAACTTTCAGCGAGTCCAAGTCTAGCTCATAGATCGTCGGACGCTAACGCAATGCCGGGTGGGCGTGTCTGTGGGGATACGTGAAATAGTATAAGAAAGAAAGGAGGACATATGATAAGATGATGGAGGCTTCACATCCCTGCGCCGACGAACGACAAGGCCGACAAGACGACATGAACGGTTGGCGGAAGATGCCGCCAGGGCCTCAATCCGGCGCTGACTTCCCTTTCCTCGCCTGTAGGGCCGGTGTTGGATGTAGCGTCTCACGAGTCGGGCGTGATGCATACATACATGCACAGTCCGTCTCATTGAGTATGGCGGCGCACCCCCCCTTTTTTTTCGTCCCAACTCGTGTCCCATGAACCTCTTCTCTTCCCTTTTTTCCCAGAACCGGGGAATCCTATTACGTTTCCATGCCGACTCCGAACGAACATGGGTGTCGCCAGACCGTCTTTTTGGTGGGGGCCCTGGGCGTGAATATCCTCAAAATGGAGGACCAGGAGTCCAGGGCAACTCCGCTTGCTACCCCGCCTACAGATGTAGGGGTCACGGGAGAGATGCTTTCCGCATCAAAGGTATGGGGGGAGCAGAAGACCCTGAATGCCGGGGATTTGCAGTTTGATAATGTGTTTCGAGAATCTCCTGGATGAAAGATCGTCGATAGAGTGTGTAAATCCCCCGAACCCTAAAGCGGAAGTAACAGGCCTTTATTCGCAACGATACGAAAAGTTATGCATTATTTGCAAGTCATGGACGGAGGCAAGGAGAAGATCAAAATCGGTCTGCGGCATGGCGCCAGGCAACAAGCGGTGGTACTTGTGTCATGAATCTTCAAGTATGAAAGAAGTTTGTAGCGATGCTTTCCGATTGATATTGTCAGTTTTTGTCGTGTCGTTGTCTACGATCCCCGCCGTTCGCCCTGTCAATAGGTGCCATCGAAGCGTCAAGTTTCGTCTGTATTCGGAGTCAAATGTGACACAAGCCATTCCGCCGTCACCGCCAAGCGTGCTGAACGCGCGGCATCGCATCTTGAGCGAATAACTTCTGGGCTTCACTTGGGTCGTTTTGGTCTCATCTTGTTCAGCCTGCTTCGATCTGACAGCCGAGCTTTCATGCGCTTTGCCACACATCCGAGAGCAATGTATGATGGTCAAGCATGTCGAGGTAGCATTTTCGCCTTCGAGCCCTACTGGGGTTCCGGCCAAGCTGTGTGATGGTCTATAACCCTGGATGTGGCCCTGTGATGCTTGCCCCTGAACCATGAGCCATCTGGAACAGTGAGCGCGCCAGACACATGTCACCCGTATGTGGGCTCCGTATACATGGGACAGAGGTCGGAGGTTAAGTCGTCCGGATTCAAGAATAGCTAATTGTCCGACGAAAGGATCAGACATCGCCAGGGAGGGGGCATCTGCTGGCATGAAAGATCTGTTGCGGCTCAAAGCTTGGCTTTGTAGTCTTGTTTTAATGTCAACGACTGTCATCACTTGACGGGCGGGCCGACTTGTTTCGACTCAATGCCTGGTCACGGTGGCGGTGTTTCAACTCGGCGTGTTGCCCGTATATTGCGGCGACATATAGACTATATCAACAAATGGTGTTTCTTGACATGGACTGCCGTCATGCTGGTGGCTATCCGTGCCATGATATGTACCTCTGAAGTCATCTTTCGTACAGAACCTTCCTCGGGGGGTGTCTCAATAGCTAGACTGGTCATTCCAGTACAGAGTCTCATGATAAACCCTATATATGAGTTAGTATACGTGTAATTCAAACATACGCCCTCTGACCAAACCAGCATATCGCAGATTGGGGCAAGGATAAACATGATCGTTGCATGGTAGCATAAAGCGACTTACTCAGGTCCGGTAGCGTACAGTGGCCACCCAAGCTTTAGAGTGATGTACTGGATAAGGTGGCTGGCCACTTTGATCTGCCCAACATCGGTAGGATGCCACTGTGGCGCAATATCATTATGCTGCAGGATGCCGGTGGTGTTGAAGAAGTGGACGAAAGGCTTCGCCCGTGTATTCGTGTTTGTCGTCTTGTTGGTAACGGCATCCCAAATGATAGGGTTGCTTAGATACTCCTCCGTGTTAAAGTATTCATAGACGCTGTATACTTCGTCTCGCAGGTCCGTGTTCTGGTCATATGTGTTGCCGTTCTGGAAGAAACCCTGCCACATTTGCTTTCAAAAAGTCAGTGTCACAAACTTTCTGGGGAGTCATGGAGGAAGAACCATACCATGACAATCACCTGAGCTCTGGGCCATTTTCCGTGGACGCCCTGAATGAGTCTCTTGTAACTCTCCACGTATGTTTCTTTGCTGACATTGTTCGCAGCGTTAGCGTCGTTGGTACCAAGGTTGATAACGACCAGGTCAGCTGCCGGATTATTGCAGAAGTTCCAAGGTTCCGGGTCATCTGCACATGCCTTTGTTAGTTGTGCGGTTCCTGATGGTGTCTCAAAATGGGTTCCAAGAGCCGAGCTTTGGTTCGAGTAGGCCAGGCCAAGCTGGTGCTCTGGCGTGGAGATACAACACATACCTCCCCATACTTCGTCTGCTCGTCCGCCTGTGCTTGATGTGTAAAACCATTGATGAGACTGTCCTCTCGGGTTTCCCCAGCAATTCTGATCAGAAACACAGATACCCGGTTGGGCCGTAATGGAATACTCAGTGTTTCCCAGGCCCGCGCCGACGCCGTATGCGAAGCCTGCCAGAGCCTCGTACGAGTTGTACATGCCCGCCGACAGACTATCGCCAATAAACTCGACCCGGCGAGGGTAATCGGGAATCTTAATGAGCTTCTCTCCAGCAGCCACATGAACCTTTTCGATCTGCACTCCATATCCCCAGTTTGTAACCCTCATCTCAAAAGTCACTGGACTAACCGGCCCCGTGAGTTCGATTCCCGCCGTCTTGGGGCTCACGAAGAGGTGAGTTGCGCCCGCTGTGACGTTTGTATGCATCCAGTCCAAGCCGGCAATCCTATAGGCGACAAGAGTGCTGCTTATAGTTTGGTTACCAAAAGTGACGGCGACGGTCTGGCCCGTGAAGCCAAACTTGATGCCCGGCGCCCTGTGGCGTGTGAGATTTCGGACGTGACCAATGTCTAAATGTGAACTCACGCCCACCAAGAAATCTTCTTGGAGTCCCATCGCCCTTTGTATGAGATTTCTTCAGCTGTAGCATCATACGTCTCGTAGCTACCGGCTGCCAGATCTACCTTGGTGTCGGGAAAGTCGGTTACTCTAGGTCGGCCATTCTCAAGAATGGTAGCGGTCACAGCCGAGACACAAGCAAGCACGGTTGCCAATGAAGGGGCGATCATCTTGGTCGTAGGGATTTCTTGAACAGCAGTACAACCAAGGTGCGTGGCAATGAAAAGCTGGCCAACAGAATGAGGCCACTGTGAACACAACAACCCTTCTTATAAGATCGAGCGGCCCACCGCTATGCACAGCTGGTGTTGACCCCCTCATGACGAGAGGCTAAGAGCCTAGGAACGGTGTAAGAAGGGCCGAGATGAGCGGGAAATCTACCCCCCGCCTAACAAGGCTGTCGGAATGTGAAGAGCATCCCGGCTATTCGGGTCCTGAACCGCATCCGACTCCCCTCGAAGTGAGTGTCTACACGTCAGATAACAACGCTGTGAGCGTATGCCATCTTCAGCCTTGTGCAAGGCTATTAAACCAAACGTGTCTCAATTTTCCACACTCAGCATCGTTTGTCAGCAGTTCAACAACAGAAACAAATAACCACACTTTTTGGATTGACGCAGTGGATGTTCATAAGCATTTGGGGTCGTAAATTCGTTCACTACCTGATATATCCAGCGGAAGAAGACGCCCCGTGAACCTAATTGGTAAGCGCAAGTAGTCGTAAGGTGTGATGGAATGTGGGCCACCGGCGCATATGGACAAAATTCCGGAGAATCAGGAACCCTAACCCGGGCCGACCAGACGGAATTTTGCGGGCGCTGAAGACGGCAGAGCTGATGTGTCGTACTGAACCTAGTTTCATTTCTGGGGAAGGTCGTCACCTGTAAGGCCCCTGCACCGAAGCCGTAGCGGCCGACCTTCTTGGTCCGGGGGCACGGCGTCCGGCGTAACCATGTTAGTGCTTCTTCGGGTTGGGTGGGCCGATGGGCGCGTAATTTAAACAAGACGTCATAAAGCAGCCATAAGGAGTATCAATGAAGGGCGGCTAGACAACTGGAAAGCATGCAGACTCGATGATCATCGAGATTGAGGCTGAAATCTGCGAAGCGCCGAACAAGGGGGGACCCTCCCCCAACAGGAAGCGCCCTGCAAGGTCCGACGATTGTGCATACAGTATATGTATGATGGCAGCAGTTAATCTGGTTGCTTGCTCTATTTGTATCCATAATTGCATATTTTGGTCAAAATGGTAATTGCAACTGTGATGCTTGACCACAAGTTTCGATTCGCGCCAGCCGTCCATACCTTGGATGCCTTAGTTCTTTTGATTTTCTTTTGTGGCATGAGTTCGTTCCCTGACCTCACTATCCTGTCGGGGCTGCTGATCAGAAGAAGCAGGCTCATACGAACGTCAACACGAACCACTGTCAGGCCAGAGGTTCAGGAAAACGACACAGATACTACCAGGACGTTACCGATATGTCGTAGCCACGTGCGAACCATGTTGGGGTATATGCAGAGTCGACGGTATCAAGTAAAGTAGGACAGTCGTTGGGGGTTGACACCAATGTCACCTGTACAGTCGGCACCAACACGGCGCAACGCTCATGCTCCAGCGACGCCTGACCGCACCAAGTTGTGTTACCAGAGACACACTGGCTGGATGTTCAAATGAAGCCATCACCCCCTGCGGCGAGCGAGTCCGGTGTAATGGATATCCAGGGAGGGCACTGGCCGCTTTGGCATCCCCACAGAAAAGGAAGAGATCCCTTTGGACAGTTTTGGTGGGTGGATGCTTGGTTTCCAAGGTTTCGAAACGCCAGACCGCCGAGTTGCCGTCATGATCAAATGCTCCATCGAGGGGGCCATGTTTTTCCTCACAGGCGAAGTTGCGATGTTAGGATTGGGGGATTGCGGCCGAGATGAAGAAATAACGGTAAGAGGAAGACCAATTTCGGAAAAGGAAGAAAATGGACACCCAAAGCTCGGCCCAGAGCAGCATCGGGAATGTGCGCTCTAGGTGGAAATAGCTATTTTCCATTTTTCAGGTGTGCAAAAGGTAGGTGCAATCCTCGTTCTAATCTCGATGGGAAAGAAAGCATCGGGTGCGCCTTCCCACTGACCTATCGTCACACCGACGCCAAGACGCGCGCTCTTGCTCTTTCCTCCCCTGTGTTCCAATCTGCTCCTGCCCTCTTGCTCTCCTCTTGCTTTGGTAAACTACAGACTTGGTAGAAGGCAAGAGCGACCAACAAAGACACCGTGCACCTACCATTACCAATAACCGGTTATATTTGTTTCTTGCCTACATATGACCGGTGTAGCTTCCTTCCTTGACCGTGTTTCTCTCACCTCACCTTACCTGCCTTACCTCACTGGGCCTTACATATATATCTTCGCGGCCTCGGTTGATCGTTGAACACTTCCTAGCTTCTGATTTCGACTCCTCTCCCCACCCTTCTCACCATTGCCGTCGTCTTTTTCTCCTTTCTCACGTCACCTTTGTCCAGTTTATTCAGTGATCCCTCTCGATTTATCCATCGAACCATTCGCAACCGAGGTGTTCGCGGCATAGTGTCTCAGGTTTAAGACAGCGATTGCCCATCCACCACTAATTAGCCATCACACACCCACCGAGATTCATCATCACGAGCCCAGTTCATCGCCATCCAAATAGGAAGGCCAATAATCTCGCAATACCACCACGGCGGACACCTGCCGCTTGTCTCAAATTAACAAGAAAGACCGAAGGCTGCCACACTGTTCCTGTGCCTGCACACCATTCTCATCTTGATCCCTATTCTGCCGCATTTAAACTGCGCGACTTGTTGCTTGGTTCGTTGCAGGTCCTCAACCAACACCCGATCTCGTCCTGCTGTCATTGCCGGCTCAATTCCCGTTTCGCGCTCGCCCATTGTTAATGGTTAATTGCTCGCGTATTTAGCCCTACAGCCACACTGCGCCGACTTTTCTTTTTGCGCCGCTGCAGCATTACATCGCCGTCGTCACTAGTGGTTGACGCCGTCCCAGGTCCTGGGACTTTACCCCCGTCAGCTGATACCCAGCTTCCCTTACTGCAACGAGGGAAAAAAGAAACCCCCTCCCACCGCACTGCTAACACTACTCGAATCCTGCTCTTTTACACAACCTGTGCCGTCATAAGGGACCGGCCCTTTCGTGTCCTGTTGCGCGCCGACGCCTTTGCGCTCTTGTCCTCCCAACCAGTCAAAGCGGCTGAGACCTGGGGCCTGGTCTGAGTCTGGGTCACCAAGCTTAGACCCTGTGCGGGTAACAAGCATCACGGTGTTGGAGGGTGCGAACTCAGAGGTTGGGTATCACCAAAAAGAAAACAACCCAATTTCAGCACTATCTCTTAGACTCCCTCCTCCCCATCCGCCCTAAAATCTTCCCCTCCTCCATTCTGCCCATAGACGACACTCCTTTTGGCCTGACTCTTGACCACGTCTTCTGCCTGTCCTGCGACTTTCATCCAAGTCCCACCTTCTTACAGCGCAGCGCAAGTGCCGCCTACACCGGCATTTCAATCCTAATTCGCCCGCTCCGAGCTCGCACCCCGATCGCCGGCAATGCTGTCTGTCGCCATTTCGATATCATGACTCTGTGCGCGATAGAACCGCCCAAACAAAGGCCGCTACGTTTCTCAGCTTTCAGCAAGAGCTTATGCTATTCGTCGCATCCGCATACGCAGCTGCAGCTTTCTCCTCCGCTCCCAACTGTTGTCGAACCCCTCCTCTCCCTCCAACCCCACCTTCGACAGGGACAAGACTCCGAAATTCATCGTCGCCGCAGTAACACAACTGGGGAAAGAAGGTCCATTAGACCTAACCGTTCCACAACGAGGCGCATCGCCTGCGAACGCTAGTCGAGCTCCCACCCAACTGCGCACGGTGCGCTGCACCGAGCCATGTCGACCACCCATACGAACGCGGTGCCGGACTCGCAATTGGGGTTAACTTATGAAGAAATACAGCTTCTGCGCCAGGGTCAGGCTGCGCTGGGCCAGGGGACTGGAGGAGGCGGTTCGAACTCGTCTCGTGCAGCAAGCCGAGCCTCGAGCCAAGGCCTGCTGCTGCTGGACAGCACCTCGTTGGCTGCACTGGGACGGTATTTCGACCGGGTCATGAATCAGATCGAGCAGCAGATCCTCTACCTCAGCGAACAGAGCCAAATGTTCACCATGGCGCAGTTCGACCGAGCCGGCAACCTTATCGAAGGTGCCGACGCCGAGATACAACGATACCACGAAATCCTCCGCCAGCTGGACGAGCTAGAGCTTGACTTCGACCGAATAAGACATATCAAGGAGATTGTAAGAGGATATAGATCCAGAGTTGAAGAAATGGAGCGGGAACTCGAACGAAGCAGCGGCTCGTCATCAAGGCATAGGGAGGGTCACCATCGGCACGGTCACTCCCACCGCCATGGTCACGAGAGCTCCCGTAGACACCGGCACTGAGCCATTACTAGGAGTCTACTCACTCACCAAACGGGTGCTTCTCAAGAGGGTTGATGGGAGAAGTCCGCCTCGAGAAACCTCACATTTGTGCTGGGGTTTTCTAAGAAAAATAAAAACAGAGAAAAGGTATTGGCCACACGGCTGCCACAAAATCACAGAAAGCTTAAAAGGCGTCTCATCCCAAGCGGGAACATACAGGACCGTGGAAACGGGTGTCTAGGCCATATTGATGGCGGCTTTCGTGTACTGTTGGTTGTGCGAAAAGGTGGGCATTGGTGATCTCAAGACGGAGGGCCTCGCGGCTGGACAAGATGGCAAAGCCTCACGGCTCGTTGGTTTACTTTTAAGGCGTTGGTTTTCTTTTTCTCCTCGTCAAACGATATCAATGGGTTGACGCTTCATGCCGACAAATTTCATCCACATCACTCCTCTCAGAGAGGTCTTTTTTGATTTCCTCAAACTGGAAAAAATACCCATCTTTCTTTTTCTTTACGAAAACAAAACACAAGCCTCACGGCGTTGTACATGGTTGTTTCGGTTTACATGGCAAGGCCCGGATTGCGATTCAAGATGACGAGTCACGCTTTCAGTTAGCATCGGCTACCCTCCGCCTGACGGGGACTCACCCACGGCATAGGGCTCACCTAATTTCCTTTCACTTTTGTACGAAAAGTATGGTTCTTTGGTATATGTTTAATTCAGGCAAATCTATCACTGGAGCTGTGCGGCTGGCACTGTGTAGCATGAAATTTTCGAGGGGACATTCAAAATCGCAATTGCGAAGCGCTTAATGTGGCGGTTACCAGATTATGAGCAGCAATGTTACCCCCTCGAGGTGATGAGACAACTGTTCGCGCGCATTTACGGTGCAGACTCGACTCGGCGTCAATTATCGTTACGTTTGGTGTTCCAGAAAAAATGCGTCTTGCTACGTTGTCCTTCTATGAGTGACCTTCTCCCGATGACACGCGGAGTGGGAGGCTATACTGGGGATTGGTAACCCCTATCAACATGGCCTAACTGACAGCCGGCTCTTGGTTTGTTGGTAGTGGGCAGGTGTTCGGACTCATTTTCCCAGCCTGCATGAAAAACCGTCTTGGCTGCCGAAGTGATACTTGATGCTGCACGACACGCCGGTCTGGTGCTTGGCTGACTGCCAACAACCTGTTGCCTGCTTGCTTAGTGCTTCGAGGATGAAGGGGACCACCAGCGGAGGACAGATTACACGGTGCGACGCAGTCTCGGAGGTCAATACTCTCTTCGTAGCCGCCTTTCCTGCACACAGGCTCACCTGCGGCACTGCTTGTTCTTTTCAGAGAATCCGACTGGTCCTTGATGTGAAGTTTGGTCGAATGGATCTGTCACGGATGACCGGACAGAGTTCCGGTTTGACCATGGATTAGGCTTCGTTGTGATGGTTCCTACCATTCTACCCTCCCATCTCTGCTTGATGGCTTATCAGGCTGATGGTGTGGCAGCAGCCTTTGGCTTGTCCCGTCATGTTAATGTGGCGCTCGATCTGGTTACCCAACTCCCAGGCATGTCCTAGTCTCGCCGTAATAATATACGGCCCGATCATGCGAGACTCATAGCCTGGGGCAACATGGGACACTCAAGTACAGTGAGGTGTACTGCAAGGACATCTACTTGTTGAGTGAAAGTGACTTTGAAAGCTTGATGACCAATAAGAGCCGCAGACTTAGAATATGTAGGACTGCCGTATTTACAAGGTCGCTAGTACATATTATTGATTTCGATATTGATGGGTTTAAGTGGACAGGTTTCTTGCCCGATAGTATCAACAATACTTCAAACCGCAACAAGCTCCGACCAGAAGCCCACTGCGCCGAATATCGTGACTACACCGAGAAGGCGAGTGTCATTTTCAAGCCCCCCGACTTACCCACAGACTTTTGAACCGGGATGGCCTCTCCAACAACTCCCGCGGATTCCCAACCTCTACAATTTTCCCCTCGTGCATAACAACAACAACGTCGTAGTCGACTATAGCTTCAAGCCGGTGAGCCACCTCCACCACCGTGGCATCCCTAAACTCCTCCGCCAACACCTTTCGGACCTCTCCGTCAGTGGTGTGGTCGACGTTACTCGTCGCCTCATCCAACAACACAACGTTCCGATGATGCAACATCGCCCTCGCGAGACAAAACAGCTGGTTCTGGCCCGCAGACAACCCAGCCTCCGACATCTCCGCGTCCAGTCCACCGCGCGCTTCCAGTGTTTCCCAGACACGCGTCTTGCGGAGGGCCGTGATGAGGTCGGCGTCGGGTGTGTGTCCCGCCGGATCGATATTGTCGCGGACGGTCCCTGGGAGCAGGACAGGATCCTGCGGGAGAGTGGTGAGCGCCTTGCGGACCTTGTTGCGGGGCATGACTGTTAGAGAGTGCGAGGCGATGGAAAGGTCGCTTCCTGGTGCCAGATCGAGGAGGCGAAGGAGAGATAGGAGGAGGGAGGATTTGCCGCTGCCTGAGCGGCCGCAGATGCCGACTTTCTGGCCGGGCTGGATCGTGAGAGTCACGTTGTTTATCACGGGGTCCGTTTCGTCGCTGTTTACGCGGGCGTTAATACAATTTCGTAAGATATGGGAGGGATCGAGATACAAAAAAAGGGGGGGCAGACGGACCTGTAGGATGCCGTGGCGTTCTTGATTTCAATCTTTCCGTCGTCCGGCCAGGAAGGCGGCGGACTGTGATTCTCGCCTTCGCGGTCTTCCCGCGGCGTATACTCGATAAAGTATTTCAATCTCGTAATGGCGCCCAGACTCGTCTCGAGCAACGTCCACATCTCGATAAAGTTGCCCAGAGTCTGGTTGAAGCTGATAATGTTGACCATCGCGAGGCCGATGGCGCCTTTTGTCGTGGTGCTGTTGAAGTGTAGCGCAAACGCCACCAGGACCAAGGCCATGCCCGCGACGAACAGGTCCAGCACGACGTTCAGCCACCGCTGGACGCAGAAGAAGAGGTAATAGGGCCGCTGGGAGGCATCGAGCAGCGCCTGGCTCTCCCGCAGCATTGCGGGCCGCCAGGAGAAGGCGCGGAGCGTGGGCAGGCCGGCGAGGACCTCGGTGAAGTGCGTGAAGAGGGGCGACTTGGCCTCGAGGTCGATGTGGCGCAGCTGGCGGGACGTGCGGAGGTAGTACTTTTGCAGGAGGTACAGGGCGATGAAGGACGGCGGGATGAGCGCCGCGACGTAGGTTGCGCCGGACGCGATGAGGGCCGTCTCGGCGACGACCATGAGGAGGCTGTGCAGCGTCGCGAAGGCCGACATGGGCAGGCGGTGGTCGATTAGCGTCATGTCCTGGCTGAATCTGTTCAGGGTGACGCCGCTGTCTGTCGTCGTGAAGAAGAATAGGGGGGCGCTGGTTGTTTGATGTTAGCTTTTTTTCCTTTCTTTTTTTCTGGGGGTGAGAATGGGGAGGTCTTGGACGTACGCTAGGACTGCGTCGAGGAGCATTTGATGAAGGTGTTTTGCGGATCGCGGGATGACGATTAGCATCCAGAAACTGGGGGAGGGTGGTTAGAGTCCGTTTGTAAGTGGTTGCGATGTGTGACGCGGATGGATGTATGTACCTGAGGGAGAGGGCGTTCATGAGGAGGCATAGGATGGAGAACATGACGTAGACGCCAAAGTACATTGCCGGACGCTCGTTTGTGCCGTTCTCCGTCCAGAGCCGGAGCCAGACCTCTGAGTTGATACAGTTAGAGAGTGATGATAGGTATGAATGTTTGTGTGGAAGGGGGAGGGGATACTTACGCGGGAGTTTGGTGGTGGCCACGAACAGGACGACCATGAATATGAAGGGGGCCAGCATGCGCCAGCCGATGGAGCTGAAGTAGAGTTTGTAGATTTCCGTGTCGCCCTTTTGCCTCGTGAGCTCGGCTTCGGTGATCTTTGCGTTGGGAACAGCTGGGGTTTCGGCTTTCGCGGGCGTTGCGTCCTTTTCGGGTGCCTCGATATCGTCGTCATCATCGTCGTCCGCCGCAGGCTCTTTTCCTTTGACTTCTTCGGCGAGGTGGCCCCAAGTGGACCGCGGGACAGAGTCAAAGGTGACTTGGTTGTGAAGTATGGTGCCGTCTTCGATCATGGTGATGCAGTCGGCGGCAGGGAGGAAGTTTACTGCAAGCACGGTCAGTCGAATAGGGCGGTTGTATGTGACTAGAACGAACGATACCGTGGTTAGTGGCCAGGAAGACGGTCATGCCGGTTTGGCGGAGAAGACCATCTGGTCCCAGCAAACGCTGAAAGACGGCTTTCGACGTCGAGTTGTCCAAGCCGCTAAACACGTCGTCGAGGAGGAGTAGCTTCTTGCGCGAGTAAACGGCACGGGCCAAGGCCTACAAGTTGTCAGACGGAGTGAGCGAGATAACAAGATAACGAGATGTAGAGCATGACTTACTACCCTCTGCTTCTGACCTCCGCTCAGGGCGACTCCGCCGGTACCGACAAGAGTGTCCTCTCGCTTTGGAAAGAGAGCAATATCTTGATCTAGGGTGCACGCTCGTATGACGGCAGTGAACCACGCAGCGTCGTAAGGGACCTGGCCGATGATATTGTCCCTGATGGATATGTTGCGTAACCAAGGAGCTTGATCGCAGAACGCGACGGAGGAGGTGTGTAAAGTCACAGTGCCAGCCGCGATGCCCAGTTCTCCCAAGATACCCTTAAGAAGGGACGACTTACCGCAGCCCACACGGCCTACAAGCATGGATATGGTGCCCTTGCGAAGGGTGAGAGAGATATCTTTCAGAATTTCAGTCCCGTCTTTCAGGGCAAACTTGGCGTCGCTGATGTTAACAATAGGATTGCCTGTGCTGATGGAAGGCGGTCTGTTTGTGATATTCAAAGACTGAAGCTCGACCGCGCTGCTGTTCGACACCTCGGCGCCTTTAGCGGATAGCGGCTGTAGATCTGAGCCGTGAAAGCTTGATGGCGGGCGTGCGGACTCTAGCGAGGACTTTTCAGAGCTGGAGAGGACCTGTCGCTGGTCCTCGAGCTCGTCCAGGAGGAGGAAATCTTGGATACGGGTAAAGCAGCCGAATGCACCCATGAGCTGTATAATAGACGAGATGAGCTTTATCAGCGGGCCGGAGACCAGGACGATAATCGACAGAGCCGTGAAGGCCTCGGCGATGCTCAGGCCCTGCTCGGAGCGAGTCCAGAAGACGGCGGCGGCGATGATGATGACGGGCGTGATCTGCTCAGCTACGCCACCTGCGAAAAAATATTAGGGATACATTTGCGGAAAGGGGGTTGTCAGGCAAAGCTTACCGATTACGCTGAGGAAGGTGACCAGGATTCGGAACTTGGTTGACAACTTCAGCTCGGTGACGCGCAGTTTCTGGACTATGCTGGAGAAATAGTCGGTAAGGCCCATCATCTTGATGCCTTTCATCTGGTTCAGCATAGACGACGTGATGGAGACGCGCTTCTGGACGCCTGCGTTCCATGCGATGCGAGCTGGGGCCATACGGGCGGACAGCTTGGTAGTGATACTAGTGCAGACTATATTCTAATGAGCCAAGTTGCTGCAGTGTTTGTACAGCGCCTTTTACTTACCGACTCCAGGGATGAGCAGAAGAAAACAAGGAGGGCCAACTTGGCGGTAAAGGAGGTACACGCCGAGCGGAAGTTCGACAGCCGCGGCCCAGACGTCGTGGATAAAGGTCATTGACACGGCAATGTTCTCAATATCGACGCTCATCAGCGTCACAGGCGCAGAGTCCTTGATGGCCGAAGCGTCGAGGTCGAGGGTCTTTTTGAAGATGAGCGACACGATTCCGCCGCGGAAGAGGGTGACGAGTTGGAAAGTCATGTGCTGGTACCAGCAGCGCGAGACCTGTGACGATAAGTTTAGAGTGTCTTGCTAGAGGATGTATTTGGTAGAGGCTTACAGCGAGGCCGACGTAAATGCAAGCAGTCGCGCCGACGAGACCGGCCGCGATATTCTTCGAATCATCTGTCCAGGGGCTGCCGACAAAGTTCACGATACGGTTGACGAGCAGTGGCTGGGCAAAAGTAAAACCCGCGAACAGGAGCCGAGGGAGAACAGCCGCGAGAAACGTGGTCCTGAATGCCCAGAACGTAGCAATGATCAAGCTCCAGTTGCTGTCCTTTTTGCCTGTGCACCGTCAGATGCCGAATCCACCGCAGCAGACGGAGGAGAACTTACTCTTTGCCCAGGACCGATCCAGCATGCCCAGGAGACGCGCCGAGTCGAACTTGGGATCGATGGCGCCGAGATCCTCCAGGCCGATGAGGAGTCTGAAGCCCTGGAAAAAGAGAGAGTTGAGCCACCAGAAGAGACTCCGGCTGACGACGCCCGTGGTCGATTCGATGGCCACATCCTTTTCGCTGCTGGGCAGGAGCACGCGTTTAGGGGTTTCCTCGAGAGCGAGAATGACGACTTTGACGACGAGGGATGTGGTGAAGACGCCCGCAACGGCGGTCAGGCCGTCTCTAAGCCAGAAAGTCCTCACCTGCGCAAGGTCTAGTACGATGGTGATGACGAGGTAGAGGGCGAGCAGAGCTGATGGCCGGATGGAGCGTTTGTGTTCGGTGTACGACAGCGCAGCGATGGAGACGGCTTCCACCAGACCCAAGACGCTCTCTGCGACCGAGGTGCGCGTGCTGGGTGTGGAGGGCAGGGCCCAGAGTGCTACGAGGACGACTTGGAGACATAGGAACACGGAGATTGCGGCCTGTAAGGAGTTAGGCCGCTGAAGCAACATCACGTAGTAGTAGAAGAGAGCATTTATGGAATTACCAGCTTCAGCCACAGCAGTTTACCGGAGCGAACGTGTACATCATTGCGAAGGAGCCATGTGATGCGTATAGGAGCAAGCAGAATGAGAAGAGCGGTTGGGAGTATGGAGAGGATGCTCTGTTCGAAGAGGACGGTGAAGTCAAAATAACCGTTCACCTGCGGTCCGAAATAGTCGTCGGCGGCAGCACTCATATTTGGATAATGTTGTTTGTGGTAGCCAACCACTCAACTATGGTATCTGTTACGACAATAAATACCAGTTCACGATATGGTCGAACACCACGGTTCTAAGCTGTTATACTCATCCATGGTCAACAGCTTGCGCGTCGCTGTGTTTTTATCCAACTGTCGAACCGCCAATTCTGCCTAGACGCGGTCTTATCAGCTGCCTATTTGAGCTCACTGAAAGTGATTGACTAGGGGGACAAACCCCGACCTGTACGGCACGTACGTGGTATATGCAGTTGGACGTTCGTACTTGGTCGCCTGTCCAATCAGTTCATCTCAAATACCATCCAGGGTACGCATTCCGGCCCTTTGAACAGGCCAATCCTGGTCTTTGTCAACCCCCTTATCAACACCCATCATCTCTCGTTACTTGAGCTGTTGGCGGTACTTTTGGGACTTTTGGGACTTTTGATATCTTGTGGTGAATCTTGACCTTGTTTCAACCTCGGGCAATCCATTTTCATCACGCTGTCCCATGCGCAATTGATACCGAAGCCAAGCCTGGCGCAAAACGCAAGTAAGTCAGCAAATTGCGCAACAACCAAAAAATATGGCCTCGGATCATGGAAGTTGTAAGTGGGAAATGGGCTTTTTTTTACTATTATTATTCATCTTTTGTCGTTTGTCGCTTTTCACATCACACACGTCATGATGATTTGGCCACGGCGCCGGTGACTCTCACTCCGCCGCTCTTGTCCGGCGTCCTCTCCACCTCTACCTCCTCCAAGGCGAGCCTCGGGCCGTTGCCCAGGACCTTCTCGCGGTGCCACTGGCCGACAAACATGCCCTCGGGATCGGCCTCGTTCCTCACCGCCCGCCACTCGTCCAGCTGCTCGCCGTAAATCTCCTCAATCGCCTCGTTTTCTATAAAGTTCTTGGCCCAGTGCGGCTTGCCGCCCAGGTCCGTCATCAGCCACTCAAACGCCTCGTAATACCGCACCCGGCACGGCGGGTCCATCAGGTACGGCCGGTACAACGTCGCGTTGAGGTACAGCGTAGGTCCGTCGGGAAGGGTCGGGTCGAGGAACGGCCGCGCGTTGGTGGTAAGCGAGGTATCGCTCACGCGGACCTCGACCGGCGCGTGGACGTACAGCCCGTCGGCGGAGAAGGGGATGTTGTGCGGGACGTAGTCCGGGTCCGCCGGCGTCAGGTGGTTAAGCCACGACGACAGGCGGCGGAGAGCCTCGGGCCCCTTGTCGAGCGGGATGGCCCATTCGTTGACGAACTGCGAGTAGAGGCAGTTCATGAGCAGCGCGTCGCGGCTGGGCTGGACCGCCGAGATGGTGGACCCGTTGGCGAAGCCGTACTGCATGCCGAAGATGAACCACTCGACCCACGGCAGTATCCGCGGGATGTGCTGTGCGACGTACAGCAGGTTGTGGTACAGGTAGTAGCCCAGCGGGCCGTCGTAATTCCTCTTGGGAGGGTTGACGTGCTTCTCGTCCGACTTGTCCGCCTTCCAGACCACGGCCCTCCGGGTGTAGGGGAACCACCACACGCGGACGAACTCGCTCTGCGTCCACAGGTTCTTGCGCCACGAGTTGAACATCTTGAGGTCGGTGTCGATGGTCTGCGTCCATCGCAGCGTGAAAGAGGGCACTGCGCGGAATGTGATTTCGGTGATGATTCCTAGCGCGCCGAGTGAGAGGAGGGCGGCGCGGAAGAGCGATGTGTTTTCATCGCGCGAGCACGACTCGGTCTTGCCATTGGCGAGCGTGATCTTGAGCGCCAGCACATCCTCCGACATGAGCCCGTGGAAGAGACTGCTGCCGTGGGTGCCGGTCGAGATGGCGCCGGCTATGGACTGGTGGTTGATGCTGCCCAGGTTGGGCATGGTCAAGCCATGGCGCGCCAGGTCGTCGCAGAGGGTATACAAGCGGATTCCGCTCTGGATCACGGCAATGCCTGTAGAGCTGTCGACGGAGAGAATGCGGTTGAAGTTGTCAAGGTTGACGAGCCAGCTCGAGGTACAAGTGATGTTGGACGGTGAGTGGGCGCACCCGGCGGTGACGATGCGGCGGCGACATTTGCGCGCGAGGTTCACGACCTTTTCGACCTCGGGCAGGGACTCGGGCTGAATGTACAGCTCCGGGAGGGAGTAAAAGGTCTTGGCCCAGGTGTGGTGGACGTGGTTGGGACGGGCGCGGAACGCAACGCCATCATCGGCGTTCTTCTCGAGCTCTGCGACGATGGTCGGGTCCATTGCGCCAGGCTAGATAGTCTGCGGGTGTTCGAGATAAGGTAGATCGTATGATGGACAGTCCGATTCTAACCGAGACTTTTTTTTACCCTTTTTTACTTTTTTAAGCAAGTGGAGGGGTTTTGGTGCCGGCTCGTTAAAAAAAAATTAAAAAAAAAAAGTTCGTGTTCGCGGAGGTCGTTCCTGAGTCGGTTATCGGTTCAAGTCAAGACGATCCCTAGGGCGTTCGGGCAGCCATTGGGATGGGAAAAGAGGCAATAAGAAGAACAAACCATGGCGGGCAACGGAAAGGACGGGACGTCAAAGATATTTTACTACTCAAGAGGCGCGCGGCTTGTGAAAGGAAAGGGCTGGAATAGGCGGGATGAAAACACAATTAAAAGGGACCCCTCGATCCGGTCCCGTGTTAGCCCGGATGAGCTCATCGATATTCAGCAGGTCGCGACGGGGGTTCATGCGCTGGAACTGCCTGTGATTCGTCAGGCGCAAAAGTCATCGAGTCACCGTTTGCGATAAGCCCATCTTCAGGGACCCTGCGCACTAATTCCACGGACCGAGCAGGGGGGAGGGGTTAAAGGCACCGCGGGGTGGACTCCGCTAAGCCGCAACCCCTGCAACAGCCGAGCCGAACAAAGCTCCGAGTGCTGTGCTGACCAACCGCAATATTCTTAGGAGATGATGATGGGCTGGTGAGACAAACCCCTCCACGGAAGTCTAAAATGCCACTCTTATTCATATCGCCATCAGCGTGAAATAAATGTTCAGAAGACCTTGGCATCAATACGTAAATTGAGTTTCAATTTATATTATACCTGCACACTCTCCCACGCATCCCTTTCGAAACTCTCCACCCTCGTCATCAGCATGATGCTATTTTTGCGTATGAAGCCGCTTGGCCATGACGCCCAAACAATTTCACGTATACATGTATACTCCCTCCAACCAACAAACAAGAATATGCCCTCAGATTAGCTCTCTTATGTTCTCACGGACAACGGCCGACGGGCTCCGCCATAGTGACTGGATGTACCCTCGTGCTGCCTGCAACTTTGGCTTATTTGGACTTCGTGTCATCACTGGGCAATTCTATTGTTGTCTCGCTGCGCTGCCGCTTGGCTAGCAGTTGTGAGATCTGCACCGAGTTAGTAACATGCACCAAAGTTGAAAAGGTTGACTTACCGGCCAGCTCCGATTGAAAACTATATACGTCCCGTCATGAGCAGTGACCCAATGCTAGCTGTACACTCAGGGGAGCACAGCCGGAGCCGCGGGCCTATTTGCTTCAGGACTTTTGCTGGTTGTCGTCATTGCGGCGCATGATCTCCAGAGCTGCGCGGGCCAAGAAACAGAAACACAACGAGATACCCGTGCTGGTAATTCAGCCGGCGCCTGCTCAGATCTCTGTTCTTGGTGCTGGTCCTGTCATCGACAGAAGGGTTTCTTGCGAAACCACTTTTTGATGATCCCATTACCTTGTGAGAGTTATCATCAATGCAGACGGTTGTTGGATGCCTGTGGAAAGGAGCGATAGAAGAGTGATGTATGAAAATGCTGTGAAAATCATCGAGATCCAGCGATGCACCTAGGAGCGCAACGGCTGGTGATCACCTCCCACTTGAGAGGCGAAAGTTCTCGCCACGCGGAATGACAGCTAGGCGTGTATTCTGGGCCAAGCCACCAAATTCGTGACTTTTAAGGTATGGCGCCACTATCTGTGACTGTAAACGCAGAGTGCTGGTACTCGCTGTCAACTTGAAAGGCCTGAGAAGATCATCAGCATCTTTGGGTTCTACATCCACAGGCGCGAAGCAAGCTTACCTAGAGCTTGAATACCAAACTGAACGCGCGGGCCATGATGTTTTTGCGTAGGAAAAAAAGATCAAGTGATATGTGAAGTATTACCTGTGGATGAATTTTACCAGTGCAATATTTCTTGATCGGCAGACAAAGTTGCCGCAACTGCGACAGGCGTCTTGAAAAGGATGTAGAAAGAAGTCGCGACCAGACGCGACGAGCTTTGGGCAAGAGCTTGGGAGACCCACTCTGAGTGAGATTGCACCGCCACACTCCGCTGTCCATCAGCCACTTCCATGTCTGGGTGGTAGTAATAACGAGGTTCTATGCTGTATGTTAGATAGATCAAGCATGAAATTTGTATTCAAAAAAAGTCGTAGGCCTCGACGACCTTCTATAGTCTAAACTTCTCAGCCTCAGCAGCTTCCTCAAGTCTGGCCTCAATCCGTGCAATCACCTCCGCATCGTACAGGTCCTCCAACTTGGCCTCGCCCTTGAGGTGTTCCTTTTCGTGGCGGAGAGCCTCATCTCTGGTCATGCAAACAAGATCGCGGAAGCGAATGTTGGTCCACTTCTGCTCCTCGGCACCCTCGCCGATCTTGAGCTTCGTCTTGCCCTCCGGCCTCTTCCACCGCACGAGTACCAGTCTATTGATGAGACCGGTGACGGCGCTACGTCCCTTCCACAGCTCCTCAGTAAGGAAAGCCGCATCTCCGAGAGAGATGGGAACCCTGAGTCCCCTGGACTCCTCAATGCCGTCTCTGTGCTGGACAAGTCGGGTCTCTGAGCCCTGCACAAAGGCCACAATGTCGCCGTAGAGCTTATCGCGGTTCTTTGCGGGGACGTAATCAAGGGGGTATCCTGATGCTTGTTAGTCTTTGCACTTGTTCGGCCAAACTAAAGCATCTTACCTGAGATGCTGAGAATGACGTGGTTGGCAACAATGTATCCGAAAATGGCAGGCATGGTTCCGAGGACTGGAAGAATTCGCACTCTGAAGCTGGGGAGGACGCTGAGGTCGCCAACGGTGCCCTTCTTGAACTCCTCCTCAGAGAGAGGCAGAAGAGCAGCCTTGCCCTCACCAGCAACCTCGTTTGAGTAGACAACAGGAATACCGCTGGTCACGCCGAGAAGCTTGAGCTTCCTGCGGGTGGCCCTGGAAAGACCGTCGTCGGTGCTGGCTCCAATATCGGCAACGTTGATGCGAGTCGGGTCTCCCTTGGCTCCGGCGCCCATGCTGGAGATGACGGGAATCTTGTGATCATGGCAGTACTTCAGCAGGGCAACCTTGGTGTCGATGTTGTCAATGGCGTCTACAACGAAGTCGGGCTTCTGCCCATTCTCAGCCCACGGAGCAAGGAGCTCCTCGGCAACATCCTTTTCGAACTTTTGGTTCTTGAGCTCGAACTTGGTCCACGGAGTGATGGCAATGAGGCGGCGGTAGAGACACTGGACTTTGGGGAGGCCGACGTCGGCGAGGGTGGCCACGGCGTGTCGGTTGAGAGAGCTGAGGGTAACCTGGTCGAAATCGATGAGACGGATTTTGGAGACACCGGAACGGGCGAGAGCGGTTGTACAGTGAGAACCCACACCGCCGACACCGACAACGATGACGAACGAGTCGCGGAGTTTCTGAAGACCTTCGTCCTTGAGGAAGACCCTGTTACGGGCAAGTTGTTCCAAAATCAGTTCCTCATCAAAATCACCGGCCTGGGCCCTCCTTGCAAGGGCTTGGTTACGCGCATCCTCCTTGTCAAGAGGTGGGGGAGATGCGCCACCGAATTGAGTGAGCTGTGACCATTAGTCGAATGTACGGTTTCGAGGCATGGGCAGCATACCTTTCCAGAATGCGAATCAATAGATACGGGTATAGACTTTTTCAAATCATGAATCCTTTCGTTGCGTTCGAACGCTTGGTATCCGAAAATAAGACATGCCACTGTCGCGCCAGACAGGACGGCAGTGGCTGCTAGTTGTACATGCGGGCTTGACGCCGCTTTGGACCAGAATGAAGACATTTTAAAGTCCTATACTCATGATGTACAGAGATAGGAAAAAGAGATATATATGTTCTTTCGAGAGAAGAATGGGGTCAATGAGATGGCCTGCAATTGGGCCAATCTTACAGACACCAGCTCAACCCTCTCGTGAACAAACGGGTCTTGGTTCTCAAAGTCGGGCTTGCACCATCGCTGGATAATTCAAGTCCAGAAAAAGCTGCACAAGGTGAGTGGCCAATCAGACGTCACCCTTACCGGATGATGCGGAACAATAGCCCACCGACAGCACTGGCCAATGGCCCCACTAGGACACCCCAGATCTTGAAGGGATTCGACCTGACAGCTTAAGGAACCACGACAAGCTTTCTCATAGTAGCCATTGCATCCCGCCCAGGGCACCCATTCGCCCCATCGCCTCATCACAGCTACTCGGAGCTATGAACAGTAGCTTTGCATGAGAGACTCGTTCATATAATTGATCCTAAAGGGTCTACAGCAGCCACAATGCGCCAGCGTCTCGCCCTTCGCCGGATCCTCCTACAGAGGCTCTTCCGGTTGCAGACCTCCCGCCCTTTCACGAGCAACACATCCCTCACCTCCCGCGGCCGGCCACAGCTTCCCTTCCTCTCGATACCCGTTACTACGCGTCCACGCGCACGATACTTCACCACCGAAAAGAAGAACTGGCTCCGTCATGAGGGCCGCCTCATCCTCCGCTACAACGTCTCGATATGGGGTGGTGTACTGTGCATCATTGGTATCGTCTTTCTTCTTAACCAGGAGGGACTTGAGAAGGAGCACCCGACACCTCATGAGTGGTCCATCTTGACACGTATGCGGGTACGCGGCGCGAAGAGCGCCGCCAAGGACAGCCACCTGAACAACGTAAACTGGGTCGAGGTCATCGTGTCATGCAGGGAAGCGCTGAAGCGCCTGGAGGACCCGAACATCGACGGCAAGGGCATCAGGGAACTCCTCGATGAGCCGCTATCTATCGACGGTTTGGGCGCCGCCGGCAAGGACATCTCGGCCAAGAGCGAGAATTGGCGGAGGGGATACTACGAAGTGATGATGCTCATGGCGCAAGCTGCAGAGCAGATGGACGGGTGGGTAAAGGATAAGACGAGAAACATCATATTCCCGCCCGAGGTCGTCATTGGGCCGTCGAACCCGCATCCTAAACCGATTCCCGCCGGTGCTGAAAAAGCGCCGAAGGAGGAGGACTGCGAGATTGCCTACGAGCCGGCTGAGAACCACTACCTGCGCATCCTCACCACCAAGGGCTTTACCGACCGGCAAAAGATGGATGCGGCGTTGGCGTATGCCTCTTTCCTCGACTTCAAGCAGCTGCCCGAAGCCGCTGAGAGGATGTACCAGTGGGCGCTCTCTCTGGCGACGGCGACCGCTCCCTCGTCTCCGCCGCTGGTTGACCCTCTCACTTACACTCTGAACGAGAAGACGACGCAGCCGTCGGAAAATGTGCTGAATGTTCTTACCTCGATTGCCACGCACAAGGCTCGTCACGGCGACGTGTCTGCCGCATTGCCCATCTTCATCTCCATTCTCCGTGCCCGCCGTGCACTCCCTCAAGTGCCTCTCCCCGGCCAAGAGCGTCCACAAGAAGTCCCTTCCACCCTTTGGCAGAGAGCCTGGAACCTCGCACAGGCACCCAAGTATCCGCCGCCGCCTGATGACGGCTCTCGGCCCCCTTGGAGACATCCCAAGGAGCTGTGTGAGGAGGCCGGTCTGAACCTGTACATTGGCGAGATTCTCTACTCCACGAAGGACGCCAAGGGCAACCGCGAAGAGGGCCTCGCCTGGACCCGTGATGCAGTCGACCTCGCCGAGGAGCAGCTTCGAAAGATTGGCAACATTGGAGGCGACAAGGAGGCCCGCCAGACTTGCCGCGAGTGTCTGGGCACGGGATTGGAGAACTGGTCTAAGATGGTGGCGAGGCTTGCCAAGGACGAGGAGGAGAAGAACAAGGCTGGCCCGAAGAAGTCTGCGTTCAGTTTCTGGAGCGAGACCAAGCCAGTTGACGGAAGATGGGCGGCGGAGGAGGAGGTTGTCAAGGAGAGGATACGGCGCACGAGGGAGCTGCTGGTCAACGTTGAGCCGCCTGCCGCCGGGCTCGCGTCGCTGCTCAAGGCATAAAGGGGTGCACGAATTGGCCAGAGGTCGTCTGTATAATACTGTCAAACTTGTCAAGACCAATGATACCAGGAGAATCAATTCCCTCCCTGAAAACCCTATGTTCTATGTAAAGAGCACTCAACCCCTCAGCTGCAAGCCTCATCGTAGCTGGTCACACGTTGTGTGCTTGTTCTCCTTGTTCCCCTTGTATAAAGCAGCCCAAAGCCGTTTCCAGGAGTTTCGAAAAGCGGCCCTCTGCCTCGGACATTGTTTGCCAGATATGAAACTGCGGCGCCTGTACTTTGGGCTGCTTGGTGAGCCGAATCTTAAGAGCTCGGTTATCCGTTGTCCAACCAATCTACCTGGCGCTTGCTTCCCAGCATTCAGTCATCGGTCTCATGCTGGCCCTCAACCTGGGTTTGCATATCCAGCTGCAGGTCTTCCAAGATTTTGCAATGCTCTTGGACATCGCGTGACGTGGCATAGCCGATACTGGGCTTCGCGATTTCGGGCATTCTGGCCCAGGCAGCATCGAAGCCCGATGTTGCGGCTGCCCACTCCTCGGCCGTAGGAACAGGGGGGTCCACGGGGACAACTTCTGGGTGGCAGTACTCGGGACCTGCCATCGCGACTTCTTCGAGCCAGGCAAGAAACAGGGCACCGCTAGTTATCAGCATACGCTCGATACAATACACCTCTCCCGAGGCGAAGACGGTACACCCATGTTGGGTGAAAGAGGCGGTGTTGGGATTGCCGCCTGGTTTTGCCAGGGGCGTCAGAGAGGCCGCTTCGTCAGCGATATAAGATCTAGCGCGACGCTGAAGAAAATCCTTGAACGGCTCGTGAGAGAGCTCGCTTGCATTGGTACTGCTCCCGAGAAGGGAGAGCGTGTTGATTCTGCAGCCAAGTGTGGTAAAGATAGCGGGGTTGTCGAGAGCTTTGGTTATGTTATCAGCGCTGAGACCAATGCCGATGATGTCGAGTCGAGCAGTCACAGGAACGAGCGCTGGGATAACTTCATCGAGGACATATCGGGCGTGGGCAAGGGGGCTTTCGTTCTTGGGGATGCTATGAAGTTTGGGGTTTTGCGCCCGGCCATGATGAACCATGCTCATCATCGGGACGGCATTGGCGGAGACGGGACTTAAGCCCTTTCCACCTTCAGGCCACCACCACAGTTCACCAGCGTTGGCTAGTATTATACCTGGCGGGGAAGGATCACTGGCGGATGACGCTTGGTGTCGGATTTGTCGGACAATGGAGACCATACTACCCTTATTGATGCCACCAGGACCGTTGATGACGCGGAGAGCCATATTGCCAAGGTCCTGAGAGGGTTCACCAAGAATGATGATGACGCGAGAAGCGGAGGCGAGATTGGCGCTGGCGAAGATGGGAACATGAGGCGAGGTGGCCGGAGTGCCCAGGGGCAGCAGAACCTTGGTCATACCTTCATTCTCGAGGCGGGCGTGAACGATATCGCGAATTGCCTCTACTCTGGTTAGCTGTCGTACTGTGGCGATGTACTAGATTGGTACTTGCCGTTAAAGTGAAACCGCTGGCGGTCGTTGACTCGGTCATTCTTACTGAGGTGATACTTGAAGTAGTATTGCGGTTCTTCAATATTGCGGATCTCGTCTTCGTCGTTGATGAAATAGCTGCTCATGTTAGCCCCTTCCAAAGTTGGACAGATAGAAGTGACTAACCCAAGTTCCTCAAGGTTTGAAGTGAATTCGGGGTCTTTGGGGAGGCCAGACCAACGACGGCGAAACATTATGGCGAGTTATGGGGAGGATTGGATTGTTGGAGTTTGTGGTAATATATCCCGGCTGTAGATGTGACGCAGAGCGGTTTACGCAATGTCATAAATGTAAAGACGAAAAGAAGAAAGGGACGCAGAGAGATGTGAGAGATAATCCTCACGACTGTTGCTGTTGTATAATAACTAGGCCAACAACTTGCAGAAGTGAAATCTAAGAACAGCAGTTGAGAGATTCGTACCTCCCTCGACGTGATGCACTGCAAATCTGAAGGACCTGGAGATAACCATGAACAGCCCTGCTATGCTAAAGCATTCACAAGCGCACTGAAGGGAGATGTTGTACATTTTACATGTTTTATATCTGTACATCCTTATCAAGGTTGCTGGGAAGTTGCGACCAAACGCTAAATCCCTTTCGTCTATACATCACCAAAATCGCTGCCAGATCGCGCCAATCCGAAGGGCGTTCCAGCCATAGTTGTATTTTACACAGGCACTTTTGCGCCGCCGTCATCGACCTCGTCTTCCTCTGCTTGTCCCTTTACCAACTGGCCTTCTTGACTCCGGGGAGGTTACCCGCATAGGCCTCCATACGGAAATTGAACTGCGACCAAATTAGAGTCTTGCGCTGGCAGAAAATTTGGCTGAAAATCTCATGGCATACTCTTGTCATCTTGAAATCGCGGAAGATACCCCTTGCCTTGCCGCCCATGATGCAACGGTTGCGGATCTGAGTGGAGCGAGTGTAGGAGTGCATTTGCGACAATTGCAGCTGCGCCTCGGCGCGCACACGGGGGGGAAGCGTCGTGTTACGGATGATGTGGCGGAGAGCTTGTCTGTAACGTTCGCAATGTCAGTTTTCGTTCGGGATGTCGCTGGCGGCGTCTGGTGATGCTAACCTTTCGGGCTCGTGCTCCATGAACACCTGGCGCTTGGTGTGGTCACGAATCGTCCGAATGTTGACGAAACAGCCCAGATCGAGCTTCTTGGCGCGGAACATCGACATCTTGGCGGCGGTTGTGGGGGATTGAACGGCGTTGTCCTCGATCGTGACACTCGAAAAGTTGAGCTTAGAGAGCTTCGAATTGGCGGCGCGGAAGAACGCGGAGATCACGTGCCCGTCTTATCTTATCAGTCAAGCTCACCGAGCTTCACCGAGTTTGCCTTTCTAGCTAGTGGCTCTCGGTCTAAACTACTCCGCCAACCACCTCATAAACAATTGACTTTGTGTGTTTTGCTCTTCGCTCACAGTTGATGGACTATGCTCAATGGAGGAATAAAATTTTGGTATTGAATTAATGTCAAACCCTTCCAAGAACGCCGGCCGTTTTCGCAGTCCATGACTGGACGTCCAACATCGCAATATGATACAACAGCCTTCAGCATCTCAAAACGTCCCCCGGCCCTCGAGTGAATTAACAGGTGTCGTCATCATAAGCGTGAAGTTAACAGGAAGCGAGAGAAGGCTATAATTGGTCCAACAGCTTCTGCCGCCTCCTGTTAATCAACTCTTCCTGAACCTCCTCCAATGTCGGTAAATCCCAGCCTTTGCCATCACCTATGTCGCCTGGCAGCGGCTCCCAATCGGGCGGTGGTTGTTGCTGGCCAGTCTTGGCCATATGCTCAAACGCTTCCTCCTCCTTGGCCGCCTCATACGCAAGAAGTTCCTTGTCCTCTTCGTTCGGCGCATAACCGTAGTACGCAGCATCAACCTGTTTTCGCAAGTCGTCTCTCGTCTCCAAAGGCTTCTCGTCTGACGCCTTCGCTTTCGCAGCTTCAAATAGTTCTTTGACTCCTGGAAGGTCTCGCGCGCGTCCAAAGTAGCGATAGCCTTTGCCGCCGCCGGGTATCTCTCTTCCTTGCTCGTCGTAAATTTTACCACCTCCGCGCATATAATTGGGTCCTCCAAGATTTCGTATTTGCACCTCCCACATGTACTTTTCTCTCATAAGCTTGTTGATCTCGTCATTGAGGTCGCGGATTTGATAGTCGCTCAGCGCAGGGTCCTGGATCTTGGAGACCTTGCGAGAGATCTCCTTGAGCACTTGGCCACGCCATTTTTCGCATGATGGTATCGAGTCAACCTCGGTGATCACTCTTGGCCGCCTCGTCCTGCCGATGTCGATAATGCCCAGGTCCGCTGCTTGTGCTTCGCGGAAGCGAAAGAGCATGGACTGCGCCTTTTCCGAATTTCGCGCCTGTACATGTTAGCGCCTTGATTCGGCAAGCACGAATCTCCGGGTCACTTACCATTTTGAAAGCTTTGGGGGCCGGGGAGGCGTCGGGCTTCCTCGAGTGGCAGTCGGGTTCGGCGCTGGAGGTGAAAGTCTCACGGTTAAAGAGTAGTTGGAAAGCTTTCGGCCGTCAATGTCGCACCTGCACGGGCCATTCTCCACACCCAATCAGCCACGTCCGCCGGCCTGGGTGGGGCGTTCTCTGACGGGCCACTGGCGCAATAGACAGGCAGGGTACCTCTGGCTTTGTACACCCTCCCACCAAGCCAGAGGTGACGATCCAGCTTCACATCTTTTGGAGCTATCAACTGCTTCGTGAAGCTTCAGAAAATCACCACCACGATGCGCCTTCCAACGCTGCTTTTAGCAGCCTCATCTCTGGTTGGCGCGGTGTTCGTCGACGAAGTTGATGACATCGATTACCACCACGAACTTATCGGCGTCCCCCAAGTCGAGACCACCTTCTTCCACAAGCCTCGAAAGGCCGACAAAGCTTCCCTCCTGTACTCGCTGAGCGATGTCGGCGTCGTTGGAGCCGTCAACCCTAGCAATGGCGCTGTCGTTTGGCGTCAATTTCTGACTGGCAATATCACAAATGGCGGCGGACACTTGCGAGCGGCCGAAGGCGAGGATTGGGTTGTGTCCGCGTATGGCAGTTCAGTACATGCCTGGAACGCCTTGTCGGGTAAAAACGCGTGGTGGATGGACTTTACAGGCGAAATAAGGGATTTGGAGGTGATGGAGCTGACGGAGAACGATCGCACAGATGTTCTGGCGCTCTTTGAAGAAGAGGATGGCTCGTCAATTCTGAGGAGACTAAACGGCGCCGATGGCAGCGTCGTTTGGGAGTTCAAGGATGCAAGCAAGACCAACCCCCTCCAGGTATCTAACAACATCGAAAAGATCTTCGTTGTCAGCCTTTATGGATCAGCCAACTCTTACGGTGTGCGTGTGTCTGTTCACGACACTTTGACAGGCAAGCGCACTGACGACATCAGCATCGGCACTAAGGGCGATGTGCTGAGCAAGGAGGACATCATGTTTGTTGGTGCCAACTCCGCCTCTCCCATTGTCGCCTGGACCGATCCCTCCCACACAAAGCTGAAGGTCAACGTTCTTGGCACCAAGGCGAAGCAGGAGTTCCCTCTTCCATCCGACACATTGCAAGTGGCGATTCATGCCCCGCATCACCTCCATTCCGAGCCGCATTTCCTGGTTCACAGCAGAACCAGTACTGGCAACAAGGGTGATGTTTACCACGTCAATATTAAGACCAATGCCATCACCAAGGACCACGAGCTTCCCCTGCTGCCTGGCCTGGGCGCTTTTTCTACCAGCTCTGAGGGCGCCAACGTTTGGTTTACACGCATCACTGACGAGGAAGTCATCCTGACCTCTTCCAACTCGCATGCCATTCTGGGCCGTTGGCCGTACAAGGCTGGCACTGAAGGCGTCTCTGCAATCCATGCTGTCTCAGAGGTTATCAAGAAAGCTAGCGACAACTTCGCCGTTCGTTGCGCCGCCGTTACCACCTCAGACGACTGGATTTTGGTCCGCAACGGAGAGCAGGCCTGGAGCCGTCCTGAGGGTCTTACTGGTGGTGTTGCCGCCGCTTTCGCCGAGATCCCCGAAAGCGAGGATCTGGCTAAGACTCTTGAGGCGGAGGCTCACAGCAACATTCTTTCGGCGTACATTCACCGCGTCACCCGCCATATTGACGACCTCGCCTATCTGCCAGACTACCTTGCATCAATCCCTCAGCGCCTAGTCAGCAGCATTACTGGATCCGAAATCTCACCCAAAGATGATCGCATCTCGCGTGATTCCTTCGGCTTCAACAAGTTGGTTGTCCTCGCCACCCGCCGAGGCAAGCTGTTCGGTCTCGACGTTGGCAAGCACGGCAAGGTCATCTGGAAGCTCAATGCCTTTGACATTCCCCGCGGCCAAGCATGGGATGTTAAGGGTATCTTCGTGGAGGACGTCAAGTCCCATGTTACTGTACGTGGCTTCCACGGAGAGTATGTGGTTGCCAAAACCGATACTGGCAAACTGGTCGACGCCATGCCCGAGGGGTCTTGGGCACAGACTCAGGCTGCTGCGATTGTTGACAGCCCATCTGGGCAATGGCTTGCCCCTGTTGGTATTGGTGGTGCCATCGGCGACGTCCCTGCTGCGTGGGCCCCTAAGCAGACCGTTCTTGTCCGTGGATCAAACGGAGAGCTAAAGGGGCTTACCTACATCAACAAGGAAGAAACTGCAAAGGAGCAAGTCGCATGGGAGTTTTCCGCGCCGGCCGGTTACAACATTGTTGATATCGCCACTCGCCCTGTCCACGATCCCATTGCATCGATTGGTAGGGTTCTCGGTGACAGACGCGTCAAGTACAAGTACCTAAACCCCAACACCGTTGTGGTTTCTGCAGCAAACGCTGCCAAGTCTACCCTTAGCGTCTACCTCCTTGACTCTGTGTCGGGCCAGGTTCTGCATTCTACTACTTATGAGGGTGTCGATAGCAACAAGAACATCCAGTGCGCCCTCGCCGAGAACTGGTTTGTGTGCACGTTCTTCGGCCAGTACTCGCTGAAGGACGACGCTGGTCAGCCTCTTTCCGGCCAGTCTCTCAAGGGCTATCAGATTGTTGTCTCCGACTTGTACGAGAGCGATTACGCCGATGACCGTGGCCCCCTGGGTGATGCTGCCAACTTCTCCTCCACCGAACCGGTCGAAACACCTACTGGAGCCCCTCTTCCCTCAGTCATCAGCCAGGCTTGGATTCTGTCTGCCCCGCTGGCTGCTTTGGCTGTCACCCAGACACGCCAGGGTATCACCAGCCGTAATGTTCTGGCCTACCTTCCCGAGTCGCATGCTATTGTCGGTCTGCCACGCCAGCTGCTTGAGCCCCGGCGTCCTGTTGGACGTGACCCGACACCTGCGGAGATGGAGGCCGAGGGACTGATCAAGTACCACCCGGCTCTGGAGATCGACCCAAGACAGATTATCACTCATCAGCGCGATGTCATTGGTGTCCAGAAGATCATTACTTCACCCACCATTGTTGAGAGCACCAGCTTGGTCTTCTCTTTTGGTGTTGATATCTTTGGCAGCCGCGTCGCTCCTAGCTTCGCTTTTGATATCCTTGGAAAGGGGTTCAACAAGATCAGCCTCATTTCCACTGTACTTGCCCTCACTGTCGGTGTTGCCGTGTTGGGCCCAATTGTGAGTAAATTTAATCCCGGTATCAAAGAACTATTGCTAAAAATGTTTACTCTAGGTGCGCAAGAAGCAGACGAACCTGAGGTGGGCATAAGCAGTGTATGATATAATATGACATAATAAAGTGTTATGAATTTGAGCAAGATACTATCCGCACTTCTGCCAATGCGTGCTTTTATTCCTTCTTGCCAGTGACATCTCATTTGACTGTGATTGCTGAGATGGTTCCTTGGCTGCTGCCGATGTATAATACATTCCCATCCTTTTCCGCCCTTCCCAGCGTCGTCGAGGTTGACCCCTGAACTGTTGCCAGCTTAGTGACCTTGCCCGCCGGATCGACTTTGATGACAGAATTTTGCGTATTCGTCGCAATGTACGCGTTGCCCGCTGCGTCAAAAATGAAGTCGTCTCCAGGTGAGTTGTTAAAAATCGTGCTGACAGACCCAGGCTTACCAGCCGTGTCGATGGGGAGCCTGTTGAACGTGTTTTGGCCAATGTTAGTGAAGTACAAGCTCCCGTTGAAGAATTTCATCCCGTCGATGCCGAACGGGAGAAACCCCTGAGGATTCATCGATTTGTCCGCTAGAAGAATCGAATACGCCCCCGTTGAAAAGTTCATTTTGTATACCGCGCCTGCTGCCGCGTCGCCTATGAGCAGCGTGTTATTCGTCTTGTCGTGCTCGAATTTGGCGAGGCCGTTGAAGAGCTTGCTCTCTGGCACAACCTTCACGACCGAGGCCTTGGCGGTGGGACCGGTGAGGTCGACTTTCCAAATCCCCCACGACCCGGGCGTGTTCGTACCCGAACGGTATTTGCCTGTGATGACGGCCCAGATGTTTGGCGACATCTCCACAAGGCCGCCCGTTGCGTAGGCATCTGGGAAGGTGTAAAGTTTGGTTGCGGTTTTGCTGGAGGGATTAACAGACCAGAGGTCGGGCTGGTCCATGCGTGTCACGAGGAGGGCGCCGTTGGAGTGCGTGGCGAGGTTTTCTATCCAGCCGTTCTGGAAGCGATAGATTTCTGTCGGAGCTGCTTGCCTAGGGGACAGGATGGCGGATGCCACCAGTGGCACGAAGGTGATGAGAGCTTTGAGGTACATTTTAGAGGTAATGGTCAAGTTATTTGTGAATGTTCGAGAGTTAACAACAGTTGATGGATGGGATCTGAGTGTTCATTCACTGTATTTATCAAGAGTGTGGATTCTCAGTCTTGCCATGCCACGACTTTCATCACTTAATGTTTAAACCGGCTTATAATATCGTCACCTACTCAATCAACAAACATTGCCTAAAGCCGGAAGAATCGATTATAAGGTCATAAACGGTTTAAATACTTCGGGGGCACATCTCTAACGAGTAAGTAGATATGACTGTACTAATATACCGGCAGATCAAAGTTCAGACGACTTTGTAGATTACAGGAGAAGTGACCCATATGAGTCCAATTCAGGCAAAAACAAGAAGTCTTCATATCCAAGTGAATACCCAGCCGGCTGTTACCCCATGAGAGCATCGTCATCTCAAAGGGGGGGATTTGCTATTTTTGCCGGTCGTTATGCGGGGAACAAATAACCTTAATTGCTTCCCGCTGTCAAACGCGGGCCGGAGGCCCACCGACCCTTGAACCAGGAGATGCTTTCTTTTTCATCCCAAAATCCTTTCATTGCTTTCCACCTGTGGTGTACAACAACATGAACCTCACTTTGATTCCACACGAGCCCTCAAGCTTCCAAATATCCAGCCTCATTAAACCTTGGCTACATCTGCATGCCCCTGTGGCTTGTAAGAGTTCCCTCTCCTTACCTTATCCTTCCAATCGGATAAGGCTGCATGTGCTCTTCCGTCGGTGTGAGAACCGTCATGGACTTGATGACATCGTCCGTAGTGCCCACAGAAGGATTCTTGATACATACCTTGTCGTCTTAGCTGAGGCAGACAAGACTTCAACCACTCGCTACCCTGAAAAACTCACTTTTGGATCAGGCAATTGTAATTCCACTTCGTTTGGCATGCGTGTTCATTTTCAAGAGAAGGCAACATGCAAGCTGCAGGGTGGGTGGTTGGTTACGGGGCTAACTTCCAACCTTGCCCTGTTGCTTTGGCGCGAAGTGCAAAAGTATTATCTTGCAAGGTTTCATCCCCAACTAATGAAGCCGTGCTTTGACTAACGAAGCAATGCGTTTTTTTAGCACGGCTGCCTACTTTCAGAGGCGTTCCTTTTTGACAATAGAACGTATCAGCTGGAGCCAGGTTGGACATTGAAGCCTTCGGTTGGCACCTATGTGGGGAAAACGCACTCACATGCATCCTGAACTCAGCCCAGCCGTAAAAGCAAACAATGGAAGTGGTCCCATAGATGTGTGCCCCCCTCATCTTGGGCCTCAGAACAAAGATCCAGCCCCCTGGGACTGTTAGGCCGCCGGAGTGGATCATGTCTACCCAAGCATGATGTCTTTCTATTGTTGTTTTAAACGTCATGTAAGGCACCGAATAGAAAACGCGCCAGCCGTGATTGCTATAATCAAGAATTCTGTCACCTGCAGAGAAGACTGAGAAATCAGCGAAGATTCATTACAGGCACAAGGGGTTTCATGAACAGGCGGGGCGTTTTCACCTGTGGGCTTACAACCAGCGGTGAAGAGGTAGAAGTCAGAGCGTCTTTTAGCCCTTCACGAATTTGGGTTACCGAGAAAGAAGCAAGAAAAAAAAAAAAAAAAAAGGAAACTAGCTAATGCACTTCAGAGGACCCCCCCTGCTACTAACGGCGGCAGCAGCGCGGGGAAAAGAAAACCAGGTGGTTTGAAATAGTCTGTTAGGCTTCGCACAACATATTCCCTCACCGCTATTATTCTTCTTTCACCTTATCTATCGCTAAGCTTAGCTCATGCAATAAGAAAAGCCCGGACTTCTCCATGATCTCACTGCAACAGGAAGCTTGTATACCGACCGTTGTTCTGGGTTGGTATCTCGCTTCCGAATCCAGACAAGAGGTGTCGTGATCGGTCTCGAAAGCAAGGCAGCCCAACTACTGCAGTTATTGCCTCGCCCGAAACGTTGCCCGCAGAATTCCATGGCGTAGTCTGCCTTTAGTTTCAAAGTTTTTTCGTGTTGTACAGGGTTCAGGTCGTAGCCTCGATCACTGCCCAAATGGCAGATCCTAGATACCGAAGGTCGCCTGGTGAGGGTAACATCCCTAGTCTCGGTTCGTCACATAGTAGAACGGACTAAACGGGAGGGAATGTGCGACGAAGGCGTCTGATTTAAGGCGAGCAAAAATTCGTCAAGAGCGTATGCTGTCTCGTCTCGAGGACTGACGAGAAGCGCCAAAACCGAGAGACAGTCTTGTCTAACATCTGGCATGCGCCTTCCTGCGTGTTTAAGCAATGATAAACGCACAGGCCATGGTTCGTGTTACTTGATTCAGCCTCTACTTAGTAACGTCGTGTGTTGATGAATGTGTTGTGTATCGCGTATTTGTGAGACGTCGTGCACAGGTTGATCGTTGGACGTCCTGTCGGTTTCGTGGCACCTTTTCGCCATCAGTAGTGGTTCTGTTACACAAGACATGTTATAGAAAATCGGGTTTCAGAAGGATATGATGTTGAAACATGACAGGGAATCATGGTTGCCTTCTGGTTCCCTGACGCAGATCCTACTGTATGGGTGCGTGTAAGCAGGCTCAAGAGAGGAGACTGATAAGATGTCTTTGGGAAAACCAACAGTATTGCGGTTGCCTGAAAGAAATGCCTGCTGTAAGTGCAACGACGACACCGAAAGCCTTGTGACTGTGAAGTTTGAGCAAGAATTTACCCTGATCGCCTCACAAGGCAAAACTTTCGCCTCGGATCGTCGTCTTTTCGACGATCATCCGGCATTGAAAAGCTGAAGCCATTACCGCTTAGCGAGGTTGCCTTCAAATCTTTCAATTCCCGATGTTCAAATTACGCATGCTACAGAGTCAAATCCAAAGCAGGATTTTTCATCCCCCCTGTGCCTAGAGCGTGCAACCAGGTTTGTAATGCAGTTCAACGAGTCTCCCCGGGAAAGCACAAGGATGGCATGGGTCGCTCCCGCGCCAGCCCGCCTGGAAGTTACATTCCGAAGTAGTGGCATCGCTTTACGAGGTCCCATTTGTCCTTTTAGCAGGGCTGGCAAAACAGAGGGGCTGGCTCACTTCCAATAGAACTGACGCGCCTTATTCGTGGCCTAAGATACTACGACCACAACAAGCATCATAGCAAATCAAGGAGCGCAATCCTTGATTTCAGGTTTCTTCTATTGTAATAATTGTTGTTCTTTGCCTAAAAACTGAAAGAGAAACATTCGATTAGAGCCCGAAACGTTTTGATGCTGTAAGCTGAATGTTAGGCGGGAACACTTGCATAGGACCAGCATATATTCAGGCAGTCCACTCAGTGCATCATACTAAAGACTAATTGGGCAGAAATGCCTCGTTTTACAGCCTTACTTGTGTGGTCATGCGCTTCATCCCGTGACTCTACCTTCAACAGTCGCGAATGGGTAGCTGCCACGAGAAAGGCATCCAGTGAGGCAAGGACTAAACACAATGCGTGGCTATCTGGAGCCGATAGAAAAGTGACACGGAACAGAATGATTTGACATGGCGTCTCCAGGTATGAGATAGAACACAGCGGCTTCCCTTCTTTCGGTTTCATGTCGTTGGGCGCCGAGCAAAGACAATAACAAATAAACAGCACGATTAAGGCTGATATGTTTCATTCACATGGGCATCATTCATAGTCCTTTGCCTTAAGCTCTCGGGACTGGCTGATGATGTGCGCTTATGACCATGTCGTATCACACTCTCGGTCAAAGATGTTGGTGTTACACCATTCTGCGGTCCACTCGGCGAAGAATCTTGTGATTCCCCATCACATTAATGTAACAATTCGTAAGTCCATGCATTGACAAAGTGTACAAACAATAGCATCTGTACGCGGCCGTTGTTATTTTCACTTTGAAGGCGTTGGGCATTTACATGTCCGATTGCGGACTGGCATACGATCCAATATGCAAGTTACGGTAAAACACCGCCAGAAAAATGGCGGCTGCAGGCATGCATATACCGAGGCCGGCATCGGGTATCTGTGTCTGTGGAACAGCTCCGCTTTAGGCACATAGCCGCAAATAGAATCGACGATTAATGGCAATGGTGGCGCATTCCATGATCAATTCAAGAGTCTTTCTACCTGGTACAGGTCACCTTCTGGGCGTACTTGTGGCTATTTGATCATCCAGCCTCCTTATTCAAGTGAGCCCCATTCGCTCCTTTGACTGGTTGTTTATGAACAATCTATGACCTTTTGGCATCATTTACGCCCGCAGGAATAGCACAGTATGAGTGTTGACTTCGGTTGTTGGTTGTGTAAGTGGCCAATCAGGTGGACGTGTTTATCCATATAAAATAAAAAAGGGGTGAAGCCCAGAGAAAAAGAAACTTCGTCGTAAAGGCAACGATCATCTCATCCCTGCCGAAAACCCCAGGATGATTACCACACCCATACCACTGCTATAAGCACCTTCGTAATTGTGATTCAGGAGTGTCAGGTTTTCCGCCAGGCAACGAGGCTGAGCGCCATATCAAGGGCTAAAAAAAAGGGCGCCTCAGAAAGGATTGAAGGCAAAACCCGTTGGCGTTGCTCTGATACGGAAATTGGAGCTAGTTGAAATGTGTACAAACGCGCTTTGATTGCACTTTCCTTAAAGCCAACGACCACAAACTTACTGGTAACACAGTAAAATGACCAACAAACAGCCGCGCGCAAGGGCGGCCAATCAAGCAATCAAACCCAACAAAGACTACCGTCAATCGAGGTGGAATTCAGTAGGCAACCGCTCGTAAAAACTACTAGTACGGAGACAACCTGAAGCGAGACGTTCCTCGCAAAATGTTTCTTCAACCGTGCGCAAGGCGACAAGGCTGCTAGGGGGTGCAATTTTACCAACGGTGCAATGGAATCTGCAGCCGAGCCCACGAGGCAACCGCGAGACAAGCACTAGATTTCAGCCTTCGATATTTGCCTCGGGATGTGACATGTAGGGAGATTGAAAGGCTGGTGAGGCTGCAAGCATCCTTTGCGATTGACCAACCGGGTAGGTTGGTATGGTTAGTATGGGGCCGATCTAGCTGCTTTCGATGACAATGATTTTCATTTTGGACGCCCGCAAGCGTGCAATAAAGCCTCAATGTCACAACTGCATCTCGGTGTGTCGGTAGGCAAATTGAACGTAGGACGAAAGGGGATGTTTTGTTGCGGGTGGGGGGAGGACCCTCATGCCGAACGATTGACCGAGGCCCTGGGTCTTTGTCCCCTGACAGGCATTTAAGGCAAAGTTTTTGTTGCTCTTCTCAGGCATTGGGTGAATGCGATCATAAACGAGTTTGTTTTGTTTCCATGAATAGCAGATGGGCAGGCTATGGTGGCCCCCCCCCTGGTCGCCTTAGGCTATATGGAAATGTTTGCGGATATATGCATTAACTAGCACATTGCCTGAATGCTCACCGACTTGTCAGATATGCTCAAACAAGGTCCAACGCATTTGCGCAGGCAGCATTCGGATCTGGTATCACGTCAGGGCCGGTTGTCGGTGTCGCCTTGGAAGGCGATGTTCCTTTTTTCAATACCAATACCACGTCCCGCTACACCGAGACGTGGGGACCAAAAAAAACATGGTCTGCTGTGCCTTGAAGGCAAGATAAGGCTGTATTTTATCGACCGACACAAGATCGGTAACGGGTGATGATGAGAAGATTCGGTTTCCGTTGAAGACAAACCTGACCATGGTAAGGTGATTCTGAAGAGGCAGGTGACTTCCCTAGCCATAGAAGCTGGGCAGTCAATGTTGGACTTATCGTGTACATGATCATCCTAAAATTCCTTCAAATTGCATCGCAGATTAGGTACCTTGTAGCCAAAGTGGAGTAGCTGCCAAACAGATTATTTAATTGTCTCTTGATGGTGAAAATAAGTCTTGTTTTCAGAAGCAAGGAGCAGTCCTAAAGGAGATGGAAGACATTCCATCAAAAAATCAGCGCAGTTGACCGAGACGCTTGTGGGGTCACTTTATCGGCCGAGTTAATGGTTTTCTCAGACGACTTCCGAAGAAGCAATTAACCTATCATACCTTAAGAAGCTCGCCGCCTAACTGATTCGCACAAGATCAATACGTCACCTGGCACTGACTCTCAATCAATGACATGGTCACGTGGAACGCATACTAGTATATCGTGCTTTAACTCAACGCATTGTGGGGCCCAGCTATTGTTAACGTCCGGGCTAAAACCCACAGTTAACACTCACCACCGCAAGATATCATGGACATATATTGGGTGCTGATGAATGTTTAGAAGAACCCTTCCTCTTCCCGTAAATTTCGTACCGCTTTTTCAGCTCACTGGATGGCTAAACAGCCACACTCGGACTAACTGTGGCCGATAAATGCTAGGTAAAGATGCGTTGGCTCGAATCGGGAAATTGTTGCACCCCCAACTTCTAGCCATCTTGTCAGATTTACACTCACAACAATTCGCTTCACTCAAAACGCCGGTAAGAATTATGTTGCCATACTGCAAACTTGTACCAATCACTAGTGCGTCTGGGACTATGTGGTCGCAGCTGGCTCGCTCTTGGTCAAATTCCATTGTTTGGCAGCCACATCTCAAAAAGAGCCAAATAATAAGCAATGCTTACAATTCATTCTGTTGAAATTTTCTGTCTCATATCATTTCTTTTCTCATCTTTTCCCAGCCCATTGGGCACCACTGAGTGGCAAAATGCGGTTTGATACAGAAGGTGACGATGACGTGGACCAAATCCTCAAAAAATTGCCTTTCCATAGGAAAAGATTACCTCCGAGTTGATTGAGGCATCTCGCAGTTGAAAGACACAAATTTACGCAGCTTCATTGTTGTCCAAGACAGAACGAATAATATCCACTCCAATATGAGGCTTGAAAGTTGGGTAGCGGGAGACCTCAAGACAAGTGGGTAACTGTAGGGCCTTTTTTTATTTTAAGAATTGCATCCTGAGGAGTTGATTCGTTTCTAGTTGAGAAAGGCTACTGCCTAACATTTTAAGATCCGACTAAGGTGTTAGTTCATGTACATAGTAAACAATAATGGCCAAGAAAAAGCCATGTCCCGGGAAACCGTACCCAGTTCCCGGGAGACTGGGTTCATGCCAACACCATCAGCTCTATTTGGGCATCGCCTCCTACCAGCGCCTCCAGATTCTTGAAAACACGGAAAACTCCTTCTTCGTGTCCAGGAATCCCACGTGCTCGCAAATTAGATGTCTCCAGGGAATTCTAGGCAGCGGGTCATCGAGAAGGACCCGTTGCCCTGGACTTAGTACTTGAGGTCCTGAGAACCACAGGTACCGTACCTGGGCACCTACCTAGAGTACTGGCGAAATGAGGCTTGGTAAAATAAAAAAGAAACCTACTGCAAGCCAAGTCCAGCATTTAGGGGTGACTGGAGTTTCGTTGGCCAGCGATTCACAATAAGGGGCCTTGTTCCCAGGGACCAAATGTCAAGTTTCAGACCAATAGAGCTGGCCAGAGTCGTCACAGACAAGACGAGCCTCAAGCCAGTGACCCACCAGTACCGCAGCTTCTTCTTTGGACCTAGATGGTCGTAAGCCCCATGATCTAGCTGACCACTGCCTGCTGCCTGCTGCGAGCGATACCTTCTTGGTCGACGCCTTCAAATTGGCCCTTGTCCGCCCCATTATCAAGTGCCTGAGCTGGACAGGCGGTCCACATGATGAGGATCTTTGGTTCAAATCTCTGACTGTGTCGAGTCGCCTCTTTCACAATACACCCTGTGATCCACAACCTTTTCGATCAGGTATTCGTAGCCCTACGTGGTTGGAGGCTCATTAAGGCGTCGGATGGCTCATGTCTTGCACTGTCTTTTTAAGCAGACTTATAAGTAAAACCCCGATTCGCTCTTGAACGATTTCGCCCCAGGTTGAGCTGAAGGCCCGAATTGAGAAAAGTGTCCGGCTCGATACGAGGGATATCCACTCGTGCGGGTTGAGGGCTAGCTGTAGTTAACTTGGCTCAGGTCAATTGTAATCCGCCACATCTAGGCGCCTACGGACCTCATCAGCTGGCTGGAGGAAAAAAAATACTGATTTGAGGTAGATATTGGATGCCTCGCCATAATGAGTAACGCCTTCATGCCTCACTCATCCGCATGAAAAATTTTCTTTTGAGGATAGAAGCTGCGCAAAATGTTCGGCTTTCAGCTTCCGTCGGCTACTCCGGGGGAGTGTCGTGGCTGTGTCCAAGCGGAGATGTTCGTGGCGAATGCGCCGCCACCCGACAATATTGACGATGACACAAAAACGTCTTTTGTGTGAGAGGGACAGAAAAAAAGAAAAAGAAAGACAATATGACAGTTTTAGTTTACAGAGGAATAATTTACGCTGTGTTACTGTGTTGACAGATAGACTGAATCTCCACGAGCGGGTTGTGGTGGGAACGCCAGATTGTGATGAGCCATTGTTTGAACCACAGCGCGGAGGAACAAGACCACCTGAGTTGTGCGGCACTTTAGCGCGCATTCCGGTCAGACAGATGACCTGTGCCGAAGCAGGCCTCCGGTTGCCTCCAGTGTAGTGAGCCGTGCCCTGCTGCTCAGAAAACATAAACGAAATGCTTAGAAGACTGCGACAAAGGAAGGCAGGAATGAAGCGACAAGCATTGCGATATTTCACAACATGAAAGCTTGAGACTTCATGTCACCCGCTTGGTACATTCAAATGTGTTTCTCACGAGGAAGAAATTCCAAACATCAGTGTAGTAAGACAATATTCCCGTTTCAGGCGAAATGGTTGGCAAACGGCATTAGAACGTGACACAAGAGATGCATGCAACTTTGCACAAGGACAGTCAGTCAGCTGATGGACAGCCCAATAGTAGTATTAAAAAAGGCATAATTAGTGCTTTTTGTTGTGCAATGGTAGTAGTAGTTCGAAGACGTGGTATGGCCACCGGGGAAGCAAGGGGGTGTGCTCCGTAGGGTTCGTTAATGCACTTAAATACAGCGCAAAGGTGCCGGCAACTGCTCTTGTCACCCCACATCTCAGCACCCAAAGGCTTTTTTCCTGGGCCCAGTCGACGATTTTTGATCAGTCAACTGTGACTGATTTGCGATTGACATAAATCGCAGCCTTAGAGCAGCCTTGAGGCAGCCTTTGGGCATCATTGAGGCTTGTTTGCGTCTTGTTCAACAGGAGCAAAGAGGGAGCGGGCGTGGTTTATATAATTTTTGGTTAACTGAGAAGAGTTGAAGAGAACTGAATGGAAGGTGGTGGGGAGTGACGAAAACCCCCAAAGCCACCAGCAGGCTGGTTCGCGCGCTACAGCCTGCTGCCAAACGAGGCAACCATGCAATCCATCATGGCGAACCACCCCTCCTCCGCATAAATTGATAACACGCCCAAGAATAGAATTCAAATCGGGTCTTTCGATGTAATCCATTAAGAAAAACTCAGTCGATGTGATCGATTTATATCTACATGTTGTCTTCGACACAGATCTATTGAAGCCGTTGTGGAAAATCTATTTGCCGACATTTTCATCCGCAAAGCCCACTTTTTACCTGGACTTCGGATTCACGCTCAATCTGTACGAAGAAATACCAACCATGTCGAACAACGCACAATCGGGCCAAGCGGCAGACATTGATAACCTATTGATTAAGTCACGCCGAAGGCAAGCAGATGCCCAGCGGCAAAAATGTGAGGTTTGCAAAAAGCAGCTACCCTTAAACTCCGACTTGCAAAGGCATCTCGAAGAGAACCACCCAAACCATCCCGATACGATAAGAAATGCCCAACAAACTAATTTAATAGAAAAAGCACCCTTAAAGTAGGTTGCCTCCATTTGAGCCGCATCTTCCAGTACTCACCCCTTTTGTCCGCAGACCTAAAGACCGACGAGACCATGTACCACAAGCCGCTTCGTCAACCAAATCAAAACCTACACCGAAGGCACACGCCGCTAGCAATGACGACCCTAGTGCCCAAACACTCAGTCCGGAGGAGGACCAGGGCCGGAGGTTAAAGAGTCCGGCTTCCACACGGAGCCTTAAGAGTAAAAGGGATAACGACGAATCTTCTCTACCACCAAAGCGAAGTCGAGCTCGTGCACCGATACAGGCCGGTTCCGCCACTCGCACATCAGATAACGAGTTTCGAAGGGAGCCAACACAGAAGAATAGGAAACTTTGGACTCCTGATGAGGAGCCTCCTAGAAGGAGGGATACGACGGAATCTCCTAGAACTTCAGCCCCTAGATCCTTTGAACCACGCGAGTCACAAACGCCAGAGATAGACAACACCGAAGTCCTTATTAAACAACCTGAAACTCGACCTATATCACAAGAACAATTAGTCGCAGAGGTTAAGGGTATATACGCCGGGCTTGTTATGGTCGAAAGTAAATGTATCGAAGTCGATAATGCCCAAAGCTCAACAACAACAGAAACAGGGCCCAAACTAAACAACGAGCAGTGGCAGGCTCTTATTGCTTTGCACCGCACATTATTACACGAGCATCATGACTTTTTCTTGGCTTCGCAGCATCCTTCCGCAAGTCCTGCCTTACGCCGGCTTGCAAGCAAATATGCCATGCCAGCACGTATGTGGCGGCATGGCATCCACTCGTTTCTGGAACTTCTTCGGCACCGTCTTCCGGCATCTTTAGAGCATATGCTCACTTTCATTTATCTTGCCTACTCAATGATGGCGTTGCTGTACGAAACCGTTCCCACCTTCGAAGATACATGGATCGAATGTCTCGGAGATTTGGGAAGATATCGGTAAGACCGCTATCAATGTGATCCACAAGAAATTTTCTAACATTTGTTCAGTATGGCAATTGAAGATGACGACCCGAAGGACCGTGAAGTCTGGACGGCTGTAAGTCGTCACTGGTATTCAAAAGCAAGTGACAAGGCTCCCACAACCGGGCGCTTATATCACCACTTGGCAATTCTGGCGCGCCCAAATGCGCTGCAGCAGTTATTCTATTACACCAAATCCCTTTGTGTGCCCATTCCGTTTCTTTCCGCCAGGGAGTCAATCATGACCTTATTTGAACCTCATCTTAATGGGTCTCCCACACGGTTATTAGAAGTTGATGCTGCATTTGTGAGGGCTCATGGAATTCTGTTTTCCGGCCGAAACCAAGACAAGTTTACATCTTCTGTGGACGAATTTATTGGTAGCCTTGATAACCATATTAGTAGAAATACTCGTCGGTGGATGGACAGCGGTTATCATATTGGCATTGCTCTGGGTTGCTCAATACTCGAATATGGCAGCGAGTCGAATGTCATCATGCGGGCAATCAAGTCGAGCCGGGCTGAGGACTCTGATATTCCGATGGAAGGAATGGATACGGCTCCGAGTCAGAAGTTCCTTGATGCTTTGGACTTCGCCTGTCGCACTCACGACGTTATCTTTCGTCGATTTGGCGACCCAAACGTCATCCCATACGTTCACGTTACGCTGTCCTTCTTATACCATATGTCACACTTTCCAACTGCCATGGCGTATATCGAGGATAAACTGCCGTGGAAGCTTATCTCTCTCTTACTAAATACCCTTATGGATGGAAATACGTTATTTGAAAAGATTGAGTCAGAGGACTTCCCTCGTCCCGAAAAGGAGAGCCCTCGTCCTTTACCTGAGGATTTTGCGCAGCGCGGGCTGTTGTGGGTGGACAAGTATTATCCTAATGACTGGTTCACTGCCAGCAAAATCGACGACGAGGAGAAGTACTTTGAGGTGCCATCAATGACGGACGAGCGTCAGGACCGATGTCTTTGGTTGGCATGCCGGCTGGCGTCTTCAGGTAGGCATTTGACTTATGACAAGGAAGCGAGACAATTCAACGTTACACCGCAGTACGACATTAGGATTGCGAACCTTCCTACTGTGTCAGACTCGGTGGGAGGTACACCTCCGCAACCTAATAGATGGGGGCGAGGGGATGACGGCGACGTGGACATCCCGGATGCCCCTGCCACAACGGTGTAAGGGGGCGTTCACTTTGACAGGCATAGCGTCAGGCGTTGTTGTTTTTCTTGGACCACAGGTTTGTAAACCACCAAGCATATCTCATTGTAAGATGCGGTGTACACTATATCGGGTTGGTGTTGGGGAACTCTTTGACGTTTTAAGGCCATCAAAAGTCGGCATTGCACAATACCCCTTTAGTGCGTATACAAAGAATCCGTCAGGTAGACTTGAATATTTGCTGTACCGTCTCATACGGTGCGTTGCAACATCTATTTTCAGTTGTGGTTAGGCACAACTAGTATCACATGTCTGTATTTCAAAGTTCAGGCGCAAAAGACGTCCTATTTCTTATCCAATATGATACCATACTGCCAATTGCTATTGCCGTAACGTGCCTTTAACTCTAGACCGAAAACGAGGCTAATCCCGAGATGCGAGATAAGGCTTGGACCGAGGCCGCCACTTACAGGAATTAAAAATCGCTGGTTGAGAATCAGCACCTGTCATTTACGTTTCTTGTTGAACCGTTTATATGAATTAACCAAATAATAGTATAGCAAAAGTTGAGGCTCTTGGAGAGTTGCGAGTCCAATGCAGACACACACAACTCCATACCTAAGCGCCTCTGCACCTGGACAGTTAAAGTTAACTTGCTGCTATGTGCTCAACTCTTGTCTATGAAAACTCTTCAAAATACAGTTTGTATATCTCTAAAGAGTGTCTTCTATACATAAGTTTCCGAAGGTATTGGCGAGAAGTATTTGCCCATTTTGCGCTTCAGGTTGAAACGTGGTTGTTGCGTCCACTTTCGACGTCAACCCAAAGAGTTGATCAGCCGGAGCACACCTTCTCCTATTGTAATGTCGTACAGTTAAGCTTGTCTTTTGTCTTGCAGGGGAAGTACAATATAGTTGCCGTTTATCCAGGTTGGATTTACATAGTCAAACTGGCCATACTGGTTCCTCGCATATAGGTTCATCTAGTTGCAGCACATTCAGAAAATGAACACGAGACGAAAGATGCCGGCACTGTAGTTGAAAATGGAATGAATGCAAAAACATAATTTTGAAGTTTATTAATGCTAACTTATACCTAATATCAAGATTTTGTTTAATAACCACCTTGTAAATGGCCATGGTTGGTGAATTACTTTGGTTAAAGGTCGATGGCCACAAACGGAAAACAAAGGAACAGAACTTGGAAGCTGTCGAGGCTGATGGACCAGATTATGAAAACCTATTTTCTCTTTCATCCACCTTAGATAAACCGTCTCAGCCGTTTCTCCAGCCTGTGCTACGACATCTCCAGGGTTGGTGGACAGAAACATAGAGTTGGATGTCAATGCACAGTCATCGTCCAGGCGTGAAGGCATCAACAAAATTTCTGGACCAGCTGACCCTCAGTCTCATGAGTGACTGTTTCCTTACTGTCCTGTTCAAGGCGACTACACCTCTCCGCGTGCTGCTGAGTGTTGCCTCATTCTCCCTCACATGTGATGCTGGCCCTGGTTGCTAATTTCCATGAACCCGGTCTCCTCCAGGCTCCAACCGCTCCCAAGGTTCAAGGGTGCACGAGCTCTTACTTTTTACAGGAACAAAGTTGTGCAAATTCTATCTCCATCACAGACGAGGCAACCAGGCAGTGAGTAACAAGCACCTCAAACTTCGGAAACAACGGGAAACTCCTTCGTCATTCGGAGCGGCGCAGTTTGAAAAATCGTCATAAATGGTGGCTGGGGGTTGCTGTCTCGTAGGCAGTTTCACACACCATAACGGATAAGTAAGCGCCAGGCAGAAGCCGCAGAAGGCCACTGAGGGTGCACACCAGAACCAAAAGTTCACACAGAACGGAATGGTAATTTCGGTGTCAATCTCGGTCTATCAATGGTAAAACTCCGCAAAGGTCCCCAGTTCGTTCCCCAACCTTCGTTGGTGAGTGAACAAAAGTGCAGTGAGCCTCCCAGGAGCGGAACATTGAGCCAGGCAGTGGGCCTGGAAAGTCCAAGGTTCCTTCAATAGTCTGCGAGCTTCCTTACAGGTGCCGAGAATTCGCGCATTGCCTAATTGTATGAAGAATTAATTTTATTAGTAAACCATATGTGCGACATGTTGGCCCTTGTTAAAAAGCAACTCTGCATCGAGACACCGAGATCCATTATCGGCAAGGCAGTGGTTGCCTAAGCGGATCCCCCCGCTGCCCGCGCGCCCGCGGATTGCTTTCATCCGGAGCAGCAATCGAGTATTGCGCGTTTTCGGTGATTGATGCGCCCGTCATTTTTGTGACCAACATTAAACGAGAAGGAATTGGGGCTGCGCCGAAGCGTTTCTAAAAGCTCCAACTTAATAAGCGCGGTCATGCTCTCTACTTTAAATACCCTACAATGGGCTGGTAAACTGGTCAGAGGATGAGCATGGCGGTTGCTTTGGGGGCCGTTTTGCGCCGAGGTAGTTGGTTGCAGAACACGAACCCAGCTGAAGGAGCTGAAGAAGCGGATCAAAACTTACCAATGGCCTGCCCCCCACAGCTGGTTTACACTTAGCGTCAGGCGACGCTCCAGGCATTTACGGGTGCCTTCGCACCAACAAGCCCTATGAGGAAACCTGTGAGGCACGATCCCTTGCTGATCTTTCTGGGGCGGAGCAGGATCTGACAAAATCAGGGGAATCTGTTTCTTTGGGGGCGGCTCCCAGGCAGAACTCGTAGTCACTGAGGGGAATGTTCGATCCATTCCTGTGCCTCGCTCAAGCATGCTGTATAGTCTCATTAGAAGCGGAAGCTTCCACGCCATGTTGTTTTGTCACATTCTCGGAGCCGTCTCGTGAGCGCCAAATCGTGGGGTTGAACCTTTCCTACAGAAGGCTTGCTTCACCTTACGGACAGCAATAGAGTTCTTACCTTAGCTCTCAGCGCAATCACCTCAGCTGACGTGTAAGACTCATGACCAGAGTCGAAAGTCTACACACATCACTCATTCTCAGCCATCCTCCATCCATCAAACCCCATAGATCTTCCTGACAACAGGCCCACCACCCTCGCTGAAGCCCTGCAGGCTCTCACAGGGGGTTTCATCCTTGGCTTTTCGGTGAACGCCCTGCTATGAACAATCGCAACCACTACAATGGGTTGAGGGCGGGGTACATGTGAGTTCTTGCCAAATGAACCCCCCCGTGATCTCTGAACATCCCTTTTGAGATTATCTCGTCTTTATGCTTCTAGGGCGCCCGTCTGTAATCCCTCTTGTGACGTCTGCATCCGAAACAAATACACCACTTCAAATGGCGAATGCACCATTTTGCCGGTTACTCTGACCAACCCCGCGCCTTGCCCACTTGTCTATACATTGTACTTTCAGTGTCCTGCTCGAAGCTATCGAGATCTGGTTTCCTGTCTCTATTTCCAAGTCTTCCGAGGCAGCTTTGCCATTGAATCACATCAACTTGTTTCTCGTTTCGCTTATCAATGTGCTCCCAACATGATCTGCTGTGATGCAAGTTCACCGGAACGCTTCCCCGGCCCCTGGCAGCGTCAATAACTGGAACTTTTGATCTCATGCGTTATTTTCTTCTCATGCGTACCGAACCTGCACGGCATTGTTACTAGTAGTTCAGGCTGACAGCAAATGTGCGCCAGACGGATATGTGCCGGCTTGTACCCGCGAATCCTATGATTGGCGGCCAGCTCATCATCAGATACCAGACCACCAGGCAACAGCCTCACCTCCCCACACGATGGCATGAGATGTGCATGATGCTCATCGAGAGCAAAGTCGACTACTCCTCTTTCTTTACATTACTACAAGATCTTCTTGCTTCTTTGAAACTGTTACAGTCATTAATCCTTAACGCCTTTGTAAAACAGATATCTAGCGGCTGGAAATCTAGCTGCGGAAAAGTTGCGGATTAGATTGCCGAACATCTAGATGTTCATGGATCTAGAAGATTGAGGATGAAACACTCGGTAACACACCATGATGCAGCCTTCACTGCTGCAGCCACTCGATTGGTTGTTTTTTCTTTTTTTTTGCATTTCTCCTCAGAAAAGGAAATGACTGCAGCATCTGCGGTGATGTAGTTTGCAGCTGATGCACGGAATGTCTTCCGGAGTTCCTCAAAACAATAGTCCGTTCTCTTGCAGCTGTTAAATTGTAGAATTGCTTGCGGGAGCCGGCTAACAAAACTGCATGTCTTTGGTGCGACACGCAAGGCTCGGAATCTGGAAGTTCGTAGGAGATTCCTGAAGCACTGGGGCTCAGGTACTGCACCGTTAAACTGTTACGAGGGTGGCTTTGGTGCCTTACGAAGCAGGCTGGGAAGCACTCAAATACCTTACCAATAAGAGACGCATGACGCGTGTTTTACTTCAAATGGACAAAAAAAAGGATTGGTGTATAGATGGTGGATCAGATGACGATCAAGTTGCCGAAAGATATCAAAATTGCCGTGATTTGACGCCTTATTTTATCATCGGTTATCACAACTAGATTAGGAAATAACAGTTTGAGGATGGGTGAGGCAAGCAAAAGTAAGAGAAATGCCCAGTAGACATACCAATATGTAAATATTACCTAGACTTTTGAGTATGACAAGCCACGGCCCCGTATCTGAGAAGAGGCTTCTGCCGTGTTGTATTTAACTCCGTATAAGAGTGACATAAGAAGTAATCATCAGTGGGATAGTTCATACATGGTGTAAGCAGTACATGTCGGCGTTTTGCGCCGTAAATCTGACTTTCAAATTGGCATGTGGGCGGATAAGCTCGGTGGAAGGTTGAGGTGTTGGCTGCCCTGTTTGTAATAAACGAGTGAAAATGAATTAGATATCGACGGGTGCATATCCCGGGTGTCGTACCCATCGGCAGAGGAAGAAGGCAACCAATTTTAGGCAAGGGAAGCCTTGGAAAGTATTACTGGGCAAGCCTCAAAGAGTTTGACGTGACATAACTTGCTTGGGTGCCATCCCGGCGTGAGTGTCCCTCAAGTCATTCACAGCAATCTACATGCTATAACATGTTACACCTTCACGAATTTCCAGTTTAGTACCTGAAATAGAACCAATCAATGTCCTTGGGAGACTAAGAACCGGTCAGCGCATATCTCGGCGCTCCTTAATTCGGTACCATGTAGACTGAGTGGATATGACATGCCCCGACCCTTAATCTAAGTTCACTTGATTTTACTACGTAGATACCTAGTTTTCTCTGTACCTACGTTCAATAACTCAACATATAGACTTGGAACTATCATCTTCTTAGATTAAGACCTCATCAGTGCTATTGTCTCAACAGTTGGAGTTGGAGTAGATGAACCGTAACATATCGCCCAGAAAAGTAGAGATTCAGTGTCAACATCATGTCAATATACAGATTTTTTGCAAAGATATAGAAACATAAGTTTCTGTTTTTTAAAGTGCAAACCTTCTTTCATGGAAAGATTAGTAGAGTTGTAGCGGATTTCCTAAAATTGTCAGGATACCTTAGTTCCATCACTTGCAAACTGCGTCGTATGCATGCCAACCAAGATGTGTCACAAGTTATTTGTTCCTCCTGAAATCATTGTAACTCAGTCGAAACACTCCTTATTATTTCTTCTAAAAGCTTGACGACTCCGTAGATTTGAACTGCATATAGTTGTATTGTATTCACCCCCACCGCTACAGAGGCCACAAACTAGTTGTCATGTCCGCGCATCCGTCTTGACCACATAACGCTCATTCAGCTCCAATGTAAATCTTAACAAACCTGGGAATTCAAACAAACATTCGAATGTGGAACAAAACTATTGCGTTATGCTCAATGAGAGAGGCGCCTCTCCCCCTCCGTTATTCGTTGCGCAGACCGAAATGCTACCCCCTGAGAAGTCAATGTACATCAGACCAGCCCCCGACGCCCTGTTTCCAGAGAAGTATTTGGGACCTGAACTGCTATCGCCAATCTGGATGAGGATGCCATCCGTGGTGGTATACGAGAAGCCATAATTGCCCTCTTGGATATTGAAGCCGCTTGTCGGGAAACACGACGTCGTTCCGGCGGACACCTTCTCATCCATCTTGAACACCTCTTTACCAGCAGGCGGCTTGACGGCCTGTGACGGCTCTTCCGTAATTTTGAAGACCAGTGGTGCTGAGCCCGACCCTGTGTCAGTTCCGCAGATTGAAAGTGACGCACTCGACTCGGCGTAGAAGGTACCTGTCCAAGAGCCCTTGGATTGATGGTATCCTTCATCTGTCGAACCGGTCTGAATACTGACCAGCAGGCCAGCGTCAACTTCAAACGAGAAGCCGTACGTCGTGCCAGCTGTGGTAGAAAAGCTGTTTGTAGGAAAGCATGACGTAGTACCCGCTGCGACCTGCTCATTCAACGAGAACAGAGTCTTTGGTGCCGGCGGCGGAGGTGGAGGTGGAGGTGCAGATGTTGTTGCAGGTGGCTTTGAAGTTGTCGTCGGAGGAGCCTTGGAAGGGGCAGCCGTCGAGCTTGGTGGCTTCGTGCCGGTCGGTGTGGGCTGTATCGTACTCGTGGACGAGACAACGGAGCATGCCTCGCCGCTAAGGTCTTGCCTTCTCATCTTGGCGCTTCTGGGGCGAGAACATACAGCTCCTTGACCATTGAAAACGACCTGGCCGCCATCTGGTACTCTTTGGTACGCCATATCGATGAGGAGCTTTTTCATGTTCTCCGCTACCTTTCCAGACTGGTACAGTTCTGGGTACTCCCCCAATGCAAGCAAATAGGCTGCGAGGCCAGCTACCGCGGGCGCGGCTGCGTCGAGAGTGTTAGCAATGACTGTTATCTTAACACCAACGACTATTTCACGGGCGCAAGGGTAGCTCACCAAAGGAAGTTCCATCTAGTTTCTGTGTGTTAGAGAAGAATGAGTTGGCAGCACACTGGACCTGGACCCCGGGTGCCATGACATGAACAAGAGGACCTCCCTGGGAGAATGAGGCATTCTTGCCAGTGTTATCAACGGCTCCAACGTTGATGATCGGCACGCCAGAGCCTGCTAACAAGGGGGGCCACGAGTCTACGTCGAGCGCGGCAACTTTACCATCCTAAGAGGCGATGAAGTTAGTCACCGGTTTGAAAGTATCATCAAAGACTATACCTACGTCGACTTCTTCCCTGTTGTCATTGCCAGATGCTGCGATGAAGATAACGTCTTCTTTGATCATCTCCCTGACGTAATAGCTAATCATTTTCTGATTGAACTTGGTCGGATTATCAACTGCTCAGTGGGTTAGTAATCGGTTTTCAGCGTGTAATTAATTGTGTCTATCATCTGCTGATGAAGAAAAAAAAACAAAACCTGCGTACTTGACCGTGAAAAGTTTACAATGGCTTTGCCTTACAATTTCTTATCCCTCACATCCTGCAAGATCTTGTTTAGGGCATCAAGCGTGTCGTCAGACGCTGTTTCAGCTTTCACAACAACGAGGTTGGCCTTCTTCGCTGTTCCATATTTAGGCCCGTTGACTTTAGACCCAGCACAACTACCGTGGCCACCGGAATCTATGTCTTCTTCAACGGATTTGTCGGCTTGTGAGCCTCCGAAGATCCAACGAGGCTTTACCGCCATACCGGTATACTCCTATGAGTTGAATCAGGTCACTTTACGCCTTGCGGTAACGTGAAGATTCTTTACTTACGCTGTTCTTGGTGTAGTATCCACTGTCCAGGACGTAGACCGTGATATCGGTTCCCGCACTGTCATCGTACGTGTAAGCACTAAGCACTTTGATGTCTACCAGCGGAGGCTGGGAGAACATGATGAGCTCGGTTGGCGCTTTGTCCTGCTTTACTACCGCGCGCTTCTTTATTCTTCCAAGTTTGTCTAGCGACTCCATCCACCACTTCTCATGGATCTCGTCGTCGCGCTTGCTGTTCGGAACCAGTACGGACTTTCCGGCGTTGTTGTCAAAGTTAACAACCGGCTCAACGCCGCCGACCTAAATTACCGGTAAGCCGGGACTTCAGTGTGTTGAGGAGCAGAAGGAAATGGCATACCAAGGGATTTTCAGAAAGAGTCGCTTGCTGCACGCGAGTGATATTGGCGCTTACAAACATTACTACCTTATCGACAGTTGCTCTGTAATTATCTTTTACGAGCTCTTTGTCTAGTAGAGAAATGAAATCTGCATTTTCCTGGCTGGTGGCCTGATCTTTTGGGAAAATGAGGCATGGTTCAGGTGTGCCGCTTGGAGCCGAACTTGTCGACCTTGCGCTGGTGGGCGCTGTACTTGCGGGCGCCGAACTATCAGGTACCGTACTGGCGGGCGGTTCGGAGGTGGGCTGTTCAGGCACGGAGCTCGGGGGCTTGTCCGGGTCATCGGGTTTGTCTCCCTCCGACGAAGAGCCGGCTGTCACGGTCGTGCCGGCCGCAACTGCAACGGGCGCTGCAGCCGAGCCCGCGATGGTGAAAGAACCGCCGCCAGGGCCTCCTACGACAACTGCGCCGAAAGGTACTACAATGGCATCTCCATTGCTGACCGTTGTTGTTACCGGTGGCGTCGTAGTTGGTGCCTCTGATGAGACTGGGGGGCTAGTGATTGTTGGTGCATTTGTTGGGACTGAGGTGGGACCACGAGATGATGAAGTTCCTGACGAACGAATTGTTGAAGGTGGAAGAGAATGGCGACTAGATGAAGGTATCAATCTCGCTGTAGTGGTTCCATTCCGCACAGGAGTAGCCCGTCTCAGAATGGGAACTCCAGAATGGTAAGGCTCCCCTTCCGGGTCTTTTGCTATTACAGAAAAGGCAAACAAGCTTAAAGCGAGTCGTAAAGAGTTTATGGTATTGAATTTCATGTCCGATTAACGAGAGTAAGTTGCTTAGGAAAAGATGCTTAGGAAAAGAATGTGCGGCGGGTTCTGCCCGAAGCTCACTAAACGGGGAAATTCGAAAAGCTTTGTGCATCTTGTACTTTTAAATCTTTATGAGGATATATCAGCATTGATCCTATCATACCAATGCCATTTTATTCGAAGAGCGATCGACAACAGAAGTCTGCCTCCTAATTTTAGGAGTTTCCCTATCTATCTTAAGTGGTGTTCTTGGCTAAGTGACCAAGCCACATGGAATAATCCATCTCTGGCCAGCCGTCTCCCTCCGCATGGCAATACCGCGCCGACTCGTTGTCTATGGCGATTGGGTATAATTAAGCTCGAAAATCTTTTTGTTATGGACTATCTTAACGGCCCATCTTTGCTTGTATCAGCCCCTTCGTCAGTGCATTAGCATGGTTCGTCACTTTGTGGATGTGCCGAGCGAGCCGTTCGGACAGAATGTGGGCATAGATTCGTCATGACTGCCTCTAGCTGAAACTCACATCTACTTTCATCTAGTTAGACTTTCCTAGAGCGATTATAACCATAAAAAGTCGCTGATATGCATTTTGGCTTAGCGTGGTGGGTGAGGTGGGACTCCAGTAAAATGGACATAATCCCGAGTAGGTCGCATGTGCTGTAGAATACGGGCATAAAGACAGCATATGACTGGATACTACACTCAAATTGCAGGGAACATGTTGACTGAAAGAACTCAAATATTTGGAGATACAGCTAATTCGCCTGTTGAGCCAGGCCTCCTGTTTCATGAGACTTCTAGCGTCCTTTTTTTCAATCGTCTTGGCCCATCTTCAGTAGCCCACATGTGCAGATTTTCTTCGAATAGAGATAGTAGTAAGCCTGGGAAAGAGGGAAATAAAATATGACAATTGCCTTCTTTGTCTTGAGCATAGGGAGCAATTGGGGTCAATAAGTTTCCCAGCAGTCGAAAATTTGACTGCGTAAGGAGTCAATAGCATATTCTCAAAATACCATGATATTGCTTCACTGATTCTTGTCATGCTCAAAGCGTAGCAACTTATTGTACCACGCCATGAGTCAGGCAGACACACGTCCAAAGTAATGCCAAGGAGTGTGACCGAGATTTAGTACAAAACAAGAAACCGTAAGCGGAACCGGCGTTTTGGTTAATCTCCTGGAGGGTATGAATAGCAGTGCCAGGCCTGCTAGTACTGGAAAGTCTTCAGTGAATCAAGGAGACTGTTGCGATAGTTGGAATACGGAGTCGTGTGGCACTTCCAGCCACACGCCCGCCAGGCTGAGAGGCCCAAGCCTCCCAGACCCACGTGACAGGCCAAGGGGGAATATCCCTACCTTCTAGTCAACAACACTACTTTCAACTATCATAAACCATCGATTAGAACCAATTTACTATTATTTATTATTAACGAACGGAATTCCGTTTCACCCCCTATAAAACCTATACTAATCAGTAGTAAACCTCACAGTTGCTATTAATTTAGTTAACTTCATAATTACTACTCTGCTACGGATAAACCGTAGATTAGCAAGGTTAATACTAGAAGAGACGACTTCTTAAACTAGATACCTAAGCCTAGGTAAAAGTAGGGATTTCGTACTAACGAGAGAAGAAGCAAGAGTAACTAGGATCTACGGAAACTAGTAGAAGAAAGCTTCTTTTCCTCGAATCTACTAGTAATCCGATTATTCGAGTAACCTAGGGACTGCTATGCTTACCCTAGGCGGGATAAGGTTAATCGTAGCTAATTATCGCTAGCAAAAGCGTTCTATTACGCGTTTTTAATTACTAGAAGAAGAAACCTACCGAATCGATAGTCTTCTAACCTCTTTACGTTATAAAAGCGAAGATTTATAAATCCTATAAAGGATAATAACTTCCCTAACTATAACTATCCCCTACGCGCGGTGCTAATTACAAAGCGCCTGCTAGTTTCTTAATAAATCCTTAGACGAGGTGCTAACCGCAAGGCGCTTGCTATAAGAAGACCTCCCTACTAGAAGAAGAATACGCCGAAAGGCAAGCAAAGACTACTAATAGTAATCTGCCTATATAGCTATACGTATACGCCTCCGAGGCTACGGCTTAAGAGAAACACACGTAGTTATAAGCGTTATAAAGCTAACTATCTACTAGATTCTAAACTTCCTAATAGTAAGGAGCGAAGCCTAAAATAAGAAAGAGAGATTTATAAGAGAATCTATAATAGAACTTTCTCCCTACTAATTCGAGACCTATATATACCTTTATACCCCTCGAGAATATTAATAAGAACGGCGCCGACGGAAATAAACGATAAACCGACGAAAATCCCCGATTTTACGATTCTTTCCCCTTAGAATCGTAATATCCCGAATCGTCTTTTAACTCCTACTTCTAGGCCTATATCTTATACTAATTGCAGCTAACGCTATTAAGGATTAGAATTTAAGATTCTAAATAGAAGTAATCCTTTTATATTATTAGAATAAAGCGAAATTTACGAGAAGGATCGCCTGCAAGCAGCGTTACTACTAAAAGCTAATTAATAGTCCCTATCTTATAGAGAATCGAAAGTATAATCGATCTAGTAGTATAAAGCAACTAGGCAATCGACCTTATAAACGCTAGCCTATAGCAACTAGGTTCCTATATAGGTTTCCTACTTAAGACCTATAAGAAGAGGAATCTTATAAGCCTCGAGCTATAGAACGAAGTTTCTCCCGATTTCGCTAACTAGTTAGAAGAAGACTTCTAGAACGTACCTCCCCTAATCCTACGATTCTTTAAAGACTATTTAATCGGTAACGGCGTCTACGTCGAAATAGATAGTAAGAAAATCTTAAAAAACGTAGTATTAGCTTTTAAAAAGGAAGAATTCTACTACTAGTTACCTTAAGAACTCGAACAAGGCGTTAAGAGATATCGCAACCTAAAGGCTTTGATAAAAGACCCCGAATTCTACGAAGAGATTACGAGACCGGTAATAGTAGCTAATAGCATAGGAGGAAGAGTCGAACCAACCCTATAGCTACCTCCTCTATAAGAATAATAATAGTAGTAACTACTATACCGACCGCTATATCCTACGGTCTCTCCGTTAACAGACTTCTAACTATATAAGTTAATAAACCGTATCGGAAAGTAATTAACAGAATTCGCGAAACTATACCCTGACGATATAAAATATAGCGGCGATATATACGATATACTTGAAAAGAAGATGCTAGTATTCGTAGATCACTATAGAATGCTAGGAATTTATACCTCCTAATATAACAAGGTACTTCCCCTAATACTAAAAGAAATAGCTAAAACCTACTTCTACGCCTTGATTAAAGTAATCAACCTATAGCCTAACTTCGAGACTATAATTAACTAATTAAAATTATACTTCGAGACTAGGGAAAGGCAATAAGCATACGTTACGTAGTAGAATATAACTACTCTTCCCTAAATCATTCGCAATAACCCTAGAAAGACTAAATCGGAGTGTTTTAACATACTATGTAATAAATTAAGCAAGATTCAGCCCGGTTTGCTATAATAAGATCATAACGACCGATCCCTCTATATCTAACTTCTATACGCTTGTATAGATATTCTAGAGTATATAATAGCGTTATTTATACCGGCTAAGACGTACGAAGGACTTCGTAGCTAATTAATCTCGTCGATCGAGATAGCTACCTATCTTAACTAACGTCCCACACCCACTTCTGGGCACCCCCCACATTTGGGCACCCCATTTACACCAAAAACGCCGTTTTTCGAAATTCTATATTAAACTAACTACTATACTTACTAAGAAAAGAAAATATATATAAACTATGTTAAGTATAATTATAGCCATCTAATTTTTTATAAAGGTTTAAATATAATAATAGTTATAATATAGAAGTTTAAAACTAAAAGCTTTAAAATGTTAGTAGATACTAGTAACTTACTAGTATTCCTTAACATTAGAAAAATATATTTTCGCTCATATATACTTATTTAAAAAATCTAGGAAATTAATATTTATACTTATTAAAAGTATATAATTATATCTAAAAGAGATTTAAAAGTATTACTTTAGTAAATATAGTATAATTAAGGGTTAAAATTCTATAATAGAAACTTTTCTTAAGGGAAATTTTAAAATATTATTCTAAGCTTAAAGAATTTTTTACTAAGTATAAGAATATATAAATCTACTATATCTTACTTAAAAATTCTAATCATATTAGTTAAATATCTCTACCTATTTTATATATTAAGATATAGGCTAGGTAAATTAGTATTATAAATGTTAAACCTTGAATTTATAATACTTATTATCAATAATACTAGTATATAGCTACTTAAGTATTATAATTAAGTCTTAATCTATTTAATATATATTTATTCTTTTTAATAAGTAAAGTATTTAGTTTAATATAGAATTTCGAAAAACGGCGTTTTTGGTGTAAATGGGGTGCCCAAATGTGGGGGGTGCCCAGAAGTGGGTGTGGGACGTTAATAATAATTTAATATAGTAGCTAACCTACTAAAGCAGTACTAGACCGACAGAACTTTTAACGGTCGAGGGCGTTATTTACGATATAGTCGTTTATTACGAAGTCGATTATTACGAGGAAGAAGCCGTAACAAACCCTTATTACTACTAACGCCTAAGAAGTACTACGTATATAGAAAACCTAACTGCTAGTTAACTAAATATACTATAGAAGAGAGACGAAAAGCGTACGAGAAGTTTAAAACTACCTAATATGCCTAGGATACGTTACTTCTAGCATATAGCTAATTTCTCGTTTAATACGAGGGTTTCGACGGGTTAGACTTATAACCTACTGCCGAAGACCCTTAGCAATACTACTACGTAACTAAACAAACTAGTAAAAGTAACAAAGAGGAAGAGACTAGTAGCGATAGTCAATTCTAGGTTACCACCTATTTTACTATAATAGTAATTAACGGCAATAGGATCGCTACGATCCTAGCAGACTAGTTAACCCGCTATACTATTACGAAAGAAGACCTCTTCTATAACTAACTAAAACCGAAAAAGCTACCTTCGTAATTTATACTCGAGGGACGCTACTTTACTTAAAACTTCTAAGGGATTATGCCCGACTTAGGCGTAGCAGGATTCTTAACCGCTAGCTACTTATAATTCGTAGCCTTATAACAAATTTACGAAGGAATTACGTTAAATACTAAGGCGGCTAGCAGCGTTATAGTAAAATTCGGCGATAGGATACTACTAGAGTCTATAGGGACTACTAAAGTACTAACGCCGTTTAGAAGCGTTAAATTTTACGTTATTAAGACTAGGGAATTGATAGGGACGCATCACGAATTGATAGGGACGCATCATCCTTAGGGACGCATCACATTCTAAGGTTGTGATTGGCTCAAAATTTTATTGTTAGTGCATCCGAATTCTGCCATCATCTAATGAAGTATCTTTCTTATCTTCTTAGCCCATCCCTTCATAACTACGAAAGCGCATTAGACATATTCAATTTATTCTCCTTTACAACGTCAAGATGTCTACCTCTACAAGTCAATCAAGGCCCCAATCGCGTCGCCGACCCAGCAGCTCTAGTATATACAATCAATTGCCTTCTCCCAAGCGCCAACGCCGTGCTATCTCAGTTAGTAGTGATGCCACTATCAGTCAATTCTATGGGGCTGGCGATCGTGAGGGTCAACCTGACCTAATCTCTGAGATTCCACCTGAACAATTACAGCAAGATTCCGACACAAGCTACAACCCCCAGGGAGATGAATTATATCTTCTATGTTCCTTTCCAAAGGGGACAATACGTATGCAGCGTACAATTTTACCTGAACGTCAACCAAAAGAAAGCCAATTAGTATTACAACCTGAAAATCAACCCTTACAACCCACTTCAGATCAGTTCTCTACTGTTCTAAGCCTCATTCAAGAGGTTGTTGGGACAAACCGACGTCTTACGCGTGCTCTCCTCCAACAATGTGAACGCGTTCGTCGATATCGTGAGGCTTGGGGCTACTCACCACACCCTTCAGACATATCCTCAATCGGCGAGTCTCCTCCTCCTCCACCTTATTCACCTCCCCGACAAAGCCCAGAAGTAATAGCGATACCATCTTCTCCAAGTACTTTATTCCTTACTACAAGCGAAAGGTCGAAATCACCTACCCCCGAAACTATTCCAAACCCACCGATCCCTAGCGAACCAGAAGCAACAATTGAAACCCTCCTCGACCGAGTTAATAAATTTGCAAAAGAGCATGGATTTGGGATTGCAAAGTATAATAGATGCTATCGTAAAGGACGTATAATTCGCTATACACTTCGTTGCGATCGATTTGGGCTACCAAAGCGAGGTAGAGGTGCTGGCATCCGAGCCCGCGCATCTCGGAAGTGTGATTGCCAATGGCAAATTATTGCTGAAGCAATAGAGGAGGGGAAATGGCTTTTACGTCAGCATTCCAACCCAATACACAGCCAGCATAATCATATCCCTAGCTTAGCATCATCTGCACACCCAGCCTATAGGAGGTTGACTGAGCCTATTAAGGATGCAGTTGAGACTACTAGTCGGCGGGTTGGTATTCGGGCACGCGACGTAGGTGCTATTATTCAGGAGCAGTTTCCTGAATCTGTTTTCACCCAGCGGGATATCTATAACGCTAGAGCCCGAATCAATCGCGAAAAGCTTAATGGGTATACACCAACTGCAGCTCTAATCAAGCTTTTTGATGAGCGGGAGATCCCTTATATTGTGAAGTGGGCGGATGATGAGCCGAATCGGCTTGTTGGGCTTGTCTGGACGTTTCCATACTCTCTCCGGATGTGGAAGCGGTTCCCCGAGGTTATCAGCTTTGACAACACCTATAACACCAATCGCTTCAAGCTTCCACTCTTCCAAGCTACAGGGCAAACATGTCTTGGATCGGTATTCAATGCAGCATTTGGTCTCATCGATAATGAGAGACTAGAGGGGTTCCAGTTCTTATCGCAGAGTATCTTACAACTCATTAATCAGAACTCTATTCGCCAACCAGATGTTATTATCACCGACTACGACAGACAGATGAAGGCAGCTCTTAACGAATACTTTCCGAATGTGCAACAACAGCTTTGTATTCACCATATCAACTCAAACGTTATGCTTAAAGCCAAGCAGAAGTGGCTTCAGAGCTATTCTAGTAGTAGTGGGTCTGAAGAAGACGATCTAGCTCCACAACCAGTTACCGAACTTAGCGATGAGGACCATGCCTATATCCATACTTCAGTAGATGGGGCTACGCCACATAGCTACCGGGGGGTTCTTATAATGTGGAAGTTGGTTCTATTTGCTGAGACAGAGGATGCCTTTAGGAAAGCATGGGCAAACCTTTGCAAAGAGTTTAAGGACCAACGGCCTATTCTGAACTACCTGCATGGAATATATCTACCACTAAGGGAGCAGTGGGCACGTTATTCTATTCGCCAGTACCGAAACTTCGGCATCCGTGTAACCTCAGGGACGGAATCAAGCAACAACAACATCAAGGGCTATCTTCTTAATGGACTTAGCCACCTATATCACTTAGTTAATGTGATGCAGGATATGCTTAAGGATCAAGAGGTTCGCTTCAAGCAAGCTTGTGCACAGGATGAGATCCTCACAAGCCGTGAGTTTATAGGGAACAGATCTGAGTACCTTGGGGAGCTTCGAACAATACTCTCATCGCAGTGTCTTGGTTTGATTACGAAGCAATACCGTCTGGCAAAGAAGGCTCTACCAACAGGTAGAAATCCATTTCCAGCGCCTCTTAGAGACTGCACAGAGGACTGTACTGTCTCTATAGAGTATGGTATCCCATGCTGCCATAAGATCTACTCTAAACTTGTAGATGGGGTACAGTTTATGAAGGATGAGGTTCACCCACGATGGCGGCTGCGGGAGTCTTCTTCCCAGGATCCATATCGACGGATCCTTGATCCGAAGATTGCAGGAAACCTCCGTGGCAGACCTAAGAACTCAATGCAGCCAGTCCCATCATCCCTATCATTAAGGGATAGCACCCAATCAAGCAGCCAGCTAGCTAGACAATCACACAGCCAACTACAAAGTCAACAACCTAGCCAATTAGCAGCAGGGCGCAGGCGTGGCAGACCACCAGGAAGCCGTAATAGGACCACCTTAGCAAGGCTTACACAAGAGACAGCCAGTAGCCAGGCGCCAACCTCTTCCCAGCGGCAGACACGAAGCCAAGTAACTACTCTTAGTACTGGCCGATCAACTGGCCTTCGTTCGAATGGAAGAAGATTACAGGCAAGCATCCGTAGGACGAGGAGTCAATGGGAACTACTTAGTAGTAGTGATGAGAGTCTCAAACGTTGAGGGTAGGGGGGGCATTCTTTATTATTATATAAGAGGAAATAGAAGTAGAAATCAATTGAGATTTATAAAAGCCGTTTCAGTTTAGTTTGATAAAACCCAATTCCTCCTTAGAAGGGAAGAAAAAGACCTACCATTTGAGATTTGCAAAAGCGGTCGTTTAGATGGTTTTGCAAATCTCAAATGGGAGGAATAGCCAAGAAACGTAGGCTAGTAGGGCGGGCCGGCTTTATGTCTATGAAACGGAGGCAGGCCTCTTATGGCTGTGAAAAGGTGGGGCGTTAGCAACGCTGGCCTCACCGCCTTCGCCGACTTGTACCTGTGGGTCACCAAAATTTCTAGCCAATCACAACCTTAGAATGTGATGCGTCCCTAAGGATGATGCGTCCCTATCAATTCGTGATGCGTCCCTATCAATTCCCTAAGACTAATACTCCCTTCCTTATATGCCTAGGAGATATAGACTGATTAAAGGTTTACTTTAATAACGTTATAAATACCTTTATCTAAGGAAATAAGGTCGTACCTATTATTTGCAAATAAGGCTACCTATAGTTATTACTTAATAAGGAGAAACTACTTGCTTAGAACTACCTTATAGACGCTAAATTACGACGGGTTTACCGTCGCTTCGGATACCTATCTATTTAACGATTATACAAAGTACTCTAGAAGGCTAGCTACCTAGTTAAAATTATAGCAATTAAGTAACTATCGAAAGTCTGCTATCGATACTAAATATACGTACTAGCGCTATTACGGTTTAAATTTACGTTACGAGACGATTACGAATTTAACTACGAGGTTATCGCTAACGTAATATACCTTAAAGGTAATAGACCGGTCCTCTACGTCGTCGATACCGCTACGGCGTTTAACGCCGCCTAGTTCCTTAAGGATATTTCTACGAAAGCTACTTAGGAAGCCTTACGCCTCTACTAGATAGATATATATCAAAGACCCCTAGACTAGCTAGTTACCGACGCTAGAATAAACTTCTACTTAACAAAATTCCGAAACGCGGCGAGAGGAATAGCAATTAAAATTAAGGAAATTCCTATAAAAGCCTATAACAGTATTAAGAAAGTTAAACGATACTATATACCTCTAAGGAGGGCGTACGAAATCATTAAAGCAGAAGACTTAATAATTACGCTAGAATTAGTACTTTAAATAGTAGTTAAAGCAGTTAACGATACTGCTAGCCTGAACGGAATAGTGCTAATACTCTTAGTATTCGGCTCGTACTTACGAATTACTAACGATTCGCCGCTATCTCCCGAAGTTATAAGGCAGGCGAAAGCGATTAAGAAGGCGATAAGCGAAGTATATAAACTTTACGTAAGGCGATAGGTAGCAGAAGCTATCGCTACCCGTAATAGCCTTGATATAAGGCTAATTATTAATTTACTACTACGGTCGTAAGTACAAGTATAGCGCGAAAAGAAGGGCTAGACTAGACCGTTTACTTTAGTAGCTATAAATAGCAAAACCTATACTATCGATACGCTACGTAGTCCGAAGACCTTCCGGTCTACTATAGTTAAACTATACTACGAAGATCCCGATTAACTACCTAATTCTATCGCTATGCTAGAAGAAGAAGAACCCGAAGCTAAGATACCGTAGTAGGAAGTAGTATGCGACGAAATTATCGTCGCTGGCGGAGGTAGTAAACCGGACGAACCGCAAGAGGCACTAAAGCTACCGAGAAGACGCCCGGGCAGACCCCGGAAGAGACTACTACTAATCGCCTACTTTACAAAGGAATTTAACGATAACCTAGATTATTAACAAATATTCCTATCGATTAAGAAGTAAGTAGACGAAGAATTAGTAATCAAACTACGACGAGAAAGTATTATTACTATACTAAGCAAACCGTTTAAATAGTTAACTAAATAAGAGATTAATAGCCTTATCGCTAGAAGAGTATTTAAATTTACCTAGTTTAATAAGAGAAGGCATTAGAACGTACGAATCTTCCGATCTTATATCGTTAACAAAGTCAAGGGTAAAACAACCAAACCCTACGAGAAATCAAGACTTATAATATAGGGTTACGCCGACGATAGCAAGAAGGCTATATTAACCTAATCGCTAACGATTTAGCAAGCAAGTTAATAGCTAATTCTATTAATTACCTTGTTACTCCTACGAGAAGGGAAATAACTATAGCTTCGAGATATTATATAAGCCTACGTTTAATCCTCTACAAGGCTTAATCGTACTATTCTCGCCTACCTACCGAAGCAAATTCAAGACTAGTACCTAAAAGGGACTATTATGGAGGTTGTAAAGCCTTTGTACGGAATCGCAGAAGCTAGAACCTACTAGTAGGCAACGTATTATAAGTATTATAAAGAGAATCTCTAGATAGTTACTTCTTCGTACGATCTATGACTTATTGATCTTATCTACCGAAAATCTATACTTTGGCTATATCGGCATGCAAACCGACGATACCCTCGGTTTATTAGACAAGGCGTTCTTATAATTAAAAGACGAATAGTTAGAAAAAGCAGCTTTTATAGCAAAAGCGAAGAATATCCTTATAATTAACAAACCCTTCTAATTTAACAGAGGGATAATCGCGCTATCAACCGACAATTCGATTAATTTAAAGCAAAAAGGATAAGCTAAGAAGTTACGATATATTAAGACTACTAAACCTAACCTAAAATAGCAATATATTAAACAACGCGCCAGAGGGGCGTACATCGCGTCAATTTGCTAACCCGAGGCCTGTTTCGATTTATCTACTACTACCTAACACTAAGACCTTTCGCTTGAAGTAATAAAAATACTAAATCAACGGATTCGATAGCAAATAGAATTGCCTAACCAAGGAATAACGTTTATCCTACTTAACCTTATAATAGCTAAGCTATTCGTTTTCGTTAACAAGTCGTTTGCTAATAACTACGACCTTTCCTCCTAATTAAGGTTTCTAATCATCCTAGCTAACAATACTTCCTCTAATAGTAATAACAGAGAATTCACGATTCACGGTAACCTTATTTATTATAGCTTTACGAAAAGTAAACAAGTCACCCGTAGCGTATTAGTATTAAAGATCTATAAGATAGTCGCTAGCGTCGATATAGCCTACGCCCTCGCTATAACCCTAGCGATAATTACTAACTACCTTAACCTACTAACGATTTAGATAGTTATCTATACCGATTCTTATTCGCTATACGAGTATCTCGTAAAGCTAGGTATTACTAAAGAAAAGCGACTTATAATCGATATCATAGCGTTAAGATAATCGTACGAAAGACGAGAACTATAAGAAATTCGTTAGATTAATGGCGAAGACAACCCTACTAATGCCTTTACGAAGAGCAAACCAAATCGAGCCTTCGAGAGATTCGTTAATAGCAATACGATAACGATACGTATAGAGGGATAGGTAACAAGACCGTAACTATAGGAGAAAGTAGGGATAGGAAGCCGAATTAACGAGGAGACGGAACTATATAGGGATAACGTATTCCAACCGCTTCAACACCATAAAAAGAGAGTTTCCAGTGTTACGATAGTTAGAATACGGAGTCGTATAGCACTTCCAGCCACACGCCCGCCAGGCTGAGAGGCCCAAGCCTCCCAGACCCACGTGACAGGCCAAGGGGGAATATCCCCACCTTCTAGTCAACAACACCACTTTCAACTATCATGAACCATCGATTAGAACCAATTTACTGTTATTTGTTATTGACGAACGGAATTCCGTTTCACCCCCTGTGAAACCTACAGAGACCTTTGGAAAGTTGAGATTTGGCACTCTTCTCACGATCCTAACACTGAAGACTACCACCGTGCTTGATGGATGTTAGAACCAATAAGAAAATTCAGTCAGCTTACTCTACGTAGATAACCTCAACTCATTCGAGTTGAAGCGGCAAAACTTTGATCAAGGTATCAATGACCTGTCGCTTCAGTTTCGGGTATGACACGTACTTTCGGAGAACACGGCTTGCTGATACCTTAGTTCAGGGGGGTGAAAATAAACCACCAGGGGCTTCCACATATTCATGAACCCAAGGCGTTAACGCAACTGTTACGGCCAGCTAACTGACAGTGGGTTTGTGTTAACAGTAAGCCAGGGATTGACAACAGTAACAGTCGTTCTGGGGTCTGGTCGATTGAGTCGTAGATCTTCAAAGGTCTTGGTGATCAGTCAAGGCCTCAACAAGAGTCGTAGAGTAGTCGTCACTTAGGTATAGCTGAAAGTACCGGTTAGGGTAATCACAAAGTTGATTGCTGAAGAGCTATGGAAGTCTGACCATGGGCCGAGCTCAGGTCATACTATATACAAGTCCTGGACAGTCCCTGTGTCTTGTCGCTGATCACTGATCAGGTACCGGTGAGCGATCAGTGATCGTTGGTGAGCGCTCAGTAGCTCTGACTGAGCGCTCAGTGACCCATACTACCTGCTCAGTCTTATCTTATCATCACGTGACTTGTACCATAGTTCTTCCGTTCCCGAGTGAGTCCCTGTTGTTCCCGTGATCCTGCAGTACAAATGTCCTGTTCTAGCCGCCCGACGCCCAAGTGGGTCGTTCAGCTGTTATCCTTGTTTACGGGTCGTAACATCAGGTCTCCTCTCCAAGGGTCTTGTCCTCAAGACCAGCTTAAGTAGGTCGTCTGCCCTCAGGTGGGAGGGCGCCCAACTTGCTTCCTTTAATGATGCTCACATCATGTCAGGTCGCGTCAAAAAACGAAAGGTCGTACGAGCGTTCGATTCTCGTGCGGAAAAGACAAAGCAGCGCGATTCCCTCTTGAGTCTTATCTTGGGCAATCGTACCGTCATGCCTGTTTGTTCCTCCTGTGAGGTAAAGGGTTTTTCGTCGTGCGAAGCTTCTCTTTCTGATTCCTCTCGATGCGCCGAATGCGTTCGTGGCGGCAAGTCCTACTGCGACCTTCAGGGTCTCAGTGCCCAACAACTTCGTCGGATTGGTGATCAGCATCAGAAGCTTGAGGATGCTTTGGAGAAGGCAGAAGAGGAGCGTCGTGCTCTGGACGCCAAAGTAGAGCGTCTTCGAAAGCAGAAAAAGATGTGGTTTGAAAAGATGATGCGCGCGGTGCGCCGTGGTATCGACAGTGTGGAGGAGTTAGAGCGTGTTGAGAGAGAGGAGGCAGAGGCAGAGCAGCGTCGGGTAGAACCGGTTCGTCCTTCGGCTGATTCGCCTCGTCTGCCGGTGGAGTTCACAGCGGATTGGGATACCCTGTACCCGGATGTCGCTTTGTCGCCATCCTTGTTGGCTGAGTTTGGTTTGTTGGATTCAGGGTCGGTTGTTGAGAGGCGGAGTACTCCTGAAGCGTCTCCTGGGGGTGTTGGAGGCCCTTAGTGGGTTCCTTTAGGCGGCTCTGGGGTTCCTAAACGAATGAGAGGGTGTTTATCCCGTGGCTTGTTTGATCGTGGTGGACGGATGATGGGTTGTGGTTGTCGTAGTCGAAATTGACTTTTTGGCGTTTGTTTTTCGATTCGTACTGGTGCTTGTCTTTGTTGTTCTTGTTCTTGCTGTCTCTAGTAACGTCCGAGTTCTTCCTGTGCGTTTTCGAGGCTCTGAGGTGGTTCCCATGTGTTGTCTTCGTGTCCGTATCCTTTCCACTTGACAAGGTAGCGGATACTTTTTTGTTCTTCGATGTGATCGATTATCCGTTCGACTTCGTATTCTTGTTCTGGATCTACTTCGATATAGTCCGTAGTGTACGATCCCTTTGGTGCTGATTCGAGAAGTGAAATGTGAAAGACTGGATGACACTTCATGCTGTCGGGTAGTGCGAGTTTAAAGTTGACGTTGGATACCTTCTTCGTAATTTCAAAGGGTCCAAGTTTCTTGAAGTCCAACTTATCGCTTGGTCGTTTTGTTTTGATGTTGCGGCGGAGAAGGTATACACTATCCCCCTCCTTTAGAGTTGGTCCCTCAACTCTTGATTTGTTGGCGTATTTGCGCATGCGTTCGCGCACAAATTCGAGGTCTCTGGGGAGTTCCTGCTGGATCTCCTTAAGTCTGTTGATGTCTGCCACAGCTTTCAGAGCTGCTGGGCCTTGTCGAGGTTGTCCGTAGGCTGTTGGGTTGAATCCATAGTTCAGATAGAATGGTGATTCTTTTGTACTTTCTCCTACTGCGCTGTTGTAGGCGAACTGGGCCATAGGTAGCAGTTGAACCCAGTTGTCTTGCTGATAGTTGACGTAGCAGCGTAGGTAGGTTTCCATGATCTGATTGATTCGTTCTGTCTGGCCATCGGTTTGCGGATGGAAAGCGGTGGACATCTTGTGGTCAGATCCTAGCTGCGAGATCAGGGATCTCCAAAACTTGGAAGTGAACAGCTTGTCTCTGTCGGATACGATTTCCTTCGGCATTCCGTGTTGGCTTACGATCACCTGCAGAAACTTGTAGGCGAGGTCTTCTACAGTGCTAGACTCCATGTACGGGATGAAGTACGAATACTTTGTGAGTCTGTCGACGATGACGAGGACACTGTCGTAGTGGACGTTGGTCATCGGTTCACGGGACTTAGGTAACTTAGTAACGAAGTCCAGCGAGATGGATTCCCATGCGGTTTGCGGCACTGGGAGCGGCTGTATCTTTCCATAAGGCTGATGTCGGCTGGGTTTGCTTTTCGCACAAACCTCACAGTCCTTAATCGCTAAAGATACTTCTTGTCGTGTAGCCGTTTTGTCGTAGTGTTGACGGATGCGTTTCCACGTTTTGGTTACGCCTTGGTGACCATGTGCGGGTGCGGAGTGTATCTCCCTAATAGCTTCAGGAGACATCCTTCCAGGCGTGCTAGTACTGTCTCTTCTGGCCATCATTAAGAGTCTGGCTGCTGGCACAAGGTCTCCGTTTTTGTCTGTTTTGAGGATAACTCGGGTTTCCTCAGGTACCTGGACCTCGTGGTCCGGTCGTCGGCTGAGGGCGTCGGCCCTGCCGTTCTCCTTGCCCTTCCGGTAGATGATTCTGAAATTGAATTCTGACAAGAATTCGGACCATCGAATTTGTCGTTTGTTAAGATCTTTCGATGTGGTGAAGTGTGCGAGGTTCTTGTGGTCGGTGTATACTTTGACCTCGTACTTGGTCCCTGAGAGTTGCGGTCTCCATTCTTTGAATGCCTCGATAATTGCCATAAGTTCCTTGTCGTGTATCTGGTAGTTGAGTTCTGGGCCGTGTAACTTGCGTGAGAAGAAGGCGCAAGGGTATAGTCGTCCTTCGTCGTCTCGTTGGCCTAGTTGTCCTCCTATAGCGTAGTCTGAGGAGTCGGTCTCGACTTCGAATGGTTTCTCGGGGTTTGGTATAACAAGTATTGGTTCCGATGTGACTTGTCGTTTGATCTTGTTAAAAGCTTAGTCTTGTTCCTTTTCCCATTGCCATAGGATATCTTTCTTCGAAAGTCTCGTAAGGGGGTCGTTTTTGTCTAAGTATCCTTCTAGGAATCGTCGGTAATAGTTCACGTATCCGATGAAGGATTGCACATCCTTGACGTTTTGTGGTGTTGGCCAGTCTCGTACTGCTGCGACTTTGTCTTTAGACATCTTGAGGATTCCAGGGGCTATCGTAAAGCCTAGGAATTCGACTTCTTGGGTGTGGAATTTGCTTTTTTCTGGTTCCACTAGGAGTTTGGCGTCTTGTAGTTTCCGTAGCACTTGATGTACGTGCTTTTTGTGGTCTTCCAGAGTCTTGGAGAAGATTAGGATGTCGTCGAGATAAACTACGACGAACATATCGAGGTATTCTCGTAAGACGTGGTTGATCATCGTCTGGAATGTCGCGGGTGCGTTGGTAAGTCCGAAGGGCATCACAAGGTACTCGTAATGTCCTCGGCGTGTTCGAAACGCTGTCTTCCATTCTTCACCTGATTTCATCCGGATCAGGTTATAAGCTCCTTTTAGGTCGAGTACTGTAAACCACTAGGCTCCGTGCAGTAGATCTCGTAATTCGGAGATAAGCGGTAGTAGGTAGCAGTTCTTAATCGTAATGTCGTTAAGTTTCCGGTAGTCGACGCAGAGTCGTAGTTTGCCGTTCTTTTTTAGTACGAACAGGATTAGGTATCCTGCTAGTGATGTGGAGGGTCTGATGTATCCCTTCTGTAGATTTTCTTCGAGGTAAGCGTCGAGTGCTTCCATTTCTTTCTGGTTGAGTCCGTAGATTGCTTCTAGCTTTGGCTCCTTCCCTTCCTTAAGGGGTATCTCGTAGTCGTAGTTGCTATGTTCCGGGAGTCCGGTCTCGAGTTCTTCGGCGAATAGCTTCTGGTATTGCCGGTATTCTTCTGGGATAGACAGAAGTCGGTCTTCCTTGCCGATGTCTGTTGCTGATAACGTCCTGGCGTTTGCATCCTTTATCCGTAGGTATGCTAGAAATCTCTTCGCTTCAGGAGTCTTGAGAGGTTCGTTTGAGGCACCGTTCCGTGGTTGCTTCTCAGTGACTGAATCCTGGTCCCAATGGAGTTGGCCTGTTCTCCAATCTATCCGTGGGTTACTGTCGTATAACCATGGTCTTCCAAGGATGACATCGTACTTGTCTCCTATCTCCGTAATATCGAAGTTGAGTCGCTCATTCCGGCCATGGATCTGCAAAGGGAGTTGCGCTGTCTCCATAGCAATGCGTCCTCCGCCGTACTGGACTTGTTCTCCTTCAACGGTGCTGAGTTCGTAGCAGTCTTCGGCTGCTTTTCTTTTCCAGGTTATCTTTCTTTCATTTACCGTTCTTAGTGATATGAAGTTTCCTTAGGCTCCGCTGTCGATCATGGCGGTAGCTGTTCTTCCGTTGAGCTGTATTTGGACTTGTACATGCTCGTGTCGTTGTGTCGTGGGCGTCGTTGCGCTACATAGGGACCTTGTCTGGACTGCCTGTCGTTGTCCCTTGTCTTCGGTAGGCGAGTCTAGTTTTTTGACTGCTCGTCCGTTCCTTGTTCGTCGTTTTCTTGCTGTTTCTTCCATGCTTCGTCTTTCTTGATATAGTGGACTCGGCGCTGGTCTTGGTAGCAGTGATACCACTGTATTTCTTCGTCAGAGTCCTCTCCAGAGCTGGTGTCGTCGACTGAAGCGACTTCAAAGGCGACTTCCAGTTGGGCATGTTGGCGGGCAACATCGCGAGGTGTTTCCGAGTCGTTGGGGGTGTTCTTGGTCGTTTCTGATTCGACCTGTTCTTCCAGTTCTTGGTTGATCTGGCGGATCCGTGCGGGATCTCCTTGTGCATGTTGTCGTCGTTCGATGTGTGCGTCCAGCGCACCGAGTTGTCGTTGCCACATAGGGTTTTGTGAGTCCTGTTGAATCCGCTGCAGGTGGGCTTGTCGTCCTGCGTAGAGGAGGCTCAGCCTTCGCTGATTGTCTTATTCTAATTCCTCGTTGTCGTTCATACTGTCGAGCCGTTCGATTGTCTTGCGCTCGATTTTGCTGTTGCTTCTATATCCCGCAGCGAGGGTCCGTTTAGGTACGTTGGTGGTGTCGTAACCAGATCGTTCTTGAGGTTTCTGGGGGTACCATCCTGCGTGTTCCTTACTGCTAGAGTGGATATGGCAGTTGTCATCGAAGCAGGTGGTCCAATTAAGTTGTTCATGAGGGATCGTCTTCGTGGCGATACTCGCTTGTCGTTTCTCTGGTACCGGTTGGAAGCGTTCCTTCTTGGGTGACCTGCATTCGTATGCTAGGTGTCCAATCTTCTGGCAGTTATAGCACTGTCTGTCTTTCTTCCAACTATCGTTCTTTTTGTCGTTTCTCTATGTAGCACTAAGGTCCATTGGTCTACTATAGTGACCATAGGCAGTACTTTGTCGGGGGTTGTTCTAGTTGTTGCGGGGTCTATCGTCGTTTCGCTGGTTGTTGAACTGGTGCTGAGGCTGCCACTGGTACTTGCGTCCTGAGTTGGGGTTTTGTCGTTTTTCGCCTCTTTCCTTTCGTCGTTCGAAAAGCCGGTTGTCGATTTTGATAGCGAGTTCGGCGTACTAGAGAAAGTCGTCAGGTCGATCAATCTTGATAATCTCGTCCTTGACTTCGTCTTTTAGTCCTTGATAGAACATAAAGATCTTGGTTTCCTCGGTAAGGTCGAGTTAAACGCTAAGTTGTCGGAAATTGGCGGAGTAGTCTTTGGTGGACTTAGTCTGCTTAAGTTATGCTAGATCTCGTTCGGCTTGTCGCTTTTCGTCGGGGTCTTGGAAGAGTGACCTGAGCGCATCCTCGAATCCTTTAAAATTGGCGTAGATGTCGCGGGTCTCGGTAGTACACTCGTCGAGGGTCTCGCATTTAAGGTATTCTTCCTAGATTAGTTTAAACCACTTAAGGGCCTTTCCTCGGAGGTAGGTGGCTGCGTATACTACTTTTTCGGTTTCGTTAGTAAAATCTCCATGGTGAAAGTTCTAGTAGTTTTTGACCTGAATCAGGAATCCTTTAAGGGTCCCGGGGGTTCCGTCGTAGGTGACAGGCGTACTGAGCTTGAGCTTTTGTCGTCCTCCGTGGACGGGCGTGGTGACGATGTTGGCGGCGGCCCGGAGGGTGGTGATTTCCCCCTGGAGTTCCTGGATCTTCCGGAGGTTGGCGTCCCCCTTGATGTCTTCTTCCAGCTTCTTGTAGGCCTGTCCAGCGTGCTGGAGTTGCTCGTTGAGGTTTTCCATTGCTTGTCGGTTTTCGTTGACGATTTTCTGCATGTCTTTTGTCTCGGCTTCTTGTTTCTGGATTATGCGTCGGAGCTTATCGTAGCTTTCCTTGGTGAAAGAGCCATCTCCATCGGAGTCGTACTTGAGGTCCGGCATGTCGAAGTCCTCAGTGTTGGCGGGCTCCTGCGCGAGGCTCTGAGGCTGGTTGCGCGAAGAGGATGAGGATCCTGGAGTGGGTGATTTGGCAGAAGCGCGAGAAGACATCTTGTCTATACTGTTTAGTAGTTCTCAAAAGGTGACTTACTGAACAGGAGCAATCAAAGTGTTACGGCCAGCTAACTGACAGTGGGTTTGTGTTAACAGTAAGCCAGGGATTGACAACAGTAACAGTCGTTCTGGGGTCTGGTCGATTGAGTCGTAGATCTTCAAAGGTCTTGGTGATCAGTCAAGGCCTCAACAAGAGTCGTAGAGTAGTCGTCACTTAGGTATAGCTGAAAGTACCGGTTAGGGTAATCACAAAGTTGATTGCTGAAGAGCTATGGAAGTCTGACCATGGGCCGAGCTCAGGTCATACTATATACAAGTCCTGGACAGTCCCTGTGTCTTGTCGCTGATCACTGATCAGGTACCGGTGAGCGATCAGTGATCGTTGGTGAGCGCTCAGTAGCTCTGACTAAGCGCTCAGTGACCCATACTACCTGCTCAGTCTTATCTTATCATCACGTGACTTGTACCATAGTTCTTCCGTTCCCGAGTGAGTCCCTGTTGTTCCCGTGATCCTGCAGTACAAATGTCCTGTTCTAGCCGCCCGACGCCCAAGTGGGTCGTTCAGCTGTTATCCTTGTTTACGGGTCGTAACAGCAACGTCCATACCTGATTGGAACTTATCTGACCCCTCACTCATCCTCGCTATAGTCGTATTATAAGTTGTTAGCCAATGCCTTCATGAAATATGTAGCTGTAGGCCTTGGTGTTGCTTGTATGCTTACCTAATTATTTATCTGTTTTTTTTCAATAGAAGACTTACGTGGGTTTGAGAAGCCATCAGTATTCTCAAACACTGAACACGGCAAGGTAAAAAGGTTTGGAAGTTACAACGAACTCATGGATTGAGTAGGGTGCTATAAGTTTCTTGCCGTGTCGACTGTTCTCACCAATACGATTTGCGTTCTATCTGTCTACATAGGAATGGTCCTTTTACTGACTTTAAAAACCAGTCTAGGTTATATGTTATTGGTTATGAATTGTCCTTCGCTAAACCTCGAAATAAATCCCACTGCTCTCACAGAGGCTAAAACATGGCGGTGTTGAGGCTCAAGTTACCTAACCCCTAAAGACAAGAATGTGGACCTGGTGGCGCTACGCAAAGCAAAAGCATGGAGGTTCATCGAGAAGACCATCCAGTGGAAATACAAAATCCACGACCAATTGTTTGATATGAATAGTAGGATTTGAGGATGAGGATGTAAAGAAAACCAATTATCATCGTCTAATTTAGGTTAGCAGAGTGCTAGGAATAACGGCGCAGGCGATCCTACAGGGCTGTATAAGCGGGGCCCATCACACTTGTGTTACAGAGCCCACTAATCGCACAGCTGTTCTTACAACTGTCACCAACGAGCACACTCGCTCCGATCACGAAGAACCAGTTTTCACGGAATAGGTAAGCCGAGCTCCTTATCACAGTTCGTGGTAGAAAGACTATGTTCCAGTAACAAGTGTCATGTAAATGTACCCTTAACACCCTCTACCCCACGTCTCCACTCACACCGACCTCCTGTCTCGGGCGGTGGGTGACGCAGCAGGAGTGGCTGATATTGAACATCAGTAGACGGGCGTGTTCTCGGAAGGCTAGACAAATTGGGCACATCAATGCAACAGCACTGTCGCCTAAACAGACTATGAGGGAGCTGATTTGCTTCGCCATGTGATATTCAATGCGGTTTACGTGTGGTCCTGTATGCAGACGGTACCTTCTGTCCAATTAGAACGGTGCACGGCGCAGGTCATTTTCGGTGGACCGAAGGTACAGCTCGTATATAAGGCCTATTGCGGTACAATGCAGTTTGTGATCGACCAATTGATGTTCGAAAGTTACAAAGCACCAACGGCATTATGTAGTCTCAGATCCGGATTCACCTATACGGGCGCGGGGCAACATCTGCAGGTAACTAGATGCGAAGCGCGTCCAGCTACCGCCTCCCAGTATCCTCTAGACGATTTTGCAGAATCTTTGTTCTTAGTTATGCCGGAATCATCTTTAGTTTTGGAGACAAATCTACTTAACCTTCGTGTAATCGGTGTGATAGAAGGCAGTTGCACTCCTACTAATACAGAGACGAGTAAGCTGTTTTGTGGACATATTACCTATGGCCCATAAGGTAGCCTGCGGCTTACCCAAGTTCACCAAAGCCAAGACGCGGTCGCATAAAGGTAGCCCAAGTCAAGTCTGAGATAGCTTACATCTGCGATGTGTATGCACGAAAATGGTGCACAATGCAGCTCATAATGGTAAAGGCGCGTGGATGTCCTGATTTCTATTTGAGGACGGCTATGCAGGAGACTCCCTTTCTAGGGAGAATGTGTTGATTTACATACCCCGCTCTTGGGAAACAATACATATGCATCAATACACACATACTTTTATCATAATTAGTATTGGATCGACTTTCCGCCACTTAGGCTGTTGAACGCAAGACGTCTTATATACATGAAGAGGCGCCACGGTGCCTCGTCTTCTTGCTTGGTGGAGAATAAGGCTGTAATAAAAACCCAGAAAAGCCGAAAAGAAAGTGAATCTGTCGCTGGTCCTCGTCAACAATCACAATCACAATCACATTGAACACGATGGCTCTTACAACAACTGACACGCCATTACGGGTAGTCTTGCCCTACTTATGGATCGCCCCAGCGGTCTTTCTCTTGTACAAAATTTTCACGTTCGGTCGCCGCGAGAAACATCTCCCTCCCGGCCCTCCTACCATTCCCATCCTTGGGAATGCGCATCTCATCCCTTCGACAGGGTTCTTTGCCCAGTATGTTGTGCCCAAACTTTAGCCACTAACTTTTTCCTTTTGTTAATCAGTCTTCAGACTTAAAGAATGGGCTGAACAGTACGGCTCCATTTACTCGCTCAAGGTTGGCAAGGGCACGATAATAGTGCTTAACGATAGACACGCCATCCATGAGCTCTTCAGCAAGCGTGGCGCTTGGTATAATGACAGACCGGTTGACCAACAAGTACTTAACGCGGCGCGAAACGAGAACATTGCATTGATGCATGAGAGCCCCAAATGGAGGGCAGAGCGGAAGATTGCCGCGGCGTACTTCTCGGCGAAGAACCTAGACACAAACTTAAGGGCGATACAGGAAGCTGAGTATGTCCCTAGTGCAGATCGAAGTGAAGAAAGTGCGGTTGAAGAGCTAGGACACTAATAAATTGATAGATTCAACCGAATGGTCTGTGACCTACTGGAGAAGCCGAAAGATTTTCGTCCTCTCATCAAGCGAACGACCGCCTCAATTGCGAGCATCACAATTTATGGTCACCGAGCCCCGGATCCGGAAAGCTTTTGGGGTTGCGTACGTTTCTATTACTTAGGTCTATAGTATTGTTACTAACTTCATCCAGGCTGTTTATGTTGTTATGGAGGCGGTACAATATTCTGACGTTACCTATTCGTCACTTACAACTAATGAGAGTACAGATATCAAAAGCAATCGAGCCAGGCTCGTACCTACCAGTGGAGCAGTTCCCAATTTTGGGACTCATACCGGAGAACTGGACCGAGTCGAAGAAGCGCGGCGTAGAGTTTTATCATACAATGACAAACATCTGGAACGAAGCCCGCGATCGTGTGGAAAAGCGCCGCAACAGTGGCGATAAGAGAGAATCTCTACTTGATAGACTCCTCAGCGAGGACATCAAGTGCGACGCACAACTCACCTACACTGAGTTGAATAACTTCCTTGGGGGTGTTCACATGGGCGCGTCTGACACCACGGCGACTGCGACGCTGAACACAATCCTGTTTCTTGCGAAGCACCCCGAGTATCAGGAGAAGGCGCGTGCAGAGCTTGATCGCGTTTGCGGGACTGAGAGAACTCCTGTGTGGTCGGATTTCAAAGATTTACCATACATCAACTGCATATTGAAGGAGGGTTTGCGAATAAGACCAGTGTATGTGACCTCCTGCCAACAAATATCTTGACCGTATTCTTAACTAGCCCCTCAGCCTACCAACAGGAATCCCTCATTGTGCCAAAGAGGATAGATGGTACGAGGGCATGCTCATCCCAGCCGGCAGCACCATCTTCGCCCCTCCTTTCGGGCTCAACCATGACAGCAAATGGCTGGACTCGCCTTCGACCTACAACCCGGACCGTTTCCTCCCTCAGGCAGACAAGCTCGCACCCGAGCTCGCCGCTTCGGCAAAATATGATGAGCGTGACCACTACTCATACGGTGTTGGTCGACGCATCTGCGTTGGCATTCATCTGGCTGAGAGGTCACAGTGGCGTATGGCTGCTTTGATACTCTGGGCGTTCAAGATTGAGCGCGAAGTTGGAGAGAACGGAGAGCTTATCGAGTTAGACACCAGCTACGCATGTTACGATGAGGGGTTGTTGCATTTTCCGAAGGAATTCAAGGTGCGATTGGTACCAAGAAGCGAGGCTCACGCCAAGATTCTGAGAAAGAATATGGCTGAGACCGAGGAGCTTTTAAAGCAATGGGAATAGGTTTTCTGTGGTGGTTTAAGCATGGCTACCACTCATTTCGCCTTTTTGGCCAAGCTGTTTGTTGGCTACAACAGATTCTGGTATAACTGAAACGCAACTTTGTCTTAGTTCTTTAAAGTTCATGCCTAAAAGCAAGATGTTTCGTTGCGTGCTACAACATTGCCTTGTGGGGACAATGGCCGCATTGTTTTCACGAGACAGCAGATGGTAGCATATGTGCCTAACTTGAACTAATGTGAGTTGTTGACATACGAACTCAGCGTCGGGAATGCGAATTATAAAGCATCAGTTGCTCATCTTGCCAAACGCTGGGAGGATACCCGCAGAATATTTCCATTACGATCATAATAAAAGGCTCACTACACTCAGTTGTCTGCTTACTTGGTAGTCGAATGCCTCAGAAATCCATCGTTGGTCGGAACTAGACTTTTTCTGTTCCATCATCCCAGTGCAGGACACGAATATCTTGGATATGTGAGTCAATACGTAAGTTATGCGGCATACATCGTAGACGAGCCTTTCGCTCGATTGATGAACTCGATTCCACACTTACTCAGAAGCTTCAGATGACAAGTCTCAAATCGCATGCCTGATGTGATGAAAATATATCAACAGAGTTCAAACTTGCCGAATGCGGCGGTTCCATCTCATGTTGCAACCCTGCCCCTGGCCTTGTTGCGATGTCTGACAACAATTGCGACACTTGCCTGAATCTTCGAATCCCTCTGTATAACCTTTCTTCATGTCTCTAGATGCGAAAGCCTGCTGTAGAATGGGCTCACGATATGCAACTTCAAAGGCGGTCAGAGTTCATTTCAATAACCTACCTTGATGGAAAACTCGACCAGACATCACGGCGGGAAGGTTGAAGGTGTTAGAGATACGGGATGAACGGCAATGTCCAATTGGTGGTTTTTCGGGAAAAAATCCGCAAAATTGCGCATACTTTCGGTGTTTGTGCCGGGTACACGTCCAATTGAGCAATATTTTCCGATAAGATGACCTCTCGCTCTTCGCTTGGACGAGTCATTATGCAATGCGCTACTTTTCGTTGGAGCAGCACGCAACTCACTACTGGGATGGAGTCAGCAACGAGCCAGCGATTCGGGGTTTCCTTCCCCTCCCCCGCCCCCACCTGAAGTCTTCCCCCACCATACCCCGCTGTGGTCCATAGGCGGCTATCCATCCCACTATGCTATTGGATCACGTATTGTACTCCGTCATCGGTGATTCTTTCCCCGAGGTTACTACTAGTAAACAACCCCTCGCCCAAATTCCGTGACACGTTTGAATTTTCCAAACGTCTTCTCTATTATTTGTCGCAAAGCAAAATACTCTCTTCCTCTTGGTAAGTATGAGCTTCCCCATCTTTCACTAGAAGAATTGCACTCAAGCAGACACTGACCGCTCCAGATCGAAGTTCTACATCATCACCATGAAGCTCCTCTACCCCACCTCCCTCAAACTTGACGTTGAGAGCCTTGAGGGCTTCTCCGTCAAACTTGTTCCCTACGACGTCAAGACGACCATTCCCGAGGAACACACCGATGCCGATATCCTCGTGACATGGACCAACACTGCCGACAACCTCAAGGACGCCGCTGGCCGCCTCAAGAACCTGCGCTGGATCCAGTCGCTGGCAGCCGGCCCTAACGACGTGCTCAACGCTGGCTTTGACGTCTCCAAGATCACAGTCACCACCGGCTCTGGCCTCCACGACCACACTGTTGCCGAGCACGCCCTTGGTCTCCTCCTCAACTCCGCTCGCCGCTTTTACGAGATGCGCGACTACCAGCTCCAGAGCAAGTGGCCCGGCCACCTTGGTGGGCCCCAACCCGATCGCCCCGCCGGTGCTTTCACGACGCTGCGCGATGCCCGCGTTCTGATCTGGGGCTTTGGAAACATTGCCAAGGCGCTGACGCCCCATCTCCGTGGTCTCGGTGCTCAGGTCAAGGGTGTTGCCCGCCATGCCGGCGTGCGTGATGGCGTTGAGGTTTACGGCGAGGACAAGCTCCCCGAGCTTCTGGCTGAGACGGATGCGCTGGTCATGATCCTGCCTGGATCTGATTCAACCAAGAACGCCCTCAACGCTGAGCGTCTTAAGCTTCTGCCCAAGCACGCCTGGATTGTCAACGTTGGTCGTGGTACCTCGGTCGACGAGGATGCGCTGGTTGATGCGCTCGAGAAGAACGAGATCGGTGGTGCGGCACTGGATGTCTTCGTGACTGAGCCCCTGCCCGAGTCTAGCCGTCTGTGGAAGGCGCCGAACGTTATTGTTTCCCCTCACGCTGCTGGCGGCCGCCCGCAGGGTTCCGAGGCTCTGATCGCGTACAACTTGAGACGATTCTTGGCTGGGCAAGCGTTGAAGAACATCATCTGAAAAGGATAAACCAGGTGGAGGCACACACATAATTTTGACATATAGAGAGATTATGGGAGCACTAATAATACACATCCATGTTCTAAGATACGCCTTATGCCTTGTTTCCTCACTTTTGAAAGGAGCAAGTTTCCGCGGCACAGGCAGCAAGACCTCCATTATCTCCGCTTGTATTCTTCGGGCAGTCAGCGGTTGTCGTCTATCTTGGAAGAACTTTAGTTTGAACACCGAGCAGTCCCTCACTTATGTTGATCCTTCAACCAGGCTTTCCTCTATCCTGAAACCTGACATAATTCTGTGGCAAACTGTCTCAAAAAGGATCATGAAAATGGTATCTGTGTTTGGACGCTTTTCACAAAGATTTAGAAGTGAAGCTAAATTACTCTTGGCTCAAATTCTGTGATAGTATAGTTATAACTGGCCTGATAGGGAGCATGTCTCAGTTCCATGGCGCAGGCTCCGGGGTATACGCCTATGGTGCTACTGAGTCCACCAAGTACCGGACTTCAAGATACCCGTTACTTTTTACAAGGGAATTGAATACGTTCATAGTTACTGGCTTGATCGGAAATCAGCCATACCCAAGCTCAACAGTGACCTGGAGACGAGAAGAGCCGAGTTCATCAATCCGGTCACGACACACGACAGGAAACAATTATATCGGCGCGTAAATTGATCATACATATCACTTCAACCTTCTGCACGCATCTAAGTTTACGCGAACGCTCATAGAGACGGCTTGAGTTAAATCTTTGCAGACAAGACTACTTGATTTGTTTAGTACTCGGTGTTACAAAGAACTCATTAGACAACAAATTGTATCAAAAGGAAGCAGCTGCAGAGTAATCCAAGTCAAGAATAATCAATTCCTCGTTTAGACAAAGTTTCAGATAGATAGAACATTTGGCGGTAATTGTACGGCGTAGGTGATGGCCGGAACATTCCAATGTTCATAACCGCGTCACGCAGGTCGCCATGGCATTTGACGGCAACACTGTTACTACGTATTTCAAAACTCACAAAGCAAATAACGTGGGATCGATTCAAATGATAGTGTGATCTTGAAGTTATCAGCAGGTTAGACCTGTGAAAATAAGTAGTAGTGAGCGAGCGACTGATGATAGCGACAGTCAGAGAGCAATTACAGCGCGTCAAAACATGACCCGTTGATTCCACTGACTTCATGAGTCGGGTTCGCGAATACTCCAACCCTCAATTAATAATACACCGCTGATTGGACTTGCCACAGTCCTTGGCATATCCATAGTCGCAACATTTCCCACCAGGAGAGCACTCATAGATGTGGTTGTCGACTCTCTTAGCAGAGATGGCATACTTCTTGGTGTCGGCATACTTGCATGCGCCACAGATAGTGAGCTGCAATCCGCGGCTGTTGCATTTGCATCCATTGTACTTGCACTCTCGCTTTTGCAAGGAGAAGGGCCCATCTCGTTTCTCGACTAGCTCTTCGAAGACGGGTCCGCCTCGAGGTGTGAGCGCTTGAGGCTGACCCTGAGCCACAGCGGCTTGGGCCGTGGCAACGGAGACAAGAACAGCAGCAATTGTATGAAAGCGCATTTTGAATGATCTAATCCTAGCGAGTAATGACTTAGTGCCGTTGACAAGTGTACCAAAGCCTCACTAAGACTCACGTGAGTATATGACCGATGAAATGTTTGTGGGGTAAGTTTGTGCTGTTTATTGAAGCTCATGATGGGAATTATGTTTCAGGGAGTTCTCTATGTCTTTATATCTTTTCTGGAAGACATACAATGATATAACAAGTGTATTTCATGGTTCTGTGCTCGGTTCACCGTCATTGCATCATCAGTGTTGAAACGCTAGGCTGTCTGCGTGAACCCATTGGGCAAAAAAAAGCCCGTCTGACATTCACCAATCAGTCTGGTGTTACATTGAAGTGCATTTGTTCTCATGTGGGAACATGACAGTCAAAGGCTGAATTAACCGATGGGGGGCTACACACAGTTGACGATGCCTGATTACATATGCGACTTCCTTCAACCGTGGTACGTGTTGTCTCGGCTGATTGAACCCTGGCCTGAGCGTTGTACTCATTTGTTATATGAATGTTTTACTGGTGAGCTTCTTGTTGTTTCACGCCCACGTCTTTTGTGGCTGGGTGGATTCCAGCAACAGGGCTCTAGGTGCAAGAATTTGTAGGTGATGTACCGTCTGGCAGGGTGATTGGCGACATAATCAGGGAGCAACCTACCGAGATATAAGCGGAATAAATTCTCAATGTGACAATTTGAAGGCTAGTGTTACTTGGCCATGAGTCTACTCGGAAACTTGTTGCGAGTAAAGCACGGTTTGGTATTTCTTTTCCACTGGTGCCATGTAGCTTCGAACATACAACCTCATCTCATTCTCATAGGCCCTTTCATCATTAGAACTGCCGCTTTCCATCCATAATTGGTGCTTAATGGCCTACTTCTTCCTTTTTCGGTGGTAAACCAATGGCAATATGCGGCATATATTACCAGCTAAGGCACGAGACTTTGTCCGCACAAGAGTGCAGCAAAAAGTCAAGAGAGCTTGTGGTGACTTCTACTCCTTGAGATATCTTGAGTAAACAGTCACTATAGTACAAGTAAAAAGATCTCGGGTGGTACGCCGGCTAGATACTCATTGGATGCTGTTGTCCAGCGCTCCTCGCCACTCACATCTGCATCAGGCGTTACAGTGCCCAAGTGGCGGCTGCTGAAGCGAGAGGGGGGACATATAGTTAGGCGTCATCAGCTGACAAGAAGAATAATTCGTTTCTGGATAAATTCCAGCTCGAAATAGAAGTTTATGGGACATATTGGTATCTTGCAGACGAAGTCATTTGCTCATTCTTCTTCTTTCAACAACCGCTTGCTGAGCAAATGCTGCCCCATCTGCAAGAATATTTTACGACCGACATGTACATCCTTCAGATACTCAAACAAACATATACGTTGTTATCATACACAGAGTTCGACGATTCACTGGTTACAGCTGCCTAGGAAGCTGTTTTAACGTCGGTGGAACGAGTAGAATAAACATCCACCTTACTTACTTTGGCGCTAACAACCATACTTTGATGCATATGCAGCGCATCGCGGGCTCAAAGTAGCAGTTTAAGCCGCTAACGATACAAATGGTGTATTAATTTATGTAAGTTCACCAGCGACTCATTTATTTTCATCGCCAAGACAGAAGCTAACAGAGCAGCAACAGTCGGGCATGAATCTTCTTGGCCCAAAGGGTTTTTGGATTGAGATTACAGAAGGCCGTACGAAGGGTGCTCATATGTTGCAAGAAATGCTCTGAACCATGCTGGGGCGGGCAAAACTACTATTGCCTCGGGCCAGTTGGCCAAGTCGTATTTAAATTTGAACCTTCCTGGTCTGGAACGAGGCCCATAGGCATTGTTAACGCCGATAACTGAACCCCCGGTGAAAACCTTAATCTCTATATGTAACATGTTAATAACAATAATGAAGCGCCGAGTCTTTCCAACCCCGGCCAACTCAGCATTTTAGGTAGCATGGGATTTCGGGGCTTGTCCTTGTTTGAGCTTCGGAGTCCGAAGGTCATTTACGCCTTGCTTTCGGGCTCCGATTTTACGGTCACGGTAACTGAGCCAAGCACAACAATTCAACCTGAGCTCAGCCTTTTTGTCTTTCTTTAGGTCGCAAAAGACTGATACGTAAAGTTTATTGTGATCTCTTCGTGAAATCTCCAACACAAAGATTATTATCAAATCCACGGTCCAGTTGCAGCGCTACCGAACAGCTTGAGAATTCCATCAGCTCACAGACCCTCCTCAAGGAGACGATCAGTATCAGCAATAGTGCCATGATATTGGCTTACACAACTAGAATGAACGTGCTTTAACATGCTTTGTGTTGTGATTTCGTCACTCGTGTCAAGCTGAATCACCTCGATTGTTGGTTTTAAGCCTCGTGAAGAAGATGTCTATCGAGTACAGTTCACATAGGCCTCTCGCTGATAACTATCCATTATATTATGTATTCAATCTAGGCATGGGCATTACCCGGCCCGCGGGTCCCACGGGTACCCGCGAAATGGGTCGGGTAGTTATGGGTAGTGCCCGAAAGTTTTACTATTACCCACGGGTACCCATGGGTAAAGTGGGTTTGGGTAAAAAAGCCCACGGGTAGTAAACTGAAGGGGGGCCCACGGGTTTGGGTACCTACGGGTGTATACCCGTGGGTAGATTTCAGTAAGTATGCATCACGAATTTTAGACATCTTTTGTAGTAGCCAGCCTCAAGAGTGGATATATTGCGTAACGAATAGACCTGCTACCTTGTTACTCCTAACTTCCGAACGCCCTGAATGCCTTCAATTAATCGCCCGCATTTCCCAGACTCGGGGTCGAACCACTTGTCTCCGTGGACTCTGCCGGCCTTCAAGATAGCCTGGACGAGATGCAGATCCTTCGGCTGAATGGTGACGCGATTGGTATGGATCGCAGCAAAGTTAATCACTAGATAGTTCGTTCAACTCGATAAGAGTTTGCAAGTAAAGCTTACTGTCGAAAATACCAAAGAGAAGAGACTCCGAAGACTCTTGAAGAGCGCTAATAGCAGTCGCCTGCCAGCGCAGGCGCTTGGAGGGGTCGATGTCATCGCAGATTTCCTTCCAGAGTCGCTAGAATGGGGGCTTCGGAATCAGGAAGTCAAATGTCTTCTGGTAGTTCCTGACCTCCCGGAGAGCTTTTGCTAGGTATTAGGGTTAGTATGTAGCTATCTTTTATAGCAATCTAGACTTACTGCCAGGGCGCCAACGGCGTTTCTGCTGCTCCTTAGCACCAGGCATAGTCTTTCGGGCTATGCCAGGCATCATATTATAAAGTTAACCATGAATCAGGTAGGACTCCTAGAAACACAAGTCCAGGTCCAATCAATATAGAATCTTTTATAGATAACTACTAAACAGAGGTTTTCAAAGAGATTCTTTTTGAGAAAAAAAACAAGAAGCCGCGGCTGCGCACAGACCACTTTTTGGCGTATTTTGTTTTTTTTTTGTGAGGTTCTGAAGCTTCAGAAAACTTCTCCCCAGACAACACTACAACCTACCTCCACTACTAACACCCAGCCGCACCGACAAGCCTCTCAATTAAGGTAATTTAATACTTTGATCTCATAATTATTGGTTTTGACTTATTAAATCAATTAGGGAACAGTAGTAAAATATGTCCTCAGGACAGGATCGCGGTACGTTCACACCAGCTTTGTAGCAATTATTTGTACTAATCTCTTCTAGGCCGACCGCTTGGATCTGGTGCTAGAGCCAAGCGTAAAGCTGAAGAGGATTATTCCGACAACGCGCACACCAAGAAGTCTCGTCAGCGCATCGATAAGATGACTGAGAAGCAGAAGGCACTTGATCGCTCGAAGAAGTCGATCAACCAGCAGAAATCCCGCAAGCTTAAAGCCTTGAGGGCTAAAAGCTCCTACATTAGTGCGTCTGCTGATGAGCGCGCGGCCCTTGAGGCTAGGGAAATCTAGCAAGTTGATGCACGATAGTAAGTTCTTTTTTATTTCTTTTGGTGTTTCAAATCAGTGCTCAAGTGCTTTTAGCTTCCTCAAAGGCAACCATCCAGACCAGCTGCTAGCTCAGATGACTGGCCCAGTCTCGTCTAGCTCCTATAATATCGTCGATGACGATGAAGACGAGGCTTGGGAGGATATCCCTTTGAATGAGATTGATGAGGCTACCCAGGAAAACCTGGATGGAGTTGAGGGCATGCTCAACTTTGACGTTGACCTTGATAACCAGTTGCCGACCATTAATGTTGCTGAGCAGTCGAATGCGATTATCGACAAGATGATCCAGGTAACTGGATGACTATAATTAATTACTATAGCAATAGCTAACAAACAGACAGGAAAACCAGATCCGAGAATACCAGTTCTTCCGTGATACCTGGGAGATGACTCTTGAGATACTTTACATCAAGGTCAAGCGGCTGAATAGCAATCCTGCCTTTACCCTAGCTGCGATGGAGGATTATGGCTTCATTCGACCTGGCTTTAAATTTCCAGTAGCTGGCGACATCTTCACCAAAGAGGAAGTGCTTCTTTGGTTTGCACTCGCCAAGTACTGGCACCTGAACCGCTTGTCTAAGAAGAAGAAGATACGCCTGGTTCTTAATTCTTCTGTCAAGAAGAAGAAGACGTAAGTGCTTAATTGTAGCAATCCTTTGTAGTAATACTAATATTCTCAGCCAATTCGCACTCGCGCACCGCCCAGCCATCAAGATTCAAGGATCTCTCTTCACTACAGCTCAGCGCCGATATGCCTCCACTCCAAAGCCTTCAGTGAAGGCTATGTTCTCTGAGATCAGTGACTCGATGATCAAGAAAGGTGTTTGGGAGCTTCTGGGCCCTGCTGAAGTTTGGGAAGAGTTTACTGCTCTCGATAAAACAGCTAACATCTTATCTGCGATGGATAAGAAGTTCTCAGCTATACTAAAGCTGATACCATTCTTCCTGAAGCTTGACCTTGCTCGGGATAAAGCGCCATACAACTGGCGTCAGGTCTATGAGTTGGCTCAGAAGCTAACTCGTTTGCTTGACTTTTCTCTATAATTACAGATGAGCATAGCGAGAGGGTTTGTTTGACAGATTAAGAATTAAGAATTAGCAATAAGGCTAGCATGAATAAGGACATGAATTCTCTCTAGTCTGATTCTCGTATTGTAGCAATCGTTTGTAGTAATCTACAGCTGCTAAAACAATCTAGCACTCCATGCTCCCATCTTCTTCATTAACTGTTTAACTAAGTCAAGATCTTTCTTCTGCAAAGTTACTCTTTTAGCGTGAATAGCACAGAGATTTGCATCTATTAATATTCATGTTAATATAATAGTTTGAAGATCAGGATAGGATATCTTACTCTCGAACATGTTGATTAGAAACTGTTCGCTCATCTCATGGAGAGCCTCTATAGCCATTGACTGGTAGCGGATCTTATGGCGGTTTCTTAGTGGAAGATCAAGTGTTATTTCTCGAACTACTCTTGCGAAACTGCTCCGCGGAATTAAAAGATTGGTGGTCTTTTGATATTTTCGAATCTCACGAAGTGCATTTGCTTCACATTTCAGTAATTAAACAATAAAGAGTTACTTCTTACTTACTACCAGGCCTCCATCTACGAACTTTCTGGCGTTTAGTGATCTGGACGGGCTTTTTTCGAGCAGCTTTTAGCTGCTTCTTTGGCGCGAAGTTCAGCTGATCTTTCCGTGCAATGGTTGGTGGTTGGCCAGTATCTGTTCGTCTCGCCAACTTCGTCGCAAAGTTCCGCTTTAGCGGTGGTAATTCTGGTTGACTCAGGTCTGGGCTAGCCTGGCTATAGTAGGTTGCATGACTTGAACTTCTTGGCGGAGTCTCCCGAATCTCTGTAATTGGCTGTTTCAGGGGATTACCCCTCGCTGATGATGAGGGGTAACTATTTGGCGGTGAAGAGCCCTCCACTGTTAGCGGAGAGCTCTGATCTGACACAGGGCTAGTTGATAAGCGAGGCATTGAAGGATGAATGTAAGTGGGAGAAAAAACAAGTCGAAGGAGAATTCAGAGCTTTTAGATTTGTGTACGAAACGTATTAGTCAGAAACCCTAAAATAGAAATTTACGTAAGGCTACATAATCAAATGTTTGTATTCATCTTGTAGTAATCCTGCAAACTACTTCCTGTTCACACCAAAGGTAATTCTTACTACGTATGATGTCGAACTCAATTGCGTCTAACCCTTTTAGGCTAGACCCTTTTGCATCCGATTGTTCTGCTGCTTTCGAGCTCGTAAATTCTACGCAGACTCTAACAATCAATACTCCACCTTCTGGTTTATAGATACAGTCGGAAATCATTTTATTTGTTATTAAGACTTTCCAGACTTTTCTCTCGTTTTTCAAAACCCTGCCATGGTATCTCCAATAGGTAATCCTTGGCAAACACATACCGTTGTCTAAATCCCCTCAACCTGAACGAAAACGCTTCGCCAAATCCTTGTGGACTTTACAACGCCGAGTATCATTCTGGGATCACTTTCACCAAGGCTACCATATGACATCAGGGGAGCCAAAATTAGTCTGCAAGCACTGTCACCAAGTTTTCAATCATCCAACAATCAAAAACTCTGGTACAAGTGCTATGCAACGACACCTTGCTGCAAAGTCTTGTAAGACTCGACGTTTAGGCGTAAACCAGGTGCCTGTAAGTTTTACAGGTCATTATAGCAATCATTTATAGTAATCGCAATCTAGGGTACCTAATTGAAAGCAGTCTCGGAGCATCAAGCATTAGTTTACTGTATTGTTAGATCTAACTTAGCGCTTAATACTGTTGACAACTTAAGTTTCCGGCAATTCTATTCACACCTAAATCCTCTCTACCACCTCCCATCTCGAAAGACGCTCCGAAGCTAGATATCCGAGGAGGCCTTACGCATTCAACACCACACTCTTCAGCTAATTCCGCCTGGTAGCTATGTCTCTCTGATGATTGATATCTGGAGTACACCTGGGTTAAAATATTCACTGCTTGGTGTTTTATGCCATTTTATCGACAAGCACTGGAGGTTACAACAGGTTCTTCTTGGTGCTATTGATATGACAGATGGTCATACAGCCTCTAAGCAAGCAACGGCTTTATCGACTCTGTTAGAAAATATTCGCCAGAGGACGAAGAAGACAATTCGATTTCAGACAGTCTCTGCAGACAACGCAAGTTCTTTTAAGCCAAAAGTCCTAGCATAAGAACTTGCAAAAGGGTCGACATCCACAGTACAGCCGATATATCATATTCGCTGTTTAGCCCATATTTTCAACCTTGTTGTTCGAGCGATTTTTGAGGCTCTTCGAATTTCGATGGTAGAAGCCTCTACAGAGTTTGAGCCTTCTACTACTCGAGCTAAAGATCAAGAGGACTCTGACGATGATTTTGATACTGAAGATTCTACTGCTGGGGAAAATCCTTTTGGAGCTGTTATTCAAAAGGTTAGATACTTCACCTAGTTATAAGATTTTATATTAACATATATACCTCCAGATTCGTGACCTCGCAGTTTCCCTTAAGCTTTCTAGTAAGAAGACGCAAGAGTTTCTCGACCTCCAGAAATCGACTCGCATTGGCCAGCGACCACTACGCCTCCTCCGCGATGTTAAGACAAGGTAGAACTCTACTACACTTATGTGTCTCCGCGCAAGAGAGCTTAAAACAACGATTTCAGCTTGGGTTGAAAAGCACTCTCTACAGGAACAATTCTCTCTTGTAGAGACCGATTGGGAGGCTCTTGATATTCTGCTTGATATCACCAGCCCGTTTTTACTCTTTACAAACATCCTCAGCCGGTTAAATGACCTTACCCCTGGTCATACCTTTACTTTATTACAAGTTGCAACAGTTCACTTGTACTTTTGCGCCTCTGCACTTAAAGATAAAGTTACTAGCAAAGACTTTACTTGGATATCAATCCTTCAGGCTGCTACGAAAAAGGGCCAAGAGAAGCTGGAAAAATACGTTCAAAAGCTAATTGAAGAGGATTCCTTCAAGGTATATAGTATTGCAACTCTCCTTACCCCTGAAGCTGGGACATCAGTTTCGAGTACTTTTGACACGCGATTCCAATTCGCAAATTACTTCGAATACCTTCCTTCTTCAGCCTCACTTCGAACTCGAGTACAGCAAGAATTTATCAAGGTATATACAAAGCAGTACCATCAAGATTCGGAACGCCATACCAATACTCAAAAAGCTGCAACTGAAGGACTCCGATACACTCTGCATAGTTTACTATCACGCAGTCCAAAGAAAAGGGTATTTGTAGCAATCTATTGTAGCAACTCACTGTACTAACCTATTATAAGGGCAAAATGTCATCATCCCAAGACGCACGAAATATCTGTAATGACTTTTTTAATATTGGTAAGATAAAGACTCATATCTTACTAGGCTTAACAGCTAATAACTATATTTAGTTATGTTCCCTGATGAAACTGTTCAGCAATTTTGGGTCCGCCTAGACAATAGCTATCCCAGATTCCATGGTATTTGTCGCATGGCTCGAGACTTCTTATCTATTCAACCGACGTCAATACCCTTAGAGCGATCATTCAGCCTTGCTCGCCATATCTGTCACTACGCTCGGTTCAACCTTTCGGCTGATACTATTTTTGATACTTTGACTATCAAAATTAGCCAGAATAATAAGGCCTGGCTTTCCCAAACCACACTTGAGGAAGTTCCAGATGACACGAATATCACTGAAGCATCTGAAGAGCGCTAGCATATTATTAGAGAAGCTTTTAACTACTCTTCTCTATTGGATAAAGCTGATATTCAGAGATATCTGAAGGTCTCTGATGATCTTACTAAGATCTCTATTACTGCTACAGGAGATGCTCCCTCCCCGCCTCCTTACGAAGTCTCAGTAGAAGAGGAGGATATTAGCGATAGAGATGAGGAGCTGCCATCCTTATCTAGCTCTCAACAGCCAAAACTATCGAGTCAAGTTTCCCAACTTAGCAACTCACCTACGCCTTCTGTATCCCAAGAACTCCCAAACTTCTCCGAGCTTGGGGGTCGCAAAAGGAAGAGACTTACTCGGCTAGATCTTGTCGAACTCTCTCCTGACGAGGATAGCGATTAAATATACATTGTTCCTCTGATTTCACTCCGACTTTATCGTATTATTCTCTATTAGTTTCTTATATTTATAGTAATCTATTCTAGCCATCTATGTTTTATGTAACTTACTCTTTCTCCCTATAACTAACTAGTTATATTTTCTTTCTATCTTAGTTACAGTATTTCCCGCGTTTCTTGTGGGTAGCAAAATTACCCGTGGGTAGTGTAACCCATGGGTCGTTTTACCTACGGGCCTTTCAACCCGCGGGTAAATATAGTGGGACTGCCCGTGGGTAATTCGGGTTTACCCAAACTACCCACGGGTAGTTTTGGGTACTACCCATACGGGTACCCGCGGGTATTACCCAACCCTAATTCAATCTGAGAAAGTGTGTTTTCTGAGTTATGGCACGTGGCAAAGTCAAGGGAAAATAGTTTCTCTTTGCACTTGAAGCAAGTAAAAGTGGCTTCAAGCTCATCAAATAAACTCAGACTTCTAGAGACATGACTTGTACTTCATGAAATAAAGCGGCGTCGTGGATCATTTTAGTGAGAGGTTCTTATCTCATGGGTTCCTTTTCAGGTTGAAATGGAGAGGACGGGTCGATTTCCTCAGCTCATAAGTAGTTCGAGCATCAGTCTGTTGATGCCAAGGTCTGGATTTATAAACGTTATTCTCTGACCATAACCGAGGTTACTTTTTCTGTGTAGAAAATCCATAAGTAGTAGGGATATTGGTGACCGGGGACGATTCAGTTGATTACAAGAGAAAACCTACTACTGCTAAAAGTTGAGCTTTAACACACTTGCATCGTAGAGACCATTTTTGTTAGGGGCTAGCGTGAGACAATTTATTACGTATGCCCTTTGCTGTTTAGACTCTTGGGACGCGTAAGTTGCTTCCTTTCTTGTTCTGCATCGTGAGTTTCTGAACTATCATCGACACAGAACACCATTAAACTCAATTGCAAGCATCACAAAGTTAAAAAAAGATTCTATACCATGCCGACGGCATCATTACATACGGGCTGCCCTATTATCCTCAAATTCCCGGTTGGGTTTTGGCAAGTGGCGCGGTCGTCTTGCTGGGTTTCACTGGCATAGGAGTGTTGTAGCGACCTTAGCGGCCTGACTCGAGACTAGATGAACACCCTGCAGCTTTCATTTAGAGTACGCCAGCTTCGGGTAGTCCTTCAAACCCGTGTTACTTCCGAATCTAAAGATCATGGATATCCAGGCAGGCATGACTAGCAGTAGCAATGTTGTAAAACGTGCAATAACAAGGGGACTTCTATTTTCCACTCGCCGGATCATGCGCACGCAAAAATAACTAGATCTTATAGATCATTCAAACTTCATCATTCGAATTATTGATGCGCTACTTAGACCGTTTGACTGGTCATTTAGGAAAGCTACGGTAGGTCCGAAAGGAATCCCTTCGAAGGCGTAAATAATAGACAGGAACTGCACTTTCTAAAACTACAATTTTAGAATATTGATACCAATCGCACTATTCGGGTTCGGCTTTCAGTAGCTGACAGTCATGGGGGTGTTTTGGTTCCTGGTGCGATTCCTTTTTGTGACTGTCGTGACCTTGTAAAGGACGGGTAAAGGACAGAGTTTTGCGGGCGCACGAGAAGCTTTCTTTGCTCAGTACCGCTAATGAAAGACTATCGACTGCCTCCGCGCCGGCGGTCTTGCAGGGTATGAGGCCTATCGTCAAAAATATAGTGTTAGTAGTCAAAAGTCAAGTTAATGAAATCCAAGGGAGGGGAGCTCACGTTACAAATGTGATGCGCTAGCCCTCTTTTAATTAAGTTTTCGCCTTGAGTACATTTTTGTATGGTGATTTCAGTTATTGCAGTCGGGTCGTCGTAACTAATAACCTTTACTCAAAATGAACCCATGAGAAATGACTCGCATTACGACCGTCTCGTTTAATGCGTGATGAAGTTTGGGCTGGCAGTTCGTCACTATAAAAAGGCATGTTGGCTTCTTGATTTTTGTCCAGGCGTACCAACTGCTCGAGTTTTAATCAAGAACGCAACCACTTTGACCATTTTACAAATCTACCCGCAAGTCTCCCGCTTAGGTACGTCTAACTCTTAATGAACTCTTTGCAATCTCAAAGACTAACATCTTTATACAAGCGCAACAATGAAGTTTTACGAGATCATTTTGTTTCTGGCCGCTGCAACTGCAGTTAGTGCCCTGCCCCAAGCAGCCAAACAATGCCAACCTCAAGGCTTTGACGATTACTCTAACTGCAAGGGCCTGTGCTTCAGTAAGGACTGTCACAAGCAAGGGGATGGGAAGTTCCACTGTTGCAACTTCTAGAGATACTTGTATCTAAATGAATCGGCGTCAAGAGTACCTAAGAGACCATTCATGATGTAAAAGTTTCATGAAAAAACAAAATAACGGAGAGTAAACAATTTTTAACGTTGAAAAAGCACGATTCTGCTACATGCAAAGCCTCAACATCCTCTGAGTCTCGTGTGAAAGGAATTCTGCGATCAACACTTCCGCAGTACCTCGCATCAAAGCCAGGTCGTAGAACATATCTTAGATACTATAAATGAATAAAGAAATTCTGTAACTCATACTTTCAAACTAAACTTGAAGCCTTGAGTTTAGTTTTGGAAAGAGGTAACGTTTTGCTTACCAAATGCCCTCAACTGCGCCAACAACCAGGACGCACGATGTTGCAAAATATCCAGTGAATCCCCAAACTCAAGATCACCCTGCATGTATTACTGATTGTAACCAGCTCGCTGGAACTAAGCGAGTTGTGTTGCAAGCCGTCTATAATGTCCCTCCCCACCCTCGATAGTAATTTAAGCTACGCAGCTGTTGTGTACGCTCTCTCTTCCACGTTACCTCTTGCTGCATCTAGTGTGAAGAACTTAAAAAGAAGAAACTAATTGATTTAATTGCCGCCTTAACAGAGAAATTTGGCAATCGTAGCATTTATCGTATTGCAATAGCCCTGAGAACATGTGTGTTTAACTTGTTACCATGGCTGAGCTTTACCCGTGTGCATGTGTTACGAGCAGGTCAGGGCAACCTACTGTGGCGTAAAACAAAGGCTTCGATAATGATGACTCTGGCATCAACATCCTCTGTTTTCCACTATATAGCTACGCCGGTCAGTTCCCAACTGGTTGGGTCGTAACGGCATGGGCCTGAGACACAGATGAAATCGCAAGGCTGTTGCAGAACCAGGAAGTCTCAAGGAAAATGGTTAATTAAGAACATTTGTTTGCGCTAGGTCATGATAAGCTGGAATGATTAACTGATTGCACGGCCGGCTAGGTGATAGTTGGTTATAGACTCCAAAACGCAGGACTATCCAAAAGAAGAGTGAGGTAGAATCTTAACGAGGTGTTCCCAAACCCAGTTCTAAATGGCTAAAATACACAGGCTCTTTCTTCTAATTATGACATTGACCTGGCAGGTAGTAGCCACACCTAACGCTGTACTTGCGGTCCTTGTCGTCGTGCGTGTCATAGTCTTTGATGTGATCTCCAGCATTGCGGCAGACCGAACAGAAGTTGTTTCCACCCCCGTTAGAAACACCACTTTCGTATGCCTTCATGAATCCCCAAATTTTGTGCGCACATATTCCTTTAGCAAAGGTATCGGTGTATGAAAACTCGTTTTCATCTGCAGCACTCTAGAATATAGCGCAGTCTTTTGCGACGACAAGGCTTGGTACTAAACCAAGGAAGATAAGAGAATAGAGCATTCTGTGCATTACACTTAGCACCAAGCTTAGAAAGCTGAATGTAGCTTAACATACCTATGAAATAGTGATGAATTGGATATATGAGTTGTTGAGCAAGAAGATCGGCGAAGATATTGCGTCCGCTATTACATCGGAGAGGAAGAGAAGCTATTGTTCGTAGGCATGAGATCAATTGACTCTGAAACTTATAGAAACAGTAGGCTTCTCAGTATCGCATATTTACCTCTTCAATTATAGTTCTCATGTCTTGCTAATTAATTTCGCAAATCGGTCAGCCTCAAAGGTTAGTTAAGTAAAAGCTTAAGACTAAAGTTTTTTGCAATATAGGTTGTATAGTTTCGTCAACTAGTTGATAGAAATATAGGACTTCTAAGTACAATATATTTACTTTATTTATTATAGTTCTCGTGTTTTACTGATTCAATTTGCTTGACTAGTCTGCCTGAAAGATTAATTGAATATAACTTTGGAATTAGAGCATCTTGCAATATGGAAAGTATAATTTCGCAGTTTACTGAATCAGGTACTGGGCCCATGGCTGCCCATAAGCAACAACAATAACAACTCACTATCCGACAAAACCACTCCGCTTATAAGTGGAGCATACAATACGTAGAAGGGGCATTGCCAACTTACAGCCGTAGACCTGGGAAGAAGGAGATGGTGTCTTTCAATAGTGACTAGGTAGTATGCGCAGACCCAAAGACTAGAAACGAACGACAAGAGAATCTCAAAAATTGACTGTTTAGTTGGCAATCTAAAAGAGTTATGAAGTGTATGTAGCGTGTTAATATGATCCTATCTAGGCTTTGCTGCGGGCTACATGGCAGCTTCCACATCGGTAGGCCATCTACGCCTTTGAACCATTCTGATATTACATATTACTTCCCCTATGCTGTGTCTAGTTAATCTAAGCTATTTTTACTTTCTTATTCTTCGCTAACATTAACGTTCAGGTTCCAGAAGTGCGATTGCGGTGAAGCGAAACCAGCGGGCTTCAGCAGAGCCTAGAATTGCCGAGCCAAGGACTTTGGATGAGGGTAAAGGGGAAGCGTTAGGCGACAAGTGCTGAAACCGGAAAGGTGTTAGCAGCCTTAGTTTTCCATCCTCAGCTCAACTGACCAGGGATTCAGCCTAATAGTCCCTTGATCAACATCACACTTCAAAGACATAAGGCGCCCTTCCGAGGGCCAGACAGAAAACATACGGTTGACTCGGGAGTGATGTTACAACTAAAGCCAATTTGCATATTAACGAACAGAGTATTCGCATGATGCCTTCACAGAGGCCGCTTTACCACCGAGAAATAAAACATATCGAACTTGATACGAGGACTCATGTAATGTTCTGCTCTCTAGATCCGTTTATCAAGGCATTCGGAGATTGATTGTAGTCAGTGAGTCACTCCCATCGACCCGTGATGAGGAGTGCACGAGGTGGTCGATTGGCCGTTTCGTGCAGTCTTGTGTGGTTTTCATACACAACCTAGGTGCGAGCAGTCTCTCCTACTGGTTCCAGTATCTAGGCATTGGGTCACTGTAAGCATAGCTATATAGCACAGAACGGGTGTCAATGAAAATAGTTTCGTCGTTACCGAAGCTTTTGCTTTGTATCATAGTTAGTTGTCTTGGCCTTCGCGCCGCATAACATCACATCCAAGGCGTGTTGAGGGGCATAGGCCAAATTCTCAGGGTTTGCGACAATAGTGGTTGAAACCTCCTGGCACTGTGCCACACTTGACCAGGGCATGCTACAGACCTTAGGGTGTTGAGGCAGTTTGCCAACTCTTCGAATTCTCTTCTGACGAAGCCCCATATGTTCTTTGATACCTACTAAGCCTATTACAGGTTGTTTGCTCATACAGCGGCATTTTCTGCGTGCAAAGTAGGGCACTTTCTCTGTTACTGCATGTCTCTGGCATTGGATGTTGAGACATGTGAGGCGTGTCGCCCCGCCGATTGAAAGCTGAAAGGCGCTGACGCATATTCGCATTTGTTGTGGGTGGCAGGCCTCGCCGGCCCGTCACGTGGGCTGACGGCCGCCACCACTGGTCTTAGCCAGCCTCCACAGCCCTCTAGCCAGTTAGTTAGTTCTTCCAACCAACAACACCACTTTTCCCATTCTGAGCGTTCTGTGCTGGTTTCGCCCACATTTGTGATCTTCTTTCGGCCAATGATTCGGATAAATTTCGAGCCCTGAATTAGTTCCCTCGATTTTGTCACGCTATTCCACATTATCGTCTTGCACATTTCGGCTCCTAAAGTCGACATCGCCCTTCACGATAAGGTGGTTCTTCCGGAGACACTTATCCGTTTCTGGTTGTTAGGAGTAGCCGCTCCTACCTTTTCTAGAAGCACCTTTACGAAGTGTGCATTACTATGGTTGCACGAATCACGCCCGCCAAGACCAAATCATCATGGCATACCTATGCGAACTGCTAGAGGTTCGCCTGTGCGTCAACAGGACCACTTCAGCCTACCGTGTTTCTCCATGTTCCAGGCAGACATGTCCTCAAGCGGCCCCATGTCATGCAGGTGTGGTAAGCTGAGCTGGCTGTAGAACTCTCCACCCTACTCAAGCTCCCGGTGCTGTCGTCAACCTCGAATGATATGAGACAGAAGTTGAGGCCCGATCTGTGAGGCGAGCGGTGATGGGCTGGTCCAGAACAGACTTTTTCACCCCAGGCCAGACCAGTATAGTGACCTTTGGGTAAAGGACGGCAACCCAACATTTGGGGGCCTAACTGTCCGAATGCTCTCTGGATCCAAGCATGAAGCTATGGTATTAAAACTTCACTCCTGCCCTCTGGTGTCGAAAATCTTCTCGGCTACACATCTCTGAAAGGGATCAGCCTACCATCTGGACGCTCCCATGTCCTTTACGAACTCCGAGGAAAATCTCTACCAACACTTCAGATCAGCAATGGACTATTCGTACGACCTGGGCTACGCCATCCTCGTTCAGGGATATGATACTCGGACAGATTTCGCTACAGAGCCCCGAAACCCAGAAGACACAGCTGAACTCACCGAAGAAAATTTCGACCCTCACACCTACGTTGAGCAAGATGGAGTAGGGACAGCAGCCTGGCAAGCACAAGCGCCGTCGCCTTGTGTCATACCACCCAGTGCTGCCTACAGCCACCCCCAATCTCAGGCACGTGAAAACCACCAAGTCTCCCCTCCTTCGAGAGCCCAATTTTGGCACTAACGCAAGCTGGACAGCAAAATCAATATCAGGACTTCACTGCTGGTACAGCTTGCCGCCTGCAGCTTGTACACAGTGCCCCAGGCTTTGGAAGCGATCACAACACCTATGAGCTTAGCGCAAACAATCTTGACGCAGGATACTCTTCCTACTCGTCATCACCGAGTGAACAAATACCAGTGCCCAAAATTACATCAATCGTGTCTTCTTCTCCAAGGACTGCCCACATTTTCGACCACATTGGTGCTTGGGACAACAACGGCTTCGAGATTAATTATCCAGCCCCCATTGAAGGCCACGAACACCCCGCCGAATACCAGCGACTGAGGTTCAATAACTTGCCTGGCAAGTCAAAAAGGTCCGATTCGACCGAACGTCAACGGTCCAACAGGTATGGTAACGAGCCACTTGATTATAGTTACCATAGCCCATAGCCACGATTTGTCTGACAAAAGTGCAGTCCTGAGAACAAGAAGCGTGGAAGTAAGCAACCCAAGTCCACAAGAAATAACGAGCCGGTCCGAAGTCGGCGACGTAGTGAGAGGAATAAATGAGCTGCGTGCTAGAGGACTTTTCGCATTTTTCTGCGACCGGCACTTGGATATTCTTCGAACCTGGCTGCTTTACTTCACTTTGTTAGCTTTCATTTGGCTGGTGGTAAACTTATTGCAATGCGCTCCTTTCCTGTTTCCTTTGGCCTTTTTTTTTTTTTTTTTTTTTTTTTTTTTTTTTTGGATTGTGGCTCAAATATGATCGGTTCTTCGTTGGTTGTGATCGCTCTTTAGTGTACTGTAGTGTTCAAAATATCGGCGTGAGAAGCTCAAAAACTGGATCGAATAAGACTTTTGTTAACATCAGATTTGCAGTGCAAGTGCGGAACTCTGCTCATGACCCAAAATGAGCAGGCATGTGTCTTTATTACACCCAGCTGCGACAAAGGTCACGCTCTCTACTTCGAGACATGAACAAGTCAGAGCCAAGGCAAAATGAACATGACTGCTGGTAATATCATTTCGACTGGATCGTGACCGCCAGGGCCTCCCTGCCAATGGAACATGGCTCTTGAATGAGGCGGCTGCTTTATCCGCCCTGTAACATGACAGGTCCTGGGCTGGCCCAATATCGTGTCCTAGCCTGCTCATCACCTCGTCTTATTGGTCCTTATTTTCTCCCACATTATGCGGGTCGAAACATTTATGAGGCGTACCCAATTAACTGGAAGTCTGCAATGTCCCTATCTCCAGCTTCACCTTTTGAATCACTTGCCAATTTCCATGAGGAGATGCTTTTTCGCAAGGTTGCTAAGAGCAATCCTGCAATTCCAGGCCAATCGCTGAGCTGTAACCTTCTGATGCTTGATGCAAGGGCTAGCAACGGAAACGACACTAACAGGTCTTTTCAGGCATCAACGCGTTTTAGCATAGAACGTACAGGTACCAATCTCACGAATGAAAAGCCATGAGGAGTTGGGGAGTCACTTACTAGGCGAGCTCATCATGTGATGAACTTACCAGGCGGGCGCAAGACTTCTCCAATCAGTCCATTATTTCAACGTCGGTAAATTACGAGGCTGATGACAAAAGACCCGTAGAAGGTAGCATTGTGGAAAAGCCCGCACATACTCAACCTAGTCCAACTGGTATTATTGTATGCTGATGTTACTTTAAAGTTTTCTTACCTTTGCCAATTGCGGAGACAGGATCCGTTCTTAGGCCCAATTGCCCTCTTAGCGTGATGCCTGGCCCACACTACACTGCCTGACTAACTAGGTCTTTTCATAGACTCGTGAGCATTGAGGCAAGGGCATACCCATTATTGGTATTTATCGCACATGAGATATCATCTGGAAAGAGTTAGTGACTATCGAGATGATTGACTGGGTAGCTGCTGAGCTGAAAACACATGGTGGCAGTCATCTAGCATCAGCCATCGTAGCTTCTATTATGTATCATTTGCTTTGCTTGCCTTTGAAGGTGTTATATTATCGGCTATGAGAATTTTAGAAAGCTCTTGTTATCTTTTTTACTTGTCTAGGAAATGGGACACAATAGACTTATCATATTTATGAGGCAACTGCGAGATACCTTATCTTATGATGGTTCTCGGCCGTGGCTTTTCTACTTCAAAGGTATCATGCCTGTGCAATGCCAAGTTCTAATTACTTATTGAAAGTTCTAATTACTTATTGCAGATTTTAACAGAAAACATTGTAAATAAAATGCGAAGTGTTTTCGCAATAGTCTGTCATGGGGACGTGCAATACAGTTTTGCCCAACTAGCGAAGTCTGCAAATCACGAGATCATGGAGGGAGACCTCGGAAGGTAATGCGGGTCTTACGATACACGTCGTAACTCTTCAAGGTAACCATACAATCAAGTTCAGTTTTAAACAAGGATTAAAAGAAAGACCAGTATCTACTATATCATATTTTGGACACCAAGACCACAGCATTAACGGTCTACATTTGGGTTACATCCATTGCAACCGCACGACACACCAAAACCCTTGTTGGTAATCACCTTTGATTCCCAGCTCTAAGTCACTTGTAGTACTCAATCAGGTCACCTGAATTCACCACCCGCATCGCTGGGGCCCTAAGTTCTCGTAGGAGATGTGGCGCTGTCTACGTGGAGGGTTGACTGATTTCATTGCGAGATGCTTTAGACTCACAAGCACATCTCATTTTTTCGGTAGAACCTTTCTGGGAAGATGAGTTTGCATGCTTTTGATTGGCTTTGTCGGTTGGGCTGCCTCAGTGAAGACGGGATTCAGGTCTAGCAGGGGTGTGTGAAAACGCCTCCTTGCTTCAGTATGAGGATGGGCGGCATTATGAGAACTCAAGGTACTTCTTGCCTTACTTTTTTGGCCTTATCAGGCTTTTGTACGTACATCGTTTCCGATTCCATGTCCTTGAAAGAGACTACCCATGAGATAACCCCAAAGGCACTTAGGATTGCTGGCTTCGTTCTTAAGTTAGGCCGAAGCCTGCTCATAGGGCCAGTCCGTGTATTCAAGTGTACTGAAAGGTTTACAATCAGCTGATGAATCACAGCCTGGTTTTTCTTGCTGTCGCTCTGTGCTGCTAGGTTGCCTCGTTTGTAAGTACGCCACATTCTAGTGTAGCAGCACCGTCCAAGAGAAAAAGCCGCTAACACCCTCCAGAGAGTTCAAGCTTTTGCCATTGCTACCCAACGATTCAACCCGCCTAACCAGCTTTTGGCATGTTTCAGTCCTACATAGGGGCGGGCATGCGGCTCACTTGCTGGGAGCTGAGGAGAAAAGGGGGGGTGGGGTGGAACATCGAAGTTCTGAAGGCTGACGCAAGACATCTGTTAGCCGACGGCGACAGTCTCTGATCGAGGCACATGTGGGAGAACAAAATTTCCGCTTCAACTGTCGCCTCATCATCTCGTTCTGCATGACGGACGTGAACCAGTCATACGACTGGGCTGTAATGCTTCGCCCAACCTTCAACATGAAAAGTGCGCCATGGGCATCCCGTATCACCTTCACCTCATTTTACCTTGCGAAGACGGAGAATAATCAGAGCCTTTTCCAGGGCAACTGATGATGTAAGAGTGACGATAGGGACGAAGTTAAGAAGCAAAAATGGGGTCCCCTCTTTGCTATTACTTTCAATACCACACCCAAGGCTAATTTGGGTGTTCACAAGGCCGCTAACACCCACTTTAATTACCTACTGCCTTATCTGGGTTGTTTTATGACCCAAGCCTTGTGAATGACGTCGTAGGGTACTGGTAAATGGCCTAACGAGGTTCGAGAGAGATTAGTGGTGGACCAGCTGCATCTGCGGATCGGTCTCACCAGGTCTTCTCTCCCTCTGTTACAGAGTTTGTAGGTTTACATTTTCCTCCCAAGTAAAAGCACATGCAATTTTGTTCGCTGATAGTATGCGGTGTGTAAGCCTGGAGACCTCCCTTCAGATCCTTCGGCAAAGGACGGAGTTCTTGGTAACACCTTGCAATGACTGAGGTGTTGTATGTTCTTGGTGTGAGAAGATGACTACATTCGGTGTTGCCTTAAATTAGAGATGGCAGATGTAAAGAGGCGCTGGAACCGCATTGCTTCCACCTGTTGGAGAAGTTGGAAAATTGTTGGGGCAGGGAAGCTGTGCCGCTGAGGGCCAAGTGTGTTCGCTGAGACAACGAAGCTAAGCCACGAGTATTGAACAGTCGGCTGACACGCCTCTCCAACTGCAAATCTGAAGGGAGAAATATTTCAATTTCGTTAGACCATCCTCTCTCATGGTTCTAAACGAAACACATCCGGTGTTGTGTTTTACCATGGTAGACGGGATAATCTCTACTAGCAGATGGGCTAACGCATGTAAGTGATTGCGATTTAGCCGTTATTGCCTCTACTGAGGCTGACACAGATTAAAAAAAATATCCAACATCCTTCAAGGTAGATAGGGTTTGAGCGCAGAACTGGTAAAATGAAGGATGACATTCTCCGCCCGCGTGCTGCTTGTGTTGCATTGATGAGTTCAACTTTGAGACCCCCATGTCAAACGTACATCGCCCCCATCTACCTCTGGCATGGAGCTAATACACAATGGTTACCACCTTTTGATTTTGCCCTCCTCCTTGGCAAGCTCAGGCGGTTGGGCTCCTAGCCTCAGACGCTCGAATCCCTTTTTTTTTCCAGTGTCATCACTTTCTTCTCTTTTTCTTTTTGGGCAAGTCTCATGCAAGTGTGCAACAGGGAATCTACGGACGATGCTGCATGAATTAGCTACAGCAGTGATAGATGGACCCGCCTCCAGCCTGATCGTAAATCGCTTTCCTTCTAGGCTCAAAAGCTTCAATCTTTAGTCTTTATGCCCCAATTTTCATCCTTTAATCCATGAGAACACTAGGGCCAAGTAAGCACTGTACTTCACAGTGAGGCTGATAGCCTTTCCTATGAAAGGTATTCGACTCCATATAGTACGTCTGGCACCGCTGCGAAGGTCAGAACGGGAAAGAACACATGGATCGGTGTGGATCACTAGGATTAAATGTGCAGCCTGCTTTGAAGGCCACCCACTACAGCGATTACCAGGGAGAAAACCGGTCACATGAGTTTTGTTGGCCTTGGCTTAGACTTTCTCAAGGGTTGGCCCAGGCTTTAATTCAAGTGCCCTCATGTTTCACTCAATAGTTCGGTCTCTTCTCATCTTCGTTTTTCATAGAACGCTTCCGAGGCTAGTAGACATCAAGGACAGCACCATTCGAACCTTCGGTGTCTCTTTCTAAACGTTTTTTACATCATCATCAATAACGAAACACCTTTCCCTCATCCAAAGCGACAGACGCCAGCCCCAAACTAAAGCAGAAATGAATTCTAATCCCAATGACCGGTGAAGAGACGGATCCACCTAAGCTTAGGTACTTAAGGCGGCGCGAACATGAACCACTCAGCAGTTTGCCGTGTCAGGCAACCCAGCTGCCAACACTGCACAAATTCCGGTGAAGCAAGCGACACTGCCACTATTCCCTACCCGGCCGCACATCGGCGCAGCTGTTCTCTGATACCAAGCATTGCCACCTTTATTCAGATGGCAGATCTTCGCGCTCACCTCCGCCACGCTCAGTACGCCCAGCATCAGGTTTGGCTAGGGTCCGTTGCGGGTGAGGTTATTGACCTCATATTGACAAAGTATCCAGGGCCCATAGCCAGTCAACTTCTCTAAGCCTCGATGCTGGCTTTGTGACTTGCCACTCATGTTCCATAGTTCTATCAACTCACAGAAACACTCTTGGGGCTACCTGTCAGCTTTACTCCTACTCGCTCACGAAGGGCCATATCCCTCTATTGCACACCGAAGAAGTCAAGGCATACTGGTGACTTTGACTGAAACAAGACCTCTCTGATGATGATGGAGGATAACTGGTTGTGGATGATTGTATCATCGTCGCTTCGTTTTTCTTGATGTTGCCCTGGATCAAAGCAGCATTCAACCGTACGAGCTGGTCCCAGGCCCTAGTTTAGTTTACCGAGATAGCATGTGAATCATCTTCAACTACAACTTGATATCTATATATTCTTGCTCATTCTCTAATCCTAGGGCTTCAAATCATCAGACACTTTAGTCTACGCTTGTCAGCTGTTGAACTACGACTCATCTATTATCTACCTTGACCCACACAACATGAACAACGAATACCAGTACTACCAAGATGAAAGCGGCCAATGGTATTACTCCACCGGCGACGGAAACTGGTACCCTTGTGCTCCTCCGGTGCATGATGAAAATGTCGAGACCGGAAGGTATACCAGCTCAAACCCCAGCAGTCGCATAGCTCTCTAACAAATATAGCTGGTACGAAGATCAGAACGAAGAGCACCCTGGCATCCAGCAACCGGTAACTACTGAAAATCGAAACAGTGAAACTGCAGACTACGTTTCCGAACGATACCGTGATGAAGACCGCCGTCGTCGACTTCACAGCAGCAAAGGCCGCCGTGCTCACAAGAAGGAGATGGACGACGAAGTCGAAGAAATTATGAAGTCCTTCGAGGACAACTCGCACAAGTCATCCAAGTCTGGCGATCGATCCGACAAGAAGAAGAAGAAGAAGCGATGATTAGAGCTAAGGAAATGGGACATTCTGTTGTCATGTTGTTCTTCATCACAAAGTTCTCAGATCAGGTTTTCCTTTGTATGCCCTTCTTGCGCTCGAACTTGTCTGTTGTCCTTTAGCTGCTTGTATTATACTCATAGATCTTAGACAAATGGGGGTTCAAATTATGCGTTTGGCGATGTATTGGGGAGTTTCATAACACTATCTGTATGTGTATAGTACACGGCATCATTCATGAGCGCCAGGTTCCTGGAGCCTTGTTGTCTTTTTTGCCTTCCATCTCCTGAATCTGCAAGCTGTTTCAACAAATTTATACTTTCTTTTAGCCTCAACATTTGATTATGATTGTGATTTCTTACAGCAGGGAATACAATTCAACTCACCGATGCGCTCCTATTGCAAGCCCAAATCTAAAGAATCTGCAATGCCATACCATGATATTCATGCGCCCCAAGATATTTCATTTTTGAAGGGGACCTAATTAATAAATGTATTACTTTATTGCAAGTAACGAAACGTCTACTATGCCTTTCGTAAGCGCAGGAAGTAAGGAAATGTAATGCGTTCAAAAAGCTGCCGAATTTCATTCGATAAGGTACGAAGTAGAAAAGAAGCTTACAAGCGACGACTATTATCCTATGGAATATTAAGACTATCCAATCAGTTAAATCAGTCACTTACTATTAGTCCAAAGCATGCTAATATGCAAGGTACACCCGGAATCGATGGGCAACCGTGTTCTTTTGTTCTTTCAAGTGACTTTCCGGAGGGTTGTTGGACAACATTTTGAGTCTTATGAGACTATGATACTCGTCTAAAAGTCTGACTTTGCCTGCATTGGTCCGGCACCCGCAGCGGGAAACTTTGGCCACGCTATACGTGCACCAAGAGATCCGGATGCTAAGGCAAGTCCTTCCTACGAGTTCTCTATCTGGTTTAAGTGAGAAACAGTATTTTACTGATTCATCTTTTAGGCTATGAAGGAGTTATATCATGAATATGGTTGGCCGAATGCCTTTCGGAGGGACGAGTTTCTGAAGGCTGCGGTGCCAGCTCGCAAGGTGATTGTTGACGACACATACGACTGGTCTGATGTGGAATGAAGGTTTGGTACCTTTACATAATGTATGCAGTTCTCGGTTGAGCTATACATCGCTCCATTTATATTTATAACGTAGGACGCCAATGTGTATCAACTCAGGACAATGGAATGAGTAAAGGTAGGCCAGGACAAAGCGTTTGGCTCCCGAATACATAGCTGCAAGGCATGTCCAGCCGCGAATGTCAGGATAGCTTCCCATTTCAACGACCATGTCTTCCAGTATGCTGTTTAGTTGGGATAAAATGATATTTGCTTACTACCTTATGGATCGTTGTATGTCGTCGCTACAAAGCAGAATGTAAGCTCTCTAATATGAACAACGCCTCTATAGCGTCGCTCTTTATTCAAATTACTGGCTCTTGGGCTTTCTAAGCGGAGCAGTGATGGAGAATGAGACTATACTATATTCGCTCTTCTCTGCATCCCTCTCGGCCTCCTTACGCTCCGCCAGCTTCTTCTCTTCCGCTTCTTTCTCCTCCTCCATCTTGCGCTTCTTCTCCTTCTCCTTTTCATCGTCCTTCTTGATTTCTTTGACGACGTTACCATTGCCGTCGAGCTCGACCACAACGTCGCGTGTATCAAGGCTGCCGTCCTCGGTGTAGGTCCACATCTCCTTGAGTTCACCTCGTACCAGACCCGTCAGCCATAGGGAGCCGAGGACGCCTGGCACAAGATACAAGAGCGCAGGCTGACCGTGGTTAAAGATCATAAGCATAGCGAGAGTTACCAGCATGCCCAAAGTGTATCCAACCAGTGAGGCGTTGAAGTAAGTCTTGCTGAAAGTTGATCCCTGAACAGTCGGCGGCGTGTTTTCGTCGCCCTTGAGAAGGCCAAGCCACGATGATGACCAAAACCAGTCACCCCAGCAGCCGGTAATGTCGACCCAGGTAGCCTTCTGAGTCATATGCTTCGTCTCGCTGACAGTGACAACGTCCCCAGATTTGATGTCCTGCTTGTCTGACTTGAGGTCGGTCGGGACATACTGGATCTTTCGCTGGTAGTGAAGCCATAAGTCGAAGCGGAGGGCGAGGCACATGACAATACCGGGAACAACAATATCTCCAAGACCAAGAATACTGGATCTAGCAGCAGACTGGAACTGAAGTTTGATGGGAACGTCGAGCTTGGTGGCAACGGTGATCATGTAAGGCCTAGATAGCGTTAGACATGGGCCGAGTCCGGAGTAAGTGAGATCTTACGTGTAGAAGACCATGACAATGTCATAAATGAAAAGTCCCATAAGCACCAAGCTGCCAGTGGCAAATGTCGTGGGTGACATTATCAAGAACGAGCCGTAGCAGAAGCCGTAGCCCATAATGTTTGAGAGGAAGGGTGAGCCAGTCATGTAATACGTCGAAACCGTTGCGAAAGCTAAGAGGAAGCCGAGAATATGGTTGACGGACATGTGGAACTTCTCTTTGAGAAGGCCGTGTACCTTGGCCCTTACTGTCCACTCGTCCGTCAGGAGATGCCGCACATCCCAGAAAAAACGATTCGCTTTAGCAGAATTAACAGCCACAATCTTCCGCAAACCATATGGTAGAGGGTTTCCAGCCGGCAACAGGTCCAGCTCATCCTCTTCGTCTTCACCATTTGTCTTGACTTTGACGAATGCCTCCCGGTCATCGTCAACCCGGCAAAGGACGCCATCCTCCTTTACCCAGTTTGGAAATATAAATCCTGCGCCAGCTCTTAACGAATGCGCCATCAACGTGGTCAAGCTGGCAACGCCCATAAAAGACATGTATACCCTCAAAATCTTATTCAATATAGCCGGATCTTGAAGCCATTGAATGAGATAGTAGAGCCCGATCAGCATGGTGCCGGCAAGTAGCGGGAATACGATGGCATCGGAGGGCATCAGTCCCTCCGTGATGGGCTCATCATCCTTACGATCATGCTTTTCACCCTTTTTCCGCTTTGGTAGGGCGGCAGACGGCGGACGGCGCAGGGCACCGTGAGCGCCGATGTAGATGATGGCAAGAGCGCTGAAGATGAGCTTTCCTTCCATTGTCAGGAAGCCAGCAACTTTAAACAGATTCGATTGCGTTGTCATGGTGGCGTTCCCGACAGCTGTGAGGTTTCCCGTAAAATTACTAGTGAGATTTTGGGAGACTTCGTCGAACAGCGGCGTGGCCGAACTAGGAACAGGTGATGAAGCCATAGTGATGGTAGTATGCCAGAGCAACGTCTTGTGAAGCAATGCAAAAGGGCAGTAGTGCAGGCAATGAGAACGAGTGGCTGCTAGGAGAGTGGCATCAATGAGCCAAGCTCGGATATAGAATCTGCACGGAGTTGCTATCGGAGTTGGATTGATTGGCGATGAAAAGATGAGAAGCCACCTTGCAGCTACAGCTCTTGAGTTTGCTCGCAGATTGGGGCGCTGCCTCTGAGCAACGTGTTACCAACAAAGAGTCTCAGGGTAGGATACCAGGTGGCAACTACCTTCCGATGCTTCGAGAAAAAAAGAGAAGAAAAAAGCAGCTCCAACGGACGTCCAGATTTACCAGAGCCGGCCTGCAGTTGAGCAGGACGTGACTTCCGTCCTCAAACTCCAATCTGTGCGGTGTGGACGAGCGCTCAAGTATTCGCGATTCCTTTCTGCTAGAAGTCAGTTCTCAGCTCGCCTGCGCCCCTACCAATAATTGAGACTTATGTATAACTGACTGGGTATACAAAATGAAATGCCAAAAACTCACGAAGAATAAAGCCGAAAGGGTAGCGGAAATTTTAAATTGCAGAGATGGCGCAGGCAAACAAGTCTCTATGTAGGTACTCACATAACCTGACCAAGTCCGTGTGTGGCAAGTGAATACCTAAGCCTCCTTCACTACAGAACGCAGACGAATAGGGCAGGAACTCGCAAGCTACAGCAGATACCACAGCATCGATGTACCACAACAGGTCATTCAGCCAACCAATAGCGTGCCCGCATTTGACTTGAGGTGGCTGAAGCTCCCCCCCCCCCCCCCCAATCCCCCCGTCATCCTGTCGCTGCAAGCCAAACTACCCAAAATCGCATCGCAGCCTTGCTCAAGATATTTGAACCCCTCCATCGCAACTTTTCCTCCTTAGATCCTCGTGGCGAGACGACACAACCGACGCCGAAATGACGACAAACGTATCGTTAGAGACCTCAATGGTATGTTCGCTCTTGCAGTTGAAAAAATGAAACAAAAAAATCCACCAATTCCCTACCTCGTTGCCTGCCGCAACCCATCTCGAAACTGTGAAGAATCAAACAGCTAATCCTGCCAGGGCACGATAATCCTAGAGCTCTATACCTCCCATGCGCCCAAAACTTGTACGAACTTCGCCACCCTCGCCAAGAGAGGCTACTACAACTCCACCATAATCCACCGTATAATCCCAAACTTCATGGTCCAGGCCGGCGACCCCACGGGAACAGGCCGCGGTGGCACTTCCATCTACGGCGACAAGTTCGCCGATGAGATCCACCCGGGCCTCAAACACACTGGCGCGGGCATCCTTTCCATGGCCAACGCCGGCCCGGACACCAACGGCTCCCAGTTCTTCATCACGCTGGCGCCGACGCCGTGGCTGGACGGAAAACACACCATCTTCGGACGCGTCAAGAATGGACTCAGTGTTGTGAAGCGGATGGGACTGGTCAAGACTGGACCCGAGGACAGGCCGTTGGAGGAAGTCAAAATTATACGGGCCTCTGTTATTGAGGAGGGGGATGTCGAAGAGTAATGTTGGTCATGTTACCGGAATAAGGAGCACATATTGCATGGCATGGAGTCTGGCGTTTGGGAACGAAACACCGTTGGCCCTTTGTAGACATTGGTATGCCATTCATCATTTGGCTCTAAAGTCATTATGTATAGCTACAGCTAGATTGAAAGCAGCCAGAGGAGGGCTCAGTTTTCCATTTCATCATCAAAAGGAACTTGGTCTCACACAGGACAGCCAGCGGGGGTTTGCCTGAGCAAGCATACTATGTAGCTTCTCGGATTTTTGGCTCTAAAATAGGGAAAGCCTCGAGTTGCATGCACAAACACTACATTAACACAAAAGTGAAAGGGGAATCAATATCATTGGGTCAATGCCTAGAATTTTAATCGCAGTCTCCCTAACGCCGCCATCCGCCTCGCCAGGTGATGCAGAAGAATGACATGGGGAAAACCACCCCATTCCTTAGAAGCCCCTCCCAACTGACTCCCGGTTTCATGCAATGTCGATCTTGTTGTTATTGTAAGTGAGAAGATGTGTGTATCAAGAGCGTTCGTTTGGCTGCGGGTCCAAAGTTTTTGAATACAAAATGTTAGGTTCGGTCTGGGATCCGACTCTTGGCCAATTCATGATGACCTGTTGCTTTGGGTTTTTCCAAAGATCCCTGCCGAGCTACGTTTTAATCCTGATTTGTCGCTAGAACCAGGTGGGGGATATCGAAGAGAATATAAGGTGGTAGACACAGATGCTGGAAAGCGGTTACGAGCAACGTCTTTTACTAAGTTGATGCTTGCTCTTGTTTGAAGTTCTCCCTTGGCCCATCGTATTGGTTTTGTAGAACTTCCTCTTGGGTTTCTGGGTCCGACACATGCTGCGCATAGCCTGGGCCTGTTACTAAAATCGCAGATTATGGGCGATGAGTCTTACTGCCAGACAGATACTTACGTCTCGGTGCTGTCTGCGAATGAGGCACGCGATCTGTGGCAAAGCCCGAAGAGGATGTGATGTGGCTTGGTACGCCAAGACTTGAAGAGCCGCCATACTTCTAGTTTGGTGGTGATGACAACGTTCCAGACGATTCAGACTCTGCATCTTCGGTTTTGCCATTGCCATTCTTGGACAGCGGCGACGAGAGGGGTGGCTTGGCAGCGCCAAGCTTCAGCTTTTTGGTCGGACTGATGCCTTTGCCCTCCTTTGACTCCTTCTTCTCCTTCTTAGGAGCGACTTCGACAGTGGAATTGTCGTCTTCATCGTCGATCTTTGATTCGTGACTAAGCAATGAATTCGCCTTGACCTTGTCCTTCTTTGGTCCCTTAGTCTTGAGGATAACCTTCTTCGTCATGACCGATGCCTTGAGTTTCTTCTTCTTATGACTGTTTTCCGACTCTTCCTCCTCCTCAGGCGCGGCAACTTCCTCGCTGTCGCGCTTCTTGGGGCTCGAGGCTCGTGATCCTGGCGCTGGAGTGGCCTTCTGGCTGGAAGGCGGTGTTCCATCGTGCTGACTATTGCCGTTGCTGCCGTTGGAAATCTTCGCCGCCGCGGCACGGCTCGCATTTCTGCCGCTGTTGCCAATACAGGAGCCCATGTGATTGTTGAGTCTGGTGACAAGAATGCATCGTTTGCATTTGCTGCAGGTGGCAGAGGGAAAAGACAGAACGTTCGCAGGGCGAGACTCTCCCGGGCCGGGCGATTCGATATTCGGGTCGGGCTTCATGTCTTTCTTCTTCTTGCCTCGTCCAGGGCCGGGTTGAACCCAAGTCTGTCCGTAAATATCGTAGCCGGGCTTGTCAATATAGGGGTGTTTCTTGCAGTAGATGACGCTCGGGTCGGGCTTTCTCGCGCCTTTTCCATCGGTCGGGTAGAGCAATCGAGGCAAATGGCATCTCGGGCATAGAACTTCCTGAGTAGTCTTTAAAGGATTTCCTTTGAGCATGACTTTGCCATCTTCGTATATCGCCGCGTCGGTTTCGATTCGTACGTCCGGTTTTGATTCGGGGGTCGAGCTCTCTGATGCATCGGAAGCCAGCTTCTCGACACGGATGGCTGCCGTGGTAGCCCTCGCTATCTTCTCGTCGCGATGCACCTTGAGCAATAGGTCGTGGACAATGTTGTATACAAGATCGTCGAGAACAGCGTGAGCCTAGTTGACGCAAAGGTGCAGGTCAGCATCATGACATCTCGTCGACGGCAGACTGTGTCGCCCGTGATGTCCGGAATAGCAGCCCCCAAGATGGCTAAATCGACCAAGGAGGCAGGTTGTGCGAGCAGGCACTTACAAGTCTATCCATGCTGCCAGCATCATCGGGAGCGACGATTACTCCAGCCTTGCCTGTGTTGGATGCCATCTCTCCAGGGCCAAGGGGACGGCGCACAAGGACTTAAAGGAAGAAATTGGCGTTGTGATCGCAGCCTCGGAGGACGATGCTTTGTGATCGTGTGCAGGTTTGTGGAAGCTGAATTGGGTCGATGGGTAACTAAAATAAGGTGCCACACGGACGGACGAGGGGACGGCAGTGGCCAAGTGAGATGAGGTCAAGCAGCTGAGGATGGCGGCCAAGAAAAAAAAAAAAAAGTATCGGAACCTTGCCTGCTGAAGTAATAAGAATGCAACACAGCATACGGAGTACAGGTATCGGCGATGTGCACAGCGACAGCGACCAGCGGCGGGCAATACAAGGCTTGCGCCGGATGAGCTAAGGCGAATTCTCCCTTTCCGTCGTACGAGGACCCTATGCCGAATCTGGTAGGGGTTTGTAAGTGGCTGTAAATTGACAAGAGTTGATGGAAGAGGAAGAAAAAAAGACGGCAATATAACAAGATGGAGAAATGGGACAGGATAGGAAAATGGGCAGTTTTTCCGGATCAGAAATTGCCAAGGCAAGGGAACTAAACTGTATGGGAAAGAAAAGGGAAGCGGAAGGTACGAACGGGGAGCAGCCCGAACGCAACTTCCCAGACTGTCGAAATGTCGATCTTAGCGGGCCAGTCGCGTGTAGAGCTCGAACCCTTCATCCCCCATGATGCAGTAGGTTACCGTGTAACGGTAGGCAAGGGCGGATCAATCAGCAACTTACAGGGCTTTAATACCTTGCAGCTTACATCAACAACCACAATATCACCACAGCTGCAGCAAGTCACAACATGGCCACTTCACCATCGCAGAGTTGCTTGCATCAATGTCGGACCAAGCAAAATCGGTTGCAGCAAAACAGCCAGCACCAGGCCATTGGGCTCAGCCTACAGATACAGGCCCATCAGCGCATGCATGTGCCTGAACTAGCTCCCCCAAGGGACCCCATCCTCACGACAACACCCTAGGCGGCAGAAAATCGCGTCGAGGGTGAAGATTCGTCTCCCGGAGAAGGTTTTGACCGCCCAGCACGTAATCATCGGATCTTTATCTAATTAGTGTCCATCTCACCAGCATAGGAATCTCCCTTGTCGAGGGGGGCGGCTCACCGGCAACAACACCAACGGCCTTTCCTAGCAGACTTTGTAGTGGACACCTTTCTGTTGGTTGCGCTCCACCTCAGTAGTAGCCAACCCCTTATTTTAGCGGCACCAGCGAAATCACTGCGTGCTCTAAGCTCAACCTTTCCCATCAACGTACTGTGTTCTGTACCTGGCCCCAGTCCTACGAGCACTGGGCTGGACCTTCTAAACGAACTGCGCTGGCTTTTGACGTCCTTGGCTGCAGGCGCCATTGGGACAACCTGGTGGGGCCTTTCTTTCCTTCTGAGAGAACCTCTCAAACCGGATTGAAATCTGCTGAGGGCAACTACAGGCCAATAGTGCCAGCCTCACTAATTTTTTGAGTTGAGGGTTGTCGCAAGGGGACCCAGAAAGCAACCAACCAGCTGAGCGCACCTTCCTCCAACTGTCCTGTCCAACCAAACCGAGTCGCGGCTTCCTCCAGCCAGGCCTGGGCCTCCCAACCTGCATCCAAACCCCCGTCGCAACCATTCAGAGACATTCCAACTCCGTCCCGAAACTTCGACTCTCTTAATTTTTATTTTATTTTTTGACAGTCTTGTCCCTCCGCAACTGTCGCCATCGCCGGATACATCACATACTTTCTCACTACACACATACCTGCCGCAACTCACGTGTAAATAATGTGCATCTGACCTGTATTTACGTCAATTGCGTCGTAGATCTTATCAGCCACCGAATCCGTTCCCTTTTCTCCACCAACTCTTCTTTCCTTTTCACCTATAATCCAACCAAGGGGACCCTGTATCTCAACGCCAAATACCTCAAGCCACGATGTCCCTCCCGCAAACCACGATGAAGCCTACGCAACCATCTATAAAGTCCTTCTTCCAACCACGACAACAACCTTCCTACGCACCTCCACCCGCGTCATCAAAGTTTACAGCTGCGCCAGGAGCTGCCTCTTCTGCCCCTCCTCCCCCCGCATCGAATCAGCCCCCCACTACGACAACATCTCCCACGACGACCTCACCACCACCCGTCGCCTCGGTCTCCCTCCATCCCCAAGCCTCGATCCGCCCTGTTGACGATGCAGATCTCCAACCCCTCAAACGCATAAATTCCCTTCTCCTCCCGGTTGCCTACCCCGAGACGTTCTACGCTGCAGCTCTCACAGGCGACTTCTCGCGTGTAATAACCTGGACCGACAGCGGCGCTACGCAGGTAGTTGGCGGTGTCGTATCCCGCATTGAGCCTTCCCCATTCCCGCCGTCGTCTTCGACACCGGAGCACGCCCTCTACATTCAGAGCCTGGCGCTGCTCTCGCCATACCGTACACACGGCCTCGCGACAGCTACCATCGACCACCTCGTCTCAGCCGCATCCTCCACGCCGGGGGTGAACCTCCGTCACATTTACGCGCATGTCTGGACCGACAACGAGGAAGGTATCAGGTGGTACACCGCCCGCGGCTTCGAGAAGTACGGCGACGAGCTGAAGGGGTATTACATCAAGCTTCGACCAGACTCCGCCTTCATTGTTCGCCGCGCCGTGGGGCCCTTGTCTCTGTCCGCCGGAGCCCAAGTATCCTCCACCACAATGACGCCAGCCGCTGGGCCGACCGCCGCCGTCGCGAACCTCCCACCCATGAACCATAACAAGAAGGCTAGCCCGCCACCCAGCGCAGCGAACGGGATCTCGCGGGCGCCCTCTGGCGAGTCCTTCCAGAACCGTCGTGCAGAGACGGAATGGAACGATTTGCCCGCCGACATGGCGCCTTCCATGCTCGCTCCGCCACGGAATAGTGGCGGATCTGGAGCGAGTTCGCGCAGCAGCTCGACGGCGAGGAAGAAGAAGGACCGCTCGTACCCTGCCGCTGCCTTTGGTAGTTAGGTCAGACATTATAAACAGATTGTAGTCAGGGTAGACGGAAAGACGGAATGGCGGAAAAACACATAAGCGAATTTGAGGCGGCGTTGGGAAAGGGACAGAAAGGAGGGTTTTCCAGGACCAGGACCAGGACCAGGATCAGGATTCAAAATTCACATACCATTCAGCCATCGTTCACCATTTTTGCATCTTTCACCAGATAGAACCAGGAAGAAGGAGAGACCAGAGAATGTCAGAAAGAATGCCCTGGGTAGGGATCATCAAATAGACGTTATCTCTTTTAGAGAAGATAAAAACGAGAAGAAAAAAAATAAGAGTCCCAATGTACAACTCTCTGAATGACGAGAAAAAGAAAGGGTAAAAAAAATCAAAAAAAATCGACGTTGCTCATCCCAACTCCATCCCAGAATTTCAAATGAAGAATGAGGAAACTCGACCAATGAAGAAGAGAAAAAAAAGAAGAAAAAAACATAAGCAATCATGCTGAAAAATGCTTGCTCTCTGCATGGTCTCTTTTCCCCCTTTCCATCATTCCCTTCCGTGTTTTCGAAAAATCAAAAAAATGTCACCTTCACCAAATCCCTCCCCCCTTCAGACTTTCACAACATTCGTGATTTGGGTCGTAACACATCATTGACGATTATAACGAGACCACCAGAGAGCTGCAATGGCCGCAACGCCCACAATACCGCCAATTATCAACGCCTTGTTAGAAACTCCGGTTTCCTCGCCTGTAAGTTGCACAAAATGGTTAGCTTATTTGGTAACTATAGTGGGGACGGTCTTGTTGACGACAGGCGCCTTTGTTGTTGCTAAACACTTACGTGGTGAAGGGATGGAGTCCAGCTCGCGCTTGACGTTCTGTCTAAATTCCGTCAAGACGTCGGAGTCCTTCTCCATGCCAGCCGCCACAAGCGCAATCAGTGCGGCGCCGACACCGCTGCCATCCTTGGCGATGCCGATGCGGATCTTTTCAGCGCCCTTGGCGCCGATACCGTCGATGGCGCGCAGGGCTTCGTAGATCATGTCGCGGAAGAAGGGGTAGTGCTCCACCAAGCTGCCGTCAACACCGATATCAATGACCTCCTCGTTGGGGTCATCCAGCTTGCCAGATTGCAAGACGATAGAGGCGATAGCTACGGCGGAAAGACGGGCAGCACGACGGCCGACAGCACCGGCCACGGCCTTGAAAGCCTGAGCGTCCTCGAGCGAGGGGGTATAAACCTGCAGGGCAGACTCGAGCTCCTGGCGAAGAGTCGATAGCTCGGGGGTGTTGTCGGCGGCAGCTACGGACATAATGGCGCTATCGAGGCCCCACTGCTTGAACATGCCGGATTGAGGGGCGATGTCGGTGGTGGACTTCCAGTCGTTGAAGCTGGAGTTGGCATCCTTGAAGAGAGAAAGCTTCTCGTCCTTGAGCATGTCAAGGATAGTAAGTCTTACGATCTCACCGAGGAACATGCCGGAAACGCGCTTCTCGAACATCTGAATACCTGGGTTGACACTGTCCTTGTCAAGTGTCCTGTCCCACGGAGTGTTGGGCAGGATGTTAAGCTGGTTGTCGAAGGAGCCCCACTCAACGTTGACAACCATCTCACCGGTGGTCGCCTCATAGTCGCCGACGATGGGCTTCTTGATGTTGGAGAGCTTCTCGAGGTAGGCGCCGTTGGTGCCGGTACCGAAAATGGCGCCGAGGATGGAGCCACCCTTGCCGGTAGAGGTGTAGGATCTCGCCATGAGAGTTCCGACAGTGTCGTTGACAAGAGCGGCAACGCGGACGGGAAGGTGCAGCTTGTCAATCTCGGTCTGCAGCAGGGCGCAGACGTCCTTGCCAACGGCATCGGGGATGTCGAATCCCTTGGTCCAGCGGATCAAGTTGCCCTTGTTAATACCAAGCTGCTGAACGGGGAAGCTGAAGGTGAAACCAAGGCGGAAAACATGCTCGTCGCGGTAGCCCTCGGGCGCGCTGTAAGTGTTTCGGCGGCGAATGTGTTGCTCAAAGTGGTCTGCATGGTGCTCCCGCAGGAACAGCTCAATCTGCTTGGCGAGGAAGGAGAAGAGTTCCGTGGCGGTCTTAGCAACCATAAGGTTCTTGGGGATCGCGACCTTGCTGTATGTGAGGTTGAAGGTGGTGTCACCGTTGAGTTGGACGGAGCACACGCGGAAGTTGGTTCCGCCGAGGTCGACGGCGAGGTAGAGACCCTTTAGGGGGGCGTTAGCACTGGCAATTGGGGATGCCGAGAAGCTAGCATGCTGTCTTCGTGTAATTTACCTTTTCAGTGCCATTGGGCACGCCCGTGACGTAGGTTGGGATCTGGCTCAAGCTCGTACCATCCTTCTCGAGTCCCTCATCTGCAGCGACCACCAAAGTCAGCCTCTTGATTTCAAGTGGGGGATAAAATGCGCTCATGCCACTGGAACCTGGTTTTGGTTCTCTCTCTTCTTTTTTTTTTTTTTTTACGCGCGCGCGGTTATTCGCGCACAGAGCACCCAGCAAGCTCCAACCCCCCCAAGCTCCAGCAAGGGGAGGAAGTGACTACACAGGGAAGGAGGGGTAAGCGAAGCGAGGCGACTTACGCAGTTGGCTGAGGAACTCCTTGACAGCGCTGTTCAAATAGGCATCGCTCAGATCGAACTGGCTGACAACGCGTTTTGTCTCTGCTTCGAGGGCCATTGTGAGAGGTTTCGAAATGGGTGGCGTAGTTGGAAAAGGCGCGGGATTCTCGCAGACAGGCTCCTGGAAGATTTGGGCCGAGGGCGAGTAAAATGGAGGTGACGGGTAGAAGAAGTGGTGGGCGGGAAAAGAGAAGGAGGAACGAAGCTGTAGCTGCAGATGCTGAGGCAGAAAGAGCTTGGCGTTTCCGAGGAGGAGCTGCGTGAGCTGTTGTGATGAGAAAGAAGAGGTAACGAATTAGTTTGTGAGCTACGAGACGAGTTTCGTCATGGGGGTATAGTAGTGTAGCTTGGCAAGGGATGACCACGTAGGAAGGTCAGTCAGGTAAGGTAAGGTAGAGAGAAAGAGGGAGAGGTAGGTACGGGGAGATTGGGGTATTGAAGCCAAAGGGAGACGAGAGATAGACAGATAGATGGGCAGAGAGAAAGGGGAGGGAGAGGAGCGAAAGTGGAAGGTTGGAGACAAAAGTCAACAAAAATAATGAAATATTTTGGAGGGGGAGGGATTGGGGGAGCTTCGAGGATGATGTATGTGACGAAATCGCAGAGCAATGGACAGGGGGTAATGGGGTCAATTGGCATGGGGCGGAACATGGAGCATGGAGCAAATGCGTGGAGCAAGCTGGAGCCCCAGCAGGCATGTTGAGGTACAGCACAGCTTTAGCGCCTGGCGCCTCAGTAAGGCCCGGCCAAGCCAGGTAAAGTAAGTACCTTCCCTCCAATTTTGGGAGAACCAAAAGGGACCGAAAGAAAAAAAAAAAAAAAAAAAAAAAAGGCCCGGAGGGAGAATGAGGTAATGATGTGGTGGGGTGACAGGCCTCGTGCTTCTTCTGCAAAAGACCAGACCAAGGTCAGACTAGACCAGGGAATAAACAAAAAAACCCAGCAGTGCACACGACTTCGTCGGGTCCAAACATGGGAATTGTTGGCCTGAATCGAACAGCAAGTTCATGATTCTGACAGTTCGCCGAGAAACAACCCAGCCGAGCCAAGCACTAGGACCGGGACAAGTGACATGACAAGGGACCTGTCAGAACCTGGAGCTGGATGGATGATCCCCCTCAAGGAACCCAAGGAAATGCGGACGCCAACGGGCCACTCCCAGCCAGGGAGAGAACGTGTGTGTGTGAGAGAGCGAGAGAAAGGGTTGGTGCAGGCAGGTGGCATCAGGTGCAGATGCAACAGTAGTAAATCCACGTCTCTCAAGTGGTCGGCCCGGACGGAGCATCAAACTGCGTGATGAAATCGGGTCTCGTGCAGCGCAGAACTCAGACAGCATCTCAACATCTGGTGTGCAGGGATGCAGCGCCAGAGGTGAGGCGAGCTGGCTGGACACCAACGTCTCTGCCTGCACCATATTCTTTCCTTGGTCCCCTTGGGGCTGCGGAGAACGGTCCAATGTCAGGCTGGCCCCAGTTTGAGTAACCTTGGCTCTGGATTTCCCTCCCTTTGCATGGTAAGCGGAAGAGGTGTGTGTGCGCGAGACCTGGCCATATCAAATGTAACCGATTGGAATAGTCCGCCCGCTCGCCGGTGAGGTATCACTCAGCGTGCGTCCGTCAAAAGCAGTAGTTTAGGACATCTGGGAAAAGTTCGGCGCTGGAAGGGGACATTGCCATCTGTCATTGGACAGCTGGCTCAAGTTCGGCCCCTCCGTTGTCTCCGATTGGCTTCCGGGCTGGGTCCCAGGTCCTTGGGGGGAGATTTCCCTCGCGGTGTTTCTCGCGGGCTTACACCGAATCCCCTGCTCTTTTGTCTGCTCTGGTCTGGTCTCTCTCTGCAGCTTGCCCACAGTTTGTTGCTACCACGCTGGAAAATATCGCGTGAAAGCCCCAACCTGTGTGTCTGGATCTGTCCCAGGGCGCAACCTCCAGGAAAATGAAAATGAAAAAACCTGGGCCTCCATGAATGACAATAAGCTTGCAAATTGGGCGCCTCTACCTCAAGGGTAGTTAATCACGCCCGCCCCAATCCAGACAGACATGAGAGAGCTCCAAACCTGCCACGCCACGCTATCCGAGGGGAACCACGACATGCGAAACTCCCTCCCGACTCCACGGTCCCACTTCTGCGCCGAAGAAGCTCCCGCCTACATCCACCGGGCGGGCCACCGAACATGCCGGAAATGGACAGACTGACGAGAGGGAGAAATAGGGAAATAATCGAGAATTAAAATTAGGAAAAGGGTGGGATGCTCCGTGCGGACGGGGTGAATGTGGGTAGTGGATTCAGGTGACGGGTGATTGGGATGGAGAGACACGAGAGCGCGAGAGAAAAATAAACGATGCACCACAAGATAACAGATCAAACAGCGACGGCTGGAAAGGGGAAAAAATCGAAAATGGGAGGAAGGGAGAGAGACGTGCATTGTCTGCAAAAAGGTACTTACAAGTACGAGCACTAACAGCGCGACCGAGCAAAGGCCGTACCAAAACGAGGAGACCCCATGGGAGACCAGGAAGCTGCTTCTTCTTCTCCGGTGTCTTGGACCTGTGGTTGTTGGCTGAATCAGTTTCTGCCGGCGATCAGGCTTGTTGCCGCTGCCGCCGTTGGGCCCGTTGATGCCGCCTCTGCCGAGCGTCAACACCGCCTCGTCGTTAATGTTGTGCTGGTATGCATTGGCGCCATCGTTGAATTCGTTGATGAAGTCCATATCCTCCGCCTCGACGTCAGACGTCCCTGTTTCATGCTGCATTTGCCGTCGCTGTCCACCTTGCCGGCTGCGATTCTGATGGCTCGGTGTGCTAGCGAAACCACCTACGCGCCAATCGGCGGCGTCTCCCACCAGGATGAAGCCCGACAATGCGCCGGTTTTTTTCCTCCTGGGCGGAATGGGGTGGCCTTCTGCGGTATTTTTACTCTTTCTTTTTTTTTTTTCCCGCCTTTACGGGACGGAACGACGGGTCAGTGTCCGGCGATTTTCTCCTATCAATGAGATATTTAAAAGGCGATGGAAGCTCTAGACTCTTGAACGGTAGCGTGCAGCTCCTCAATGTGCTACCTGAGATGAGGTTACAGCTGCAGTCGGTCACAGACGGTATCCTGCTGCAGCAAAGCAGAATGCTGGCTCCAATTGCGCCGTGCGCTGTGCACCACTGCTGCTGCTATCGTGGGTGATGACGATTGCTGGTGGTAGGTACAGTTCCGTCCAGTTTCGGCCCTTTGGAGGAGACAGCACGCGTTTAAACGGCCCGTCTGTAATTAGTTTCCCGGGTGTGACGCTGCGAATAGACGACGAGGAACCAGGTTTGCTCCCCCCAATGAGGTCATGAATGGGGATATCCCGGGGCAAACAAGGGTGTCTTTTCTCTTTCTTTCTCTTTTTTTTTTCCCCCGCCTGATTTTTGCGCGCCAAAATCTGCTGTCCTCGTGAACTCGTAGTGGTACGGCGGGCCTTGCTTTCGGGTTTGAGCGAGGAAATAAGGTGGTTAATACAAATGATTATGGGATGATAAGAATGGGGAACCTGGAGAAAAAACAACAGGAAACGAATAGAGAAAAGATCAGAGAGATAGAATCGCCAATGCTGCCCGCTAGTTCGTTGATTCGTTCGTTTCGTTCAATTGCTCGTAATGATTCGTCGAGCGTCTAACCAGGGAAAAACATAAAATAATTTCAGGGTCCCTCCCGAAGCTTGTGTTGTGTGTACTGGTTTTTTTTTTTTTTTTCTCGCGGTGGGGGACTGGGATTAAGGAAGATCTGAATCTGATCGGCCGGTGGGATTTTTTGTTCCAGATTCTCCTATTTGTGTGACCTGGTGTTGAGATAATTGGATGATGTTCTGTTGCGAACCGGGCGTCTGGGTAGGGTGGCTTGATCTCGGTATTAATAAATTCGGTGCGTGCCTCCCCAATGTCACTTGGTTCTTCCTGTCCCCTTTTCTTGCTTCCTAACAAAGCTGCCCCTCAACTTAGCGCCTGCAGCTTGGATGTCATGCGACCACTGATAGAATGACGGTTGTAGTGGCAGTGGCTGGATGGGCTGGCCTGTTTGAGGAAGTTGGATGGTGCGTAGTGCGATTTTCTCAAGAGTGTGTGCGTGGACTAAGGCAGGGTGGGCGGGAAGTCCCCTCTCTTCACGTAACTGCAAGCCCACGTCAAGGTTGCAGATGCAGAAACTCGAGACGAATTGCTTTGCTCTCAAAGTTGTCCTGTTTTGCTGTTTTGCTGTGTTTTCCGCAGTAATAGTGTAAGGAAGGGTGAGGTCCAATCGAAAGTTGCTTGTCGAAACCGAGGGGGTTCAGGTGTTTATACCAGGTCAGTTTCAAGCGGCGAATAGCCAACCCAATCTCGTCTCAAAACGGTCCCATAAATCGTTGGAAAAGATTGTAAAGTGAGACGTGAGAGCAAGATGAAAAGGAAGTGAGGGGAAGGGAAAAAACGAGGCCCCAGGCTCAGTGTTACACACGAAAGAGGGACAAAGACGATGACGGGAGGCTGGCAGTTGATCCTTCCCTCTTTTCCTAACCAACGATTTCTCTACCCAAAGCGCTTCTGCATTAGAGCCCGCCGTCTCGGAGGGTGGAGGATAAGTCTGGAAAGTGACCACTCAAATCTTCAACTAGATCAAGCAGTTCGCAGGGGGTTCCGCCCAACGGTTGCGGTGTGTACTGCAAGAACCGGGGTCAGAGACTGTTAGTTGTAGGATCGGTCTCGCTCTTCCTTGAATAGCTGCAGCTCGGTACGAATAAGTCGCTGCCACGATGGCTTTTGACTGACTGATAGTTGCTGTACAGTACAATGGGAAATCTCCCGGGGAAGACAAAGCAAACTCGACGGTCGAGAAAAGTATGTATTAAAATTAATGATAGTAAAATTATAAAAGGGAGGGAGAGAAGCAACACACGATACTTGTAAGGACACGGCACGTGGCAGACGACTACCCCGGAAGTGGAAGGGGAGCTGGTGCTGATGAAACGGACACCCAACCCCAACGAGAGAACGGGCCTCTCTGTGGGACTCGACCAATCCCCCACAACCTCGCTCGCCGTCCTTTGGTTGGCGGCATCATCACACATCCTGGTCATCAATATATCCCCTTTGCTGGGGGAGCCTCGCTTCACTCTTCAGACGGTTGCCCATAGGACAGATTGCTTCCATTTAGGCCAGTTCCAGAAATTTCCAGTCTACGATATCATACAGGACCATCCTTCTGGCCACATGGTCAATACCAATGCTTATAACCACATGCCTCATTTTCATGCCACAGTATGTTGTCTGTACTCGTTTTATCGCAAATGCTTCACCTCAACATGCATGTCCATAGGCTTGCCAGTATTCTTCCATAGCACTTTTGTCCATATGCCCAAACAATCCTCACATTAGATGCATGTTGACACTGCATTACAATTCATGGCGGCATTTAGGGTGAAAAACTCCTCTTGATGATGAAGAAAGAGGCCATGAGCAATGCGGCGCAGGTAATGAAGACAGCATTCCGATGCGCGTCGCCTGTTCCGCAGATTAGCATAATAGCCCCAAGCTTCGATTCACACAACTTACCCTCTTCATCCAGGCTGTGAGCCACGACAACAAAAATGTTGAGTGGCAGTCTCAGCATGCTGTATACACGTCCACGGATGCTGTCCTCAACGACCTCGCTCTTCAAGAATGACATGCTTGGGAAGTACGCTCCGATGCATGCCTCGATCATGCACAGCGCCCAGAAGAGTAATTGTTCGTGTTCCAGGAGAACTGCGCCTGAGAGACAGCAGCTGACCATGAGGACCGCAATCATTAGAATGATAGATGTCGTCTCCTTAGTGTGTGTCTTGGTGTAGAGCGAGAAAAAGGCCGATCCAGCCATCATAGAGCACATGAAGCTCGAGAAGATGAGGCCAAACGGCAGCTCCTGGTCGGAACCTGCCTTGGTCCTCGCGCTCTTCAGCGCAGCAGACCAGAAGAAGACAAAGAGGTACATGGCACCCTCGAAGAAAGTCAGTGTCAGACCCAGAGAAACAACACGAGCATCCGATATAATAGCCTTAACACCGCTCTTGAGATCGGCAAAGGAGGTCTGCCCGCTTCCCTGCTGACCTCCGTAGTTCTCCCGCCAGGACTTGAGAATCAACAACATAGCCGCCGTGGAGCATAACGCACTAGCCATGAATGGCCAGACGCGGCCGCCCAATGAGTTGACCAAGATATCACCAACAATGCCTGAAAGTATCGCAACAATGGAACTGATAGTAGTCATGTTTCCAAAGATGGCACCCAGCTTGAGGTTCGTCCGCGACAGGCCCCGATGGTGATACTCGGTAATCAGCCATGCTTCGAATACGCTGTAGAGCAGGGTCGTCGAGATACCGCCGCAAAACCGACCGAGGAAGAGAATGAAGAGGTCATCAGAGAGCATCGTCAGGCAGGTTAGGATATAAGTGACGCAGTACGTGAGGCAGGCGAGGCGACGGCCGTATCGGTCGGCGAGTTCGCCGGCGAAGGAGGCGGAGAGAGCACCAGAGACGAAGCCCGCGGCGTACAGAGCAGCCACAAGCTTCTCCGGGATGTTCTTCTCGTATTTGTAGATGGCATAGATGTGAGGTCCCTGTACGGATGTCAGCACTCCCCCTTTTCATGAAACTGCACACGCCCTTACCTGCAGCCAATCTGCCGCCATCGCCAGAGCGTAGACAGGAAAGTATTCTAGCTGGAATTGCCGGGCAGCGGCTTGGGTATCGGAGCCCAAAAGCGAGTGCTGCTGCTCGGCGGCGTCTGCATCTGAGCCGTACCCGGCATCGGCATCAGCGGCCTCCTGCTTCAACTCCTCGACAACTTCCTCCTGCTGGCGCTTGTACTGGCAGTAAAGCAGGTATCCATTGCCCGCCACGAACAATGCCAAGTTCACCGAGTAGAAATCCATGATGTCGCGTATGGTCGGTCGTCCGGTGATGCGGGATGAGGAAATCGTGCTCCCCCAGGTTTGCAATTCAGGACGTTGGATTGCTCTAATAAATCTGGCGACGCGGTGAACCCAGCATTCCAGAGCGCAACGGTATCAGCGGGCGTCGCGCGTCTTGGGATATCCTGACATTCGGCGTGTCTCAGCTGCCCTTTGATCAGTGCTACCCTAGCTTGGCATTCGCAGAATGGATTCTCGAACAAGCTGCGAGGGGTGATGAGGGATGGGCAATCAGAGGGAGAAAATGATAAAAGGTTCTACATTCTTAAAGGAAGGAAGGGGTTTGTAGGTTCCCCCTCATATCTGTACAGTTCTTACCATTCGTTATCATACCAGTTTGGCAATGCCGTATCCAGCAACTGCGATCTTGCCTCAAATCGACTTTGAGGGGGCCCAGAACTGGTAATATGGGACGCAAACAGTGGCCCAACGATTCAGTGGCTGACTGCGCTATCGAATCTGTAACACGGCCCCTAAACTATAGCTGTCACACCTGCCAGTTCATCGCCGTCGATTTTCTACGTGCTTGCTAATTAAAGCAACTCTGATCTGATATCCCGAGTTTAACCCAAATCTTGTGGATGACGTTCCGAATTGGTGAATTCGGCATGGGAAGGGAGGCCACCACAGCCAATGAAAGGCCAGCTACTGTTTCCAGCTTGAGAGCTGGTCCTTAGCCCGCGCCTCAACTGGCAAGCGCGGAAACACCGGAACAACTCGCCATGGACCGAGCACTTGTCCAGCATGGTAAGTCAGCAGTGATGGAATATATTGGAGGGCACTTGCACATTCCTGTTTATAGGGGAGAGCAATGTGTCTGGCACGTTAGGACACGAAGGGAGATGCGGATATGTAAAGTCTCCCTTCAATGCCATGTGTCCTCGCCGTAAGACATGTGGGGCTCCGTCGGCATGCGTGTAGCACAACGACTTTGGCTTCAGATACTAGAGAAGGTTAACAAAGTATGGCCGTCTACTAAACAAGGAAATAGTCGAACATGCGGATGTATGCCACCATGTTTGAGACCAATGATTCTTGTTTGTTGAAAAAGCCAGCTGGTGACATTATAATCGTGATGTAGGCTCTTGCGACCAGGGCAATGGGCGACGGGAATGAAACACAACATATACACCAAGCTCTGGTTTCATTCTTCAAGATCCGCATTTTTGGACACAGTTCATCGCTCCCGTGTGTCCTCATCCTGGCAGGAAGTGACCGCGGGCCGAAACCACGTAAACAGCACTCCAACTGGACTTCCCGGTCCTCCAAGTCGCGGTCACGGCGGGACTGGGTCTGTCAACGCCGACGGTACCAACCCACAGTCTCCAGGTCCCCTAAGAAACTCAGGCGTCGCCGGAGCCAATCCGGAGCATCGGGGTTGTTCCGTGAAGAGCTGCCCCATAATAGCAACAGGGCTTTGGTGGCAGTGCAGCGGCACTTATGAGTCTATCTAGGAAATGGTGGATAACGTGCTGGCGCAGTCGAGTTCGCGTAATCAGAATTCATGACCGCCGCCCACGCCGACGGAGTTCGCAGCATGATGAGGAAACAAGTGGTGCCGCGGCCGTAACAAAATGGAGGTGCTCAACCGAGATGATGCCTGAGCATATACCTATAGGCGCAGTTGCCGCCGTACGTTGCGCCCAAACAGCGAACACTAATGGGAGACATCCGTCTTGATCGCAGGCCGGTATTGTAGTAACCAACCCGTCGTGCTCCGGGGCCGCCTGTGGCATAGCACGGCTCCAGCACTTGACCACTTCGTAGTGTACGGGAAGTCTCGAACATCCAATCCAGGGTTGCTTTGGCGCCTGGAGCCAGCTGCCAGCCTCCGTAGGATTTCCGAGCGAGAAAAACGAGCGAAACAGATTAACAGGTTCGTGGGCTAGCTGTATTCCAACCACTTGGGAATGGGGGATGATGCTTGGACCCAAAAGCAGTGCGGCTGAGCTGCGGAGGGCGTCCAGAGAGACGAAGACAGTAGGGGAACCCCCCCTTGTCTAGCCTATCAGAAGCCTCCATAGCTCAGCATGGCTGTCGTGCTACGCCTCGTCACACCTGGCTTTCTCATTGTGGGACGAGATCGTGCGCTCCAGCGTTTGAATGAAGTTGGCAAGCTTTGGTCAATGATGCCTTTTTACACCTGCCCGACTCCCTGGAGAGCAGCTTAGAAACGAGGACCAGGGCGACAAGGAAGCTATGGCGCCGGCCGGTTTCGAGGTTGGCGCTCCGCTGGGTTGGACAAGTCCGACGCCGCCGAGGCTTTCTTTGCGGCGCCACAAGAATGCTGGCAATCCATCAGTCCGTGATTTTAGCAGGGCGTTTCTGAGGCTCCAGCGTCTGGCCAACAAAATTGCTTCCGGTGACAGGGAGATGAAGCTCGAGTTCAAAGAGTGTGCAGCAAGTGTCAGAGCAGGGCTGAGTTGATGGTACAATGGCTGGTGGGTGACGGATGCGAGTCCTGGAAGGCATGATGACATGATAAGATCCTTTGCCCCACTCCGCTAAGGCAACTGGAGAGATACGCATCAGCATTCTGTGGGACATTCGGATTTGCCAGAATTCCAAGTCGAGTTATGATCTTCCAAGAGCCTACATAGTATGGCGGTTTGTCTGGGCCGGGGGCTTCGATACTGGCAATATCCTCGAACACAAACCGTTCACTCAACCAAAATGCAACCCAAAATTTCCAAGTGTTTGGGGCCGAGGAAAAAGTGTATCCCGTCGTACTTCTCTTCATTACCTAAGAAACTCATGGGTGAGGGACCCTGACACAGGCGCAGGAATCGTAAGGAACCCAGACAGGCGGGGGTAAGCACGAGAAAGAGATAAAGAGGAGAAAAAAAGAAGTTGAAAAAAGACCAGGGACGGAGTACACCGCCCAAGGTCATTGACAATAAAATAAAAACAGAATATACGGGGATAGAAGAAGAAAGGGAAAAACCCACACCCCTCCCCGACCCTTTCGGACAAAGGACTGGATCGCCCTGGTGACCCAAAAGAGCACAGTGATCATGTCACAATTTTGATCAAACACGAGGAGAAAGGAAGCAGAATAACCAGATGTCTGTCAGAGTGCGTTTCTTCTGGATAAGGTACCCAGACAAATCAGTGAGTGAGTTACCAAAGGCAGTGTGGCGGCAGGCTGCATGTAGATTTCGTAGTGCATGCTAATCAGCAGCCCGAGGTAAGGTACCTCGGAGGTACGTGTCGCAGGGTTAAAAAGTCCTACAGAAAGTCCTGCATCTAGGGCCATTGAGAAGTCTTGCCGAGCCACCTTGGGCCTGTTTCCGTTGTTGCTACCCCACACCCAAAGCTCAATAAGCAGAGATACTTGGGCCCGTCGAGAGGGGCCCGTCCATAGAGACCCGTCAGACTGGAGAGGGGAATCGTATCGTAAAAGAGACCTGCCAATAGCAATGGGTATGGAGGAAACGGAGTCGACGAGCCAGGTGCTTGTTTTCTTTGCTAATGGAATCATGGGGTGTGGGTTCTCCCTTGCTTACCGGTTGCAGACTATCCGTCTCGTTGGGCGTCAATCGAGGGCCGTATTCACTCTCAAGGAGCACCATGATTCCTCAACAGCTGGCTTAGCCAACTGCCAATTTAGACCATCGAAAGCTTGCAGTAGAGGTCTTCTCCTAGTGGTTGAGTAAGTAGAGCCGCAACTTAGTGGGCGATTTCGCAGGCTGCCCTGAAAGGCACTCTGATACTCAGGATCTCGGTTAGCGAGAAAAAATACCATGTTCGCACATCGTCTGGTGGGGGCCTGTAACAACGTCGCAGACTTTCCCGTCGGCGAAAGGATTCCCTGTCGTTGAACTTCTTAAGTCAACCTTAATGTGCTAACGTGCTGACGAAACAGCATCCACGTCCCCGGGGACCCCGTCTGTTGTGTCCGCGAGAGTCGTAACAGGATCCCCGCGTCCCTGTCTATCCCATCGCAATATGTCAGCCGTCTGTCAAGCACCTCAGACGAGGACGGGCAGGGTAGGGTTTGTTTAGGCATCGAAATTATTTGTGTGCTATCTATACGCAACTGTCTTCGGTCTTGAAGATTGGTCAACACATGGGCTGGCTGACTGATTGACTGACTGGGACCAGGAAAACCAACTACTGGTGATATGTCAGCTTCGCCGCCAGAAGAGATGAGACGGATTGCTTTGGTTCAAGCTGTAATTATGTCACCTGTGAGTGCCGTCTTGGGCAAGATGGAAAGCGTTCCTTGTTTCTCCCCCATCCCTTACAGACGCCATCTGGCCGTCCAATATCTGGCGTTGTCTGATACAAGCACCAGGTAGCATGCAGTCTCAAAGTGTCTGGTGTAGATAGTCGACGGCGAAAACCCTCGTTTCGGGGAAAACAATGACTGGCGCCCGGCGGCAAGAGACTAGACGAAACTGATGGGACGCATGTGTGCGAGTATCTGACCGCCTCAAGACCTTTTTTCCCCCTCCCTTTTCCCCTGTTGCTGAGCTGCGGGCAATCCGTATCGTAAAAGTCCTAGGGAAGGAAGGTCGGTCAATTGATTGAACGAGTGACAAAAATGATGGTCCTCGGCGAGAATGTACCTTACGAGTACAGCTTCCCCACCGCACTGCCTTCGCTCACCCTGCAGCCAGTTTAGCTCTGGGCCATTCCAATCTTTGTGGCAGCATGCGGTGGCCTCTCAGCCTTACACCTGCCTAGAAACGAGCTGGGGTTCCTCCACCTGGCCGCACCCGCTGGCTCGTTTTAGTGCCGTCAGCTGCTGGTGCCAGTTCAGCCACCGTGCTGTAGGTAAAGCCATGTACATCGGGGCCTTTTTTGATATGCAGAAATACATACGGTGTCTTACAAGTACCCCACCCCCAGCACCCAACCGCTAAAGGGAAGACCAGGAAGAAAAATAACGAAGAGGAAGCACAGGGCAGCACGGCGTTTGCGCTTTTGCTTCAAAACATGACAGGAGACGGAAACAAAGCAAGGCAAAAGTAAGAGAACAAACAAGATAGGAAACAGGCGAAAATAAGCAGCTGCAACAGAATCAGCGACGGTAGCTGCGGAAACTCAAAGTCTCAGTACACATATTCGATGCAAACTGAGCGATCGTATCTCTCTCCATACTACCCAACCTACCTTTTTACCTTGACCCCACGGCCCCAGTTTGGGTTGTACAGCCGTCCCCTCTGCAAGCCTATGGAATTAGCAGGTCTCCTTACCTCTACACCCGCTAACACTGGCATCATCATCGCGCCTCATCAGCATAGCATCATCATCCTACTCCAATCCTTGATCCTTTACTGGTCTATCTTGTTCGTTCTGGGTAATAGCCATTATCTGCCGCATCTGCACCTCGTGTTTAATACTCGGCATCAAGGCGCTTCTGCATCAATTTTGTCTACAGGGCTTGCATCTGCCACACTGCACTGCTTCCGCCTCCACGCCTTGCCTCCTCCACCTCTGTTAGTAAAACGGATACTCTCTAAAAAAGAAAAAAAAAACACACAAGTCGTCCTATCCCCGGTCGTCCCATTCTCTTGTCCACCGTATCCTAGAAGTCTCTTCGTTCTGCCGGCGCACCGTACCTTAAGCAGTGGTGTATCACTTTGCATCGCATCATCCCAGAAACGGCGGGTTAACCATTGAAAACAACAAGCGTCCACGACATACACACACCACCAAACAAGAACGCCAGCTCCCAAGCCCACGCCTATGCCCAGGCTCACTCACGTCTTTCGTTCTCCCAAAAACGAAGGGAAAAAAAAGCCCACGGCCCTTGACCCACCCCCCGTTCACCCCCCTCCCCCCCAAATCCCCGTCCGCTTGTCCACCTCACGTCCCATTCTCAGTGCCCATTCTATTTTCTCGCTCCTCCTTCCCACACTTTCTCGTCCTTGTCAAATCCGCCCACCCCCCTCCCCCCTCTGAACCGTCACAGCCCAGACTGCCAGCTGAGAAAGAGTCCTGAGGCCCCGTCCGTTCTGTCCTGTCCTGTCCTATCCTGTCTAAACTGACTGGACTGACTTTACTGACTCTCACTCACTTTCCGACTCCCGGCTGCGACTTTGACTACTGCTACTCCTGCTGCCACCCCCCCCAGCCTGTTCCATCTCATCCCATTCTGTCCTGCCCGTCCTTCCTTGCCTTCCCCGGCCTGTCCTGTCCTGTCCTGTCCCAGCCAGCAGCGCCCACTTCAGTCCTAAGCCCAAGGCCCAAAGCCTAAGCCTGCGCCCAGGACCAGCCCGGCGACACCACCACCACCGCGCGGCTGCAACCCAAACCGAACCGATATACCCTCTGCTTGTCCTGCCCACCTGAGGCCCGAGTCCCTTTTACCCTCCCCTCTTCCCTCCTCCTCCTCCCCCTCCTCCCTCCTCCAAAACCACTTCCCTTATGAGCTTTTCCAATTCCCGCCTGAAAGGCTTTGGTTTCGGTAAACGCAAGTCAACTGCCAGCATCCAAACGCCCGACCCGAACCAGACACCAAGCCCGACCCCTCCTCCTCAAGGCCACCCGTCCGGCGCCCCTCAAATACCGCAGCAGATCCCCGTCCGTCCTGGCTCGATTGCCTCTACCTCCTCTGTCCCCATCGCCCCTATGAATCACCCAGGCGCCGGCAACCGCCCACCGAGCTATTCGGCCAACTACCCTCCCGGCGGTCCTCCTCCCCTCGGTCGCACAAGCCCCTTGACGAACCAAGGCCCAACTCGCACCCCGCCTAGCCAAATGGTTGGCGGCCCGCCTCCTATCAACACTGGTGCCCCCGTCGCCGGCTACCCGCCTCAGCTTCCTCCCGTCGGTGGCCAGGGACACCCCATGGGCGGCCCTCCTCAGTATGGCGGTGGTGGTGCCGGTTACCCTCCCCCGGGCCCTCCTCAGGGCCCTCCCGGAGGCCCCATGGCGCAATACCAGCGAGGCGGCAGCGCCGCTGAGGTTGAGGGCAACAGCAGGAGTAAGGCTCAACTGATTGTCGGTATCGACTTTGTACGTGGCCCTTGGGACTCGAAATGGCGGGGTGGTTCGATTTGCTGACATGTCTGCTAGGGTACGACTTTCTCCGGCGTGGCTTTCGCCTTTGCTACCAACAACGAGGCAAAGGAGGACATTATTACGGAATGGCCCGGTGCTGGTTCATACACAAAGCAAAAGGTTGGAATCTCGGAGGCGTGGGGTGTGTGTGCAGTATGATCAATTGCGACTGACAATGCTTCTCTTCAAGATTCCTACCGTCCTCTACTACGATCAGTACCAGAAGGTTGTCGGATGGGGCCCCGATATCGCCGATGCTCTCGCTCCCACTGGATACCCCAAGCCCGGTGTGCAAAAGGTCGAGTGGTTCAAGTTGCAGTTGATGCTTTCCGGCAACACCTATATCGACCCCATTAACCTGCCTCCTCTGCCACCCGGAAAGTCCGAGATTGATGTTGCCGCCGACTACCTCTTCAAGCTCCGCCAAGCTATGCGCTCAGCGCTGCAGAAGACGCTTGGTGAAGTGTTCAACCGTGAGGAAAGGAACATTCGTTACTATCTGACAGTCCCTGCTATCTGGAACGATGCCGGCAAGGCCGCAACTAGAGCCGCTGCCATTCAGGCCGGCTTCCTCAGAGATGAGAACGATAACCGCCTAACTCTTGTCTCCGAGCCTGAGGCGGCAGCTATCTTCTGCTCCAAGACCGGTCTTCTCAACCTGAAGGTGCACGACGCTGTCCTCATCGTCGATTGTGGTGGTGGTACCGTCGATTTGATCGCCTACGAAGTTGAAGACGAGAACCCCTTCACTGTAGCCGAATGTACCGCTGGATCCGGTGACTCTTGTGGTTCAACAGCTCTAAACCGTAACTTCAGCAACATTCTGCGCACCAAGATCCGCAAGATGAAGCTTCCTGATGGGTCCAAGACTGCCGGCCGTGTGTACGCCAAGTGTATCATGGATTTCGAGAACCGTATCAAGGCCGATTTCCGCAACAATGGTCAAAAGTGGGCCGTCGATGTTGGCATTGAGGCTGAGTTCCCCGAGGCTGGTATTGAGGAAGGTTACATGACCTTCACCAACGAGGAGATTCTGCAGTGCTTCGAGCCCGTCGTCAACCGAATTCTGGAGCTTGTTAGGAACCAGATCATTGCCATCCAGGCCCAGAACCGTACCCTTCAGAACATTCTCGTTGTCGGTGGTTTCGGTGCGTCCGAGTACCTCTTCCAACAGATCAAGCTTCACGTCCCTCCCCAATTCCAGTCCAAGGTCGTCCGACCTATGGACTCCGTTGCAGCCATTGTTAAGGGTGCCGTCACTGCCGGTATCACCGAGCGCGTCGTCACTCACCGTGTTGCCCGTCGCCACTACCTCATGGCTACTCTTCAGCCCTTCAAAGAGGGATACCACCCCGAAGCCTACCGTGTGCCATCCCTTGATGGCAAGGATCGTTGCAAGTTCACCCGACAAATCTTTGTGCAGAAGGGCCAAAAGGTCAAGATTGGCGAGCCCGTCAAGGTTTCCTTCTTCCGACAGGTCGCTCCTGGCGCCACTCTCATGTACGAGGACATCCTCTACGCATGTGATGACGACGTCTGCCCTGAATACACCAAGGATCCTCGTAAGTTGCATGCTTCTCTCGCTGAGACAACTCTGGCTAACCCCCCTCTAGGTATCAAGGAAGTTGTCACCCTCACATCCGATCTCTCACGCAAGAATCTCGAGAAGGACTTTGAGAGGATGGACACGCCACAGGGCACGTTCTACCGTGTCTACTTCGACATTTACCTGACACTCGACGGATCAGAATTCAGCGCAGAACTAGTTTGCCAAGGCGAGGTTATGGGTCGCTGCAGAGCTCGCTTCAGATAAAAATGGCGGGGATGAAGAGAAGATTGATAATGTTTGCCGCTTTGCATTGGGCATTTCGTTTCCATACACTCGGATGATACCTCGAAAAGGTGAAAGGAGTCGGAAGGACAGCCGAGGCTAATAATGGCCAAGAGTATATATCTCACGAAGAGACCTCCCAGAACAGATCACTGGAAAAGAGGGTTGGATTTTGGGAGGCTTTTATTACGACACTGAAGGATGATGGTCTGTAGTCAGTTGTAGACGCACGACATTCCCAGCATGGGACAATTCAAGTTATTTTAAGATCAATTGCCTAGACATCACGTTTATATCCCGGATGCCAACCATGTTTTGCGATGAAGAAGCCTGTGAAGCACCACAAGGTCGATGCTGGCGGGTCTCAATTCAATACTCTTCAGACCTTGGCTATGAAAATCGAGGGGCAAGCTGGTGCAGAAGCTAGACCATAGAGCACGTCGAGACTGATGGTTTCCAATGTATATTTTTGACAAGCCAATGGCATATATCTTGCTGTAAGGAAGGCAAAGGTGTGACGAGACTGAGGCTGTGTACAAGATATATTGTGTTCGTTGGAAATGTATCGCGTAGCATTTTTTTGATGCTGGAAATACTTCTCCTGCTGACCGCTCTAACAACCCTCGGCACAGCCACATGAGCTCGGAGGTGAAGCCTAGTCCAGAACTGACGCGGGGCAAGGGGCCAAACAGGGAAAGCCCCAGTCACTAACAACTCAAGGTCCGGCCCTGCAGTAACGAAGAGCAGCAGTAGCAAATAACGATGAAATGGATGGAACAGTGCCCCTCTCCTTTTTTTTCCTCCCCCCTCCCTGTAAGAAACGTCTCATCAATGGGGAAAAACGAGACATCATCAACTGTACAGGAGTTTTTGACTGAATACCATCGACGTTTCCTACCCGTCTCCTCTGCATCTTTAGCTCCGCGGGCATAATCTTTAAGACCCTACCCTCTGCCCTATGACCCAGTTTCCTGTTATAGCTATCCAACCAACCCGCGGCTCCCACCTGGCACCCTCTGACGCTATATCGCGTCTACAGGGATAATCAGGTATTGGCCCTGGATCAAGCAGGCCGATCACCTCTTGGAACCTTGCCGCCCCTGGCTTCTATTCGCTCTCCTGTCGACAGTCTGTACGTCACTGGACGCAGGTCCGCCACGAACCATTGGTGGCGCTGAATCACCGCTTCAGAGAAGCCGTCCGTATATCTTTGCCCGATTGTCGTGTCGTCGGGTCATGGAAGCTTGGGGCCCCTGAACCATGAAGTATCGCCGCATTTCAACTTATACAAACTCTCTGGTTGTCTTAAACACGATCCTATATTGCTGATTCTCGCCGTTACCTCTTTACTTTATTTGAGTTACTTCGGCAGAAGACCGCCAACCTCTGATACGCAGACCATGAGACAGTTGTCATCGAGGAAAGGCGACAAGCGCTCGGCGACATCCAGCCGAGACCTGGTTCTTGCGCTGACTCTTGTGTTCCAGCTGCCGACTACCAATGCCATTGTCTTCCCGAGCAACAACCCCAACTACAAGACCGACTATTTGCAACTAAACAAACGGTATAACCCCGCCAGGCGAGGACCGCCCGAGGACTGGAACGGGAGAATACCTTTAAAGATCACCAACTCATGCCCTGAGACGATCTGGCCCGGTATCACCACGCAACATGGTATCGGCCCCGGGACCGGTGGCTTCGAACTTGCTGCAGGTGACAGCCGAGACCTCTGGGTCGGTCCTACATGGCAAGGCCGAGCGTGGGGACGCACCAACTGCACCGTCAATGGAGAATCGGCTGGTTGCACAACGGGAGACTGCTTTGGAAAGCTTGATTGCGAGTTCAGTGTAAGTGAAATATCATGTATGCTCGAAAAAGGTTCTAACCAAGCATAGGGTGCTGTTCCATCTACGCTCGCTGAATTCAACCTAGCAGGAGGTGTCAACGGAAGACAAACATTCTACGACATATCTCTTGTTGATGGCTACAACATCCCGGTGGGTATCAATTACATTCCTGCTGGGAATACCACATACATCCCGCCAAACCTGACCAACTGTGCCTGTATCGCAACGCCTGGATTCATGGCGGAGCGCTCGGCGACCGGCAACATCTATACCAACACCACCTACCCAGTGCCCTGGGAACCGAATGAGTCGAACGAGAGCGTTCGAGACTGGTGTCCGTGGCCGCTGCTCTCCAACCCACCTGACAAACCAGGTGACGGTGTCTATCCGTACCCGGATGACAACATCAAGCGTCCTGACTTTAGCCCGTGCAAGAGTCAGTGTGCCGCCACTAATGCGGATCAGGACTGCTGCGTCGGCAAATGGCACGATCCTAACAAGTGCAAGCCAGGCTTATACTCCAGGCATGCCAAGGCTATGTGCCCTGATGCTTATAGCTTCGCCTTTGACGACCAGACGTCAACCTTCATCATCCCCTCAGGCGGTGGCTGGGAGGTAGTCTTCTGTCCCGCGGGAAGGAGTACTAACATCCTACGTACCCTAGGACCACAGCTGTTCGAGCTCGCAAGCGCCGGATTCTTGAGCCAGAAGAACTTGGATCTGGTTAAGAACCACTCCTGGATAGAGTCGCAGAGTGAACAGAATACCGCTTCCGGCCCAGCATCCACATCAGTGTTGGTGATTTGTGTGGCAGCCGCTACTTCCTTACTAATGAGCTGGTGAGGGAGGGCGGACGTTTTCAAAGACTGAGGACGATGGGCAGGCCCCCACGAAATCAGTCGTAGCTTTTTCTTTTCTTTCTTCTGCTTGAATTTTGGCATTAGGATACCCTAGAACGATCACATGAGGCGTGGACTGATGACAGATGAGAACGATTAACACAAACGGACTCGAGGTTTGAGAGTCAGCAATCAGCAACCATGGCAGAACCTGCTGCTTTTATTGTTTTCCATTTCCCTCACGTACCTAGAAACCTTATACCCGTATCAAACAATAGGATAAACCTCGCGCTTGTACTTGGTGCCTATTTTTCTGTGACACTTTACGTCAATAACACAATGTCTATAGCTGTTCAGTATATTTCGGGTGACTAATGTAACCTACACACCGTTGGAATACAAACGCATACATGTATGTGGTGCGGTTGCAGAATGCATCAGTGCGGTATGCAAGATGGACAATTTTTTAAGCTTTTGGGAAACGGTATCCGATGCAGTGACACCGGCATGACTGCCGTCTAGCCGCATGCCTCCCGTCTTCTGGAACGAACTCCCTCTCTCTACCTCTCCACCTCTAGCCGCGTTCGCGATCAGACGTGTATACATACATGCATGGGGGTCAACACACACACACACACACTCACTCACATACCAATCGGATTCGATATGACAATGATGGAAATGATGATGGCGATGTGGATTTACAACAATAAAAAAACGTAAACTTTCACATTTGCCCGTCTAAGCCGGTTCGCTAACACCCTTTCCTCCGCCCACGACTCCCCATCGCCGCCTGTCCACCCGCCCTCCTTGATGGAAGAACAAAAAAAAAAAATTTCCCGAGTCTATGTGTTGGATGGGCTATATGGTACCCCTATTTCTGTTTGGTTTCTCCTTGGTGCGTTTGTGTGTGTGTACGCTTGGGTGCTTTTCTTTTCTTTTGTTGCCAAAAGTTTCCTTCCGGTAGCGAGAACAGGTAATGGTCTAACATGTTTGTGTCCCGCGGAAAACCAGAGCGAGACTCTTTCCGTAGTCCTTTATATTTCAACACTGTGTTGACGGAAATATGTCCTCCGCTGCAGTGTATACTCCTCTGAGAAAGGTAAAATCTGGGTGAAAGGTCTTTCGACATATCTTCGGCCCCCCCGGCCCTTATAGGACCCAGAGATAATCAGAATCAACCCCTCCTGGCGGCCCTCTCCTGCCGTCTCCGCTCCCACTCGGCCCTTTCCTCGTCATCACTGCCGCTGAACTCGGCATCTTCGCCACTCTCATCGTCAGGCACAACCTGCTGCTGCTGTTGGGGAACAGGAGGGGCCTTGTTCTTGGGGGCGGACGACTCGACGTTGATGAAGTCACCAGCATTAAGCGCGGCGTACTCGTGCTTCTGGATGAGCTCGCGGAGGGCCGTGTTGCGGGGGTCGACAAGCTGGATGGCGGTAAGGCCGCCCTTGTTCTTGACGCGCGGGTTGGAGCCGGCCTCGAGCATCATGTCGACGAGGGCGTTGCCGAACTCGCGCTGGGCAGGGGGTTCCGAGTTTATCCAGCGGATGGCGGTGTGCAGCGGCGTGTCACCCTCAAGGCGGTTGACGGGGTCGCATTCGAAGTTTGGTTGATCCAGGAGGAGGTCGATTATCTCATCTGTTTGTTAACGAGTGTCTTGTTAGCATCATGGATTTCACAGTTTGTAGGGGGTGAAAAGGTGAGGGGGGCAAACGCACAGTTTCCTCGCGAGGCAGCTTCGTGGTACAGGTGGTTTCCCATGACGGTCGTGGTCTCGTTGAGGATGCGGGAGAGTTCGTCCTCGTCCTTGATGTCGGCAACAACCTCATTGAAGAGGTCGGTGTTGTTGCGGCGGCAGGCCTCGATCAGGAGCTCCTTGACGGAGGCGCCCTATTGCGGTCGTTCGTCAGTCGGCATTCCCCAACCCATTCACTCCCCACGCCATGGTTGCGCTTGGCTTTTGGGGATATTTCCGGAGTAAAATGGAGGGTGAAAGCAGGGAAACGTACCTCGTGTTCCTCATTGTCATCCGCCATGCTTGCCAGCTCTTTCGTTTCGGTCGTATGCGGCTCGTTGACGTCGAGGTTGGGTTTGGGGGTGAGATGGTGTTTCGAAATGGCTCCGTGCTGGCCGGTGCTCGTCAGGTACTAGGAGGGGAGGTAGGCTCGGTTGGTGGGGTAAGTAGTGCACAGAGATGGCGTCGACTGCCGAATGCTACGTAATATCGTGAAAATGGTGCTTTCGCGCAAGTGGAATGTACGTCGCAAGGAAGATAATGCAAATGTGCCCAACGTGAAGAAGATGTCTGGAGAATCGGGTTGGTTCGTCTCAGCAAGGCAGAGACAAGAGACAAACGTGAAGTACACTTGGCCCAAAAGGGACTTGTCGGCAGTGATAGTTTGGCTGGTGGAGGGCGTAATTGGGGGAGAGAGCTGGCTGGGAACACCCAGGACCCAGGAGGTGGCAGTGAGATCGACCGACCCCTGATGAGAAGGGGCTGCTTGCTTTTAGCGGGTGAGGTACGTAACCTCTGTCACTATAATGGGGGTTCTACAGAGGGACAAAGGATTCTGTCCCAGCGGTGTTTTGCCCCGCTGATGGGACGGGTAAGGCGGGGTGCGACTCGAAGAAAAGGAAAGAGGGGCACGGAGTTTCTATTTGAGCGAGGTTCCGGCGGGATGGCCCGCATGTTCGGGCTGTTTTGCGCCAAGACTTTTTTTCTCGCTGGCTTGAGGTGAGAGTGACTCTTGACCGAGAGCGAAAGAGATAGAGAGGTTCGTCCCCCACCGTCGCATTCCAGGCCCGCTGAATTTTTCTGGCTATCAAGACCCGGCCCCGCGCATACAGCGTCTTTATCATTGTCACTGCCATATTACACGTCGCATACGAAAAACTCACCCGAAGTACGTTTGAGAAGCTCTCGCCGCCAAAATGTTGCTCTGTAAGGCCTCCCCTTACCTGCGATGCGGATGCCGTCCACCTCTAACACCACAGTCTAGTTTGCCCCAATTGCGCGAACATCCTTACCGTCTCAGCCTACGCCGGCGTCCGCAACCGCCTCGAGTGCCGGACCTGCCCCTTTGAGCACGCCATTACCGAGCCCATCTACTCGCGCCGCGATTTCGAGCGCAAGGAGCGCGAGGACGTCTTTGGCGGTCCCGGCGAGTGGGACAACGCTGACAAGGCGCGCGCCCAATGCCCCAAGGATGGATGCAACGGAGAAGAGGCTGCCTTCTTTCAAGTGCAGATCCGCTCTGCTGATGAGCCTATGACCACGTTCTATAAGGTATGTTTGTTGGGCGGCGGTTGTTACATGGACATTCGTTTGGAAGGGCCACTGACTTGAGAACCAGTGCATGACCTGCGGAACTCGGTGGAGAGAAAACTAAACGAGTTTGGTATATATGTTGGCTGGCATTGCGTGGCGTTGGGGTACATTTATGATTGGGCTTGGTTTATATAGGCGCGATCACGGCTGCGCGCGGGGCAGAACATGCTTAAAATTTTCTACCTTTTGGAGGTTAGCTGTGAGATACATAACCTCAGAATTAGACTCGTCAAACCCGTGCGGGCTCTTTTTCCCATGTCCTTGATCTGCTAGGCACCCTTGACTCTAAACGTCACCTCTACGACAGCGGTCAAGACAATCTCGCGCTAGCCCCTATCCTCTGCTCTCTGCTTCAGCGCAATAAGATCGGTTCGTGATCTCGCTCCAGTCGCGTGGCAGTTGCGTTGCCACATGTTCCCATGCGGGCATAGATCCTTGTATCCTCCCCAGGCGATCTTCTCATAAACATCGGTCCGCGCCTCTTTTCGCCGCTCCAAAATGTGCATTCGTCGTTGGCGTGTTCGGAACCTCTTATCCCAGCGGGAGAGCAATAGGACGTGACATCTCAGCGTAACATTCCGGAAATCCTTCCTCAATCACGTCCACAGCTCATACATCGTTCCGGTGCCACTCCACCGCTGCCCTCATCCCATCGTCAACCAGTCTTTGCACAAGGTCGGGACTGATGATGTCCTGTCTGAACTGCTCCTGCTGCAGCAACTCCAGGTGCTTGAGCGTCGGGCCGGGGTACATTAGGTACTTGAGGTAGGGCGGGCGGGTCCAGTACTGCAGGTAGGCCAGGTAGGCGACGAATTCGGGACGGTTGAGGAGCTTTTGCGTCGCAAGATGGTTTAGATAGAACGGATTCGCGAGGGCTTGGACAAACTGCGCGCGATGCGACCGCTAGTTAGCTATGTACTTTGTGGTTGAATGCCAGGGAAACAGCGGACTGGGAAAGTACCTCGAGCTCAATTTCGAAGCGCGTGAAGCCGCCGTAAACAGGCTCGTTGTCCGCTGGCGGTGCGGGCGGCTGTGAGGGATCATCTTGGGATGGTGCTGAGGTGGCCATCTTTGCGATTGCTGTGACGGGTTGGTGATTCTGCGTGTGGAGGAGTGATGGTTGATTGCGCTAATGGATTGAAGTGGAATTGGATCAGAGCTAGGACCAGGGTTGGCGCTAGCTCTTGTTAGGTGTGGTAACAAGAGACATGTCCTCAGCTAAAACAAAGCAAGTGATCGAACCAAGGTATTCCCTAAACATAGAAAATTGGATTTGGGTCAATTTTATACTTTTTCTGAATTCCTATGTTATTGAGGTATCTTGTAAAATTAAGTCACTAAAGTAAGTAAAGCCAGCTTACAAGTTCAACGGTATCAACTACTTGCACAAGACTAGCAGGCTGCAGTAGCTTCCGTGAAGGCTGCAAGGCCCCGCTTTACTGGAAACCAACATTATCATAGGCTCTCCCTAAGTCATCCACGAAGAGTTTTGGATACGCTGATCAAGCTTTACCAATGTTATACCGATAATGACTGTCGATGCAAGGCTACTACAAGGGTTGGAGGGAAGAAAATACTCTCAAAGCTTGGGTTTTTAGTCCATGCGTTGGAATCTTGTAGAGAGTGAACACCAAAACAACGGTAAGTCATGTTTCTATTATCTCGTTGCTAAATTTAAAGGCTCGCATAGTGCCTTTTTAGACACTGAAGGCAAATCCTCTGATGATGTTCAATATTGGGTACGCATAGAGCGATGGCACGCAGGCGCAAAATACAGCAGAGCCAACGTTTGGGCCAATCTTTTTTGACATTCATAGCTGTCATCTTACCTCGCTAACGGCACCATAAGTGGCTTATATCTGTGTATAAGTAAAGTAGAAAATTACTGCATAGATTCACATACGATTCTGCCACTAGGCATAGCTATTATAACGCTATTACATGTACAAGTCGTCCTGAAATATCAACCATGCTGGCAAGGGTTTCTCAAGCAAGTCAACAAGATAAGAGATATCATGTAAAAGCAAAAGCCATATTAAAAAAGTATTTCTAGTCCGTAGCATGTGATGTGTCTTTGTTTGGTGGCCTTCACAGCTCAATCCGTAGTTCAGGCGATGCTGGTCAGCACAATATCACACTAGAAGCTGGTTTGATAGAAACAGGTTTGGTGGCTAGTATTGAGTACCAAATAAATTATATAGATATAGATATTTGAAGAATTTTAGGACAGAAATAGAAAAAAAACTCCTGCAATTAATTGAGAGCTTGACTGACTCAAATAAAACACCAAAAATTCAGACGTGCATATTGCGTTTTCTCGATAAATATGAACAGCTTGCTCTTACAGGTTCCAATAAACCAGAGACAAATACATTCTACAATTCAATAAGCAAAAAATGGATTCATTCAGACTCTGTCAATAGAATTTGAGCTTGGACGAACACGAATGATCGCGTTACGATGTGGCCCGAAGTATTTACGGCGATTTATTGTTTTGAAATAATTTACATTCAAATTCTTTTTGATGCCAACGCAATGAGTAAACCCAAGAAGTTTTGAATTATTCTCATGCGTAATGAGATAAGGCCCGTAAATAGGGAGTTTTACAGTCATGTAATCAGTTGATTGAACAATCAAAATCCGAAAAAAAGTCACATTATACATAGTCTCGGTGCTGTGGCAGGTTCAAAGACATCCGCACCACTAGGACACACAGCCAACCTACCGACGAGAGCGCTCAGTTGATTATTACCAAATCATGATCTTAACAACTGAGATGGATGGGAAGTAGCGGAAGGGCAACCATTGCAGCCATATCGGCCGGCTAACGTTGACATGACCAATGAGGAATCTCAATCCTGGAAAAGCAACCACTGGTTCCTGCTTGAAACAAATGTTTGTATGCAAGAAGGAAAAGAGTTTAATGGAGTTAAGGATAAAGTAAAGCGTCTGTACGGTTGGTAGAAGCCTCTAGTCAACTATGGCTGAAGTCAGGCCTAAAGCCACGGTGAAGCTCGAGTGGCTCGGTGAAGCGCAACACGGCACCTAGTGGACCCACTAAATAAGGCCAATTTCGGACCCATTAAAAAGTTGGCCAGGGCCATGCTCACAGAGCATACCGTCAGCAGCTGTCATCACGAAATTTCGCGACTGAAACCCCCCAGGCAGCCGCAGCTCTCCGAGAATCCACGAAAAGTTCCCCTTACGCTTGCGTGCCAACCATGGCATCGAAGCGCAACTACGCAGGATCAGACGGCGGCGACTCTGTCGAGCCAGCTCCTAAACGCAGCAAGAAGCCCAACCCCAAGACGCGAGATCACCAAAACGCCCACATCGACCCAACATGGGGTCAGAAATACGTCTTCTCGACGTCGGAGAGCGCGACAACGGTCCCCGTTGACCCTGACCTCGATTTTGAGGACGACGGAGATGCAATGGCGTATCTTCAGTCAGTAAGGTAAGCTGTCTGCTCCCTAGATTTTTCACGCCTTGTGCTGAACCCCGTCAAGTCTAGTGTCCCCATGCTGATGTGGTGAGTACTTTAGGTGCCAAGCGAACGGGATACCGCACCTTCTGGTCGCTCCAAAGATCCCCATTGGGCCGCAACTGCCGAAGGAACTCCAGAGTATCAGGGAAGACGAAGACGATGAAGCGGAAGAAGGCGAGGATGTAGAGGAGGACCGCGACATCTATTCTTCAGGCCAGGGTGATTTTCGGGGATACTACCACGACGGCGCATATACCGCGCGACCAGACAACTGGGACGATAGACGAGAAAATGGTGCGCACGATGATGGCGAATGGGGGGAAGGTGAAGACTACGAAGAGGGCGACTCCGAAGCTGCACTGCATGGAGCTTACTTCGCCTCCATTCTCTCCCGTTTCCACAGCCTCCGTGCGATTCTCCATACTCAACCTCCAGCCTCTGTCGTTGCTGCTCTGCCGCGGACGCACGACCACCATGTCGGCGCTTTCGGTCCCAAATCCTCCACCTTCTCTGTATGGTCCCAGCGCCTGCGCTCTTCTGACCCAATGCCGGCCCAGGTTGCGTCCATGGACAAGGACGGCGTGTTGCGCGTAATCAGAGTGTTACTAGGCGGCAAGTTCCTTAGGAGAGGATATGAACTGCGCGAGCGGACGAGCCGTTGGCTCTGGGCTCTGCTGGCGCGCTTGCCAGAACGAGGAGAGCTGAACCATGCCGAGATTGGATGGGTCAGGGACCTGGGGCGGAGGGCAGTGCTGATGATGCAGAGCCTCGCAGATATGGCGGCATTGCGGGATGCGCTGGAGGAGGAAGGGATGGATCTGGGAGTTCACGATGCTGTGGACGAGAGCTCCGACGACGAGGATGTGTTGAGGGAGATGGAAGTCGAGGAGAGGGATGGCGAGGAGGGAAACACGCCGGAAAAGGCTGATGCCAAGCAGACAACGGAGAACACTTCAGAGGCACACGCTTCAAAAGCACAGCAGCCGGTTAAGAATCAAGCTGACGAGGACGAAGTCGACGACGGAGAGGTCGATGACGATCAAAAGGCTGAGCCGATGGATGTCTCTGAGGACGGCGAAGTAGACGAGGGCGAAGTCTCGGAGCAACATGCGCCGGCCGAAACGCTGGAAGAGGCACGAGCTCGTCTTCTCGCCCGGCTCGATACGACAGCGGCAGAAGTGCCGACCGAGACGGCCGAGGTCGATGACGACGAGGACATGTCGGGCCAGCTGCGAGCTCGCATGAACATGCGGGCTACGCTCAACATGATTCTGACAGTTGCTGGCGAGTTTTACGGGCAACGCGATCTACTCGAATTCCGGGACCCATTCACAGGTATGTATGCACAGCCAGTCTAGGCACAAGAGGTCTAGGGGTTATATGTTTGAAAAATTGTACAATTTCAGGCTTTATGAGCCTTCCCAGGATAGCCTATGTTATCTAAATAAACCGTAGAGGTAAAAGAAAAACCTCTTCTCTAGAGATATGATACAAGCCATGGCCCAAAATCTTGAGCAGTTTGCTCTCTTTGCTTCCACGAGACGATTAACAAAAGTCCTCAAAGCAGCTCTTGCCGAGTACGAAAGTAGTCATCCTCCCCTTAAACATGCAGATCAACTCCACGCGCCCACAAGTACTCCAGTAACAACTAATAATGCATCATACAACTTCCCTTCTACTTCGTCTAATCCACCAACAACCAATTTATGCGTCGCTCATGTCCGTGTCAGGGGTAACTAAAAACTCCGCATCCTCAAAGTCGTCAAGGGCAAGGTTCTCCTGTTCAACCACAGGCTTGCTCCTGCGGCTCTTGCGTGGTACTGCAAAGGTTCTCGCGTTGGCCCACCCAGAAGGCGCCGGGCTGCAAGGGCTGACTTCACCTTCCAGCCACGCTGCGTGGTTTGCCCACATCTGCACCGGCTTGTCGCCCCCATCATCATCGTCACCGAAGTAGCGTTTGCGGCTACGTCCGTCGCCAACGACGTTATCAGCTACATCAACACTCTCAACGCTCTCCTGAGAGCTGCTCAAGCCTGGCACGTCGTCAATGTTGGGCACATCGTCATAATCGTCCGCGGCCATGGGCTGACTAGAGAGACCGCCGATCTTGTTGATGCCGCAGAAGGGCATGAGTTCGCGTTGAGAGTTAGCAGCGCTGCGTTGCTTGCGGGTGGTTGAGGGAGAGGCAGTGGTGAGTGTTGTCCGGACGACGGGGGCGGAGTCATCGCTCCACAGCTTGAAGCTGCTGTAGGTGCCCGTCTTGTAGCCTTCGGGAACGGACTTGCGAATACGCATGCCAACGGAGAGGAGGTTGGACTGAACTTCCGATGGGAGATTGTTCTCGGCGGCGGCTGGCGTAGGCGAAGGGCCTGCCAGGGGAGCTGGTCCGGAGCGAGTGGTAAAGAAGGATGTAATCTGGCGCTGAGAAGGGTCGACTGATGCGCCGGCGAAGGGGCGCTTAGTTCGTGGGGCCGACATTGTTGCACAGCGAAAGGGGAGGTCGAGAGTCCAGGCCACGATTACGGTTGTAAGTGAAGACTGACGATTGTTGTCCGTCGTTAAGTTGAGGTCTGAGCACTGTAGCTTGGAGAGGCTAGGATCGTGGGCTGCGGGTAGTGGCAAGGTTGGTAGAGTGGAGAGGTGTCTACTGTCGGACCGGAGAATAAAAGACGATGGTAACCGTAGAAACAATCGCAGGCTGGTGTGAAGAATGACGCAAGTTGGGGTACAGAAGCGAGAGGGAGGGGAGATGGTGAAGATAAAAAGGAGAAGGCGGGAGAGGTTGGAGGGTGGTGGGCGGGAGATTAAGACGATACGAGATGGCGGGTGGGGGAGATTCTGTAGTGCTTGCGCTGCCGCACCAGGTTGCTGGTGGTTTCCAAGGTGAAGCAAGAGCCCAAGAGCGATCTGGTGACTGGGGCGATGCGCGTCTGGCCGTGTTTTTTCGCGAGACGACCGCGAAAGTGGGCCACTTTAGCACTTTTATGGGGAACACATGCCCTGAAACTGACATTGACCTGCTGATGATTGGCGCCTCTGCGGATTCCCTCGCTAACCAACCAGCGCGGATGGGAAGCGGGCTGACAACGGCGTTGTCAAGCGTCCCAGGTCTGCCGGTAGGCCCTGGATTGATCCTTGTTTGTCCGGTCAGGACTGCTATTTTTGAAGTCGCTCAAACGACTTGCTCAATGAATAACTATACTACACTGAAAGAATCTATCCAGAACGCTCCACTACGTATGTTTTTGGACATTCATTCAACTTTCGATCAGCATGCCCTTCTAGGCGCTGAGGAGGCAATCAGTAGAGGTGTCGCCCAGTCGGCGATCTTGGATGAAAACGGTTCTGATGAGCAGAAATGGCCCATAGAGGCAATTAACGCTAGCGCTGAACCGCAGGGAATATGCGTCCATGAGAAGAAGCCCCCCTCAGCATAAGCATGCTGAAGGACAGAACAACTTCGACAGATTAAGCATTGAGCAGCTAAAACTTCCATCTACTGCGTAGTATGAGCCGTCACATTTGCCAAGGGATACCGGGGGTGAGCCAGCTGAAAGTCCCAATTGCGTGTCCATGTCGACGGATAATTGGTTTCTACAAGGGCCAGCGTCGTGTTTGGACTCTCTCTATCCGTAACAACGAAGTGTATTGCTATGGTGAATTATGTTAAGTTAAACGCAATTTCTGAACCCCGGATTTCACACTTGCGGATGCCACGGGTTGACCGATGGCGTGAAACAAAAAAATTACCTTTGGTCACTTCCCAAACAGATACTCGAGCCCACATTATACGACCACATGCCCAGAGGGACACCACAAGAAGACGACCAAGTGGGCGGGTGGGCTGTGGAGCGTCGCAGATCCGTCAAGGTACACACAAGCAGACGCACACTCATTATAGCAAATCACTCAACCATACATGCACACATACAAGCACGTCACTTCACCGAGATATCACACATCACAACACTTTACGAGATCACCAGGAAGGAAAACACATTCAGGGTGGCGGCGGCGTGTGTGGAAACCATTGAATTTCGCAAGCAGTGCTGATTCCTCCGAACTCACTGCACTCGGGTATGAAGCGATCCTCAATTAGCGGTTCCACGTCCTCACGTCCAGGTCATCGCAGACGCCCAAACGCTCATGTGAAAAGCCATTTCCAGCTGTCCACCCCATGCAGAGAGAAGACAACGAACTCCAGACGTAAAACGCAAACGTAGGAAAGAGGAGAACGAGAGCGGTTCTGAATGTGCTTTTCTTTTGGTGGCGCGCAAAACGTAAGAGAAATGCAGTCGATTCGTTGTGTGATGCAAGGATATCCGGAGACCCCAAACGCCCCTGTGATTTTGATTTGGTCAAAAGGAATTTTTGGATGTTCCATCTTCTATCCGCAAAGGTGTCTGATTATGTTCTGTTCGAAGACAGCAGACTCTAAGAGCCTGTGCCAGGGTTGTCTATACGCCCATGCCCAGGTCGCTTGCTTTTGCAGATCCGAGATGTCCCACCAGTGATGAACCGTCCAAGTCGTTAGATAAAACACCCAAGGGCCCTTTTTTCAAAAGAAAACCGTCGCGCTGACAGTTTACTTTCTGCGGAAGGAGCAGCCCTCAGTGAGTCTCGCCTTACCACCAGTAGGCTGGCACAGGACGGTGGTGCATCCCTGGCAGATGACGACGGTCTGGGCGTGAGAGAAAACGGTGGTGATGGTGAAGCAACCGGGGCACTTGACGTCCATGAAGAAGGAGCGGGGAGCAGGCACAAGGGTCTGTCCATGTGTGAGCATCATGTCCGACAACGATGGAGGGGTGTGGTGCGGCATCGCGGGCCTACCTTGAGCTTGTGCTTGCGGGCCTCGGCGGCCGGGGAGGGGTTGAGGAGATCAACGGCGAGAACCTGGAGAAGCCATCAGCATGATGGTTCCTTTATCAAATGGTGGCGTGCGCGCAGTCGTCGTGTGTGTTCTCTTGCGTCGGCGTATGGGTCCGTTCCATCGAAATTCACAGCCGTACCATCTTTCCCCCCTCTTCTAGCAATTTTTTTTTCTTCGCGTATCGGCCCAGAGTCGTGTTTTTTGGTCGTTGCATTCGGTCGGCGGTTCGTTGAAATCACACACGTGTCGCCACGCATAAAATCAAGCAACGGCGGGGTCTTACCATCTTGACTGATCTGATCGGTAGTTGATTGATCGGTTATCGGTGCGAGTGCGGTCGGTCTTGGACGGAATCTGATGGTGTTGAGAGCAGATTTGGCACTCGCAGAGATTGAGCGGTGATGGGGGTGGAGGAAAAGTTCGCTGGTGGATGTGAGCATCAGTCAAAATCACTCCTCTCTCGCCTCCAATCGCCAAAAAGTTTAGCGCTAGTGGTGTTTGGGACTAGCGTAGTAGGGTTTGGCAGCCCCGACACGTGACGTGGGCCCTGTTGATGCCATGATTGGCTAAATTGACTTGGAGCTCCTCTAAACCCTACCTAAGGCAGGAAGCTTGCACCCTCGGTGAAGGCGGGGTTACTGTCCCGCGGTTTGCTCACCTTAAGTGCCTAATGCTTCCATGTCATTCCCTTCCAGATTAGGTACTTAGGCACCTGCGACATTTTACTGGCGCCTAAAGTCACCTTGTATATTTGTTAGAGAGTCGCCTTTGCTCGGCCTGGCTCTTTGCACTCTTTCCCTGATCATCTTCTACTTTCGCCTCTGATTTTTTTGTTTTTGTCACATTTGCAAATACGTCACAATGGCTGCACCAGGAGACCAACGAATCGCCGTACCCATCGATGATCCCAACGCAGATACCGAGTGGTACGTTCTTCCCTGATAGCTGCGCGACGGCTCCTGACGCATGCCGCCAGGAACGACATTCTCCGGAAACATGGCGTTATCCCCGAGAAGCCTCCTAGCCCGACGCCTATGATCGAAGAGGCGATTCTTGAGGGCCGCCGGTTAGCACACGAGAATAGGTTAGAGGGCAAAGATCTTGACGAACTAGACGAGTTGGAGGATGACGAAGACGAGGCGTTCTTGGAGCAATATCGCCAGCGTAGGATGCAGGAGCTTAATGCGCTTACGCAAAAGGCCCTCCATGGCACCGTCTACCCGATTTCAAAGCCCGAATACCAGCGCGAGGTTACTGAGGCCTCGAAGAACGGCCCTGTCTTCGTCAACCTTACTTCCTCTCTCGGTACCAACGTTGAATCACGCGTGCTGTCGGAGCTCTGGAGACAGGCTGCGCGAGAGTATGGCGAAATCAAGTTTTGCGAGATGCGTGCGGACAAGGCCATCGAGAATTACCCCGAGCGGAATTGCCCGACAATCCTGGTCTACAAGGATGGTGATATAATCAAGCAGGTTGTTACATTGGTGCAGCATGGAGGCGTCAGGATTAACATGCTGCAAATTGACAACCTTTTGGTTGAGGTTGGAGCAGTTCCCGACTCGGACATGCGCGTTGTTAAGAGGCGCAGGCAGGCTGAGGACGAAGAGGAAGAGAAAGCTATGGGCAAGGGTATCAGACAGGGAACAGTGTCAAAATCAAAAGGTGACTCTGATGACGAGGATTGGGAATGAAGCAACTTTGGCTCGTTGTTGAGTCAGCTATAGCTCAGCCCGGCCCGTCGACGCCATCGGCCGAGGCAGAGGACGACGGACTCGGGCCTCAACTACCATTTGCGATCTCGAAAATACCAAAAGGACCTTGAGGAAGAATGCAGTCCTCTACAGTGTGGTTCAAAGGCGGAGAGGCTCGTATTGTTGAGTTTCTGGGTGATCATTGCAGTGCGGGGCCCAGGTTGATTAATTAGATCTAATTCCAAGATCTAGCAGTGTCGATGTGGCAACTGCAAGTGCTCCGTAGGAGCCTGATGAATGTAAAACGATTATCCAGGTCACTTACTACCTTACATCCATCAATGGCTGTCATAAAAGTTCGATATTATGACGGTACGGGGGGTAAAACTTGGTTGCTGGCATCATGTCGTGCATTTGATGCCCCGCGTGTTGTAGCGGACCCTGAAGTCAGCCCAGGTCATCGGCACCGCTGGTCCATGCATGTGGGGGGTTACAGGGTGTTCCTCGATTACGCTCCAACTAACCATTTCAGGATAGCTTCCGTGAAGACTGGCGTTCGAATCTGGATGCCAAAGCGTATTGGTCATGTTGATAAGCATGTAAACAGTCTTATCGTTCTCCGAAACCAAGAACTCGTTCGGAGAGCGTTGGTTGCAACGTCCAGTTCAATCTTCCTTCAATGATTGCTTGCCAGGTGTGAATGTGCTCGGAGCTTGGTTCGGAGATCGTGTGAGCGCCATCTCCAGTGGGCCACCCTCCCCTGGCCGAACGCGTTAAGCCCCCACTTGCGTCACGACGCGCCTGGCCGTGTCCCACTCCTTCCGGTGGCGGGCGCTGGGAGCTTCACTTAGACCTCTCCTTGCGCACACCCTGATTCAATTTCTTCTCCTAATCTTTTCTCTTCTACTTTTCGAAATGTCAGACGAGCCTACCCTCCCCCGCCTTCCTCATTCCATCTCATGGAACGCGCAGACGGAGCGCTTTAGCAACAACCCTAGGAAGCGCAGGTACAACTTTAAGGGCAACTCCGTCGCGCCGCCATCATGGTCCAACTCGAGTGATCCCGCTGTATTCTCCAGCGATGACGATCCTGGCTTGGACAATTATGTGGAGGGCAGACGTAAGAAGCGATATATTGGGTCATGGTTTCACCAACAGCCTGCAGCCTCCGCAGATTCTGCCACTGGGGAGCCGCGACCGGCCTTGAGGGGGAAGCGGACACTGAAGCGTGACCTTGACAGTGGTGTATGGATGGGTAGCGACAGCACTGATGGTGATGAGAGCATAATGATGCCGGATCTGCCCACGCAGGCGAGGCTGCCTCAGCTGAACAATGTGCCGGTGCGCCGTCGTAATGTCATCTCTCCGGAGGAACTGGAGGCAAGGGAAAAGATCCAGAAGTTTGTGGACGCAGGAGAGGAGCAGATTGATCTCTCGTAAGTTGCGCAAAACAGGAGCGTGACGGACTTGATCTAATCTTTATCAGGATGATGGGCCTCAAAACCCTCTCCGACGCCACCATTCGGCCGTTGTCTGAATTCGCTTGCATCCCCGTTGTCGCCGAAGGGGTGCCGTTCGAGCAGAAGGACCCGGCTCTGGAATTGTACTTGTACACCAATCCTTTGCAGAGACTTCCTGGCGCAATCTTCGACCTGGAGCATCTGACAGTGCTTTCACTTCGTCACTGTAGGCTAAGAGAGCTGCCACCCGCAATCGGCAAGATGCGGAACCTGAGGACTCTCAACCTCGCTCAGAACCTACTGAGATATTTACCAGCTGAACTGCTCGATCTGATGGCTGCCCCTTCAGCGTTAGGAGAGTTGCGCCTTCAAGGCAACCAATTCTTCCAGACCACTGACTTACCACGCCTTAGTGATTTAGAGGATCTGGAAAATGAGTGCCTAAACGGCCAGAGATTGGCCGAGGCCTGGAGACCCGGATCCGATGGTGTTGCAGCTAGGTTCTTCGCGCGATCACCTGTTCACTACATGGACAGTTCAGGATTTTCACATTCTGACTTCCGCCTTGACCCTGAGGCTGTGATTGTCCCCATTGAACGACCGCAGAGCGAGCAGAACATGTCACTTACCATGCCATCCTCATCGGCCCCGTATCAGTCCAAGTCTGCTGGCAGAAGTGTTGCAAGTGCACAGGGAAGCCGGGTTCCAAGCTTGATGGAATTAGCACTTCGGAGTGCGTCCAAGAGTTCAGATTTGAACGACTTGCCCGACTACATCCCTGGATCCATGGCCAACCTACGAGCTCTACTGGAGCGTGCCGCAGATCAACGAGAGACCGGAGGGTTGACGTGTTCCATTTGCAAGAAACCCTTCGTAGTGCCGACAACACAGTGGCTGGAGTGGTGGCAGGTTTGTTTCATTGAAAGCAAGCAAAAAGAAGACGGCCATGTCCTTAAGGCGCGGCCGTGGACGGACTTGGATGAGGAAAATGATGGGGCTGTGCCATTCTTGCGGAGGGGCTGCTCGTGGAAATGTGGTCCTGCGGATATTGCAGAGGGACAATGGTCCATACGACCTGAAGGAAACGATGCGGCGTGAGAAGGGTTGTTAACCCCAACGGCCCAGGGCGACTAGCTTGAAAGGTTCATTTGCATAAATGGTTACGGTTAAGGTTAGGAGTTGGATGGGTGCAGACTGATTCAATTTGCATGGGTTAAGGGAATTTTCTGATAATTGATATGGATATTCAGGGTTCTAACTGAAGCTTGTCCCAGCTCCCTTGCATATTGCACCCTTGTTGTACCACTCCACTGTCGGCATGATCTCGGAAGCCACCCATCTCGCGGTTTGCGAATGCATGCTGCCTTGGCCGAATGGCTTATCTGTCTTGTCTCTTCTCATTCTCTCCCCAAGATCCAGCTGCGCCACGTTTTGCTCCAAGACACCCACGTCAGCACCCTCCGCCACGATGCCTCTGGGGAACGACGTCCGTCCTGAGGCGAGGGCTTGGAATATGACGAGCTGGTCTTGGAGGAACTCGTCGCAGGACGAGGTCTTGACGGCGAGCTCCTTGGCTAGGTTGCTGACGACTTTTCGTGAGACGAGCGAGGCGACGCTGTCCTTCTGTTTCCCCTTTTTAGGTGTGGACATGAGGATGTCACTGCCCCAGCGCAGAGAACCGCTGGCGGAGCGGGCTACTAGTAACGTGTAAATCCGCGCGTCGTGGCCCGAATCTTCAATGAGTTTGAAGTCCACCTCCGCTTCAGGGAACGCGTTGGAGATGTCTCGCACCAGAGTATTCTGTAGTTCCGAATGCATGTGCGACGGTACAACCATCGAGACGTCTACATACCTTACCTCCGCCCCAACGGAGTCTTGGCCAGGTGATGATTTGAGAGACCGTAGAGCTTGGCCTCGTTTCAAAGGGTGAACAGTCAGACAAATCGATCCTCTACTCTGCGGTCCCAAACTCCACCCCCGCTGTTTCAAACGCCTGCCTACATTCACACCGAAGACGTCCTCTAGTCTAGGCAAAAGGACCTGGTCAAGGTACTCATAGCTCAGAGACATTCCGACATTGGTCCCCCCAGTTATCTCAAGCTCCACAGGCGTAGGCTCTTCCTCACCGTCAGCCGTATAGAGGAGGAAAGGCAGTATGGCCTGAAGAATGAGCAGCGTGCTTGCAGCCCCGGTGTCCGCGACGATCTTGATCCATCTACTCCTGCCCTCTAAAGCAGTGGACGGCGGGATTCGCGGCTCGAAGGTGAGAGTGCTGCTGCCCACCTCCAGACCCTTAACGTCTGCTTCTGTTGCCTCGGCGAGCCACCTGATTGCGGTGACGTGCTGAGCTTTGAGACCTGGTGGCATGCGTCAGCTTCGCGAGGCTTCCGAGTTGCCCGTTGTGGCGGATATTTCCCTCTTCACACTTCACATACCTCCCCCGTTGCCTCCACTGCGTGAAGGTCGGTTCCCACGCACGTTGGTGATGCGGACTGGTTGCGTGGTTACGGCCGCCAGGGCTGTGGCCACGCGAACCAGCTGACCGCCTCCTTCTCCTGTGCGGCCGTCTAATTCGATGATTTTGCGCGAAGCCATTGAGGATTGTCTTGTCGTAAACGCTGACCGGTCTGTATGTGCTGAATCGCCCGGAGACAAATTGATTGGTTGTATATCGGCGACTTGAGTAAGATCCAATGTCTTGCTCGGAACGACCGGTGCAGGTACGCCCAATTGACTAATGCGTCATACGGCTGACGCTGATGGATGAGTATTTAGTATTTTCGCCGACGCAAGATTTGTCAACAGACGCAGTTGTTCCTCGGTGAAGGAGTCGATTCAATTTAATGGCAACAGACGGCTAAGGTGCTCGTGTAGTAGAGGCCCGTGTTGCCTAATACTGAGTCACTCGCCGCGGCGCGGAGTACCTCACAAGCGAAGCGGGCTGACTCCTCTGATTCGCCTAACCGGATACATCGTTCATTGCCTAGGATATTGATGAAGATAACACTGGAAGTTCGGATAATTAATCAAGATCTTAAAAGGGTATATAATCCAAAAATGGAATGCTTATACGGTTGCCTTTGAAGGCGCAGCGGGGCGACCCAGATATTCAGCCCGCGCCTTCAGGAATAGGATGACAACGAAGGGGTGGGATGCTTTATTAGTCAAGTCGTTCGATCAGCATCGACGCAGTCGTCAGCGGATGGCATTTTAAAGAGGCCGATTCCCCTTTCCCCGGAGATTGTAATGGGGATTTGTCTTTCTCCATGGACATTCCGTCGAGTGACGTATGCGAATGATGGTTTTCTTTGGTGGTAAGTAAAATGTCCTGTCCCATGCCATCACCCTGTTCCCGCTTCATTTGGGTCGGTCCACTACAAACAGAGTTTGGACGGACTGGTCAGGCCCCCATGCTTTCCGCTTTGACCCTTTCTTAATTTCAACCACATTCAGTCTTCTTCTCTTCCTTTCTTGTTATTTTTTCCTATGTTTTGCACACGAAAACAAGCGACATTTCTTGTTGGAAACACCCTGTCTCTGAGGACTCCAACTGCTTCCCTAGCATGTCCATCAAGCGGAACCGACACCTTTTTAAGCCAATCATATCTGCCGTACGCTCTTACAGAACCAGAATCAAGAAACAAGGGACGGTGTTGCCGCTATATTTCGCTATGCGACAGGGTCTTGATCAGCGATAAGTATGCACCGCTGGCGGCGATCACAAACCCTCACTGTGATTCGGCAGCCAAAGACAGCCAAACGCACTGCCTCCCGGGCTCTGCGCATTCGGAGGCCGGTGGTATTGGTCCAAGTCCGGCCTCGATTTATTCGACATGCGCATGCTCTCGGAGACGAGGTCGGGGGGCGACTGGTGATGGAGGCGAATTCCGCGAGGCCTCTCTCTCTCTCTGGCCGGCGCCTTCGTCTGATTTAGGGGGCTGTTGAGTCACATAAGATCATCAGTCGCCTTTCTGCAGGCTGGGCAATTTGATGGCAAAACACGACAATTAAGGCCACACTCCAGTTACCAGTCATCGCAACAGGCAGCACTACCAACCACAACATGGCACATCTTCATCCAGTTGGAAGACTCATATGTGAAACCGCCTTGTATTTAGGGCCAACAACGTACGTGGCTGCCTACATGCTGTGAGGGGAGGAGCAAAGGTATAAGTTGCGGGCCTCCCTACCACAGGGACACGGCTTTGAGGAAGAACCAACGACATTCCATTGCACTACAGACAAACGACCGAACTACAAGAAAAGGAGAGCAACATGAAACCCCATCGATATCGACCAAGTTAATCCAACTCCATACCCGAACGCCATTTCTATCTTGACAACTCCTTATAATGTGTCATTCCGGACGTTGACCATATCTTTTGTTGATGCTTGGGTATTTTTTTGTCTTTGCGATTGACTTGTGTCTCTAGTTTTTGGATGTTTTGCTATTGCTTTACAGGTAAACGAAAAGGAAAAGATGATGTCGAAGAGAGAGCCAGGTACGTGTGCATGAAAGAACTATAACGGAAACGACTAAGTCGTGGAGGTTAGCACAGGTATCCAAGCGAGCTCCTTGAAGCAGGGCACTTACAGTACTTGAGTCGATGGATACTGATGCATCACCGAAAGAACACCAACTAACTACGCCAATAGCTCTTGTGGGCTGAGTAGCCGCATGCGTAGCTGTTGTTATCGGTATCCACTTGAGGGTAGCCGTTCCCATAGTCGTCGACTTCGGCATTGTCTACGCCCTCAATATTGAGTACCGGGTTGTAATAAACCGGTAAGGTGGACAGAGTTTCGTTGTATCCAGGAATACCCGCGTTATCTATAGTCTGAATCGCCATGGCGGCGTGGTTTGGATATTGATCCGGGTATCCAACACCTGGATGATTGCGGGCGTATCTCGCCTTCAAGCGCCGACTCTCTCTTTGTTCGGCTAAGCGAGTCTTGTCGTCAACATGGGGACTTGGTACTGTCAGTAACGGTTCTGGTACACCTGTTAGAGTTCTCTTACACATGACTCCCTGCCTCTGAATCCTCAGAACCGTCATCCAGTGGATCCAGGCTAGTGCCAGGAGACTGCGAGGACAACTGCTCGCTATCTGGGTTTCTGTTGGATGAACCGATATCTCTCTTCTTCTTTTCGCGGTGGCTACCATGTGACGAGGAGGATGATGAGTTGGAATTCGATCTCTTCTTCTCTTTACGGCCTCCGGCTAACTTGGACTTTCCGCCGTCCGAACTGCGTTGGCTACTGCCTCCCATGTTTTGGTTCGAGTTTGCGATTTTATGCGGAATGGAAGTCTTTTCCCTAGCCATTGAAGACGACGTTTTATATTATGACTGCTTGGTGCGATGTCAGTTTAGCATTAAGAGGTGTGGTGCCTTTAAGACTCACAAGCGTGGCGGTGGTAGGCAGCAGTGACTAACTCCGTGCGCTGTTCTTGGCCTCCGGAAACCTTGTCACTTCTTACACTTTTCGGGCGCCTTAAAGTCAAGCAGCCATCCGAAGGGGTGAGGGGGGTGGGGGCGTTGAAGGAAGACTTGGACACCGCCGAGCCGGTCGCAATCCTTGCCTGAGCCGGTGTTCATGTATGGAGGACTTCTTGAATCTGACCTAGTTCAAAATGACTAGATGTCCGAAAAAAAAGACGTTTACCGGGCAGCAAAGGGACGAACAAATACTGGGCTAGATGCAAATATGGTCCGCCAGGGCAGCTTGTTGGTTCGCAAATAGAGGTCAGTAGCCACTCATCTGACAGGTCATCGGGGAACTAGGTGAGCGAGTCTTCAGGCATCAATCTGAGTCCCAAAACCTAAGAGAAGCAAAACGAAAAGGGAAAGTCGTGAATGAAATCGGTGAAAAAGGGATAACAAGAGCGCGGTCAACAACACACTTCTCTCCAAGGGCTGTGGCCTGTCACTGCCACGCGGAGGGCTGAACCTTCGAGGCGGATGCCTGTTCATCGTGTTTGGCAGGCATCGCACCGCCCCCAGATGACTCTGTATAGCGTCGACGAACGGTCTCAGCGGGATGCCTAGCAGTGAGCCCGGAGCTTAGCCCAGCACTTAGCCCCCAAAAGAGCTCGAGTGGCAAGAAATTTACGACGTAGGACCGAGGAGGATGGAGGCATGCTGCTCTTATGCTCCAAGGTCTTCGGAAAGAGAAGAGGCTGAGAGTGACGAAGCATTGCAGCCAAAGTAGGGCTGGATGCTGCAGGAGACGAAGGACGCGGACAGAGAACGATTACCATGTGACTGAGTGCACTTTGGAAATTGGCAAGGAGTTTGTTCCGTGACGGTGGAGCTCATTCAAGATAGGGAAGACGCAGTCCCCTCCGAGAATATCGCTTTCCCCTCATTTTGAGGAATGCTTGGCCGCAGCTGAAGGGTCGGGTGAGGGGCTTCACTGACAAGCCGTCATTTGCATCATCCCTCGCAACCTGTCATTTCACCTTTGAGTGTGTCTTAACTGTTAAGCATGTTGTACCGGTGCCTAAGAGAAACTCCAAACCTTTGTGGGTTTCTCGATGGGTTTGGGCATTGGGGATCGACTACATTGCCAGCTCAAGGCAGGCTGGCAGTGTGGTGTGCATACATAGCTACTAGTATGCGCAAATGGCACGGATTAGGCAGACATTGCAAACCCCATCCCCCTTTTGGTAGCCACCCCACCATTGTTTCTTTTGCTGCACATCTTGGCCCGGGCACCCATGCCGTCATCCGGTTAGCATGAACCGCTGTGAGCTTCAGCCGTGGCCATGTAGAATAATTCGGTAGCTCGGTTTTCAACACCTTCACCGCGACGGGGATGACGTACTTCCAGCCGAAGCAGGAGATAAGAGGACCTATCTCCGTAGAAGCCATCGATAAGGGAATTGGAACGGAATACGGATACCAGTCATACATGTCACACTGTTGAGAGCGAACAAACTATTAGCATCGGCACCTATCTCAGAAATCGATTGCGGAGTAACACGAATGGCGGCTGACAACCCTTGCATCCACAGCCCTCTTGCTCATCCTTGGCGACCTGTCGATGGAAGCGCCCATTTTACCTTCTGGCAGTCGAGGAGCTAATTGCGAGCGCTTTATCGTCGGTCGTATTCGACGTCATCAGGCTCTTCGACTGTTGTTCTGCCCCCTCACTCTGTGGCTGTGGAGGCTAGCTAGACATGAGGCTGGGGCTGTAAGGTCGTAGCAACATTCCCTGCCTTTTCGAGCTGATGCTTGGTGCCGGAAGAAGCGGCTGCTGCGTCTTGGAGCTGCACTTCGTCTGACGCTGTGCCGCAGCGAAACGATGGCCACGCTCTTGGTCATCAGAACATGGCGGGAATGAAGGTGAATTGTCAGATGGCTGTTTTGGAACCACAATCTCATTCATAGCAGTGCAAATAAATTTGCATCTTTTTTGTGCGGCCATAGTCACATTAAGGACAAGACCTCACAGTTTCGACGGTTGTCCTCGGTCTGCCCTCACTTCTCTTCGTCCTACTTCTAATGCCAATTGCAGAGAGAAAGGCAAAAGCTGGAGCAAGCCCTTTAAAAGAAACACTGGGCTGGTGAATGGCAAAATGATCTCTCTGAATATACTCTTGCAACTCATTCTGCTACATCGCTCAATCCGAAGGGGAAAAGAGACGTGCCCTGGGTGAGCTAAGGATATGGTTTTACAGTCAAGGCCATCGCTGGTACGACAATCACCAATTGGCCAATGCTATTCGATAACCAGCAGACCGCAGTGGCCACGCTGTAGCCTGGAAGCATGCAGGACAACGGGAATGCACTGTGGAAAAAATACAACATAGAAAACTCCCACTAAAGAAAATAAGTGTTGTAATTATTGCCAAACAGCAGATGGAAGCCGAGAGACATCTTGACATATGCTATATAAATCCAACGGGCTTTCAAATCATATGAAGGAAAAGTCCACCGAGAAACGATATATCTTGATGAGGCTCGGCATGATTGGAAGTTCGAGGTTGGACTTGGGGTTCTCGAAGGCAGTATGAAAATCTCCATCTCCTATCTTGCCGTGACAGTACATATTTGAAGTACCGGCTACTAAGTGCATACGGCTGCCTACAAGGCTTGTCAGAGATCTTGCTTCTTCATCCCTCATCTTACTCCAACCGGAAGCACGCCTCGAGTAACGTCGTGTGGCAGCAGCCTGGTTCCCGTTGGCGTCGTTCATGCTTAGGACTGCATTACAGTGTATCTTGGACCAAAAACTAGCTGCCAAGTAGTCCTTGCAACCTGTATCGTCTTAAAAAGTCATTTTACTCACTGTCATGCTTTCTTCTGCTTACCTACCTTAAGGGATGCCGTTCAAGAAAACCTGACAATTTAAAGCCTCGGAGTAACATCTTTGAGGTGCCTTCTCAAGACTCCAGACAAAGAACATTCGATCACAAGCGGATCACGGCAAAATAGAGTTCAATCATGGATTCAGATCATGTTTAATGACCAAGAGGGGGTTTATGCCAGCTCATGATCGCGCTGATAGGTGTCCATGAGCTCAACATTAATCTTCACACATTTTTTATCTTCTACTGCATAGAAACGCACAACGTATCATAAAATGTGAAGAGTTAATACGAGTTCAAGGAAGAAGCACTTTTTAGGATAGCAAAATGTGAAAATAGAAAATTATGGTCGCCATATCGCTAGGAGAAAGACACTGGCCAAAGCCGGAGAAAATAGTTGTTCAATCGACTGCTGCTTGAATACAGACCCATTGCTTTTGATTTTCTCCTACGCCTTCATCAAAATAAAGGCTTATGGCATCAGATAATCCAGCTCTATGCTCTCATTTATTGTTGGTAGTTTCGCCGCCAAAGTATTGTAAACCAGATCGGTACTACAATTATGGACAAAACGCTAGAAGAGTATATAGTCGACCAAGGCAAGGTACGTCCCAATCACAACTCTTTTGTCTATTTTTTTTATCGTTTTAATAAAACTGACGTCCCATGACAGTGCTCAGAATACCCAACTGTCTTGTAGCTTCCTTGACATCGGTATCGAGGAGGCTGAAGAAAGAATGCTTCAACCTCGCCCTCCGGCGAAAACACTTCAACTTCATGTTCAAATTCTCACCTGAGTAGCCTCTCGTCACCGATCGAATTTGAAAAGTTGGGGTCATGGGTTTTACCTAACTTACTGTAATCTCGCAATCGATTGCTGCCCAAGTTCAAAGGGCATTGCCGGGCAGATGTTGGCCAAATATGTGCTTTTCAATGTGATTCCCAAAGAGACGGAACAGCATTCCGGTGTAATGTGGAGACCCGGCGAACCAACGGGCGTTCAGCTCCGGCCATTCACCCAGTCCTGTGCCGGGCGATATCGATCGATTCTGTTTCGGACTCGCGAAATTAAACAACAAAACGGATTATATTTGCACCAACCAGATCGGCGATATGTCACTCTCAAACGCTTGGCCCAGTCCCCGACTGCAACGCGTAAAGAGTATCGTGATGCGCGTTCATTGGGCGGAGGTTGAGCTACTGGATATCAAATCCCGGCTGTTACCAAAACAGGGTATAGCATGCCGAAGAAGACACCCTTATTATTTAATTTTGTCTCCCATAGGCTTGGGGCCTCGTAACAGCCCCTAAAACCCACCGGATACGAGACTTCGTCGATCAAAAGTGGAACTTTTTGTTGCGATAGTTGGAATACGGAGCCGTGTGGCACTTCCAGCCACACGCCCGCCAGGCTGAGAGGCCCAAGCCTCCCAGACCCACGTGACAGGCCAAGGGGGAATATCCCCACCTTCTAGTCAACAACACCACTTTCAACTATCATCATGAACCATCGATTAGAACCAATTTACTGTTATTTGTTATTGACGAACGGAATTCCGTTTCACCCCCTGTTTCACCCCCTGTGAAACCTACACTGATCAGTGGTAAACCTCACAGTTGCCATTAATTTGGTTAACTTCACAATTACCACTCTGCTACGGACAAACCGCAGATCAGCAAGGTCAACACCAGAAGAGACGACTTCTTGAACTGGATACCCAAGCCCAGGTAAAAGTAGGGATTTCGTGCTAACGAGAGAAGAAGCGAGAGTAACTGGGATCTACGGAAACCAGCAGAAGAAAGCTTCTTTTCCTCGAATCTACCAGCAATCCGATTATTCGAGTAACCTAGGGACTGCTACGCTCACCCTGGGCGGGATAAGGTTAATCGCAGCCAATTATCGCTGGCAAGAGCGTTCCATCACGCGTTTTCAATCACCAGAAGAAGAGACCTACCGAATCGACGGTCTTCCAACCTCTTCACGCCACAAGGGCGAAGATTCACGAATCCCACAAGGGACAACAACTTCCCCAACTACAACTATCCCCCACGCGCGGTGCCAATCACGAGGCGCCCGCTAGTTTCTCAATAAATCCCCAGACGAGGTGCCAACCGCGAGGCGCCTGCCACAAGAGACCTCCCTACCAGAAGAAGAACACGCCGAAAGGCGAGCGGAGACTACCGGCGGTAATCCGCCTATACAGCTATACGTATACGCCTCCGAGGCTGCGGCTTAGGAGAAACGCACGTGGTTGTGGGCGTCATAAGGCCAACTGTCCGCTAGATTCTAAACTTCCCAACAGTGAGGAGCGAAGCCCGAAGCGAGAAAGAGAGATTCACGAGAGAATCTACGGTAGAACTCTCTCCCTACCAATTCGAGACCTGTGTATACCCTCACACCCCTCGAGAACATCAGCGAGAACGGCGCCGACGGAAACAAACGACGAACCGACGAAAATCCCCGATTTCACGATTCTTTCCCCTTAGAATCGTAATATCCCTAATCGTCTTTTGACTCCCACTTCCAGGCCTGCATCTTGCACCAATCGCAGCTGACGCTGTTGAGGATTAGAATTCAAGATTCTGAACAGAAGTAATCCTTTTATACTGTCAGAATGGAGCGAAATTCACGAGAAGGATCGCCCGCGAGCGGCGTCACTGCCAAAAGCCAATCAACAGTCCCCATCCCACAGAGAATCGAAAGTATGATCGATCCAGCAGTATGGGGCAACTGGGCAATCGACCTTACAAACGCTAGCCCACAGCAACTGGGTTCCTATATGGGTTTCCTACTTGAGACCTATGAGAAGAGGAATCTCACGGGCCTCGAGCTATGGAACGAAGTTTCTCCCGATTTCGCCGACTGGTCAGAAGAAGACTTCCAGAACGTACCTCCCCCAATCCTACGATTCTTCAGAGACTATTTAATCGGTAACGGCGTCTACGTCGAAATGGATGGCAAGAAAATCTCGAAAAACGTGGCATTAGCCCTCAAAAAGGAAGAATTCCACTACTGGTCACCCCAAGAACTCGAACAAGGCGTCAAGAGATATCGCAACCTGAAGGCTCTGATAAAAGACCCCGAATTCCACGAAGAGATCACGAGACCGGCAACAGTAGCCAACAGCACAGGAGGAAGAGTCGAACCAACCCTACAGCCACCTCCTCCACAAGAACAACAACAGTGGCAACTACCGTACCGACCGCCACATCCCACGGTCTCTCCGTTAACAGACTTCCAACCATACGAGTCAACAGACCGTATCGGAAAGCAATTAACAGAATTCGCGAAACTGTACCCCGACGATATGAAATACAGCGGCGATATGTACGATGTACTCGAAAAGAAGATGCCAGTATTCGTGGATCACTGTAGAATGCTGGGAATTCACACCTCCCAATACAACAGGGCACTTCCCCTAATACTGAAAGGAATAGCCAAAACCTACTTCTACGCCTCGATTAAAGTGATCAACCCACAGCCCAACTTCGAGACCATGATCAACCAATTGAAATCACACTTCGAGACTAGGGAAAGGCAACAAGCGTACGTTACGCAGTGGAATACAACTACTCTTCCCCAAATCATTCGCGATAACCCTGGAAAGACCAAATCGGAGTGTTTTGACATACTATGTGACAAATTAAGCAAGATTCAGCCCGGTTTGCCACAACAGGATCACAACGACCGATCCCTCCATACCCAACTTCTACACGCTTGTAGAGATATTCCAGAGTGTGCAATGGCGTTATTTGTACCGGCTGAGACGTACGAGGGACTTCGCAGCCAATTAATCTCGTCGATCGAGACAGCTACCCGTCTCAACCAACAACAATTCAACACAGTAGCCAACCCACCAGAGCAGTACTGGACCGACAGAACTTTCAACGGTCGAGGGCGTTATTCACGATACAGTCGTTCATCACGAAGTCGATCATCACGAGGAAGAAGCCGTGACAGACCCCTATTACCGCCAACGCCTAAGAAGTGCTACGTGTGTGGAAAACCTAACTGCTGGTCAACCAAACACACCACAGAAGAGAGACGAAAAGCGTACGAGAAGTTCAAAACCACCCAATATGCCCAGGATACGTCACTTCCAGCATATGGCCAATTTCTCGTCCAATACGAGGGTTTCGACGGGTTAGACCTACAACCTACCGCCGAAGACCCCCAGCAATACTACCACGTAACCGAACAAACCAGTGAAAGTGACGAAGAGGAAGAGACCGGCAGCGACAGTCAATTCCAGGTCACCGCCTATTTCACTACAACAGCAATTGACGGCAACAGGATCGCCACGATCCTAGCAGACCAGTCAACCCGCCATGCTATTACGAAAGAAGACCTCTTCCGCAACCAACCAGAACCGAAAGAGCTACCTTCGCAATTCACACTCGAGGGACGCTACTCTGCCCAGAACTTCCAAGGGATCATGCCCGACTCGGGCGCAGCAGGATTCTCAACCGCTGGCCACCCACAATTCGTGGCCCTACAACAAATTTACGAAGGAATTACGTTAAACACTGAGGCGGCTGGCGGCGTTACAGTGAAATTCGGCGATGGGATACCACTGGAGTCTATAGGGACTACCAAAGTGCCAACGCCGTTTGGAAGCGTCAAATTTCACGTTATTGAGACTAACACTCCCTTCCTTATGTGCCTAGGAGATATGGACCGATTGAAGGTCTACTTTAACAACGTTACGAATACCCTCATCCAAGGAAACAAGGTCGTACCTATTATTCGCAAATGGGGCCACCCATGGTTATTACTCGATAAGGAGAAACCACTCGCCTGGAACCACCTCACAGACGCTGAATTGCGACGGGTTCACCGTCGCTTCGGACACCCATCTGTTCAACGATTACACAAGGTGCTCCAGAGGGCCGGCCACCCAGTTGAAATTACGGCAATTGAGCAACTATCGAAAGTCTGCCATCGATGCCAAATGCACGCACCAGCGCCATCACGGTTCAAATTCACGTTACGAGACGATTACGAATTCAACTACGAGGTTATCGCCGACGTGATGTACCTTGAGGGTAACAGACCGGTCCTCCACGTCGTCGATACCGCCACGGCGTTCAACGCCGCCCGGTTCCTTGAGGACATTTCTGCGAAAGCCACTTGGGAAGCCCTACGCCTCTGCTAGATAGATGTGTATCAGGGACCCCCAGACTGGCTAGTTACCGACGCTAGAACAAACTTCCGCTCAACAGAATTCCGAAACGCGGCGAGAGGAATGGCAATTGAAATCAAGGAAATTCCCATAGAAGCCCACAACAGTATTGGGAAAGTTGAACGATACCATACACCTCTAAGGAGGGCGTACGAAATCATCAGAGCAGAAGACCCAACAATTACGCCAGAATCAGCACTTCAAACAGCAGTCAAAGCAGTTAACGATACTGCTGGCCCGAACGGAATAGTGCCAACACTCTTGGTATTCGGCTCGTACCCACGAATTACCGACGATTCGCCGCCATCTCCCGAAGTCACAAGGCGGGCGAAAGCGATTAAGAAGGCGACGAGCGAAGTACGCGAACTTCACGCAAGGCGACAGGTGGCAGAAGCTATCGCCACCCGCAATGGCCCTGATACAGGGCCAATTGTTAATTTACCGCTACGGTCGCAAGTACGAGTATGGCGCGAAAAGAAGGGCTGGACCGGACCGTTTACTTTAGCAGCCATAAACGGCGAAACCTGTACTGTCGATACGCCACGTGGTCCGAAGACCTTCCGGTCTACCGTAGTCAAACCATACTACGAAGATCCCGATCAACCACCTAATTCCATCGCCGCGCCAGAAGAAGAAGAACCCGAAGCTGAGATACCGCAGCAGGAAGTAGTACGCGACGAAATTATCGTCGCCGGCGGAGGCAGTGAACCGGACGAACCGCAAGAGGCACCGGAGCCACCGAGAAGACGCCCGGGCAGACCCCGGAAGAGACCACTGCCAATCGCCCACTTCACAGAGGAATTCAACGATGACCCGGATTATCAACAAATATTCCTATCGATTAAGGAGCAAGCAGACGAAGAATTAGCAATCAAACTACGACGAGAAGGTGTTATTACTACACCAGGCGAACCGTTCGAACAGTCAACTAAACAAGAGATCAACAGCCTCATCGCTAGAGGAGTGTTCAAATTCACCCAGTTCAATAAGAGAAGGCACCAGAACGTACGAATCTTCCGATCTCGTATCGTCAACGAAGTCAAGGGTAAAACAACCGAACCCTACGAGAAATCGAGACTTGTAATACAGGGTTACGCCGACGATGGCAAGAAGGCTATATTGACCCAATCGCCAACGATTCAGCGGGCGAGTCAACGGCTAATTCTGTCAATTACCCCGTCACTCCTACGAGAAGGGAAACAACTATGGCTTCGAGATATCACACAAGCCTACGTTCAATCCTCCACAAGGCTCAATCGTACTATTCTCGCCTACCCACCGAAGCAAATTCAAGACCAGTACCCAAAAGGGACCATTATGGAGGTTGTGAAGCCTCTGTACGGAATCGCAGAAGCTGGAACCCACTGGTGGGCAACGTATCACAAGCATCACAGAGAGAATCTCCAGATGGTTACTTCTTCGTACGATCCATGCCTATTGATCTCATCTACCGAAAATCCACACTTTGGCTGTATCGGCATGCAAACCGACGATACCCTCGGTTTGTCAGACAAGGCGTTCTCACAATTAGAAGACGAACAGTTAGAAAAAGCGGCTTTTACGGCAAAAGCGAAGAATATCCTCACAATTGACGAACCCCTCCAATTCAACGGAGGGATAATCGCGCTGTCAACCGACAATTCGATCAATTTGAGGCAAAAGGGACAAGCCAAGAAGTTACGATGTATTGAGACTACTAAACCCAACCCAAAACAGCAATATGTCGAACAACGCGCCAGAGGGGCGTACATCGCGTCAATTTGCCAACCCGAGGCCTGTTTCGATTTATCCACTGCTGCCCAACACCAAGACCCCTCGCCAGAAGCGATAAAAGCACTGAATCAACGGATTCGATGGCAAATAGAATCGCCTAACCGAGGAATAACGTTTATCCCACTCGACCTTACAACAGCCAAGCTATTCGTTTTCGTTGACGGGTCGTTCGCTAATAACCACGACCTCTCCTCCCAATTAGGGTTTCTGATCATCCTAGCCAACGACACTTCCTCTGACAGCAACAACGGAGAATTCACGATTCACGGTAACCTCGTTCATTACAGCTCTACGAAGAGTAAACGAGTCACCCGCAGCGTATTAGCGTCAGAGATCTACGGGATGGTCGCTGGCGTCGATATGGCCTACGCCCTCGCCACAACCCTGGCGACAATCACTGACCACCTCAACCTACCAACGATTCAGACAGTTGTCTGTACCGATTCTTATTCGCTGTACGAGTGTCTCGTGAAGCTGGGCACTACCAAAGAAAAGCGACTCATGATCGATATCATGGCGTTGAGACAATCGTACGAAAGACGAGAACTACAAGAAATTCGTTGGATTAACGGCGAAGACAACCCTGCTGATGCCCTCACGAAGAGCAAACCAAATCGAGCCCTCGAGAGATTCGTTGATAGCAACACGATAACGATACGTATGGAGGGATGGGTAACAAGACCGTAACTACGGGAGAAAGTAGGGATAGGAGGCCGAATTGACGAGGAGACGGAACTGTATAGGGACAACGTATTCCAACCGCTTCAACACCATAAAAAGAGAGTTTCCAGTGTTGCGATAGTTGGAATACGGAGCCGTGTGGCACTTCCAGCCACACGCCCGCCAGGCTGAGAGGCCCAAGCCTCCCAGACCCACGTGACAGGCCAAGGGGGAATATCCCCACCTTCTAGTCAACAACACCACTTTCAACTATCATCATGAACCATCGATTAGAACCAATTTACTGTTATTTGTTATTGACGAACGGAATTCCGTTTCACCCCCTGTTTCACCCCCTGTGAAACCTACACTTTTCGTATACACTATGGCGTCTAAAGATGTCCTAAAGACCTTGGTCACTTGGCACGATTCTATGGACTGGTCGAAAGATGAGTTTTTTAAACTGATTTTTACCCTCCATAAAACAACATTCTGATCTGAGTTGTTTTCCGTATTACGCGAGCGAAAGCGTCGCAGGAGATTGCTCGTCATGGGCCCAAACACAGCATCTGTACCATGTGGCTCATCGCGATGGAAAACCTTGTTAAGGACAGCGATCCTCCTAGCTGCCTTTCCTCGACAATCATTTGCTGCATATGTCGAAGTCAAAGACTGTTACGACACTATTCCTCAAGCAAGCTCCACATCATCTTTCCCACGACTCAAGATCGAAACCCTCAGAGCATCCCTTGACATCAACTCCAACGTCGCGCAACTGGAGTTGGACTTAACAGGATACTATGCCAATATTAGTAGTTGCAATGGTCAAGATCAGGTCTTGCGTAATATTTCTTCGACGCTCGACATCTCTAGTGTCACTCGATTTCAGTCCTACAAAGGAGAAACTTCAAAGTCCTCTTGTCGCGAATACAACTACCAAAACTACCACCACGCCCTCTTCCACCAGCAATCAACGTACAAAGTTACACGGCCCTTCTTCCTCGACACCTTCGACTTATCTCTCCACCTAACCGATGCCTCAAACGTCTCCTTCGCCTGCGCCCACGCGCACATCACGCCCTCCCTGAACGATGCGATCTCCACAGCCGCCCTCTGGGCACCCATCTCAACGTTCTTGCTCATTCTCCTCCTGGCCCTGTGGCACGAAGCTTTCCCACTTCCCTCGCGCCACCAGCAGGTCGGCCCATTCATCGCCGATCCCTCGCCGTCACATCTAACCACGATATCTCAATCCCTTTCCTACATCCAATTCATCTTCTTCTCCGCCTCCCTCTCCATTCAATACCCAGGTTTCCTCCGCGCTGTGGCCTCTAAATCAAGCTGGTCAACACTCATGATCCCCCGCGGTCCCATCCTCTCTGCAACACCTTATTACGGCGTAAGAGACGGCATCTATGAAGTCAACGGCACATTCGGCGGCACCGCAGGCCTCGAACTAATGACGCAGGTCCTCGGCGCGCCGATAACGATGAGCACCTGGGTGAACATCATATCGCTGTGCTTCATCCTCCTCCTAAGCAAAGTCATCCTCTTCCAGCTTTCTCACCGTCTGCCATACGCCCGCACTCGATGGTTCACAGGTGACGCCGCGCGCCGTATGCGGGGGACCACGGACGCCGGCGTCCGTGGCACCGCATGGACTGTACTCCGCTTGTTCCTGAGCTACTTCCTCACGCCCGTGACGGCCTGGGCGACCTACCAACTTACGGGCGCGACATTCCTGCCCATCTACCACACCGTCCTCACGGCTTTCGTGATTACGCTGCTCATCGCCGCGTTTTGGTGGGGTGTGACGCAGAACTCGCCGCGGAACATGGGGTATCTTCTCCTCGACTCCTCGAAACGGTTACAAACACCCGGGAGGCTGTCAAAGAGTCAGGATCGGTACGCGATGGCAACTTTTGCGTTGATGTTCGTGCGTGGTGCGGCTGTAGGCGGGTTGCAGATTGCTGGATTTGTGCAACTCCTCGTGCTCGTAGCGTGCGAGATTGTGCAGCTGCTAGTTATGGGTTTCACGTGGCAAGCTTTCCCGCTGATAAGGGTTGGGGGTTTGTTGGCAGGGGCGCAATTGGTTGTCTTGGGGCTATGCGTTGGGTTCCTTCCTGGTGTTGCGGAGCATGAGGCTAAGAGTAGGTTGGGCCTCGTGATTCTGGGAGTTCACATTGCTGTATTGCTTGGGGCCTTTGTCCTTCCGTCCCTGGTCCGACTCGGAGCGCTGCTGGCGCATTCTATCTGCTCGATAAGAGAACGGTCGAATGAAGCACAGGAAGAAGGCCTTGGAGTAAGAATCGCCTACCCCTAAACACTCGACATTAGAGCTGACAAAAAATCAGGAATATCGCCTTCGCCATCTAAACGCTCCAGCACCTCAAAATACCATACCTCGTCCGATATCCGTTCAGACGTTCGAGAACCCCCGAAGTCCCTCAAGCTTGCTCATGTCCCCAATCTCAACCGCACCACTTCGGAGAGACCCCCCGCAAGAAGATGTCCGGAGCTTAGCTGGTGTGAGGAGGCATCGCGTTTCGCTCTTGTCATCTAGTTCCGAAGGCTCTGCGGAGGACCCAAACGAACCAGGAAGAATTTTGGAGGATTTTGATGATAATGAGAGGGCCGGTGAGTTGGAATCACCGGGTCGTGAATACGAGGCGCGGGTCGGAAGGAGGTTTTCTAGTGCTTCCATGTTGAACTACTCGAGGCCTCTACACGGCCAGCCTCAGAGCCCCTGAAAGGTTACACATTTAACTAGACTATGAATTCATCATGAACACTACGTGATCCAATTCTTCAGTGACTCTTACGACACCCTTTTACATACCTCATCACCGTAAATTCAGCATCATCATCTTCATCCCTTTAATGACATAAACAGTTGCGAGTACCCAAGCGCCAACGGAAACCTCCCTCGCCTCAACTTTCAAGCCTCAGTAGACTAAAGTAGGTAGACAGTAGCGCGCTGGCATGTTTTCTCCGATAGGCCAATAAGATAAACACCATGCCGACGCTAATTGGTTTTGAAGGGACTGGGTCCTGCAACGCCAACTAGCCCAGGGCACACTAGCCACAGGACCGCAACAAACTCTCTTCCAACGGCCGATATACAAGCTTAATGCTTACACTGGAGATTGAAAGTACCCTCAGGAGAAAATCTCGTAAATGAGATGGGCCTCTCTTCGCCCTCCCCTGCACAAGCAGCTTTCCTCTTCTTTGACATGGTTCAGATAGGTGCTCACGCTCACAATTAAGATTAAGGAACCGCCAGAACTTCGAATCTTACCACAAGCTTGCACATTATGGCATATATTTTTCTCGATATGGCACCAAGCATAAACAACTTGGGAGCTTAGTCTATTTCGCAACATGCTAGTTGGAGGTTTCATAGATGATCTGATGACTTGCTTCATAACTGATGTCTTCAGCAGTGATAGGCGCCTTCACTAAAGCCTCAGCACTGGCTCCAAAATCACCGTATGCCGGCACTCGAGAAATGTAACTCAACGGAGGGACTAAACAATAAGATGGCAGCTTCATAATGACTAAGGAATTCCACGAACTTTTTAGTTGTGGTGAAATATTCGTCAAGGACAACGCGGGAGATCCAAAAAGACTAGATTGGAGAAAACATTTCAAGGACATAATCGCGCTCAAATTGTACGTGGGCATATCCAGACAACATAGCAGTATGAACTTCATGGATTAGCACACAAAGGTGCCCATGACCGATTATAGGCCAACAACTAAAGTAAGGTATCAAGGTAACGAGACTTAACAAAAGCAAAACTGCTTCAGTAAATCATCTCGTAATTACATGTGCACCGCATTCTCCTCCTGTACCACTCGTGTACTGACCAACCCTATGTGTAGAGGCACTTAAAAGACCTTGTTGAGAGCCTGTCTCCACTTGGGCCATTTAGCAACCTTAGCACGGAAGGCGTGGATCTCATCCCAGTCGTGCTCACGGCGGCCAGTGTCGAGGTCGATCTCGGAGAGCTTGAGGAAGCCGTTGCGCTTCCAGAGGTAACCGCAGGCCCAGAAGAATAGGACAACAGGAAGAGCGAGGTAAGACTTGAAGAAGTCCTCGGCTGTGCCCAGGCCATCCGATCCGGGGGGAGCAATGGCAACGAAGAATTGAGCAGCGAGGGAGACAAAGACCAAGATCAGACCGAGCCAGGAGCCGGCAACTCCACCAATGGCACGGAAGGGAAGCTCGTCGAGGGTGTGGCCCTGAGCCTTCCACGCAGCGCGGAAGCGGATGTGAGCGGCGCAAATAGAGCCCCAGGTGAAGAGAGCAGCCAGACCAGAGAGGGACAGAAGCCAGTCGAAGACAACACCGCCAGATGATGCCATACGAACGTAGGCAAGGCCACCAAAGGCAAGGTTGATAACGACAGAAGGAAGGGGACGACCAGACCGGTCAATATAGGTAAAGATCTTGGGGGCATATCCCTGCTGAGCCAGGGCAGTGAGGGTTCGGGAACCACCGTAGACGCAAGATACACCAATGGAGACGACGGAAACGAGAATGACGATGTTCATGAAGCTGTCGTATCCACGAAGGCCAGCATCGAGAGGAGCCAGGACAAACGGGGAAACACCATCAGCGTAAGGGTTGTCGGAGTTCAGGAGACGATCGTCAGTAGAGCTGACAAGGAGACCAACAAAGGTGAGTCCAAGAATGTAGAAGCTGGGAGCTACTGTTAATAATTGCACGAAAGGTAAGAGTTTGATTCAAGTACTCACATAGTGATACGCCAGAAGACCTGCTTGATAGCACCAGGGAGGGCCTTGGCAGGGTTGGTGGACTCAGCAGCGGCCAGACCAACAAGCTCGGTACCAGAAAATGAGAAGGCGGCGGTAACGAAGACGGAGCAGAAGCCACGGAAGCCGTTCTGGAAAGCACCGGGGTCTCTCCAAAGGCGGTCACCCCAGAATTCATCGTACTTGCCTCCCTCAGGGCCACCGCCGCAGATGAGAACAATGGCTACTACCATGAAAATGACAGTGGCAATGAGCTTGAAGAGAGACGCCCAGAACTCCTCTTCGGCGTAACCCAAAGTTCCGAAAACGTTGACGATAATAATGAAAATCCAGAACACGGTAATCCACACTGCTACGCTGATTTGGTCATTCCAATATTGTACCGTAAATGAGCAGACCGTTAGTTCGAGTGGTAATACAATAACCCATTGGAAGACCTATAGTGTGTTAGCTGGTACGGGGATGAGGTTTGTCGATGAATGCGACATACGTAATTCCAGCCCATGGCAAAACCCCAGGAAGGATCGAGGAAGCGAATCGAATACGTGTAGAAACCACCAGAGACCGGGTACATAACGGCAAGCTCACCGAGAGCGTAGACGACGTTGAAAATCATGACACCAGCGATGAGGAAGCAGATGAGAAGAGAGCCAGGGCCACCCTTGGTAAGCGCATTACCAGAACCGACGAAGAAACCAGCACCGATGGAGCCACCGATGGCAATCATTTGCAAGTGACGAGATTTCATGGAGCGGTCGAGCTCGGTGTCGCCGGTTCCCCAGTCACCTACGAGCGAGTAGAGTCAGCATGGGATGATAGATGAAAGAGGAGGCAGTTATGCGTGGCTTTCCCGGTATGAAAACACCCAACGGCGCCACAAGAAACGGGAGAACTTACGTCTCTGGAAACTCTTGAGGTTCAAGCCATTGCGGGTCATGAAGTCGTCCTCACGGAAGTTCTCAGGAACATGGCCATCGCCGGGAGCGTGAACCGGAGTCTTCTCCGTGTCGTACGTAGGCGGCGTCACGCCAACGTTTGTCTCTTCCTTTGACATGATGGAAGTTGTCACCAATGGCCCACGGAAGGAAGAAGTAATAGATTAAGGCAAGTATGAAAAATGCGCACTGGCGCTTGTGTCGCGACTTGAGCCCTTGCCGACGACGGGTAGTAAGGGTGCTACTCTGTAACGTACTACAAGAGTGTGAGGGGTAGAGGGACGAGAGAGAAGAGACAAACTCGAGAGACAGGCTTCGCGTGGGAGGCCGTTTAATAAGGGTTCGAGACAAACGCCTGTAAGAGGAGAATGAGTAGCAACATGTGCTGGTGCAGGACAGGGAAGGCATCTCATGCCAGGCCAGGCCAGGCCAGGCCAAAGACGGGAAAGCAGAGGTAGGGGGGTACGGCAAGGGGACGGAAGGCAGAGGCAAAGGTAGGTGCGCCTCATTGTTCGAGCTAGGAGCTGGAAGGAGCGGGCTCACCATCGAGGGAAGGGACCAACCAACGTCCTCACCGGAGCGACCCAACGGATGGCAAGTGCAACACCGACCAGGTACCCCCGGGTGAGTGAACCCCCCCCTTCCCTCCTTCCTTCCATGACGCTACCCTACCCTACTACATAGTACCTACCCAAGAGGCACTTTACCCATCTTATCTTAGTCTCACTTTGTTTTTTGCTTCGTTTCCGGGATGCGTTCCTCCCCGGGAAATCAACCACGATAGCTGCGCCGCTACCATGCAGAAACAGCAGGAGACGAATGCTATCCAGATTAATAAATCATCAGTGATGGGTGTGGTCTTGGCGGCGATTAGGCCGATTGGACAAGCCTGTCAGCCACAATGAAAGGAGAGACGGGGCAAATGGAGTACTAGTACAGGCGGCAGAGATACTGAGCTTTTGGGGGTGCTCGAAAGCAGTGAGATAGATATGCATTCCGAAGCAAAGGAGGCAGCAGGATCAACATCACTCCAAGAGACGTCATCACCTTTGAAAGAGGGTGCAGCATCACTCGCCACGATTGACAGAAAGACCGGGAAGGGCAATAGGGTAGACAGAGACAGTCGATCAGGCTAGGAGACGGAAGACTCGTAAGTCAAACCCCCCTTAGGGTAGGCACGCGATACCTTGGACAGCATCGTTTCGCATCCAGACGGATACTCGTGGGCGTATTCCCTGGACGAGCTGTCCCATCCGAGGCATCAAGAGCGGCTTGGCAAAACCAGTAAGCTTTCTGAGAGCAGAAGGTGGAGAAGAGAGACGGTTGTTGCCAAGTGATTAAGACAGGTAGCGGTCCTTTTTTGGTCGTTCTTGGCTTTGTGATCATTGGTGATTGGGCTCCAACGGGGAGAAAGTGCGATATTTGTACGCAGTGGGAGGTGAACCGTGCTCATGCCCACGCTTGTGGGCATTTTGTAGCGGCGCGGGGGTGGGACGGTGCCGGACCAGGAGTACATTTCGAGGCAAGGGTGGTTTGGTTGTGGCACCCTTGAGGCAGGCGCTATCAGACGAGAGAGATGCTATCCACGGCGGTGGGAGCAGAGTTTAGGGTCCTTGGTAAGGTTACTCAGTGATGGGGCCAGGTGGTCATAGTGTCTGTATTGCGCTGCCGGGGAGATAAGGCCGAGACGCTGTGCCGTGTTGTTTCTGAGAAAAGATGGAGAAGGGGGCAATCAGTGGAAAATGCTTAAAGTATACGGAGTACCGACCCAGGAGACATCGGCTGTACTAAGAGACGAACAGGGCTCCACTGCTCCACCAAACTGCCTTCCTTACGATTATCACTTGCGCATATACTTCCACCTGAAAATCGATGTACCGACCACTACCACACCATTTAATTCTCACGCAAAACGGCCAGCATCCATCTTGGGCGTGCGTCCATTTCTCTCACCTGACCATTGGTATTGGTCTCTTCTTGGGATACTCTTTTAAACATACACACACATTGGAGGCAGCCACCACCGCCAGAGCCCTCGTCTCCCGGCGCTACCGGCCTGCAGCCAAGGTCTTCTGGAACAGGGCTGTGTGGCTTGGTGTTCTTGGCCGCCTCGCACCTTTCCAGCCATTCCAGTCGAGCTTCCTGTTTGGGAAGGCACAAAACGGGGGCCTGCTTATTGCTTGAATTTCACAGTCCATCTCATCTCATTGATCTATCACCAAAGGGAAAAAATAAAATAAAGGTAAAATAAAAACTTAAAATACGGTACAACAATACCCAAACAGCTAGGTCACTTTCTTTCGTGCTGCAGAGTCCTCGCGGCTAAGCTCAATGCCTCCCCGGCCCACGGCGTCCTACCTCTTTCAAATTCACTCACCTTTAGCCGAGTCGTCAGACCTTGCCTCCATTGGATGCATATTACAAACGTCTTATTACTTACGCCCGATCGAACTTACTTTTATCGTGTCCTTCTTGGTTGGTAGAAAAGGGCGGGGGCCGCGAGCAAGAAGGAAGCCACTGTCACCAAAGAATCCTTCTAGAATGCCGCCAGGCCGCCAAACCACACCATCACAACCCTAACCACGCGGCCAGTCAGCTCTCGTCGTGTTGCACCCATAATTTCCCTTCATTGCTTATTACCCTTGCTGTCATCCATTCGATTGATTGACCCGACTTGGAGCGATTTGATATTTCATCCAATCTGATGCGACGCGACAAATTTGCCACGGCCCCCCTGGGATTCAACACCCGTTTGTTGGTGGAGGTCCGAACCAGCTGCTCACGCCCGCTTCCATTTTGCTCATAATCGTATTCCCAGGGGTGCACCACCACACCATTCAATTGGCCCGCGATACACCTGGCATTCCCCTGTTCAGCGGGAAATATGGGGAATAAAGTCTCGGCAAAGATAACAGTCTCACGCGGGCGCTCCCAGCTGTCACACGCATCTAACGGGACATCCATTCCTCGTCGCGAGGCAGCAAGCGACGATAACAGAGTCGGCGCCACCGTCAATTGCTATGACGCCTTTGTCATGATAACTTCATTGAATCAATCACCTTTAGCAATTTTGTCCCCATTCAGATACTGAAGCAGGGCCCTTTCCACCCAAAAGTTCCCCGAGATACGCCAGCCAACCCATGTTTCGTCCCCATGGTGCCACCCGAGCACGCCAGTTCGCCGCCCCTAATTACGTTTGGCGCTCCCTAGCTTCGGGTATCTGCCTCGATGTGTCACTCAAACTTAGTCCAGTCGACGCTGGCGTTGCCCTGCCCACCCCCCTTGGTCACTTGTTTGACGTGTCTGGGGGATGGGTGGCTGCAAAGAGGCGAGTCCTATCAGTACAACGGCCTCAATTGTGAAGAGTCGCCCAGAATATCAATATCGTTTACGGCTAGCCACGGGCTATCAGTCGGCCATACTGTCGAACGAGGCGTTTTCGGTTGACGCGAGCCAAGACCTGTTCAATAGTGCCCATCGGCCACAAAACGTGAGAGCATATGCTTAGCCGTCTGCGCAGGCGTCGCAGACAAGCGCTTAAGTCATCGCGACCGCTGACGCCAAGAATCTCCATCAACCTGGCCCCAATGTGTCTTGCAGAGGCAACATTGGCTTGTGCTTGGGCGCGAGTCGATCGGCTGGTCCACCGAGAATTTTGTCACGATCGCAGCGCGTCGCGGCTCTAGATGTGCATTTCGATTTTCTTCAACTTCCAAGACATGTCGTTGAGCAACCGCCATAGCACCAAGTGTTAGAAATCTAGGCGGAAAAGCTTGACCAGAAAGCAAAGAATTAAGATCGCTTGGTAGAGCGTGTCGATTGGTATGCCCAGCATGGCCGAGATTCACGGCACCTTGGCCTACCAGTCGAGGGGATTTGCCCAGTCTCCAAGCAATTGGCGATCTAACCGAGCTCTGATTCCTTCAGCGCTCCCTTCCCCCCTTGTTCGTCAGCCACCTTCTGTAGCTGGTTACTGGCCCGACTCGACGGCCAGGGTGCGGGGAAATTTTTGTTACTTAATAGCGTGGCCCAAAATGCCGTGCTGCACGAGGAATAAAGCAAAAGCCCGCCACAATCACGACTCTTGTTTCTGGGGAAAGCGGAACTTTTGAACACGAGATCAGCTCGCTGGGTCACCATTTCAATTAAACTCGATTTTTGTTACGTTATTGACAACTTCCTCCCCAGGTTTCCCCTCATCATCCACAAAAGACAACTTTGTTCGGACGCCAGCGGGTCACTGCGTGTGCCCACTGCGGACTGTTTGGCCATAGCTATGGAGTTAGTGGAGTTTTACCTGTACCTTATTGGAACCGCTCTCCATGAGTTCCTTTCCTCACCACTCACAGTATAACGACGACGACTCGGGTAAGCGGAGTGCCCGCATTAAGGCCATCACAGGATAATCTTTTTTTAGTCATTTGTCTCTGGCTATACGTCAATGGGCTTGCGTTGCGCCGAGCCTCGTGTCTCGGCTTGTCCACTCTTTTCGGCCCAGCAAGCCACATTCAAGTTTTGTCTTTCTTGTGTGCGCCTCTGCCCGAGGCGGTCCATTCGAGACTATGTGTCCCAATCGAGTAGCTGGATACTGTGTCGTTAAGCCATGAAACGCCACTAGCCGTTGGTACACGCAAAGTTGGTCTAGTAAGAACCGCTGACAGAAAGAGTTGAATGTTTGAGGCTACAGCTTAAAGTATAACGCAAATGTTCTGATGCTCGGCGGCCCCGAAGTCCGACAATCCTCCTCAACGCCACGTAAAGTTGTTGATTATATCAAGGTTGATAGGAGAACTAGTACGCTTTGACTAGTGTTAGTAGGGGTGTAAAGCCCGACGCAACTCTTTTCACTGTTATCTTGAAATGCCGAGTAGTTTACCAACCAAGTCTTGCTGTCAAGGCTTACGTTCAATGTTTAAGACATTCATGTGGTGTCTCCATGGCTGCAGTGCTGATCCTGTCAGCCTAGTTGATCTGCATAAGCACAACACAATCCGGCAGCCCTAGTGTCGTGTCTGAGATGGAATGCGCATGAAAAAGGATGCCGCGCAGCTGTACCCCAAGAGTTGCGGACTGGCAACAGGTACAGAACAGCCCATTCAGAGGCCCAAATTTATTAAAATACTATATAGCACAATTTTCGTTATTCAAGTAGAACTTCCAGTGCACGTGACATCAATCAGACGCTGTAGGTCATGTACCTGTTGCCGGTACGCAGTTGATGGGATGCATTTAGGTAACGAGTGGGACGGTACTATTCTCGTATATCCGCGTTCGCATGTAGAGAGAGCTGCAGCTGAGTGCATGAGAATGCCGTCTCGACTGCATTGAAAATCCAAGCCGAGATTGTACCGCGCCGTGAAGATGGCATGGGTTCGATGCAGGTACTTGATGAGACTTGAAGTGAATATATCGTAGTGTGTGCTCCCGGCCTTGCCTGTCGTAACCTGGCCACTCGGAACTTTTGCCCTCAGATCGGTAATGTTAATTCTTGGTAGGCACCCTTGACACCTTCTCCTGAACCTTCAAACACTGACGCCGAGTCTGTTGTTTTAAAACATAAAAGTTACATCGATGTCTATGCCACCAATCATCTAGATGCGTACTTTATTCTGCAGTGGCAGCAGAAATCAGATTGCGGCTGCTGACCCTGGGCATCTCATTTGTGTCATCCTAGTCTGACGATGAGATTTTGAGTTTGGTTAATCTTACTGCGACCTTCGTTAATACTATTTTTATTTGCAGAATCCTTCACTGCTCTTGTAAAACTGGTGAAGGATTCAGCATTTTACAAGCGTTCGGGATGTCGTGATGGGTGCATGGCATATAGATCCAGCTTACGACGACAGTTGAACTCTAGCCACGCTTGCCTTGACTGAATTAACTGGGAAAGCCTTGACTGTATCAGTATAGATATAGCCCTTAGTGACCCTTAGCCAGTCCCGATTCCCTTCTCATTTTCTGATCTGCAAATGACAGAAAGAGGCACCATAAGACATATGAGTCAAAATAGTTGCCTCCCATCCTCCCGAACTAGAGCTTTAGAACATGTCAACAACTGTCTTGGCATTTTTCTGGCTGGACGGAAGAAAGAGGGTATGCGTAGCTCTGATGTTGATTTCATCCTTCTGCTCCGTTGTAATCGAATTGAGAGACATCTAGCTTTGTTACTTAGAAAGCCAACGCATACACTTACTCTTGTTTCTTTGAGATAGTTCACGGTTCTTCCCTTAGCATCGCAATGCTCACTAGCAAACATCTTCATAGCGAAAAGAGTTGGTCGTCACGAAGATCAGGACAAGCGACATGGTGACCAATGTAGAAAGGCAGCGAAAATAGAACGAATGAGGGACAGATGGCGAAGATAATTTTGTTAAACAGCGAGAGCAGGTAATATTGGTGATAAAGAAGTGGTGCGTGACGCGCTCGTTGGGTTCTGGCCCATCTCCTAGGCGATGGCACTCTGTTCACTACACCCATCACTCAGAACTCAGGGCACGCTCTGCGGCATCAAGCGCCTTCTGCGAAGACTGAAGACACAGAGAAGACTTGTTCTGACGTTTATCAAGGGCTTCGTGGTCCATGCGAACTGCCTCTCTATAGTGTTAGACCCCGTCGTAAAGAGCATAAACGAGAAGCAAGGGCATACATTTCTATTGCAATAAACTAAGCAAAAAATTCTAGTAGATGATTGCCGACAATGACTTCTGCCTCCTTGTACTTGTATCTCCACTCCAGAGAACATAGAGAAAACGCCGTCAACGCGTAAATCGGCCTTGTGCATGTAAGCTTGTCATACAGATTTCCGATCGAGGTTATCATTTAGCTGCCGTTCGAAGTTGTGAAAGGGGTAAGGATAAGGTTTACTTGAGGAGCAGTAGACAACAGACCGGACTCGTCCTGGAAGGGATGACGAGGCTAGATGTATAAAGACAGAGATCTCTCTCAAGACCAATATTGTGGGGGAAAGGGGAGTATGGATAAGGATACAGCGGGAAGACGGATTTGTTATTGCAAATAGATGAGGTCTTGTCACAAGATGTGCAAGACTCTGGCGGCGTTACACCTAACGCATTTCCTGGTTGCTTAGAATTCCGAGCAGACAGAAGTAAGGCCGTTCAACTACAACCCTACCAGAGAAGCTGGAAAACAAGGCTCGACTTCGAAAAAATGTAGCTTCCGTACTTGTCAGAGGGAGGTTTTGCAAGTCTGTCTTGTCACCTGCTTGTCTATCAGTTACAGCTGTTCTTCCGACCTAGCATTAACATGAACTCAACCAAACAGGTTGAGATAAGGTCAAGTTCATGAGAAAAGAAGTCCAAGGGGCGTGATGTTTGGCTCATCAAAAGCATGTTGAGCTCCACCGGAGATATGCAAGCTGTTCCTCAAGGCACACAAACGCTGTTATTCGAATGCCACTACATGGAATATACATTTTTTTCTGTATAAAGACAGTATGAGTTCGAATTCACCATCGATATCTGTCCACGTTTTCTTGTCCACGTGCCTGAGATCAATTCTTCTTCCAAAACTCAACAGCGGTAAAAGCGGCCCGATGCCATAGCAATAACGCCGAGGTGCTTTGGGGCATTTAAGGCATTGGGAATCGCCTAATTTGCAACTCGACATCGGCTTATAGGCTGCACTGGCAGCAAGACAACTGCTGGAGATAGAATAGCTTGAGCAAATTTCTCATCAAGATGGCATAAGTTACTAGCACCGGAAGTGGCCCAAATAAATGCAGTGTGGGTCGGCAACAGTGAAAAAGATTCAGTCTATTAGATGATTTCATTCTATTTTATCTTTGGCCCCTCCCTACTCCTAAATATCTATTACACAGTAAACATTGAACTCCTAATGAAAGTTCACCGCCAAAATATGTTGTCAGATGCATGCCACGTGATGCAAAACAATCAGCTGACGAGTGGTATATACGCGTAGGTTAGCCAGTGATGGCAAGATCTACGATGCTAAGCGCGTGTGGGGGGTTGCGCATGAGAGGAGACCGTAAGGAATGGGTGAAGCGAGAACAAGCAGCCGTTTTACTCGGCCTTCTTGGAGGTCTTGGTACGGAGCTTCATTAGCAGATAGACCAGGGCGTAGGAGCTGATGGCGAAAATGACAACGATTCCTGCATCGCGCCAGCCATAGTAGTACTCCTTCAAGTTGACCGTCTGCAGGTAATCGCTGCCGCTGGTGTACTGGCACACCCTGCAACCGGAAGTAGCCTCGGGGTTGATTAGGTTACTGGCTGCTCCCATACCCTTCACGTAATCGGCCAGGTACTCGGCGCAAGTGGTGCCGTTGGGGGGATCAAAGAGCGCAAATTCACGACTCTTGCACTTGACCGGCGTGCCCCAGATATCGAACACAAGCATACTGCCCATCAAGTAGTTGAACGGGTTAATCCAATACATCCAGTATTTCCAGAAGGCTTGCAGTTGGTCGTACGGTACGAGAACACCGCAGAAGGAGACCAGGACTCCGATGAGGAGGGGGTTGACCAGGGATGCGAAGACGGCGTTCGGGGCGTAGGCGGCGATGAACTGGCCAATACCCGTGTAGACGAATTCGTACATGAGCATGACAAAGAAGGTAGAGCCCGCGCGTGACGAATCAGTAGGGAAACCAACTGTGTAGTACCAGCAGACGTAGTATAATACAGCACAGATGATCAGGTATGGGATCTCAGAGACGATGAGTCCGGTAACGAAGGCGATCCACGAATACATCTTGGACTTCTTCTCGCGGGTCTCGAAAATGTCGCGGCGGTCGATGAAGAGCGGCTGGACTTGTGCAAGCACACCAGGGGCGACAAAGATGAAGTTGAAGATGGTGAAGAGACGCATCTGGATGTCGCCGACAGAATCACCAATCTTCCAGAACGAGAAGCCGTTGAAGAGTGCGGAAAAAATGTGGAGCGCGAATTTGTTGTTGACGTAATCCGTGTTGCGGTAGAGAGCGACGTTCATGCGGTGAGTGACAATCTTGATTTGGTCCCAGAGCGAGAGGGCGAACTCGTGGCCGTCATCGACAGTTCCGGGTGGCTTAGCAGCTGCGTCGTCAATCATGTGGTCAAGCTCCTTAACAACTGCGTCATGTTCCGGAGAGGAGAGCCAAACTTCGTTCCAGTCCTTGCCCTTGGAAAGGTGGCCTGAGACGACATCGATCATGTGCTCCGCTGGGTTGGCTTCCTCAGGACAGGGAGCGCCGTAACGAGAGAAGTAGGAGCGGATAGTCTTCGCGTTGTCGCCGATGTCACCGAAATAGACCGTCTTGCCACCCTTGGCAAGGAGCAGAAGGGTATCGAACTGAGAGAAGAGCTGGGCAGAAGGCTGGTGGATTGTGACGAGAACTGCTTGACCGGCATCGGCGAGCTTGCGGAGGAAGCGGACGGTATTGTATGCCGACTGGCCGTCAAGACCTGAGGTAGGCTCATCGAGGAAGATCAGAATGCTAGGCTTGGAGACAAGCTCAACACCAATAGTAACACGCTTTCGTTGTTCAACAGACAGGCCGTTACCAACACGGCCGATGAGCGTGTCGGCCAAATCGTGAAGCTCAAGAAGATCGATGATGGTGTTGACGTATGCAAGCTTCTCCTCGCGAGGGGTTTCACGGCTTTGTCTCAGCAGAGCAGAAAACTCCAGGGCCTCGCGGACAGTGGCAAACGGCTCATGAACATCAAGCTGTTCGCAGTATCCGGCAGATCGTTGAAATGAAACGGGCAGAGGGCGGCCGTCAACCATGATGGAACCGCGAATCGTACCCTCAGTCTTGCGCTGGGCAAGGACGTCAAGCAGCGTGGTCTTTCCAGCACCCGAAGAGCCCATCAAAGCTCCCAACATACCGGGCTTAACCCAACCTTGGACGTTATCGAGGAGCACCCGGTCTCCAGTAGGGGTCTCGACAGTGTATGACAGGTTCTTCCAGGTGAAGATTGACGTGTTGCGGATGAGGTTCTGGTTGGCCTCCTCTCCTCCACTGGCATTGCCGTCACGCTTCTCGTTCTTGTTGTTCTCTGCCGCAGTTTCTTCCGAAGACTGTGCCTCCTCGTCGGTTCGAAGAGCTCCAGTGATCTTTGAATTCTCACGGGGAATGAGCAGAGAAGAGCCACCTTCAGCAGAAGACTTCCACTTGGAGGTAGAGATAACAGTAAGCGCGATGAAAAGCGCCCACCATGCCCAGACAATGCCAAAGTTCCTCCAGACGTGGCTGTGTCCGTATGACATGGCGGAGAGGTACTGATCACCGGTAAGAGAGGTCTGTCCTTGGATGGCGCCTGCGACACCGGCGCAAGACTGATGGGCCAAGTCTGTATATCCTGGGCCGTTCGGGACAAGGTTGTTTCCAACACAAGGAATAAGTTGGCCGTAGAACTCAGTGGACATGAGCGAATCGAACGCATATGCGAGCGGGTTGATCCTGAAGCATCATCAGAACACGCGAACAAGGGCCAAAGAAGGAAAAGATGAAGGCCGACTTACCAGAAGATCCACACAAACCAAGGGTGCATTTGCGACTTTTGGATCATGTACCCGCAGTACATGATCAAGGCAGTGACCATGAAACCGGAGGCCTTGGACGCGCCATCAAATGTCGAAAAGCTTGCACCGATAGAGCGGAACATTGCCGTCATGCACTATCATGGTCAGTAACTGTCGAAAAAAGGAGACCTGAAATCGAGCGGCCAACATGCCACAGCACCAACGCCAGGCCCAGTTCCGGAAAATGTGGGACGGCAATAATCGCTAATAGATCTTAAATCAGGAAATTTTCTTTACATACCATGGTGGTTGCGACTACTACAACCCAAAAGGTGAAGAACGCAGCTGCAGTTGTCTTCAGGCCGACCATGAAGTACAGAACGAGCGAGAAGACCGAGACTTGAAACAGCGTAATCGGGATATCAGCAGCGACCTGCGCGATGCAGAATGCGGCTGGGTGGTAGTACGCGAATGACTTGTGCTTGATGAGGACGGGGCGACCGGTGAAAGAGTTTGTGACTTCGGACATGGACAAAAGACTGTTGAAGAGCAGAGCGAAGAACAGCGCGCCACCCTTGATGAAGAGTCCGGCAGAGTTATTCGGGGCATTATAGAAAAGAGAACCGGCGATGAGAGCTTGAATCAACGTCGAGACCTGGGTGATGATGAAGGTAGCCTTATCACCCCAGATGATCTGGTATTGTCTTTGAACACAAGCCTTGACCTGGGTCATGAAGCTCGTGGTGAGCGCACTGTTTGCAGGAAGTTGCTTATGCTTTTCGTTCGCTACGCCTTGCTGGAATAGTTTCGTCTTCTCCTTGGCCTCTTCTGTTGTTGGGAAATCGTATTCGGCGATCATTCGAGGATATATATCTGACTTTTCGTATTCGGACCTCAGCGTAGTCGCGTTGCGAGGGAAGGTCTTTTCGAAGCCGGGTCTGATAGCTCTTTCCGTGGGCACCGTGACACCCGTCAAGAAATCAGCAACGTTGGCACCATCCGAGCAAACGAAACCAAGTTGCTCCATGAAGGGCTTGGCCTCGGTCATAGGTCCGTAGTAAACCTCCTTGCCTCCGTCCAGAACGAGAACTTTGTCGAACAGGTTGTAGATACCGTTGCCTGCCTGGTATAGTGTGACGATGGAAGCCAGACCGAGCACATCGGTCATGGCGCGGACAGCCTTGGTGTACTCCAAAGCGCTGTTTCTTGTTAGTTGTATTCATATTAAGGACCACCAAAGGGCAACCACTTACGTGCTTGCATCCAGACCTCTAGTACTGTTGTCCCAACAAAAGACGGAACCCCTTGTGGCCATACACTCGATGATGGACACACGCTTCCTCTCACCACCAGATACGCCACGGACGAACTCGTTGCCAACCTTAGTGTCGAAGGTGTGCTGAATACCCATAGACTCCAGCAGGAAATCTCTGTTCTCGGCTCTCAACTCCTCTGCAGACGAGACCCCGTCGGGCAAGTGGAAGGGAATCTTAAGACGCGTCGCGAAGTCCATAGTTTGGCCGACTGTGAGCGTAGGGAAGAACAGTTCCTCCTCTGTGTTCATGACGATTTGACCCCGATACTGTTCGGCCTCCTTAGCCGACATGGAACCATAGTGTACATCGCCAGTGACAGAGGAATATCCTCGCCGGTGGTTAGCCAGGATGTTGAGCAGAGTTGTGCATCCGGATCCAGGTCTGCCAAGGACAAGCAGCATCTCTCCGGGCTTGACGCATCCATGGGTGTTGTCGAGGATAGTCTTCAGGGGTGGCTTATGGCGAGACTCTTTGACGAGCTTGGGAATATTGAATTGCGAGAGCACATTCTCGTGTACCGATGCATCGGAGCTGACAGCTTGAACAGTGAGGTTCTGCCATGTCACGCCAAGCTCCCGTCCTGGAAAGCCCGAGCGTTCATCTCGTTGTTTAGCTGCCACGACCTTGTGTTTCAACGACCACGTGGAATCGTCGTCCGGAATTTGGCTGAGTTCGAGGGATTGCTCGTAGTTGGATCCGTTGTTCAGGGTACCGTCTGACTCCATGTTACCTTCGCGAGTGGACGGTACGCTCGACGTGCCTTCTGGTTTCTCAGATGTGAAGTTCATCGTGGCGCCAACTATCCTGAAGGCATGAGTCGAAAGCACACTTGAGGGAGGGAAATTGGGTGTATTCTGGGCGAAAGCTTCTATATGTTTTTCTTTCCGCTGTCTACCTAGTTCCCAAAAGTCCGGCCGACCCGCCGCCTAGGGACTGGACTCGGCCACTTGGGCTAAGATTAAGACCCCGATCCGTAACTACCTGAGATCTCTGTGCAACCGACCCCTAGTATGATGGAATAATGGGTCTAAATCGGGCCAAGCGGAGCAACCAGGGAGGAACGCCATGATAAGGGAGGGGTCTCGTCATCCCGTTTGTGATTACAAAATGCGTCGGACGAAAAAAACAAAGCTTCTGGAATTGGATGTCATGATGCGCAGACTTGTTTCGGAGGCCTGGGTTCGTCCGCTGAATAAGACTTTTTCATCCCACTTGACCCGTGAAGCTCGGCGCTTTGTTGGCTGAACCCTGCTGTCGTTGTTGTGGCAGTTGGAGGCTCGGGGTCGGACCCTGGCCGACGAGCGGGATGCCGCGGGCCAGCCCCTGGTCGATCCGTAAACAATTCTGAGTGCCACGCTGCGGCTCACCCGTCATATTCGGCCTTGTTGTGTCAAATGAGCGATATTCCGCTGAGTAAGCGGCAATTTCGCAACTTTGCAGAGCTTCCATCGCCGCTAATGGTGTTGGTCAAGGCCGAAAAGGTCGGAGCGGCACATGTCGAAGCGCCGGGCACGGATGCGCAGTGTGGAGCCGAAAGTGGAACAGTCTGAAGTTTTGCGTTAAGGTTTTTAAATGGGATCCAATGAAAACTCGCTACTCAAATAAGACTGATCCACTAGTGAGTTTCGCCGCTTAGTAATCATGTCAATCTCGCCGCTGAATCAGCGGGGATTTTATACATTTACCGAAGGGGGGAACGACAGCCGTAATCAAGCCATTTCTCGAATATTTGCGGCGTGAGACACTTCTTGTTGACGAACCGGCTTCCCTACCGAATACCAAGACGGCTACGGAACATACATTGCCTAATCCTTCTTTGGCAAGTAGGTCGTAACCGCTGGGCGGCGGCCAACGCAAACCTCGACTTAGAGGCTCACTATGAGGAAGAGAGCGTGTGATTCCTGTCACAGGAGAAAGGTATGATTCTTTTCCATCGTTGCGTTTGAAATCTTCATTTGCGGAACGCTGATTTCAGTTTCTCCTTTGAAGATCCAATGCGATGGAGCCGTACCCCAGTGTAACTGGTGCAAGCACCACGGGATGGCATGCACTTTCAACCGGGCCACCAAGGTGAAAAAGCGTGTAGCCGCAGCAAGGTAAGGCCGTTGAGACCCACCTGATGCCGGTGAATCACCGCTGTGTGAGATGATTCACAAAGATTTACGAGATTTGCAGGGCTGGCTCCGAAAAGGACCTAGTTGAGCGCCTCAACCGTATTGAACAGGCTCTTGAGGCGGCTCGGCGAAATCAGGGCTCCCAAGATCCTGGAAATGAGGGGCGGGACCCATCCATGTCCCCTTCGTCATCATCGGCGCCCATGTCATCCGTCGGCCCGGAGCCCATGGCTGCCGACGGTACCCCGGAGGCAACCCAAGCCCGAGCCTTGGAACCCCCAGCGTGGGCTTCCGGTGCTACCGTGGGGAAGATGCACTTTGCTGGATACTACTTGGGAGACATTAGCTCTCACAATGGTGTCCCATTTTTTTCTTCTGACGGCCAGGAATGGATCCGGTCCCGCACCGGAGAGGACGCCTCAATCCAGACGTTGTTCGCTTTGGGGCCTCTATGGCAGACTCAACACCCAGTTCCCATCCATTTGGGTGCATATCTACACTCGAACTCAGGACGAGAACTACCTGACAGAACAGTCGTTGAAGAGTATTTGGCACTTTTTCGGGCATCCCACTTTGGGTTGTTCTTCCCGTTGATTGATCACACCTTGTTCTTGGAGACTATTGAGTTGGCATTCCAGCCATCTGAAACACCATCTCTCGAAACGATTACAGCCAAGGCTTGCGTCTTCGCCTTTTTCGCTGTTCTTTCCTTATTCCAAGTACAATGGAAGTCCACGCCCGAGATTGACGGGGAGGCATGTGCTGGAGCTGCTCAGAATTTGATTCCGATAATTCTTCAAGAAACTAACATTACCGGCTTGGAGACCGTTTTTATGCTTGTAAGTCTCCGCACCAATGTACAAACTGAAACTTTACTAACCCTTGGCTTGCTAGAGCTTGTATCGTCTCTTTTGCGGCCACCTTCAACAAGGTGCCATGTTTCATTCCACGACATGCCGAGTATTGTTTATGCTTGGGGGACATCTTAATCCTGGGACGAGCTGCACCCCCTATCAATCGCCAAAGACCGGACATGACCATGATTCACTAGTAAGGAATCAACTTCGAAGGCTGTTCTGGTTGGCATATAAACTCGATAAGGACATCAGCCTTCGCACAGGCCAGCCCCCGAGCATTGACGACGAGTATTGTGACTTGGTTCTCCCACAGAACGACTGGTGGACGCGGAACTCAAACGACTTGGGTGGTTCGCCCTCGTTTCTCGACGAAGCGATGATCACTTCAGCAATACAGCCGGATTCTCTGCAGTTGACAATCATCAAATCGACAATCAGTCGAACTCTGTACTCCGTCGCAGCCATGAAGAAAGGCGATGCCGAATTGCTTCGGGATATTCGCGAATTAGATGACGGACTTGAGAGATGGCGAATGTCGGTGCCCCAGTCATATCGACCAACGTTGACGTTTCCCCGGGGCACGGTGGCCATTCGAAATGGCCGAATGGGAATGGAAGAGATCATTATGCATTTTGAGTACCACTACTTGATGGCCATGATACATCGGGCAAGCGGCAGATGTCGATGTTGGGCCAGTGGCGAGGGCGGGGGGCTAGAGGGTGTCAGTTCGAGTCTGGCATTGTCAGTACAGGCAAGTCGATCAACGCTGTACTTCCTCAAAGCCGCAATACACGCAGTTGAAGAAGTGGCGTTTTGGTAAGTTGCCACACATATCATAAGAGTTAGACACCTACTAACGGGAGTAGGATGATTGTTTTCTATCCCATGTCGGCGATTTTGACCATTTTCTGCAGCTTGCTGCATGACCCCCTTAACCCTCAGGCGGAGGAGGACCTTCAGCTTCTGCAATCTGTTCCTCAACTGATCGAAGGAATGCGGAATCGCCGCCTCACCAAGTATGAGGTCGGCCATGTCAAGATGATTGATGCGTTTGTCGCGGAGCTGACTCGGCTGGGAAACTGTGCCATTGGCAAGGCGCGGCGTGAAGAGACGGGCGAATAACTATTTGTAACGATAGGTTTCTTGTAATGTGCAAAAGGAGCAAGGCGTTTGGTAAGCGAGTCGCCTGATTATGAAGGCCCGGAGAGGAGGGCCTTGGAAGACTTGGGTATAACTGCTTTTGGGTTGGAGCTGGAAACACACGAGGAATCACAAGTGAGGATATTCTCACATTGGGGAAGAGAACAATAACCAGCTACCAGGTGGTCATTCAGAGACGAAACGACAGTTTCTTGGTATAAATTGTGAGGTATCTAGATGTGGCCCAAGCCAAAATGTAAATGAAAGAAGTCATTGAAGAGCAGGATCAGTCGATGTGATTGGACTGTGCTGTTGTGTGGTTGATTGGCTGAGGGTGGGTGTTTGGAGGCGGAGAATCGGCCAATGGGGTTGGGTAAATTCCGCCTTTTCAGTCCAGGACCATCCCAGTTTTTCCGTTCTCCATTCTCACCACCCTTACGGATAAAGGTGTGCCCCATTTCCCATGTGGTATTTTGTTTGTGGCTTCCATCAACTCATCATCGGCCGTTGCCCATATTGGCTCACCTCCATCACAGACAAAACAGCTAATTCTTCTAGATTCTTTTGCGGAAATCCCTTTCTTAAATACGACGTTCCTCCACCATAGAACGACATCTTCTACCTCCGCCGCCACAGATTCTGGGCCCAAGATCGCCCCAACTGCACTCGATGGGCTTCAGACTAACGGCAACCACTCCTTTTCGGCAGCATCCCCCGAGATTAGTGGCAAAGCCAAGGACTTTGAGCTTTTCTCGTCTACTTACCATTAACCTTTGGTTCGATGATTGGCCACACGACGCGCCACCGTCCGCATCGTGAATGGCAATGTCAACGGGCCTGATGTCGACCCTTGCATGTCAGCTGTAGCTAAGCGGTTAGCCTACAACAACAGGGACCACAAGCCCCACAAGCACGCAGCAATCCCATGGACATCCAGTCGAATGATCAGTGGGGTTGAGGAAGAATGCCCGGTTAATGTATTACGGCATGCTCTAGCTCGAATTTTTCTGGGGACCCCAGAGTCCTGGCCGTGTCCAGAAGACTTGGTAACGGCAGCTCGTGTGCTACTCGGCATGCATCCGTGGCTCGACTTGACTGACACCTTCACGCCTTCTCCAAATCCGCCAGCACACTTTTCCCCTCACGGGGCCGGGGGGGTATTTGGGGAACCCTGCTCACCTCGAGATTGTGGCTTGTTGAAATACCACCGTCTCTGCTGCCGGTCTTCGCGACCGCATGCCCTGTCACATCTTGTTGCCAACAACTCATGCAACTCTCGATGCGACAGCAAGGTCCTTAAGCCGTCCCCAAGTGCTTCCTACCCACCGCATTTGGTTGTCTGCGTTTCATCATCATGCTTGTCAATCAGCCCGTTCGTCCCCGACCGATCAAGACTCGGTCCAGAGCAGGTTCGTATGAACCTCACAGTCCAATGAAGTATTTCGAAAAAATGTGTCTGACCTGTGCTATCATCATCTGCAGGGTGTAAATATTGGTGAGTTATATCAGCCGCATCACGGTGGAGCGAATCTGTGCTAAAATCAAACAGTCGAGACAAGGTTCGTCGCCTTGGTTTGTTCTCAATTTGAGCTTCTCACCAACAATCATCCAGAGAAAGAAGTGTTCCGAAGAACGCCCTCAATGCCTCCGTTGCGTGCAAGCCGGCGTAAACTGTGTTTATGAGCCCATCAAAAAAAGAAAGCGGAGGGCATCAACCAAGCCGACGCAACCTCAGGAATCGGTTACATCTGACGACTCCAGAAGTCCCACAGGCACTACCGATCTACAGACGAGCCCAGATACGAGCGTCTTAACTCCGTCCGATGTGCTTCAGCCCCAAAATGAAGTAGCTTTCTCATCACCCACCTCTTCAGAAACCTGGTTTTCAACCTCAATAGACTCCATACTACCCCTGTGCGAAGACTTCCACGACTCATACGACTATGAAATGGGCTATGGAGAGACGGAGGGTTATGAAGGAGATTTTACGACAGTGACAGAGATGGGATCCTGCCAAAAGACGGTTGAGAGCGATTTTCAACTTCCATTGGCGAGCATCGGCGGGAGCGTTCATTCAACAGACGACTCCTTTTTTTCAACAAGTCTAGACATGTCGTGGAACGAGCCGTCATGGTCGGCGGCATCTTCGCCAATGCGAAGTCTGTTACCGCCCTCTTTCCTCGGCGCTACGGAGTGTCCAGAGGATACAGGCCTCTTGGAGCATTACTCCAAGGTTATGTTGCCTATGATGGGTTTCAAGGAAGGATCCGAGAATCCTTACGAGCAACACATTATTCCCCTTGCACACAGGAGTTCAGCTGTCAGAAATGCCATCTATGCCCTGGCCAGCGCACATCATGAGTACGCTGGCCTCGAAAATACCGAGGGATCTGCAGGATTCCATGAAAGAGCTGTCGCCGGCTTGTCGGCGATTATTGAAGAGGGTGATGGGTTCGAAGAGGCACTAGCAACAATAGTTCTCCTCTTGCAGTACGATTTGGTGAGCGACACTACATCAGAGATTTCTTCAATAATTTGCTGACCGCTGCAGCTTATGCAACGTACCATCCCAAGCATCACCAACAATCATCTTCAAGGAGGCTGGCATATTATCAGTGCCATGCCGGCGCCAAAGGGCCCAAGCGTTGAGTTCTTCGAACAGGTACGTTTGTCGACTAAAACTTTGAAGCATCTCTAATCCTCCTCAGGTTTTCCGTTATTTCGACGTGCTTAACGCATTATCCAACGGATCGTCTCCAGTATTTCCTGCTCCAAACACCGGGCGGGCGTATTCACCCGGCAGCACTCCACCCGCAATCACGTTCAGCGGCATTGATCCCGTTTTAGGCATGGCAGATGACCTTTGGCCCACACTCCATCGCCTGGGTGAGCTGGCGACTATGAAGCGGGAACTACAGGCGGCCATGGCAACTGGCCAGACGTCGAAATTCGCAGTCCTTCGTACCGAGTATCAAACAACTTACAAAGCGATCGAACGAGCTCTAGAATCATGGAGCCCAACCCTCCCTCCAGGTTTCAATCTTGTCAACCGCATCGTTGATGGCCCTGAAGATGCCTCCGAAGCCGAGCTCGCCAATGTGAGGTGGATCACCAGCACGGCGCTCGCGTACAGACAGAGTGCGCTAGTCTATCTGTACAGTACCATTTCGGAATACCCTTCGTCACACAACTTGGTACAAAAACACACACAGGCAGCTTTGTGGCACTGCGCAGCATCTGTATCTCATGGCGGGACTGGGTTGACACTGCTGTGGCCACTTTTCTTCTCCGCATGCCATGCTGTCTGCAGCCGAGACCGCGGCTTGGTACGCCAAGCTTTTACCGCCTTTGGAGGCAAGAAAGGGACCGTCAACACAGAGAAGCCATGGGCTGTCATCCAGGATGTATGGCGGAGGATGGATATGCGGGCTTACGGGAAGGAGCAGGTTGGGTCCGAAGCTTGTCCGGACTTATGGAAGCAGGTAGCTGCGACCATGAGAACAGGCATAGTATTCGGCTGAAGGGGATAGATGCAAAAGGAGACACGGGTTTCTTACTGGCAGGTTCCATTATGAGGAACCATGCTCTTTGGGCCACTGTCGCTTTACTGTTACGATATAACGGCGCTCGCTATTAGCATTCACGATACCACAGACACAGATATACTAGGCTACAAAGTGCTGGGCACAAGGAGGGGTGGGGAGACGGGGCGCATGAGTACCAAAAAAAAAAATAACACAATCGTTTTGCCTTTCGACCCGGGAGATTTCGATTTAGGGAGCTGGATTGTCTGATCCCGCGATTTAAACAGTTCAGTCTTCGGGCCTACACAGATTTGTTACAGCGGAGTAAACAGACCAAATGGTTGGGCTAATGCAGCTCATGATTACGTCCACTCTTTCGACTGGACCCGCCACTCCTTCAGGTGAGTCGACGTGGCTCGACCAATGCCAACACCTACGCCACTGGTCTGATTGATTGTCCTCCAACCAACGTTGGGGAACGCGGAGCCGCCTCCTCCAGAGCCACTGGGGGGGTGGTTTTCCCCACAGGCAGGGGGAGTGTGTAATCAGCCTGATTACCCCTCTGCAGATCCAGGTACTGGGGGGGTGCATGGCAAATAGTCGCATCTCGTGATGGGCAGCAGAAAAACGGTGGACCAAGGGCAGGGGCCATTCCGAACACTGGCTGGTCGTCTTTCAAAGCCAAGATGTTGGAGTAGACGCATGTATCTGCGGGCGGCTACCGATCTAGGCATACGATTGTTCGTCTGATGTTTGGGCACACCCTTAAGCACCATTAAAGGCCATGCGCACTCAACACACAATGCAACCCCAGAGCAAGATTCCACTACCGAAACGATATTTATCCTGCCGGTTTTTGTCTCTGGAACCAAGATGCGGAAAACTCTGGGTCTGGGCTTGTTTAAAAACGGAAAACGGAAAACGGTCAAGTCAGCTTCCTTGGTGACCCTTCTTCGCCCCCCCCCCCCCCCCCCCCATCAAAATGGCCTGTGGCTTGATGTGGTTCATGTAAGTAGGGCTGAGGTGTGGTGCAGAGCACAAAGATGAACTGATGCTGAATACGCGGCCCTGTACACACGGGACGTGAGCAGAGGGCAGTTGGGGCTGGATCAACTGTCAATCCAGCCTGATGGGCGCCGTTGCTCCGTGTCCCAGGAAAAGCAAGTGATCCTCGGTCGCACACCGGCGGTCTTCGTCCTGTCATTTCTCACCATAGTTGGGTGCTTGAACGCCGTTGGTGAGGCATGCAAGCAGAAGTCCCTGGCACCAACATCTAGAGGCTTGAAAGCAGGCCGCAGCAAGGGGTCATATGATGGGCGTCGAGACGGCTTGAGAGCTTGGGTATTGCTGCCGTGCTTTAGCGATGAGTGTACTGCATATGCCATTGCAACACTGCGCCTCTCGCCTTCTCCCACAGCACGCGCCCAGCAGATATTGAGACCCACGAGATCCCGAGCCTGACAGACCCTCTTTCTCCAATTTTTAACAAAATAACGAACTCGCACTTGGGCTATTCTGGGCTTTGTGATCTCGAGCCGATGTAACGGGCGCGCGCGCGCACCGCACTTTTGGCACGTGGCGCGGCCTAGTAAGCAGAAAGGGAGGGTTGCTTGCGAGCACACCTCCATCTATCCATCGCGCGGCGCCCGCATCAGACAAAGATGGAGGGAGAGATGAGAAAGAGAGATGGGGTGGCACTCACTCAGCTTCGGTCGATTTGGAGCGCAACGGGCGGGATTGACGCCTGGTGATTTGGTGCACCCCGCAAAAAGGCGCAGCTCTTCCCCTCTCGTTGGCTCGTTTGACGGCTCGGTTCGCATTCCTCTGCTCCATAGGATTGGTCTCCTGACAAAAGGACCGATCTGGTTCGCCGGTCTTTTGCTGACACCAAAATTTGGGGTAGGTAGGTAGGGTGAGATGATGTCGATATGAGAAGGTGGATTTTTGGGGGAATGGCGGGGAGGCGGGTGTTTTGCATCTCGGCTCCGTCGGACGGGGCTCTGGGGGGGGGGGGTTGATGGGATATGTGTGTGTTAATTTCGAGAGACAGGTGAAATGAATTTGTACCTGCTTGTCAGGACCCTTACTCGGTTAGATGCGAGGTTGCGTTGTCTGGGGCCCGGGGGATGGTTGGCTGGCTGACTGACGGGGGCGAGGAGATTAGATTGAGCTGAATTTGTATATCGACCGCAGCAGCTGCAGCTCGGTTTGACTGCAGAAGGGGGTAGCAACAACAGAGGGTTCAGCTACCGTAGCAGGCCTCTCCATTCAGTGTCTGGACATGTCTCGACAGATGTTGTGTTGTGTAGCGGAGACCATGTCCGTGGAGATTGGACTTATTGGACAAGGTAAGCCACGAAGATTGTGCACTACCGAGCACGCATAGCCAGTCCATTGCTGTGCAGCTTCTCCAATTCCAGGCTGAGCTTGCCACTGGCTGAAAATTTAAGAAGCACCAATAAGACAGCGGGCAATACTGCCAGCTTGAAGAGCCAGGTGTCTGAACGCAGTGACTCAAGGCCTGGAAGAGGAACTTACCAGATTGTGTGATGTCTAAGGTAAGGTGGTGTGCGTCTTTGATCATGAGCCGGAAGTTGCAAGGAAGTTTGCATAGGAACGAACGATTGTTGGCTTAGTGGGTTCTCTCATCAAAGTGCGCAAGCAAAAAAAGCACCGCTTAGATGATGCTGGAACACCGAAGGATCATCATGTCAAGGTTGACAGATGCTTCCACCTCTTCAGGGGCAAATCTTGTGCGGGTACTTGACCTTATATATATATATATAGACTCATGGTGTTTGGCTGATGTAATTTGAAGGTATTCCTGGCCAAGAATCATAAGAGAACAACTGGAAGTTGAATAAAGAGTTGACTGCAGTCGAGAGATCTAGGCCTACGATGCGGAAACCTTGGTCTGAACTATGGCCCTGAATGTCGACTTGTCGCTCATATAGCCGGAGTCGACTGTGCTTCGCAATTTTCAAACGGGAACAATTGTTTTCTTTTTTTAGCTGTATTTATGTGCGAGACACCTTCGCTGCAAGCTGCGAGTTGAGCTATACGCACTGGATGATACAAATAAGCCATCCCTATGTCTGATCACGGCAACCTGGATGGTTTTGCATCTCCCGTGGGCAGCTTCATAAAGTCTAAGGACTTGTAAGATTGTTTCAGATCCTATGGAAAACTTTCCGAGATAAACTAAGTAACAGTGGTTCCCCCTAAATCACCGACAATCTCCTGTTCCCATGGCAAAGAAAAGTCATTCGGAGCCCCGTTTCCAGAACACTTTGCAAAGATCTTGTCGTTGTTGCCAGGAGAGATTACACTGTAAACAATTGAATTAAAGGCATTCGCATATAACACACGGACAGGGATATACTTGGACGGATCTAGTACCATCTCATTGTGAGTGAAAGTGTTTCTTGCCCTGTCCTGCATTCCTCGTAGTTTGCTGTTGGCAGCTTTGAAATTGCCTGATAACGCATCGTTTCCAACCCAGACATACAGTAAGTCGTCGAAACCATCGATGTTAATTTGGAGATTCTGTAATTGGTTGAATTAGAAATATCCGCGGTAGGCAGCCACTATGCATGAGTTTTGCATAGTTGTCCCCACCGGGAACTGGACACCGTGGATAGTGACTGGGCCTTGGCCCGGATTCACACTCACTTCGACGAGGCCGGCTACGCCTCTATGGAAGGGAACTTTGCCTTGGATAAATTTGAGATCCACGGATTCTGCCTCTCGGCTACCGTCAGATACTGCACTAATGAGGGTGTCACATTCACCCTCGGTTTTATTCAAAGCATAAAGAGCAACTTGAATGCCCGGGGTGCATGAAAGTGGCCCGGCGTCCGAACTGGTCGTCGATGTGGTGGATGAGATGCTGGTCATTGTAGAAGAAAAACTGGTGATGTCTGAGCTGAAAACGGTAGTCGAAGTTGTCGTCATGGAGGAAAATGTAGAAGACGAGGTAGTGGAAATGATATCCGACGTTGAAGCCAGATTGGATGTTGCGATAGAGGAAGTGCTCGCCAAGGATGTTGTTGATATCAATATTGAAGTCGAAAGTGCAAGTTCAGAGGTAGTCGACTCAGAAACACTGTAGGAGCTGAGTGATTCGGAGGTAGACAATGTCGGTCTTGCTAATGTTGAGGCTATGGATGAATAACTTGTATCGATGGTGCTACTAGATGGTTGTAAGGCTGTGGTTATAGGAAGGCCTGGGTCCGTGAAGCTGCTCGAAAGTCCAGGACTCGAGAGCCTGGAAAATGTTGTCGTCTGGCGGCTTGTTGGGCTTACAGCAGGAGATGTTTGCACGTCGAGAATCGAGCTAGGGAAACCTGAGGGGAGGGCCGAGGCAGAAATGAGTTGTCCGTTCTGACACTGTTCCGCTATAGCAATCACGGAAGGTTAGCATCTCCTGTAGGGGCATCGAGTTGACTCTGGGCGTAAACCGTACCTCCGTAAGTTACAAGCGAGACAGGCACACAGTCGGGAGGCCTTGATGTGAATGTAATGTACACTCGTCCGCTGACATCTTGACAAAACTCTGCCTGGCCGTTGGGCAGTAAAGGGCTAGAGAATCGAAGCGTGCCTCCAACGTTCTCAAAGGTCGTTGTGACAGAGGATCCTAGTGGTGGTTCCGTAGTACGTAGGAGCTTAAAAGTTTCGCCAGCGGTATAATGAACTGGCACTCCTTCATCCAAGAGTTGCCCATTCGTGAGAATAAACGTTGAGGCGCTATCACAGGTCTGGCGGTTTGTAGAAATGTCATGGTTCAGGAAACCACCAAAGGCCCTTTTATCTATGTTTCTTTTCGTCGAACGAATAGCGGGGACAATTAGGAAGATCACCGGTTGAAGAGCCGGCCCACTCGGGGTAGAATTAAAAGCTGAGGTGGTAAGGGAAGATGAGGCTGCTGAAGACGGCAATGGCGTTGATGCTGACAGAAATTGTGTCGACGACAATTCAGTGGTCGCAGGAGAATTTGAGTTTGCTGATCGGCTGGTGGGAAACGTCAATAAAGAAAGGTTAGGAGATGTAGGTACGAGTCCTCCAGTTGAGGAGTTTGCGTCATCCAGCAGGTTGGTCGGAGCAGGATTTGCGGCAACTGTTCGCACCGGTTCAAGATAGGTTGACAGGTAAGTAATGCACCAGCTCACGGGCAGTGCATCAGCACTATTCGCAGACAGAACGACCCCATTGACGTTGCACAATGCGATCAGTGAGAAAACAAAATATCGCAGGCTCATTGTGTGAGTGAAAGCCAGGAGATTAGCAGAAGGAAATATCGGCATATTTGTTGCTGAGAGAGATAAGAACCTGAAGAAGCCATGACCTCGGAATATAACAGTAAACACCCCCCTAAAAGATGGAGAGAATAATGGGTGGTGGTATGATACCAAGAATCCAGTGATATTACCGTGATATTGTAAACCGAGTTATTGGGATTCTAGTCTGGTGTGATTGGGTGGGGCTCGAAGCTCAAATTCTTATTGAACTCGACGGAACATTTGCCCCTAGGAATGGAAATGTGAGGAGATCCAAAACGGTCGCGTGAGATCTTGGGAAGCGATAATAAGAGATTGAGGCTGGAGACTTGGCAGCTGAACCGACATTTTAACGTTATGGCGAAGCTAGCTGAGAAGACACAGCATTCCTGCGTGAAATATGAAGCACCTCCCTTGATGCACGAACTGCCTGGAATTTCGCTTCACTCTGTTCCAGGCTATGCTTCCCGTCTCCTAGAGTGCCATATACTGCTCCACATCAACAAATCCATGTCCTAGTGAACGAAGCTTGATTTCCACGATGAAGTTACAAGACGCAAGCTGTCGAGCTCCCGGATATCCTTCGTTCGAAAACACTTCGGCTTTATAGAAGCATTATCCCGTATATACTCACACTTCTTCGCATATAATGAAGTTTTGAATGTAAGCAACTGAGAGCAAAAGAGCTTGGGTAAGGGGTGAGCCTGGTCAGGGAGGCATCACATTTCTTTCTCCTGGAATTAAGGCGCCCTCAGATTTCCCTACTCTCAACTCACGCATCCTCTTTAGTCGTCGCCAATCAATGCAGTCTTGTTCTTAGTCTTTCTCCGCTGATATAAACAGGATAAGTACGCTGCACATGGTTCTCTACAGAGTATTTATGTCCGACTTTATTCAAAATATTCATATTATTAAATCAAATATGTCTTTGGCACTTAGTGTAAGAAGCACTGGTTATCAAAGGACAGATTTGTAATTAATTATCGCTCTATTGTTGTGGAAATGGCCTTAGGGTCCCGTGAAAGCTATCTCGGCATGTCCGTGGTTGGTAGTGTCGTAAAAACCTCCTGTGGGTAGCAGCAGATTGCCCACCAATGTCGTTGCCTTAGACTACCTAGACGATGCCGCAACCTCTACAGACTTTATGGTGTTATGGCTTCTCTGCTACCTTCTTTTCCCATTGTTTGTCACCTCTCCTGTCACAACTGACGATTCAACCAGTGCGCTAAGATGATATGTGATCTTCTAGCGTCGCGCTGTACGAAACCGAACAGCTGCTCATTCAGCTGAACATGCTTTTATCCTATTGATTCTTTCGAAACTTAGAACGGCGCGACTTGTGGTTTCGACGCCAAGCCAGTAGTTACATTTAGATCAAGAGATAGACCGCCGCCTAACTCGATGAAGGAAAGCCCGAAGACTCGCCCTGCGGCTGAGGATAAATACGCTACCATGGTTTTATCTTCTTAGGTTTAAAGAGGCCGACACAACTTCGCAACAGTTTCAATTGCAGCATGTCCTATTTTAAGCCTCTTCCGACCTTCGAAAAATAATTTCTTTACTGTACCAGTTTAACGGCCAGAATGCCGCGATTGGCAATTTACGTTGTGGCATTGAGCCTAGTGCTCCTCAATGTTTGTGGACTTGCAACGGCACTGGAATCAAAGCAAAAGTTTTGCACCAAAGATAAAGCTGTCTCGAAGTGCGTCGCAGCAGTAAACAAACACATCATCAAGACTGTCCTGGTGTCGAAGTACTGCTCAACGGTTTTGGAATGCCCTCCTATTTCCACCACGACATTGAAAGGCCAAGTCACGTCAACAAAGACAAAGACAAAATCCTTTGTGTGGTCTTGGTCTGAAGCGGTAAGCTTGATAACCTGGAACTGTATCGTTAAGAGCTTTGCTAATAGGAGAAATTCTTGAACCCAGTCCGACATCACGACGACTACAACCACATGGTCTTGGACTGTAGGTGCCCACTCCCCTTGGATGTCATGTACCAACATGGTGATTGCAGGATACTACTACTGTACCCATCGCGTCAATAACTAAGAGTCCAACATGGACTATAGAGTACGTAAAAAAAACCCTCTGTATTTAATAACTTCCAAGCTGATCTTTTAGAAAATTTGCCGTGAGCACACTTGGACCTGTCAAAAGGCACTTGGAAGAATATCGGAAGCTTCCGCCAAGGGTCAGATCCGCTTGTCCAGTTGAGGTTCAGAAAAAGGCCTGCGCGTGTCTTTACACCTGTCCTCCGATGGTAACAAAAGACCAACGAAAAACCGTCAAGACCATCGAGAAAGTGACTACTGTATCTGTGAGAAAAGCCCCAGCACAGAGTTAATGACAAGGCTGACTAGATACTTGTTCAAGGTCGAGACGGTATACGTTCCTTATACACTAACAGTAAATGACGTGGTATTATTCACCGAGACCCAATCTGTTACTTATACATATACAGTCAGTCTCCCTGCTCGCACAACGAATGCCTCAGATGCACTAACCAACTACTAGAGCGGGATTCTGGTTACCAATACTCGAACGGCAACATGCACGCCTTCTGCCTCGAATCCATCCTTTTACCTCTCAGCCACCATTTCGCCTCTTCCCACTCCGCTTCCATACAACGGAAAGTATCTGCAGGCTGAACCAGATTTTGACTGGTTTCAGGAGGAGGGGGCGCTCTTTTGGCCAAAGTACACGGCGGGTAAGGATGAGGCGACACTCTTCACGCTAGACAGCCAAGGCAGGCTGGTAACGGAGACATCCTATGGTTTACACTACCTCGCTGTAAGCCCGTACAGCGATTTCGAACTAATTCAGCTTCTGCCCGAGGCTTGGGTGACCATACGCGAGTGGTATTTTATCTCCTGCAAGCTCATCGCACCATCTGGAAGATTTACTGGAAACTTGAAAGAACTTAGCTGTAATGGCAGTGTCTTCAACCTGGACACATTCCAATGGTGCCCCATATACCAGGAATGGTTCCGTTCCGGATCCGTAATTGGGCAGGAGTTGTCTGTTACAACACCCGATTGTTTCCCAATTACCTATTTGGCGGTGCCAGCTTGTGGCTAAAAAGGCTATGAGAAAGAAAGTAGATGTACAGTTGACGGTTTGACGATAATCAGCACGATAGCAAGCATTAGTTGAGTCAAAAGACTTTAGTTTTATGACTACATTGTGAACAAGAACGATGAATATTTACCCTTTTTTTTTTTTTTCTTTTGGCGAAACTATGACGACAACTGGTTCCGGAATAGATCATTTCTGCATCAGCACACCACGCAAGCGACGTAAATAATCTGGACTCAAAAAGCTTTTCGTAGCTGAGTGCCACCCTAGCTAGCCTTCTTTTCAAGTACTCGGTTAGGCATCACCCTAATGGGCTTCACGATGGTCATTTGGTAACATGTATACGTACTGGTCACGATCTGAAAAATAGTGAGTGGAAGTCGTAAATAATACCAAAATCAATCGAGCTGTCTCTACTACTCCCGGCATGACTGGCCACCATTACACCATCCATCTTCATAGACGACTTCCCACTATTGCTCCCACATCTTATGAGCGATCGACTCAAGCCTTCTTTGCCTTACCGCCCGCGAACCACTCCTTTAAGGAGTTGATATCCTCGTTACTGAGGGCAGGGCTGTCGGTGCCGTGGAGAGAGATAACGTATGCCACCAGGCTTCCCGATTGCTTCGGTTTGGTGGAAAGGCCCTTTGATTCGAGAATGGCATTGGCTTTGCTTGGGTCGTTGACAAACTGCTCCAACAAAGCCAGCTCGTTAGAGTCGAGAACAGGTTCGGGGCCGTCATTGCGCTCGATGATTTCTTTGGCAAGGGTATGATTGGCCAACAGCTCAGCCGCAGAGGGACCATTGTATGTGGTAGCCATGGTGTGGTTGGGCGGTAAGTAGTTGAACTGGTGAGTGTGATGAAGAACTGTGTTGCTGCTTGAAGGGGGATAGGCGGATTGTAAGACGTTGTTTCTCGCCTTAATAATGAATAATAATGAGTGTAGTTGGGTGGATCAAGATGTGACTTTCGGGTTCAGGGCTACCTAGGTTGATGCGGTGTGTATATACTTTTCTAATGGCACTGGTTGGCAATGGTACAGTGTCGTACAATGCTAGGCAATGAACTAGAACATGTGGCGGTGACAGAGATGACCATTCCACAGTTGGATTAAACAACTCCCAAGCGGGCAGGTGATAGTGACCCCTACCGCTTGCCCCCCTCCCCGCAGCTGGCAGTATCAGGAAACACACTTGTTCCAACCAACAAGCACATACGACTGGCCAATTAAACTAACTAAACAAAAAAGGATGTGAACGATGACACGAAGCCTACCCGCCAATGGCGATAACCTGACATGATGTGATTCTATTCCCGTCGGATATCAAGAAATCATAGGCGGGGTAAATCAGAGCAAAGCTGTGCGGGCTCCCAGTGTAGATTGCATACGGCTACCAACATGCTCAGAATGCTTCTCAGGTGCTAAAACATGTCTTCATAGACCCGCCATAATCAGCGTGAATGAAAATGTCATTCACTGGCCACTGCCACCCAGTTCTCGTGCACACAGCTCTAGTGCCCTTTTTCAAGCTACGTAAGATGCTCAGTTCTTCGACGCCGCCAGAGCAGCAATGTCATCATCCGAGAACTGGTATTTAGCCCAGGTGGAATACAGAGCCTCCGAGATCTCGTCCACAGTCTTTCCGGTCTTGGAAGCAAGATTTCCAAGCTCCTCCTGGGAGATCTTGCCACGCTTCACCTTGGAAGCCGCCAGAGCAGCGATGTCTTCGTCCGAGAACTGGTATTTAGCCCAGGTGGAATACAAAGCCTCCGAGATCTCGTCCACAGTCTTTCCGGTCTTGGAAGCAAGATTCCCCAGCTCTTCCTGAGAGATTGTTCCGCGGCGTAAGGAGGCTGCGGCATCAGTGGCAGGGCCGGCTGTTATGTAACACGTTAGCGCCGCCTGCGCATGGTAGAAGTGCAGGCTGAGCAGAATAAATAACATGGCGATGTACATACCATGCGGCAGGGCCATGACCACCGCGGAGAGAATTGAAATGATGACAACGGACTTCATCTTTCCTCGATTTGGTGTCGGACAAGCGCTAGTAGTTTGGCTTAGTGATAGAAACAATATGTGTAAAGATGTTGTCTGCGTCCTCGAGATGCTCGTTCGTTTGCGATATCAAAGGTATTTGACCGTTTGTTGCTGTAACCATTCTTGATTGCATTCTAGTCACTTTTGTGATGACAATCCGGGTTCTTCCCAGCCAAGAACCTATCACAGAGCTAGCTTGTCAGCATGACTGATGACATGCAGCACACCTGTCAACCAACTTCCTTGGCCCCCACTATATTCAACGACCTAGCTCTACTCAATAACTTGACGCGACTGTTTCGCCTGGCGGCTGCGCAATCTTTTTTGGAATTGTGCCCCTTACATTCATAATCACATTGATAGCAAACGACAGAGCAACTTGTGGCAGCTTTGGTACGTGATGCAAGACTCGGAAATGAGTGTCAACGATACCATCTCCCCTTCCTTTTCTCTAGATAGCGATGAGGAGGTCAAAGGCCTCTTGGAGCCTTCGGTTCCATGGTCGCAACCCATCAAACGTTACTCTTTCTTCCGATCCAACCTCCACATTGCTCTGTTATACGTCTCCAATGCATGTCTTCTGATACTCCTTGTCTTCACAACAACCCTCGCTTCACGCGGCGATCCTGCGCTTGCAGTATGGTGTAAGTATGTAGCAGCTTGTTCGATATGTGGGTGACGCTGATAGACTCTTTTGATTTCAGCACCCGCAAACAGTGCCGTCGAGTATGTTCCGAAGCAGCATTTTCGAGCGGCACTCTTCAATTTGACCGAGTACATGGGGTATCCTACAGCGGACGGGAAAACCGACAAGCTATGGAGCGATCTTTATAACTGTAAGTCATTTTGGTCTCGGTTCTTTCAAATTCCCTATATTTTAGCGGAGCGCGAACTCACAGCGAAGCAATAGTTGGCATTTCTATAATATCAAAGGAGGAAGCCTCAAAGCTGCCATCCCCCACCATTGCGATTCCAGGAACTGAAGACTACCTCGTTGAACTGGATGTCTGGCATGAGCTGCATTGTTTGAATGATCTCCGCAAACTACTTTATCCGGAGGTTTACGGTGGGCTGCTGGAAGTTACCTTGTCCAATGGAACTATTAACCGAGATACGGATGCGTTCCGTCACTGGGACCATTGCGTGGACTCTATCCGACAGACTCTCATGTGCCATAGTGACGTCTCTCCAATACCTTTCCACGTCAACGTACCAGCGAACATTGGGATCTTCCCAAGACTGGCAACCACGCACACCTGCAGGAACTTCACCAAGATTCAGGAGTGGGCGAAGGATCGCTGGGCAGGAGATTGGGACTTTAATGTTAACGAGACCAAGGCACAAGAGCTTATAGAAGCTTCGGGTTTTGACAACAGCCCCGAGGAAGATATCCAGTTCTTGTGGAGGCTGTTTCCTGGAAACAAGTGGTTTAAGTACTGGCGGGAGCACGAGTACACCAGGCCTGCAACGGCCAAACAGGGCAATTAAGCTGTGCGAGCGGGTTGTTAAGAGAGAAAGGAGGTGTCACAGGGTATATCTCAAACAAGCGAAGGCATTTGCGTTGTTCATCTATATATGTATCACATATTCTGTCACTTTTCACGTACTCGTGTGACTCACCGTTGAAACTTTTCTTGGGAAGACTTAATGATTGTAGAGGCAAATGAATTTTTGGGCTCTCAGAAACCTTTGTTCATCACACACAGTTGGAACCATATTCGTACGTAGCAGTTGGTATCGTATACATTAAGAAGTGGTACAGCCTTCCTGAGTCCTCTTTCATAAGCTTCTACATGCAAGCCCACGGAGCTCAAGTACTTCCTCCTGAAGCTAACATCGTCACTCGTTGCCCCCTACCCAAATCCTTTGCATCGAACGGTTCTGAGCGTGACTTGTCGACTAACTCGTGTACAAGCTGGCTGTTGGCACAGTAGTGCTGATTTTCCAAGCCATCAATGACTGCCACTTTCGCGCCAGACGGAATTACTCTTGTTCTCGCTGCTTCGATTGTATCGTCCGCAGCACATACGACAGCCTGCAAAACCAATCAGCATATGCGGCATCGTTTGCGAAGATACGTGATGTCATCAGTGGATAGAAGAAATTGTATTACCTGGGATAAGTAGTCTACACAGTGAATTAGGTGGTCCTCTTGGGAAGCTGGTTGATTTTCGTCTACTCCTTCAGACCTTTGCGTGTGGTGATGGTGCTCTCCGCCACCCTCGCTGTAGGCCGCAAGATGCTTGCGAATCATGTCCAAGCAGTGCAACTGGTGATACATGGACACCCCGTAGAGCCTGACTTCTCCATCAGAATCTCTCAGCCGCAGAAACTTGTTGTTTCCCCCTCTAAAAGCTTCGCTGAGGAGCGAGTGGTGTCTTTCCCGCTGTAATCCTGGAGAGCCAGGCCCATAAAACGATCTGAGCTGCAATTCTGGAGCAGTATGTTGTTCAGACTGGCACCTTGCATTTGGTGAGTTACCTGGCAGGTAGGAAAAAAAGGATCGCAGTCGTTCGTTGTCAATGAAAATGAGATAAGTTGCAGTAAGACAAGGAATCAAAGCCAACAACAGTATCAAGACAAGTAGCCGACTGCGGGCAGGGTATGTCGACCAACGGGTGCCCGGCGTTAAAGATCTTGAAGACATCGCTACAACAGACGAGTCTGTCTGTCGAAAGCTCCGAAAACTCAACACCGGCGATGTTTTTCCGATTAGCACGTACTGCAAGCGGAATGAGCTCTCTCTCTGTTTGAAGGGCGTTGCCAACCACCATGTCGAAGTAGCACCAGGCCAGACTCCCCGACTTGTCTTTCGGGAGGGCACGGCGTATGCCGGCTTTCGGTTGCTGACAGCTGGGCTTGTCATGCTGACTTCGCGAAAAGGTCATCAATTTGCGTTACGTTGCAATCTGCACGAAGCCCCTTGCACTCAGGGGGTCACTGTATCAACACCCCGCAATCGGAAGCTCGGTGGTTGTCCCGTCGCGGATCTCAGCCCTTCCTCCATGCAAGATTCGCTCGAAGTGGAAGACCCCACTGGCCAACTCACCTGCGATGCAACTTTAGCTTCGACTCGAAGTGTGTACTATGTGGGCATCGTCACCAAACAACTGCCTTCCTCTACCAGCTTTCTGCCTTGGTTGCCCGTGAGTACATTGGGGCACTTCATACCTACTCCAACGCGGAGGAGCACGGGAGGTTGGCAGCTTCGTTGAGACTCTAACAGAGCTCAGGACTGGAATTCTTGAATTCAATTATTTTCTTTTTCTTGTTTTTATATATATGCATAAACGGCTGCAATTATATACCCATCGATTCAGATATTTCTGCTCAACGATCCTCGCCTTGAAATGTTCTCCCAGGACCAGGAACTTGATACCTACTGTAACCGCAATTTCGCACGTTAATCTACCTTTACGCAATCTCATCTCCATGGTTTCCATCGTCTTCATGGACATCAAAAAACCCATGAAGCTCCTTAAAATGCCTGGTCATTCGGTGAACTTTCGCGCCAGGGGGCGCTTTCAAGGCAACAAAGGGTTCGACAGATACGGCGTGCTCGTTTTGATACTTCTTGATAGCTCCGTAATCGCGACACTTGTGTTTTGCACTGAAATCTGGGAATGGATGTTCCACGCCGTCTGTCCAAATATGGGTGTATACGTCCGTCGTGGCCTGGCACATGATGCTCTGAAGTAGGTACCAAATGCAATGTGACAAGTGCAACCGGTGCATTTCGCCAGTCTGGTTGTATCCCTTGGGGTACGACTCGCCATAGTAGTGTTCGAAGTAGGACTCTCGTCTCAGCGCATCGAGACAATGAATTTGATGGAAGACATCGAGCCTTCCGGCATAAACATCATCCCCAAGACCCCATTCTGGCGGGAACTTGACTGCATCTTCTGGATCTTTCCCCATAGACTCAACGTCTTCACGAGAGAGTGGAATAAGTCGCAAATCGCCCAGCCTATCCCACGCAATATCAACCTTGAGGCTTGGCTCCTGGCGGTAGATACTAACAGGCTCATTGAGAAGAAGTGTGGCATCGAGTTTCTTATCGAAGAAAGGAATATCCCCTTCTTCTAGCAGAGGGGCTATGTCCCTGGTAAGTGAGCTGTAAATGACCCGAAATGGCGAAGAAAGCTTACATGGACGCGATACTTGCTTGAGAAACCAGTTCCCTGATGCCTGCGATTCTCGGCCACTGTTCGATGGGATTGCAATACCGTTGGCTACCAGCATTGCAAGGCTTAGAAAAAACAAGCAGATGTTCAATGCCGTGGCAGCTTTTAACGCTGGTAGCGACCAGACATTGGCCTCAAGAATGTGCTTTTCATGCCTACATGGCTCCATTGACCCGTTTAGAGCAGTGGCATCTTCGTCATCTCTAGAGGCGATTCGCTTGTAGCCGGGAACCAAAACAAAAGCAAAAGATCTTTTAAACAACTGAGCCATGTCTTGAGTGTCGGAGGGGGCAAAAAGGAAGAAGAAGAAAAAAGAAAAGGAAACGACGTGGAGGCTAGACTACCTCAATGCGATGGTGTAAAAGGTGGTTCACCGGTTACTGCATGAGAAAGACGGTTAATTTGGAGAGGTCGGGGACGCAGTGTGAATTCGTGCCCATCATGAAAGCCAAGAAAAAATATCGCCATGTAGATGCCATAGCAATCGCCAAAATCTAGATTATGATACCTTTTGTCATCATGGTGACAGTCACACTATTTGTGACAAACATATCAACTAAATGACACAGGCCATGGACCTTGTCCCTTCATTGGCCCGAAAATTCATCATACGGGAATACGCATCAAAGAGGGGTTTCAATGATGACAATGCGTCTCGGCTCATTTGGGCTGCCGAAAGGAGTAACCGTATGCAGTGTTGCATATGATGATGTTGTCAGAATTTGTTCTTCCCAATCCCAAAACCTTACTGGGTGCATGGGCAACGACCTTGAAAGCGAAGCAACTCCCGTGACCACGTTACTACTGGTAAAAAGGGGATTCTATTCTGATGAGTAACTTTGAGGGGACACTGCCGGTTGGGTGCCCTCGACATTACAGGTAACATTCGAGCAGTCGAGGTATCGGCCGGTTATTCCTCCAGCCAAAATTATCATGGCTCGAGACTATCGAGACCAGTGCCACGACTCATCGACCTACACCATTATTGGTTCACAAGAAGGCAACGACTATCATCAGATACAAACTTCCAAGGCACTGCCTCTCAGTTTGTGGTTTGTTATTTCGTTGTGTGTTGTTTGCGCGGCCGAAGCGGTGGCGCTGTTGTTATTGACAACCGGGGCAATGACATTTGGGCTGGATAAGAGCACTTCCACAGTAAGAACCGTTGAGACTAGTGAGCTACCGCGAGACTCTGCTGACGGACGTTCAAAACAAGGAGGCACACTTGGTCGAGTTTCAGAAGGATTCTCGATTCCATGAACTGTACACCAAGGAGTCAGTCAAAAAGGCATGGGCGATTTACAATCTTCGTAAGTCCTCCTTGATGAGGGTTTACCTTGACACTGGTGCTGAGCATCACATTTGCAGCACACGGTGCCTTTGTACAGCCACCAAATATTGCGGATCTAGGCCTGAGTCCCAACAACAACACCGTGATTGATGGCCTGGAAAACGTCTTTGCCATATCTGCTTTCCACCAGCTACACTGCTTGCAATCGCTTCAATCAAACCTCGTCGACCTCGCCAAGAGCCGCAGAACGCCGGAGGAAACGTTGCAGGTTATCAAACATGCGTCCCATTGTGTTGAATATTTACGCCAAGGAATACACTGCGCGGCTGATAACACCCTGGAGGGACCTAATCTGGAGGGGCCAGGCGGCGACAGTCTGCTGCAAGTCTGGGGTGTTCATCACAATTGTCAGTCATGGGATGATCTTGTAGACTGGAGAGACAAGTATGCGATACCGCAGGTCCCACCAGAATAACCGGAACTGTTTTAGTAGTCAGGGAGCGAAACAGGCTTGTGAACAAATTAAATTGCTTTTATCTTTCGCACTTACTTCTGCAGGTCTGCGACATATGGTCGTGAAATGGTGTTAGATGTGGGGGTGGGCTGATGATTCTCGCAACACGCAGGAATTGAGTTCCAGCTGTGTTGGGCGAATTTGTTTTGCATAGGCGCCTGGAGTTCGCGCTTCGCTATAGCCTACTTGATGATACCACCTTACAATTTGGGAACAAGCCAGTCTGGAAGATGGGTCCTCGCGGCGCGCTGCAGACCGGGATGGATTCGCCGGGTGAATTTCTTGGTGGGATACGAAATTCATCCTGGTTCGACGTATGTGAGTCTCCAAAACGGGTTCACCATGGGTTAGGGGTAGGACGCAGCGCTGCATCTAAACCCCCGAGCACCTAATCAAAGCGTACGGGGCTACCGTCCCCGCCATGCGGCAGGCGTGTTAATGGCGGATGTTTATGGTGTTGATGGTTTAATAGGGCTGAGGGTTTGATGGTGTAGATAGTAACTCTATATGAACCTTACACAATGGTGTGAACCTCCCCATAGAGGGTCCTCAAATGAAATACTTTCCCCTCTTCTTCTTCGTTGTTTGAACTTTTCTGCTGCTAAGGTTTTTGTTGTTGAATTTGCTGCGCAAATATCCACAAAGACCCCTGTCAATGGCCTCTGAAAAGCACAAAACTGGACATCAAGCCCTACCAGCCGAGACAGAGTGGAAGGCTCGTCGCAGAGAGCAAAATCGAATAGCACAGAGGAATTGCCGTCAGTTCAACATTCGCTACGGTTGAAGAAGCCTACCAGTGTATTGAACTGACTAGCCGATACAGGGCAGAGAAAGGCAGGCCACCAGACGAAAGGCTCAAGCAGTGCAGGTGATGGGGAACGGTGCGACAAGAGATCTTCGTCTTCGTGGCCGCAGCATGAAAGCATAGATCGCATACAGCTTCCCGCGTTGATGAAGAACAGTCAACCAGATGCTGAACTAGCAGACGCATCATTATTCTTGGAAGGTACCCAAACCTCTACGTCTATTGCTGCGAAAGAAAGCCCAGAAAGTACAAGTCTGCATGCGTCGTCACATCTGAAAGAGCCTGTTCTAGACCCTGGAGAACTATTCGATTTCAAAATCACCGAAATGCTTACTGGGACTCACGACAGCGGCTTTGATCCGTTGTTGATGCTTTTTGAGTCATCAGTCGAGCAGAACACAGGAGCAGAGCAAAATGACGGCCATGATGGTAGTGAAAAAGTAAGTAAAAAAGCATTGAGTGATCCTGTCGTGGCATTTCAGCCTTGCTTAACACATTTTTTGTGCCTAATTAGGAAGCACGCTTGTCATACACAACGAAAAGTCTGCAGGGTCTTGGACAGAGAGGGGTATCACCAAGAGAAGAGTTCGGGAAAACACCTCTACACATCGCATCAGAGCTTGGGCACGCGGATATAGTTGATATTCTATTAGACAGCGGAGCACAGATAGATGCCGTGGACGGCTACAGACGGACATCTTTGCAATATGGCGCTGAGCAAGGACATAGAGGGATAGTAGAAAAGCTGCTGGGCGCAGGCGCCGACTCAGAGATGGTTGACGGGAACGGCATGACGGCTCTTCACATCGCAGTCTGCGCTGGCCATGGCAGTGTTGTAAAGCTTTTAGTAAGGAATGGTGCCAATCCAAACATCAGAGTAGGCTTCACGTCTCATTCCGATTAGCGGAAGAATCAATCCTAGACAGGAAGTGGACGAGGCATAGCTTCGAGTACCCGTATGTAGTAAGCACATAAAGAAACCATTCATCAATCATCAGTACTTCAATTTTGAAAATAAACCGGCTCTTGATAATTCATACCTAATTCCGCAAAAGGCCTTCTTACTTAGGGATGTCAAAGTATATGTGGTGGAGGATATGTCACCTTACTTGTATTAGGAAAAGACAGTATTGTAAAATACATTAAACAGTCTTGAATAGCCACTCTCGGTCTCAAGTAAAGTAAAAGAACTTCTGCCTTGGGGCAGCACAGCGGGGCAGCAGGCAACCTTGTCAATTAGAGGGAGTTGAGCAAATAAATGTTCCACACTTTGCCTAACTGCGGTGTTGATCCTTTCTTCAGCATCATAGTTCCCTAGTATCACCTGTTCTCATAAGGTTCCATTTCACCCTATCACATCACTTACCAGCCAAGAGTAATGGCAGAAAACATGTTTTGAAGGCACGGGGAGTCGCCATCAAAAACGCCGTCTAGGCATTGAAACAAACAAGTGTCATTCAATGGCTAACTCCCGCAGTAGCATTTGTTCAGAACTAACAAACAGAAACCTTGAATTGTATTATGGTCCCTCAGAGCAAGCTTGCAACAATAGGTCAGTTGCCCTGCTAGGAGAGGCGTCTAGAGCGATATCGCAATCCAACAACTTAGGACATTTTGTTCATGTAAACTATATTTCTGAGTAGAGAAAAAGCTGGATATACATCGTCCTTGCCCATGGAAGCTATAGGGTTGGTTTGAAGTTTTCAATTTGAATATCTTATCACGAAAGCATGAACGTCAAGATGCGTTTTCAACTTCGGAGGTTAAAAGCAGTTGGTTTTCGTTCGGCTGTAATTGAAGGCAGTACGGCCCACAATAATAGTATGAAGTCGCAGTTGAGTAGTCCAATATTGCTTTGGATTGCTGTGAGCTTTGTCATCTTTTACATCGCATCTTCAAATCCACCTCCGTCTTAACCCCTAAGACTAGTCGCATTCACCTCGACATGCTCCTCATCAGGCTTACTCTTCTTCTTCTTTTGTTCTTTATTATACAAATACGCCACCGTTGCTGTAATAATAGCCTGAGCACCGAACGCGACAGTCGAGAAAGTGAAACCTTTTCTGAATTTGGGCGCATCAACTTGTGGGTACGTCAGGAGCGGCACCCAAGCATTGAAAGCGTATCCAAGAGAGTTCATAATGCCGATGACAATGGCACGTTCCTCGGCGTCAGCACCGCAAATTTCATTCGTCCAGCTCATGCTCAAGGGGCCATAGGGCACAGAGGCGCGCTGCAGAAGGAAGGCAAACCATTTCAGTCCGACCGGGATATTCCATATAGCGAGGAGGAGAGCGGCAAAGCCCCCAAGAAAGGTTGAAATAGACATGATACTTGCACGGTGGCGGATGGCATCGGATATTATGGCAAAGGATACAGTAAGGACTAGCTGGATAGCCGAGGAAGCTGTTGGAATGATGTTCTGATACTGAGGTTAGTGACCGGGATGATTTGAAAGTTGTAAGTCCTTGGTGCTGTTGCTTACGATTCTTTCCACCGATTCGCCCCTGTCCTTAAGCCAAAGAGAGAAAGGGCTGACACTGCTAGAAGGACCAATGTTGATAAAGATGACATACAGAATTGTCAGGTAATAGACGTGCCATCGGCCTTTCATGAGTTAGTTCTCCACAACCCCAGTAAGGTAGGCAACCAGTTGGCTCTCAGCTTACCAAAGATTCGCTTGAATGCCGAGCGTCCTAGTCTGGTGCGAGGAGCACGACCAACGGCTTTCATTCGATTGCGAGCCATTGCACGATCCTGTCGCAGTGTCAGATGTGGCTTTGCATTGTAAAGACGGAGTACAAACCTTCTCGTCCAAGTAAAACGCTCTTGTGTTCTCGGGAAGGTCAGGAATCAAAAAGTATCCAGCTATACAAATCGGAAGACTGATAATGCCGTCCATAATCTGAGGTCAGGTAAGTTTCAAATCCTCGCACAGCAGAGCCAGCGTACTCACGAAAAGCCATTTCCAGCCAGCAAGTCCGTGAACCCCATTCAGGCCTTTGTACACTCCAGCTTGCAGGTAACCAGAAAACATTCCAGCAGCGGCCGACGAGGCGTGGAAGATGCAAGCCCGCTTTCCTAGCTCAGACGGCTTGTACCAAGATCCAAGAATCGTATGGGCCGCAGGGTAGTAGATTGATTCCGCCAAGCCCACAAAGAATCGGATAGCAATAACGTGGTTTGACGTCTTTGCAGCTGCCAGACAGAATGTCAAGACAGTCCATAACAGCTCACATGAAGGCACCCAGATGGAAGGGCGCACTTTGGTCAGCACAATTTGTGACGGAATCTGGCCAACAACATAGCCGATCGTCCAAGCCGTGTCAACAAGGTTAAGCTCATTGCCGTTCATAGCAAGGTCTTCTTTCATGCCGCTTACAAAAGCGTTGCTAATGTTGGTTTGGTCGAGATTCTTTATAAAGTACCCGAAACTAAGCATCGTGATGAGGAAGACGTCAAGTTTCTGGATGAAAACACGTTCCTCATGCGAGCGGCCAGGCTCATAATCCCATATGTAAGACCACCATGGTGGCTTTTTCTCTCTGTGTGCCGTAAGATTGCTGTTGGCATACGACTCGTCCACCGTCAGCCCCTTTGGGGACTCGCCCTCATGCTCGGACGGCATATCGAGCAGGGGCGTCACTTCTGAGGGACCCAGCGCGTTAACTTTTGACATTCGTGGGAAAAAAGGAGTTTTTAATGAATTCAGCTCCTCAGGGGAAACACAGGTGTGAAACATGTGAGAAACAGCCAGCTGAACAGCTTTGGAAAGAGTCCATACCGAAATTTATGTACTCGACCTGGGTTGTTGATAGCCTGGCCATCGCGTAAGCGCGCAAAAGGGCCTGTATCAACCTCAGATATAATCATAGAGTGGCTGTTGATGCTGATAGTGGGTTTAGAACGGGTCTGAGTGTTAATGATGTGCTGCGAAGCGTTGTTGATTCGTGCTACCTTGGCGTGGGGGGTGTCGCCATCGCGGGGTTCACTGTCGTGATTCGCCGAGCACGACTCATCCGCCTGTCAACGCCTATGTCTGAAATATATGTCAGCGAAAATCCCATGACCCTTAATGCCTGAGATACTGTGGTGGGCCATGTTTGAGCGAATACGACGATGTATTGGTAATCCAGCTGCCTCTCAGTGCAGAGCTGAAAGTCGGTCAAACGTCGGGCGGGCCAGATGTTCGTGGCTTTGAGTGATGCTGGTGAAAAGGCGTTTAGCGGCTTATTGCGCCATCTGATCCTACAAGCAGTATCGACTGTCCAAGTTCCGAGTTGCCGGAATCCATTCGGAAAACGTTTGGCATGGTATTATGTGGCGTCTGGGGCCCCGCGATTCTCGGGATCCGTTCCGGAACGAACGGGTACTTTCTCTCGATGCTCCACACTCCCCGGCCGCATTCATCGGCGATATGAGTTCATTAACCGCCGCAGAATAAATGTTTTTCTTAAGTGACTTCTGTTGCAGGCGACGCGAGGCTTGTGACCCGAAGGAGTTTGGCTTCGTCGCTGTTACCAAAAGACGCGATAGTTCCACAGAGGGCGAGGCCACACCCTCTTTCAAGAGAAGGGCCTGCAATATGAGTAGGCGACAAAAATAACGCTACTCATTTACCGACCCGATCAACTGCTGGAGATTGGTTACGGACTGACTCACTTTTCATTTTACGCGCTTCTTCAGCTCCTACTGCAGATATCTTGATTGAGTGAATCTCAACTGCCTGAGGTAATGCCTGGTGGGTTTCTACCCATCTCTGAAAACTGCAATATGAAGGGCCTGAGAGCAGATAGTTCAATTTGAATGGAGTATTTGCCTACGATAAAAAAGATAATATACTACAGCAGCTGTCCCCATCAGGGCTTCTTATGGACAAGGCGTGGACTGGGGTGTCCATCACCGAAGATCCTGAAGCTCTCATTCCCTCGTCAACAATCAATATATTCACTTTCTTTAAACTTGTACGCCGGAATTGTTCGTCACAAAATGCAGCCATTGTACTACTTGAGAGAAAAATTTCCTTCTGGCATCTTGCACTTTTCCAGTAGACAACAACGCAATAATGAACCTGCCTCTGAAATATTTTCATAAACTGTAGTAACGTACCCGTGATATAATCACAATTAGGAGAAATCAATGACTGATGCCTTCACTGATAACGACGTTTGAGGGAGCGTTGCATTGTTGCAGATGCTGAACTCTGTAACTGAGAAGAGCAACTACTAAGCCATTGGCAGGAAATTTATGCAGGCAAAAAATCAAGCAAGGTCCGCTCGTGTGCCACGCGCTACAGCTAGAGATTAAACCTATTCAAATCAGTTAGTTACCTTACACAATTCATTGCTCGAAAACAAACCACCTTATTTGGGAGGAAGAAAATCGGTACAGCCGTCTAGGAGTTAAGGTGTTGGGATGAACTGCTTGTTTCAGGGCCTATAGCTCAGCAAACCCAATATCCCTTCACCTCTATTACAGTAGTCCACATCTCAACTCTTCAAGCCAGCTAGAGGTAGACACCGCGGGTTTCATTAAGGTATTTGTCATTTTGTTATTTAGGCGTTGATATCTACCATTACGTTACAGCCGAAATCCGAGAAAATAGCAATAATTGCGAACTTTCATGCAGAGCTCTTGATGAAGTCCGCAGCCCTTTCTGCTACGGCATATACCAAGGACTGGATGTTGGCTCTAGGGATAAGAGGAAACACGCTGGCGTCAACAACGCGCAACTTCTTGACTCCGTAGACCCTCAACTTTTCATCAACTACTCCGCCTTTGGCTCGCGGAAGCATCGCACAAGTACCGATAGGATGGTACTCGCTCTGCATGCTGCTGCGGACCCAGCTCTCCACATTATCCGAGGTGAGCTTCTGGTAGCCTGGCTGAAAGACGGTGCCGTCGCCCTGGAGAAGATCGCTCAAGGGCTTCGTCTGCGCCACGGTCTGCACGTGGAGAGCAATAAGCTTCAGGAGCTGAACGTCAAGCGGGTTGGAGAGATAGCGCGGGTCAATCTTGGGGTAAACTGTAGCGTCGGCGGACTGGATATGAATTGAGCCTCTTGATAGCGGGTGTTCGAGGACGCCGAGGATGGATAGGAAATTTCCAGCTGAACCGGCCGAGAAAAGTTTTGTCGAATCCGCAGAGAATTGAGGTGAAATGCCGCCCTCAATGGTGAGTTCTTGCGCGACTGCTTCAGACTTCAGATCGCGGATGATGAGACGATACTGTTCGACAAGGGCAGGGCTACTGCTCTTCAACCACGGAGAGTTGAAGTCCAGGGTAGAGGCAATCTGCTTTAGAGAAAGCACAGCAGAGCTGGCACCCGCGGATGCCAGACGGCCAGTCTTGTTCTGCAGATATAGATCGAGTTGCTCTTGGAAGTATGTCCCGTTGGCGTAGTCCTCGTTGGTCGGGACTCCAGGCTTGGTAGCAAAGCTAGAAGACTTTAGCAATTATGTCAGTGTCGTCAGAGAAAAGATGAACATACCCGAGAGGAACATAGACATGGTCCTGCAAGTTCTCGCCGACGGCAGGGTTGTCGACAAGAACATCGATGCCATACTGTTTCAAGAGCTTCTGGTCACCGACTCCAGATAATTCGAGGAGCTGCGGCGTGGCAATGGAGCCCGCCGCGAGGATGACCTCTTTCGAAGCAGTTGCGTCGTACTGGGCACCTCCTTTGGTCCACTTAACACCGGTAGCTGTCACCCCATCCCGGCCCTTGCTGAGCAGTACTTTGCTTACAAAAGCTTCCGTGATAACTTTCAAGTTGGAGCGCGTGCGTGCGGGGCCGAGGTATGCATTGGCGGCGTAGCTCCTCGTAGCTCCATCAATGTTGAGTAGGTTAACATAGCCACCCACAGCTTTGCCTTCCCGCGGATCACTCTTCACAGCCAGACCAAGGTTCTCAATGGTTCGAGGCCATGCCTGAAGGAGAGGACTGTAGGTCGCAGGGAATCGATTGGCGATGGGACCACTTGTGCCGTGGGCACTCGGCTTCAGGTAGTCGAGGCGGAGATCGCTGATTTGCTGTTTCGTCGGGGCAACGAAAGACTCGGACTTCTGGAAATAAGGAGCTAGAGCATCCCATGACCAGCCCTTGTTACCTAGCTCGCCCCAGTTGTTGATATCTTGCTGTGACGGGTGCGTCCAGAACATAAAGTTCATCGCACTGGAGCCGCCGAGTTGTTTGCCACGAATGTGGGCGACGACTTTGTTATTAGCGGCAGGCTAAAGTTGTCAATGCCTGTTTTCGTGTGTTCAGTTGCTCGGGCAAAAACTAACCTGAGGGACGGTCTTATAGTCCCAGTCATAGGTTGGGTTGCCGTACATGGCGGGAAAGAGGCCCGGCGCGAGGACATTCAAGTCCTCCGTATGATCGCCTCCGGCCTCAAGGACAAGTACGTTAACGGCCGGATTCTCGGTCAGCCGCGCGGCGACAGTGAGACCAGCAGTACCTCCGCCAACAATGCTAGAAGGCTGTTAGATGCCATTCTTGTGTAAGTTAAAGTTTCGTAGGGTCGCTTACATGTAGTCGTATGTCTCCGCCATGACTCCAGCTGCAATGCTCGTTAGAGCTACTGCCCAAGGATGAAGTGCCCGGACCATGATTGAATGAGTTGTGTAGGTAACGGAGTAACTCAATAGCTGACGTACGTATAGATCAATGAATGACGCGAGGTCAGATTATTTATATCAGAATGCAATATTTCGTGGGCTATTGCAAAATCCTTCAACATGAGCATGCAGAGACACGCACTTAAGCGTTGGTTCTCTGTCAAGGGCACTAGCTCGGTCTTGCGAGACCCTGCCCGATGAACATGAAACCGTAGCGTCCGAAAGGGCGCCATTCCATGGCTAAATATGACTTAAACCAAGTCGGCGATGCCACTAATGTTGGACTAGACACGAATCAAGGGCCATGTCATACAGGCAGGGCCACGGTGCCCGTCGACTCAGATGGGTGGGATGAGTAAGCGATGTCTTGCGGAGTTCCGCTGGTTCCAGCCCTCAGGTTCGGCAGGGGACTTTACTACTCTGTGGAATTAATGTTAAAAAAAAAAAAAAAAAAGCCGTGATACAGGCAGTTCCAGACGCCGTACACATGGGGTATTTCCCGCTTACAATTTTACCCTATAGACCCTGAGAATCCTGGATATCAATTAATGGGGCGTATAGCCCTGTAAAACCCATCGTTTCGTTCATCATCGAACTTGGACAGGGGAGGATTCTTCAGTCCCTTCATAAAATAAATCAGACAGCCTGGCTTGTGTCATGCATATCCATTCTTGAGAACTCCAATCGGGAGTCGCGAATTCGCTTAGCTAAGAACCCAGGCATGTTGCAGCTTTTCAGAAAGTCGGAATGCAGGTGTAGCCGCTATCTCCCAATATCGGCCCATCTCCACTTGGCTTGGCAATTTTCATTGGATTCATGATGAAAAACAAATGCTGCGGCGCAATCCAAGGGAATTATAAAGTCACAATAACTTTTTCTCGTGTAGTCGTGATATGCCCAACACACCTATTATACAAGTATTTCTTTTGATGCTGGTGCTAAAGCATCACGGCCTCTAACTGCCTATTAGGCTCCTACATGTTGATATACAGTGTCTTGCTTTCGAACTTTTCCGGCTTATTGCTGGCGCTTGGAGTACTCAGATCCAGGGCCGTAAATGAGGATCGGTCTTCGTTGCATGTTACGGAAAGTGGCTTCGGCGATGGGAGAGGCATCAGATCGAATGACACTGCCGATGGACATGAAGAATCTGAAAACTATTAGCTTCGTACGTGGGGGTGCAGAAGGGTTGACGTACCCAAAAGTAGCTCCCGAACCGAGCATGTACTGTCCCAATGTCCTCATGATACCGTTGGGGCCGGCGCCGTAGCGCATAATGTTCACAGAGCCTGTATGGTAAACGGTTGATTAGACAGAAAACATGCGACAGAGGTAAGAAGGTGGGCGTACCAAAGACGAAGCCCATAACGGCTCCGACAGCTGGTTCACATCAGTTAGGAGTATACTATAATGTGGGAAGCATCAAAAACATACTGCCACCCATCATAGCACCCATCTTAACTGTAAGAGGTCAGCGCCGAAGCTGCCAGAAAAAGAGGCGAGGGGGCATACGCTTGTCGGCCACAGAAGGGCCCATGGCACCGGCATGTTGCTGAGGAACGGGAGGCATTGTGATTAGAAGCGATGCTCGGCGAGAATCAAGTGAAGCTTTATCGCAAAACGGTCGGGATCCGTAGCTGGTCGTCGAGTCGTACGGTGGAGGTAGGATCGTGAGAGCGGTTGCGAAGGCGGGCTGGAGGAGCTCTTCCAATTTGCAGCAACAGCAAATGCCCTGCAGCCTTCCGGCGCCACTGGAGCTTTGGACGAATCCAATCCGGGGTACGGCAGTTCCTCGGTTAAACATCAAAAGTAGTGGACTCTCCTTATTGGTGGGTGGATAAGAACGGCGATGTCACGGTCACCAGACGCACAGGCCACACACCCGAACCAGAAATTCTCCAGCTGGCCATCTCAGCTGGGTTGGGTGGTAAGCACAGTGCCACTGTGTCCCCTTTCTTCACCGCATGACATCAGTCTTCACTGTGATCAAGGCTGTCACGTGGGCCCAGATTGCCCTGTTGTCCAGCGCCAAAGTGCAACAAGCGCTGTAAAAGGCGGTCCAGGTGGATCCCCCACCGCTAAGGGAAGGCAGGGCGAGAGAACGCATTGATCAGACCGCATTTACTTGGTCCACGAGTGTCGCTGAAGCAGTAAGCATCCTTCCTCCTCTCACACTGTTCTTTTTTCCTTCTTATCCTTCTTCTGACATATTCGCTACAAGATCCAGAAGTGCATGAACGGTGACGGCCGCGAGGCCTGTGCGGTGCTGAATCCAGAAAAAGTTCACTCCCAGGTCGGCTCTGGCGCGTGTTTCCGATCGCTGTTTGGTCCGCCCACTGGTTCCCAGTGCACACGCTAAGCGCTTAGCGAGACGGGGGCGAGACCTCTGTTCTTTCCCAAATCCTAGATTCAACTTCACCTCCCCTACGGAGCACGTCTGCTTATCGTCGATCGAGGTGCCGAACACGCCCCCTTCTCTCGCTCCCTTTCAATCGCAGGTACGCCCCAACCCTCTGAACCCTCCCTGGCCCGTTTTATGTGACCTTCCCACCCCGCCGTAGCCTGTGTAGGCCGCGCTAATTGGCTGCCCACCCCTATCCTTGCCGCGACATCATCGCTGACATATTTTTCTTGCCAGCGCAACCTCATCCCTTTCCACCTGCTTCAGTGCTTCATCAAGAGGGTTTCGACTACTTTGCGACTTTTCTGGCGAGCGACGAGCGAGTTTTCGGAGATACCCATCGGGCGGATGTGCGAATGGTGACGAAAGCCTGCCCCCTCGTCCCTAGACCACCACCTGCCACTCCCATCACCATCAATACCCTTCTGTTGTCATCGCCTGTCTCTTAGACCGACTTCCTTTGTCCTACGATTCTTTCTATCACGACCATACCCCTCATGACTGCCGTCGCGAGCCCTCCTAGCTTTCAGCAACTCAATCGACCGGCATGGAACGTTAATGGCGGGCAAAGTCTGAATTCAATGAATCCGGAAGACGTCAGAGGCATGTTCATGCCGCGAAAAACGCTCCAACGAAGCAACTCATCTTCATCCGTATCATCCACTTCATCAAACTCGTCTACCACTACGGTTGCTACAAATAACTCTCAGCCAAATGGAACCCCGGCGTCCACCAACTCCGACATGAGCTCCTGGAGCACCGCGTCGAGAAAGCGGCCTCAACCCAAGGGGCCTTGGCCTTCCGGCAAACCTGAAGGACAAGGCGAATTCGGCAGGCCGGTCATGCGATCTCCGATGAATGGCGTCAATGGCGTCACGTCATTGCAGGCAGCGCCAGGACAGCCGCAGATGATGTCGCAGCAAGGACTCGGGGCGAGGCCCTTGGGTGATCCTATGCCAAACAGCCAGCCCGTGCTTTACCTGCTGTCATTGAACGGTACATTTGAGCGAAAGACCATTTCGGTTCCCTTCTATCCTGAGAGCCTCCGCATCGGCCGCCAAACAAACCAAAAGACCATCCCGACTGCCACCAACGGCTATTTTGATAGCAAGGTACTCTCCAGGCAGCATGCGGAAATCTGGGCAGACCGTATGGGCAAAATTTACATTAGGGATGTCAAATCCTCCAACGGTACATTCGTCAATGGCTCGCGCCTTTCGCAGGAAAACCGTGAATCCGAACCGCACGAGCTGCAGACCGGAGATCACCTCGAGTTGGGTATCGACATCGTGAGCGAAGACCAAAAGACTGTTGTACACCACAAAGTTGCCGCCAAGGTTGAGCATGCTGGGTTTATGAGCCCCTCCAGCAACGTCATGGATATGAGCTTTGGTGATTTGGACCCCGCCAACGGTGGCATGATGATGCCGTCCCCTAGTCCTATGTCATACCGCGGTAGGGCAGGTAGCAACGCATCCATGGCCAGCAATAATCGTATGATGGCGCCTCAGCAGATGGGTGGCATGCCGGCAAATGGCGGAGCGGCTCGAGGATTCCTGCTAACCCCCATCACTACCGAGCACATAGTGAAAAGGTTACACGTGAGTATTTCTAAGTCCGCCATAGAGCACATGCGCTAACCTCACAACAGAACGAGATGCGAAGCGCGCGGCTACAATCTCAGGATCTCACTCGGACCGGCCAGTTTATTAGTGCACTTCTTACCAAAGATGATGTTAAGGACCTTGAAAAGCCAGAGGCGCCAGAACCCCATAAACAACTACCCAATGGCAACGGCATGCCATTCCGTCCAGATGGGAAAACCAGATTCTCCGATCCACCCGCACCTCCCCCTCAGCAGCCTCTTCCCGAGAAACCCGATGTGCCATCGCTGAAGCGTGGCACTACTGAACGACCAAAGGCACACTCAACGGCGAACAACACTTCGCCAGTCGGACGCGATAATCTACACCAAATCATTCAGCTGACTGAAGCACTAAATAATGCAAAGAAAGATTTGGATACTCAGACTGCTCGCATTCGCGATTTGGAAGACATGCTCCGCAAGGAACGTGAAGCGCGTGAGCTTGCCGAAGACATGGCTAAGATTCTTGAAGACAGCGCCATTGTGAAAGAAACAAACGGTGCGCCAAAGGAGCAGGATACCGAAGCGATCCTTGAGGAAACTTTTGAGGCACCAAATGAAGCCTCAGATTCCCATGACGTTGAAATGGTGGATGCTGAACCCGCTGCCAAAGAGCTGGCACCGGAAAGCGCTGAGGAAATAGCCGCCAGGTTCCAGACAAAGATCGACACCATGATGTCAGAAATGAGTGAACTCAAACAGCAGATGGAGGCTTGGAAGCAGAGGTGCGAGAAGGCCGAAACAGAACGAGACGCGGATCGCAAGACCTTGGCCGAAATGGTGCTGAAGATTCGCGAAGACGAGGAGGCTCGGCAGGCTGCAGCTGAACAAAAAGCGCGCTCACGCTCCCGCGGACGACGCAACGGCAGTGCAGAGCCCGACGCCAAAGCAACATCCGTCGTACAGGCCGACGCGTCTGAAGATTCAACACCTGTAGCCACGCAGGCCGAGGCCTCCACGGAGGATCTCAGCGACAAGCCTACACTGTCGCGCGCCAACACTATCACACCACTTACCCAACCGCCAGGCAAGCTGGCCAAGGACCAGGCATTGATGGCTGGAGTCCCTTATGCATCTATGCTGGGTGTAGTGATTATAGGCATGGGCCTGATGGCGTACATCAACGGCTGGCAACCCGAGCCGACCCCTAGACGGTGATGATCGCTGTCGAGCTATAGTTTCCCCTTCGATTCTCTAGACAGCGCACTAGTCTTACTCAGGCGTTTTCACATACTCATGGCGTTTTCTTGCATTGACAGCGGTCATTCGTTTTCACCGACCCCTCATGTTTTTGTTCCCTTTGTGTTTATTCATTTGTTTCTTTTACTCTTTTACTGTATGAAATGTGAGAACAACCGGGCTTTCTCCTTTCCCTTTGTCTCTTTTTTTCTTCTTCCACGGAAAACTAGGGACGGGTGGGTTGAAACAGATTTTGGGGGTGGGGAAGGCGTTTGTTCTGCCTTCTTTCGAGTCTTTCACACGCGCGTGCTGCAGTACGATGTTCTTTTTGTGCAAATTTGGGAATGGAACGGGGTAAATGGGATGATGGAACGACAAAACATTTTGTTCTCACTGAGCAAAAAACAAAATTCGAGATGACGAACGTTCTCTTCTTTTTTCATTTTTTGCTTCAGAAGATCAACCTATCCCCCCGACAGACTATAGCTGGTGAATTCTGATGATGCGCTCGAGCTACTAGGCCCTTGACATGGTGGGCGGGGGAGAGTGTAGATTATTTTGTGGAGGCACAGGGGAGGATGACGAGTAATGTTTGCATAGTACTGAAGGAACATAGGGACCTTTTAATATTCTGACTGTATTTGATCTTGACATACCTACCTAGTATTATGGGGATGCGTGCTGCCTACTTGACCCGCTTCCCCACGCATCAAGTCTATGGGTTGATCTTTTCCGCTTTGTATCTTACAATCTACAAGTCCATTGGCTTGTTGCCCGCTTTAAACGATTACATATACGTTTTGAACTGGTTCGTTATCCGATCGAACCGTCTCCGGAACCCACATGATGCGAAGACTGGGGAGGAGTTCCTGAAAGCATCCCCTCAGCTGACTAACCCAATCGATGTTCTCGTCGATCTCTTTGGAGAGCATATCGTACTGTATCATTACGGCCCAACACTCGGCTAGATAGCTCTCCAAATCGTCTTTGTTATCGGGATGAAATGGATTATGCTCAACCTTTAGCCTGCGTCTGGGCGTGTATTCGGCCAAGTCCACAACCTCTGCAACAAGTTCAGAAGGCAGCCCCTTGCCTGTTAAGATCTCTTCAACAGGCTTCACATCGTTGATATGCGGTTGATATTCTGCTGCTTTCTCGAAATTGATGAAATCTTCATAGCTGATGAGGCCTTCGGGATAGTCGTCTTCGGACATGTAATCGTTTCCCATGTAATCCTTTTTAACAAGTTGGGGCCAGCGTTCCGGCTCTCGTGGTCTAGTATTTATGGAGAATTGCAAGTTGTCAATGCCGTAGAAGTAGCAGTGGGCGAGACACGGCGTTGCGGATGCGGTACTCGTCTTTGTTGTGTGCCTTACAACGTGTTGATACATTCTCGTCAACCGATAGTCGTTCTGTTCGTTTCTCCCCTTTGTAGAATCCCATGTTTCCGGGAACTGGCGGAGAATATTGAGGCAAATGAAGGAAATTGCAGCCTTTTGGTACACGTGAAACGAAGCACCATTACCGCCCTGGGCATAAACATAAACAACTATGTACATCAAGACGAAGCCGAGGCTGGCGATGGGTTGGTAAAAAGACTCACTTCGCATAGGCAAGTACTCAAGTCCCACCAGACTTTGAAGCCATTATCTGGGTGCGCGCACAATTTAAAGATGGGCTCCATCTTGCCGTGAATCGCGAGCGTCCTCAAGAGTTCCCAGCTCCTAAGCCCGGCGGCGTTGGGTCCAAAAAAATCACAACTCGTAATCTCGCCCACTCGCCGCCGCAGAAGCGCACGCGCCTGCCGCTCGTCATACGGGATCAGACAGCTACATTGAGCTTCCTGTGGATGCCGGCAGTAAGGGTTGTTTATGGGGACCTCATCCCACTTCCATCGGGGCGTTCTTAATTCCTCGTGCAACTGGCTGAAAAACGGACTGATTTCCTTGATGGTCTCGTCGTCGATGAGAACGTCTTCTAATGCAGGCGCTGTATATGTTTCCAGGTATTTTCCGCGTTCGCGGGCCGAATGTTGTTCAATTTCTCGCGCTAACGCGCTTATGAAAGTTGTGATATCCTCTCCTTGTGTAGGCTTGCAGCGTAGGAACAGGTCTGTGACGCCTTTGGCTTCAGGATTGGCATGTACGTAGACAAAGTGGGAAGCAAGTTCCTCCCATGCGAAATTGGGGACTTCGTTGGCCATTTTATTTATTGGATGCGCAGTGTCTGACACCTGAGTTGTAAACCTACGTATTCTCACGATATTCGCGAAAAGTGCTTGTGGATGACTTTTTGTTTTCTATCATGGTGGAGACGATTGACTCACCTCACTGGCTTCAGTCACTGGTTCCGCTGACATGGTTCCAGTTGGCCTCAGTTACTCCGCCTCAGAAGAGCACTAAACCCCCTTGTTTAAAACTTGCTAAAGTGATGGATACCGGATATTTTGCCCAGGGTCAAGAGGGTCAATGACATACAAGCTCTTTGGTGCTTGAACTTCGCCTCAATCCTTCCATCCCCCACTTCCCGTACAACTCCACTGGATCAGCACGGCGAATTCAACCGAGATAGGGCTCATACCACGTTGAATTGTATCTAAGGGACTTCAAGAGACTCAGCAGCTCTTACATGTGACCCGTTGTCAAACACCCATTCTGGGGCTGGGCCAAAACACTTTTGTGGCCTGTCACCTTGCCTGAGAGCATCTTGGCAAAAAAGAAATGGATACTGAACCCCTTATAGAATGATGAGATTATTTTTTATCGCCTAGTCATTGTAAACACCTTAGCTGAACACTGGTACTAGCCGCCACTGTTCGCATCGACCACTTACAGCTGAGTCGCTGACGAAACTTGTGTTGTCAGATTTAATTGAAGCATTCCAACAATGTCGCATCTCCTTCATAGCAACGCACGTGTCAGACAAATAAACAAAATGTGCTGAGATAAAGCCTTTAGCCTTCCACATTTAAGAATTTCATGTGCATATGGTAGTTAATCGTATCCTGTAGAGCTAACGATAGCTTGAGGCAATCCTTGAACGCTGTGTCAGTCGAAGCCAGCATTACAAACCACCAAACAAAACGATCGTGGGCTAGTTTGGTACGCAATCGCTTCCTTCCCAAAGTGTTCTATTTCCCATTTGCTAACATGTAATTAGGCAGTGGCCTTTTCATTCACGAAGCTGACCGCATAACGAACACCGCCGAACACGGAATGGAGCACTCGCAGCATCCTTTTTCCAGGAACTTCCCTGGGCCGGAAGCTAGAGGAATAGACCCTAATGACAACATACGGGCTTGGTTAGATGGCATAGTCATCGACGAAGAAACCAAGCCCATCGTCACTGATGTGCTCCACGCGCTCAGTGGTCTCCAGCACTCGGCATCTCCTCACGTCTCCGGATCGTATCCGGCAGGCAGGGGGCGACAGACGCAGACGGTCGTGAACGTTCAGACCATTGGCCCTGGCTTCATTGGGCGAGCGCCGCCGGTTACCTCCACAGAGTTCTTGGCCAATGTGATTGTTGTGGCTATTCTCCTGTTGTTTGCGCCGGGATTTACCCTCTTGGCGGCTGGGGTGTTCTTCACTTCCCGAGTTGCTGAGCGGTGGGTTAGTTATGACTAGGGATGCTCTCACGGAGGAAACGAATTTAACGTTTTATGAAGGACTACGGTTGACGACTTTGAACGAGGCATGTAGGGATCTTGATGTATGGGTTTGAACAATGTTTCTTGTGCAGGACAAAGGAATGGTTGCAGGAAAACATGTGCAGTTAGATAGATAGTGTAGGCAATAGCAACAACGAGTTTGTGGGGAATGACAATAAAGAGTGAAAAGGGGAGGAAGGCTGTTATTCTATCAGCGATGAATACCGTGAGTGCTCTAAACATGGATAATAAGAGCAATACCTTATTCTGTTGAGGTATGATAACAGTCGCATAACTTCTAGAATCCTATCGGTAACAGAAAATTTAAACCAGAAAGATCTGATTAAATGGCACTTTCCCGCATCTTGAGTGGTCTTAGCTGATTCTTCAAATACAAATGTGACTCTACTTTTACCATGCTACTCATATTTAATCCTTATATCAGACGAAGCTGAATAAATGCCCAGAAGTCTCATTTCAACGTAAAATCAGGTACATACGGCTTTGAGTCTAAGCCTTATATAGCATGACGACATGCGCAGCTTCGGAACACAACGCCACTCATACAAGCCTTGAATTTCCCTTCAGATATTCGTTTAGCCAAGAAAAGACATATTGTAAGGAAATGAAAACCTACTTCCCAGTAGTTATGATCAATAATCAAGGCGGCAAGATGTCCAAAGGTGAATACTCAGTCCACCTCGGAGGCCGCGCCTCGCCTGTGTTCGCTTGTAGGTGAATTCCGAGTATTCAGTATGACCCACAAAGTCCCCCCGTCCATTTGCGGCACGGAAAGCGGCCAAGAGAAAATGTCCAGAACGGAACGCGCATTCGCACTGCCTCCCAACTGCTTATGCGGATCTGGTGATGTTGGACGAACGTTTTGCTTGGCTGGGTAGACTGAGAGCTCCTCCCCCTTGGCGCCCCCACCTTTCTATTGCGCTCAGCTCACCTCGGCCGCCCGCGGCTGTCCGAACTACATGGGTCAACCTATCTGGAGATGAGTACCCCTGAACCTGACTATGATGGGAAAGAGGTCCTTTGTATGGCTGCCTCTTCGTGTTGAACCCGTTATTGACAAACGGTTGGTGTCTCGCGTGGCCTTGAAAGCGGGTGACCGCGGCCGACCGCGGCCGACCGAAGACGACAGAATCAGGTTAACAGAATTTTGTATAACTTATCGATGGTTTCGCAACATCAGATGACAGCTCTTTTCCTACTATTCTTGACCATCTGGGGGATTTGATTTTGAGGTTCTATTTGTGGTGTGGTACTATCCTCAACAGATTGATCATCAATTCAGACGCAACCTTGATCTTCAGACGTAATCTCCTTGATTTCCGAGACTCGAACCCGTTTTTGGCGACTATGCGTCCATCCGAGGGTTCAGAACACTTCCAGGCCTCGGACGCTGGTTATTCTGATTCCTCGGCAACAACTGCCGCCGACGAAATGGACAGGGAAATCGAGAACTTAGCACGCCAAATCACAATCGCCTCGAGACCGCATAGCCTCCATGTTCAGGATGATGTCCTCAACCCAACAAAGAACAGTCCTTTGGACCCAAACTCGCCTAATTTCAACGCAGCTGTCTGGACGAAAGCTTTTATCAGCCTATATGAATCTGATCCTGCGTCCACCCCAGGTCGGCTCACAGGCGTTGCGTTCAAGCAGCTGAGTGTTTTCGGGTACAGCACCGGAACACAGTATCAGAAAAGCGTTGGAAATATGGCTTTGAGTATTGCATCAGATCTCTTTGGCCTTGTAGGAAGTCGGAACAAGGCTAGGATTGATATCCTGCGAGACTTTGAGGGCTTAGTCGAGCCCGGGGAGATGCTCCTTGTGCTTGGCCCACCAGGGTCAGGTTGCTCAACATTGCTCAAAACCCTGGCAGGTCAAACAGAAGGCCTCAATGTATCGAAAGACTCGTACATGAACTTCCGAGGTTGGCGAATTACTTTCTGTCTTTGGATTCCATCGACTAACAAGTGCTAGGCATTGATCCGAGACGAATGCACGACTGGTTCCGTGGCGATGTTCTATATAATGCAGAAGTTGATGTGCACTTGGCTCCTCTTACGGTCGGCGATACTCTGGAGTTTGCATCAAGAGCCCGTGTGCCCGCAAAGGTGCCGGCTGGACTTACGAGTAAGCAGTATGCTCGTATCATGCGCGATGTAATCATGGCGGCTTTCGGCATAACACACACGGTCAACACAAAAGTCGGCGATGATTACGTTCGTGGTGTGTCAGGAGGCGAGCGCAAGCGGGTGAGCATTGTTGAAGCCGCCCTCACAGGTGCGAAGTTTCAATGCTGGGATAACAGTACGCGAGGTCTCGACAGTGGAAATGCTATTGCGTTTTGCCAGAATATTCGAACACAAGCAGACTTGCTGAATGTAGCTGCTGTCGTAGCCATTTACCAGGCGCCCCAATCGGCATATGATGTAAGTCTACAACCTTGCTAGCTTGTATAAAGTCTATTTGCTAACTTGACACAGCTTTTTGATAAGGTAACGGTGCTATATGAGGGTCGTCAAATCTTCTTCGGTAGAATCGACCAAGCAAAGGGATACTTTGAAAGCCTAGGCTTTTTATGTAAGGACTTGAAAACGATATGACCCTGCAGACAGCTCTAATCAACGAGTAGGTCCGGAACGTCAGACTACTCCTGACTTTCTCACTTCAATGACATCGCCGAACGAACGTCGTGTCAAGCCTGGATATGAGAACATGGCACCTAGGACCCCCGACGAGTTCGCCGCAAGATGGAAGGCATCGCAAGATCGTGCAATTCTTATGGCTAGTATTGAAGTTTACGAACAAGCCCATCCGGCTGAGCACCGTCTTGATGAGTTTCAGCAGAGCATCAAGGCAGAAAGAAGCTCCTTACAACGTCTCAAATCGCCTTATATGATTAGCTACCCCCGCCAAGTCAAGCTATGTCTTTGGAGAGGCTGGAAAAGACTGGTTGCCGACCCCGGTTTTACCATTTCTTCTCTCGTGTTTAATATTATTGTAGGGTTCGTGCTTGGAAGTATGTTCTTCAATCTCAAAGCCGATTCAAGCACGTTCTACTACCGTGGTGGCTTGATATTTTTCGCTTTGTTGTTCAACGCTTTTGCTAGCGAAATGGAGGTCAGTTGTTACTCGGTTTGTCATAAACCGCGCACGCCCCCCACTGATGTTATCCAGATATGAGCTAACTGAGTCTTAGGTCCTTACTCTGTATGCCCAGAGACCAGTCATTGAAAAGCATAATCGCTATGCTCTATACCATCAATCCGCCGAGGCAATATCAAGTTACGTCACGGAGCTTCCTTACAAGATTATCAATGTTTTCACCTTCAACTCAATTCTATACTTCATGGCCAACTTGAAGCGCGAACCTGGGCCATTCTTTTTCTTCTGCCTCGTGTCATTTACAGTTTTGCTCGCCATGTCCGGTATCTATCGAACGATGGCGTCTCTAGCAAGAACATCACATCAAGCAATGGTTCCTGTTACTATCGTAACTATAGGAGTCATGATGTACGCAGGCTTTACGGTACCTACCTCCTACATGCAAGGGTGGTCAAGGTGGATGGGCTATATTAACCCCCTATCTTACGCATTCGAATCATTAATGGCGAACGAATTCCACGGACGAATGTTCTCATGCGCTGGTCTTGTTCCATCTGGTCCTGGATATGACGAGCTGCCTCTGAGCGGACGCACATGCGCCGTTGTCGGAGCAGTGCCAGGCTCGAATATGGTGGATGGTGATCGTTACATCGAAGAGTCATTCGGATATTTTAATGCTAATAAGTGGAGGTATGTACAACACTGAAAATAGCTCCTCATTTACTCAATTTTGTTTAGAAATGTCGGTATCCTCTGCGGTTATATCGTCTTTTTCTTCATCGCGTACATCATTACTGCGGAATATGCCAAGCCGCCTAAAAGTGAAGGCGAAGTCCTCATCTTCCGACGTGGGAAGATGCCGGCTGGGCTTGATGAGAAACTCCGAGCGGATGAGGAGCAACAAAATAGGGAAACTGTCCTTACCGAAAAGATTCAATCATCAGGAGCAGAAAAGCATACCGACTTGAAAAGACCGAGACCAAGCGCGTGCGAGAAGCCTATATTTCACTGGGAGGACATATGTTATGATGTGAAGATAAAAGACCAAGATAGACGCATCCTGGATAACGTCGACGGATGGGTTCAGCCCGGTGTCATTACGGCTCTCATGGTAAGGTTTACCACTTTTGTTGACAAGTTCGGTTCAGTTGCCTAACATGTTTATAGGGTGCATCTGGTGCCGGCAAGACGACACTTCTCGATGCCCTTGCAACACGCGTCACCATGGGCGTTCTATCTGGTAGCACTATGGTGAATGGCCAGCCTACAGATAAATCTTTTCCACATCGTGTTGGTTACGTGCAGCAACAGGACGTTCATATGGATACAATGACCGTCCGAGAGGCTCTTGAGTTTAGTGCTCTGCTAAGGCAGAGTGCTGAGATCCCTCGAGCAGAGAAGCTAGCCTATATCGACGAAGTCATCAATCTCCTCGATATGGGCGACTTTGTGGATGCCGTTATTGGTTTTCCTGGCCAGGGCCTCAATGTTGAGCAACGTAAGCGACTTACCATTGGCGTCGAACTCGCCGCTCGGCCGCAACTTCTTGTATTCCTGGATGAGCCTACATCTGGGCTTGATTCCCAAACCTCATGGGCCATTTGCGACCTTATTGAGAAGCTTGCGAAGAGTGGTCAGGCAATTCTGTGCACCATCCATCAGCCTTCGGCCATGTTATTCTCGCGTTTTGATAGGCTACTTCTGCTCCAGCGTGGCGGGAAAACGGTGTATTTCGGAGGTTAGTGCAGCCGTGTCATGATAATGAATTGGACTAACGTATATGCAGATATTGGCACGAATGCCAGAACTATGATCGACTATCTCGAACGCAATGGCGCACCTCCTTGTCCTGTTGACGCAAACCCCGCCGAGTGGATGCTTAAGGTTACAACCCTCTCGGAAGACGGTCCAAACTGGTTCGATATTTGGAGGTCATCCTCAGAATATCAAGAGTTCAAGAATGAGCTTGGGCTCCTCCGTCAATTAGCGGGAAACCAAAGCCTACAAAGCGCTCCAGCTGCTCAGCATGAATTCGTAACTTCGTTCTGGACCCAATTCGGTGAAGTGTTCTCGCGCACTGCGAAGCATTTCTGGCGCTCCCCTGTATACATATGGTCAAAGCTGACTTTAACCATATTGCTCGTAAGTTGATCTCTGATCAGATGTAGGTAAGGAGGCTAACCATTACGCAGGCGCTTTACATCGGGTTTACGTTCAAATCAGAGAACAGCCTCCAGGGAATGCAAAATCAGCTCTACGCTTTCTTTATGTGTTTGACGACGGTCAATGAATTCAGTAAACAGATCATGCCTATGTTTATTCCGCAGCGGGCTTTGTATGAAGTGCGAGAGAGACCATCCAGAGTCTATCGGTGGACAAGTAAGTTAAACTGGCGAAAATGCCCTGCTCCATCATTCTAACTTTCACCTAGCCTACATCCTTTCCAACATCGCCATTGAAATGATCTGGAATACCATCGCGGCCGTCATTTTCTTTTTTTGCTGGTACTATCCTGCAAGATTCTTCCATAACACCACTCCTGACGATGTCAGCATCCGTGGGTTTACCGTGTTTCTTTTCATGTGGACGTTTTTCCTCTGGATGAGCACCTTCTCACAACTCGCCATCGTTGCAATCGAAACGGCCGACTTGGCCAGCATACCCGCCAGTCTCTTCGCTATCCTCTGCATGTCCTTCTGCGGCATCGGTGTCATCCGTGCTGATTTGCCTGCTATTTGGAGCGACTTCATGTATTATGTCAGCCCGATGACATATTTGGTGAGCGGTGCCTTATCGGCTTGCTTACATGGCTCCAAGGTTGTGTGCGCGGCGAAAGAGATCGTACAGATCCCACTTCCGTCAAACATGACTTGCAGCGAGTTCCTTGGGCCGTTCGTGCAAGGGGCTGGTGGATATCTTGTCGATACTACAACGGCAGGTCTTTGTGGGTATTGTCGCCTTGCTACTACTGACGACTTTCTTGCGCATTTTGAGATCAAATATGATGATCGGTGGCGGAATTTTGGACTTCTTTGGGTCTACATTGGGTTCAATGTTTTGGCCGCCTGCGGTCTATATTGGCTTGCAAGAGTTCCCAAAAGCCAAGGCGTAATGAGGAAGTAGGATCGTCGACTTGGGGGACTTTTTACAGTGGCTATCATATTATCACATTCGAATTAAAGAACCATTGGTATTTACAGGCGATTTTCTATATCGACCATCTATGGATATTGATTGCTTTGGGTTTTGGGACTTAGAGTACTTAGGTATTTATTTATACGTTTGAATCTTGGATCTAACAATAATTACCTTACATCATACATTAGGATAGCTGTGAACAGGGTGCGAGTTATATTTTAGTATCTATCTGTAATCAGAGCAACTAAATTATTTCTCAAGCTCTGCAACTTCGCTCTATCGAATGCCAGCAAACGGTACATTGTTGGATTAAAAAAAAAACAGTCTCATCCACCACTCCTTTACCTAAGCTCTTCATTTAGAAAACGCGCACATGATCTACTAGCGATGACACTCACCAAGTCGCCTCGCAAACACAAGTAAGTCCTGGCATTCCGCACCCACCTCACTTGGCGTGGTGCTGAGATGTGAGATTGCGGGCAAAGCCGGGCTGAGCGGGAGAAATCGTGCCCACTCTAGCGCGCTTCTAACACCATCGGGTCTTAGATTTAATGTGTGCGATCCGGATGACTCTTCTTCTCACTCGAATGTTTTTTAGTTAAACTACATTGACTGGCACCAATCACCATGGTATTTGGCATTAATTTCATTACTGGAAGAAGTATCTTAGGCCTTACCGTGGCTTTTCCAGCCCTCTTAATCTCCGCTCATATTTGGGATATTTACGAGAAAACTCGAATAGTCGACTGGCAGCGTATTACCAGTAAAGATGACGCATCGGCGACATTTCGCCAGTCAATCACCATCAAGAACCTTGTGAATCCAAGGGATCACATATCAACAAGTGATTTGCGATATGCAGACTTGAAATTGCCGAGAGCCGCACAAGGGTTAAATGACGACTATCTCCTAGCAGCTTTCATTCGTGGATTCTTTGGGGGCAAAGTATTTATGCCAGAGAGAGTGGTGCTACAAGTTGTGAGAAGAAAGTTGGCCTTTTTCGAAGGTGTGTTCAAGAATAACCCTTTTGCACAAAGTGGGCTTTACCTTACCAAGTCACAGGGCTTAGCACAAAGAACGACATTGAGCAAGTTTGGTCGGTTTCTGACATCCCCCGCCACACGCTTCCCGCTCAAGGCTCTTTGTTTTTCGGCGCCTTCCAAGTCGGTCATGTCGAAGTTCATAATTACCGCATAAGCGCTGTAGAGGGTGAGAATACGACAAGCAGCATCGACTTCGTCTATGGGAGCGACCAGGGACGGTTTGCTGGCGCGCACAGATTTAGCATTACTCGAGATACTTCTCGACAAGACGTTATCAGAATCACTTACGAGAGCCTATCTTGTAACCCTACTACGAACCGCAGGTTCGCCCCAGGCTTTCTGATAGCATTTCATGAGGTCTATGCATCGTGGTTGTTCAAGGAGAGCATTTCTCAAGTATTACGTGTTTTGGAACCGCAAGCTGACCTCACAAAGGATGGGCCGGTTTTGTTGGCAGGGCAGTGACCCTTTGTGCTCTTAGCAAAGATTGAGAGTTTCATGATGTAACATTAGTGTAGGAACAGTGTACTGCGTCGATCTAGTATGAGCGTACTTTTAACACCACTTAACCAAGCCCTAAGGGTGGCCACTATCATTATACGGACATCAACTTTATACTTCGCAATCTTGTTACTATCTTTCAATCATGATGACAAAAAGCCAGTCTGACTTGAGTATATACCCCTATATTAAGTACACTATCTACATAAATAAATAAAATACACAAAATGCTGCAAATCTAAAAGCTTTCTAGAAGGCAATTAGAAGCATAGACAGAAGCAAATGAACTTGTACAAAGACGATGCAGTACGGTACTCTCACAGACCGCTGTCAATGACATCAGGGACATTGCGGCTGGTCCAGGCACTCCAATCCTTGCAAACTTGGTCAACCGCAGCCGGGATGCGGAGCTGCCTGACCTTTTCTGGCTGCACAAGGAACTGGGCAAACAGGCCAGCAGAGGCGTGCCAGGCGATGTGGCAATGGAAAGGCCACATTCCAGGGTTCTCGTTGGAGTCGAACTGCATCACCATGTGTCCATTGGCGCGGACCTGCTGTACATCTCGGCGCTGTGGGTTTTCAGGGTTGGTAATGGTACCGTCCCAAGTCAATCCATCGCCTTCGTGAAGAATGTACATGTTAAATCCGTGGAGATGCATAGGGTGCCTGTTTATCGTTAGTCAAAATGTTCAATCCATATTGTAGCTTGGCGGCTAGACATACGCTGCGGGACTGTTGTTGCTCACAACAACACGAATGCTGCCATTGTTGGCAAAGTTATCAACGTTCCAATCTGCATCAAAAGTCAAGTTACCCTTGTTGGCCTGGAGAAGCGTGGGGCTGTTGAAGTTTCCGCGGAAGTCCTCGCCGCCAAGAGACCACTGGATGATGCCGGATTCGTTACGGAAGACCTTGATCTCCATAGTCTTAGTCACCGCGGGGTTGGAAGGCTTGAGCTTCATGACAGGCTTGGTGAGGGCAAGATCATCGTTGACGCAAGTGCCAGGGTCGGGAACATCCCAAGGAGTGCTCGTGGGTGCTTTGTTCTGATCGGCCTTATCGTAAAAGACAGCGGCAAGCGCGAGAGGCTGGTTCGTCAGACTGCAACTAGTCATGTTGCTGCGCATCCAGAAAGCACTCTGAGCATTGCCAGCATTGGCCTTCACAAGCACATCGGTACGCTGCCCGATTCCAAGAGTGACAACTTTGGTATCATATGGCTCGACTTCGACAAAGTCGTTGGCAATGACCGTCAGAGTGTGGCCGTCGATCGAGAACCGTTGAACGCCTTCGGCTCCAGCGTTGATAAGACGGAGACGGTGGGTTTTGCCGGTCTGGAACTTGAATTTGGAGATACCAGCGTTGTTGGTGCATTTGGTGTTGTCTCCGGCGGCCACAGTTGAACAGTTGAAGTTGTTTTTTCCATTGATAAGGTTGTTGTCGGAGAAGACCAAGCCACTGCCGCCCACTTGAAGGATGTCCTCAATGAGATCAAAGTACTGTTTGTGGTACCAATCTGGAAGCGATGAAGTTAAAACCGTGCACGCTCATTCATAATTGGACGTAGAAAGCTTACCACCGAGGATGACAGGGCCAAGATCAACTTCGTGCTTGGATTTGCAAGGACCATATACTACAATGGGGCCCAAGAGGCCACCAGCATACTGGGACGAATAGTGGGCATGGTACCAGGTTGTGCCGTAGAGGGTCGCCTGGAATCTGTAGGTGTAGGTCTTGCCAGGTGCAATCGGGCACTGACTGACGGATGGAACGCCGTCCTCCCACTGCGTTCCCTGTTGACGGAAACCGTGCCAATGAAGCGCGGTACCCTCTGGGCCATCAGTGATATTGTTGTGGACTGTGACCTCGATCCAGTCTCCCCAGTTTGACTCGATGGTGGGACCTGGGAAGGCACCGTTCACCAGGAGGACCTTCCGCTCATACCCATCGGGTGCAATGACACCACGGCTCACAGTGAAGTCATATTTGCGAGTGACACCAGTGTTAGGCCATTGCTTATAATAATTGGTGCCGTCGGCAGTGAGGGGGCCCCAGGGGACGCCATTGGGTAGGGGGTTGTTGCTCAAAAAGGTCGGAAGCTTGGCAGCATCGAAAGTTCCAAGAGGAGATTTTCTGTGCATGCCGTTAGAATGTTCGATGTCACACAAAGAGAAACATAAGGAAGAAAACATACCCATTAGTCTTCTCTTGCTTCAAAGCCGCTTGGACGGTAAACAGCCACTTTACGCCGCCTTTTATCAAGTCCTTGATAGCCACCATCTTGGCAACTAGCCGATTACGGTTGGGAACGAATGTAAGTAAAGAATGTGATCAAAAGCCTAAGTGAGTGACTGATGGCGACAGCGAAAGCCAAGAAATCAAGTGAGCATGTTTGAGCTATATACTTGGCAAAAAGAAGGCTCGAGTCCATCACAACTTGAGCTCAGATCGGTTTTCCAAATGGTAAGACTGCCGTATCCCGGCTTCGCGGCCTCCCAGGTTAATCGGCATCTTAGAAGGGTTTGTTCAAGAGCCTCCAAGTTTGGATGCTCACCAAGCGGAAGCGTACTAAACTAGCCAGGTCCCCCACTAGCTCTGCCGAAGGCTTGTTTTTGTGTTAGCTTCTTACGCATGGTCTTAGAGCTTTACGCGTCGTCTCTGATGTCTTCGGGTGGCGTAGTGGAACAGGGTGTTTTCCCAGCCCGAGGTCTGGGATATCTTGATCCCGATTATCTGGTAACTTTTGTTTACCTCTGCAGTTATTTCCAGACACGAATACTTGCCAGCATTTCGAATACGAGCACTGATAGTATGAAGATACTTGAGCTGAACTATTCATCAGCGACCATGGCTGAACCTGGTTATGTTTGCCTTCACCTCGGGTTTTCTGATACTGTAGTAACTTCACAGGCAGCTATTGGGTCACCCATTGTTGGCTGCAAGGATTAAAACTTCGAAAAAGGGGTTTTTGCTCATCGGGAAGTGGATGCCGGAAGATGGGCGTGTGGGCGAGAGTTTACACAATACGAAGGCCCTAAAAGTTAGGCTAATGGTCGTGCGCGCTCACATACACGCGGCCGCACGTTCATGGTGTTAAAAAAAGCGATTGTGTTTACCAGAAGTACATGCTTGTTGGAATCCCTCGTCCAATTCAGTTGAAGTCTCTGCATGAGCCACAATGCAGAAGTTCGGATTAAGAAAATGGCAGCATCACAGAGACAAAACTAGAGTGCCAGATGCAACTACCAATGGCGCAGCCATGTCAATCTCAGTTGAAAAAGAAAATGATTGCAAGAATTTCTGTGTTGAAACAGCAGTTGCGGACATCAGTTTGAAACTTCACGCGGAGGTCCGAAGTGTTAAGATTCCTTCAAGAGATTGACCGTGTATTGAGATTCCAAAAATCTGTTGTGTTTATTGTTAGGAGGGCCCATGAGAGTGGCATGTTTTCTCGGTGCTCCTCCAATTTTAGTTTCGGGCATGGCTTTTGCACTTGCTCTACTACGTACAGAGCCTTGGTATTGGGTCCGTAGCACGTCCGCGCCTAAGCTTAGTGCTGGTACGGTTGGGGTCGGCGCTACACGTCGGATGTCGTAACTGGAACAGCAACGCCTGAAAAGCCGCTGGGGAACTCTGCTAGCTTAGTCGCAGCCCAACGTTTCAAAGACGGAGATCCGCAAGATGATCCGCAAGATGACGAAAATATAAGCTTGAATTATTATATCTGATTGTTAGTTTATGTAGCCGGGTTAGATGCGACCAAACCTAAAATCGGTCAAGTACAGACATTATACCTTACGAACTTCTGTTGCTATGCAGTGAAGCCGAGAGATCGATACCAACAGTGCTGACAGGGTTATCCTCTTGCTGCTTACCACCACGCTTAGTTTGATAATTGCGCATCGAAGACGCTCAGGCGTTTTCCTTGAGGCCGCGGCCTCTTAGCCGCAGCCAGAGCCTGGTATGGGCTATCCAACTTCATCAACTTGATCGGTCACGAGAAGGCGGTTGACCTGGAGACAGAAAACTGCTGCCTTGTTCGTTGTGAACCCCCAAGGCTCCGCGAAAGTTAAGCCTCCAAGGCTCGGATGAGCACCACATCTTGCGTTGTGCGCCAGAACGTGCGATGCTGAGAACGGATGGCAAACATAACTGGTCTTGGCTGCGGCCGGACGGACGTGGCGTTGACTTTTAAAGGGCGCATATCCGCCACTACATATCCGATTTGTAGCGATTACGGTTACGATGAATCACGAACTACTCTTTCCAAGACATCGGCGGTCAGGATGGCGATTCTCGAGGAGACTTTGTATGGGTTGTGTGATGTTGCTGCTCGGCAACTCATTATATTCAAGTTGTTATTGGCTACCTAGCTGCATGTGATAGCTTCCACGCCGATTCCACGGTTTAATACTTTTGTTGGAACATCTGTTAGTTATTTTCATAAAGATGCCTGGAAAACTGCGCCATGAGGCGACTTCTTAAGGGGTTCCTGACTTGGTATGCTTCGATACAGAAGACATGGTTTCGGCGGCTGCACAGCAACCAACTAGAGTCACTGACATGCATACAATATTCTGATCTAATGTAAAGTGTAAAGAATCGAATGCGCTGTGACTCAACCCTTCGTTGGTATTGACGCCGACAGTATTACTATGTGAGGGTGGGCACCGTGATTGAATTTCACAGTCTCTCGTATGACAAGTCCACGAGATGTCGTTGAGATGGGAGTCGTGCCTCCACCACAGCGTTCCTAGTGGGTAGATATCTCACCTCTTGCACCCAAGCCAGAATCTCACTTTCTCCGTCAACAACAACACCACCAAAAAGAAATCGCGTCTAATCTCGGTTCTAAACTGCCAAACAGGGTTTTCTTTTCGGTAACAAAGTTTTCGGCTTGATGAGAATACTATCTCAATAGGAAATCTTTTATTTGCCAAGCGCGCATCACCCTTTTCACCTCCAGCGATTCGCACTACCTAATCCGCATCGTTACGACCCATGGTACCCATTGTACCTATAACAAAGAAGCATTCTATCTCAGAAGGTTGTTTTTATATGCATGCTTCAACTAAAGGCTCTTTTACATACTAACTATAGCCTACATAGGCCTCAAAATGGATCTTTTCTGTCTCATCTTCGGTTTCTTATCAGCCCCTCTAGGTGGCACTACCGCTGGAGGATTGAGAGAAACCCAGCGCGGAACTTCTGTCGTCATATGCGGCCGCGGAACTCGAGAAGTATTCATCAAAACTTTCACGACGTCTGGATTTCGTGAAACCCAGACAAGCTGCAACCAACATGACTGGAATAAAAGGGTCTCTTCTCATCGCCAGGCCCTAATTGCTGCCAGCAAGCCCAAGTCGCGGGCTGCGCAGGCAGTAGATACTTGGATACCCCACACCCTCGAGCTTCAGAAGAAGGAGGAGTCATGGTCGATTGCTTCTTACGACAGTCGTTTGTACCGTGAGATAGATTCTCCCAAGCTTCCCATGGATCTACAAGTCCGAGATCGTGCCTAGTTATCACGTGTCTTGGATAACCAAAAACATCGACCGTTTCTTTTGGAATACAAGACCAAAATCTGCCAGTCCGTCGAGCGCAATCCTAGCAAACAACAGGAATGCTATCGCGGCTGCTTCTCCTTAGCCGGCGGATCTCTCCAATGCTTGGGGAAACAGAACACTCATGTTCTCAAGAGGAAGAAAAAGTACAGCGACCTTAGAACCCGTTACCAGAACCTTCAAAGCTCCAAGCAACAAGTCGAAAAGAGTCGCGTCAGATCTGTCTCGATCTCCCAGCTACCGGCCGTGAGTCCTATTCCAGGCGAAAACGAGTCTGTTCTGGTACTGTTCCCATCTTTTGAATCGGCAAACATCGAATTCGGCAAACTCGGCCAGCTTCTCGAGGTCGAAAGAAAGCTGGCACAGTACAAAGACGCGGACCAGGACCAAGACGAATGGGGTTTCGATAGTGCGACTGTCGACCAAGTCGACTGGATCAAAGACGGTCACAAAAACATTGTCACCTACAATACGTACTCCGAAACACACATCATTCAGCAGATATACGAGGGTCTGGACGACCTGCATGATGAGGACTTCGCAACTTCCATCAAGTTTTCTCGAGACCTGCTCTTTAGCAACTACAAAGATGGTAGCTATAAGAAGGTACAATACTCAAATATTTCTCAGAAGACTGTGAAGTGTGGCAACTGGGGATTTGCCGCTCTTTGCCGAACCGTGAGACGGCTTTTCTGATGGAATTTGGTGACATGATACGCCGTCTGACCTCGAAGAGCCTTTCACACCTGTGCTTCACATTAGGTTCAGGGGCCATCTGGAGTCTCGATTATCAGTTGTGAACTGATTGAATCTTTGATTCTGTGAGACCGCGACTCGTGAATGGATTCTGATGAATGTGGCTAATATTGTGCTAAAAATCCTCTAAAGCTTGACTGACATCCCAAGATATGGCATTTTTCAGCTGTAGAATGTAAGTACATGGGCGGGTGTACAGTACGTGCAGCGGCTTTGTGGTTCTTTTGTGTAGGTAAAAGTACCTTGGGCTACTTCATTCTCTAGTCTCTCTGAAGAACCTGGCGCACAATGAAAGACATCAGCATTCAAGGGGATGAAGTGAGGGTTGGGGTTACTATTCTTTATGTAATTTGGTTTGGCATCCAGTATTAACAACAATGGCCCCGTTCTATATTGATATTTCCTGGTTGATTCCGTAGCAACCCGCTATACTAGTATGGTATAGCGATTTAGCCTTGGAGAACTGCATTGGCAAATTGAAGTCATACGATGTAACCAAAGAACAACGTAGAACAGATGCTAAGCAATGTCACTTTTATCCAATCGACTGAGAATTGGCTACAGGTAAATTGTGAGCCACAATTCAGCCCAAATTTTCTCCAAACTTTGTGGAAAATAGGTATGGGATGGGAAGGAAGTTGACACTGTCTGTCCCTGAATGGCTACAATGTCGTAGGTTATGTACCTTACCTGTAGCCAACTCGCAGCAGGTGGGATACGTTCACACTTTCCAGTATCAGTATTTTCTGGGGGTTTTCCTTTGTCTTAAGTCGATAGGTCTTTCCAGCTTAAAGAGGGAGTGACGGATAGAAGGACACTGGATGCCGCGACGCGAGCTTGTCAGTGTTTCACTTGGGAGGACTTGCAAAGGAAAAGCGGCTGCTGTCGTTGCCGCCCCCGCTAACATCGCCAGTTGCGAAACGAGCGCGAGAGTGCAACATCAGAAGATGAGCAACATTACCTTCATCGACCAATTGGGTAAAAGTACGTGATAAGTCTTGATTGGTTAGTTATGTTACTCAGGATTCTTAGAGAACCGTATGCGGGCTTAACAACACCGAAAATTCACGCAGGTCTGCAGCTCTTTTCTCACCTTCACCCACGGGTCCAACGCGACGCGTCTTTCTCACCTACTACGCGTCTCTCTCTCCCTACTTCCTCTTCACTATTATTGCCTATTTTCGTCGTCCTTCTCCCTCCTTTCTCCTCTTCATCCTCTCTTTCTTTATACCTCCCCTGTATTCCGTCTTCAACACCCTCAAACGGAATCTCTTAGCCTTTCCATCCCATGATAGATTTATCAGGGTACCAGTAGTGAAGTACTAAATAGCCTTTGCAACAACGTTGCATCTCTGACTGTAATTCCTCACGGTCCAGCAGAACTGTAAGTTTACATCCCCTCAGATTAACTCTTTGTCACCGTCGTCCCTTTTACAACCTCTGTTCTGACGCACTAAGGAGACGAAGAATATCACTGAGGCTCTGACCAAACCTTACGACACGCATACTGCTGTATTTACGAGCCCAATAGTCTCGATTTCACTTCAATGCCGCCAAGATTTGTGCGCAGTAAGAATTCTCAACAAATGGAATTCGTTGACGAATTTCAAGACACACGAGACTTGTTGGATATTGAAAGTGTTGACCGTACTATTGCTGCGGCAAAGCCAAGAGTTTCAGCTACGAAGATGAACGCCATAGGCCCGTTGCGTCGGCCCTGGATTTATTCTCAATTCTCAATCTCCGCCTTCGCCTGTCTTATCAACTCTTCTCTCACTGCCATTCCTATAAAATCAGAAGCCGTAGAGCGCTGCGAAAGCAGGCATAATGGAGCAGAAAATGCCACGGCAGCTCTCAAAGAATCACAGGAAGATATTGTGACACAAGTCTTGGACCTTTATGGCGATTAGGACTCGTCACAGTTTTTGAAGACTTGTCACTCCTCGTCATTGGCAAGTGTTGAACTGCCAAGAAGACACATTAGTGTTGCCGGTTTGGAATATCCTCCGTCAGCCAAAGTAAAAGCGTCACTGACTGTTAAAAATAGCAGACGCCTCTGAAATATCATTCGACCCATTACAGCACCCCTTTCCATCGTCTCCCCACCTCTGTACCCAAACCGACATTCCAACTGGCACCGGTGAGAGCGCTGAATCGCAATTTAAGCTCACTCGGGACTCTTACAGGAATGAACATCAAACTGCTCATCACATATTAGCGACAAATAATGTAAAGAGCAGCAACCAAAGTTGTTCTGCCATACTCAGTGAACTAAATTTGGAGATTGATTCCCTGTTGGAAACATCGAACGTTGCTTCCTTACGCACCCGACAACATGCCAGTTTTGATGACACTTTCTGTTATCTTGCCCCTAAACTAAAACCACTTGACCACCGAGATGAGCCATACCTTGGTATGTCAGCAAGGGGAGAGCCAATGTGTAAAGAAAAGAACTGCCGTCTTCCCCGCGATTCCGCTAGACCGGCGCCACTGCGCATCAGGAACCCTCAATCTTTGGTGCCAGCATTGGAAATGCCGCTCCTCTTGAGTAGTGACGAAAACTCCTACATTCATAAGTCCGCAAAGCCTTTGCCATTGAAATTTGATAAGAAACCACTCCTGTCTATTTCAGGAAACGTACAAAAGTCACAAAGAAAGATCACATCAGCTGAAAACAACGATGTGGAACAGCCTCGCATATCTGGCTTTGACAAGAGCTCGATGGCTTGCGGGACTTTACCCAGTAACAACAGGGAATGGGAAGACGATGATTCTATTGACTTTCTCCTCGGATCTTTCCAGAGTACTTCTGCCTCCAAAATTCGCAACAGACTTTTTGACCGTAGCTTGCTTTTCGATGCAAGCCAAAAACTCGCTGACACCTGCATGCAAACAAACCCCTCTAAATGCACAGAGACCGCTTGTGGCATGGGTGAACAGTCATCGGGTTCTTTCCTCCAGGCAGTGCAAACCACGGAGTTCGGCCTGCAAAGTCAGCATGGCTACCTTCGGGGATCTCTCTTCCCTGACGTTAACGACGTGGAAGCCTCTGACCTTGATGAGCAAATTCGCAGACGCCAACCCTACACTAGCCAAATTCTTCTCTGGTCTCTTCGCCATTCCAATGATGTCATTGAACCATAAGAGCTAGGAAGTAGCAATTTTATTACGCTATTTGAAGCTCGTTAACTAAGCTTTAAACCTCATCTCGAGATTTGCTGCTAGATACTCCCTCTGTTACTGCCACAACTCGTCTGAACAGAGTTCTTAGTCGCACATTGAACGGCTTCTATGGTCACTGACGCATTCCAAGAAGACATAGACGAGATGTGCTGCTATTGCGGTTGTCTAGTAAACCATTTGGACCTTCTTTTCTTTGGATGTGTCTCCATGAGTATTTGGTTATGGTAAGAGGTGTATGGGAGGACTATTTAGGCATTTCCTCTGCTGCCAAGTTGTGCGCAATCAATGGATTGACAGTATGTTGCAGGAGATGGTGACTGTGTAAGGAGAATGGCGGTGGATGTCGCTAGACTGGCTCGCCAGCCAACGTACAGAAGCGATTGCTTGTGACGTATGAACAACCTGATGTGGGAGGTTGAAGACGGAGTTGTTATCAATGAACTCTCTCGTAGTTGGTTTCCTACCCTTGTCTTTTGATTTCAGCGCCTTAGCCTTCTGAGACATTTGACAGAATTGCAGCGGAAGATGCATATCATTAGAGCCCTGCCATAAATGAAACTTTGATTGCGGTTTCCGTGACCGCTTACCTGGGGCCGGGAAAAGAGAAGCATCACAGTATTCAAGCTCATTTTGATTTACCTTAGATAGCGTAAAAGGCTTCGGAGATTTAGAACATGCTCGATGTACTACAGTCTTTCTAATAGACGCTATCAATGCCTAGGGTATCAATAATACTCACGCAAATCCCGACTTTTAAAGGCCTCCAGGTGATCTTTCAAAACTGTCCTTAACCGCCTTAGGCATCTCAATCTAGCCGATCCCCATCTGCACCTGATGCTTCTCTTTCTGTAGCGTCGCCATCTTTGTACAAAGATTCGAGTTCTTGCTCGTTTGAAACCTCTCCGGCCTCTTCATCCCCCGTGCTGCCATGAGGTCGAGTTCCTACGATACTTCCAATTCGCGATCTAGTTGAGCTCACCCACCCGAGCAGCGTATCTTCCTTGACTGCCCTGCGTTGCCTGCCAATTGTAGTTCTGCTTCTCCTAGCACTGATCATGGGGTCCGAGGCGCGAACCGGCGGCCGGTAGTGCCATTGCCAGAACCTTCGAGAGAATAGAGGACGAAGAATAGGGGCGTTTATAGCCATGAGCCCGATCTCACATTCTCTGACACCCCATCGATTGACTGTGATCGTTGACGGTTCAGAACCCAATGTAACAGCAACACGCATAATAGCAGCCGCTATAACGAATAAACCGGAACAAATCAGAATCGCAATGAATATCTTTTTGTACAAAGGGACCCTGATCTCTTTGAGCACTGGAAGTGGTAAGCACAGAATAGCTGCGTCCGTCACAACACCTGAGATAATCAGTCATTCATGCCGACGACGAACAAAGCACTGATGACAACTCACTGAAAAATGTTGTGACTAGTAGATTTTGAGGTTTGAAAACGCATTTTTCGCTTGGAAGAGGTCGGACTCCCCAGTTGTCATGAAACCTAGCTGCACTCTTAGCGCTTGTCGTCGGCACACAGGGTCAATTATTGGAATCTCACGGGAGGCAACTGAAGGTTATTGTGCCGACTACAGCTAGATAGGATAACGTGGTGAGCCAGGTTAGGTATGTCAAGATCCTGGCATGTTGCCACAGGTCGAAAGTCATGCGTTTACTATCGTTATGGTCAGCGCACATTGAATCCAAAGTGTTGCGCATGTCAAGGCTCACTAAAAAAACAGCAGGCTGCCTTTTAACGACCACAAATATGCCGTGTACGAGTACCATGCGACTTGCTGAAACTTGGATCCATCGACTAGGCGAGCAACTTCATCGCCGCTGAGCAGATCAATTTGCTCAGGTGTGAGGTCGACATTGGTGCCATATCGATCTACGACAAACAGTCTGTCAGTTGAACGGTGCCTAAACGCCAGCCGGTCTGCAATCAATGCGGGGATATCTTCACTCACAGACAAGATCTACCATCACGAAGCAAATGATATACATGATTAAAGTCTGCAATCGGAGTTCTTGTGAGAGGGTGCACTTGCCGGCTCAGCTCCATCCAGCTTACCAGAAACATGAAATAGTCGTCGCCCTTCAGACCTTTCGGCCCAACCATGCGAATCCTAACCAAGAATCGCAAGAAAATCACGACTGCTCCAACAGTAAACCACGCCCACATTTCCCGGAGAAATCTGGCATCTCGCCGCAAAAAGTTATCCAGCTGGCCCATGGCCACCTCTGGTGTGGTTTCGTCGCCCCCGGGCCGTGTCTCTGCTGACGCCCATCGGCCCCTGGTGGCAGCGCCTGGTAGAATAATGTTTTGGAGAAGTACCTAGGATTATGATGTTGGTTCTATGTTTTTTTCAATGATATTTGCGAAAATCACGCCACTTCATGTGAATGTCGCCAGATAGGAGTGGTAGAGTTTTCCCACGGGGGTTGGGGGGCACATCCTTTGGGGTAGGGGAACACTGACAACGGAACGCGCGGCAATGCGAGTAAACCCGGAACTCGCTGGATCCCTGACAACTGATTATATCGGACGACCAACTCTTGTGGTATTTTGTCAGGCAGTGGGCGGACTACGGACTTTGACAACGAATACCGGGGCATGCAATCAACCCATGCATCGGGTTTAATATTTCCTATATCAAGCTAGCAATGCCTGCACTTTGCCCATGAAACTTTTAGACCCACCGATGATAGAGTTGGGCAAACCATCCTTCTATTCATCTATATCCCATCGGGGCCTGGTGGGCGACAGGTACGTCCCGATGAGGGGGAATAGCCACTCAGAGACTAGTTGAGACTTTTCTAACCAACCAAAACATCTGATTTAAAAAATACTTATTTCATCTATAGTTTCTGGCTATGAAGTATGTACTCGCAATTATCAGAGTTACATAGTTGGTTGCGAACGCACCTAGGAAAGCATGGGTCTTGATAGCGTACTGTTATGTATCTCTGTTCTGAGGGGTCACACACTATTGGTCTCGCTCGGCCGGTGGGCTGTACTGCTCCGTGACACATTTCTCACGGACCCTCGGAAGTTTCATAGGCTCAACTCTATTTTATAGTGTGGCTACGCTGCCCCATCCCAGCATCCGAACATGATCTACAGGAAGAACTTGCTCCGCTCGGAACAGCATGGCACTAACCTGGGGATCGGGGAGAGATCCCCGACCATTATGAGTAATATCTGGAAAAAATGAAGCAGATTTTCTGGCATTCTGTATATTCTCGCAATGCTAAGTCATCAATGGATTACTGATCAAATGAGACGGTAAGAAGGCGCGCAAAGCTGACGGCAAACTTGCTCAAAAAGAGTTTGCACAGCCCAAAAACAAGTTCCCCAAAGCAGATTAGTCGCTTATTTCCCCTCGTTGCCTCTCTGCAGAAAGGTAACCTGGTACGAAGCTGTTCTAGTAAAGGTGCACTGGCTCATAATTATGTATAGGAGACTAAGAGGGGCCTCAAATAGATCTTACCTTCGTTGTAGGCAGTGAGTCTAGCTCACGGATTTGTGGCAGAATATACAAAGCACTACTACAAACAGCTGGCTATGCGTTAATGTATGAGCGTCTTGCCTGCACACAGACCTGCTTCCCACTCGTTTCTACACTAACGGGTCGTCGATCCTACGAGTACGACGTCTCAAAATGGCCTGTTTGCGGCCCGACAAGGGTTTTACACTTGGTGGATGAATCAGGGCCGACAGCGTGAGACTGGATGACAAGCTTTGATTCCACGCCACTGAACATGGCAGGAATTCTCGAATGCCGGTGTCAATCTTGAACTTGTTTTTTTTGTTCTTCAATGACAAGGCACGCAGGAGTCTCGCGGCACGGGAATGAAGAAAACGAAATTCATTTTATCGTACACCTTCGGACTCTATAATTCAGCATTAAGAGCTAGTTTAATACCAATTTCACAAGTTTTTATGCATAATATCAGTGACTTGCATTCCCAGCAGATTTTTGGGATGTAGTTCTATGGGTATCTCTTAGGCAGTGGGAAACAAAGATCAACTGCACACTACTGCGGCTGAGATCATCTGGTCTTGTCGTAGGTGTTTTAAGCTCAGTTTGACAAAGATGCGGTTTTCTCGCTGTCGAAACTTCCAAACGCAATGACATCACTCGCTTTCTGATACCCCCCAGTTTATTTTTAGAGCACACGGGCTTTGTTTAATTGGTTACCAAACCAGGCAGGAACATGTGACATTGAACATGATAAGACACAAAGTTGCATTTCTTTAAACTATGGACAAGAAAAAGTTCGAATATACTTCTTGGGGTGTGAGAGTGAATCCAATCAACTAAAACTCTTGACAACGATGAAGGTACACGCCCTGTACCCTACCGCTTCGGTGTCTAAGCAGAACGCTTGACAACAAAAGCACCACGCTCAATGGTGTTAACCAAGATGTAGCCGCTCTTGAAGTAGGGGTAGTGGCTCCAGGTTCCAACGAAGTCAATGGATCCGCCATTAGGCTCGTTGTCGTTCTCGGGGTAGATGTCGAAGAAACCGATTTCGCTGACCTTGGAACCGGTGGGGTCTTCGGGCAAGGAAGAGACATCAAGGATGCGGAGACCAGCACCATAGTGGCTCTGGTAGGCGAGGCCGTCAATAACGAACTGGTTGTGGTCGATACCATAGGCAGGGCTCTTGTAGAAACCAGTTTGCTTGGGGGCCTCGAGCGAGCGAATGTCCCAGAAATATGTGATAGGGTAACCGCTGGCGGCGGGTCCGGTGGCATCGACCTCATCGTATTCGTCATCGAGAACCAGGTACTCCTGCCACTCGGTGTTGGTGACCCAACCTTGGTGAGTGTCTATAATCGTCAGGTTAGTACTCTGTGTTGCCATAGGTAATGGCAGTTTGATCTTACAGCTTGCACCCTCATAAGAGGTACGAGAAATAATTTTGGTGGTGTTCTTCTCGGTGACGTCGTAGCTAATAAAAATGTAAGGACAAGGAACACAAACGCGCATTGATACAAACTCACATGGTCAAAGTGTCCTCGTTGTAGCCGTAGCAAATATCACGACCGAAGTACTTCTCATCAGGACCGCGGTAGACAAGGCACTGCGCATCGTGAACATAGCCGTCACCGCTAGCACAACCGGGAGATGTTGGGTTGGCGGGGTCGCTGAGATCGATGAAAATAAGACCCGAGCGGCATGCGCTGGAACGAGGCTGAGCGCCAACGGCAACTGCATACTGCTTCTCCTCATTGATGACAATATTGTGAGTGGAACCAGCAGGAAGGCCGTTCCACCAAGAGGTGAGATCCTTCTTAGCGTCAAAGGTGACGGGCTTGGCAGGGTCAATGGCCAAAACCTAATGTCAGGTTAGCACAAGCTATAGAAACTTCAAAACATGGAAATCTACTAACTTTGTTCAGGTCAAAAATTTGAACACCATGACGGGCGGCTTCACTGCCAATAACGACGTAGTTCTTGTAACCACGCAATTCACGCCAGATAGACTGGGTAGAGTATTGGGGAAGGCGACCGAGGTAGACAAGCTTGCCATCCTTCGTAATTTCTGCAAAGGCAGCACCATCAGCCTGAGCAATGATGGCGATCTCTCGGCCGTCAGGGCTTGTCCAACCCCAAGAGGAAGATCCCTGGCCAGCACGAGAGCCGAGATCGGAATGGCTCTTGAAGTCGTAGAAGTCAATTCTGTCGCATTTGAAAGTGTTGTTGGCGTCGCCGGGGACGACCTCAGCAACACCGTTCACACAAGAGACGGGGCCTTCTTCAGCCAAGCGACTGCGGTACGCGGTGGAATCCATCTCTCCGGTTGCAATCTGACGATCCCATGATGCCTAACAAAGATCGAGAATTAGCAAATGGGATCAAGTTGTGAATGGCCGCCAACTACGTACCTTTTTACGGGCCATGAGGTCCTTGTGGATAACGCCACTGTCATAGATCTCGGAGACAAGCTCGCTGGGCGCAATTTCCTTAGCGGACACGCCATGAAGGAGCGCCGACAAGGCAAAGGTTGCCAAGGTGGTGGCCTTCATCTTGATTGTTTAGAAAAGGTTGCTGAGAGTTGTCTGGAGCAGAGAGGGATTGACGGCTGAGCCACGGCGGTCGCTTTCGCGTTGGAAAAAGACGGAGAGACTTCTGGGGCTTGCTTCCGACAGGCGACAGCGACAAAAGAGAGAGGCGAGTCTTTTTATCTTATTTCAACTTCACCTTGGCGGTTCTGGTTTCGCTCAACTTGGCCCCTGGGCATCGCGTATGCCCCCACCGGCTCACAAGGCTAAACAGAAAAAAAAAACATGATTATTACTACTGTTCTTTCCTAGAAACAGAAGGTAAGGTCGATTGCCAGAAACTAGGGAAAGAATAACCAACAGGCTCGTAATGTCGTCACACGGAACCTCCTGCCGAAAGAAGCAGGTGTGTTGGGGAAGTGGTCCTTCGGGAGTTGCTCATAACGAATCAGTGAGGTCGAGACCCCGGCACGGCAGTCCACCCCAACTACCCTACATATCCGCCGGGACTTGGCAGCGGGACAGCGGTACGGAAAGAAGCCTTAATTGAGCCTCTAGGCATATCATACGCGTCCACACCTACAGATGTGCCAAGAGCACCATTGCAACGTTCCTGCAGGATAGATTAGACTACCACCATAGTTGCCGAGTCAAGTCGTCATTTCGGCCATTCCATCTACAACCACCTTCTTAAAAAGAAGCGATTATGTTGCATTTGTACATGGCGTCAAGACGTCGGGTTTGTGCGAGATACGGCGAGTTGTCAAATGAGCTATCTCCAACTTTGTACGTGGGGCCAATGAGGCCTTAGGAATTGTTACATTATAAGAACTTCCGCGCCAATCACATTCCTTCTTCTTAGTTTACTGTTTTTAGTTACTCATATGACTTTGAAGTGCATTTTCCAATTTCTATTTCTTTTGATGTCGTCGCCTAGGTAGGGATTCTCGCCTAGGCGGACTCAAATGGTGTTGCACCCCACAAAACTGTTCGCCAAAATACAGCAGACTTCGAGCGCTGAAGTCGCGGTTGAGTAAAAACTTTGGCGAAACTACTGGACGGTGCTGTGGCTCGTCTGCAGTTTGCTAGGCTATCAGTTCTATAATTTCTTCAGTATTGCTGTTGCAGAAGTTGGGATACGAAATTAGTGTCACTACGTTTCTTAAAGCCAATTCCATCACGGGCCGAAGTTGCTTTTGACTCCAAGCCCCACCCCTGAAAAACTTGCTCAGCCGATCAACAAAGTACTGTAACCTCACAATTGCCCAAGTAAGGTCCCCACGAAAAACATCTCAACTCTAAACTATATTCGAGACCCTTTTTCTTATGGAATACATCACTTTATATCAGCATTCGAACTTAATAATTCGTTAATATTGAAGACTATATAATGCCACCAACGTCCTCCTCCAGTATTAATATGCAAATCGAGCATATCTTCATACATTGATACCTCAGTATACCATTTACCAATACACTTCTGTACATCCTATGGCTTCTAGTTGGCGCAGTGACACATGTTATTACAGGTAAACCTACTTGGTCTACTTAGGCCTTCCAAGTCGTTGAAGATGACTAGAAAAGTATCTGAAAGTGTATTGTGTACCTTCAGAAGATCTGATTTAGTAGTTTTGAGAGGCTCGCGTTGCAACATCCGCGCCTGACAACGATACCTTGGGAAAGCACCGCATGTTCTGCGCAACCGAGTTCGGCGGAGTGAATCACGTTTATATTCATGATCCAACTTTTCCGAATTAACTCTTGTGTTCTTTGAGTATTCATTACCGAGACGTCACTACTATCTGTATGTGTGTGTACCAAATATGCGGTCATTAGAATCATCAACTCGTGAGTCTAAAATCCTCCCAGTGTTCAAACGACGTGACCGAATCGGTACGCATGACAGAATACAGCTCTTCTCCCTAAGCCTTTTCTTCACCCTGCAACGCCGTGTGTGGAGGTTTCTTTCGGCTCACACCTTCAACGCATTTTATTTCTCTTCAACTTCGCTGGGATCGTAGGACTTCAATAGCCCACTGTCAAAATCATAGCCTCCTGCGTCGCTAATTGTTGGGTATCTCGCAAGTTAAATCGCAGTAATTCTTGATCCAAGTCTATCATCGGCGTACCACATCCTCCCAGCTGGGTAGATTGTGGGTTGTCGGTTTTGATTGAGGAGGTTTTCCGTCATCATCTTCTACCACGGGACTTAAGCCGTCCGGAGGTATAGCTCTTTCCCACACAGCTTCCCAAGACTTTCTTGCCTCAAGCTCGTGGTGCTGCCAGTTTAATGATCTGGCCGGGGATGTCCCTTGCGTCGAACTCTCGCCACCCGGTGCCAGCCACCCTTCACGACGTCCATCCATTGAGTTTGCTCGTGGGTTATAGGCCCATTCGTCCTCACACTGTACCGAAATTGGGTTCTTTTCCGGCTCCAAAATAGGGGAACGAACTCCCATGGGATGACCACTAAGAATTGCAAGCTCGGTATCAAAAGTTGTAGCGTTATTGGGACTTCGTGCTGCCTCTGTAATCGTGGCTACGTCGGTCCGTGCGGGTTTCGAAGGCTTTCCCGTCATCATACTCCACCAGTATGACGAATTGTCGCTTCTTTTTCGGTAATCACTGGCCTTCTGCGGCAGGCTACAAGCCTTTGCCGGCTCACCCCTGCGTAATCGTTCGTAGAGGATATTCATGGATGGCAGGCATGCGCATACAACGCCTATGACGAGTTCAAGTGACCTGGTTACGTTAATTAGAAACCAGGGGTCAAGACGTCAAAGCCTGGCTACTCACGTCACAAGATCCAAAACAACAAAATCCGCGGTGACATCTACGGATGAGAGAAACAAGACAACCAAGTACATCCGATACACCGTCACAGCCGTTGCAACTCCTCCAGCACCCAGCAGTACAAGGATCTTTAGTTTCTTGCGGAACGACATCCTCAACCCCCAGAGTAATGGTATCGGGAGGATTAGAATGACAAAGTCGGTTATGATGGCGAGACTGAGATCGGCGATAAAGATTTTGCGCTGGTTGAGACATTTCGGGTTCAGTGTATGGGGATTCCAAAATGCCGATATAGGTATGCAGATGATAGTCTTAAGCGTCTGTATCGGAATGTAACAGACAAGCAAGAGGATGATGAAGATATGGATACCTCGTGCGACACTCGCGTGGACCGCAAAGACTCGCGCCTCGAGGAGAAGCAGGGTAACCTTCGTGAAATAGGCAGCCGGACAATAGATGACGGAGCTTGCATACAGCCACTGCGAAAAGAATATATCATGTAAGCTTCTTCTTCAAGTAACCGAATGAAGGTGTGCGCGAGAAACCTACCCGCATGATTTCTCGGTAGGACTCTTTGCTCAGCTCCCATGCATGATAACCTTCTCCATAATGTGCCACTGTTCAAATGTCAGGTTGACACTTGCAATGACCTTTTTGCAATACTCACTGACAAACACCGTAGCAGCGTACAACATGATCAGTGCCTGGTTGTATTAGTATTAATGAAGTGAACTATCGGTGCGGATGGAGCGTCTCACATATGCAGCAGCACATGTCCCTTGATCACAAGTCAGCTTGACAGCTACAGGTTTTGTCTGTCATGATTGTTTATGATACGTACAGTCTTCCGGAAGCAACTGACTCCCAATAGTGAACTTGACGTATGTCCTGATACCGAAGAAGAGCGTTGTGACTGCAGCCATTACACTCATTCCCACGACATTCCACATCCATCCAGCGTCTCGAGGGTCATCGAAGTTCGGAGTTACGCCCGGCGGAGGCGGAAATGCCCCGGTCGGGCCCGTGGCGTTGCTCATTGATGTGATCGCTCGACATGAGCTGTAAACCGCAAGAAGAGGCACATCGCTTCGCGGTCTAACAGAATTTCTCGTCGTGTTGCAATGGAGTTTCCAAGCCAGCAAAACACTTCTAAGATTATCAGAAGGAAAGGAGGGGGTTCCAAGCTGCAAATAAGACAAGTTTGATGATCCGTTACAGGGAACACCCTGCACAGATTCTGACTCGTCCGGGCGATTTACTCACCATTAGAGTTCATCGAGTGGTTGGACATTTGTTAGGGTCGAGGCGCAACGGATTTCCTAGCGGGGTGGAATGATCAACAGCAGGAAAAACTCTAACAAGGGCCACTTTGCACGGAACAAACTTTGCACGGAACCCCTGGTGGCCGAAGTTGGGACGTTGGGAAAAAAGAAAAAAGGGCCAATAATCCGGGGAGAAGGGTCCGCCTCGCAGTGTTTTCTCTCCTTGAAGATGACAAAAGTCAGTCAAGAAAGTCATATTTCCGGCGAGTTGGCAAGAGGCGCCCGCAGGCCTAAACTGATTGGGTTTACATGCCTGAGCGTAGTCCGAATTCGCTTCTAGATCGTGGTAACCCCTTCCACAAAGACTAGAAGTGGCAACGTCTAGCTCAGGGGGTTTACCGGGAGCTTAAAATGATAAGCTAGCTTTTGGTACATACATGCCAAGCTGGATTAAAGTGAGCCACCGCGTAGGAGGCGTTTGATGGCGCACCTCCTGGCCTACAGCGCTTAACGAGCCGGATCACAAATCAATATTTTGCTGTCCAGACACAAGACGTCCTTTGCACGGAGGCGACTCCGTGAAACGAGACTCTTCATCACAGGCCAATGTCCTACTTCAATCGTGCCTAACGGCCGTATGGCCCCATGGAAGCTACTGGCCTAACAGCACAATGGCCAGCGACAACAAAGGAAACTCGGCAAAGGCCCATTCCCAAGTCGAGTCATTAGCAAGAGACAATGAAGCCTAGTCATGACTATCGTTACGCTTATTCAAAAAGTGTGAACGCCTATAACGTTTTACTTCGCGGCTGTCGGCGGCTTCCGAAGATACTTGTTTCTGTTTCCTTTCACCTCTCTGTGCCGCCTGTCATGTTTTTCGTTTTCTTTCTCCCTCCCGCCATCGCGTGCCACATCAAGCTCCATTTTTTCTTGAATAATTTCGTGGAGAATCTTTATCGCTTAAGATCAGTGTCATCAAAAAGCGTCCGTGAAATTGCCACGCGTGGTTGGTTGCATTTGTTCTTTCGATGGCAAGGTGGCAATGATTGCTAGGTCCCCCCTTGGGTCTCTATCAGGGAAGCGCCAATTCGGTAACTGTTTGCCTGCAAGCGATCAGTCTTCCATTTGGGGAAACTGCCGTAATTGGAAAAGTTTCACTCTTTCTGGCATGCAAAATACATTGCCGTACCACTGACTACTCGACTCGTCCGGTAAAAGAACTACTTCGCTTCAACGGTATAATGATCGGAATTAGTACGGGATAAACCTACAATGCCCCTGCTAGTGCAGTATGAAGTGAATAATCCCAGCTCGGGACGTGTTGCGCTAGAGTTGTACTGTGGGTGGCAGGCCTCGCCGGCCCGTCACGTGGGCTGACGGCCGCCACCACTGGTCTTAGCCAGCCTCCACAGCCCTCTAGCCAGTTAGTTAGTTCTTCCAACCAACAACACCACTTTTCCCATTCTGAGCGTTCTGTGCTGGTTTCGCCCACAGGTTATGAGCCCAGCGTTATTCTTTCGGAATAACGTCGTTTTACCCATTATTCTACTCGTCTGTCAATTTTCTATTGATTCACGAATTTTTGCGATTTTATTCGCTTTATTTACCCTTCTGTGCGATTTTCTCGCTTTCTTTCCTTCCTCTTCGCTGACGAATTTCACTTTCTGACGCGACATTGGCTGCCTGGCGCGCACGAATATCACGTGGCACGCGACCGACCACCACAACCCACTGGTTTTCACGAACACCACGGTCAACAACAGACTTTTCAGTCACAACTACAACTTTTACTTCGATTCCTCGTTTTTCACGAGAATTCAACCATTTCAGCTTCGGTTTTTCGAACCAGCCCATCAGTTTCTCGTATCTTCTACGAGTATTCATTCTTCCCTTCGATTCACCGTATTTCTACGGTCGGATCTCACAATTCCACCCATTTCTCGTGTTCTTACGCAAGATTCTCCCTCCTACACAATCCAACAGCACGCGTAGGTGGCAGCGAAAGTAAGCCATCTAACGTACAGACACGCCTCCAAAGCTGCGGCCTCGGAGAAACGCCTGTGATCGAGGTGCGACTATAAGTCTGTCCCGCACTGTTGTGATACCCTCACTTTCACTTCAAGATGTCTCAAAACGACTTCAAGACCGTCTTCACGCCTCTTCCTCGCCTGAAAGGTGAATCCAACTGGAACACATGGCGCATGCTTGTTACAGCGACCCTGCGAGGATACGACTTCGAGATATTCCTCGAGACTGACGTCCCTCGCCCTGCTGACCCTATCGCTGCAGAGGAATGGAGAAAGAACCGTAACGTCACGAATGGTCTCCTCATGAACGCCAGCGAATCGGTTCTTGACAGACTCTGCACAGCGGGTTGGGTTGACGATGGAAACCCTTACGAATTGTGGCAGGCGCTCGAGAAGCACATTCCGAGAATCTCACAAGACGCCACAGCTGCCCTTGTTGACGAGTTTGCCAAGACCACCGCCAACGATCACAAGACTCTTCACGATGCCCTCAATCGCTGTCACCACCTCAGAAAGCGTATTGAGACCATTCACGGTCGTCTGCCAGACTCCTTCCTCGCTGTTTTCCTCCTTAACTTCTTTAAGGACCGACTTCCCGATACGTACAAGCATTTCACATCGAAGGGCGCCACCCATCCCACGTGGAATGAGGTGGCTGATACGATTTACACGCTTGCCCAAGACGAGGATCAAAAGCGCAGTTATGCCACTATTCGCAACACACCTGGAGGCAAGTCTGCTGGCAGTGGGGGTCCTGCCTCTCCAGCCGTCACCACCACCGTCACCTCCACTGTCACTGCCTCCAAGGAAAAGAAGAAGTGCGACCACTGCAACTGTGATCACGAGACCACAAAGTGCTATGTCGCCCACCCCAATCTCATCCCTCTACACTACGTCAACCGGGATAAGTTGATTGAAAAAGCGAGAAAGCACGTGTGTGGCGATCGCTGCCGCTGGGATCAGCCTACTTCTGTTGATGGCACCCGCCAGACTGTTGTCAGAGCGTCACCTGCCATCTTGGGTCAGTCTGCCCTTGCCTCCATCGCCAGCCCAGCAGTTTTCACTGCTGCCCGCGATGACCTCATCACCCGAGACGATATCGTTCTCGATTCTGGTTGTACTACTTCAACCTTCAACAACTTGCGATATTTCGTCAAGTACGCTGAAAAGAGCGATTTGACACCTTCCACTTCTGCCTCCGGCGCCCCAGTCCGGTCACTTGGCGTGGGCACCGTCTTCTTCCAGACCCAAGACCCCACCAACCCTGACGTTATTCACGATTGGACACTTCACAACGTTGAGTACAACCCTTCCAGCCCAGCCAACTTACTGAGCCCTGGAAAACTTCGTCGTGATCACGTGGAATATGATTGGCAGACCTCAAGCCTCATACACGTGACACAGCGCACTTCCCTTGCCAATGTTCATTGGGTTTCTGACGTCTGCGTCGTTGAGACTCATGATACTGGAAATCACGTGCCTCGAGATATTGCTGTCAGCCTCGCCGCCTTCCGGGCTACCCAGCGACCGTCTCTTGAACTGATGCACCGCCGGCTGGTTCACGCCCACCCATCACGTGTTGTGGAGGCTTGCCGTCGTGTTGGCATTCGGTTCACAACGTCAGAAATTGACGCTTTCTTCTGTGAGTCTTGCCATCTCAGCAAATCCACTGAACGGATTAGTCGAGACCACCCACTTCCACTTACGAGTATTGGCGATGAAATTCACCTTGATCTCGTTGGTGTTCTTCCCCTATCAACAAAAGGGAACCGTCAGGTTCTACACCTCATGGATAAGTATAGTGGTTACCACTGGGTTGTTTTTCTGCCCAACCACAAGTTTGCCACCATCCTGGCAGCTATCAAGAAATGGGATACTGAATTCTACAGTCTCACCGGCCTCAAGCCCAAGGTTTGGGTTTCTGACAATGCTCCCGAGCTAATCAAGGTTTTCAACGACCCCTACTTCGAGGGTACTCGCCACAACACGACTATTGCCCACACGCCTTCCATGAACGGTACTATTGAGCGTGCTGGTCGTACCATCGTCGAAGGCGCCCGGACACAGCTGATTGACATGTCCCTTCCAGAGGAACTGTGGGATTACAGCATCGATTCGGTGACTCAGATTCTCAACCTCTTGCCCACACCCTCCAAGGGTAACTTGAGCCCTCACGAGATCATGGCGAGAGAGCTGAACTTGGCTGCTGAACGTGAGGCCCCCCACATTGAACATCTCCGAACGTTTGGCTGTGCTGCCTACGTACACAAGAAGGGCCCTCGACGCCCTATGCGCTCTGCCAAGATGGAACCACGAGCAATCAAGGGATTCCTCGTCGGTTACGGTTCTCTTCGTGGCCACATTTACTACGTTTACCTGCCTGATCGAAAGGAGGTTATTCGCTGCAGAGATGTTCGATTTCGTGAGGAACCGCACAAGACAGTGTTGCCTCCAACTACTGGCACACCCAACATTGATGAAATTGAACATGATGCTGCGTTTGTCGAACCAGATATCATCATCCAGTACACCATCCGTCAGAAGCCTATTGAAGGTGAAAACCCGTGACTGGTGATCCCAAACCAGATGAGACCATCGTTGAAAAAGCGATGGCACCCACTGATACACATCTCATGTCTCCGCCACCAGAGAACCTGTTGGAGACCACTGCTACACCTCGTGACAGCATTACTAACGAATTGAATGATGACGAATTCGTCGCTTCCGTGGAAACAATGGAAACTGATCACCAGGACCCTGATTCCCTCTCCACGATTGTTGAGGAAGCAACGAGTCAACCGGCAGAGTCCTCTCGACCTCGCCGCGCCTCAGCCCAGCGACCACCTGGTCACTACCGAGCCGCCAGTGGCGTACGCTCCTATGCTAAAAAGACTTTTCTATCTGCTGACATTCCAGCTTCACTAACTTCTCGTCAATTCTCTCTCAGCGTGCTTTCTGCTACTGCCCTTTCGAAAGTCCTACCCGACGGCGTGGTGATCCCGAAGTCCTACCGTGAGGCGCAGAAGAGCCCACAGTGGCCCCAGTGGGAACAAGCCTTCGAACGAGAGATGACTCAATTCACGGAAAAGGGGGTTTACGAAGTCGTTTACCCACCACGTGACGCTAAAGTCCTGCCCGGCAAGTGGGTATGTGACATCAAAACCAACAAAAACAACGAAATCGTGCGCTACAAGGCCCGATATGTGGTTTGTGGAAACCACGAGAAAGGTGACTGGTCATCGCAAGAGGTTTACGCTGCAGTTGCCTCTGCCACCGCAACCCGCCTTTTCTTCGCAGTTGTCGCACTTCTCGATCTTGAATACGAAGTATATGATTTCGACACTGCTTTCCTAGCCGCCTCGATTCCAGAGGGGGTTAAGGTGTACGTCCGGCCCCCCGCTGGCTACGCCACTGCAGACAACAAGGTTTGGCTGCTCCACAAGGCACTCTATGGATTGAGAAAATCACCACTTTGGTGGTTTCGACTTATCAAGGGTGAAATGGAACGAATTGGCTTCACTGCTGTTGATGGGGAGGTTTGTCTCTTCGTCAATCACAAGATTAAAGCGTACGTTCTTATGTACGTCGACGACAACGCCATCGCCGCTCCCAACAAGCAAGTCATGATGGAAGTTCGTCGTCTCCTCGAGAAGGTCTGTTCTCTTAAAGACCTCGGCGAGGCTACCGATTTTCTCGGTTTCCAGATTGAACGCGACAGAGCTGCCGGTAAGATTTTCGTTTCCCAAGCCAAGTACGCAAAAGCAGTGCTTCAACGATTCGACTTTGATGGTTTGAGTGCTGTCAAGACGCCTATGGCGACCACTGACGATCTGCCCGTCACCTGGGACAAGAACGAGTGCTCGCTTGACGAACAACAACTTTACATCGAACAAACCGGCTGCCTTAACTTCCTGGTGGCTGGAACTCGCGTTGACATGGCCTACACCGTCAGTAAATTGTCACAGGCGAATTCAGGGCCTTCTAAGGCCCATCTTCGTGCTATTAAGCACTTATTCCGATACCTCAAGGGCACCGTTTATCTCGGTATTGTACTTGGAGGCATCCCCACGATCAACGAGTTGGGGCTCTACGCTGCTGCAGATGCCTCTTTCGCTGACAACAAGCCATCACGAGTCTCGACAGGTGGTTACGTCGTCTTCCTCGCTGGTGCGCCGATTGCTTGGAAGTCAAAGAAACAGACTTTCGTGACTTTGAGCACCACGGAGGCTGAATTCATCAATCTCACACCTACGGCAATTGCTGTGAAGTGGATCAGACGTTGCCTCTCCCAACTGCTCGGCAAACCCATCACCACGCCTACTATCATGTTCACTGACAGTGCCAACGGCTACGACAACGTCATGAACCCACTCAACGAGGCACGAACCCGCCACATCGACGTCCGATACAAATGGATCATACAGGAGGTTCACACTGCGAAAAGCATCGAACTCCGACTCATCAAGGGCGCTGATATGGCCGCCGATGGACTCACGAAGCCACTGGTTGCGGTCAAACACAAGGAATTCGTTCGTTTGTTGGGCATGGCGGAGGGATTGGATTGAGAGGGGGATTTTGAGACTGTGGGACTATTGATATTGAGACTTCGGGATTCGGAGGATTTCACGGCCTCCTATTGGCCAGGTTTAACCGGTAATTGACCGAGTTTTCTAATAGTTGAGAACTCCTCGGATTTGGAGGATTTGGGACTTTTCCTGTATTTCCTATTATTCTACTGCTTTTTCGCTGAGGAGTCTGAGAGGGGGTGTGGGTGGCAGGCCTCGCCGGCCCGTCACGTGGGCTGACGGCCGCCACCACTGGTCTTAGCCAGCCTCCACAGCCCTCTAGCCAGTTAGTTAGTTCTTCCAACCAACAACACCACTTTTCCCATTCTGAGCGTTCTGTGCTGGTTTCGCCCACATGTACGACTCTCTCTCGGACAACCGAGGAAGCACGACATGATGTTGACGTGCATTCATTTGGCTGCGCAATCCCTACTTGAATTAATAAGCCTTTCAACACTAACCCTACTGGACCACATCTCATTTTTTTTGGCCGAAAGGTCTACACACAGCCGGATAAGTTAAAGTTGGAAGTACGAGAAGCCAATCACAATCACACCAATCAAATGTAAAACCGGAGTCATGGCTATCCTGGCTCAACTGCCAGCCTTTTCTCCCAAGGCCAATCCCGCGTTTGAACCGAGCGCATGCGGGGATATTCCACTCCGCATCAGAAGTATGCAAAGTTAGGATTCACAACTTCTCGAAACCGAGCATCACTGGTATCGAAGTGAAATACTTCGGCCGCGCGCGGGCAACGTTAGTGCAGAAGATGGTGTAGGGGCAAATTACGGCAGCCGATATTCTATTCCAGAGCACAGTACGCAATAAAATCGGATTCCTCAAACTTCAAGTCATTCTTTTGATTCTTGACTCTGTCGCTGGGTGTTAGATGTCATTGATTTTAAGTACAGCAAACGACGTGATAGGCGAAAGTTGCCTTATCACGGGCTATGGTGTACCGTACGCCTTGATGTATTCGAGTTTTTTTACGATCCGTCTTCGTCGCAGAACTGCAATTGCCAGAAGAGGACCGATACCAAAGAAAGAATATGAATCAGACTTTTGCTCAGATGTCCCATGAGAGCTGCGAATTGCGTAATACATGTGATTTCTAATGTGCTAAGGACCAGAATAACCGGCTCTTCGCTTTGTTTCCAACATATCTCCACCCAAGGGGCACCTGGTCATTACGTCAGTAGGTAGTAAAACCGTACCGAGAGGGATGCATGGATTCGACCTTGTCATTGCGCCCAAAACGGCATCAGCCTCCGTCTCTGCACTTTAAGTAGCCCCGGATGCTGTTGCTATAAAACTAGCAACGAAAGTAGGTTTGCTCCAAAGTTGTCCAGCATCTGGAAGGTTTCTGGGCAGGGATACCGTATAGACATCTGATGATTGCTGATGGAGAACAATTTAGGAATCGATCCTTTACTTTCAGGACGGAAAGAGGCAATTGTGTGCTTTTGTAAGGCACCTGCATCCGATTGAAACATGATTGTGGGGAAAATCAGCCTGTCACTCACATTGGACTCAAGTTCAGGCAATTGGCATTGGATACCCTTTCCAAGCAGTGCACCCCAGTTAATACTTCCATGGGCATTTCTTGCCAGAAGAAGGAAAGAAAGAAAAAACCTAAAGGGGGAGAAGAATCAAGATTGATGAGAAATGAACAGAGTTCATTGCCGAAACTAAGAATGGCTTCTGTGACTGATTGGGCTGAGAGGCCTGAATGGGGTAAACTGAAACTTGCATGCATGGTGACAGCTTTCCAGCCCACCATCCTCATCTGAAGAGCAAATGTTGTTCATGTATGGAAGTATTACCACTTGAGATCCCCAGAATTCTAAACTACCTTACTGCATATATATAGATAGGCCAAGCAATTATTCTATACTTCCCGAAGCGGACTAATCCGGCAAACTTTAGATTTCGAAGCTCTAGATTTCGCCGATTGGGCTGCAAAGTCGAATGTTACCTTACGGGCTCGCGATCTGCCATGAAACTCTTTGCATCTTTTGCTACCACTATCAGACCGACCAGTTACTGTTGACTGCTGGCTACTTGTAGTCGCCGTGGTATCTGCCCACATTGTTATGGCCTTTGAGAGTCTCCAAACGTCAGAACCCGCATTTCTAACCAAATGAATGGATCCACTAGCAATAGAATGGTGCAGGGCCGGAGAATATTGTTTGTAATTGGTTTGTGGCTGGGGCTGAACAATATCTTAATTGGCTGTCTTTGTGGTTTTGGTTCTGAGTTTCATCATCAAGAAAACAAGCGCGTATGACGAAACGCAGAAGAGCGCAGTGATGCCAACCTAGATTACATCAGCCAAGGACTTGGTGCAGATCCGAATCAACTTACGCCACGCCAGCCATAGCTGGAGTTGTTAATATTCATGGTTTTCAAGTAGTCCGCGCCTGTAGTGTAAGGGCAATAAGGGCATGATGTGCTATTCGTCGGATCAACCACATAACCCGCTTCTGAAGACAGGAACTCTGCCATATACTCCCCGCAAGTGCTGTTGTTTGGGAGACTAATGTATGTTAGCTCAGCTGACTTGCACTGAACCTCTACTCCCCAAGCAACGGGCTCAAGTAGACCTTGAATCAGGTAAGTAAACGGGTCAAGCCAGTACAGCCAATAGCGCCAGAAAGCCTGAATTTGTGAATAAGGGACAACAACTCCACAGAAGTTGATCAGTCCGGCACCGATAAGGATAGGATTTGCTAGGGCAGCGAAATATGCGTTCGGGCTATATGCAGCAATTGCTTGGCCAAGCGATGTGTAAAGGAATTCATAAACTGCCAGGTTTGTCAGTATCCCGAATCCTTTGGAGAACGAAGGAGACTTACGTATCATTTGGATGTAGACCTGTCCTGACACACTGGCTTCGACCGGAAAGCCTACTGTGAAGTACCAGGTCACAAATGCCAATGTGCCGCATACTATCAACACGGGCGTCTCGGATAATAACTGCGCAGCAACGAATGCAAACCAGTGGTAGGTTTTGGATTTCTTTTCTCGTGTCTCGAAGACGTCGCGATTTCGAATAAACAGTGGTTGCAACTGGTTGATACAACCTGGCGCGACGAAAACGAAGTTGAACACTGCCATAAGGCGAAGTTGCAGATCAAACGTCCCATTGCCCAGCATCCAGAAGGTGAAGCCACCGAATAGCCCGTTGGTTATGTGAAGTCCTATTTTGTTCCACACATAATCAGGGTTACGCCAGAGGGCGATCAGCTGACGGAAAGTAACGAGGTAGACTTGATAATAGAGAGGGGTCGCAAAACCGGTAAGCTGGTTATCGTCGTCCTGTATCACTTCTGTGGAAGTAACAGCAGTCTTTTCCTCACCTTGGGTCGTATTCAGGGTATCTAAATCTGACATAACGATTTCTCTCTCCGGTGAGTCAAGCCACGTCTGAGGCCAGTCAATATCGGTTCCAAATCGGCCCTGAACTACATCGACAATGTGTTCGGCAGGGTTAGCATTTGGCGGGCAGGGAGCTCCATTTCGGGCAAAATAGTCGATGACAGTAGCAGAATTCTTGCCTGTCTGTCCAAAGTATGTTGTCCTTCCCCCACGTGCCAGTAGCAGAAGCACGTCAAAGGCATCGAAAAGGGTAGCAGAGGGCTGGTGTATAGTGCAGATGATTGTCTGACCCGAGGCGGCCAATTTGCGCATAAATCGGCAAATCTCATAGGCAGACTGTCCATCAAGACCTGATGTAGGTTCGTCAAGGAAGAGCAGGGATGGCTTGGCAACGAGCTCCGTGGCGAGTGTCAACCGCTTGCGTTGCTCGATGGAGAGACCAGATCCAGGAGCTACAAAAGCAAAACGAGTCAGCAGTCGACAAACATTCGAAGACATCATTGTGGAAACTTACTACCAACGATAGCATGCTGCAAAGGAGTCAGTTCCAGCAGATCCATAATGCCTTTGACGTAATCTTCCTTCTCTTGGTCCGAAACACTATGACTTTGCCGCAGTCTTGCGGAGAAAATCAGGCTTTCCCACACAGTGGCTGTGGGCTCGTGTACATCATTCTGCTCACAGTAGCCTGTCGTGCGTTGAAAGCTAATGTCTTGAGGCTTTCCGTTGACCATAATGCTGCCTTCGATTCGTCCGCTGTCTTTTCTTTGTGCCAGGACGTCCATTAGTGTCGTCTTTCCAGCACCAGAGCTTCCCATTAATGCGACGAGCTGACCCGGCTTAACATATCCGGAAACACCACGGAGAAGCTGAAGGTCTTGGCCTCCATGGCGTACAAAGTAGCTGATGTCTTTGAAAGTGAAAACGGTCTTCTTGAGACCCATGGATGACAGGTCTGGAGAAGCCGGGGGTGAATCAGCCTTCTCCGCATCAGAAGATCGGGCCAATTCCTTTTGACGGCTTCTGCGATCAAATAGGACCTTCGAACCAGAATCCCCGTGGAGGTTGATTTCGAAGCCAACTGCTGTCATGAAGGCGAAGAAAATCCAGAGGCCTATGAGAATCCCGGCATTACGCCATATATGTGCACGATATACCGAATATTGCGCATTCATATACGTCTCGCCGTTAATTAGGGACGATCCTGACGCTGAGCCTCTAACCGTACAGCTTCGATAGGGGCTTTCGTTGTAGCTGGGTCCAAAAGGGATGTATTGGGGGTCAACGCAATCCAGTGTGAGGTCGCCCATTTCTTTAGCCATGATCGACTCAAAGGTATAGGTCGCTGGATTAAGCCAGCTGATCCACCGGAACCAAACTGGCATGCTCGGCACTGGAATAAGATAGCCTGCTAGAAATTAGTTTCCTTCCTTGAAACAATACTCGGATGAGAACACTTACCTGCATAGACCATGTACACCATAGTCATCCACCCTGTAATTTGGGAAGCTAATCCGAAATGCTTGCACCATGCGCCAATCATACGGAAAAGAGACGCAAAACAAAGTGTGCATAGAATGAGGACAAACCAGTTGGTGAAAAAATGGCCTGCTTCCCTTTGAAAGTTGACGATAAAATAGTAGACGAGTTGAAAGAGCGAAAATTGCAAAAGGGTCAACGGAACATCTGTTGCCGCACACGCAAGTGCATATGCTCCAGGTCTGTTGAATGCAAGCCGTTTTTGTCGGGAAATGATTCGTCGTCCCATAAAAGATGCTGTAGTCTCTGACATTTTGTTCATGGCAAAGAGCTGAATAGGAAAGAAAAGCGCACCGGGTCTAGTGAAAATAGACCTGCTATCGGGGGCGAGGTCATAGAAGAGACTACCTGTCACGAGAGCCATGATGAGTGCCGAGACGATTTGCAATATGTTTGACCAGCGGTCGCCCCAAATGATCTGAAACTGTCTTTATGATAGTTAGCTACTTGGACCCTGTTATGAGAGCAACAGAAGTAATACCTTTTGATGCAAGTACGAACTTGGCTGGTGAATGAGACTTGATAAGGGCTTTTCTGGCGGGAGAGGAAGGCTAGAGAGCGATTTTTTTCTTTTTGCCTGATAGTAAACAAATCTTCAACCTCTTCAGAAAGTGATTTTTCGGGCTTTTCCTCGATTTCTCTTTTCATGCGGTCAAATTCGGGGCTAGCCTTGTATGCGGATTCAAATTCGGCTGCAGTGTTGGGAACCTTGTCTTCGTATCCAGATCGGATTTGACGCTCGGTGTGAACAGATACGGAAGTGAGAAAGTCAGAGATGTTTGCTCCAGGAGTACATTCAAACCCCATATTCTCGAAATACTGCTTGGCCTGCGATGTGGGGCCGTAGTAGATTTCCCTTCCTTCAGCTAGGACAAGGACTTTATCGAAAAGGTCATAAATCCCGTTGCCAGCCTGGTAGAGAGTCGCGATAATGGATTTGTGCTCTTCATCAGCCATTTTGCGGAGCACTCGGACAAAATCCAAAGCATTACTGGCGTCTAGACCTCTTGTAGAGTTATCCCAGCACTGCACGGTTGCCTGTAGCTGATGTTAACTGAAGGTCATTCAAACCTGCTTGAAGATAACCAACCTGCGTGGCCATGACCTCGGCGATGGACACTCTTTTTCTCTCGCCCCCGGAAACTCCACGAATGACCTCATCGCCAACCATAGTATCCTTAGTGTGGCTGATTGCTAAAGATTTTAGGATGGCATCCGTCTTCTGCGACGTCCATTCGTTTGCGCTGACAACATTATCAGGTTTTCGTGCGGGAAGTTTTGTCGAAGTTGCAAAATTAAGCGTCTGTTCGACTTCCAAGGTAGGGAAATGCAGATCATCTGCGATGTAGTTAGAGATTTAGTTCATAATGCTGGTTACAGATGAGGATTCCACACTTACCCTCGGTGTTCATCACAATCTGGTTGCGAAACTGCTGCGCTCCCTTTGGACCGAGGTTGCCATATCTGACATCTCCACTCACGTGATGGAATTCCTCCCGGTGATTAGAAATGACTTTCAAAAGCGAAGTGCAACCGGATCCTGGCCGTCCGAGAACTAGGAGCTAACGTATGTGTAAGTAGGGTTTCGAACGTAAAGACCATGTAGCTTACCATCTCTCCCGGCCTGACCTGTCCAGTGATGTCGTGAAGTATATGCTTAATACAAGAGTCAGTAACTGTGATAGAGTGTAGTATATATTATTTTCATACCCTTTCAGATTTCTTGCCTTTGCCGAAAGGGATCAAGTCGCCAAGCACAGAGAAACATGTTGATCCAAAGTCTTCTCCAAGGCCGTGAACTTGAATGCTCACATCCCGGAACGTCACTGTCAAACCTTTTGTGGGTTCTCCAGTATTACTTGAGCTCTGATCATCTTGAACCGTTCGGTCGCTGTCGTATACCTGCGTCGAAGCCATCATGAACAAGAGACAGGTTGTGGAAAACAAGCGCACATCGTTAACCGTACAACTACAATCGAACTGCCATTGAATCTGAACCATGTGTTTTATCTATATAATCTAGAGATACCCTTGCTGATGAATCAAGATCTGGATCGCCTCCACCAATATTCCACTGTACTTTTTCGAGGCTCATTAATTTGCGATGTTGTCGAGGCCACTGGACCCATTTAGCGCAGGCGGGCACGGAATTACGGCTGATCGGACTTACGGAAATACAACTGGCCGCTGCCCTGACTTCATTGTCACTCTTATTCTTCATCAAACAATCACATTCCACACCGCAGAACTTTCATCGGATTTGGGGAATTAACTTCGCGTCCGTCTTCCCAATCTTAGGCCTCCTCATTTCTCATTGTTTTCTGCCTCTATCGGCTTGGGACGGCGGGGCCCAATCCTTCGGAAACTCGGCATGCGGCCCGCTGTCAAGATTCCTAAGGCCTGCGAGCCGTGCCGCCGCCGCAAGATCAAATGCTCTGGCGACAAACCCTGTCAACAATGCGGAAATAAGCCCTCGGACTGCATGTATCGGCTGAAGCCGCGCGTGCGGCTCTCAGCCAAACGCAGCAGGTCGGTGATTGACGCAGAAGCTGAAGACAACGTGTCGACCCCGGCTGCGGATGGCGCTTCGTGTGATGAGGTGACGTCTCGGAGGTTGGCGGAAGACCACCAACAGCAAGTCGCGCAGACAGAGGTGTATCACAGCGTTGCGGCGGCCCATCATGCTCCGAAATCGACCGACAGCTCTCAGCTTTTCTACGGGCCGTCATCAAACTCTGCTTTTCTGCAACAGGTCCATCGTGGGTTGTTGTCTGGGCAGTACAGGCAGACCCATAACCGAGATGTTCTGGAGGGCGGTCCGGGACTTGATATGTTCATGCAACGGAACATCTTCTTTGGTATACCGCTCAAAGTAAACATTGAACCAGCCCAACCTACCAGCTGTCCAGTTTCTATAGAGCAAGCGAGGGAGTTTGTACATTTCTTCAAAATCACGCATCTTTCGACGCTTCCGTTCTTTTCTGCTTCTGAGATGGATGAAATTCTCCCTATGCTGTTCAATTCCAGTCCTGACACGGCTATTCAGCCGCAACGGAAGACCGTTTTATTTGCGGCTCTTGCATTGGGGGCACTTAGCACGCCACAAACAGACGCTGCAGAATCACTCTTCATTCATGCCAAGAAAGAAGCTGCCATTTACGAGGATGCGGTCACCTTACCAATGATACAATACTCCATGCTTATGGCTCACTACCAGCTCAACATGGGACGGCCCAACTCTGCGTACCTGCACACTGGTGTTGCAAGCAGGAAAGCTCTTGCAATGGGCTTGCACATAGGGACTACCAGTGCAATCTCTCGCAATGACGAAGTGCAAGCGCGTCTGATAACGATATGGTCACTTTACTTCCTAGAGATGTATGCACATCAATCGCTTCCCGTTCGGTACAGACTCAATGCTACAGAAAGGCTAACACATAACGTAGCTGGCTAGGCCTGGTCGTTGGACGACGCAGTATGGTTGGCAAGTCCGATTTCGCTGCTTGTCCGTTTCCTGACAACCAGCCGACGATGGTGGCGCTTTGCCAATTTGCAACTATTGTTGAAGACGCTGTAGAATCTATCTACAACAGGCGGACAGACTCACTTCGGCAACTCTATGGGAAAGCCGAGAAGCTCCATAGCCAAGTCCGCCAATACGGAGACAAATGGGCGCTTGGCTCTGCCATTCCAGCCCAGAAAGAGGCATGGAATGCCGAAACGTCGCTTCTCCTGCACAATGGTAAGGAACAGGACAATGCATATATGCTAGGTGGTTGCAAGTTCTGACCAGTACAAGTTTACTTTCATGTGATACTTCTCATATTTCGCCCCTTCCTCATAGCGGAAGCCGCTCTCCAGTCAGGAAACGGGGCCGCGCGAACAGGGGATATCTGGCTTCGGCAAGCATGCAGACACGCGACAGATGCCGCACAAGACGCCATTGCGTTTACAGCCAGCAAGCTACAGGGCCCTGAAAACTGCAATGTAAGTCCTGGAGCCGGCGTCTTTCTCTTTTTTTTCTCGATGCCACTGCTGATTTTTGACTCTCAGACGCGCCGGTACATTGCATTCTTCATCGAATCATGCTGCGCTGTACTCTTATACGACAGCCTGCGCCATCCGGCAAAGCATCCACATAATTTGGAATACATCCAAATGGCCATCTCCTGTTTGCACTCGTTAGTCGGAGATGATCCGGTAACCAACGCTCTGAGGTCCATCAAGCGGATTGTCTGGGCTGTGGAGAATTCCATTCATGCTTCCAGGACGAACTCTGGGGCAATGCTTGATGCCGGGTCGACGGATTCGTCGCCCTCTTGGTCTGGCGATCGGTTTCCGACGAGTATTCAGTTCCCATCACTGGAAGAAAACCGCGCCACAACATCAGACGACTTGATCTACTTTAGTAACAGGCCATATCGCGAACAGCCCGATCCACCTGCCCCTGACTATACGATGCCTTTGCCTGGGGCAGCGCCGGGGATGAATCCTTTCCCGGACCTCAACTTTGATGTGTTGACTACGGACCTGTTCAACTTTTTCCCAATCGATATGAACTCGACGCCATCGGCACCCGGATGATTTAGAAGGGTTTCATTAGGACGTTATAAACAAAGCAAACTAGCCCATGAGCCAGAAATGGCATGGAGCATTGCCGCCCATTTGCTAAATTCAACATATAAGGACATAGCCTGCGAGTGGGCGGTGAGGAAAAGCGGATTGTGAAGTACAGGCGCTGATTGCCATTACTCACAAGCAAAGAGAGGGACCAGGCGGGAGGGCTGTGGATATTTATTATCCGTCACACCCCTAATGCAACTACAAACAACGCTTATTTCTTGTATTTGCTATTGTAAACTGTAGAGATATGCAGGCCCAGATAGCTAAAGCCCACATTACCTTTGCATGGTCTGATATTCTTCACCATGCCGCTCAGCTGAGATGTCTGATTATCGTTTTGCCACCATCAACTAGCCTACTATTCTTCCGCCGCCAAACATGGTCATTCTACCCGCCCAATTCAAACTCCTTGCAACCTTCCTTCAGGCCAGGCGCAAAGCCACATGTTCCCCATCCCCAAAGGTCAGCATCAACCTCAGTGCTCAACCTTGAGCGAGAAGTCAACGTGCGGCACGCCCTGGTGAATTGCGCTCGTCGAAAGAATATCCACATCTGCGTCTCGTCAGCACATCTCTGGAAACCGCATCCCAGTCACAAAAAAAAAAAAAAGGCAACTTACCATTGCACACGTAATCCTCCACATTAGCCAAGGTCAACCCGCCAGAGACTTCGCAGAGGAAGTACCTCTTGCCAGCCCAGCGTTCCTTCAAACTCCTCGCCGCAACTTTGACGCCCTCGCCGGTGAAGTTGTCAAGCATCACAACATCCGCGCCGGCCTCGATCGCCTCGTCCGCCTCCGCCTCGCTCTGCACCTCGACCTCGACCTTCAAACTAAAGCCGCCGACGCTCTTAGCCGCCTTCACGGCGTTCGTAATGCTGCCCTTGCTCCAGACGTGGTTGTCCTTCAGCATGATCATCGAGCTGAGGTCGTGTCGGTGCGCGTCCGCCCCGCCCACCATCATGCCGTACTTCTCAACCAGTCTGAACCCGGGCGTCGTCTTGCGCGTGCCCGCGAGGACCCCCGTGTACCCCGCCGCGCGGAGGTTGACAAGCATGCCCCTCGTCATGCTCGCGACGCCAGAACACCTGGCCAGCGTGTTCAGCGCGACCCTCTCGCCCAGCAGGAGACCCCGCGTCGGGCCCGAGACCGTCGCCACGCGCATCTTGCCCTTCGGCGCGCCGCCGTGGCCCCGGAGCTCGATGTGGCTGCCCTCCTTGACGTGCCACTCCACAGTGCAGCCGCATTGCGCAAAGATCTCGTCGACGAACGGCCGTCCCGCGACGATGCCGCCTGATTTGCCCCAGAGCGTCGCGGTGCGCGGGTCCGAGCCGACGACGAAGCCGCCGTAGTCGAATGACGGTGTGTCCTCGGCCAGCCACGATGTGACGACGGTCTTCCAGCTGGGGGGGAGGAGGTGCTCGAGGGAGCCGTGGTCGAGGGGAACGTCTTCCATTGCGGGGTAGCGGGGTATGGTGTCGGGTTATCGAGTGTTTGGTTTTCGAGGGTTGAAGGCTGGCGACGAGATATTAGTATTGAGGTAGAAGTGAAGTTCGCTCGATTGGTTGCCTGGGAGGAAGATGAGTTTGAGTGATGGGAGGATGGGCGGCACGATTTGTGTTTCGTTGACGTTGTCGCCGGCTTGGGGTGCTGCCGGTCACTGCCGATGGTGGGGTAGTACTTGACAGCTGGGCGGGGCTTTGACCCAGCTGGTGACAACTGGCATTTTGTCTTACTCTAACCTTGACCTTTGAGAATCAACTCAGGCATGAGGAATAAGGGTGCTATGGGGGGTGAGAAGTTTCATATTATTCACTCTTTACAAATTGGCTGAAAGATTTCAGTCGAACAGTTGTAACCAAAGTAAACTAGAGCATGCCAAAGGACCCTCTCATCTCTACAGGGTGATCGTCAGGTTTTGTAGACAGTGATTTTGCTAAACTAGAAAGTTGATACAACTGTTCACCGCTGTTCAAGTTTCAACTCAGTGAGCCTAATTTCGTCAACATAATTGGCATTCTCTTCAAAGTGGATAGTAGCCCGGAGCACAGGGTTCAATCCCCAATACCTTAGTGACAAGAGCATTTGGCCGCCTTCGTGGGGTGTACAACTGGACTAGAATTTGTATATCAAATCAATATTAACGAGACGCTCCGCAATGTTTCTTGGATATGCTCTCCATCGCCCCCTTCTTCTCAATTGACTCTCAACCCCGTCTCTCTGTATGCGCCCCCGCCACTTTAGCATCAACGTCGGGTCCGGGCCCTTGAAAATGCGTCAAAGCCGCCCCCTGCACTTCCCCATCCCCCGCTACGCTCGCGGCGCCGTTCTTCTCCCGTCCGCAGCATGGTACAAGGACGCTACTCTTGTTCTTCGTCCCAGGCATGTCGAGCGCCGGGTTTGAAGTGAAAAAGTCCGAAGGTCGGATGTTGAGATGGTGGATCTCGACTGGCCTGTCTCATAGTCAGCAAATTCATATCCGCAGCTCGACCCAGGTAACGGCAAGGGAGTACTCACATGACGGGCCAATCCTCCACTCGCGGGTTGTGTGTCAGCCCAAATACGCTCCAAATGACAGGACTGCTCTTTTTCCCTCCTTGGTTGCCCGCGCCATTCTCACCATTGGCTTCCCCGTCAAACCAATCTCCCCGCTGAACCATGTCCCAAACGCCGCCAACCTCCTCCGTGCTCTGGTTCGTGAACTCACCCCCGGCCCAGAACTCATCGTCCCGATAGCCTGTCACCCACACATGATGCCTCGCGAACTTGGCTCTCTTGGAAACTTGGCTCTCTTCATCCGCGAGAATGACCTGCGTAGGCGAGGGTGTAAGTTTGAAACCCACATTGCGGCCCGACATCTCGTTCTTCTTTGTCCTGTTTTGGATCTTGATGACACGATTAAGCTTGGGATCGGCATCGATCCAGCACGCCTTATCAACCGCCCGTTTACGGACCTCGTAAAAGTTGCCGTGTGGGTTCTTTTCCTTGTCCATTCGCACCGGAAGACTCTCCTCCACCACGACACTCGTATCTCCTTCACCGTATGAGTCAATGGCTGGATCGATCCGCACTGCAAATATATGCTGGTGATTTTGCGCTAGCACCCCGGGCGCGACGACAACACCGTACTCGCTCTCCTTCTTCCCCTCGTCAATTGCAACGACACTCATGATACCCGTAGCGCGTGTTTCGATCGTGATACCGCCGGCCGTGTCCAGCTTGTAAGCGAGGACATACTCGTAATTCGCCAACGTGACTACACATTGTATCACCAGCTCTCTTAGTCTTGTGACCACGGCCCGGTTCGTACGGAAATTTGTGTGTTTCCATCCGATACCGTTATCCTGCTCGTGCAAGCACACTACACTCTTCGCGACCGTAGGATTTCCCTCCGAATCAGGCAGGTGGGCGTCGAAGTAGTGAATCGCACCAAGACAGTCACACCCGAGCTCCAAGTTATTCGCAGCCCGTCCGAAACCGCCGTCACCCATATCAAACGCCTGCTTCCGCTGAAACGGTGGGCGAGGGTCCCCGTAAGGAACGGTAAGCTCACTGTAGCTCAACCTGAAAAAGATGGACCTCCCCTCGTAGCAAAGATCGTGCAGGACGGGCCCCTCCCGAGGTGTAAATGTGAGTCTGAAGCGCCATTTCTGCCACTCCACGAGATTATCGCTGTGGATACGGAAGCTGGCGCCCTCGGGCTGTGTAATGTTGATCGGTTTGAGATCCTCTCTCTGCCTTCCGTCTAACAGCTCTGGCACGTACTCAGACGCTGTATGCTCCTTAAACAACGCCCTTGGCTTGGAATCACGGGTCTGCGGGAAGAGGCCGTCGCCCTTGCCCCCTGTAGCCAGACGCTCTACCCGAATAATCTTTTTGGCGGCAAAGTCCATTACCGGAATGATTGGGATCGGATACCCATAGTGGTTCGAATTGGCATTGTTCTTGGACGTATCCCGCGCGAAAACAAGACCATGCATGTAACGTGGGATCTCCCCATCTGTAGATTCCGGGCCGCCGTAAGGCCACGGATCGATGGTGACGGCAAAGTTCTCTGGGAGGGAGAACTCGGACATGGCGTCCTTGAATTCCTGGGACTCCATACAAGCATCTTGGAAGGTGGAGAACTCGTACCTGTAACTGTTAGTCCCGCACTTCGTGTAGGATAGCGGGCGGCTTACGGCGTGTAGCCAGTCTTGTACTGAGGAGGCGTCACTACACGTTCGATTTCGGAACCGGAGTCGAGATCAACCACGGACTGAGTATACTCAGGCAGTTTACTTTTCCCAACAACATCGTACTGGACCCTCGCGCGCCGTGGAGGCCGGGAAGTGCTGTCTGTAACTTGCCCCGCGTGCTCGGCCTGGAGGAAGGGAATCAACTCGGCCTTCTTTGGCTCTTGGAGATAGACAGAGCGAAAATAGAAAGTGACGTCGTTGTTGTACAGTCTGGTCACGATGTCACGTGCCTGCTTGAATTCGCCCTCGGAAAGGGGTGCCAAAGGATGAGGAGGGGCCATTTTTGTCAAGAAATTCACGAGAGCTGCTCACAAAGAGAGCCGATGTGTGTTTAGTTGGGAAGAACGAGATGTTGGAGGCACTTCGTGGCAACTGCCCGCCTTATCTAGCCCTCCACGGGCGGCTAAGTGAGATGCAATGCGGGGGATCTTGCAGTAGTTCAATGATACTAAGGCCATTAAGACGTTTGCAGACCTAGCAATTAGGTGATATGCATCTTGGCATGTGACCATAAACATGCAGCCATCGTTCTCAGTCCAAGACTTATGGCAAATAATTCAGTTGGGGGGCGTCAGTTCAAGTTGAGCTTGACCAGCAAGATGCCGCGGTGGCGGGGTAGTCGTACATGTCAGTACGGAAGTATTCAACCAAGACCTGGAGGAGGGTGGATGGTGGTGGGGAACATGAGCACCAACGGTCCAATGTTTGGCATAGTATCGATCATTTGCCTAGTAGTTTTCTCCAAATTCGTTGGAGATTTCCTCGTCTCCTTGGATTGATCTGCTACTGCATTGGGCAAGTCCATGCGGTGCAGAATGGTTATTGGTTGCGGCCTACATCGGTATCTCGAGAGCTGCACTTAAGGGCTGCATGCTGCAGCTGGGCGTGGGATCGTATGGCGGGTGAAGCTGACTTGACCAGAAGAACGAAATCTCACCAAGCACCAAGTGATGAGAAACGGGAACAGATTTAGACACCCAAAGTTGAGTTGGTCTTTTTTGCTGCGGGTTGACGACGAGCCCATTAGTCCGCTGGAGTTCCTCCACTGGGGTATGGCACTAGAGTCGCGCTTTAACAAGGAATAGAGAGATCTGCAAACAAAAAAAGATTAAAATTAAACTACGTACAGAATGTCCGTTTTTTTTTTTTTTTTAAATTCAGACTCGCTGTAACACTGTCGCAAGCCGCACGGATCCAACCTGCCCTATGCCAGCAGGACTGTCATCGCAAGCCGTGGCACGAGACTGCCGGTTAGTCCGGAGAAGCTACAAGCAACCAACCGCATGGCCACACGATAGGTTAGTCGTCGGTTGCACGCCTCGGTATATGAGATCCAAGGGATTTTCAAACGGCTACCAGGTTAATATGTCGATCGCAGACCAAGTCCCGCGACTGACCCTGAGCAAGGGTTGTCGATCCACAAGGCACCCTGTTACATGCTACGTGTGGTTAGGGCGGCCTTGTTTTTACGAAGGACTCGCCGTATTGATAGCGTTTGGGGGGCTAGAAAGGTTGATATCGCGTGGTTTCGCATTCAAATGTTTGTTTGAGAGAAAGGCCAACTCGCAACAATGGGATTACGAGCTCGAACTTATACCGTCAATCCGCGGACGAAATGACAATCGGCGGAGGTGGAGCTGTGTACCGTCATCCCTTGTATAGCAAACAAACTTCGGCTCGGCACCAGTCACAATAGGCACTATCCAGCTCCTCTAATCAAGGCCCTGATTCCGATCGACCATCACTTTCCGTGGCATGACTCGGTCGACAGAGGCAACCACACAGCCACGTAGCCAGCAACCAAACAGTCAGGCAGTCAAGCAGTCAGAGCTCGCGGCTGGGGCTGAGGCTGAAGCTACACGTATTATGGATGTAACAGAACAGTGATAGTCCAAGGAGGGAAAAGCAATGGCTACTGCAAAAAGCGAATAGGTGCTGTGCGGACGTGTTCGTTTCTCGCAACAACTGACCTCTCCTGGGGTGACCGGTTCGGACCACGCGGATGGTATCAGACTGGAGAAGCGAGAGTTCGGATCATGGTCATCCGCACAGAGGCGAGACCAAAGGATAGACCTGGTGACGGGCGTTTTTGCAGAGGCGCCATGAGGTGCTTGCGTGGCCCCAGGCGGCATCGTAACTCTGTACGGCGATGAGCGTGATGACTTGGTGTCTAGACTTTTTGGAACATCAGATGGAGGTGGAGTGAAGCTCAGCCCCAAACGTAGCTTGACAGGGCTGATGCTGTTAAGAACCCAAGTTTTTTTTTTCCCCCTGTGTCTGTGGGATGGCATACTGTGCGAAATGTTCTGCGTGGGCTGAAGCTGTAAGGGAGCGTCTCATGTCTACAGACTTGGCGAAACGGAGACACATGTTCGGACTGATGGTAAGGTGAGCGTGGCTCAATTAGCTGGGCATTGTCTGTGGTGATGTAATATCATGATGCATGACCAGGAGGCGCCCATGGCTTGATGCTCGTGGAAAGGATGAAGTTGTCTTGTCATAGAAAAAGCACCATCTTGGCGGCGTCGGTGGTCTGCCATGAGCGAAACACGCCACCAGCCAACAAGAAGCGAAGATGAAGATAGTGAGTGATTTAGGTAGTGCTGACGAGGCTGTTGGGTTGGTGCATGGTGTCGGACGGCACGGCAATACAGAGAGAAAAGCGGAGGACGGCAGAAGCCAAGCCGGCGATGGGCACTTTTGAAAGGCGGAGGAAAAATGCCAATTGGCGGCACATGGTGAGGAGGGTGGCTTTCTGATGTCCGGCACGGTGGAGCAGAGAAGTGCGTGGATGCCCCCGGCAAGGACGGTGGCCGAAGACTGCGTTGCGGTGAGGGTACGGAGTACGGATAGACACACTGCTGGAAGAGGAAGACATGGAACGGGACAGCAACGATTTTGGATAGAGGATGAGCAGCACACTGTACCATGTCGGGCGAGTTGCAGATTCGTGCCTATTTTAGAGAGGTTCCCATCCAGGGTGCTCCCTTCTGAAACGTCCCAATCTATCTGATGTCGTGATGGGCTGGGAATCCCCAGGACCAAGTTTTTTTTTTTTTTTTTTTTTTTTTTTTTTTTGCATTTTTTTCCATTGGAGACGCTGGCTAGCTGGGCCGAGCTGCTGCCAACTTCTGGATAGGGCGTACTCAATCATCATTCTTACTCTTCCTTGGGTCCTTCGGATCTTCTCCAGTCTGCACTGACATTTTCTGATGTTCCGGCCGACATCCGTAAGGGACTTATCCACAGGGGAAAGACGGATCCCAATTAGCAGAATCTTGCTGCATCCCCGGTCCTGTCTTTGCCAGTCCTGTGCAGCCCGCCAGAGAGACTTGGAAGCGGAGGTACGTACCTCGCATAGTCAGGGGTAGAAGGAACGGCCAGTGATCGCCTAGTGGCCTTTTGATAAGAGAGAGGGGAAGAGGAAGGCGTGTACGGATACTACGCGTACATCTCTGCAAAACACGTGGAAGGCACGGAAGGTTCAAGCTACAAAGGTACAAAGCTCCCTGCCTCAGACAGACGGAGCTCTCCATGAACTTGCCATTAAATGGCAAGACGAACCAGTCGATCCATCCTAAATGGGCTACCTGACATTACTACTAGTAGTAATTTTTCGTTATTGATGAAAAGTCTGTGTGAAGGAGGAAGCAGCCATCAAATTACTTCATTTAGCAAGTAACGGCTCTTTTTGAGCTTTTTATTTACTGACTAGTAGCCCATAGTAGCCCAACAGAGCCTGGGTAACGATTCGTCAGATTCTCGTCATGTTCTATGCTAGCTGTAGTTGCGCCTGGCTTGCTCCGCCAAAGCCACATTTGGCTACAAGTCCGCCTTCGCGACTCGTCCAATACGGGATGCAGAAGGATCGTACGGGAAGCGAAGGCGTTGCTCATTTTACTTTCTTACTAAGGCCCAGCCAAATGTGCATTTGACAAAAAGCGATACGAGACTCACACGAGACGGCGCTCAATTCGCCTCAACTCAACCGTCCACCTTAGGCGTTTCCCCTGTCTCTCCTCGGCGAGTCTCTCCTGTTCCCTCGCCGTCTCACTCGCGACACAAATCTCACGATGCTTATTCGCCGACTCAATTCGTGTAAATTCGTGTAATAGCATTCGTATATCGTATGGGGCTGAACCAAATATTCGGATTTTTTGTATCCGTCCCATCTCGTCTCCACGCCCTATTCCTGTCCTTCATGCTGTTCGTCGTTTGGTCTCCAGATTACAAGCACAATGTACACTTCTTCCCTGTCCCCCTTCGGTCTGTGCCATCGCTCTTCCCGCTCTGTCTCATCTGTCTGGTGCTGTCTGAATCCCCTGGCAGCAATGCCAAGCAGTTGAGCGCCCCCCTTCACCATCAACACTACGCTCAGCACCTACCAACTAGGGACCCTGAGCCAGTATGTGTGCGCGAACCGGTGCCTCGCTACTGGGCAGCAGGGACGATCGTTTGGCTGTCCGAGACCGCCTCAAGCAGTAGCGCATGCGCGCGCAGGGGATTGCTTAGGCTGTGTTGTCTACGTACCTATTGGAGCCAAGTTTCCTTACCTTATCAATGCCGCAGCATCGGCAGGTGTCGAACAAGTACTACGCCGTAGCTGTGCGGGCGGTATCCACCAGAAGGGGGGGCCCACGCCACGGCGGGGGGAGGAAGGGGCCACAGTATGCCTTGCACGTTCCTTTCTATTGCGAATCGTTCACCTCACTATCGTAATTACTCCGTAGTTGCAATCGCCGCCGTGGCCTCCGCTACCATTACTTTTTTTTTTTTTTTGCCTTTCCTTCTCTTTCCCTTTTCTCTCCTAACCTCCCTGAATTCCCTATTAAAGGCTCGCCCTGTGTCAGTCTGGATCTGTCTCTGGATCTTCTGCCTCTCGGTTTGCCCAATCTTACGCTCTTTCACACGCTCACAGGTCCTTCCCCACGGCAAAAGTACATGAGAATACCACTTTCACGTGTACTCTGGAAACTTACGCAAAGTCGCCTCTTCCGCTACCCCAGTGCCTTAATTGGGACACATCATCCTGTACTAGGCGCGGCACAGCACAGCCATTCATCTCTCTTGTTCTCTTACGCAATTCGGCATCCACCCTAATTGTAGCCTTTCAGCTGCCTTGCGCGTCCCGGGAAAATATAGCAGAAGAAAAAAAAGTTACGCGAAACCCTGAACGAGGCTTCGAATAGTCTTTCCGACCAATTCTCTCAACCTACAGACTCAGTCACAATAACTTTGGCTCGCCTGGGATCCCAACGACGTCTTTCTCTTCGTTTCGCATCTCTTGGCAACGTACATCAATCGTGGGGGAACCCAATCCAGTCATCCTGAATTGACTCTTTTAAAGGTGTGCTCCATTCGTCTGCCCGTTACGTCTCCAGGCCCCACGCCTGTTTATCCGCTACTAGCTCATCCCTTCACCACCCAAACTTTGACAAGCTGCCCTCCCCTATTTCCCCGACCCAGACTTCATTTATCTGCCAGCCCTACCCGCTCGCTCTCTGCTGCGCAACTATCTGCGCCTCAACCTGTTGCCTCTGTGCCCGATTTTCCTAATTACTTCCAAACTGACATGATCTATCTTTGTTTCGCAGGAATAACTTTGTCCTAGTCCAGGCCCTTCAGCTTCCGCGCCTTTGTCCTCTTTATATCCCATAATTCGACGCCTCCAACGTCTTTTTTTTCTTCCCCCTCCTCTCCCAGGAATCACGTCGCACTCGTTTCGACCTCCATTCCAACGTCCTTCTTTATCACCATTTTTACTGTTCGATTACTGTCTTGGCAAGAGAAAGAAACTCCTTACCCAATGACTTTATAGTTGTGATCGACTCATTCAACACTACCAACTCATTCTTTTCTTCAACACATCGCTCGAGATGCTTACTCCCAGAAGAGCCGTTGCGGCAGCCGCCTTCTTCCTAATCGTCTTCTACCTAATTTCCTCCTCCCACGATTCGACGACCGCCGCAAAGGCTCCTGTCGCTGCCTCCAACCATGACACGACAAAATCCCCCAAGAATCCCTCCGATATCACTCCTTCAGGGGACAGCATTGAGCCATCTGCTCCCAAGAAAGTCACAGCTCAGAAGCCCATGATGGACATGTCCAAAATGTCGCTGTACGAAAAGCTTGAATACCAATATCCCTACGATGTTGAAACCCGTTTCCCTGCCTACATCTGGCAGACGTGGAAGTGGACGCCCGCCGAGGAGCAATTCACTTTCCGCGAGCAGGAAGCCTCCTGGACCGAGCAACACCCTGGCTTTGTTCATGAGGTGATTACCGACAAGGTTGCCATTAACCTGCTTCGTCTGCTCTACGCCTCCGTTCCCGAGGTCCTCGCAGCCTACGACGCCCTTCCCCTGCCGGTCCTCAAGGCCGACTTCTTCCGATACCTGATTCTGCTCGCCCGCGGCGGCATCTACTCCGACATTGATACCTATGCCATCCGGTCTGCTCTCGAATGGGTTCCTGAGCGCATCCCGCGAGAGAGCATTGGCCTCGTGATTGGCATCGAGGCCGACCCCGATCGTCCTGATTGGAAGGATTGGTACAGCCGCCGTATTCAGTTTTGCCAGTGGACAATCCAGTCCAAGCCCGGCCACCCTGTCATGCGTGAGATCGTCGTCCGCATCACCGAAGAGACGCTGAAGCGCAAGAAGGAGGGTAAGCTGGACAACATTGTTGACAAGAACGTGGTCGAGTTCACTGGCCCAGCCGTATGGACTGATACCATTTTCGACTATTTCAATGATCCGCGCTTCTTCGACATGAAGAACTCCAAGGGCGCCATCGATTGGAAGAACTTCACTGGCATGGAGACATCCAAGAAGGTTGGCGATGTTGTCGTACTTCCCATCACTAGCTTCAGCCCTGGCGTGCAACAAATGGGCGCCAAGGATTACGATGACCCCATGGCTTTCGTCAAGCACGATTTTGAGGGTGAGTCCCATCTGCGTCGTTTCTTTCTGAACCCGAGCTAACAGCAAGACAGGCACTTGGAAGCCCGAAGAGTTGCGCCACATTGGCGAGCAGAATGAAGAGTCTTGAACGCCAAGTCTCAACGATAGCGACGACACATTTCTCCTTCAGCACATGTTATTTTAATATTTGCATCTTGCGCGGCGTCCTTTTGGGTCACGTCTATAGCCCGGTCAGGTTTCACAAGTTTTTGTTTCATTATTTCGAATTTGCTTTGTTTCGCACCAGTAAGATGAACTACAGACGAACCGCATACCCAGGAATACGGGAAAAGCATGAGCTTTGGCATAGAGGTCCTTTCCAGTCATATGAGACTTCAAGAGGCGGTCCCTCACGGAAAACGTTGGCGGTAGAGCAGATGCAATCAAGTTTGCAGAAGAGGCACAAATTGAGGGAGACCGAGAGAAGTGCGCAGTCATTAGCATTGCGGTACATATACCCAGACAGTCAGTGAATGAAGCAATTGAAAGCCCCAAATCGCACACGATGTAATATCGGTAGTTTGTTAGACATATGGTGCCGATCGCTGAGCCGTTGAGCCGTTGAGAACAAAGACATTCCAAAGAGCTCTTCGTTCAGCTTTGTTCTTGGCAATTTTTGACCATCAGCAATAGTTTTTTGGCATTAGTCCCCTAGCCGAGGCCATCTGTCAAGGACGTCAGGACGTCACCGTGGATCTCTATCTCTTGGGGCGTTGTTCCCTGTTGGCACAGAACCCCGCACAGCTCCCTTCCCCCCTTTTTTCTCCGCATTTTGGGATCTGTCGGCGTCGGGAAGCTTGGGGGGCTGTCCCCTCCCGTGCCAAGACCTCTGTACCCTGGCCAGGGCGACCAGGCGCGGACCGGTCGAAGCTCAAGGTCCGAAGACCAGCCTCCCCTCACCTCTTGTTTTACCTAGGTATTTCGGCGGTTAGTGCTCACCCGCTCTCATTGAGTGAACATTCGGTCATGAATACGTTCATGAGTATCTTCTCTCCCTCTCGGTTCTCTTACAGCTTTCCAGTTTAAACTGCTTCCGCTTCATTATTGCGTCATAGGTTGTCCGACTAGCTCCAACATTGTCCTTCGGTTGAATAGAGCCGAAACTGGGCGAGGGACAACTTTCGCGACGATGTCTCCGCTAAGTGCCTCCCGCCTCGCGGCGTACGCGGGAAGACGTTCGAGGGTCGGTTTTGAGAGGGTATTCGGCGTGGGATGCTCGCGGAGACGATACAGCTCCAGGAGCGCGCTGAGCTTGAGTTTTGGGCCGGAAGAGGTATGTTTTCGTCCTCATGAGTAAGGTCTGGTGAGGCGCCAAGAGGAAGCTTCAACCTTGCATGTCACCGATGGACCTCAATCTACGTCAGAATGGCTAACACGCTGACAATCCACCGCAGCCCCCTCTCCTGCCACATACCATCCCAGAGCACTTCGCATCTATAGTGTCCGCTCACGGCGACCGTCCGGCTGTCATCGCCCGCGCGCCCACCGCCTTGTCCTCTGCCACCCCTCTCTCCACCTCAACCCCGCTGCCCTCGGCAACCACAGCGGAACTCAACTACTACGACCTCGACGTCCTTTCAAACACCCTCGCGCACGGCCTGCGCGAACTCGGCGTGAAGAAAGGCGACCGCCTCGCCGTGTCCCTGGGTAATGGCGCCGAGTTCGCGGCCCTCACTTACGCGGCTTTCAAACTCGGCGCCGTGCTGGTTCCCCTGAACCCGGGGTTCAACGCCAAGCAGGTTGGCGCAGCCTTGCGGCATCTGGGCGTGGAGGTCCTGATCATCGGCAAAGTAACCGACTTGCCGTATAAACCCGGCAGGGGACGCAGCAATCTCGATCTGCTACGCAGCATCGTGCCTGATCTGGAGTCCGTGAGGGCGGGGGGGAATGTCGAGAGCGAGGTTGTGCCGACGTTGAAAAAGATCGTCGTAGTCGACAACCTCGCGTACCACCCTCTGGTCGAGTTCCCCAAGTTCAAGGCGCTGACGCCGTACGACGTGCTACTCCGCGGTCAGAGGGGCCATGTAGTTCCCGACGCCCCGCTGAGCCCGGACGACACGGTAAATATCCAGTTCACGTCCGGCACGACGTCGCAGGCGAAGGCGGCCATGCTGACGCACACTTCCATCCTCAACAACGGGTACCTCATCGCGAAGCGCATGGGTCTGGTGCCCGGGGACAGAATCGTCGTCCCGCCGCCGCTGTTCCACTGTTTCGGTTGCGTGTTGGGGTACATGGCGACGGCGACGACGGGTGCGGGGATTCTCTTCCCGTCGCCTGCGTTCGACCCCATTGCGACGTTGAAGATGGTGGCCGAGTACGATGCCACGGGGTTGTATGGCGTGTCGACCATGTTCGTCGCCGTGCTCGAGGCGCTGGCGTCCGGGAACGTCGTGAAGATGGAGGATATGCCGCGGAACCTGAGGAAGGGTATCGCGGCGGGTAGCTCGGTACCGGAGAGTCTGATGAGGAGGTTGTATGAGACTTTGGGGCTACAGGAGCTGGTTATCTGCTACGGGATGACCGAGACAAGTCCCGTGAGCTGCATGACGGCTCCCGCAGACCCGTTTGAGAAGCGTACGGGGAGCGTGGGGAAGGTGATGCCGCACACCGCTGTCAAAATAGTCGACCCGTTAGACCCGTCTAGGATCGTGCCGAGGGGGGAGAGGGGTGAACTTGCTGCGTCGGGGTATCTCGTTATGAAGGGATACTGGGGAGACGAGGCGAAGACGAACGAGGTGAGGGTCAAGGACGGCGAGGGACGGGTGTGGATGCACTCGGGCGACGAGGCGGTCATGGACGAAGAAGGGTACGTGGAGATCACGGGGCGGATCAAGGATCTGATCATCCGCGGCGGCGAGAACATCCATCCGCTGGAGGTCGAGAATTGTCTGTTCCAGCTGGACGGTGTCAAGGAGGTTGCTGTTGTCGGAGTGCCGGATGAGAGGCTCGGGGAGAGCGTTGGAGCGTTCATTGTCGCGAAGAAAGGGTGGAAGGGCGGGGAGACGGAGGGGCAGAATGTGTTGACGAAGGATGCGATCAGGGAATGGGTCAGGGAGCATCTGTCGAGTCACCTTGTGCCGAAGCACGTGTTCTGGGTTGACGACTACCCCAAGACGCCCAGTGGGAAGATCCAGAAGTTCAAGTTGAGGGACATGGCTAAGGATCTTATCGCGGCCGAGAAGAGCTAGATGGTAGGAGACCTTTGGCTGTTTGTGTTTGTACTTATTTTTACGGAGCATGGCTTAGCATTTTTCTAGAGGAGCGTATTATCCAACTGACATTTCTTTATTTACGGTCTAACGACTATCTCGGCTTTGATGCTGATTGGGACTAAGCGTGATGTATCGAAGGAGTACTTGAACTATGCTTAAGAAGCGATGTTGACATTAGTATTACTTCAGAGTGCTTGAAAATTTTGGACCTGCAGAGCCAAGCGTAGCCAATACGCCTGTTTACGCCTGTTTTCTGCGTCCTTCCGTTGAAGGTCAAAGTTGGAGGAGCCCTTGCACGCTCTGAAAATTGCAATGGGTAACCAATGTTCTACCCAACATCTCACAGAGTTATAATCCTCTAATATTACCAATAATAAGTCCCATCCTGTCGTAAGAGAACAAAAAGACACTCTTCACCTGGACGGCAAAAACCTACTTTGAGGCTGATGACAGTATGCGACCGAAAAATTCAAATAACGATAATGCGGCAGTTCACACGGGCTTTGAAACAGATGGAATTCGTTATTGGTGACAACCCCCGTCAAAGGCTTCTAGTTCAGATCCCGACGGCTCCGGGCGGCCCGGCACCAAGCAAGCCCTGTCGAATCCACATCACGGGAACTAACGCTTACTCACCACATATCCCGTCTACCGGATCCCGAAAAAATGGAGCCCCCGGTGACCAATACCGTGTTCTTGATTTCGGCCTCTGCACCATCAGGCCATTTTGTTTTTCCCTGGTGCAGGCCTGCCAGCGAGTACATCATCGCGGAGGACTCCACGGAGGGCTCTCCACCAGTCAATTCGGACATCGCCGGCGCCAAAAGCCGGACGGCGTCAATTGGAACCTCTGGGGTTTGATTGCTGCAGGCCTCACGTCATTTGTAAATGCAATTTTCGCAACGTGGATATAAAATATCAATACATGAGTTTGGTCGAGTAAATTGTTTGGATCCTATTTCCAACATCACAAAACCATCATCATTTCACAATCAATAAACACGACCATCACAAACATCATGAGTTTTCAAGCCGCCAGACTCGTTAGACAGCTGCCACGCAGGCCGATGCCAGCGTTCCAAACCCGCTCCATGAGCATGAATTCGTTCGTCGCCCCCAAGAACGGCCAGTCTCAACCGGGAGATTGGCCGGGCATGGGCAAAAAAGCCGTTAGGCGGGTTGCCGAGTAAGTTGGGAATTCACCTACAATTTATGCTCATACCACTAATGATGCATAGATACGTCGGGTTCGCCTCGGCCGTATTGTTTTGGCCGTATCCTGTGTACAGAATCTCTGAGGCGATTTGGGGTAGCTGAGAACGTGAAGACGGTTCCAAAAATCTGCATCTTTTCTTTAGTCGTGTCGCTTGTATACTAGATGTGGACTCAAAAGCGGGAGTCTACGACGTGCTTTAGCATACCTCGGGAGTTATGGACTAGTAATATATTCGAGATCTGAAACAAAGCCGGAAGTCAGGTCATGAGTATAGCCTCATCACAGAATGTTTGAGGCTGTTACAACCTTTGCAGCCTTTCGCCATTGACCCTTCTTGTTGGATGCCTTCTTCAGAATGGAGAAGGAGCAGCTCTTTCCAAGCCCAACTACAGGCCGAAAGACTAAATGAAAAGATTGAGGGTTTCTTTTCGTCGGGTCTGGAGATACTTGGCCATGGACGCCTGTAAATTGCGAATGCCGCAATGCAGAGGGTTCGCCGGGTTAGTAACATGTTCAAATCCCGAGCTTTTTTCGGTTGTCGATGGTTTCGACGAATTAGTAAACAACACACTTTTAGCCGGCCAGCAATGGCATGCTGACCTCTTGGCCGCTGACATGTGCAGAGCATAAGAGCAATCAAAAATTGTTGGTCAATACTAGTTCATCCAGGTCAAGGTGTATCTAGTGCATGACTTCCAAAATAGCCGCCCACAAAGTAACTAACGTCGCACACCCACTTCTCGCACACCCCCACATTTCGCACACCCATAAATTGGGTCATCATGAGGTATTCATCAACTTCATAACTATAAGTCTGATTCGTCTCCTGCAACTGTGATACTATCGCCAGTTTTAATAGGTAATTCAGGCTCGCTAGATTCATCTGAGCTATCCTCAATTTCGCCAGCCTCAATTTGGGCTTTGTGAATTGCCTCAATGTTGGCAAACTTCGAATTTGGGCTCATTTGGACCTTACGCCGCTTCCGTACCATTCCAGCCTCAACTTCTGCTTCCAACATTGCAATCTTCTTCTCTGCTGTAGCCAATTGATAGTCCTTTTCATCAAATCCCTTTTGAACCTTCCGAAACAACAGTCGCTGGGTTTGCTGATCTTTATCCAACTTGCTGAATAAGCTAAGTTGATCATATAGATCAACTGTCTTCTTGGGCGTTGACCAGGCTACTATGGATGTAGCAGATGCCCAGTTTTCGTCTTTTCCACCATCAGAGGCCCTCATAGGCGTAGAATAGCCTGGCTTTGAGGGCTTGGAAGCATTCTCAAGCAGTAGAGGGCTCATGAGCGGTCGAGCTATCGAAATGGGCCATAGTCCTGTTGCTTTCCAGCCGCTTCTGATATTCTTGCTTGAAAATGCCATCTGGCGTGCTTTTCCATAGCAGGTAAGAAAGTTCCGTTTGCCTACAACTGTAGAATCGTTGTGTTGAATGAGGTATCCAAGCTCTTTTCGATAGGTCGCCTTGAGAGGCCCAAAGACTGCTTGGTCTAGAGGTTGGAGAACGTGGGATGTATGTGGCGGTAGGAAAAGGAGATATATCTTGTGTTTATAACAGAGATACATAAATTCTGTTGTTTCATGACTGCCATGACCGTCTAGGATCAATAGTCTCTGCTCAGAGGGATGATCAGGCTTAGTCAGAGGGATAAAGATGTTCTCAAGCCATTCCACAGCTGTAGAGTCTGAAGTCCAGCCATTCTCAGTTGCTGTGAACTTCCAACCACTGTAAATATCACGTTTATGGATATCAAGAGGAAACCATTGTTGTTGAACCGATTTCCCTCGATAAATAACAAGTGGAGGAAGCGCCTGACCAGTTGCAGAGACACACTCAAGCATAGTTGTCCAAGCCCGAGACCCAGGCTGTTTTTTTCGCATTGATGAGCTTTCTGATGATCCCAGTACTAAGCCATTTGATCCTCTGCCTTCTAGGATACCAGTTTCATCCATGTTATAGCGATGATGTGGTTTGATCGCCTTGATCTCTGGAAGGGCGAGTTGTTGAAACCATTGCCTGATTACATTAGTTGAGGCCCCATTGACACGCTTAGAATCGATGGCTCTAGCTCTATGAACCTTGATTGATGGATTTCTCTTAATAAAGAACTGAATCCAGTTTCTCCCAAGTGGCTGGGTAGTGCCTCTGATGTCTAGGATTCGCTGGGCAAATTCCTTGAGTTGTTGATGTGTTGGCGGCAGCCCTAACGCCGCCTGGATACGCACCCATTCAGCTAAGTGACTTTCCTGTGCTGGAGATAGCTTCTGGAAGCTAGAGAAAGCTACATTTCTTGCCTGTGAACCCTTTAATCGAGACTGGAGGGTTGATGGTGGAATTCCAGCATCATGAGCTGCCTTTCGGACACTCTGCCCACTTGCAACTGCATTGAGAGCTTGATTGACTTCTGTTTCCGTATACTGGCCCATTAAGCGTATAAGAGTAACTATTCAAAGAATTATAATAATCGCTGTAAAAGTGGTGAAGATATTAAAGAATGTTGAAGAGGGTAAAATTCTACATGAGCGATTTATGGGTGTGCGAAATGTGGGGGTGTGCGAGAAGTGGGTGTGCGACGTTAACACAACCCTCAACTTTTACTCTTGTCTGATTTACCATACAAACCATCTAAATCGCAAGAACAATTGTATGGCGCACAAAGCTACAAACGATCCCAGAAGAGCGTCCACCACTTGGTCCCGACGCTTCCACTCCGCCTCAGCCTTGACATCTGTTTTGTTCCAGCTCACCCCTTTCGCCGCATGGTACTCATCTGAGAATGTCGGGTGAACGGGGTCTGGGAGCGCGTCTTTCAGATCCAGGAAAATTTTGAACGCGAACTTTATGGACGCCTCTGCGAGAGCGTTTGGGTGTCCAATCCGATTGTGCTCGCGTATCGCAGCTGGTATCACGGTCAAAACGATTTGACGGCCGAGCCACTGTAGACGTCTGCTCCCCGTGCGTCAGCCATAGGTCCATCAGGCTTGCGTGCTACTCACCTCGGAAACCAAAGCACGCTAAACTGCCTTGTAAACGCCTCCGATATTTCATGCGCCTTTCTCCGGTCCTCCTCGTTCGTATACCTCTCCATCGGTATCCTCTGAAACCAGAGGTAGAACCCCTCAAGCTCTTCCCAGTTCCTTGGAAAATTAATTCCGAAACTCCTTGAGCCGTCCAACGGCTCTGTCCTCAACTGAGCACATACCCGCTCCCCCCACTCTGGCCACGCCTTCTGAACATTCGCATGCGGCTCCGTCCTTCTCGCCCCGACCAGCTTCCTGAGATACGTCTCAAAGTATGCGGCACCGATGATGGCCATCTCTGCTTCCCAGGGGTGGCTGTATGCTCCTGGGACCTGTTTCCAGACGCTCGCGTGGATCTTGTTGACGCTTGCGAGGCGTTTTTGGGTGATGTCGGATCCGCTCCCGTACCACATCCAGTCGAGGAAATAGTCTCGTGTCTCGAAAAATCGCTGGTGACCACGCCGGTACACTTTCGTGGTTTGGTGGACTGCTGCGGCGCCCGCGGGAGTTTGGACAAGGTGGATGAAGGTTGACGCATAGCCAGCGCCGAATGCGAAAGAGTTCGCCATGAAGAAGGTTGCCGTCTTGATAATCTGGTCATACTCTGTCTCTGGGTCGAGCTGGAGAAGTAACTCTTGTGAGACTGACGAAATCAGAACTCTGTGTAGGCAGGCCAACCCCTTACCTCGTCAAGATACTTGTAGATCCATTTTCCTCGCCTTTCTGCTTCAGGAGGCCATTCTGGAAGGGGTCTTTTAGACCTGGCCGGCGGTCTGGGCTGTCGTGGGTTCTCCTCAAACTGATCTACGCTGTCGGTGCCTGGAGGTAAGTTGTCGGTTATGTCAATCTTGTAGTATTGCGGGCCTCTTTCAAGTATGTTCGGCATAATATCTCAGAAGACTGTTTACGAAATAGATTGCTTCGGGAGTAGGGGTGATGCACTTGAACGCTGGATGTAAACCTACGTGGATGTCGAATGGGCTCTTATACCTGACACGTGTTTCTACATTGTCATTCCGATAATTAGAGTCTTGAATAGTTAATGTTGAAGCTTGGGCCCCGAAATGTACATCGAATCATGAACATAACAACCGCGGCCTGGGGCTCGCCATCTACTGTTTCTAGGCGGCAACTATTTCGGCATTTGTGTAGGCAGGTTCTCCAAACTGTCGTCAGGGACTGCCCTGGGTAGTTTGGCGGACATGCTGGCTATCAAATGATCAATCACCAAAAAAGGTAATAATTTGCTGGAGGTAAGAAAGTCCCGAGCTCTCAAAGTTTCAGCGGCAAGTCAGGACCACGCATCAGTTCGGACCGAAAACCATCTTCGGAGCTCAGCAAATTAGCATGTGACCATTCTATACGCAACGATAGAGCTGAGCAAAACGTCGCTGGCTTCAATCTAGTCGGAGCGGATGATTTCATAGAGCTCGTAAAACCGAGTAAACTATTTGTCACGCTTCAGCTTGCAGCAAAGCAAAACAGAATAATATGTGAGAAATGGCTTCAAATTATCGTAGTTTATGCCTTTAATTGGTTAGTATATCACTCTACTGCAGTTTATCCAAACACTATAAATACAGTAAAGGTCCTTTACCTAGGCTCGATTAACCCCCGAGTCATAAATGTAATATCACTAACTATGGAGGCAAGAATACTAGCTAAGCGATAAGTCTGCTGCAGCTAGCTACATGCCGTGATATTAGGGCAAGGGCATACTAACGAGAAGTAGATTCATTCAATGGGAGGCACTATCACGATCCATGAATGCAACTCTCCAACCCAATTAAGAAGAAGTCTACACTTCGAGTCTTCTACACCACATTAGGGAAGACTTGCGTCCGCTGTATTCATCTTCTCAGCCATCTTTAATGGTCTTATGCGTTACCAAACGAAGCAGTCTATGCTTATCTAAAAGGCCCTATGAGGCTTCTTTACAGGCAAGTTTTGTGCTGAAGAAGTCTCATCTGACTAAATTCGTCGCTGCTCTGGTTCAATCAATAGCTTGTCCCGGATAAGAAAAATAGCGCACGCCTATCACCTACCCGTCTCGTGAGTTCTGTCAAGACAGGTTCAAGTAGCCTGGCATATTACGTGCATATCTCTATCTTTTCACACAACCTTATTGTGGTCAACTCTTATATTAATCATGCTACCACTAACTTAGACTGCACACAGTGAGCCAGCACCATGTCCATCAGGGCCATCTCTACCTCACTTCCCCGATAATCCTTTAGCATAAAGATACTGGAGAGAAAGAGTATTGATGAAATCATGCGATAAGTAAAACGCCTAAGCAGATAGGATGAAGTTTCACAAGGCGTAGGATAAGGAAAATCAAGAATAGAAACTATCAACACCTTTACAGTCAAGCACAGCCACTGTTCAGGCATTTCTTCGGGGACTCAAACCGGATGTAAAATTCATCCACGGTAGAAGCCTGGGCGGAAAGCACACACGAACCAAGAAGATTACCTAGTGTTCTCATGCTGAAGCCAATGGCTGACTTATATCGATCATTTTATCTACTAGAAACTATACACATGCTGATAATCTGCAATAACAGTTTGGCTTTGCTCCATTTATCAGCCGCTGGTTGTAGTCAAGGCCCTCGGATAGTCATAAGACAATAATTTAGAGTGAAGTTACGCAACCTAAATAGTTTTGCTCCCAAACGACTTAATTATGTCGGCCGCATGCTCGGCAACAGCGTAAACTGTGGCCTGCGTATGAGCTGCTGGCAAGATAGGCATGATGCTCCCATCAACAACCCAGAGCCCCTCCACACCATAGACTCGCAACTTGTTGTCGACGACACCGCCCCATTCCCGAGGCATCATAGCTGCACTTCCCACAGGGTGATCAAAACTCGGCGACAACCATGACTGGCGCATGATAGTCTCAATCTCAGCATCACTGGTAGCACCGGGACCTGGCGACAACTCAACAGGGGCAAGAGAGGCAACACTAGGACGTGACATGAATTCTCGGGCTTTTGCCACGGAACGAACGAGAATGAGACTATCGATCGGATTAGAGATGGTGTTAAAGTCGACCAGAGGTGCAATTGAGGGATCCGGATTTGTAGTGTTGATGACGATGGTGCCTCTGGAAAGCGGCTTTTGAAGGGCTACTGGGATACTCTCGGCGCCGCCAAAAGTTATCTCCACCACACCGGCCTTGGGATTCAGAAACTGCTGTTTCAAGACATCCCGTTGTTTCTTGAACCCGTTGATCAATTCTTGGTTTTCAGCGTAGATTTGAGGGAGGTATTGCAATGGCTCTTGTGCACTGAGCGCTTCGGCAATCTTTTGGTAGTTTCTTGGGTCAAGATCTTGCAAAGACGTGAAAACAACCTTGTTTCCCCACGAATGTGTGTGTGGTCCGGTCCTGTTGGCTTGGTACTCAGCCCATGACTGGTTGTAGAAGGTTTCGTTTTTCATCAACGTAGGGTTCATTGAAGTGTCATTGGTAACTAGCCATAAACTTTCAGAAGAACATTCAAATTCAGGGAGATGTAGAAGTAACTTACAGTCATACACCATGAAAATGGCAGGGTGATCCTGAAAATTAGCACCAACTCCCGGAGAATCAACGACGACTTTTATGCCAAGGCCCTTTAGAAGCTTTGAAGGGCCAATACCAGACAATTGGAGAATGCGCGGCGTGTTAACAGCGCCGGCGGCTAGAACCACGTTTTTTGATCTCACAAATCGTGTCCTAGATCCGTCACGGCTCGCAACATCGATACCAGCAGTTGAGCGTCCCTCAAAACTGATCGCAGCACCGTAATGTCGCACAAGCAAGTGGAGATTCTTACGGTCGCTGGCTGGGTTGAAATATGCTGTTTCGGCTGTTGAACGTGTTGCATCCTTGCCACCAGAATTCTGAGGTAGCCACGCAATACCCACGTTGTCGCCGTCAGCCCCGTCCTTCAACTTCGGAAACTTGATATCTTCGGCCCAAGCCCGAGCTTGAAGGTCTGCAGGGTCAACCAGTCAATATCAAGCCATCATTGATGGCGAACTACACAGGCTGTGGCTTACCTGCCTCTGGCCACTGCCAAGATGGGAAGCCGACCTTCACTGGGCCATTCCCATACGCATCCTGACTCCATTGGTAACCGTACTTGTCAACATACTCTTTAGAAGGTGGCGCAAAGGTGGAGGACTTGCAAAAGTACTTCAGCATTGTATCCCAGCCCCAGCCGGGATTGCCGAGTGCCTCCCAGGAGTCGTAATCGGCGATTGAACCCCGATCCCACGCCATGCCGTTGACACTTGATGATCCGCCGACTGTAGCGCCGATACGTAGTCGCGAGGTCCGGTTGCCCAAATGAGCTTGCGGTACGGAAGTGACATTATAAAGACGGACCGACTGGTCGTAAGTGGTGAAAAAGGGTACCGTCACATTGATGCTATTCGGAAAGTCGCCATACTCAATGACAAGAACAGTGGCTTTATAAATGTCAGTGACAATTCTGGCTATTTCGTCTTGATTTTGACCAAAATAATTCCACTCCATCAAAACCAGCCAGCAATATCATCAAAGAAATTCTTCTTACTATCGGGGTTTTCGCTCAGTCTGTTGGCCACGACGAGCCCACTTGTCCCTCCGCCAACGATGATGTAGTCATACTCCTCCGCGACGGCGTCTAAGTCTCTCTTAGCTGAGGTAGTGGCCGAAACCAGAACTGCGCCAGTAACGAGAGCCAGCGATAACTTTGCAATCATCGCAATGCTTTCAAAATAGATTGGACCTCAGTAGACTGCCAATCTTCCTTCGAGCTTTGAAGAAAGTATGTTTTGGATGTGTGATGGTTGTCGTCACTCGTCACATTTTATGTTTGCCGGAATTGCGCAAACCCCGCACTGCCTGCAGATAGCAGGGGGAAGACGGATAGAATTCACAATGGTGTATCATTCACCCATTCTTCGCTTATCCGTCTGCTCATATTTTAAAATAACTATATATATATGCAGGAAATGCATGTAACCTCGGCTATTACATAACCCAACAATGAACTGGAATGGGTTCAGATTAGGTGTTATTGCTAAGGTTCACCTATGTCCCGAAGCAGCGACGCCGGGTAGCCGCAACAAGTGCCAGATATCAGTGAGCCAAGCCTATTTACTAACCAAAGGTTGATCTTAGAAGGTGTTTGCCTTCTATGGCGAACTATAGGAAGAATTGACCTATCAATTCACATCTGTCGCACATGACAGACGTGGAGTTTTGTCTTCTTGACTTGAAAGAGACATCATACTTGAAAGTCGCTGTCGTAAAATCACACTAAACGTCTGGTTATGGAGTCCTATAACTACGGGAGTCCTATGTTCCAGCCTATTTCGATTGCACAACTTGAATTCCGAACTTCGTGTGTTGTGTTTCTGGTCTCATCCTATACCTTGACCTTTGGCGAGTCACTTGTGCAGCATGCTGTAGCTTGGTAACTTGTTAATGAGAACTGCCAAATCAACCAAGTTGGAGACCACCAGGCTTATCAAGTTGTTGGTAAATTGTTTGAGATAACAGAATTTCACTGAATGTTTTTTCTACTGGGCGATACCTTCCTAACTGCAACAAGAAACCATGTCAAAAATATTGGACAAGTTAAGCTGATATTCGTATTAGATTCAAAGTAAGGTTGAATTGAAGTGATACTACTTGCCCGCTAGTCAGCTCTCAATCAAGGGCATACGGAAAAAAAACAACACTTTCGATAAAAGAGGCCATTCCCTAAGGTTGAGCTCTTAATTTAAGCTTGCGATGTTCTAAACCTTAATGGCTTTGTTGTTGAATTAGACAGAACGGCAAAGTTAATGAACAGCAAGTGGGGGTTAGAAATTGGAGCCAAACCTGAAAAGGAGTGCTAGAACGCGACAATGATATTTTGGGCTTTTCCTCATTCGCAAAAATTTGGCTAGTGAAAGGTTTTCCTGTAGTCTAAATCACCATACCTCATGCCAGATATGGTGCACGGCAGAACGTGTAAGCCTCTCAAGTGAAATGGCTACCAACCGAAAAGTCGTTTTGTATGACAAGTCCCTGGGGTTTCAATCGCAGTGTTCATTGATTTGATATAAAAATCACGTAGAGGGTTGAGACGACCATTGGCGTAGCCAACATTAATGACCATTTGCATAAGATTACAGCAGCAAAGCTGATAGGCTGCTTAAATTCAGGATAGGATTAGCTGTAAATAAATAAAATATATCGGTCCAAAAAGGAACTCAAGCAGACTCAGAGAGGGATGGTAAAGATGATTGGGCGGCTTACGAGGTTAGTATAAAGATGACCGACGAAGGCAGAGTGACGTAGTTTACACCGTTTTCGACCAGAATGATGTTGACATGAGTTTCATATAGCTAAATTCATGATGGTTGACCCCATTTGTACATCTCCTAAAGAATAACTTTGATATAACGTCGCACACCCACTTCTCGCACACCCCCACATTTCGCACACCCATAAATCGCTCATGTAGAATTTTACCCTCTTCAACATTCTTTAATATCTTCACCACTTTTACAGCGATTATTATAATTCTTTGAATAGTTACTCTTATACGCTTAATGGGCCAGTATACGGAAACAGAAGTCAATCAAGCTCTCAATGCAGTTGCAAGTGGGCAGAGTGTCCGAAAGGCAGCTCATGATGCTGGAATTCCACCATCAACCCTCCAGTCTCGATTAAAGGGTTCACAGGCAAGAAATGTAGCTTTCTCTAGCTTCCAGAAGCTATCTCCAGCACAGGAAAGTCACTTAGCTGAATGGGTGCGTATCCAGGCGGCGTTAGGGCTGCCGCCAACACATCAACAACTCAAGGAATTTGCCCAGCGAATCCTAGACATCAGAGGCACTACCCAGCCACTTGGGAGAAACTGGATTCAGTTCTTTATTAAGAGAAATCCATCAATCAAGGTTCATAGAGCTAGAGCCATCGATTCTAAGCGTGTCAATGGGGCCTCAACTAATGTAATCAGGCAATGGTTTCAACAACTCGCCCTTCCAGAGATCAAGGCGATCAAACCACATCATCGCTATAACATGGATGAAACTGGTATCCTAGAAGGCAGAGGATCAAATGGCTTAGTACTGGGATCATCAGAAAGCTCATCAATGCGAAAAAAACAGCCTGGGTCTCGGGCTTGGACAACTATGCTTGAGTGTGTCTCTGCAACTGGTCAGGCGCTTCCTCCACTTGTTATTTATCGAGGGAAATCGGTTCAACAACAATGGTTTCCTCTTGATATCCATAAACGTGATATTTACAGTGGTTGGAAGTTCACAGCAACTGAGAATGGCTGGACTTCAGACTCTACAGCTGTGGAATGGCTTGAGAACATCTTTATCCCTCTGACTAAGCCTGATCATCCCTCTGAGCAGAGACTATTGATCCTAGACGGTCATGGCAGTCATGAAACAACAGAATTTATGTATCTCTGTTATAAACACAAGATATATCTCCTTTTCCTACCGCCACATACATCCCACGTTCTCCAACCTCTAGACCAAGCAGTCTTTGGGCCTCTCAAGGCGACCTATCGAAAAGAGCTTGGATACCTCATTCAACACAACGATTCTACAGTTGTAGGCAAACGGAACTTTCTTACCTGCTATGGAAAAGCACGCCAGATGGCATTTTCAAGCAAGAATATCAGAAGCGGCTGGAAAGCAACAGGACTATGGCCCATTTCGATAGCTCGACCGCTCATGAGCCCTCTACTGCTTGAGAATGCTTCCAAGCCCTCAAAGCCAGGCTATTCTACGCCTATGAGGGCCTCTGATGGTGGAAAAGACGAAAACTGGGCATCTGCTACATCCATAGTAGCCTGGTCAACGCCCAAGAAGACAGTTGATCTATATGATCAACTTAGCTTATTCAGCAAGTTGGATAAAGATCAGCAAACCCAGCGACTGTTGTTTCGGAAGGTTCAAAAGGGATTTGATGAAAAGGACTATCAATTGGCTACAGCAGAGAAGAAGATTGCAATGTTGGAAGCAGAAGTTGAGGCTGGAATGGTACGGAAGCGGCGTAAGGTCCAAATGAGCCCAAATTCGAAGTTTGCCAACATTGAGGCAATTCACAAAGCCCAAATTGAGGCTGGCGAAATTGAGGATAGCTCAGATGAATCTAGCGAGCCTGAATTACCTATTAAAACTGGCGATAGTATCACAGTTGCAGGAGACGAATCAGACTTATAGTTATGAAGTTGATGAATACCTCATGATGACCCAATTTATGGGTGTGCGAAATGTGGGGGTGTGCGAGAAGTGGGTGTGCGACGTTATGTGCGTAGAATCCTACGTGCGCAACGTAGGCCTCCTTCTCAATATGTGACATGTGAATGATGTAATTATAACCAGCAGTAATAAATAGCTTTCATCCTCGCAGCAGTGGATGGGTTTCGACTTCAAAGGGTATATCTAGATCTTTTCGCGGCACCAACCACGAGTAGCGCCGGCTTCCTGGCATCGCTGTAGATTGTTAGTGATGTACTTCTTGGTTTGTGTTATGTAGCTTACTTTGGTCCAGTCACAGTTGTTGATAGCCTTCGAAGGTATGAAGGCAAAGAAATTCTTCTTGTAACGGTAGCACTCCTTGAAGTTCTGGCCGTAGTATCCGCTCTCTCCCGAAGAAGCTGCACATGCCTTTACCGTGTCGTCATCCCACGCAATGTTGTTCTGGACCTTGCCTGGTATTCGACCTGGTCTCTCTCGCACCTTTTGAGGTTAGCGGGAAGTTTCTGGGGCACAACGGGGGCCACAAACTCACCAGCAGTTCTTGTACTTAGCACAGGCTTCCGTTGATGCTACAGCAAGCATCGCGATGGCTCCCAGCATTGACAACTTCATTTTGGCGTTCTGTGATTGATCTTGATACCGATATAGAGGGAGACAAATGAACAAAAAAGGAGTGTCCAGAGGGAATGGTCGTCACTTTGGGGGCTAAGGATGTTATACATAGGTAACTACAGGTGGAAACGAGTCAGTATAAACAGTCTGGAGTCGGCTAGACAGCCTCCCATCACGGTATATCGGTTGGTGGGCCTGCATGAGTCAATAGATAATTAATTTATAGAGTGGAATTGACACAAAGACCTTGCTGACGCCAAGATATCACTTGGAGATCATTGCCTTAATATTTAGACATGATATAAAGCTTAGTCCTGAAAAACCAATACAGCCACAGGAACAAACATGATCTGAGGAGGGGAAAAATCGAACATCTTCAGTAGGCACCTGATTCTTCATTGGACTCAATCGACACCAACTGATGTGCCAGCCGTGACCGTTGCGCTGCGACTTGTGGCTGTCCCGCTTGCTAATGCCGTCCTACATAGTACGCAAGAATCAAGTGGGTCTCCGGAAGCTATGGACACTTCAACCTTGCTGGTTCCGTCAATCAACTGCAAGAAAAGATGCCACCCTTGTCTGTACATGACTCAACATCCCCCAACTATGCAAATCTTTCGTATACACGGACATTTCAGACACAACCTGCCTCACGTTTTTTTTTGAGTAATCACAAATAGTTGATGCGGTGAAGTGTACACAGTGGCCGTTGCAGCACGTGGCCATTGAACATATCACGTGGCATCCGCGTTGACACTGGATCCAGGGACAATAAATTGCAGTGGCATCAAACCGGTGGATTCTAGAGGTCTCATTGGCTGACAATCTAACCAACATCTATTCCGGAGGCCGAAGAATACTACATAAGGCAACGATCCTCACACAGGTCAGCCTCTAATCTTGCACTAGTCCCAAACCAACGAGCTGTTGAGGCATTACTCTCTTTCTCTGTTGGTTAATCTAATTCAATCACAGTTGCCCCAGTCAGGCTGACAATTGCCGGAGACAAGCCAATGAGGAATCCGGTCTTTTTTCCCGCATCTCGTCTATTCAAAGTCAATTTTACCGTCACTATATTGAAGTCGATATTCTCTCTGTTGCTAGTTGTTTTGGTCTGTATGACGACGTGGTGCACGTGGACCAAGAATGATGCGTTGTGCTGCTTAATGCAGAAAACCCTCGGTTGCTATCTCTTCGCATCCGTGATGCTCTGGTAAAGGTTGACTAGGATGCTAAAAGTTCTGTTCACCATCATGCCCGCTCTTGTTGCAGCCAAGAACTGGCTTGAAGATCATTCGCATGTACCCAATAGCGAAGACGCCGTGACAGGACATTTATGGAGGGGTTGAGTTTAGGAACATAAATCGTACAATGGATATGGACAGTCTGTTGTTCTACGGATGGAAGGTAAAACAACAGCACATGTTGGAACTGGCGAATAAAAGGCATGTATGGCGGACTAGCTGGTTAGTCCTTTGGTCCGGGGTTACAACGCTATATGATGTAAGTTGCTATACGGTCGTGCTCATAACGCCTACATGGCTGTAAGCTGTTCCTCATCAAACCTTGTTATGGAAATAGACAATTGAACTGACACTCGCCAAAGCTCAGCCCCTGCTGTAAGTTGCAGATTTCAAGGTTTCCAATGCAATGTCGGCAACAGGAAAGGTGACAATGAGACATGAGCCATACTAATCGTTGGTAGTACGCTGGTTGTACAAGGCCTATCGTCACCATGGGCCTGATACCCAATGCAATGAGCTCTAAAACATGGAGGATTCGCAGGTGTAGTTTATAATTAGGTGATTGCAATGCCGTAGCTCAAAGACCAGCGGCTTTCATGGATTATCTTGTTCCTGATATCTTGATACACGTCCGCCTTGGCCACAAACTGGACGACCCCCGCGGCGCACTCACGGACTTTTTTGGTTGATGGGTCTAGACGCGGTGTGTCACTTCTTCTTACACAGCCAAACATGTGAATGCTCTTCCGGTGTCCTGCCATTCTGAGCAGGTGTAGGGAGCCTCCTACCCTTCTACATCGATAGGAAGTCATCGCCCCACAGCTCTGCCAAGGGGAAGCGTGTGGGGGAGGATCCTGCCGCCTAGGCGGCTTCCATTGTCACCCCTAGCCGTCTTGGCCTCTCTTTCCGGGACTGATGGTGGCAGACTCGACACTTCTGGAACCAAGAGACCTTCTTTTGAAGGACATGACAGCTGGATTTCATATGGCGAACCCCCAATTCCATCCGCTTGGCTTCCAAAAGGGCGAGAGTCCTCCTGGCGGGAAGGATCTGAGAGAGAAAAGCCTTTATTAGAGCGTGATTTGTAAGGAAGCCCAATTAAGCATGAGTAATTATTCACATAACGAGGGTCCCAAGGGACGGTCTTGGACAGCCATGCCCAAGATCTGAACCCGGCAGAACATCGATATCGCTTCTTCTCCCTTCCAACCTTGTTCTCACCAAACACCACACACTTTGGTTTTCATGACCTCGACTATCAATTGTCAGAATAGGTATGTTGTTAAGAGCTACCCTCAGTCATTACCAAAGTCATTGATTAGATAACAACATGACTTTCCACAAATGCGCTTTAACAAACCTAAGCAGGTTAAATTAGTTGTTGAATTAAATTAAAGGCTCTTAACCATTGCCAACCCTTGTGCGGAAGTCATGTCCGTGCAATCATTGAATAAATACCGTCGCCTTCATGACAGAACACGGCCGCTGCTCCGTATGTAAGTCCGAAACCAGGACCCACCACTTCGGGGCCACCTCCTGTTCACTTCCTGCAGCCGCCTCGTAGTCCGGATGAAAGTACTCATCCCCGTACCGGGACGCGTTTCCCGTGTACGTCGTCATCCAGTATCCTGCACGTCTCACCTCAGACGTCTCACTGCAGAAGCTACAGCCACACCGCTTCAAGTGCAGTAATCAATCACATCCAACATTTCGAGGTAGGGAAAACAGAACGCATCAGCGCAAAAAAGACTTTTGGTTCATTTCTCAATACGTCCAAATGTGTGAAAAAATTCCAATACGGCGAGATGATCCTTCTCGACTTCCTCACTTTTCTCTGTCCCTCTTGTCTTAAAGCAAACCAAATGTCATCTATGCTTGTATGGTGCCCGCCATCCAGGCGTCGCACCGTGATTTATAGCAAAGTACGTTTCGTTGTTGATATTGTAGCCGTGCCGCCGCCGCAGTGTTGTTTGTCAACCAAGGACGACCAACCCTCTGAAAACTCCTCTTCCTTCTCACTCCGACATCTTTGTACAACGGACTGACCGTTTTCTCGTCCCGATGGCTCTTGTGTCATGCATCATGGGGATCAAAACTAAGAATCCTTATATTTAGTCGACTTGTTTCTCGCAGCCGATTCTGCCAAGCAGTTCCTTGCGGTCGCTGTGGCCAGGTAGGCTGACACCTGAGGCGCTCGATTGCCTCTTGATGCCTGATCTGCGCTCCCAGCTCTTGAGGTCGATATCCTCGACACCAACCTCTTGTTCAAGGGGCTGAGCCTCCTCATAAACGTAATCGGCCTCCTCCTCTGCCTCGCCTTCATCATCGCTTCGAGTGTCTTCGGCATTTCCGCCGCGGAGGACCTTCATCACGACACGAATGATCATGAAGAACCAGCCAATAGTGATGACCTGCAGAGCGAGAAGCGGGATGAGGAAGGACCAACGAACGGTGTCCTCAAAACAGACGATACCGTCAGACTTGATGAAAGGCTCAAGCATCCACCACCTGCTGCCCTCGGGAACAGCAAAGGGACCGACCACGTTGGGCTCTTTACCACTGTAGCAGACAGGGGGGATGATCTCGGGAATATGGGCGTAGATGGACCAGCAAACCATGACGTAGAAGATGTGGCGGGCCACCAGCCAAGACACAACAAATGCGCCAAACATGAAATCGCAAAGTTTGTTGAGCCCGACGTACTTGAGGCACTTGGCGAGCTGGCAGCAGTTAGTAAAATGACATCAAGTGTAGAATGTGAATACCTACAGGGAAGAAAAGGTCGACAACATCCATAAGAACCAGGATCAAGTTACCGACACGAGTATGGTGGTAGCTGTAGCAAGCGGAGATCAGGGAGCAGGTAATGATGTGGTGAGTGAACATCTGCCAGTGGTCCTTGCGGCGTTCCTCGATGTTGATGACGATTATCTGCTGCAACCAGAAAGCCCACTGGGCCAGGATATAAGCCTTGTTGATAGCGGGCAGCTCGCGCTGGGGCCAGTTGGTCCACAGCTCTCTGAGGTTCAGCCAGTAAGGCGATGTTTTGTAAATGTACTATAGCCATATCAGCATGTGTTGCGAGAGAGCTTCGAGTTTCAACGGAGCGAACTCACCATGCCGAGAGGCCAGAAAACAAGGTAGTAGATCAACAACCAGGCCTGCTCGCTAAAGCGCGTCAGGTCCTTACGCTTAGTGACACCCCAACCCTTGGCAAGAGGAGCCAGCACGTATTCCATGGTCGCGGCGCGCAGACCGGTGAAGAGGACGATACAGAAAGCGAGCAAGCACATGTCGCCGGCGCCGGCGCCATACAGACCGGTCTCGGGGTTCTTGTAGGACAGGGTGAAGAACTTGATCGTGTGAGGTTGCGCCTTGGGAATGAAGAAGTGCGCAAGAAAGATAAGGGCAAGAAGATTGAAGGAGAGGCCTGGAAACAGTGGACGTTAGCTTGATCTAAGACGTCGCCGGCCTGGAACACCTCTTGTGGCCACATCTGTTGGGAAATACAAAACCGTTGCTGCAGCTGCTTGGAATCGGGGTGTGTGGAACAGTAGGGCAGATTTAGGGGCAGCAAAGGTAAAGGGGAGAAGGAGAGAGAGAGAGAGAGATACGACATACCGACTTGATTCTCGACCATCCACCTGCTCAGCATCTTCCAAGCGCTATCATCTTTCCTTCTCACCCTCCGAACGAGAACGACATTGACATTGTTGTGGCCCTGCTGGTAAAGGGGGCCGTTCATCAGCTTGAGCTGCTTAGTGCTGGCATTGCGCTTGATCTGGGAGCCGGCCGGGCCGGTCTTGTGCTTCTCGAAAACTGGTGAGATGGGAGAGACTGGCGATGCGGCCTCCTCGGTGGTGTCGATCATGTTTGTTGGCGGTCGAGCTCCAATTGGAACTCAATTGAGGTATCTGAAAGGGGCAAAGTCTCGGGTTTAGGCCGCGGAGAAGACCGTGATGGTCACCGAAGGGGAGGACAGTCGTCAATGCCCTTCTTTCGTGTCCACAACCTTTGGGTGGTGGATATAAGCGAGTGGTGCTAAGCCGTGATAACAACGTGCGATCTCGGATGTTTACTTCAAGACGCGATTCGTGGTTGTGGTACGGCAGAGCGCAAGTGGTCGAGACAGGCGCTTACTGCTTCGTGGTCGAGGGAGGGAAGGGAGGGGTAGGAGAACGAACGACCTGGCTGGTTTTAGGGAGGTTGAAGATCGAGAAGTTGAGAATTGTAAGGGCAGCGTCGCACGCGAATGGACACCGAATCTTTGAGAGACGGTAGCAGTACGGAACAGGATAGGACAGAACACCGGTCCAACACGCAGGCGACTAAAGATGGGCCAGGATCTGCTCCGTTGCTCCAGAAGTTGCTGGGATTAGGAGTGCAGCAGAAGTGCTCCGTGTAAGGTGAAGGTGTGCAGCAGCAGCGTAGGTATCCCTCTTCAGTTCCGGGTGGTTAGTGGGTGTGCATGGCTTTAGAGGTGGGCTGCGTCGTTGGTGGGGAGGCATTAAAGTCTAGGATACTAGGTGCCTTCTTCCTTTTTTCGTTCTTTTTTTTTCTCCCCCTTCCCTCTTTACTGTGTAATTTTCTTCTCTAGCTCCTACGGCATGCCCCCCCAATCCCCCGAGCCAGAAATTGGCAGCGCTTGGAAACTCGGGAAGAGGTACAGGGTACCGAAGGTGTCGCATCCATGAATGGGTCTTTCCACTCGCGTCCGAAAAAAAAAGACCCCACCCACAATCAGGTGCCCTTGCACCTTCGATGTCCACAGCCCCCGGGGAGAGAAACAGCCGGGACAGTAGTTGGCAGTAACCACTGGGCATTGGGACCACCATCAACCGTCCCAGTACCCGTACCTTTCCCCTGTGAGGGGGGAGCCCCCAAGGCAGGGGGGAGACAGGGGAGTTAGTCGGTCTAGCTCACACAGAGATCGCCAGACTGTTCCTCAATGGGCCAGAGGGCTCATCAAAGGCGGTGAAGGAGGCGGATGGGAAACAGTGAGAGGGCACGCTGTACTGCGTGTAGAGTACGGATACATGCGCAAGGGATGTGGGCGAACAGGGTGACAGGTAAGGCCAATAGTAAACAGGGGTCCATGATCCCTTTTGCACAGGCTGCACCAAGAGAGCCAAGGTAGGAACCGATATGTGAGTAGCTTGCAAGACTTAACTTAGGAGAGGAAAACAGGGTGGGGGACCCCTATCCGCTTCCAGCCTGGCTGCGACTGGGAAGAAGTGGAATTGGACGGAGCTTAAAAGTATGACAATGATTGGCTCTTGGCTCTACCAGTGTTATTTCTGAGCAGTCCCACGTTCCTGATGTCCACCCTCTGTCACCCTTTCTACCTGCTTTTGAAATAAGTGTCGGTGGATGAAGTCTATTTAGACGAAAAACTGGACTACACAGATGCGACATGGTGTACAAGATAAAATCATTCCCAATGGCCAAGGACGGACAGAAACGGCAGATGTACAGGGGCCACAGCTGCGAAGCGTGGAGAGGGGAGCAAGGAGAAAGAGGGGGAACCAGTTGGCGGGTCTCCAGACCTCTTTCCTCAACAAGTTTCAACGATTGAACCAATTGAATTGATCTGGTTTACTCTGTCTCCTTGTTTGTCCCGTTTCCCTGGAGAGCTGAATTAATCGCACACGCACTTGCCACTTGTTGTTATTATTGTTGTTGTTGATCTAAGAACCTGTTCAGTGGACAATCTTCATCTTGCTCGTTTCTTTAAAATGAAGTGATTTTCAACCCCAGCGCCTTATCAAGTTATTGCCGTTTGGCATATATGCACCCCCTGCCCATCTTATCTTTTCCCCCCCTTCCTTTTGGGTTCCCTTTTTTTTTTTTTTCTCCCCTTCGCCCTGCACTGTTACCCTTCCCTTTGGTCTCTACCCCTATTTTCATCTGTGCAACTAACTGACATGAATTGCATGCAATCTGTGCCAATGCGCAGATAAACATGTTTGATCCCGTTTTTTGCTGCTTCGTTGACAACGCCTGAGCTCCCGAGTCTGTCCCTCTTGACGCCTGGGCCAGCATTTTGCTTCCCCTCCCAGGTACCGCCCACCCCCTTAATCGACCTTCCACACCCCTCCCCCTCAGTTAGCCCCATGTGCGATGGCGACATCCAGCCAATTGTCACTCTCGTAAATTAGCATCCAGAAGGAGATGGACTTGCTGATGGTTGCTGTCAGAACGCTAATATAGGGAAATAACATCATCTTTTTTAGGAGCCGCAAAAGCACACCAGTTCAGAATCCTTCTGTGCTAAGCGTCAATGGGAATGTCCACCGCTGATGCAAGGTATCTTGTACGTCTGTAAGAAAAAAAAAATTACACGCATGGAAAACGCGCACGCACGTATCCGTATACGCCAATAATCAAAAGAACAGACGAATACGGTCGGACCTCGCATCACAGACACCATCTCGAACCAGCTACTAATTTTTTTTTGTTCCTTTATTTTTTTTTTTCTTGCAAAGAACAGAACACTGTCAAATTGAGGTCCGACGTTTCATCCTATCTTCTTGTTCCACTCTCGGCTTGTTGGAACTGTACGAAAAAAAAAAAAAAAGGGCAGCGGTTTTCCCCTGAGAACGTTGTGCAAATCAGACCACGCGTTTGCCAAGATTGCAAACACCAAAGCTCCCAGATTGAATCATGTTTCCAAGACATCCCTACCTTGCATCGAATTTAGCGTTCACGCGGACTCCTCAGGAACGTAATTCAAAAGTTGACCTGCGGGGCTGGAATTCTATAGTGTTAGCTTGTAAATCTGCTTAAGTCCATAATCTGTGCCGTATATCGTATTAAAGCTACTCTGAGTGTAAAGCGGTATAATGCATCAAAACGTACGGAACTGTGAAGATTCTCCCCGAGCTTTCCAAAGCGTCAGAACTGTCACATGACCCCACTTGATCTGCGCCACAATATACCCCAGGCTGCAACCGCCACATTCCTAACCATATGTAATCGACGGTCGCATCACCGTGCCTCCCCACATGATCCTGACGACACGACCTACGGCTATCCTTCCCTCGAACATACCTTCCAATAATTATCGACCTCGAAGCGTCGACTGTTCGTTTGCCAGATTCACTATAATCACATCTTTTTTGACGAAGAGAGAGCGACCGTAAAGATGGCCTCGAACACGAAGTACGCCCCGGCGCCCACCCAGGATCCCGATGAGCCCTCCAGCTACTCTCAGCCGCCCCCGGCCTACCAGGCCGAATCCTCTTCGGCTCAGGATACTGATCGCCTCTTTGGCGGCGGTGCTCCTCGCAGTAGCCAGGATGATGACCTTCCTGACGACTTCAAGGTAGGACTGCCTCTCTTCATGTTTAGCAAATCCGTCGCTTCCTCATCTCAGCTTAACACAGCTTCACTAACATGCTATACAGTTCGGCGGTTCAGTAGCTGAAGCTACCACCGATATCCGCAACCAGTTCATCCGAAAGGTGTACGCGATCCTCACCGTTCAGCTCATCGCGACTGGCGCTGTCTCTGCCGTCAGCTTCTGGAGCGAAAGCTACAAGGCATGGATCCAATCCCATCCAGGTCTCGTCCTAGTATCCGTACGTTCCGCCCCTCACCGTTTACATAACCCTTCACGCTTGAAACCCCATGCTAACATACAAGCTCATAGCTTATCGGCTCCATCGTCTTCATGCTCCTGACCTACTGGAAACGCAAGTCCTACCCTACGAACCTCCTCTTCCTCAGCCTCTTCACGTTGACTGAAGCCTACACGATCTCTGTAATTGTTTCCTTCTACAAGACCGAAATCGTTCTCAACGCTGTTGTCCTCACGGCTGGAATCTTCGTCTTCCTCACCCTTTTCGCCTGCCAGACCAAGTATGACTTCACTTCGTGGATGCCCTACCTCTTTGGCGCCCTCTGGGGCTTGGTCCTGTTCGGCTTCATGGCTGCTTTCTTCCCCTACAGCTCCACCACTGAGCTTGTCTACGGTGGCCTCGCGGCCTTGATTTTCAGCGCCTACATCCTCGTCGACACGCAGCTCATCATGCGCAAGCACCACGTTGAGGAGGAGATCGCTGCCTCCATCAGTCTGTACCTTGACATCATTAACCTGTTCCTTGCCATCCTGCGCATTCTCAACAGCCAGCAGAACAACTAAGTGTGTTCTTGCTGTTGATGGAATAAGCGGAGGAGGGATATACGCAGAGGTGATGGCAAATTTTACAAGAGTGGTTCTAATAGAATTCGTTCGTTTTGTTTGGTGTACTTGCAGTGATGGTGTATGGATACGGCTGCTTTCCGCGTGTTTGGGTCCAAGGTGTTACTTATCGTAACTTTATTTACATAGTGAATAACAAACAAGGTTGACCTATAATTATAATTCACGAATTCAAGTATGCAAGTGATCAGCGGCACAAACATGTTGAGAAACGGTAAAGTAATTGATATCTGCATTAGAAGTCCACTAATAGAAAAGGAAAATGGGGGCGTTAGTAAAAGGGCTACAAAAGGCACAGCCGGGAAGATGCGGTTGGGCGGTGTAATGGGGATAAGAGAAACAGATCGACGGGTAACAGTAATCCAGACGTCCTAAGAACTCATTTCCCCCTCATCTCGCCCAGAAGCTCTTCAACCTCCGCCTCGAGATAGTACACCGCCTCCGTCCAAACTCTACCAAACCGGTAGCCTCTTCCTAGTCGTCGCATTCGTCGTAGACCTTTTGGGTTTTTATCTTCGTGTCAGAGAAACGAACTCGCAGAGTAGGGGAATAATGTTCTTTCTCTTTCAACACAGCACGGAAACCAACGCCAGTATAGAAAAAGACCAACGTCGCAGTTTCGGAGTAAGCATAAGCAGGCCAAATATAGCAAATTAGTTGGCTTCGTTGTCGCCGTTGGCTTCGGCTGGGCCGCCGGCTGCTGCAGACGCTTCTCTCTGCATCCGGGCCTCGATCTCGCGGAGCTGGGACTCGCGAGCCAAGAGCTCCTGTCGCTTCTCGTTGATCTCCCGCTGGACCTTGATCTCGATCTCGCGAAGCTTCTCCTCCTCTCGCCGCAACTGTTCCTCCTTGAGGCGTACAGATTGCGAAGCGAGGTCCTCGGGGTTCATGGACGAGTCACTAAAATATGTCAGTGCGTGGCGGGGGTAAAGGGGCTCGGACATGACGTACACTCCAGCACCACCCTCAACAGACTTGCTGAGCTTCTCGGTACGGTAGTTTTCGTAGAGGAAGTCGTGGGTGATTTCCTTCAGGTCGGCCAGGTGGCTGTGGAGGAGCGCGGAGCGAATGGCAAGGAAGTCGGAGTGACGGGGGTTGTCGACCTCGACGACACCCCAGGGGTATTGACGGGCGCGGACCTTGCGGCCGCCAATTTCGACAACCTCTTCAGAGCCGACAATGGCGAACGGCATGAGGCCTCTCAGCTCGGCGTTCTCCTCAACGGTATCCTCATCATCCTCTTCAATGTCGTAGGGGAAGTTGTACACTGGGATACGGTAGTGCTCAATGTCCTCCATCACGAGCTTCTTCGACTCCGCAAGCTCGGCAGGAGTCAGAGAGTCGGCGCGACCAATGACAGGAATGACATTGACGCGAGGAGCAAGGCGCTTCATCAGCTCGATATCCAACTCACGAAGACTATAGATGTATCAGAATCGTTCAAGGTCTTGGTTGGATTGTCCAACTTACCCGTGACCGGTGGGCGTGATGAAGTAGAGCATGGCGTGCACACGATTGTCTCTGAAGCGGGGGTTACGCTTGATACGAGACTCCTCGGCGAGAATGTCATCGTATTGCCTCTCAAGGTAGCCGACGATCTCGGAGAAACTTCACACAAAGATTAGCACGGCAAGGTATTTTGTGTGTGGTTGGGGCGCCATACCTGGCCTCATTGTCGATCTGGTCACCGAAACCGGGTGTGTCGACAATCGTCAGGGAGATGCGGGTACCCTCCTCGTCCAACTCGAGTTCTGGGTGGACGTCAGTTCTATTGCTCCTCAAATGGGCTGACACAGGAGGACGTACCAACAGTGATGGGCTTGATCTTGACACCGTCCTCAACAGACGCGCTGTTGGGATCGTCCGACTCCTTGTGCCCAAGTACGCTCTTGCCGCAGAGGGTGTTGACGAAGGTGGTTCTTCCTGTAGGAACGAAAGGTCAGTTTGTGAACTCGGAAATTTGGTTGAACACGGGTTTATTGCTGAAATAGGGAGACAACGTACCAGTACCTGATGCTCCGCAGACCATCAAACAGAACTGGATTCCCTTCTTCACGTTCTTCTTTCTGCGCATCATTTTCTGTGGCGGTGTCGGTAGTTAGCAGGTGGATAAGTTTAGGGATGCATTTGCATTGGAACACCGGTGGCTTCACGAGGTCGGGAGGAATTGCTGATCGAGGGGGCCAAAGGGTGCAATCAGGGGAGGTGGGCAAACATACGGCGGTGGTTGAAATGTAACGGCTGGACTCGAACGCGGTCGGTAAGGTTAGTCGTCGAACACGTCAACGACTGGCGAGAAAGAATGAGGTATTGGCGTTGCAAAGGGACAGCGAGCGTCGTGTCGTGTCGGAACGAAAGGACTGCTGGATCCCAAGTGTCGTTGTAGTGGAATGGGACCTGGGGGTCGGACGGAGGTGCAGGTGCTAAAGGGGACGGGAGGGTCTTGACCGACGGCTGTTGGAAAATGCAATTTCACACAAAATGTTGCGGCAGGAGGTCCCCAAGTTGTCCCCAGCCAATTGAGTGCCAACACTGCGTGTTACTGCAAGCCCAATTCAGGGGGCAGCAAGTCCCCGGCCCACGCTCCTTTCCCCAATTCTGACTCTAGTCCATTTGAGGAATGGCCTGGACAGCGGGGTATCCTCGGGCAATTTTGGGGGAAGAGGATGACAGGTCACGAGACTCAGCCTGGTCAGTGCTGAAGCTCTCAGCAAATCCAGCCAGCTGGCGGCCTGAGAGGTACCTGTAGCGTGTTGCAATACACTGTCTACTGGGCCAAACATGTTTCGGGTGGCTTCTGCCTCAGCCGCCCGCTGCCTGGAACTGCTGACAGCCGGCAGGCCATGCCAAACGCTTTAATCACCCCATTCCCTTCATCTCAGCCACATATTACTAGTATAGTACACGGTACCGATCACCGACCTGCTACGGGCGCTGGGAAGCGATGATACGTACCTCATTTCCAGAACGTCCGGTCACAGGCTGACTTCTACTGAGACACTGCCCACCGGATCGTACCTGTTAACATCGCTCTTTAGTCTTGAACGACTGTTTGCTTGAAGCTCTTTATATCACCATTTCGGACACTGTTTATTGCAGACGTCCACCTATCAATAGCCCCTGTTGGGTCTTCCAGCTTCCTGACTCGGCTGTCCAGCTGACTGCGACCCGCCAAAGTAACGACCATCATTCACGAGGGTCCAGCTCATCGTCAACAATCCGCAGGTGGCCTCTCACCTTGAGAGAAACATCTATCAAGGATGATACCATAGCGAATAACTTCAACAGATAGCACATCATCAGCTCGGCCTCCCGGCCTTGCATTCACATCTCCTGTCTCTTATTACCGAGCCCCTCTTTGATTGCACAGGCCACAGCGAATCCCCGCTACATCTGATTAAAGGCAAAGCACCGCCTCTCTTCATTAAATATGAATACCCGACCACCGATAGAAACGGCGCCTTCAACGGTGGTCTTATCGGTATCTTTCAACAGTGACGCCAGTTGCTTCTCCGTTGGCCTCAACTCTGGAATATGCAGTACTTTGCTCGCCCCGTCTAAGTTGCAAGAACAGTGGCTAATAACATTCAGTCTTTCATACTAAGTCATGTCTTCTCAAGGCATCCCGAGGTCCGTATTGATATCCCCTTTGAGCTGATGAGTGAGGCTGAACTCTCGACAGACTTCAACGCTGGCATCGGCCTTGTTGAAATGATGGGAACCTCCAACTATCTGGCCCTTGTCGGTGGTGGAAGACAGCCAAAGTACAGCATCAGTAAAGTATGTTATTACCCTACCCTCATCAACTCTGAAACTAACAAAGCATTTAAGACCATCATTTGGGATGATATGAAGGGTAGAGTTGCCATTGAGATATCCTCCATCACACCCGTGCGGGGAGTTCGTATCGGCCGCAATCGCATAGTGGTAGCGCTCCAGAACAGCGTACGTGTCTACTCATTCGCGAAGCCGCCCGATCTCCAATCGGTGTACGAGACCACGGACAACCCCCTCGGTCTATGTTGTATGTCAGAAAAGATAATCGCATTCCCCGGTAGAACGGTGGGCCAGATTCAGCTCGTCGACATCGGCACCGGCAACGTCAGCATTATCCCCGCCCATTCTTCAGCCCTCAAGGCCATCCAACTTAGCCCAGACGGTGAATTGTTAGCCACAGCAAGCGAACAAGGCACGCTGGTACGAGTATTTGCGACAAGCAACTGCGCCAAACTTGTCGAACTGAGACGCGGCGTGGATCCTGCAACCATTTTCTCTTTAGGCTTCAGTCCAGAGGGCACGAAACTTGCGTGCACGTCAGACAAGTCTACACTCCATGTGTTCGATGTACCGCACCCCAAGAAGCCTGCGACATCACCGACAAGCCCATCTGCATCAATGGCAGGATCGGGCATCCTCGCCGGCAGACCAGGAGACGATGGCAAGGGTAGATGGGGGTTTTTGGGAAAGATTCCCTTAATGCCACGGATGTTTTCAGATGTGTATTCCTTCGCATCTGCACCGTTCGAGGCTGGCGATGATCCTCTCATTGGTGGTCTGCCTCTATCAGAGCAGACTACATTAGGCACAACAAGACCTCAAAAGGGTATCATTGGATGGATTAACGAGGAAAGCTTGGTGGTTATTGGCGCTGGTCAGGACGCTCGCTGGGAGAAGTTCGTCATAACTAAGGGCGAAGACGGGCGCCGGTATCTTGTTCGAGAAGGTTGGAAAAGGTATTTAGGTAGCGCCTCATGAGCGTTGCGCAGTAAAGGACAGTTTCATTGATAACAGTTACGGCATGGCGTTACAAACGGTGGCATCACAGGACTGGTTTTCCAGAGGGTATCAGCGATAGCATCGCTTGTTTCATTAGAAATTCATATCATCTTCGAGACTGTGGCGACCTGCTTCGGCTTCTCCTCTTGTGCCGCGGCTCATCGTCATGATCCCTGTGTCTTTTGTGGTAGCGTTCCTCGGAATCATCATGTTCTCGACGCCGGCGCTCTCTTCTTCGATCCTCGTCTTCTCCACGGTCGCGGTCTTTCCGGTCCCGCGAACGGTCCCTATCTCTCCGACTTCTGTCGTCTCTCTTAGATTCCCTATCACGAGAGTCATCTCGCCGCCGCTCATGACGCGAGCCTCTCTCACTATCTCTCCGATCCCGATCGTCCGATTTATCATCGTGCCGTGATCGTCGACTCCGGTGCCTGTCCTCGTCCCGATCCGCGTCCCTCATTTCGTCATCGCTATCGTGCCTCCGAGAACGGTGCGACCGGTGGCGGTGCTTATGCTTCTTCCTCCTTTCCGACTTATCTCCCCGCTTCTGTAACGCCTCCTGTATCTCCTTCTTTTTCTCCTCGATGAGAAACTCCTTCATAGGATCATCGTCGTCGTGATCTCGAATAAGAAGTGCAAGCTCCTTCTCCTCAGGAAGCATCGGACGCTCCTGCTCTTCCTCGGACTCTTCATCCGTCTTGTCGCCGTCGCCCTCCAGCTTCGAAACTGTTGCCCAGTCCACCTTGCCCTCGTCCGGGTCCTCGTCGTCCCGAAACTTATAGCGCGCATGATCTACACGAACGAGGCGGTTGCCAATAGTTGCGCCGCCAAGGTTATCGACCGCGAGATCGGTGCTGCGCTGGTCCTCGTATTTGAGCCATCCAAAGCCCTTTGATTTGCCCGTTTCTTTGTCGCGCGCCAGCTTGAGCCATACAGGCTCACCGAACTGAGAGAAAATCGTGATCACGTCACCCTCGGACATTTCGTAGGGAAGGCCACCGAAGTAGATGTAAGCTGTGTCGCGGTAGTCGACGTGCCAGGAACCTTCCGGGGAGCTGCTTGAGTTGTCAATACAGGGTCCGTGTGGAATTCAGGAAGGATTGCTACTGACATTCCATTTTCGATTTCTTTCTTGTTTAGCGCCTGAATGGCGCGTATTTGATTCATGTCTTTAGTCGCGCCGAGGTTCTATCCTCAGCTCAATGAGTGTTGTGGTGAGGTAAGTCTTTTTTGTTAAGAAGGCTGTCGTAGCAAGCTGCAAATCTGCAAGGCTGAAAGAAGCGGCGTTCGAAGCTCCCTAGAGCTCCACTATCCGCCCCGATAAGATGGCTCGCGTAGCAACGGTCAGTGCGTCATTTCCTCTAATGTGCCTCCAAGACCCCCCTAAATTGGCATTTCGGTAGCGCACTGTGCCGCGCTGTCACAGGACATTTAGGCTTCGGGAAAACACCCGGTCCGGCACTGGAACTTCCCCGACACTTTGGTGAAGGGATGAGGATTGGATGCTGTGCTGTGCATGGCCCTTGAAGATACCGCCTAACTGTTTGAGGCAGACCTCCAGCTTCTAGTGATAATATTTCCGTCCCAATTTCCGCATTTGACATTGCACAAAACGTGTTCTGCCGCCCCTCGAAAGCCCTGTGATCTAAGGCCGCCTACCTCTCCCCTGAGTCGCGATCCCAACGACGACGCGTTGTTTGTTCAGGCATACAGCTCTCAACTGCCAACCCACCGCCGATCGCCTTGACCCAAAAACACCACACTCTCTTCTGACCCACGACCCACGACCCCCCCATCGCTCCCCTCATGCGTCCTCGCCGACTAGTACAAACATGACGGCAAGTGCGAACAGGGTGTCGACATACACCTCAGCCTCCGCGGGGTCGGACGGGCGCAATGGCGAGAAGAAGGACCTCTGGAGCTCCATGCTCGACAATGTTGCCAGCGGCAAGCGGTTACCGGAGAAGAACATGATTGTGCTCGGCGGTACGCCCGATTCTCAGCGAGAATTTATCGAGTCGTTGTCACATAGTGAGAAGCGAAGCCTTGACCGACAGAGCTCTAAGACACCGCCTGTCGCAAACAGCTTTGCTCTAGGCTACACCTACTACGATGTGCTTGATGCTGATCAAGAAGGTTTGTGGGAACTGGCTTGCCTGGATATAAGCCTATTCGCTGACCTTGACCGTGCACAGATATCCTGGCGAGAATCTCTCTCTACATGCTGTCGACACCTTCAGAAGCTTTCCCCAAACTCATCCAACCCCTAATTACGCCCGAGACGATACCCAACACCCTAATGGTTATACTGCTGGACTGGTCTACGCCACACCTCTGGATGAGGCAGCTAAGAGAGTGGATTCTATTCATGCGAAGCATCCTCGAAAACTCGAGCCATGAATGTCAAGCAACAATGGAGGAGGTAATGGTGAGCTGGCGGGATAGGGGTAGAGGCGGCGGCTCGACCAATCTTGATGGCACAGGCGCAACTGCCAGCGAAGGTGACGTTGCGTTGCCGCTTGGGCCTGGTGAATGGGAAGAAGGGATCGGTCTGCCTCTGTGTGTCGTTTGCCAAAATGTAAGCGGTCTTGAAGGGACGGTACGAAGAACAATTGCTGACCACCTCATAGGCGGAAAAGATGGAGGCGTTGGAGAAGACACAAGGATGGAAAGAGGGTGACTTTGACCAAGTGCTGCAATACCTTCGGACGGTGCTGCTCAGACGTATGTTTGCTCTTATCTATGTGGGAGCTCAGGCTGACCTTTACAGACGGTGCATCCTTGATCTACACAACGCCGAACGTCCCCTCCTCGGCACCGAGCCTAGTCCACTCAAGCCTGGGCATCACATCTCTGCTCAAAAGACAACCGTTGAAACACAACGTGATTGATAGGGATAAGATCCTGGTGCCTCCAAACTGGGACTCCTGGGGTAAAATCCGTGTGCTTCGTGACGGCTTCGACGTCGAGGCCACCAGCCAGGGTTGGTCTCACGACCTGCAGTCAACTTTCCCGTCGCCCCCAATGACTACCGACGGGCTGAACACCATCTCCAAAGCCAAGGCGGACGGTGACTACACAGGCGAGGTATGGTCCTCTGCAGTCGCGCCGTACGAGGACTGGATCCGTGACCTCAGCAGCGCAGGCAGCGCCATCTCCTTTGCAGGCCGCGACGCGGACTCTTCGCAGTTAGAAACATCTTCTACAGACACGCAGGAGTTCCTGGGCACGAGCTTGCAGACGCTCGAGACGTACCGCAGCAGAAGCGCCGAGGACAAGAAGGCAGATGCGGCCAAGTCAAGGACGGGACAGCGGACGGATGAGACAGACTCTGATGCGTCATTGCGGCAGGGAGACGGCAAAGTCAACCAGCATATTGGACCTGTGCAATTTAACATGGGAGGCATCCAGGTGGATGCAGACGACATGGTGCAGCGGCTTAAGGTAAGCGACGAGACGTCCCCGACATCAAGGAACTAATTACTAACGAATGAACAGGACCGTCAGGCATACAGCTCTGCGCAGGAACCGACAACGCCGCCAGCCGACACCGCCGAGGAGAACCCTGACGACATGGACAACGACAAACTTCAGGCCTTCTTCAGCGGTCTGATGAACCGCAAGCAACCCGCCAACGGGAGTCCACGAGGCGGCTCCTGAAGTGTTTTTTTTTTTACAACAAGAGAACCGCCAAACTACTTCTGACATGTCAAGTGTCAAATTTCTCAACGGGAGCTAGGTCGGAAAACTTGAAAAAAGATCCCGATCACCATCCCTCTTCTTCCAGGGGAATCGATTTGAATGAGGGGAGCGTATACCACCGTTTTTTGGCGAAGATAAAGGGCGCTGCGGGAGCCCAAGATGGGAAATCTTGCCGAAAAGGGGCCGAACTAAGCAAAAAAGAAAAAGAAAACAAAACACAAAGTGATTGGCGGTTGAGGGGCGGATTCAGTCATGTCAGCAGTCAAGTCAGTTGCTGTAGAATAGATACCCCAATTATGACAATGGTATACGTTTGGTGTTATCGTTCCTCTAGAGATGGTTGCCGCAAGGGTATTCCGATGTGAGCGGGTAACTCACAGATTCATGGGAGCAACTCGCGGTTCGGGAAAGTTGAAGCTGATGGCCCACTGCATACCACACATCACAACATTTACAATGAGACTGGAAAATATGTGAACAACTCGCCGTTCAGGGAAAATTGGAGCTGAAGGCCCATCGCATTAAAGCCGGCAGTCCAATATATATCACGTGAAGCCATTTACAATGAGACTAGATAATAATGTAATAAAAAAAAAGGCGAGTCATTTTGAAGTCATCTACGGCATCACTTTCCAACTACATACAGCACCGGCCACCGGCTTTTGTCAGTGACTTGTGAAGGGGGGGGTAAATCGTGTCCCAAAACTCCCAGCCGACCACCACCAAGCGACTGACTCACTTGGGAACCGAAACGCACTTTTTTTTTTTTTGTTCGCCTGCTTTGGTATAATCAACCAGCCAACTTGTTAGTTCACACCAAGTCTCCCCTCGTGACGAGACGGTAGACACCGTTTTCGAGGCGGTATGCGCCCGGCTTTTGCGTTCGCACAAGCTCCTGGAGCGCTGGGCTTCTCTTCGCCAACAGATCGTTTTCACTTTGCAACACAAGCAGGTTTCGTAGTCCGCCTCTAGCCTCGGAGTGCAACTTCCGCAGCAATCTCTTAGTGATGTCGTCCTCGTCCTGACCGTCTTTGCGGATGACGACCCAGGTTGCACCGCCGAGACGAGCAGTCACGACGCCCGACAAAAGACCAGGGAAGAGCCAGGGGTACTGCAGAATCTCGGCCTCGAAGGCGTTGATCGTCTCACGAGCCAGGGCAGTGTAAGCCTCGTCGCTGAGGGTGACACCAAGGCGGAAGAGGTTAGAAACGGAGACAGCGTTAGTGGAAGGAAGCGCCGTGTCCATGCCGTCCTTAAGGCGAAGGATAGTATGCGGCGCGTTCTCGGCAGTGGTGTAAAAGGCACCGCAGGAGGAGCGGGAGGCGGGAGGTTCGGGGGCGGAGGTGCCGATTGAAGGGCTGTCGTAGAAGATGTCGATTTGAACCTCTGTGAGCGTGTTAGTGGGATCCGTCAGTCAGGATGAAGCACGACCTACTTTGAAGCTCATCCGCAAACTCGATCCACGTTTCCTCCCCTGTGGCTTCGTAAAGATCAATAAGACCCTCGATGAGATGAGCATAGTCGTCAGCCAGGCCCTTGGTGTCGCCTCGGCCCTCGTTGTATATTCTGTAGAGGAGCTTTTCCTGCTCGTCCCACATGTTGGCCCTTATGAAAGCGGCAGCCTTGCCTGCTGCCTCAAAGCATGCCCTGCTCCTGGCGGGGTCAATAGACAAGAGCGCTGATCCGGTTCTCGCAAGAACGCCGATAACAAGTCCATTGCGCCCAGCAACAATCTTGGTATCAGCTTCGGGCCGAATACGCTCCCTTTCTCTGTGCGCCTTGAGCTTCTGCCTCGCCGAATCCAGAACTCTCTGCACCTCGTCGGTGGTGATGCCCGCCTGTCGTCCGATCTCGCTCTTATCCTTGACAATGCGCAGGATGTTCTCGTTCACAAACTCGTCGTTCGGGTCCTGGTCAGGCTCGATGTTGCCGTGCTCAAGGACGTTCCAGTAGGAAGCGGCCAATGCTGCCTCGTGGTCGTCACCGATGACGGCGTCAAACTCCCTGCGCGTCCACAAACTGTAAGCTCCTTCTCGCAAGTGCCTATCCCCGCGACGGTACGAGTCCGCGGCCTCGCTGGAAACGAAACCACCGCTGGGCAAGCAGATAGGAGAGGTCGTCAGGTAATCCACCAGCTCCACCACAACGTCGTGGAACTCTTGGTCCTTCTCGCCGCTGCTGGCAATCAACCACGCATCCAGGTACAGGCCGAGGAGAAGGGCGTTGTGGACCACGAGCTTCTCGAAGCGAGGTACGCTCCAGTCTGCTGTTACGGAGTATCGTGCAAAGCCATGGCCTCCGACGTGGTCACGCAAGCCACTGTCGCGAATCTTTCGCAGCGTGAAGAGAGCCATCTCGGCGGCATGGGCGCACTCAGTCTCGCCAACAACATCCTGAACAGGCGCGATGTACCGAGGAAGGCGCAACAGGAAGGACAGCTTCGGCGGGGTCGGGAACTTGGGCGCAAGGCCGAATCCGCCGTACACGGGGTCAAACGTGCCCGCGATATGCGTGTAGGCCTCTTCCAACTGATCCAGGTCAAGCTCGCTCGACACCGCCGCAGCCGTCCTGCCTGTTCCGGGATGCTCCAGTCCGGTCTCAGATCTCGCGAGTGTTGCGGCTTGGGAGCCAGCCACGCCGGGCGCCACAGTACCGCTGGTTCCAAGGGTCCCTTCGGCGGCGAAATCGTGCAGCTTTACGACAACCTCCTTCGCCTCCTGCCTGCACCTGGCCTCCTGCTCCTTCCAGACCTTTTGCAGCTTTCGCAGGATAGCCAAAAAGTCTAGACGCTCGTCGTCGGCAGAGTTGCTGCTGTTTGGCTCCGGGGCGGGGTAGTAAGTGCCGCCGAAAACAGGTTCGAGCTCAGGGGTCAGGAAGAGATTTAAAGGCCAGCCGCCGGATCCGCTGACGGCCTGGACGTAGTTCATGTATATCGTGTCGAGCTCCGGGCGCTCCTCGCGGTCGATGATGACGGGGATGAAGGACTCGTTTAGGATTTTGGCACATTCGGAGTGGGTAAAGCATTCGGTGGATGTGAGTCGGGAATCTACAGATTTTGTAAGCGCATGCCAAGATATTACGGTCGTCACACCACTTACAGTGGCAGGCCTTGAAGCCAATGTGGAGGAAGATCAGCTTGTTTTCCTTCCTCGCTCTCTCGATCGCCTCATCATCGAGGAGTTGCCAGGCGACGCGGCCCTCTGCATGGCTGCGAACATAAGGGCTCTTGCTCTGTCCAACCCGGTTAACCAATGGCGCAGCCACCGGCGCGTCATTCTTCAGCGCTGCCGTGAGCTGTGACGGCCCGGCCATCTCAGCCCGCGCCGCCTGGGACAACTCAGAGGCGACCATGGTGAAGCACTGTATGGAAAAAAGGTGTTGGAGGGGGGGGGGGGGTGGAGAGAAGTGGTGAAAGGTCCTAGGCGGTTGACGAGATGCCTTTGGCTCCGTAACCCCCTAAGATATATGTTGTGGGTTGTAACCAGTAGAAACTCGCGGAGTTGGTTCGAAAGCCACGATCACGAGATGATTTCTCGAAAGCGGCTGGCCGGGGTCTAAAACGTGCCGGTCAATGATACAAAAGGGAAGTGATGCAGCTTGTCGAGCAGGCCAGGAAAGCGGCAGTAGTGCGTGTTGTACAGCAAGTCGGAGAAAAAACGAGTCATGCGGTAGTCGATTCGAAGTTTTCCAGAAAAATGGTGTTCCTACACGGGTGCCGGCTGCATTCGTGTGTGGGAACTATTGGCGACCCGTTAATGTTGGACAATCCAGCGGTAAGAGGCTCGAAATACTTTAACAGCAAAGGTGGTATCTGGGAGGGAGACTAGACGTCACTGCTGCAGGGCACTGAATGGTTATTCGGTACCTGAGCTGAGCTGCCCCACCACATGCTTATCGCCGAATGAGGGGTATATATTAGATAAGCACTCTAGTGTGAGCTAGGCAAATAACGTTAGTGGCTGTTCAGAGGCTGTATCCGCCTTTTTTTTGTGAATTTATTTGGTATGCGCGGCACCCAAAAGAATTTTGGTGGTGCGTGTATTTGAACATGATGATGAAATCATACCCACAGCCAGAAGGACGTTAATTATCTCCTCATTTCTCGACACAAGACGTCGCATTCAAAACATCAAGCTTTGAGCTTGACTTCCGCTCTGATTCATGCATGCGCTCTTCCATTGATCGGTTGGCATGTTCCGGCGCAGCTTTCGCGCAAATCTCGGCGTGACTCGCGCGTTTACCGAGCTCCAAGACCGGATTTTTCCAGGGTTGAGGTTTCAACTACGACCAAGGAGAGCGGCGCGTCGATTAATTAACTTTTTTTATCTTTTCTTTTCTTTTATTTTTTTATTTTTTCTTGTAACTATTTGGGCTGAAATCCCGACATCCGAACTCGCAAGGTGAGCCTAAATGCCACCTCGCTAGCTAACCCCCGATCTTCACACGCCTGGTATCATTTCCTGAACGAACTCAAAATCAAACGAGGGTATTCCGCATCCCACAATGTCAAATCATTAAATTACTTGTTCTTGTTCTTGTTCTTGTCGCAATCAACTCGAAGAAATGGTTTCGTTAGGACCGCCATCCTTTTTCTCGGGAGTGACCGCCCGGGGAGTAGGCTTTTCGCTGGCTGCCTCGCCCTGAGTGATGGTGTGCCGCGTCGGCTTCTTGCCTGATAGCATCGACTTGACGGTGTGAATAAGAGTGGCGCGGCCTTCGAAGATGGGGAACAATCCGACCGCGAAGAAAGAGCAGAAGATCCAGAGGATTCCGACGGCAACCCAACCCGTGAAGAAGGGCTTACTGAAGACGTAGCCTGAGCCGTACATGGGCATTGGCCACAGCACGAGCATAGCGATGGTCCTAGGAGTGATGTTAGCGTCCGCACAGACTACGGAAACCCGTTGGGGCAACTTACATGAAAGCCGTCATGGAAACAGAAATCTTGAAGGCACGGGAGAGCATGGCTTGTTCGCGCTCAAACTCGGCCTGTGTCTCTTGATGACCGCCTTGTACCTCCTCGAGATCCAGGCCTGCATCGTTGGCAAGGTCGTGGTCGTCGCCTCTGCGGATCGCCATCATCGACTTCCAGTCGTACTTGTCCATGCCGAAGAGCAGGGTGAAGATGGGAATGAGGACAATGGGAGATAGCAGAGCGATGACGTTGCCAGCAAGCATGGGGTTGTTGGAGCCCGTGCAGGTAACATCCAGAACACCGCACGTCTTCTTGGCCGTCACGAGCCATCCGATGATGGCAAAGATGGTTCCAAAAATAGGCGAGAGTGTCGCCGCCCACTTGTTCTGGCCCTTCCATACCAGTGTCAGAGTAGCCGGCAGCACAGCAGCGGAGATGAGGACGCCCATGAGGACGTAGAGGTATCCCATGGAGATGCCATTGTAGAACAGTCCAACGGAAACGGAGCTGATGATCAGCGCGTAAATGACGACGCACACGTGTGACATGTAAATGAGACGCTTGCCGCTGGCATCGGGCTTGAAGTAGGTGCGGTAGATATCGTAGGTGAAAATGGAGGACACGGCGATAAGCTCGGCGGAGCTGGCAGAGGTGACGGCCATGAAGATCATGAGAAGGGTCGCAACAGCACCGCCCTTGCCGAGGAGTGCAACGGCGGCATACGGAAGCGCGAGGCCGGCCGAGACCTCAGCTTCGGTCATGCGCTCGGGGAATGTGGGGAATCGGGGGTTCGACTCGAGAGCGAGGGCAGAGAGACCCATGGTCGTGGCCGTCAGCCAAGGGATTGCGAACCAGGAGAGACCACTATTCGAAAAAAAACGTCAGCGTCAAAACAACTGCGGTGCAAAGAGACTTCATACCCCAGAATGTAACCTGGCAGGGCGTGAACAGGCGAAGCGGCGATGGCTTTGTTGTAGTATCCGTTGTCAAGGAAGACGGTGCCAAAGTTACCCACTGGTCAGGTCAGCATGTTATTTTCTGGCCAAGGTCATACAGTGGTTATTTACCGATGTTGATGACGAAGAACTCGACGCCACCCTGAGACTTCATGGTCAAATACGATCCATGAGCGTTACCCGCGACGGGATTTCTGGTAGCTGCCTCGACAAGAAGGTCATAGACCTTGGAGGGGCTTCCCAGCACATCGGAGCTGGCATACGCAGTCAAAGAGAAGAGAATGATGATGATCAGCAGGATGAAAGTGTGAACCCAGTCGGTCAGGAACGTCGCTTTGAGTCCTCCAACGAGGGTGTAAGCGACGACGCCAACAGGCAGGAGATAGATGGCAGCAACGGTGTGCCTAAGAGATGTTAGTTTTCATTTCACAAAAGATGGATCACTCAAAAGCCGACAGTTTTGCTTGGTGGGGAACCACTTACATGCCGGTCAACGCGTTAACAGTTGCAGCACCTCCCACAATCAACATGAGGGTGACGAGAATGTTCGTCATCAGGCCGAAGATGATAAAAACGATGTGGGTGACAGTGCCGTATCTCGCCTTGATGACTTCCAGAAACGTGTGGGCGTTGGGCGCTCTGCGCTTGAGCTGGATGGCGAGCGTCGCGAAGAGCAGAATCTGAACCGTTGCTCCGGAGGCGTACCAGAACGGCCCCGAGACGCCGTACCTATAACACACGCCGGAAGACTGGAGGAGGGTCGCGGCCCATGTCCATGACGAGACGACTGCGGAACCGACAAGACCAGATTTGACTGTTCTGCCGGCTGTCGTGAACATTTCAGAAGTCTGCAGCTCCCTGTTGTATCGCTTGAGAACGTATGTCGTGGCGATCTGTACTAATTAGCACGTGAACGAGATGTCAACGGCACTTCTGAAGAGACGAACCATTCCAATGGCGAAGAGAAGACCTAAGCCGAGGACGATGCCGTAGCCGACACCGGCGCTAAGTGCTGCTGTCACCATCTTTGGGCGATTTCTAATGCACTTTGTTCGATGGTCGTATGATGCTCGCAAGCGTACGAACTCTTGGTCAGTGGATGCCAACAGCTTTGAAGTCTGGGCATAGAGACGTATATGTATCCGTCCGCCAAGTGGCCCAGACCAGACTGACAGCAAGGGCCGGCGGCAGTATCAATATCAGAACATGGTCCTTCGGTTATCGGGGCTTAAACTAATGCATCTACCCTTGCTTCCCCCATGTGCCAGGAGAGACAGAGACACACACGAGTCCCCCACAGAGGCAATGGCCCAGCCCAGGGTATTGCTGAATCGCATCATATGTGAGACCTATGCACGGGGTCTTGGGGGGCTGAACGGCAACCATGGTTACACTAGTCCCCGTCAAGATCTTGGGATGGAAACTCAGTGTTAGACACAACGTGCCAGAAACGCGGTGCCGAAGACTACGGCATGCAGAGGGAAGATAAGGCCAAAATTCAATCAGTCATAGAAATGGTGTTGCTTCTCTGCATGTCTCGAGCCAATGGGCAGGCAGCACAGGTGTGACATTGAGAATCTGCAGCCAATGGGACCCTAGACACATGCTTGTTTAAGCAGTATATGTGGCAAAGGATCCCGATACGGATTTTCATCTTACTGGAACGATACTGAAGGGAAAGGGCTGTTTGTGGAGGAAATGGATGCAGATGCTGGCCAATGCCTGTCTACGCTGCTACTACGGTTCCTGGTTCCTTGACGGATGAATTCTTCCATGTGATACGAGTGGTTAGTTCCGAACCAGTAGTAACAATCAGAAGCTTTTCCTTCAGATTATTCAAGGGAACAGGAGCATCCAGCTGGTACGTTAATGTGCTATAATAGAGTACCTACGCTGAAAGCTTAGTCCCGGCTGGGACTAACGTATGGGATGAATCAGAACAATCTATCCCAGTCTTCGATACACAAGTGAATCTCACAACACCATCTGACGATCTTCAACCAAGGGCCAAGCAACCGGTTCGTACATATTCAGTATCACATTCAGTGCCGAAGGAGAGAAGAGTTAATTGTGAGCCAGCGGGCGCAAGGGGGTGGAAAGCGGCCGGCGGCCAAGAAATCGACTGATAAGGAAGTCAGCCTCTTCCTCCCTATCGTCTGGTAATTGAGTCAGTCGATTGGGCAGCGGGAGCGGTTGATTGCATCAGAGTTCAAATCGACGTTGCAAATCGCGCTATGTTATCAACAGAGGCTGACAGGGAGAAAGATAAGAAGTCGCGATGCGTGTGGATGGCGTGGAGAAAGGGGGGGTCCCCGGTAAGTGCACGGGCCATGCTCAAATGGCATCTCCGCAGGGGCCAAAAGAGCTTAGCACATGCAGACTTTCTCCCACCCACCACACACTTGGCCATCTTTGGTTAACCCTGGAGGATGGCTTATCGACATGAACCTGCTCAGAAATACAGTTTCACGTCTGAGTTGCTAGACATTAAAAGAAAATAAGCGTTGGTTCACTTCATACAGAAAGAGTACTATGATGATTGAAGGCGATGGTCCATTGTGGCCCCTCCCATCGCGAGCTGCAATGACAAGAGCAGTAACATCTATTCTACCTGGAAGCAAAACCGATACCTCTTCGGTAGGAGTCTATACAAGCTTTTGCAAAGACTTTTCCAAGAATACTAAGGCGAGCATGGCCCCGCCGTGGGGTTGCTTGGCCCAACACACATCTCGATTGTCTTGGAGGTGCCTACGAAAAGCCCAGCAGCCGTCCCACATTCGCCTACACATTCGCCTAGTCTGCGTCTGCGCTACGGCGACAGGGCTCGTAGCTAGAAGCTTACTCATACATATTCTCATAGTAGCAAGCACCTGTATCTCTGGCATCCCACGCTGGAGTTTTTAGCTCGCCACGCCAAGCCAGATGGCTTTATAGGCATGGCCGCCTCCTTGGTGGCTTGTCAGATTGATATCTCTGGCAGGCGTATTCATGAGAAATGAATATGACCAGACTTACACTGACAAATAACGGAGGTGTAGATTATTTTACTCATATCTTGTTGACAGGTACTCGATATCGCGTCTCCGGATTAGCATGCTACTGATTGAGATGAAGAAAAATCTCCTAGCATCATTTATTCCAACTGTCATTGTTCCACCAACCACGGTACATCTTTCAAGTTTCTACAACTACACGACTTGACAATCCAATCTATACAGATGCAATGGCTTGGATTCTATGTGGCCGCGGCCGTGCCGCCGGTCCGCGCTGCACATGCCAGGGTCCATATTATCCCGATCTTGCGGGCGCAAGCACTGATCGTATGCCCCGATAGAGGCACTTTAGGAGATTAAACGCTCAAAGAACGCATATGATACGACACTATTGCATTTGAGATCGCGCCGGCGGCCAACTCGTTCCCAGCCCACCGGGTCACTCAGAAAAAGGTTGGCCCCGATAGGGCAGAAGCCACTCGTACAAGGGAGGGGGCATGTATATGCGACTCGGGTGAATACATATATGGGGTCCCATTCTCCTGGAGTTGCTATAGATAGACAATAGCCTGTAAGCGTGTTCTTAAATGTTCAAGGTGTCAAACTCTTGAATGATGAAGCACTCGTCAGGCTTTGCATTTCAAGTTCCCTGCGCGGGCATGAGCTCTGTACAAAACCGGACATCTCTAGGAGGTCAGCGGTCGAAATTGAACAAATGAAAGGCTTTCCGTCGCTACCCTTAGCAGTAATCATGATTCTGAGCCCTGATAGCTGAGTCAACTCCAGCTTGCATAGGGCTTCCTTCTGCCCTACTGCGGGTTTCCTATTGGCCATGTCCTTTACACAACCCGATATGCACTACACTTCCATTAATACTAATCTTGCTTCATGTGAGGAGATACAACTTACTCAATAACAAGTTCATTCTGATACCATATGCCGCTTCCGACCCAGAGCGCCGCATTTACAGTCTCAGCCAACTTTTCTTCTGTTGCTGTCATGCTGATGAACATACGGTAAGAGTACCGTCTCGGGCCCGCCTTGATTTTGTTCTCGGATGGCACCAATGTGTCCAAAGTATCTGACGGTCCGGTCCATGACCCTCTGACCCTCATCTCGCATCTGTGTTGACGTATAGTTAGCTTTCTCTCCAAAAGTCATCCATCCCTGTCGACTTATGTTCCCAGATGGAAGTGCATTTCAAGGACATCATCTTACTGAACCGCGCTGTCATCATCACCTCTCTGGAGCCTGAAGGCTCCATTCATCCTTTGCGTTCCTCCTGTATTAGGGACCGCCTTGTCCAGATAATACCCACCGGCCTACGGTGTTTGATTAGAAGGGCCATGTCTGACTCATCAATTTTGAATTGTGAACGTACGACAACAACCCCTGAGCCAAACGAGCCGGACCATGAGCCCCCGATAGCCCTGGTCAACTCTACAGGATTCGAGCTACCAACAGCGGCGGCTCTCACGAGCTCATCATCAAAACGAATAGAAACCCGGAAATCAAAGTCGATGGACGGTGGTGGGATAGACGTGGCGGGGTGGGGGAAATGTGTCGCGGAGGCCGCCTCGTCGCCATTCTCGTCGGTACTTGGGCTCCTAGGACACACGTCAGCTTGATTACGATGGTCCAGTCCATGCCCACCAACACCACTCACATAACGTTGAATGAAAGATGGGTTGCTTCATGAACCCCCTCAAATAGGGAACACCTACCTCGAATCTTGCGCTGCATCTGCCAGGGCCCCTTCTTCTGCGAGGCTACCCCATCCGCCGTGGTGCCTGGCCAGATTCCTTTCCGGAAGGTTTTCAAACACCTTGGTGTTCCGTTCGCATATCCATGTCGGATCCCACTCTGTGTCTTCCATCCTCAACCTGGGGACCTGCGGCTTGCTCGACAGCCCCTGGCCGCTGCCTTTCCAGGAGCCGTGCAAGTGGCCAAATGGCGTAGATTCGTCACGGCCCATATCGATCATCGATATCCAGATGTATGTCAGCTCGAAGAGTTTGACTCAGAAACACGTCAAGAACGAATAAGAAGCCGCCGACGGTGTCCGCTGGGTGATGAGCTACGATGATCAGCGTCTTCAAAAAAAAGCACGTCGGAACGAAATGCATGGCAAAACTCGCGGGAGACTGGTCGGCACAGCATGAAGAAGCACTAAAATATCACTGCCTAGCGCGATCTCGATTTGCAATGGAACTGATCCATAATCAACCGGGCGGCATTAGCGCCGACCGGTATGAGGGGGACCGGCAAGCCCACCGCGGGGCGACGCGCACCCTTAAAAGTCGGGGGGATTATCGCCCCGGCCCCCGCGAACCACGGCCCGACAACAGCGCCACAAACCGGATCCTGCACACCACTCGGCGCCCGTCATTTCCTCGCTCCTCCACAGGAGCGGAAATGAAGCAGACAACCAGAATTATCTTTTCCCCCGTGGGCAAATTATCGTTCAGCCGCTGCTGGGGTTTTTTTGGGGGGGAAAGAAAAAAAACACGTCAAGGGCACGCCTGGCAGCTTTTTGGGGGTCCGAACCCACTGTCTGGTAATGTACATGGTAAACGGCCTAGAATACGGCCGACTCCGACTCATGTCTGTATGCATGTGAGACACCAATCAGTAGTTTGCGTGGATTGAAAAGGTTCCAACGGCAGGAAACCTGTGCCTCATAAGCACACGCTGTGGGTAATGCGTCGTCCGACTGTTGCGGTTATGGGACTTTGGAGCATCCAGTCATGAAATCGAATCATTGATCACTCAGCCTCTGCAGCCGCAGACAATCTGCATACCTCCCTGCACTATTACTTCTTCGCCATGCGAAACTTTGGTTTGTCTTGTGTTCCCCTGCCGGCTTATAAGCGGTTTTCATTTCCTTATTTTGATGCCAATTGGTCTTGGGAGAGAAAAGTCTACATAAAATGTTAAAAGTGGCCACGGCAAGAATCATGAAGGCCACCAACCAAGCGTTATATCCTCTAATATGTCACCCAGTTGACAAGTATAGTCATGAAGGCGTGGCCAAGTTGTCACATGGGCATCTACACGCGAATACAATGCACGAACAGGCTCTAATGCCACACTGCAAGATTCGCCGCCCAGTTCCAAGAATGTAAACCAAAAATGCGGCCTCATATCAGATCAAACAGCTTCCAAAAAATTGAATTATCTTATTTTTCTTCAAAAACAGGAGTGACGCCCTTCTTCAAAATAATGTTACCGTACTTCCTGGTCTCGCCCGTCGCCACAATGGCAAACGCCTTCTTCGACCTCTCATAGAACGCAAACCGCTCCAGCATCTCAATCTGGCCGTCGTACTTGAGCGCCTTCCTGAAGTCGCCCTCCACACTCGCGTCGGCCGTGTCGCCCTTGACGACCTCCATCATGAGGACAGGCACGACGCCGTAGTTGTCCAGCTCGAGGAGCGGCGAGATGCCCGCCAGCAGCCTCGACACGGTAATGCCTAATCTCGTACGACCTGTCAGTTTTTTCATGATTTAACGGCGATGCTTCTCTTGCAGTTGAACTCACCGTCAGCTCTCAGGACGGGGATGTGAGGCGGGCAGATGGAGTGAGAGGGGAAGTGGGCGTCGGCGAGCAGAATCTCGTCTCCGTGACCCATCTCGGCCAGGACCTTGAGGAGGTCGGGCGAGATGACTGGTGAGATTCCCTTCAAGACCATTTTTTGATGTTTTGTGTGATGCGTGTTCTATCGAGGTAAAAGAAGAAAATATGAGAGACAAGCTGAAGGAGGCCTAAGTGTCTTTTTTTCTCTCACTTTGACTTTTGACGGTCTAAGATGTCCCCACGACCCGTTTCGCAAAAAGTGGAACCAAAACTCCCCAGACACCAGATCTGATAATGGCTCAACTGCCGCGTGGAGACTCTGCAAGAAAATGAATGCAGCAGACCTGAAGCTTTCATATGGAATGACATGTTCTATTGCGGAAACTTGTGTGTATACGAATACTCCCAATAGCCAGCAGACTCGAGCCGCGTTGATCTGCCAAGCCCCGGGAATGGAAACCAAACATTCCTTCGCCCTCGTCGCATTCAACCCAACACAGCCCAAGGCTTCTTGTACCACCTCAACCTGTCCTCGAAAGTCACTCCCATCCCCCTCAAAGTCTCGTCTTGACATTCCATCCAGTCGCGTACCATATCCTGCACATCTGCCACGACCGTCTTGTCCGCCGGATGATCAGCCTTGATTAGCAAATCTCCAACGAGCTCAAGACGCAGGTAATCCGCCAACGACGGCTCCTCGGCAGTCATGACATCGTTCAAACGACCCAAGCGTAGAGCGACCCGCGTGAAATCTTCCTTCTTAGGCGTTCTCATGACCTCGTCCTTCAGACGCGTGAAGTCGCCGTGGTAAGGTAAGCGGCGGGTAGCCAGCCGGTCAATGTGAGCCGACAACTCCGATACGAGGGCATCGATATCCTCGGCCGACGCCGGCTGCTTGGGCGAAGAGCAAGGGATAGGAAGCACGGCAAGGCTCAGCTGGAACTTGTTGGGCAGGTCAAGCGGACGTCCCGCCGCATCGGCGCCTTCGGTCTTCTTCTTCTTTTTCTCCTTCCGCAAGCGGACGTCCTCGACCATGGCGATTATGTCCCGCGTCAGGGGGACGCAGTTGTCCCGCCAGCTCTCCCACTCCCCGCGCCCGTGGAACCTGTTCTGGCGCAACCGGTTGATCAAGTCATCAAGCGTCTCGAAGTCGCCCTTGGAGATGAGCCGTGCCGCGGCCTCGCGCACCAGATCCTGCATCATGCGGACGGTCACCCCCTCCCCTTCTCCCAGTTGTTTCGGGACAACCTCTTCTTTGGGACGCTGTAGCTGGAGCGCGGCGAACTGGAGGCCGAGCCCGAATGCCGCTGCTCCAGGCTGGTCGAATTGCCGCAGCCAGTGCTTGCCTGCGTTGGAGGCGACTAAATCGTGATTCTTCTTAATCGCTTTTGTGGCGCTTGCAATCTCTGGCGGCGGGTCGAGGTTGAAGAGCACGATGTCGCGCAGCATCTCAAAGAGCGAGGCCGGCATGTAACTTATCCAACCTGTGGCAAACCGTTCAAGTACGCTGGGGCTCACTGGCCATCTGGGTAAGGGTTCACCGGTGCCTGTTGTGAAGTTGTTCTTCTTGAGGAAGAGGTCTATCCAGCGGCTGTTGTTCACGGCAGACTGTTCCAGTGCGTGGCTAATGAGCTTTGCAATCCTCGGCTTGTCGTCCGGGTTGAGCTTCGCGTTGTGTGATTGCTTAAGCAGCAAATCCAAAAGCGGTGTCTCCTCGCCGACATCAGGTAGCCCCGTAGCCCAGTCCTCCTCCGTAAGAGGTCGTCGCTCACTGAGCTGCGCGGTAGCGGGCACGATGTAGGTCTCTAGCGCGTCAAGAACGCGAGCACGCAGCTCCGGCGGGCAGTTCGGGACCTCCATCGTGCTAATCAGGCTGCTGACGATGGTGATTCTGGCATCGATGTGTCTTGCCTCCGACAGCAGTGAAACGAGGATGTCGCAAGACAAGTTCACGCTGATGAAGGGGTTGTTTTCCAACACCTGTGCCATCATCTTGATCGTCGTAACCTTGATCACCGACGGCTGCGGCTTGCCGTCCACCGCCAAGGGCCGCGCATTCTGCTCCCGCATCTTGTCTCTGAAGGCGCTGGCCATGCCCTCCAGGAACTCCCGGGCCGCTTTGGCAGGTAAGGAAGAAAGGAACCCGACGTTGACAAGCTGCCTGTGCCACGAGCTGTTATCGTCCCCGTAGAGAGTCAGGTCGCGGATGAACGGGATGGCCAGGGACGGCTGGTCGCTACGGGCAACGCGGAGGACGATATGGACGACGCTGCCCATCTGTACTCGTAGTCTGTCGGGCCCGAGGCGAGCCTTCATCCTTTCTAAGACAAAACGGGCGAGTTCCGCTACCATCGCAGAGCTCACGCCCAGGAGCTTGTCGAGCACGTAAATCCCCGAAACTGCCCCGTACGAGGCTGCCACAAGTGCCTTGGACGCGGGTGTGTATAAGAGCGCTTCCACCTCGATAAGGGCGTCCATCGTGGGCTTCCATAGAACCCTTGCAATCTCTGTGAGTTGCTCGTCACGATCCTCCAACTTTGTCATCTCGTGGAAAAATTCGGTGGTGCTCTTTTTAAGTCGGAGGTCTGCTATGGCCTGGGGGAGTTGAAGCAGACTACGCCATGACGAACTGTCGAACGACGGTTCTTGAACGGCCATGGTCGCGGTCTCAACGAGGTTGACGAGAATCATGTTCGCGAGGCCGACGTCTGTCTCTACCGACGAAGCTGTAGCAGCTGCCGCCGCCGGTGTGTCACGCTCCGGGACGGCGCACAGGAGGGCCTGGAGTTCCGCGGTCTCTAGGATGTCGGCGCCGAACAGCTCTCTCGAGGCTAGCGAATCCTTGATAAAGCGGCGCGCCCAGATGACCGCGCTCCCCAGTGACTCCAGGTCACCCGCAGCGACGCATAGACGCAGTGCTGACTTGGCCCAGAAGGCGCGGTCTATTGCTTCGCGTGCTTGCAGCGCCTTCTTCCTCCTCTCCTTCACCAACTCGCGAGCTCTGTCGCGCCATGCCGCCTCGCCAAACGCAACTTGGGATTTCTTGGCGAGGAGAGACCTGATAATCTCGGGATCTGCATGGCGACTTCCACTTGGGATTCGGGTCTGCTTCAGCACTGTCCTCTCGTAGGAACCAGTGACGGAAGCAATGAAGTCGCCACTAGGATGGGCCTCGGCAAGTCTCTCAAACAAGCGTCTTGCGTTCTCGACGTCGATGGAAAAGAACAGCTTCGCAGGCCACAAGTCGCCCTCCACGGGTAGGCTTCGCAGTCGAGCCAGGCCCTGGTCCGATCCATCGTCGATGTCGATGCCGTAAGTCTTGATGTGTCGGAATACCAGCCGAAGGAGCTCGTATCTCGCCTCCGGGCTCTTGATTATGCTGATTAGTCGATGCAAATCCGCCAGATCGAGCCTTCGTTTTTCTGCGGGGTATAGCTCAAGCAGCACCACCAAGTAATCCTTCAGCTGTTCCTTGCTTTCCGCCGGCGCCTCGTTCCACCGGTGTATAGTGTACTGGATCAGTCCGCCTTGGCCGACGTGCAGCTGGCTGACCAGCTGATCGGGGAATTTCTGGATGGACCGAATCACGTAGTCCAGGAACTTCACACGGGTCTCGATATCAGCCCGTTTCTTGGCGAGACGCTTCAGCAACGGCATGGCAAACTCGTCGAAGAAGTCGTTCGGTATCACCACGTCCCCCTCTATCGCCAGGAGCTTTTCCAGAACCTTTTCGCATAACAGCAGGTTCCCGCCAAAAAGCTTCCTCTCATTCTTGAACTTGGTATCAACCGCGTCGGGCGTGAATATCTCGGCGAGAAACTTCTCCTCGTATCGTCCACGGTGCCCAAGCGCTACCGCCTTTTGCTGGAAAGGAGTCCACTCGACTCCCTTCTCCTCCCACTCTCTCACCACCTCCAGCTCACACGCGGGCACGATGTCCTGATAGAATTTCCTTAACGGCCTGTTGTCCTGCGGCTGCTCAAAGAGAAGCCTCACAAGCTCCCCGAGCGCCGCCCGTCTCTCGGCCCTCACATTTATCGTCGACGAAGTGCGTCCCAGCTTCTTGCAGAGCATTTGTACGTCGTACACGCTGAACTCGGCCATGAGGGCAGCGAGGCCCGCGGCTCCGCCAACGGCCGCCCATAACGGGTGGAAGTAGTTTTTGCGCCGGAGTGCTTTGCCGAGGGAGATGATGGCCGAGATGCGATTACCCGCGCTGGAGGTTTGCCGCAGGGATTCTGCGATTTCTGTAGCGCTGGCTCGCCCCATGTTTATTGATATGAATTAAAACTGGTGAAGCCGATGAAGCGATTGTGTGTGTAGTAGATGATTATTTGGCTAAACGCTGAAAATCGTGTAAACTTATATACACCTTTTGAGACCAAAAAAAATGTGAGTCAACATTCCTGTCTTCGTCTTCCAAGAACAATACAGTAAATGCACTATTGTCATTGAGGCCAAGCCGAGGTTGGGCGGAGAACACGAGCTTTCCTGAATTGTGACTCTATTCAGCCATGTGCGAGTGAGGCACGGGCTGACTCAGAGTGCCATCGCAGCTCACCCAAATAGACACGATCGATCGGGTGAGAAGCCAACAGACCGTTGCAAAATACCGTATTCGTCTCGTATCTGAGGCCAAATTCTATAAAACAGTGATGCGCATTCTAACCAGTCACCGGCGTTTCCACGCCGCCCAAAAAGGGGAAAAAAAAAAAAAAAAAAAACCAAGGCACATGCGCTGCATACCGGACCAACCGCGATGATTGAAGCGGGCGATGACGGGCTAACCTTCATCTTCTCATCCCCTACCGCATCTCCCCCCTATCTTCGTCCGATCTTTTTCGTCTCTTGTTAAGTCAGATATTCCAGGAAGAGCCGTCGGTAAGTGACACACACACTCCACCCAGTCGTCCGAACCACAGCCTCAACATGAGCCGCCTCACGTTTCACAATGAAGGAGCCGCCAATATACAGCAGACACCCCAACACGCGCCATCGAGTGGCGGTGCGCAGAACGGTTTTTTGGCTCAGGGGGGGGAGCCAAGTTCATAAAGGAGACAAGGCAACTCATAAGTAGGCAGGTCTCTCAAAAAACGAAAACATCAGTTTCCTCATTTCGCTTCAACAACTTTAGCCGAGCTAAGACAACGCTGCACCCGCGCCCTCATATCAAACTCCATATCACGGAGCCTCAACTCACGACGATCTACATATACGAGAGAAAGCAGCCAAGTCCGCAAAGCCGATGGGTGAACGATCATTACTCATCCTGCTCGGGACCAGAACAACATTACACACGGCAAGCAAGAGTACAAAGTATCACTCAAGAGCGACCTCAATCACGAGCGAATTCGAACCCGATATTGGTTTGCAAAACCACAAAAAAGATGGATCTAATAGACCAACCTAACCTCCCTAAACCGAAGCTCAAGTCGAAAACGATAGGTACAAAGAACCAAAAGTTTCCATAAACGAAGTACCACGACCTGACAGATGAGTCAGTCATCAAGTGATGACCACTCCAACTATCAATGGCCGGGCGATGAATCGAAAAAAAAGAGAGCAATATTCCATGTTGGGATTGTTCCAGTTTCCCATAAGATTTTCTTGTTCCGCGCCAGATCCGTAAATGCATCATCATCAATTTCCAGTATCCTCGAATCATGTTCTCAGCCGGCGCGGCAAGGCCAAAACGCGAGCTATCCATCACGCAAGTGCCGCATGGAGATTTGTGAAGAGAAAGTTAACTCATGCCATTCGTTGGCGACCAAAGCGCATGATTCAAAGGGTCCCATCAGAGGGGACGAAGGAGATCGGAAAAAAAGGTTAAGCGATCCCCTGATAAAGTACAGCTGTAGAAGTGAAGAAACGCCTCGCTCATTCGATCGAGTCCATCTGCACCCGTACCCAGTGGTCGCGTCGCAAACAAAATACCAGATCTGCTTCAAGCGGGCAATGTGAAGGGTGCAAGTGCATTTTGGGCGAGTCCAAAGAGGTTCTCAGTCGCGCGCCGCTTAGTTGCCGCTGACGGTGGCAGCGCCCTGGGGAGGCAGGACATTCTTGGCGAAGCTGCCGATGACGTTACCTAGGTCGTGTTAGCAAGAAGACCTGGAGAACAAGTGCGCCAAGATACATACCCTGCTTCTTGTAGTTGCAGACAGTGTACCAGCTACCAATGGAGCTGAGGGTACCGGCAGCGCAGTACTGAACGGCGCAACCAACAGTGGCGGTATCAACCCAGACCATCTGGGAGAAGTGACCCCACTTAAGGAAGTTGGTCATGTCAGGGCTGTCCTGGCCGTAGCCGGTGTAAAGGTTGAGCTCGCCGTTGTACCACTGCTCAGTGATAGCCTTCTGCGCAGCCTTGGCGGCACCGAGGGTCTCAGAGCCAGTGGCACCCCACATGGCGAGGTTCTGGCCGTAACCGCCACCTCCAGTGGTCCTACTATTTGTTAGTTATTTGTTACCGTGTGATGGAGCTGGAGGGCATCTTACATGTCGTGCTCGAAGACGCATGTCTTGGCAGTAATGGCAGCGTAGCCGGCAATCTCACTGTCCCAGGTCAAAGCAGGGGCAGAGTGGTTGGAACGGTGAATGTTGTGAGAGTTGATGCAGGCAGTCTGGAGGTCGTCGGTGGCAGGAACGCTCGGGGCAGCAGCCTGGGTAGTGGGGGCGACGGGGACCGGCTCAGGAGTGGGCGTAGGAGTGGGAGTGGGAGTGGGAGTCGGGGTAGGCGTGGTCTCGGGCTCAGGGACGACCACGGGGGGGATAGAAGGCTCGACGACTGTGGGCTTGGGGGGGTCGACGGTGACCGTCTCGTAGATGGGGGCGGGGGCCGAGGGCTCAGGCTCGGGAGGGCTGCTAACGGGAGCCTCGTAGACGGCGGGGAGGGACGGGGTAGGAGTAGCCACAGGTACACCCTCAGTGACGGTGACGGTGACATAGTCGATATCCCAGATGGTCTCCATGGCACGGGGATCAAGGACGCGGGGGTCGATGGCACGACCCATGACAAGGGCGGCGCCGGAGGCGACAAGAACGATGGAAGATCTCATTTTGACGGTTGGAAAGGTTTGATCAACGAGGAATGTCTAAAAAGATGGTCAGCTTCGCCTGCGAAGTATAGAAGTGTAAAGAACTGGGGTATATGTTTCAAAAGAATGGATAGTATTCGCATGAATGAATGTGCAAGTGAGGTAATAATGAAGCAAGAGGAGAACGGGATAAAGTGAAGCAAGAGGGAACATCTTCAGTCAACGTCAGATTATATCTGTGGCTTGATATATCTTCTTGAGCTTGAGTGAGATCTTCCGGTTGCGACACAACGGCGTGCCACCGGCAAGCCTTGATGATTCAGACTCCCCACCGGCGACATCCTCATTGTTCGGGAGACCGAATCAAATGGATTGAGTGCCACGTGACCAGCAAGAAAAACGAACAAAGACTATTGTTCAGAGGAGACTGCGTTACGTGGTATGCAAATGTCTCGCAGGTGGTATTTGCCAACAATAGTATTGGCGTGCGAAGAATGACGAAAAGACAATGGGGGGATCGAGAGGGGCTAGACTAGCCACTAACCTTGATGATTTTGTCTTGAGTGTCTTGGAAGATTCGCGGAATCTAGCAACCTAGGATCCTGTCCGGGTGATTTTAAGAGTTGTTGCGGCGGGTACAAATTTGAGTAATTGGATTGACGATGCAAACGTGATCCCGTGGGGTGGTTCTCAGAGCCAGCTTATGTGTGAGTGATGCAGCACTGCTGATACGGTTCCGTCAAGGACCTTGTGGTAGGATGGTTAAAGAGTGTGGTTGAACAACAGGAAAGACCTTGTTGTTGCTAGTTGGATGTATGTTGGACGAAGGAAGCCGTATGTTTTTGATTTTGGGTGGTAAGCCGAAAACAAAAACTCTCTCGATGAGAAGGTGTGAAGGAGTGACGATGCTAAGAGCAGAGAGCGTAAGTCAGGTGCCGTTAAGGAATGTCGGTAGCCTATCCTTCTATCCTGGAAGGTTGAGGTGCAGGAGAAAGAGGGGATTCCGACGTCAAGACCCGGGGGAAGACCTACTGGTTTTAAAAAGGAATGGACTGTGTCAAACACGACACGATGAGGCGACCGAGGCCGAAGGAGTGGAAGGCGGAGAAGTGAAGGGGGTCAAAGAAGTGGTCTCTTCGGGAGTGGTGAAGCAGAAGGAGAGACAAGACGTTGGCGGATGGCGAGGCCGGACTACTAAAAGGGAGCCAACAGGAGGAAGAAACCCGCACGACTGGGATTTGAGGGACTGGGCAACAGTCTGAGCGTGAATCCAGTGGTGGTCTAGTCGGGGGCCAGGGTGCAGGGGCTGGCGACCAGGGCAGCCGGCAGCGGCCCAGAAAAAGTGTGTAAGTAGTTTATTGCGAGTGCTTGGAGTAGTGGCGTGTGTGTGACGGCGCTGGGTTGTTTGGGGGGGTTAGTGGTGGTGTTGCTGCTATTGCGCTGCGTGGGTGCAGTAGACTGTGGTGGCGTGTGGACTATGGGAGGGGACCTTGGATAGCCAGGATGTAGCCAAGGGACCCAAGGCCAGGACGGGGTTGTGGCGCGCGGGCGAGTTTCCTCGGAGGAGTGGATATGTGTGAATAACGAACGAACAAGCGGACGGGACGACGGGATCGTTCAGTAAAGCTAAACCCTGCAGGAAAGGTGAAAGAAGGTAATGAAAAACATGGGACAAGCAGGTAAAGAGTGGAGGTAGCGGTGATGAAGGCAGGCGATCTGGAGGCGAGACAAGCAAGCATAGAGCAACCAAGATAATTAGTCTTGTTTGGCTTGTCTGGGGTGAACAGACAATCTGATCGTCCAACTGCCCTCCAAAAATGCAAATTGTGCAGGAATAGGTAAATACGCAGCAAGTACGGATAGGCAGGTACAATACGGATAGGTGGTGGTGCTAACTGCAGGAGGTGGATTTGGGGGTTGCTTTAGTGGCCAACTGTGGGGTGGCCATATCCCAAATTGTGTTGTTACTATGTAAGGGAAAGAGTGAACTTGGCTTGCATAGTACTCAAATAGTCGTCTTTCCTCTCTTTAGTCATTCCAGCGGTAACAGGCAAGACCAAAGGGGGCAAAATGGAAAGAAGCTTGCAATTTAGAGGAATTTGGAAGGCGGCACTGGAAACAGTGGCTGTTCCTTCCCTCATGCCTCGTGGGAATCAAAAACAGCAGCTTGGGCGAAACCCTACCATAAAAAGAAGCAATGTCCCACGGATTCAAGAATCCTTAATAGTAACATCAGCCACGAGTGTAAAGTCAAAGATCAAAAATAAATAAAAGAGCATTACAAGCGCGCCTGGCCTACCAACTTGTGCAATCAGCCCAAGCTGGGGCAGATCCTCGCAGCTGCACTGCACCACTGCATCTCTGCATCTTGGCCCCCCAAAAACCCGCTCTCTACAAGATACCCCATCGCCTGGTCAACTTCCTGATCTGGCCCGCCGAGCTTGCCGTACGAGGCTTTTTGCATACAGCAGGTATGCTTGACATGCCGCGTACACTCTTCTATATGTGCACTATCGCCCATAGATGCCAGTCTATCGAGATTAATCCGTTATTGCTCTGGTGCTGTCCTTGTACACGTCAACCCAGACCTTAGTCAGTGCAAGTGCAGTAAACCCCTCAACACTAACACTGCCCAGCTGTATCCAGGAGTCAGGCAAGTATCAAGGAGTCGCTGGGTCAGCTGCAGGAAAGTTCACGACTCAGCTGAGCGTCGTGAGCGCTGACGACTCTCTAACAGACGCGAGCAAACGTCTGATCTCCTCACCAGTCTTGATAGAGTCCCCTGACCCGGCCTCGTCTGGTTCCTCAGATGACAGCGCGGCAGCCTTGGCTGATACCGGCACCTCAACAGCCAGTCGTGTATCCTCAGGACCCCCAGTATTTACAATGGCGGAGTATCCGTTTGGAGGGGGAAAAGGGGGCTTGCAGATTTCTAGGCGTCTTTTTTTTTTTTTTTTTTTCTCCCCCCCAATATCAAGTAGAGCGTAGCGCTTCCTCGGCGTCTCGTCTCCTGGGCGTACGCCCCCCTTCTTCCCCCCTCACCCACGTCCCGATGAGTTCCCGGCATTCTTGACCAATCCCCTTACGGCGACTTGCAGGCGCCCTTTCCCCATAGGCCAATAACGAGTGATCTCATCTGGTACCTTGCAGATAGTGGGGTCTCGCCTTCCTTGATTGCTGCAAGGGTCAACCGGGCGTCTCCATCAAACAGCACCTGGGCCGGGGAGACCCACCTCTCTGAAACGGCCTTAATTTCGGTGGGGACCCGTTCATCCAGTCTTGCGTAGGCAATGGACTGTGCTTTCCCTCTCATCCACAATGTGTGTGTGTGTGCCAGGAATCCATCCACTTCTTAAAATTGTTTTCTCGATGGCGATGGCGCTTTTGCCGGGTCGATCACTGCAACGCTGCACTTACACTGTGCGTCAGCGCTGTCCCTTGTCCAAGCAATTGGCTTAACTTTATCAGCGCATCGACTTGGCTTCGACGTTCAGCTGCTGGTGGCTCACTAAATGATCTCATTACCCTTCATGTAGTCCCCTCTGCTGACTTCTCCACATCAACTGTTCTCGTCTTGCGACCACCGTATCATCGCTCACGAAATCTGCATGGTCTAACGGCCGATGACGACGAGGCTCGTCCAAACCTTGTACCCTTGCGCGGGGGCTGCGATGAGCGAGATGAAGCTGCAAAACTTTCCGCTCCGGTTCCAACATGATGCTGTTTTCTGGGGTACAAGCACTGCATCATATTAGCCGTGCCTGGTGTCCACAGCAGATGGATACCAACATGCAGCAATGCTATCTTGATGGTAAAGAAAATAACAATTAATTGCGATGAGAACTACGATGGCTCATACTCTCAGGATGCCAATATACCGGTCCAAGCTAAGGCACTCAGACAGATAACGTGCAACTGGTCCTATCCCCCAAATGCTGCAACCTGTAGGCAAACATCAATGGACGTCTGTTCAATTGTTGTATCTCCTATCCAGCAACCAGCGGGGTGGTCCTGGCGCGGTAGCCAGCTAAGCAAAGACTCCGGATCAACCAAGCGCTACGCAGCTCCGAAGGAATAGTAAAATCTATCAATCACAGCAGTTGAGCTCAGTGGCGTTCCGACGTCCTTGCCCACGCGCGCCAAGCCACGGATGCGGACAATTTCATCTAGTGTCAAGCGCATTGAAGTCGCAAAACCCGGTGTTTTATGAGTGTGAGAAGATGCGAATGATGCAAAGCCAGCAGGCCATTGATGATGAGCAGAATGAAGCTTTCGCAGCTGCCTTGCCGGGCAGTTAACCTTCCTTTGTGGGACATCCTCCCTTGATCAACAAGAGCCAAATCAAGATGTCTCCGATTGTGCCAATCTCCCGTCTTGCACCCTGGGCAACAAACCATGATCCGCTGCATGATCAAGATGGCAACGTGATAAATGATGCAGCAGAGTTAGCCTTTTAGGGAGTCTTCCAGAACTGACAGCCTACTCCATGGTTGGATGGCTGGCCAGTGCACCACTTCTGTATTGATTTACCTTAGTAGGAAATACAGTAAGTCATACTTTGTATTTTTCATGATTCAGTCGCATTTCTAATGTGGAGAACCTCATTGTCTGTTCTCGTCTGTCAAATCGGTTTTACGAGCCCGTCATGACTTGACATCTACGTACGTAGTAGATGCCATCCGTCAATCGAGAAAAAATCCGACTTTCGCGCTGCCACCGGCCATCTAGAAGCGTCGTTGCTACTGACTGACGTGGAGTTCTGACAGCGTCGATCGCCCGGAGGTTTGTCCCCTGTGGGAGAAGTGCACAGATACGTCCCGCTGGACCAGTTGGACTGTAACCTCGCCATTTGACAATGACACCTGGTCCCAGGATCGGGAAACTTACATCATCTCGTCTATTGGAACTAGATCAGATGCCGTCCCATCTTCGCACATGACTTAACACCGCTCAGCTATAGAACATCTCATTTCATGGCATCTTGGTATTCTAGATGCATCCTATGAAACTTATTGCGAAGGAACAAGCGCATCTCCGACACGGCCATCCCAGTCATCCTAACCTGACAAGCAGGGTCTTCCTTCATGCTGCTATTTCGTCCCAATTCAGCGCCTGGCGGCAGCAATCAAATGCTGTCTCCCGCTGATGCAGTTCGATCCGCCCCCCAGGCCATGGACGCCCTGACTACCAAAGATATCACAACGGGGGTTCCCAACGGGGAGGACCCTGACGGTGTTGACCAAGGACGAAATGAGATTTTTGTTTATCTCCAGGCCCCCAAACACCCTTAATCTACAATGTAGCCACCGAAATCTTGTGAGGGGTTTTTACCCTGCATCTCTCTCATGGTCCTCCCAATGCCGGAGACCCGCGGGCCACACGGCACATCACACCCAGCTACACTAACTCCGGGGAACGCAGGATTCCCCTTTAGCCTGGCATCTGGGACTCCACTGGCAAACGGCAAAACCCAGGTCTCCTTGGGTCGTAAACTTGCGAACTCGCCATCAGTATATACCATCATCAGCTCATCTCCGGCCCACGTCCGAATGATTCGCAACGCATAGCAAATTTCGCCCCCCCCCGCAAGCCCGAGTGAGTGCATATTGGCTACGAATCCTCCGAGGCAATCCCGGGCAGAACAGGACAGAACAGAGCAAGCAAGCAAGCAAGCGAACAAGACAAGCAAAAGAACGCAACGGACGTGCTCAGAACATGCACACCAAGATCTATCGGACCAAACGTCTGCTTTTACTGGAGCACCCATTTTGATTAGCGAACCATGAAAAACGAAACTCAAGCCCCCCGCTCCCCGGCCGTATGAGTCTGTTTCCTCGACCCAGCTCTGGTTGGTTTACAGACGTCAAATAAGCCAAAACAGCTAAGCAACTCCCCGAAACATCTTGTTTGACCATTGGGTCTGGCCGCGGCCACTTTTTGCTCGGCCCGGTCGTTCAGCGCCTGCACCTTTTAAGGTTGCCGCTACGTTGACGCCCTCCAGAAAAAAAGAAAAAAAAACCGCGTGCATGAACCCTTTTTCGCACTCTACCTCCTCACTCATCTCTTCGACATTGACATCGATGCCATTGGCGGTTTCACGATGGCATCACATTTGATCACATTGTTTATAGCCCGCAAATTTGCCATCATTGCGTTTTTCCCCCCTCCCCCAGTGATTTCTTCTTGGTCGTGCAAACGCAATGGAGTGCGCTTAAAACGGGCCACAAGAAAACAGGATCTGGGGGATCCAACACTGCAGGATCTCAACGCCTTGATTTCTTAGTGGCGGGAGGAGAGGAGGGGGGGTCTCAGACAATTAGTGACACCGCTGCCGGGATAGACCTTTAAAGGACCCTCAACCGAGACCAAACCGCCGGTGTGCAAACGACGCCTTAGTATCAGCAACATTGCCCATTCTACCTGCAATCTTCCAGAGTCTTCGCAAGCCAAGCGAGTCATTGTCGTCCTCCCCCTCCCCCAAAAAAACATGCCCGTGATTTCGGATCTTGATGGCAAAGATATATTTTCCCCAACGGATAGTAGAAGCGGAAGGGGTCTTAACGTGCGACGTTGAACATGTCCTAGTCCGGCTAACTGTATTGTCTGGGATTCCAAATCAAAGCGACTTCGAGTCCAGACCGAGTCCGCATAACCCAGACTGAGATTCCCTTCCATCCCGGAGGCGTCGTCGTCGTCGTCGTCGTCTAATCCCGTCGCAACTGCTTGGAGAGACAAAGTCGAGCCAGCTGACCCTCCCGTGTCCCTCGAAGGTAGTTTCTAGAACCTCGGCGTGACTCCGTCTCCCCGATGTCTAGAAACAGAGATGGCGAATAAGCCAGCGTGAGATGTAGACCTCGTCGTGCGAAGTGTTCGCCCCTCCCCCAGCTCCTCGCGTTCTTTGACACATCGGACACGTCCCACCCACCATCATATCATGGCCTCCTGCTCCAGCTCCCAAGTCACAACAAGCCTTAAAAAAAAGACTGAGCTGCGTGGCCCTGTGGCTGATATCCCGCCCTTCCCGCGTCTGAGATAGATTATACTTTCGGGCATGTTTGCCGGCGAGGCTTCCCGACCTCGGCAGAAACTGCCGCCGAAGCATAAGATTGGAAATCCATAGGAATACCGCATCCGCAGGAACCATTCCAAGTGGCGAGTTGTTTTGGTGTTCAAGTTGAGAATAGTAGTGGCAACAACTGAATGAGAGACTGGCAACTGCTCTCCAGTGAGAATTTGGCTAAATCCCGCTCACGCAACGCCCTCCATCCATCGCCACGAATATGATCACAGGGTACAGCGCATACGGTGGATCGTTGGGGCCCTAAGTGAAGACACCTTTTTCACGCTGACATGTCTCGGGCGCCTGCTGATGGGGTTGTATAAGCATGCTGTCTTGACAGCCGAAAAAAGCCACGCGGGATCCGTTGCTCGGCCTTCTAAGCAGGAACAGTCTAGCATGACCATCCGGGGGACCTCACGTAGACGCAGAAAAGGGAGAGTACATGCTTTACAGCAACAAAGTAAAAGAAACTGGGTGCCGGTTTCCGGTCCTAAGTGGGCAAGTTGACTTCCGCTCTGATTCGGTTGGGGCGGATGTGGCCTTCGCCGAGCAGAGGCGGGACTGATCAGTATCTCTGCGGGACGGAAACCGTAGATTGTTGCACCCGTGTGGGCGTTGCACGGCACATGTTCTTAATGGCCATGATCAGTATAAGGATGTCAGGTCGTAGTTCGGATGCTATCGATGCTGCTCAGGTTCTCAGCTCGAGAAGGGGCCCCATCAGGCGAGCAGATATGACGGATGCGTTGCTGTTGCCTGCCAGTTTGACTGTCTTGGATGCTGCCTCTTGTGTTGTCGTCGTTTCTATCTGTCCTTGTCAGTAGTCTGGTGGAGCCTCCAACCAAATCCAGGAAAGCATAAGAGCGGCTGGTAAACAAATAGTGACTATAAAGAAAGTAGGCCGTTGGTTGATCCAAAGTCTGATTGATGACATATGTACACAGCGTTCTATCGCCTGTCCTTCAGCCTACATCTCCCTCTTCAACACAAAGCCCAAAGATTGTCCCCCGCATAGCACGACGAACCGTTTACGATGCCTGCTTGCCGCCCTCGGCCTTTGATGGGGGGACGAACGGCTTGCCCTCGAGGGTGTTGATGGCGACGTCGGCGTAGATCATGTGGGGGCGGAGCTCGACGGGGGTGACGCCGGGGCGCTGGTCGGGGACGGCCTTCTCCAATTTCTATAATGCTTGTCAGTTCTCTGTGCTTTGTATGCAAAGAATGACAAAATGTATCATGTCCAGCGCTTCTCGCCGTAAGAGACACAAGGTTGGGATCGCAATGCTGCCAAAGGAAAACAGGATGCCGTCACATACCAGGTTCTCAAAGACACACTTGTTGAGCTTCCACTCAGGCTGTCTGCATTGGTAGAGCTGGTGGTTGCGGTTCTCGAGGCAAGACCAGTGGGCGCGGAACTGCTCGAGGCAGTGGGTGTTGATGTCCTTCAGCCTGTATCAAAATAACATCCGTCAGCGTCTTTCCCATGCCATATGTCATCCACCAAGTCGTTCGTCGCAAATTGGTCCCAATTGAAGGTCCCAGCCACCACCGCGTCCATCCAAAACGGTTATTGAGATCACCTACACGCTGGAAGCACATCTCGTGACCCGGCGGCCCTCCTTCAAGCAGTCAAACTCGCCGCGGCCCGGGTTCTCGGTCTTGCACTGCATGAAGTCGTCATTGTAGTCGCGGCAGCGGGCGCCGATGAAGTAGGAAGCGGACAGCAGGGGCGCAGAGCTAGCACCGATCTCCTTGACCTTGGGGATGTCCTCGGGGAGGGGGGTCGTGTCGACCTGGAACTGCTGGTTGAATCTCCGGGAAGGTTAGCATCTTTGTCCTACGTGCATTCGCGATTTCTTTTTTCGGAGGGAGGGTTCGGGGGAACGGCCCAATTGGCTGTGAATGCCAGTGGACTCGATAAGAAAATAACGTACTGGGGCCGTCGGGAAGCCATGACTGCGGTTGTGGTGATGGAACTGCCGGCAGCGGGGTGGCAGAGGGAAGTCGTCGGGTCGGGTTTTGGTTCGCAATGCCTCTGGCAAGCTTTCCGAGCAATGGTTGCTGCGAATTGAGGTGAAGTCGATTTAGGAGTGCTCTGATTGGTTCGGTTGACCACGAGGCTGGAGTGGATCCTATTGTGGCGCGTTCGGTCTGAGCGAAGTGTGGCGCCCGGTGAAGGCTGCAGCTCCAGCCTGCGAGTACCAGCTCCGATTTATTATTTTCGCGTTGCTGTTGCTGGGACCTCCAAGGGTAGCTTGCTTGATCTTGCAGCCCTGCCCGACTGACACCCTTTACCGCGACGACTTGAAAGGATATTGCGACATCTTGCTTACTGGTATTTTCCAGAAGCAAGTTTTTTTCTGATACCCGCGAACCTTTCCTTTCATTGCGACAATGCACTGAGGCTCTCATCGTTTTCTTCCGCGATCCAACTTTGCGCATTCATCTTCGCCTTTTCCCGTACAATTTCCGCGACCGACCACAGTTCAGATTCTCCTCATACACTTGCCTTGCAATTGTCCGATTGATATCTCGCCATGAGCTTGTTCGGTGCACCAAAGCCCGCTGGGCAGACGGGTGGCCTCTTTGGCGGCTCTGCATTCGGAGGTAGCACATTGGGACAGTCAACACAGCCGCAGCAGCAGCAGCAGCAACAGCCGCAGCAGCAACAAGGCGGGCTTGGCTTGTTCGGCCAGACGCAAAATCAAGGAAGCACTTTCGGACAATCCTTTGCCCAGCCTCAGCAGCAGCAACAGCAACAACAGCAGCAGCAGCAGCAGCAGCAGCAACAGATGCCCAGCTTGTCGCAGTCGCAAGCGCAGCTCTCCAGTTCCCTTTGGCAACCCGGCAGAGAAACCCCTCGTGAGCTTTTGTCCGTTATGTCCTGTTGGGCATCTCACTGACATATTTTGTAGAAAACCAGAAGCCTATCCCGGAGCAAATGGCGCTCATCTTCGAGAAGTGGAACCCCACGAACCCCAATTGCGCTTTCAAGCACTACTTCTACAACAAGGTCGACGAGGCTTCCGTCCCCTTCTACAAGCCCGGTCCTCATGAGGACCCCAAAGAGTGGGAGGAGGCGCTGCAGAAGAAGCCCGCACCCGGCTTCATCCCGGTTCTCTGCACAGGTTTTAACGGCGTGGCTGCGCGTTTACAGACGCAAAAGAAGGTTGTTGGCGAGCTCAATGTTCGCCTGCATCAGATTAACGCCAGTCTCGATGCTATTTTGTCCCGACATGATCTTGAGACAAGCGTACGCGCCCTGGCCGCCCGTCGGAGGCACGTTGTGTTGAGGGAGAGGTGCCTTGCGCTCGCTGCGCGGGTACAGGTGCTGCGAAACCGTGGATACGCTTTGAGCGGCGACGAAGATGACTTGCGACTCAAGCTCGCCGAGCTGGAACGCAACGTCCAGGACCCCGCATTGGCGGCTAGGGAGGAGGAGCTCTGGAGTAGGCTGATTGTCTTGAGAGATTATGCGGACCAGTTGATGAAGGAGGCAAACAAGCCTGCTTTCGCGAGCGGTGAAGGCTTGAGTGAGGAGACGGAGCACAAGACCAAGAAGGTAAGTCTTGTACGGTTGTGTTTGGGTGTGTTTGTTGCTGACTATTGTGGCAGGTCTTGGAGGACTACGAGAAGCAGATCCAGCACCTCAAGAAGGAGGTTGAGTCGATCACTAAAGATTTTGAACAGTGGGAGAAGGAGCGCAACCCGCGGTAAGGGACAGGACTGGGTACTAGTGGACATGTTTTAATAGAGAACCGGCGCGGGCGGAACGCTTTTTCATGCGGGAATGGATGATACGTGACGATAGCTCAACGTCGTCGATCAGCATAAAATATGTGAGAGCACGTGAAGACGCAGCAAGACAGCCTTGGTCAAAAGTCGTGATGTTTTGTTACCCTGATTCCGATGTGATCTATAACCATAGCCCATCCAACCAGCCCTTTGTACATTGTACATATGATATTCTACAACAGGGGTATTTGTCCCTATACACGTCACCCAACCGGATGACGGCCCGCAGCCCTTCCATGGCTCCGGTGTTGTCTGCTTAAGAGACTGAAGCAGTTTCCTGCATTCGCGATGATTATACTGAGCAATCCATGGGACTCAGAAAATTGTCATTGGCGGCCAATGGCTGTTTACAGGAAGTTGGAGACGGCGTCAACGGCAAAGGGGGCTGTGGACGAGAAGATCAGTAACGGCTCAACCAACCACTTTATGTGTTACAAAAGTGTGGAATGTATCTACTTACAGAAGTAAAGAAGGACAGCAGAGACGAGGACCTGCTGGACGCTGAAGCTGGCCTCGGACTCCATCTGCTTGATCTCCTCCTCGGAGAGCTGGGGGGGCGCGACTGCAATGTGTGGTCAGCTCATTGCTCCAGGACATATGCAATGCAGAAGAAAAGTACGTACATCCTCCGAACATCTTGGCGGTAGATTAAAGTATTGACGGGGGTTGGTTGACGGTGCGGGAGGGCGGATCAAAGAGGTTGCAGCTCGTGATACTCTTTTTTTTGGTTTGCGCGTTTGGTCGGTTGCCAGGTTCAGCGATGATGTCGTCGCAAAAATTTAGATAGCTCCAGTTGAACGGGGCCGGGAGCTGACAAGGTACGTACATCGGGCCCACCTTTTCGCCGCTGTGCTTAGCAAATCCCAACCGCTCACAACGCACTCGGCGCTGGCCACCGAGCACTCGGCTGCTCATCCGTCGCCCTGATGCCAGTAGCCACCACCATGGAATACACTGGAGACAGCCCCTGTCACCAAATGGCCCATCTAATTGGTCAAATGGTCTGATTCTGGGGCCCCATCCCGGACCGAGTATAGCCCGCCGCAAACTTGTTGGCTGTGCTGGGGGCTCCAAAGAAGGGGGTTTGATGGCTGGGGAACTGGAGCTGGTTCTTATCGCCCCCCGTTAGCGCTTATCAGCGGGCCTTTGATAAGATGTTTCTCACGCAATTCAACCCGCAAACAACCGAAGGGTGTGGCAGAGGAAGTTGCAGTAGCGCTCGATTTCCAAGGGACAGCATCCCTGGAGTTACCTTAATAGTATATGTACGGGTACGAAACACCTTGATAAGATGGAAAATGAAGGGAGAGACAAAAAAAAAATAGTTGATGTCCTTCTTCTCACCGACTTCTTCATAACAAACCTACGCCTTCGCCCATTGACTGCTGCGGCTCCTCAGCTCTTAACACCTTTTTTGTTCATGTCTCAGAAGTTTATTGTCCGCCTTTGTGTCATTCAATCAAGTTAAGAAGCGCGCCGTTGCTCTGGGCCCGTACCCGAGTCGTAGTCTCGGTTCTCATAGTGGCGACAAGGGTTGTTGGACTTTTGAGCGGTAACGATATCGGTCTCGGTCCCTGATCCGAGCACGCATTTCAAGACACCAGCGCGCGACGACTCGAGGATTTCTTGAGAAACTTTTTCCCTTCTCTCTCTTTTTCTTCTTTTTTTTCTTTACTTACACTTTTCTTCCCTCAAGAGAGCTGTCTGTCCCTGCAATTCACGCGGAGATTCTCTAAATTCCTCCTTGGAGATAACCGCTTTCTTGTCGCCACATAGTCATGGCATCATTGAGATTGCCCCTCGCCCGCCAGCTTCGGCTGGTGGCCCCGCGGTCGAGGGTCGTCGGTCGCCAGACGGCTGCTTCTTCGTGGGTTTGCAACTCATGCGTTTCTAGCATGGCTCCTTCTTCGCGTGTTCCGCGAGTGAGGACCTTTTCCGCCATTTCTTCTTACGCTCAGGCTACAAGTTTGAGGGGAAGCTCTGTTGATGCCTCCCTTGAGCCGCTTCAGAGGCCAGAGTCGTTCATCCCTCGTCACATTGGTCCCGATGTGAGCGACGCCGAGGCGATGCTCAAAGCTCTCGACCCTCCGGCAAAGTCAATTGACGAATTCATCGCTCAAGTGCTCCCTCCGGATGTCTATTCCGAGAGGAAGACCTTCGCCTGGGACAATGAGGGCCCAATGGATGAGAGCAAGATTCTGGCCAAGGCGACAGCTTGGGCCAAGGCCAACGAGGCCGCACCGAAACCATTGATCGGCACTGGCTACAACCCCAGTGTTACTCCCAGAGTTATTCAGACAAACGTGCTCGAGAGCCCTGCGTGGTACACCAGCTACACCCCCTACCAGCCCGAAATCAGCCAGGGCCGTCTAGAGTCCCTTCTTAACTACCAGACCATGGTCTCTGATCTGACGGGTCTGCCCATTTCCAACGCCAGTCTTCTGGACGAGGGCACGGCCGCCGCCGAGGCGATGACTCTGTCCATGAACGCGCTTTCCAGCTCCCGCGCAAAGAGACCCGGCAAGACTTTTGTCGTCTCTCACCTCGTTCACCCCCAGTCTATCTCGGTTCTGAAGAGCAGAGCCGAGGGCTTCGGCATCAAGGTCGAGATTTTTGATGTCAACAGTGCTGACACCCAGGACAAGATCAAGGCCTTGGGACAGGACTTGGTTGGTGTCATGGTTCAGTACCCTGACACGAAGGGCAAGGTCGAGGACTTCAAGGGCCTTGCCGAGCTCGTCCACTCTCAGGGCGCGCTCCTCAGCGCTGCCACCGATCTCCTTGCTCTGACGGTGCTCACCCCTCCCGGCGAGTGGGGTGCCGACATTGCTTTCGGAAGCGCTCAGCGCTTCGGTGTGCCCCTTGGCTTCGGCGGTCCCCACGCCGCCTTCTTCGCCGTCAAGGAGGCCCATAAGCGCCGCATGCCCGGTCGTCTGGTCGGTGTCTCCAAGGACCGGACCGGTCGCCGAGCCCTGAGACTGGCACTCCAGACTCGCGAGCAGCACATTCGCCGTGAGAAGGCCACTAGCAACGTCTGCACTGCTCAGGCTCTCCTTGCGAACATGGCTGCACTCTTTGCCGTCTACCACGGTCCTAGCGGTCTCAGGGAGATCGCATCGAGACTTGTGCGTCTTGCTCGTGGTGTTCAGGCTGTTGCTGAGGCCGTCGGCTTGGAGACCGAGCAAAGCGGAGCTAGCCCCGATGGCAAGGTTCTCTTTGACACCGTTGTTATCAAGGCCGGCGACCGCGCCCAGAAGCTCCTTGAGGAGGGAAAGAACGCTGGCCTGGGTTTCCGTGATTACGGAAACGGTGATGTTGGCATCAGTGTCAACGAGCACGTCAACGAGGAGGTCTTCAACTCCATCGCCGCTGTTCTCGGAAAGGTTACCGGTACCCAGGCGACGGATGTTGCAAGCAAGTCTTACGCTGCTCTCACCGAGAGCATTACCGACCTGCTCCCTGAATCCCTGCGTCGTCAGTCTGAGTATCTCACCCACCCCGTCTTCAACACCCACCACAGCGAGACCGAGATGCTCCGCTACATCCACCACCTGCAATCCAAGGACTTGTCCCTCGTTCATTCCATGATTCCCCTGGGTTCTTGCACCATGAAGTTGAACAGTGCCACTGAGATGGCCCTCATCTCTCTGCCCGGCTTCTCCACGATTCACCCCCACACTCCCGCCAGCGAGCTCAAGGGCTACACTGCCTTGATCGAGAGCTTGTCTGAGCAGTTGAAGGGCATCACCGCTATGGACGCCGTTTCTCTGCAGCCCAACTCTGGTGCTCAGGGTGAGTTCGCTGGTCTGCGCGCCATCCGCAAGTACCTCGAGGAGAAGCCTGGCGGCGAGAAGCGTGACATCTGCTTGATTCCTGTTTCCGCCCACGGCACCAACCCCGCTTCTGCTGCCATGGCTGGCATGCGCGTCGTGCCCATCAAGTGCGACCCTACCACCGGAAACCTGGTCCTTGAGGATCTCGAGGCCAAGTGCAAGCAGTACGCCGACCAGCTCGGCGCCTTCATGGTCACATACCCCAGCACCTACGGTGTCTACGAGCCCGGTGTCAAGAAGGCCTGTGAGCTCGTCCACAAGTACGGTGGTCAGGTTTACATGGACGGTGCCAACATGAACGCCCAGATTGGCATCTGCTCCCCTGGTGAGATTGGCGCTGACGTGTGCCATCTTAACCTCCACAAGACCTTCTGTATCCCTCACGGTGGTGGTGGCCCCGGTGTTGGCCCCATCTGCGTCAAGGAGCACCTCGCCCCTCACCTTCCGGCTCGTGCCGCCGATGCTGAGCAAGCCATGGTCTCCAGCGCTCCCTATGGTAGTGCCGGTATCCTGCCCATCAGCTGGGCTTACAACGCGCTCATGGGCAACGACGGACTGCGTCTCGCCACCAAGACCGCCATCCTGAACGCCAACTACATCCTCTCCCGCCTTAAGCCCCACTACAAGATTCTCTACACCAACGAGAATGGCCGTTGCGCACACGAGTTCATTCTCGACGCCCGCCCCTTCAAGGAGACTGCCGGCGTCGAGGCCATTGACATCGCCAAGCGTCTGCAAGATTACGGTTTCCACGCCCCGACCATGAGCTTCCCCGTCGCCAACACTCTCATGATCGAGCCGACTGAGAGTGAGAGCAAGGAGGAGCTTGACCGCTTCATCGACACCCTCATCAGCATCCGTCAGGAGATTCGTGAGGTCGAGGAGGGCAAGCAGCCCAGGGAGGGCAACGTGCTCAAGCTGGCACCTCATCCCCAGCACGATGTCATTCTTGGTGACGGCGAGGGCAAGTGGGACCGTCCTTACTCCCGTGAGAAGGCTGCCTACCCCCTGCCCTTCCTCAAGGAGAAGAAGTTCTGGCCCAGTGTGGCTCGCGTTGACGACAGTAAGTCTTTTCCCCCTCTCCTTGTAATTGAAAAGAAGAGAAAGTAACTAACGTTAAATAGCATACGGTGACACCAACCTCTTCTGCACGTGCCCTCCTGTCGAGGACACGACGCAAAACTAGAGCAATGATTTTGCATCTCTTTATCAAAACATGATACCAGCGGGAATATAGAGACCAAATCGGGGTTTTATATCATGACTGCATGACGACCGGAAAAAGGACGGGCAACAGGGCCCTGATCGACTAATTCAACATTCGACGGGCAACCTGGAAATGCCATCTGTCTTAGGGTTACAATATTGTTATTTCTCTACACTAGCATGTCTTTTTTTTTTTCAACATTTTCCATCTCGTCTTAGCAAGCGGGGACACGACTTTCTTCGATTTCAACAGGGGAAACACATACTACATAACCAGGGGGGGAGGGAGGTTTTATAAAGGCCGGAGATATGGACCTATCGGGAGTTCAATGTCACGCGTACTGGTGGGAGAAAAGGGATTATTTGCATTATTGGCTGTGTTGCATTCGGTAGACTGGCAATTATCAAGCCGGGAAAAATAAACCGTTTAGTTCAAGGACTTTATGCCGTGAAGATAGATAAGACGCGGCTCTGTTGACCTGCTAAGAGCGACGTTGCAGAAATCTGGCCCTACAGTTTGACCCTTCCTTCACAAGTAAACGTGCCTTTGCGCATGACATGTATCACTGACGGTATCACCAGAGCACCCCCATATGGGTAGAGAAGCAAACATATGCTCATCATATTACACAATCGGAATGGTCAAGCGACTCTGGTCAGCCCAGCGTTTCTGCTTCGCGGGTACAATAGAGGACGACTTCAGATCATAGTCAAAGGTATTTAACAACACACTGAGCAGTTGATGTATTTCAGTTCGACCCTTCGACGTTACATATCAACCATTGTTCAATACTTACAAAGGAGAAGAAAAAAAGACTAAGCACTAGAATGAAGAAGAGATAGCTGGATGAGAAAGTTTGGGAAGAAAAGGTCGTGGGAATTTCGTCCTGAACTTGTTGAATTGAGTGAGAGCAAAGTCCCGCTTCTACTCCACCCATAAACTGTCCGACCAATAATAATATCTTACTGATATCACCGTGCTCCGGTCCCGCTGTCCCACACCAATCCCGTAGTCTCCACGTTAACCGGCCTACCAAGTGTGTTGCATTGTCTTCCTCCTATGGTTGCAGGATAATGTAAAACCCTCTTTGCCAAGTAACTATGCCCGTGCTTCCGCAGCCTATGGGAAGGATATTTCCAGCGCCCAAGAATATTTCTGGACCAGTTACATCGCGATTCCATAAAACAGTACGGGCCACTACGTTCAACATGCCGCTAACACATAGTACCGGTGAATCCACACGGCCCGCACCCTCGACAGGCCACTAGCAGGGATGAGGCGCAGATCTGGCAACGGGAATCTCAGACAGGGTGTAATCGAATGCAAAATGTGCCGCATCATCTAAGCTCGAGGCGCTGTTAACGAGCAGAGGACGAGATACGGAGTGTCCCATGCCAGCTTCAAGTTCGCTGTCTTCGGCTTTCGGACAACTGCCTCAGCCCGAGAACATTACCCCACGCGTGCCATCAACTGTAGAGTTGAAGCCAACATGCTTATAAAAAGAGAAAGAAGCACCTTCTGAATGCTGATAACAAATTGTTGTCTTCTAAGCTGTGTACTCCAATACATACGCCCCCCCCAACATGGATTCTACGACTGGAACACTTTTGGAACGCGTATTACGCCCTCTTCCAGCCGTTGCTCTCCTCGCTTCGTTGGTATGTTCAACTGAACTCTTCACCCGCGGTATGATGCCGACTTCAACGCCTACTGATATACATGCTGGGTTAGTGTGCCATATACATCCTCGGTAGAGCCCTGTACAACGTCTTCTTCCACCCCTTGCGGAATTTTCCTGGACCCAAGACTTGGGCTGCGAGCCGAATCCCCTATAGCCTCTCCCAGATTGGCGGAAAGCCTCATGAAGATATCCTTGACTTGCACAACAAATACGGACCCATCGTCAGAATCGCCGAAAACGAGCTGTCATTCATCCATGCCGAGGCATGGAAGGACAACAACGGTCATCGCAAGGGTGGAAGACCTGAGAACTCCAAGGAGCCCTTATCGGTTATTGGCAATGAGCACAACTTGTTCGGCGCTAATCTTGAGGACCATACCCGGATGCGCCGCGTTCTCTCCCATGGATTTTCAATGCAGGCTATGCTCGATCAACAGCCTCTCATCTCCACCCACGTCGACCTTCTTATCCAACGGTTACACCAGTATTGCGAAGGAGGCGCCCGGCCTGTGAATATGGTCACATGGTACAACTGGGTTACATTCGATGTGATTAGTGACTTGGCCTGGGGTGAGCCTTTGGGATGTCTGGCGAAAGAATATGACCACCCGTGGATAGCGGCGTTGGGACACACCGTCAAGGCTCAAATGTATCTCGGCCTTGCCAAGCGGTTCCCCCCCTTTACTGCCGTGCTAAAATGGATGATCCCGAAGGAATTGACTCGGATGGAAAACGACAACTTCGCGTTGGCCGCTTCTAATGTGGAAAAGAGGATTGCGTTGGGAGAGTCTCGCCCAGATTTCATGGAATCAATGATACGACAGAAGGGCGACAGGGTAAGCTCTCGAACACCACACACCTTGGACACGCTTTGGACGTATACTGATATTTCTTTTTTTTTCTTTTTCTTGGAAAAGGAGATCATGAAGCATGAGATGGTCAGCAACGCTTTCCTGCTAATGCTCGGCGGCTCTGAGACGTCTGCGACCGCCCTGTCGGCAGTTACGTACTTATTGACTTTGCATCCAGAAGTATTGTCCAAGCTCACCAAAGAGGTCTTTGGTGCTTTCCAGTCCGAAGAAGAAATCTGCATCCAGACTGTCCAGAAGCTCCCGTACATGCTGGCTGTTTTGGACGAGACTCTCCGCCTGCACCCGCCTCTTCCCCACACTTCACCCCGTGTCGTGCACAAATGGGGAGATACTTTTTGCGGATACTTCATAAAAGAAGGTGTAAGTTTCAGTCTTTGAAAAATGGCTGTAATCTGTCAGCAATCGAGAAGCAATCTCTAACTCGTTTGGCCTTCTTTTTACAGACCATCGTCAGCATCCCCCAATGGGCAATGTATCACAGTGCTCAGAACTTTACACTCCCCGAGTCATTCATCCCAGAGCGTTGGCTTGGGGACCTTCGGTTCGCCAATGACCAAAGGGAAGCCAGAAAGCCGTTTTCGTTTGGGCCGAGGAACTGCATCGGGATGAAGTAAGTCTAAAGTAGCAACACTGGGTAGACTTTCGGGGATTAAGGTATGCTAACGGAGATGGAAATTATTAGCCTCGCATATACCGAGATGAGAGTCATCCTCGCTAGGATCATCTGGAATTTTGAAATGAAGTTAGCTGATGACAGCCGAAACTGGACTGAGTCCCAAAAGGCTTGGGTTGTTTGGGAGAAGCCGGCGCTCAATGTCTACTTGACACCTCGCAACCAGCGTTAGTCTAAGATTACGACATAACTGAGTCAACCAAAAGTTCATACAAAACATTATTTTATAAGTTGGTGATTGATACGTATGCATGTTATGTTCGCAAGGATTTGTGAACACAAATTCCCGCCACACATATTATATGTTACCATTGTGATATATTGAACAGTGGAACCATGCTTCTATTTGCACCCTCTGAAAACTCCCTTAAGACCAAAACCAGTAACCCAGAAATCTAAATGTGTTGATAACAGTGCAACTCCTATTTTGTCTATTCTCTACCCTACGCATTCGCCTTTTTCACCTCCAAGTCGTAAATCTTGGTTCTTTTTAGTTAACAAGCGAGGCATGCAAGGTCAGTCCACGGCAGTCCCCCGGTGATGCCAGTGGCAACGTCGGCGATGTTCTTGAGCTTGCTGTCGCCGCAGAAAGATCCGTAGAAGACGTCCGCGGCGCAGGTGGCGGACCACTTGACGTAGGCCTGTAGTCCGGTGGAGTTCTCGTCGCCTGTCGTGTAGTGCCTCATGAGCACGGTGCCCGTCGTGGGGTACTTGTAGGTGTGGTACTTGAATTAGTACCTGGGCTGGCAGGGGCCGCCGGTCAGGCACTGTCCGTTGTAGTGGCCTGTCTTGATGGTATTGCTTTGGGCTACGACCGGCGCGACGGCGTCCGTGAGGACCATGGCGAGCTGCTTCGCCCAGTTGGGAAGGGTGAAGAGGCAGTCAAACTTGGTCTCACAGTCGCTGCCGATCTTGTAGGACTGTTCCTTGCACTGGAAATCCTCGAGGGCGTCGTTAATGTTGCCGAAGGCCACCTGGGGGTCCCAGGCTGCCCGTCCTTGGTCGTGCCCTGCACCCTGACGGTGACCTGATCCTTGGACATGGTGAACTTGGAGTCGGCGACTTGCTTCTTCATTGGGTCCTCCTTCACTGGGTCATTGTCCGCGTTGTGCTTAGACGGGTGGTCGCAGATGTACGCAGATACGCACTTGGTCCCGTCGCCGAGGTTGAAGGCGTGCTTGGCGTGCTTGGCGTGCTCGCCCCAGCACCTGAAATGGTGCTCCTCGAACTCATACTCGGCGATGCCAGCATTTTGCTTGGACTCAGCCCAGTCTTTAGTGTCTGGATCGATCCAGATCCCGAAGACGCCGTTGTTGGGGAATGTGACCGACACGCCGAGTTTCTCCAGGGATATGAGCCGCCCCAGGGCACCTCAGCGATCATCTCAGGCTGAACCGGGGCATCGTTGCCTCCCTTGGGGTTACGTCCCCAGGGAAATTACGCGACTTGTCTAGAAGAAGAGTGGCCATTTGCTCCGTTGCCACAACTGGCGAGGATGATTTCGTCGTTCTCGCGGTATTCTTGGGGGAGAATAGCCGCCGTGGCTCTATGCCCCGCGAGGAGACGGAAGCTCAAAGTGGCGAAGGATCTTATGGTGAATTAGTAGTGAAAGAACAAAGCTAAATGAAATGTAGGTAAGATTCTGTATTGAAATCGGTTGCTGGTCTTGTCATGTCATGAACTTGGATGTATCTTCTGTTCCGTATATGTTCCTTACATAGCTTCTCGATGTTCGTCTCCAAGCTTGTTTTTTGATGATGGACTGCGGATTCTTGCGCCTCGAATAATAACCACCTCGAAGATGTTGCTCCGCCGCATGGAACAGAAAGTCAAAAGCCCCTAGGGCTGAAAGACACGGTTAGTTAACCGAAAAGAGGGGATGCTTCCAGGGGGCGTTCACCTCACAACAGATGCTATACCTAGCATACAGGCTTCGCCGGCCCTGTCGATGCAACAGGAGAGGCCATTAGGACTCACGACGCGGGTGCCAGCTGGCACAGGCGGGGGTTGGCAACGGGTATGTGATTGCCAAGACGGCTGCGCATCCAGTTGGGTATATATGCCAATCAGGCTGTTGATCTGCCCAATGCGTCCCTCAACTTCGAGGTGCACCCAAATGCACCCCCTCGCATTTTGACTGAAGCTCGTCTGCGGTAAATACCTAGGCGGTCTCAAGCGAGCGAATTCTGTATGTTCGCTCATCCGGAAACCATTTCCACACGCTTCTCTGTTGATTTTGAGTGTTCTATTTGAACCAAGCCCTAGAGAACATGGGGGGTGAGATTGAGTGTTACCCGTTAATTCAGAAGACCATTACTCTTGAACACTGCCCGGCCTCAGCCGCAGCTCACTTCACTCAAGATCTGATCGGAGAGATGGGATTTGCCGCTTACATTGATTTCATCACTTGTGTGAATGTTGTTCATTAGATGACGAGAAAGTAACAGTATATGTTAGGAAATCTTCTATACACTTTATTTAAATAGTTAATTGGTTTCGTAATAAAACTTATTTCTTCCTAATATAATCGAGAGATAAATGACCTAAGTCTTATAGACTTAACCTATGTGTGCGGACCTATTACGTTATCTTGACCTGCCCTTATTAGAGATGACAGACTCAACCGACGCAAACACTGAAGCGGGGCTGGGGAACTTAGCATGCGGGCCGGCGGCGATTGAACAGCAAACACAACCACATCCACAGCTCACATAAACGCCTCTCTGATCAGAGGCTTCAAGGCTTTTGGTCGGAGTGTGTAGAGAATGTCCCTGACACTGTGAGGATTTGTCGCGGTTTGTTGTGTAGCATTTTTTCCTCCTTCTGATCAAGGATTATTCACGTGAACAGAGTAAAATCAAAAATTTACGAATCGAATCAATTGAGTGCTGTGTCTGCCATTCTGGCACTCTGATCAAAATCTATGAGGTGTGGGCGTTAGTGTTGATGTCTAAAAGTAAAATTGAAAAGTGCCCCATTATATTCTTACCCAGGATCCCTAATCAGAAACCACACAAGGGTGCCAATGCCTCTTCAACACATACATTACAACTACCTACTTCCTTAGACTTTTATAGAAAGGGGAGGAGGAATGCAATTGTCTTTTTTGTCACAAATAATTACCGTTGATAACTATATCAGGTTTCTCCTAAGAGGTTAGAAGTCTATAGTTATCCGCCTAGTAAAATCCTTCAGCAGTTAACATATTAGTAGGAGGCCTAATATGGCCTATACGTAAATCCATTCAGCTTAAATAGGTTTCCTAGGCTAGCGAGAGTCTCTATGACCCACCAGCAAAAGCAATGCTTCTTGATTGGTGGCCTCTTGTTTGGTTCTGGAGTAAAGTTCATAGTGCGCAAACTGGGATGCGGGATATTGTCATTCGAAAGACACGGCGTGAGCCCCAACCCCCGCTACATTGTGACAATATAACTCATAAACATACAGCTCATTACTAGGGAGACTAAAGACGCGGTCACTGTTACAATCGAAACTAGGCTTTTCAATACTTTGAGTCGAACCTGTTTAAGATGTGAAAGGAAGTCTCAGCATAGAGGTTGTAACATAACTATACTGCAAACCCAATCACTGAGTTTAGTACCCAGTTGAAACCGAGAAAGTAATCGGGGGCCTTCAAATCCACTGCCACAAACAAAAACCAACTATTCTTAGCTGAGACCACTTTATGAGACCTCTGAAGAGAATAGCCAAACAATATCGAGGCAGTGCCGTGCATCTCCGCACATCATTTCCACGCCCGATTATGATTTATCCGATAATGATTTATCGGCAGTAGTCGCTTCTGCCGCCACCGCCGTCGACGCAGTTGCCGCAGTAGACGTTCCAGCGGATCCATCCATCGCTGCCGCAATGGAACAGGGAGTTTTTATCGTAAGGGCTCTGGACGGGGAGGTTGACTCTCTTGAGCTCGTTGTCGATCTCGGACTGATATTTGCCTATTTTTTCATGGTTAGTAGACGGCGCAAATATGAGGAGGGGGTGGCTTGCCGATGTTCAACAGGTTGTAACCACAGTAGTTGAGGCCCTCAGTGCAGGCTCTAGCCTCAACCATGGTGGAAAGGGCGCCGGCAAGAGCGACGAGAACAGTACTAGCCTTCATTGTCACAGTAGTGATGCAAAAGACAGGAAGTTGAAGTGAGCTGTTGTAGAGCTGTGCTGCTGGGAACAACTTCTCGAACTTGGCTGAGCAGATGCTCAATATGTATAGTTCTTGCTCACATCACCGGTCTGTGTACTACTCCTACTTCTCCCATGGCATTGATCCACACTCCTCAACCATCTCAAGATGTTCTCCATATTGCCCTAGGCTCCTAAGCCCATTCATTACGGAGAAGTAGCTTGCAAGTCGCCGATTACTGTGGATATTAGGTCCACTCGGCGGCGAGATGGGGATACGGAGTGGGCCCGGCCACCTTCAGAACCCTTCGAGGAAACATGTGACATGCACCTTAGAGTCTTTTTAGTGTTGAAAATTGGAGCTGAAGCTTAGACCCTTAAGTTGTAGCGAGGCGGTCAGTTCAGCTGTAGGGGAGCAGCGCATCGAGCAACCAGCTCCTGGCACGCTTAGCAGCTGAATCGGGCAGGTGCACAACGCAGCCACACATGGTCCACTTTAACCACACATACTCAATGTCAGCCATATATAGTACGTAAATTGTCTTTTAAACTCCGCTTACAGCATAATTCGGACTTGCTGTTCATGTCTCAAATAGCTACGGCGCTACGATAAGGTCTTTCTGGCATATGCAAAGGTTATACACGTTAAAGCTATAGGTTGCATTATTTTTTATGACCTTATGGAAAAGACTTGCCTTCACTTTCCGTTATTCACCTCCAGCCTATGTAAAAGTGGTCTGACCTCGGGGATTACAAGAAGAAAGCAATGTTCAAATGCTGCTGGCCCCATATTGGCAACCGTGTGCCTCATTGAGAAAGGGGCTAAAAACCGATATAATTCGTATTCACTCCCCACTTCAAATAGGCTAATTGTCTTGATGCTGCGGGGCCGAGAAGGAAAAATCTCCCGCTGAAGGTTGGGTACATTGATTAAACGGACGTAATCGAAGGCAACTTGAATTCATTTTTGCGATGCATGAGGTATGAGTATCCGTCCAAATGAGCCGGCAGTCCGTTAGGATCGCTTAGCAAACGGGCAGAACTGTGAGGTTAATCTAGTCTCGGACTTTGTTGAGCCAACATTTACTTTCTTCCTGGCACTTCGTTTAAGACCTGCCTCAAAGGGCATTTAATCCGTCAGGAAGTTCTGCCTGATTCATCCACCCGACATGAAGACGGCAGTGCATTTAGTCTCATCAGCCTTTATTAATCGGTGTATCACGGCGCTAGCAATATCTTCTCGAGTACGTATTACCTCCCTGAGCGTCGCTTGAATCATGCTCTCTGAATCTTATTTACGCCACCAGTAGTCTCAGTCAAGGGAAGAGCATTGTAATGAAAACTCTAAGAATTGCCTATGAACATGGTCAGTTAAAAAGAGAAATCATCCGCGCATCGTCGAATCTTTCCACGTGCATACATAAGTTCTTAACTTTCCCTTGGCGGTTTGTCTCTTGCAGCGCAAATTTCATCTCATTCACATTATTCATAGGCTCAGATGTTCTCGCTTTTTTGACGGTCCAGTATACCCTAACCAACGGTCTCTGGAAGAATAATCCCAAGGTGAATGGCTAGCACACATACAGGAATTATATTGATGTATACTATATTCAAACGGAAGAAATGCAGCAGTTAATATAAATAAGCAATCTCTCCCCCTCAAGAGGAGACCCTGGATATGGAACCTCCTGTTCGTAACATCTGTATTGGCTCCTGTCCATCCCAGCATTAAGTTGGTAGAGTCGAGGTCAACAAGAGTAACAATAGGCCACTCCTTATTCATTAAAAACAAACGACTTCGTATTACATTTCTAAAATTAAATTAACTAAGTCACTACTCCGCAGAAATTCTACGATTCCCCAATCTTACCAAACCTAGCATTATGCTGAACAAGCACGGCTTACGTGGTCCTAAAGTCGATGTCAATGGTTTGAACTCATGGGCTGTCTTATCGAAGAGCTCTGCAATTTATAGTCTCTCATTTATTGTAAATGGCTCGAACATTGATTGGACATGAACTCTGCATGTTACTAAGTCAGAGCATGAAAGTTAGGTAAGGTAGAGGTAAGTAGGATCCTTTGATGCATCATAAGAGGGTATACATGGAATACAACAAACGATCTTGAAATTGCCTCGTCTAGCAGAAATATAATATTTTATTCTTCTAGTCTACATGAGATTTAACTTTAGCCAAGTCGGGGGCTCTTAGTAAAGCTTCCGGACGAAGCAACAATAGAATTTCTATGTGAGACACAAGAAAGTAACTGCCTAGAGAACGACAAAAAACAAGTCAAAGGTGTGGTTTCAGTGTCTGGCCGTCACGTGAGGTTTGTTCTATATATCAACTTTCACAATGTTTTGGTTACAAAACCAGAGCTTCAAATGGTGCTCTGGTCTTGCGACAACCACTACCAAACACCAAGTGCGATGATGATTAGCTAGGCAGGTCACTCGTTTGAGATGAAACAAACGCCTGTTAGATGCTACAAGACCCTTGTTTCTAGAGTTTAAATTAAAACCGGCTGTTAATGTTATCTGCTGTTCACAAGCCCTCCTAGAGTAGGTCTATAGTGCTAGTCGCGGATAAACGTGAGAAATGTGTCGTGCGAACTAAATATCGATATATTTTGACCACAGATGAACACTCAAATTATGCTATCTATTGAAATAATCGTTACTGAAGTTACTTTTCAAGACTAACCTGGAAAGTATGAGACTGGACCATGCTGTATAGAAAGTTCAGAGTTGAATAATCAAAAATTCAGATTAATTAATATCAAATCAAACTTCACTTCGCGCTTTCCCCTCTCTTCACTCAACACATTGTTCTTGTGAATCTTGGAAAACCAAAAGATGACGTCTCAAAAAGCTTATGTTCCGTGCTTATAGTTACGGTGCTGCCCTGCTGCCCTGTTGGCTCACCCCAAGCAACAGTGCACAAATCTGGTCCTACATCTTAGCGTGTAAGGCGCATAGACTCATGTGTTATTGTGGCATAGACGACCTCGTAGTGTACCGAAAGAAGGATATAACAGAGCTCGTCAATCGTGTAGTCATCAGTTTCGCTAGAGGCGCTAGAACTCATGGTGTTGCCACGGAGCTGCTGTGTACGATAATGTTGAATGCATGGAGCCAAACACCGAGGATAAGGCTTCGTTGTCACTGAAATGGTATTAAGATCTTTGGCCGCTCATGTGTAGAGTAGAATTTAAATAGTCAGTGAACACCAGAAAAGAACCGTGAAAATTTGGAGGGTGCAGCCGCGTTCTCACTGGCTTTGGGTGGAATGTCTCGAGAGATTTTTCAGCAATGGACATGATTACCTCCATTCTGCCCCCAGTGCGAGTCCATAGCCGATGGGATAGCGGACTGGGTGGGGGAACGTCGCAAGGGAGGAGAAAGAAGTGTGAACTAATGACACAATGTCTCAAGGTATGTAAGAGACTAGCTATGAGGAGAATTAGTGAAGACTAGAGATCCATCAGTTATGTCTCATCTCACTGTTGCTGAGTGGATAGATTTTCTGAGGGGTGACTTTCAATGTGGCGATAAGCTTGATTCAAAACTTAAAAAACTTTACTAGCGAGTTTTGCAGGAATGACAGCAGATTACCACTTAGATTGTTGTTGATCTCGATACCACCGTAGCTTTCGTACTCTCCCTAAGAAATAATAACACTAAACTAGATCAATCGAAAATTATGCCTAGGTTTTTTCTTATAATATATATATCCTGCCCAGCTACTATTGTCTTGGTAAAAAAGCTGTGAGAGATTAATTCCCGGTCATCACACCTGCGAATATGAAAAGCAGTATCTCGTTTTTGACACTCCTGGTGAGATTCGGCGGAACTGTTGTTGTTCAGCCGCCTGGTGATGTTAATGGGCTGGCATCAATATGGTGCTACACGTATCTTTCGACCTATCTTGAGCCCATAACAACTGGGTCTACCAGTCCGTCTCCAACCAGCTTGTCTGTTAGCCCAAATCCTTCCGCCATTGGATCTACTTCGACGCTTTCAGTCCTTCGCACCCCTCCGACATCACTTCCAGGATCCACGACGGCTTCTGATACAACTACAATCTTGGGTTTCACTTCCTCTTCGGGTTATGTTACACCTTCGGGACTCAGTCCCTTTTCGTCGTCAGCTTTGCCATTAATTCCGAGCTCATCCCTCACGACAGAATTAGTCTCAACGCCTACTCCCAGTGCCCTAGTGGATCGGCAGATAATATTGTTTATACTCCCTGGCGGAGTCACTAAGCGGGATTTAAGGAAGAGAAATCTTGGAGGATTCTTCAAAAATGATATAGCTGCTGACCGACTGAGCTGTGATGCTGCTACCATCTTTAACCTGTCCCTAAGCCGGCTCCTTTACGCGGGGAATCCTATCCACTACACACCTGGTGATAACAACAAAGCCCTTCGCACTACCACTGTACCTTCAGTCAACGCTATAACCACTACGTTTGGGATTGTAGGAGGCACACTTCAATTTTTAAACTCTTCCCTACCTGGTGGACGAGCCAACTTCTGCCAAGACCCTCTAGGGCAAGTCTACATTACCTTTGCATCTACGCCAGTGGACTGTGCGCCCGTCCAAATTCTAGCCTATGGAGGTAAGATGGACTTGTCCCTATAATTGTCTGCTTACCCTGTGTTGACGTGTAATGATTTGGAACAGCCGAGCAATGCGTGAACGGACGAATCGTTGGCGCCATTGTGCCTACATTGTCAGTCACGCAAACAAGCCAGTCGTCGTTCAGCGCTGGTTCTCCGTCTAGTCTGGCCAGTAATTCTGTCAGCATACAGACATCACAGTCTTCTGAAGCACCTACCATACAACTTCCAGCTGGCTCGACAACTTTGACCTATTTTGCCAACCTAACCTCCACAAGCTCTGCCTCAACTTCGACTACAACCGCAATTGAAACCATGACTAAGTCTACAACTGCATCAACCACGATGTCCACAACTGAGTCCACAAACACGAATACAACGACAACTGAAACTACGACTGAGTTTACGACTACGATTGAATTTACCATCACGCCTACATCTATGACTACATCTGAGTCTACCACTACGGCTGAGTCTACCACTACGACTGCATCTACGACTATGACTCAGTCTACGGCTACAACTGAGTCTACCACTACGACTGAATCTACAACTACGACTGAATCTACCACTACATTTGAGTCTACGACTACGGCTGAGTCTACGACGTCAACCATCAGTAGCTCTGCAGCGCCCAGCTGCACGCCCCCTTTAACATCATTCCCGGCCTGCGCAACGCAGCCTGATCCATATGTGCGAGACTACACATATGATATCGACTGTGGTAAACGTAGCATTCCGGGTACGGGTATTCCGTTATATTTTAATGAAATTGTCGCGTCTTTAGATGCTTGTGTTGCCCGTTGCGATGAGGATATATACTGTGGTGTCTGGAATTTCTTTAATGATGGGAGATGCCAGACATTCAACTTCCGTACTGAGCTGGTGAATGATTGTAATTCCTACATCACGGGTCAATATGTCCCTTAGTCTCTATTTGTAATATTGCTAGTACCGGCCGACTTCAGCTTAAATTCTATTTAACGTGATGGATAAGCGAGCGGTTGAGACAGTCGGGTGGTTTACCCGACCGCGATTATTTCCTCTGCACATTGTAAATCACCTGCCCATTCTCCCAAAATCATAGCATCATCAGATAAAGCAGCGCAAGTAATCTTAGCGATTCAGACTATAGAAATCACTCTAAATCATAGTGCCCGAGCGGCTGGACGGATTTACCCAGGACCATATACAACTCTGCTTCTTCGACTGAAGGGAACACCATTACAACGCGACATCATGCCGAACTCACACAATTTGAGGCTGTTGAAAGAGGTGAATTTATTTAAATACATCCTCGACCTAGATTCATAATTTCTTCCTCTCGGCTTAGTGATGTGGAAAAAATAGCTAATCAACTTCTTACCGACCGCAACCCACCTCCATTTAAGTTAGGAAACGATAGGCGTCAAACTTTGTTACTACTCATATTCAGCACTTGTAATAGTACTATGAAGACTCGTCTGGAAAACGACAAATTATCTCCAGTACTAATAGGCTGCAGCACAAACTGGTCCGGTTTTAAATCCTCACTTCTACAAATTTTGGAGCAAGATCTGATACTTAGCTCTGATTCTTTGACATTTCGAACGATATCAGCCTCTAGCAATCTTTACTTAATAGAAAAGACGTCCAAGGGTAGTTATCCTGACGGCTTGCTACAAGAGCTACTGATGAGTCAAATAGGGCTTTCGTGGCACGTAAACAAAGTTAACCTTTATTATGTAGTACCTAAGTTGTACAATCTGTCGGTTACAATAGCTTAGTAAATTAGAGAACGCCCGAAGTAGCTAGACCTCACAGTGGCAAGGAAACCCTAACACACACGCTGCAGCGAAGAAGGTCAGTAGCGAAGACGCAGTGCTGAACTAGCAAATCTGCCATTGCCCCATCATTTCACCCACGAGTCGAGTGATTCTGTTTGACTCTGGTATCCTTCACTGTTCCAGTCACTCGAGCAGCAACTATTCAAATTCTTCTTCACGGCATTATCTTCATGCACCTCAAAGTCCGCGCATATGTTCTTCGCTGCCACTCGTTTGCCATCGTGATAAACAGTGAATTCAAGGCTACAGCCGTCGGACACCATCTCAATTTCGAATTCAAGGCGGTGGTAGATCTTTCCTATGGGGTTGGTAAAGGTTGGCAAAGCCTCAAAATCAATCTTGCTGTTCCAGGTGATAGTGCACAGTTTCTTGACTGTCGAGTCCTTGCGGTTGGGAGCAGCAGATGACTCTGAATAGTGTATAGCCTCAGCGATTCGTTCGGGAGGCTTTTCAAATAGGCGCTGATAGCTATGGCGAACAGATTTGGCGCCAAAAACATCAGTTCCCTGGTAGTGTGAGCGAGCAAGACCGCTACTGTGGGGTTTGTGGCAGGAATTGGTTGCATCATACCTGCTTCAAGTACCAATGTACTTGATTGTATGCCTTCCAGATCATTTCAACTTCATCCCATACTCTGTCAGTGAGAAGGTGGACGTCCGGATTGTAATGCTGCCAAAAGACAATCCCATAGTTGATTCTTGCGATCCTTGACTTTACAGTCACAGAGAGATCTGTGAACAGTTTTTGCCGAGTGAGACCTTGAATGACCGCACCCCGACATATTGCACTCCAGCTATATTTTATTAGCATATCCTCTCACAGGGGTTTGTATTACTCACGGTCGAGAACCCTGTGCCTGTAGAACGTCAGTGCCATCATTGGAAACTTCTTGGACAAGATGGTTGTAAAGATATGCAGAGCGACCAAAGCCTCCCACAAGGATGATGTACTACGGGATTCACCAGTCAGCCACAAGGAGTCACACGTGCTTCAGACTTTATTACCTTTGGTAGTTTGCCATATCTCAACTTGACCTGTTGAATCTGCTCTTTGACTAGCTCTGTGACTTTTCCGGTGATTTTCCGAAACATTGGATCCAGGTCGGCATAGCTGAGTATCAAGGTTTTTTTGTTCATAGTACCGCTTGCATGAACACATCCTGGAGGAAGCGTGACGATCCATTCTCTCTTTTGGCCATTGAATTGCTTCTTGATTCCGTGCTCCCAATCTCCATTTATGAATCTCTGGACCTCATCCTTGGGTAATGCATCCCAGATATGTGGGCCGATCTTGCCCCTCATAAGTTCAATGAACGCTTGGTCAAGAAAGACAGCTCCACAGAGTCTACCGTTCCCTCTTACGGCTTCTCGTACAATCAGAGGACTCGTAGAAGTTATCTGATAAGATATTAGGTCAACCGTACCACCTCCAGCGTCACAGACGACAAAGTGATCTCCGTCCTAAACAACAATGCAATTTGTCAGTGAATTCAATCTTTCACGGAAGTCACTAATAAGAGCTGTACCTTGACGTCAGGGCGATGACGAAGGTCAACCATGGTGGCTAAAGCAGCAGCTTCGGGTTCAGAGATGAAAGACAACACAGTGTTACCGGCTGGACGCCTATGGAGGATGCCGGCGTTCTCTACTGCGTATCGCATGCGAGCCTTGGAGTAGTCCGGCCACATTGCTGGAAGAGTGACAACGACATGAAATCTACACAGTCTCATGAGCGCTTTCCCAGCTGACTGGGTAATGCACTCGATAGAGTGGTTCCACAGCAGCCGAATATAGCTGCTCACGACATTAACTGTGTCTTTGTTAGCTTCGGCCAAAAGAGTCTTTGCGGTGGCAATCTGAGGTGAATTGTGCAACTCTGCTGAGATATCCTTGTTATCTATCAAGAGAAGTTTGAACCATTTCAAGGCGTCCTCATTGTTGGCAGCTGGTATTTTGTAGCCCCAGAACGCTTCATTTTGGATTCCGCGGTAGAGAAGAGTGGAAGGTGTTTTTTCCGTGTCAGAATTGAAGTTCATGTCTGATGCCCACCGGGTTATGACCTCAATGTTGTTTGGCTGGCCCGAAAACGCCCAGCTCACTCCAGAGAACCTGTGACTTACATTAAGTCTTCCGGTAACCCTCGACTAGAAACAAGCGCGACTTACGTTGTCCCGAAGTCGATGCCAATAACTATGAAGTCATTTTCTGTCTTGTCGGGGAGTTTTGCGGTTGATAAACCGCTCTTGTCAAATCGCCCAGACATGATTTCTGTATGATGCGTGCGTATCAGCTGACAGACGAGGAAAATACTTTGTGTGTAAAACCAAGCCAGAGTACGAAATGTTGAGGAGAGCTGGACGCAAACAAGGTCCTTCATGATCAATTAAATGGAGGAGCATGAACGTTGGGGAAACATGATCATGAAATGGCCTCGTATTGTAGTAGCCCAGAATTAAACTTTCGCTATTATGGTTCACGCAATGCTTAGCTTAAATGAAAAGTTCTTGTTAGGTCAAATTGAGAAATTCTGTTGGATCGAACTGAAGCTTCTCGTTGAAACTCCCAGACAAAGTAACAATAGGATTTATGTGAGACGCTGGAAAATGGCCACTCAGAAAACGGGACCATGAAGTCCAAGGATTGAACGCGTTGCCTCGCCATCATTTTCTAGGTTTGGTGCCCACATTAATTTTAACGATGCTTTTCGTTCTAAACCAAAATCTCAGGGGGTGCCTTGTTCTTGCGATAACCAGTGTCATATCTGAGACGACAGTCTTTTCTCTAAGGTAAGGCAATCAATGCAAAACGGCTTTTATTTCCCCCAAACCCCCCATCGTGTTTTTGTTTCAACAGTTGTTGTATGAACAATGTCACATATTCTACAACGGCACAATCTTTCGAATTGAAATATTCCGTAACCCCAACCTTGTCCTTTACACTCATCTTAGTCCGCTGGTGCCTCAAGAAGTCACTTCAGCCATAATGCGGGAAAACCGTGATCAACAGCAGAACCTAAACCGACCGTCACCTGTTGGCATAGCCTCCCCACCCCAGGTGGCATCGAGATCAGAGCGTAGAATTGGCCAACGTGCAAGGTTTACATCGTCGTGGAGTCCGCAATTCTTATTATTCGGAAATGACGAAGCACATAAACAAGCCGAAGAGATCAAGAGTCTGAGAAGTTACAACTCGGAGCTGCTTCAGCAGTTGGAACAGCAATGCACATCCCTCAGGCAGTGCGACGATATGTTGGAAGAAAACGGCAAACATATCAGAGAACTTGAGCAGCAATTGAAAGGCTCAGAGAGAACTTATAGAGATGACATTAAAAAACACGGAGAACGAATCAACGAGCTTCAAGATACGGTTTCCGCTCTGAAAGAACAGATATTCGAGTTGCAAACTGCTAAAGCTATTGCAGATGATATTAAGATCTCGGATAACGCCATTCTTGAAATCTGGAAGCGAATGGCGTATAACATTCGAAGTACTGCCATTACTCATCTCACTCACTGTCCTTCAAAGGAAGAGCTAAAGGGAAGCTACCAGGATCGCCCAAGTGCGGTCTCACAAATGGCCTCTACGGACTATGACTGTTTACAGGATGAAAACATGAGACATCTTGTGGTTGAGAACTACATTTGGCGTTTTGTGAACTCTCATATCTTTGGCGGCGGCCAGTTGCAGGAATTGTCGGGAGCATGGGGGGGAGGGGCGGGTGTACGGCTGTATTCCCTCAGTAAATGTTTGATTTGTAAGTTTGTCCCTCCGCGTGAAGTATTGCTAATAAATCAAGACTATACACATCGCAGCTAACGCCTAAGAACATAGTTCAAATCACATGCCAAAACGCTGCGGAGTTTTTTAGCTGGCGATCGCAAGCCGCTATAATGATTGACGAGCTTGTGGGTTTCCGAAACCAGATCCTTCAACAGCTTGCCATGACAGGGCACATTACCTTTTCATCGCTACTCCCGCCTGGAAAAAGACACGACAAGTCAGCAAGGAATGCACTCGGTCGAGAGTTTCTCAGCATTTGCAAAGATGCAGTTGAGCTCCAGTCCATTTTCATGAAGTCAAAAGCATACTTTTTTGTTCACTGGGAGAATGCTACAAAGTCCGGAATGGAGAAGGTGGTTTATAGGCCGGATGACATGGAAGCTGAGGACTGGGGAAAAACTCTCGGCGACAAAAGCGTTGTAAAAATTAACATATCACCAGGTCTTCTCAAGTGTGGCACTGCCAATGGGGTTGATTATGACCGGAGGATTTGGTTGGTGAAACCCAGGGTATTTTGCGACTAATGTGTGTGTAATTAAGAGCTTAAGTGAAAACCATTCCCAGTATAGCTAGGCAGGTTTAGGTTAGGGTGCAAATGACAGACAATTTTCAATACATACCATCATTCAGTCGGAAGAAGGCAGCACTCATTCGTCACACTGGCGCTTCATTTCGAGTTGAAGAAGACCATGGTTTTTTTTTTCCCACTCTCTGTTATGCGAATGTTAATTCCAACTGGCTTCCATATTCTGGCGGTCGCAGACAAGGGTCGAGAAGTGTGTTATGCAGTTGTGCTGACTGCTCATATTCAGTGCTCCCGCAGATACTATTAAGCCTCACATAGAAGGTATGTATTGCAATGAAACTGGACTACGGCTCAGTGCGGTATAGAAAATTCAGGGTTTAACAACCAAAAGTTTGGATCATATAATATTAACTTGGACGTTAGTTCGCTCATTTTCCCTCCTCTTCACTTACTGCCGTGTTCTAAAGAACTTTGGAAGATAACGAGATGACGTCTCAAGCTTGATCGGCCAACAACAGCACCGCTCGAAAATCCTACAGACCCACTTAACGGCCGGCCTTCCTTTTCGGGACGCCGTGCCAGCCGCTCAGTCACAAAACATGCAACACGGAACTTTCCCCATTCGCTCCCACTTCCTCTCTTCATCGCTCGCAACAGCTCTCATCGCAGCCTCATTGATTGAGCGCAGCATTCATCAATTGATTGCCGTTGCTGAAGTGAATTGAGATAGTTGCTCCGGAACACTTCCATCAATACTCATTGACGTAGTTAGAATGGCCCGCCTCGCAGCGCTTGCTCTCACTGGCCTCGCCTTGCTCACGCGGCTTACATTGGCGGTCGCGACGCAGGCAGATGTCGAGACGCCCGAGTTCAAGACTTTCAGCTTGCCGGAGCACCCGCACCACGCAGTCCGCATCAAGGAGCAGAGCGATGAAATTTGCGCTGCCGGGTCGAGGCAGTGGACCGGATGGCTTGATGCAGGTGGAAAGCACCTCTTCTTTTGTGAGTCGCACTAATGGCTAGCACTGACCATCAAATCTGATACATACAATTCTAATATGTGCGATAGGGTACTTTGAGAGTCTGAATGACCCCAAGAATGATCCGCTCAGTCTGTGGATCACGGGCGGACCCGGAGGCAGCGGTCTCGTCGGTGAGTAATACACGGAATGCTCTCCAAGAGATGAACGGTAATTGATGCGAGTACAGGCATGATGCTCGAACTTGGGCCCTGCCTAATCAACTCGAACGGCACCGGCACGGTCCACAACTCTTACGCTTGGAACTCCAACTCGTCCATGATCTTCGTCGACCAGCCTGCCGGCACCGGTCTGTCCTACTTCGATGAGGGCATCGAACAGCCCGTGACGTCCGCCATGGCCGCAGAGGACATGAACGTCTTTCTCCGCATCTTCTACTCGGCGTTCCCTCACCTATCCACACTCCCCTTCCATATCGTTGGTGAGAGCTACGGCGGACATTACATCCCCGCCTTGGCTGCAGAGATTGTGGAATACAACACCGGATCTCCCGCGCCGAACTTCAAGATCCCCCTGGCGTCTGTGATGATTGGCAACGGGTACGTCTCGCCCGCGGACACGGTGTGGGGTTACTACGACACGCTGTGCACGACGAAGCCCGGCGTCCCGGAGCCGGTTTTCAATGTGAGCACGTGCGGCAAGATTGCCGACGCGCTGCCGAGGTGTATGTACATCCAGGAAGCGTGCTACGCTTACCCGGATCCGATCGTCTGCAAGGCGGCAAACAAGTTTTGCACTGACAACATTGACTGGCTGTACTACAAGGACGTCAAGGCGGGCGGGAGAAACCCGTTCGATATCACGGCGCCGTGCGAGACGGAATCCATCTGCTACGCGGCCGGAGACGGGATCGAGGATTACATCAAGTCGGAAAAGGTCAGCGCCGCGCTGGAGATTCCAAAGGATGTCGCAAAGAATTTCAGCCTGATTTCAATGTTGGTCAACAGCGGGTTTGAGCATGCGGGAGACGTGTTTCTCAGCACCGAGGCGCAGGTCAAGTACATCCTCGAGTCCGGGGTGGACGTCCTCATCTACAACGGAGACCTTGATCTAGCGTGCAACACAGCGGGAAACATCCGGTGGACCAACAAGTTGGCGTGGGCTGGGCAGGTCGAATTCAACGCGCAGGATCTCGCGGTATGGTATGCTGCCAAGGGCCGGGAGGTCGTGCGTGCGGGGCGGTGGAAGCAGGTTGTGAAGAAGACCAAGGGAGGCAAGGAGACAAAGTTCGCATTTGTTACGGTTGAAGGATCGGGACATATGGTGCCGTTGGACCAGCCTGAGGTTGGTCTGGCGATGGTCAGAAACTGGCTATTTGGGGACTTTGCGACGGCTAGCAAGGGCGGAATGAAGGTTCAGGTCTCTGGGCAAGGGAAGGAGGAGCAGTGGTCATTGGAGTTGTGAAAAGAGGGATGACGACTCGTGATTCTGGGAAAGGCAAAGAGATGGATGGCGTCGGCAAACAAATTGCCATATGGTGATCCAAATAGTATGGTGATCCAAATATCGCCGATACACTCATCTATGGAGCTCTCAACAAATGTAAGGGTATGGCACTAGGGTTCAAGAACGTGCCCCTTGACCAGAGATGATGGCTTCAACTTACTAGTAGATGACAAAAGTCAATCTGGATAAGCTGCTCTTCATGGTTGTGCTTGCTTATGACACGCAATGATGTGATTAGCCAGCTTGGCCTCATTTGAAAACCCCTCATCGTGATGATGGATGATCGACATGTCACTTACTCTGAATACTGTTTATATCCAGTCTGGCACAGGTCATCCTGTCATCCCTGAACATGCAGATACAGGGCTTCAACTGGCCGGTGATCGATTATGGGCTGCTAGGCAAAATAAACGTGAACTCAGCGGTTATTGATCCTTCCCAGTCATTGACATTGGCATCGGTGATATCGATATTCTCCATATATGACGGTTCCAATTCCCATTGAGCTGATGGAGCCGCCTTTATCCTTTAGAAATAGGCTGTGATGATTGGTGGTGGTACGACGGATGAAAGGTTGCAGCGAGGTCTCCGCTGTAAGAGTCGCATCGTTCGCATTCATAGCAGGGAAACAGCTTGTTGTGTCCCTCAGTAGAGTGTTCTCGGTGGTCGACCGACGCCAATAATTTTGACCACCTTGGCCTACCTTCATAATCTTAGTTGCTCACCTTATCCACCCAAAGTGGAGAGGTTCACTTCTTGGCCGATATTTATGTCAACTGGCTAGAGCCCTGATTTGACGAACCAACAGCCCCCAGTCAGCTAAGCAGCGAGGAAACCGGGCTGCTGGAGAAGACGCCAAGTGCCCCCCATAGAGTTATCAATCAATCAATCAGTCGATAAAGTGGATATAGGCATTTCTCGGCGGTCCGAGCTGACCTGAATGAAAACGTGCGACCCCGGATTGGGGGTGAGAACCCGGATTGGCAGACGACTGGCGGAAGGATGGTTTGGAATCACAGTGACTACCACTGCGACAGCCAAGAGAAAAGGGGGGTTCCCAGTTGGTGCTGAAGGATTAGGAAGGAGCGAAATCCCTACTGCCCAGTGTGACACAAGACCCACTCTGAGTGGTTCTAGACCCACTACAACGAGATACGGGGGCGCACAGGCGTTGATACGAATTCAAGAATGCGCGCGGTAGGCAGATGGGCAGGAAGGTGCACCTGAAGCTGGACTGGGGCGCACCTGCAGGGTCGATATGGCGGGCAACACGTCCTGGAATCATGATGCTTCAACTATCCCGTAAACAGCCCAAATTGGTTTTATCCACGAAAAGCGAAAAGTCGGGATGAGACAACCTCAAATGCCACAATAAGTTCGGCAGCAATCACGTAACGATGGGTAACTGTCCACTTCTCTAACCGTTTCTAGTGTATCCCGACAAGCGGCGGCGGGTTCTTGTTCATCTGACAAACGTCTAGGATGTGGGAAGCTATGCAATGCCAACTCAACCTCCCGCGATCAGCCACAGGCATCCTCCCAGCACAGAACCCAAACCTCCACCAAAGGAAGCTCAATTGGCCATGCCGCCGAAGACGTTACACAAGCCACGGGGTGGCGTCCACGTTCATAAGAAGATGAGATGAGACTACCAGTAGACGGGCACGGGACGGCAGACCGCTTGATGCCATGCGAGTTGTGCCACAATGGCTGGACGAAGAACACCCCCCTTAACTAGACAGTAGAAAATAGAAGCCGTTGAGTGCGGCTAGAACAAGGCCTCCGTCTGTTCTGTGCATCTGCTGACTGTAGCAGACTTCGTCTCTGCATATAGAACTCATACTCCGTACATACATACATAGTGCCGTGGCTGTAACCACAGCATGGCGTGGCGTGGGCGCCTCAGCAATCCGTCATCCATCCACCACTGCCTAGCCACCCACTGGAGAGTCCTGCCGTCATGCAGCCCAGGGAATCCCTCGACTGGCAATCACACCTCATTCAGCCCTGTCCAGATGCGCCCTACGAATTGGGGTCTGGCAAACTCAGGTCGCTTTGAATACCGTCCTTCTCGCGCGTTGTCACCCGTGCCACAATGAACCAATATCAACCTACCGTGTCAAGCTTTTTCTGGGCCGGTCTGAGTTGTGTTAAGGTGCCCTCTGCGCTGTCTCTCCGTCTTGCAAGGATGAGGACCCTCTCAATCGACGGAAACCAGCCCAACGGGGTCAAGTTTGAAGCTCGACGGGAACATCGCACGGAGCTGGGGAGTACCGGGCATTGGTTTACTGCAAATACCACCATCCACCTACCCGGCACTGACTCCCCGAGTTCCCCCCGCTGGCTCTTCTTTTGCAAAGGACGAACACATTCCCCAGAAAAGCCCCATCGAGGTCCATAGAGGGGAAAGAAAAGCAACCGGCTGATTGGGATTTCATGCTGCTGGCCCCCGCTTCTTTCCCCATGACAGAGATCATCCGCTCTCTCTCCAACTTTCAATCTCCTAGAGTTCGTCTTAAATCTACCAAAAAAGCTGCTGCCTGCCACCGAGTGGGCGCCACGATCCTTCCGAGTTCGCTTCAAGACACCACGGCGTTGACTCCGACCAGGCATCGAGAGACACGGTCCCGCGGCACTCAGATACTCATTGATCCAACCAGCCGGGTCTGAGCTTCTTTGGCCCCCGTCCTATGTATCGGTCTGATTTAGTCCTATTTGTTGGTTCTCCATCCGCCGCTCCCGTGATATTTCGCGGCTGTTGCCCGCCATGGCGGCTACTGCGACTATGACGCCAACAACGTCAACAAATACCTACAGCAGTATTGTTGTCACCAGCTTTCCATCCAACCCGCTTACTACCCAATTCGTTGCGCCGACGTCTTGTGGCGAGATCTACAATGGCAACATCTACATGCTCGATCCCCAAGAAAACTGTCTTCCCTCGAGTCATCGGAAAGAAGAAACGGCCTATTTTTCGCCAGGATATGTATGTCCTAAAGGTTACATGACAGCCAAAATCGACAACAAGGGCGTCCGCAGCATCACCACCGTCACTTGCTGCCCTTACCGCAGCGACATCATCCTCTCGGCTGTCGACCCTGCTACCCTCTCTGGCCAATGGATTGGTCTATTTTGTACTTGGATCGCCCCAGAGGCCACCCGAATCGACATCGTCCACACTGCAGATACTCGCACATGGACTCAACAGGAGTATGTGACGTCTCCAGGCGGCGTCAATGCATATGGCGTCCGCATGGTCTACCAGTCAAGCGACCTATCTTCATCAGCGACATCTTCAATGGCCTCGGTATCCGCTACGAGCACGGGTAACGTCACTGTAGTTGGACCAACATCCGAGCGAGGGCTATCAAGCGGAGCATCAATAGCCATTGCGGCCGTCGTGCCGGTCGTCGTGCTTGGCTTAGTGGCTGGCGGTCTATTCTGGTGGTGGAGGAAACGGCAGGCGTTGAAATACAACCGCGTGAATGACGCCAATATGGCCCAAAACCAGGGTCCGCCTGGCATGCCCCCGGCACAGCGGATGCACCAGCCTGGCCCGGTCCACGAGGCGTCCACGACGCAGCAGTACCAGGATCCGCACGTATACCAACAACAGCATCATCACCCGCCGGTGCAGACGATGCAGTCAATGCAATCCCTGCCCTCGACCTATCCGTCATCTACAACGGCATCATCTGTCCAGCAGTCGTCTCCCAGCGTGCCATACTCTCAACAATACGGTCACAACGGAGTGTACACAAGCTATGCCGGGTATAAGCCGCCTAGTGTGTTGGAGGAGTCCCCTACGGCACCGTCTGGGCAGACATTCACTTCAGAGCTGCCTGCAGCTGTCCCAAGGGAGCTGCCTGAAGACCGTCCGGGCATGACAGCGTCAGGAGTGCATATTGACCACCAAAAAGCCATGGGTATGGGGCCTCTTAGATGATGAATGTGAGGATATGAAGATTTAGTGAGCGTGGTTAGATAGGACGATACTGGCATCAGGGCGGCGCATTCAGCATTGGCTTACGGAACAGCAAGGCGTTTGAGTGGCGTATTCATCTAATAGGGATTTATCCTAGGCAAATCTTTTCTATGGCGACGGGGCAGAGATACTCGCATATCTATGAATGGAGTTCTAAATCTACATCTACAACTATATAATGCCGATTACACGACTAATGAGCTGGGCAGCTCTACACCTCAGGTCAATCTTTTAAGGCCGAACGAGCAATGAAGTCCCCAGGACGCTGAAATAACACTGGACCCCCCCCCCCCCCCCCCCCTTTGGATGATATACTGGGACTGGCGCAATTCCGTCTCCCCATCAGCACTAAAGTAGTTGCGCCTGCCCTTCTGGGCGACGATGGAATGTGGCTGAGCCCTCAGAAAGCTTAGCCCCAGGATCCATGTGTTGAATACTTTAGCGAAAGTTCCAGTCCGAGCTAGTCCGAGCCTGCATCAGGTATTTTTATGACTTAACCTTACCAATTGTGAGGACACAACGAAACCTCTCAACACTTTTCATTGTTCACGGCTGGTTTCCGCAGTAAGTACAAAATCATGATTCCCATAACGGACCACAAAACACTACGTTATTTAGTGTCCACTGGCTAGCAAAGGACGAGATATCAAGTTTTGAAGCGGCCGGCAGCGGGCAGTTGTATTTAAGGGGGGTAAAGGGCTGTCCTTGTGACTAAATATATTGGACGCAGGTTTTTTCAACCCTTCTAGCATTCTCTCCAGGCTTGTTTATGATTTCCCATCTCGAGAAGCAAAGGGGCGGGTCTACCGTGTACCCTCATTTACAAGTAACGCTAGGCTTAACCCATAGCCAATCAGGCAGCAAACTGAGAGTGCGAGCTGGCTCATCTCGGATCGCACAGGGACAACAGCCGACCCGTCCATCTCGTGCTGTTATTGCTTAAACAACCTAGCGAATTTCCCAGGATGGCTGCCTTAGCTACCTACTATCGATCTGAATGGCCTGGCCTCGGCTGCAATCCTCTGGGTGCAGCTATCCGCGTTAACCTCAGGCCCCTGCTGAAGGATTCGCGACTGCAGCTCAGACTTCGCCAGGGGTGCCCTGGACCTGGCCCCATAACCCCTTTTAGCGTTGCTGACTTGTCTAGGATTCTGTTTTTTCTTCGTTTTTACCAAGCAAGAGTCTGCTTACGAGACCCATCTTGCCCTCGCAACGCAGCTTTGGATCGCCGTTGCATCTGGGTCAGTTGTGAGTGGTGGGTGGGTGCGACGGAGGGGGGAAAGGAGTAACCAGCAAAGGATTATTCGAAGCTAGGCCCAGGTTTCGCAGGTTCCCCTTCTAGACATCTTTCCTTTTCCTTCCCTTTTCCTCTTCTTGGGCTTCGTCAGTCACACCGTAGTACGGGTCACTGGACGAGTTCGCGTCCTGTCGCTTGCGAATCCCTTCAAACTCTCATGGGATTTGTCGTCCTCTCTTTGCTGTAGTATCCACAAAAATATATTCCCTTACCTTGTTGTCATCTGTACGGGAGGATTTCTCATACGAAGAGGCCCCAAAGTCTCCAGCCCAACAGCCCAAAGCCCCCTTCTTATCTGGCTTTGCCCAGCCCTTAGATTGAAAAGATGGCTACAGCAAGCTCAACCACAAAAACGCGCTATGTCGCGTCGACATTCCCCGAAAACCCTCTGCCGACCTCCGACTTCAGTCCCCCGGCGTCTTGCTCTGGCGTTTACCTGACAAACAACGTCTTCGCCATCGATAACGACCTAGCATGTCTCCCCAACAAGTGGAACGGCGCCAGCACGGCGTTTTACTCCCCAGGCACAGCGTGTCCGACTGGCTACACCGCGCAGCCTCAATGCTCTAGAAACGGAGGCGTACGGACCGTGACGACCGTCACCTGCTGTCCCTACCGCGCGGGCATCACCCTCTCGTGCGTGGAGAATGATTTGACGTTAGCCGGGCCATGGGAGACGCAGTTCTGCACGTGGATGGCGGGCCCGGCGACGGTCGTCGAGTATAGCATTAGCAGAAGCGGAAGCGTGGAAAGGAAAGCAGCTACGATGAGCAATCGCGATGGAATCAACGCCTGGGGAATCAGGATGGTGTACCAGGAGAGTGACCTCGTCCCCAGTTTGGTGTCCGCGACGACGACGATGGCAACGACTGGGACCGGAACTGCAACGGGAATTGCAGGTACAACTGCGACGGGAGCGGTGACCGGAACGGCGACTACCTCCGCAGCGACGAGTATTAGCACCGGCGATAGTAGCTCAGAATCAAGCTCGGGGCTTTCATTAGGCGGCATCATCGGCGTTGCCGTCGCCGTGCCGGTTGTCTTCATGGCGGCGCTGGCAGGATTGTTCTTCTGGTGGAGGAAAAGGAAGCACGCCTACGCCGGTGTGCAGCAGCCCACCCCCAGCGACACGAATGATCCATCTGTTACGCAGCAGAGCGCGTACACGTACCAAGGCAGCAACTATCAGGGCAGCAGCTACCCGGCGAGCGAAATGGCGGGAGGAAGCATTGCCGGATATTACCAGAACGACAAGGTGCTGATGAACCCCGGGCAGGCGGGTGCGGGACAGCACCAGCAGTTTAAAGCGTATCCTCATGTTGTGCCTGCGGAGTTGCCGGTTGGACATGGGCCGGCGGAGCTGGATGGTGGAGGCATGGGAGGTAACAGGCAGAGCTAAGGAGAGAAAAATGAGTTTCGGATGGGATCTGATGAATGTGATGGGGTGATTTATAAGTGCCGTGGCAAGGATTTGATGTTGTTATACTATTAGCGTAGGGACGGAGTTCTCTCAACCAGCGAGGAGGGTATTCAGATGGGCGTATTGGGATTCACAGGATCTGCTGGAACTCTCTGCAGTTTGTTTACTAAACCCTTATAAAAGGTCGTCAAAAGTTGTCCCTTTGATGTCCAGCAATATTATTTTAGCTTTGCATAATAATAAGGATTTTTACCCATTTCACGCCAGTATAGTGTTTGTATCTTCCTCATCTGCGGCCACAAGCCAGGCAATGACTTGACATGGTGCATCTCGAGAACTCCTAAAGGTCAAGCTCTATTACCAATCGCATATGAATTATAAGTCGGGATGATCTAGATCGGCCCGGGCGGACAATCAGACTGGCCGAGTCCCGTGCCTCCGGCCCCTGGTGAAGCATCACTCCGAGGGGCGCCCCACAGGAACACCGAGCTCACACCGCCTGCTATTCCTGGAGTGGTTTTTTACCCCGCCACCCCGCCATCAGCTGTAGAAAATTTATCCTTTTATGTCGCTGTATCTGCCCTGCTTATCAAGCACGCAGAACTTCCTCGACGCATTAATAAACCACGTCGTTTAGTCACAGCGCTTCACCTTTTATACACTTATACCCAGCGTTTCTGACGTCTCTCCCGTTCGGCAGCAGAGACAAGCGCAATCTGTTTCAGAAACTACACAAGAAAAGAACCCCCCCACGATAGAAAACAGCAAAAATGTCCGCCCACCGCGACGACCACGAATCTGACCCCGAGATGCTCGGCGCCGACGAGGTCGGCGAGGAGGTCAACGTCGACGCCGAGGATGTCGCCATGGATTCGGACGATGACAACGAGGAGATCACCCTCCAGAACGACTCTGTCGCCTACTTCGACCTCCACCAGGACTCCGTCTTCGCCATCACCCAACACCCCGTCCACCCGACCATCATTGCCACCGGCGGTTCAGAGGGCGACTCCGACGACGCCCCCGGCAAGGGCTACCTCATCTCTACGGCCGCCGCCGCGTCCCGACCCGTGCTGCCTGCGTCCTTCTCCGGCGACGCTCCCCAGCAGAGCACGCAGCTCGAGGCCATCTACGCGATCGACGGCCACACCGACAGCATCAACGCCCTCTCCTTCACCCTTCCCAAGGGCGACTTCCTCGTCACCGGCGGTATGGATGGCAAGCTCCGCGTGCACGCCGTGCGCGTGAACTCGCCGACCGCCGAGGCCGCGAGCGTGCAGATCAAGTTCATCGCCGAGGCGCAGGAGGTCCCCGAGATCAACTGGATCGCGCCGTGCCCGAACCCGCAGTACCCCAACACCATCGCGCTCGGGGCCAGCGACAACTCCGTATGGGTCTACACCATCGACATCGCCGCCGGCGGCGGCAACCCCGCCAACTGCCTGCAGCTCGTGCAGACGTACTGGCTCCACCAGGCGCCGTGCACCGCCGGCGCGTGGACCCCCGACGGGAACCTGCTCTGCACCGTCGCCGAGGACTCGAGCCTGTACGTGTGGGACGTGTGGGGGGAGGCCGCGGCCGCGGGGCTGGTCGAGAGCAACGGGCAGACGGCCGTCACCATGACCGCCGAGGACCAGCGCTTCGAGGTCGAGGGCGGGCTGTACAGCGTGGCCGTCGAGCCCAAGGGCGCCTTCGTCGCCGTCGGCGGTGCCGGCGGCGCCATCCGCATCGTCAGCTTGCCGAGGCTGGCGAGCAGCGCGCAGCCCGGCAAGGGCGGCAAGAGTAAGACCTCCGCGGACGTGGCGGCGGGAGGTCAGATCCTCGCGAGCTTGCAGACCGCTTCGGACGGAATCGAGACGTTGAGCTTCACCACGGCCGCCGGCGCGCCGGGCGGCCAGACCTCGACGCTGCTTGCCGCGGGATCCGTCGACGGCAGCATCACCGTCTTTGACACCGGCAGGAGGTTCGCCGTCAGGAGAAGCTTGCCCGGCGCGCACGAGGAGTTTAGTGTCGTCAAGGTCGAGTTCGTGAAGAACTCGTGGCTTCTGACGAGCTGTGGCATGGACGGCGTCGTGAGGAGATGGGATCTGCGGGCCCAGGATGCGGGTCTGGTCAAGGAGTGGAGGGGCCACCGCGGTGATGGCGAGGGTGGCGGTGTGCTTGGTTTCGTGCAGGGCGAGACGGGCGAGAGGGTGGTTACCGCGGGTGACGACGGTGTTGTTCTTGTTTTCGAGGCTTGAGAAGAGGTTGGGTTCATTGCTGGGGAGGGGGTAAGGTTTTTTAATGGATTTTTGATGAGAGGATAGATAAAATAAGGGGGGGTTTTGTAAGGTACGACACCGCTGCGTTATTCGCGGCTGGGATGACGATGGATCGGATACCGATCTAGATGAATTGAAGCTTTTCACGTTTTATCCGTTTTGGCGCATGGCTGTTTTTTTCGTTGGTACGTGAGTGTCTTGTGTGTCTTGTGTGTCTTGTGTCTCATGAAGCGCGTTGTAGCTTGTTTTGCTGGCGACGATCATTTTGGTGAGACATGCGGCGGCTTCTTTTGAGTGGGGGTTATTATATTAGAGCTTAGATGCACGCCTCAGCAGTTTGAGTTTAAAAGCCATCGTCTTTCCATCTTACTTCCCCGCCGTGGAACACCGTTACTTTTCGCTGGAACATAAACCAGTCTCGCTTCCTTCGCCCTGGACCACAGCAATTATTATGCAGCCCGCCATGAGTCGTCTACACGGGGACCAGGTCATTGTACTCGTGCTTATGGTTTTCGGTGCCGTTGAGTTCCCGAGGACGTGTTTTTGTCTGGCGTTATCCTGGCTGTCGTGGGAGACGGTCGCTGCTCGTATGTGATGTCGGATGTCAGTGTCTTGAGTGCGTTCTGTATCTGGTTAGGCGATGCTAATGCCTGTCCTAGTGTATGCGATACTTGGGGTATACCCATTTTTGAACATGATGGCTCCAACGACGAGGATGGTTTTGGTAGATATGTGGAGGACATTATTATGACGATGAATGAACAGCGGATAGAGGAAGCGTTGGTGTTGGAGTGGGGATGAGCACATTGCGTTTAGAGTCGCATCAATCTGGCTATGCAACTGGTAATGCTGTTACCATGGCAAAATTAGACCATGTAGCAGTAACATTGCCATGATAGTAGCATTGGGGAATTTAAGTCACGACACCCTACAACATGGCAGACAACATCACTTCTCAACATCAATTGGAGACCAAATTTCATGGTGATTCATATCTCATTAGACTACCTCATTGTAGTCACCACCCATGCTAAACTCAAGAGTCGCTATCGTAGTGGTCTGTTTCATCCTCTCTCCAATCCCATGATCGCTTCCATTCAACGCCGTTGGTATATTACATGGTAAGCTTAAGCAGAGCTGCCGGCACCGCCCTGGCCGACGTTGGGGCCCTGAGCCAGACCCTGGCTCTGGCCGCCGCTGGCGTTCATGCCCTCAAGGCCGAGACCCTTCTCCTTCTCGGGGAGGGGGGCGGTCTTGTCGGCGCGGTCGACGTGGGTGGACTATGCACGAGTTAGCTGACTTGACTTCTAGAAATGAATGATGGTGTCATGACATACCTTCTCCTCACCAGCGCCGTGGACGATGTTGTGGCCGGCCTCAACCACGTTGTCAGAGGCACCAGATCCGTCGCGAGGCATGTTGATTGATGGTTTGGTGAAATGTGGGTTATAAAAGTTGGGAGTTTTTGTTGTTCTGCTTGAAGAAGCTTTGGTTGTTGTTTTGAGTCGTGTTTGTCTGTGATGAACAAAAAGAGTCGATGTCAGTAGCTGAGGAGGCTCTCTTTTAAAAATGTCAGGAGAGCTCTGAAGCTCTGATATCGAATTGACGTCATGGTAGGAAGGTGCAAGTGCCCTCCCGGGTACCTGCCTCCAAACGTCATTGGTGGTGGGTCCATGAGGAGCAGCTCCGCCCCGCGATGTCAGATCGCGGCAGATCTGGGTTGCTTTCCGCCGGAGGAAACATCCCGCATCGCGTGGTCAGACCGCTTGGCATCCCCCGATCGAAGGAAAAATGATGCTCTGGGTCACGCCACGGACCCGAGCTTTTCTTCTGGATCTCATAAGATTCCTTTTGGTTCTTGTTTTGAGACAAAGGGTTGCCAAACCATGTGGACCTGTCCGCCTTGGCCGCGCTACACGCCGCTTGGGGCGATGACGACATGCGAGCTCCAGGATAACGTTTGTCGGTAAGGTTTCTTGGTTTTGACCGTACACTTGGGGTTGAGGCTTTTTAGGTTAGGTGACGATGCTTTCCCTTTTTTCTGAATTTGGTGCGAGCATTGTGACCTATTTCTGGCCTTTATGACTACCGCTAATGTTAGGCTTGAGATTTCGCGAGGCTTCAACTTTGAGTGCTCATCGATTATCTTCGTCCTAGGGGTGAAACCAAAGTGTCAAAAATCCCTCACTAGAGAAACAAGAATAACCTCAGAAGTACAACCGATAGTCTTCTTCAGCACAACATGCAATTTAAGACTGTCAAAAGCACCAGATCTCCAGCAGTAAGTACTTGCTAACGGATTCCAAGTCGATCTAAAGTAAGGGCCAACCAAAAGCCTCATTTGAAAAGAAGAGAAAAAAAAATAAAATTTGGAAGCTTTTGAAAGTATCTCAGAATTTAGATGGAATGTTGGTTTATCAAAGTCGCCATGGCCATTGAGTAGTTCTTGACTTTATTTGGCTACTCAGGGAACTGCTACCCACTACTTGGTCATCCGGCATCCGACCGACTTAGAGGGTATTTAAGACCTTATGATAACCCAGACTAAAATTCCAGTGGCCAAGGGAAATAGAGACCATTATATGTGCGCCAGGCACAAATGATAAATGTCTCGAGCGTGCTAGCATCAGGTGATGTGTTATTACAGCACTCTCTTCCTCACCAAGCATCGAAAATCCCGAGGCTTCACAAACCAAAAACCGTCACAGTCCATTTCATCTTGGTTCTCAAGGGTGAAGTCAAAGTTTTGAACCACTCTAGGAATCGTCTTGGAAATCTCCAACAAGCTGATGTTCTTGCCGATACAAGTGCGTGACCCTTGACCAAACTTACATCCTTGTTAGCTATGAAGAAACTCGATCTGACTGCATTGAATGACTTACTGCAAAAAAGTAAGATTCCATGCGACTCTTTTGCTCCGGTGCCGAGTCTAACCATCGCTCCGGTCGGAAATACTTGGCATCTCGACCGTAGATATCCTCGTTGTGGTGCGCAACCCACGAGTTGATACCCACTACGTTCTATAATCAAGTTAACGTCCGTAGAATATGCAAAGATACAGAGAACTCTTACTCCTTCTGGAAAAAATGTCCCTGCTAGAGGTCGACCGCCCTTTGGAACCACTCGCGGCATCGTGAAGCCAGTTGCCGGGTGCATCCTGAGGCCCTCCTTGATAACAGCCTGAAGATACGGCAGAGCCTGAGACTCTTTGAATGTGATGGGACTAGAAACCGAACCATTTGCAACGGCATCGTCCAGTTCCTTCCGAAGCTTCTGCATGGCGTGCGGATTCTTCAAAAGATTGTACATAATGCCACTCAAGGAGATGGAAGTAGTGTCCGACCCAGCCGCTACGTTGGCACCACCTGTAAGAAAGATGGCCTCTTCACTTATTGCATCAGGTCGCTCCTTCCTGGCATGAACAAGTTTCATGATGAAGTCTTGTGGTCCATCTGGGACTTTGTCTTCCTTCTGTCGAGCATCCACTTGCTCTTGTACGCGTCTAATAAGCAGCGAATGCCCCTTTTCGTTTTTGCCCTGCGCAAAAAGCTGGAATACTTTGAAAAGCAACGGCCATATCGATGGGTAAACGCCCATGGCACTTGACAATTTCAAGGCATCCTCAAGCGCCTTTATTATGCCCTGGGGGTCTTGACCGGCGTCGAGGCATTGGAAACTTTTGGAGAACTGTCATACTCTACGTCAGTCGAAGTCTGTGAGTCGATTTATCATTGCTTACTGTAATCTGGCCTATGACATCAAATGCGTAGCATTGAAACCAATGACCCAAGTCCATAGGCTTTCCGCTGGCAGCCACTTCCGAAAGGCGTTGCAAGAAGATGTCCGCACACTCATCTACATATGGCTCATAGGAGACCATGCTGGACATGGTGTACACATTGGAGACTTGCCGACGCATGTGTGCGTGCGTCTTTGGGTCTTGATAAGTAAACAAGTTTCCGCGATTAGGGTCGCCAAACGTGATATAGAAATCGCTCTGGCAAAAGAAAACAACATTTAGTATACAAAGATCAATCGTTGAGAAGAGTTGCCCAAACCTTGACGAAATGACTGCCATGTCCGTAGATGATCTTTGCCGCCTCGAGGCTGTCTATGCTGTATTGCCCGGGAGCGATGCGTACGATGGGGCCTATTTGTTGGCAACACATTTTAGCAAACTTATTTCCTGTAATAACAAGAGTACTAAAAGGCTCATGGGAGTACCATATTTCTTGTGTAGCTCAATATTTGTCTTCCGGTAATCACCACGGGTATATTGTCGGAGAAGCCATAACCGAGTGAACCTAGCTGCGAATGGCCCTGGTTGCTTTCTAAGCGGATCCAGTAAAGCTCTCAAAGCCCGACTGAGAATGAAAAGGAGAAGAAAGATTGGAACAGCCCACCAGATAGGTGGCATGGACGGTCCGTTGAGTACATGGATTGGAAGAAACATGACTTGAGCTGCGAATCAACAGTTGTAATTCACAATGTTGAAGGAGCAAGGAAGACATAAAACATGATCACAACGGCTTAAATCCTGCTTTTATTCCCTCGAGATACCCAAAGACGGGAAATATCGTGGGGATTGGACACCGGCATATGCAGAGAGCATCTACAACATCCCCCACCAGCATGCCCGATCGAGTTTCAAGACAACCAACCCCACCCCCACAACATCTGCCGACGGACCGTTCCGCGCATTCTGTATACGACATGTGCATTGAAGGAATTGATGACGCTTGGTTTTCTTCTTCCCCAGCGGTGCTATTCCTCTTTCGATAAAATGACTTGCATATACGAGTTAGAAAGTTGCAGTTTGCAGCGACGTCGGTGTAAACGGCTAGCTGGCTTCACAAAATGTCGAATCCCACACCATAGTTGAGGAAATGGTCATTGCTGACCTGAATCATGTTTTATGGAGAAGAAAAAAGCGTTATGATCGACAGTTGGAATGGCGGGTTCGAAGTGGGGTTCCGCACTAGCCTGGCCAAGTGTTACATGTACTCGTTCGGCCTAAAGACTTGCTCTCCCACTACACACAACACACCTTCACATCGTCTTTCGAACCCCTCCAACCTTTCGAAATGAATGATCCTCTCAAAACTCTACGATGTAGGCATTGCAGTGAATTATTCAAGAGGAAAGAACACTTGGAACGTCATCTACGGCGTCACGTGGGTTCAAAGCCTTTCAAATGCCCTTCCTGCTCAAAGGCATTCTCTCGAAAGTGCGTTGACTTGATGTCCTTTTCGCGTGAGAGTAGATCGCTTTGGCTAGCAGCTGACACATACATGATAGGGATGTTCTCAATCGGCATCTTGCAACCCATGGCCCGACTTCTGATGGGTCGCCCCCGAGGCGTCCTGGCAAGAAGCCGCAAGCTTGCCTTGCATGCTCTAAGGCGAAACAGCGCTGCACAAGAGGACTGCCTTGCGAAGCCTGCAATAGCAAGCGGATTTCTTGTCAGTATCCGTTTGATGGAGTCAACTCTAGTCGCAGTAGGTTCGCGGTATACGAATCTGAAGCATCTGAGACGTCGGCAATTAGCCATGGGGAAATGGCCTTGCCTAATCAGTCGAATTGTGTGGCCCCGGGCGATCCGAGCGATGACGACTATAACCGAATTGTAGATGTGGCAGAAAACCTGGTTCCAGTAACCAGTACAGAAGCGGCTCTGACTACCAATAACCTTTCCATATCAGGGTTTGATCCAGCTGCTACAGGTGGTCTGGTTCAAGTGCCTTCCGGATCTGAGACTTATACCGAATCATTGAATCCTCTCACATTTGACCAGAACTATACATGGGATATTCCTTTCCTACCGCTGAATCAGATTTCCATTTGGCCACATTCCTCCGAACAACCGGTTGTAACATCGTCATCAACATCTCACAATGGCGCAAAAGCCCAGGAAGGATCGCCACCAGTCGCTGTAAGTGGTACAGACGCTTCTGAAAATGGAATCTGGGACCGATACGGCAAGCGATGTATTCAGCCATTGATCTCCCGTACTTGTCCATCCTTCCCATCTCTCCAGCCTAAAGACGACATGATGATACTGGTTGAAGACTTTAGCCATGTAAGTGAAATCAGCAACCCTGCGTACAACCAAATCGTGGCTTTTTTCATGGCACAAAGTCTATCCGAAGGCAAGTCATTCCCCGAAGCAAATGTTATTTATACATTTGTTCAACTCTATTACGAGTATTTCGATGCCGAATATCCTTTCATCCACCCGGTTTTGCTCGAATTTGGAGACGACTCTTGGATTTTGTTGCTCGCAGTGGCAGCTGTCGGATCGCACTATTCATCAATATCCAACGTGGAGGAGTATTCAAGAGGACTGCAATCGCTCCTGCATCGAGCCGTGGAGACCAACGTAAGCCGTTCATCGGTAATTGAACAAAAGAGAAAGATTATTGATTTGTGTTAGTCATCTGAGCCGCATAAGGCACCGAGCCTCCAAATTGTACAGAGTATGCTCCTCAGTATGCTGTGCCTGCAGTTTTCTGGCTCCCAAAGAGATTCGATACAGACACAGTGGGACAGGAGTCTTCTAGTATCCATGTATCGTTCTCATATCAGTCAATCTCACAGGAGCAGTGGCGGCCCATATCTCCCTAGTCGCGAACTAGAATGGGAAGAATGGATTATCACAGAATCTCGAAACCGACTGGTCCATTCAATATTCAGTAAGCCTTAGCCATGGCCCATAGAATGTCTTTCATAACAGCGAAAACTAAAAGTCACTTTAGAAACAGAATGTTTTCAACTGATATTTCTTAATCTGCCACCTATATTTCGACCACATGAGCTTACTGACAGACCCCCATGCCATGAGAGTTTATGGAGCTGTCGCAACTTCGAGAGTTGGAAAGTTGCATTTCAATCTCACCCAGGTAGGCTGCCCTATTATGATTGAGTTTTTTTTTTTTCCTTACTTTTTTGCCGTGCTAAGAATTTGCAAGGAGACTCCAAACTTAATCTGTCAAATCAAAAACACGCTCTCAAAGAAATGGGATACTTTGCTCGACAAGCGTATGTGTTGCAGATTTTTGCAGAAGAGCAGTTCATGTGGCACCAGTTGTCGTCTCCATTTTGGAAGTCATTCATGGCTGACACTTCGTCCAATACGTCCAATAACAATCCGTTAAACGCCGATTCCATACTGACAGCCGTTGCAACATCTTTCAACGACACTTACGAAATATTGATGGCCATGGAAAAGGGAAAACCAAACAGGCCTGTGCAATGCATCCTGGTCATTTACTGCCATCTCTTGTCGGTTTTGAGGCACATTCAGCTTAGGAAGCTTTACGAGTCTATCGGTTGGCTGGTCACGGAAGCCCAGGCTGAAGCATCGAAAGAGTACTTGCGCACCTGGATGCATAAAAACCCCACGACTGCCCGACGGTGTCTCTGGCATGCCGCAGTCATATTCAAGACGTTACGAAATAAGCACCATCTTACATCTGATAACCCGTTCTCATTGCTGGTGTCTTCTTTATACATATGGGCATTTGACCAGCTGGCCCAGTTCAACGAACGCAGCACATCTCTGTCGGCAGCGGACTTGGCGGGAAAAGACCGCCCTATCAGAGTTGACGACTTGCATGATGCTCACGAGATTGAATCATGGGTGGAAAACGGAGCTTGCCGAGTTCATATTACGGGGATAGGGATCTTGGGCGGTTGTAAAAGTGATGTTCGGCTATTTCGTGAATGCCAGAGGATTCTATTATCCTCCAAGGGCTGGCCTCGGCTTCGTCGTTTCTTGGCCGGAACCTTTGAAAGAGTCGCAAAAGGTGACCGACCTCATGGTTCTGTTGGAGAATGAGAGTCTTTTCACGAATGACGCGATGGGTTCATCAATATGTTGGCGATGAGGTGTCACTTTTTGACCACCCACGATTTCGGGTTTCAGCACCTTGAGATGTTTGCCAAGTACGATATCGCCACGGGAGGACTAGACTATTTACAGAATCAATCTCATATGCGGATTGACTACAAGGTGAATAGCCACTGCATTCACTTAAGCTATGTTTACTGAGGATCTGTCAGCCCAAACAGCTTACTTGTCTTTGCTGAGTATTTGAGAGGGCTGGCTTCACTGTGAGTGGCATTGACGAATAACTGCACTAGTTGAGTCGTGAAATATTATTTTACCGGCATATAGACCTGTACTCCATGACAAGTTGGAAGCTACATAAACATAACACGTCCGGTCCTATCCACATGGCCTATCGCCGCAATATGTGAGAGGGTCAAGCCAGCACTTATAGGAGCTGATCTGGTCATTAAATCTGGCATTTCCTCCCTGAAGGTCCCAGAATGTTTCTGAGTTTCCATACAGCGAAGCCCCTTGGCAGTTCCAGTCCCTGGTGTCACAACCAAGATTAGAGAGATTTCACAGTTTGCACGCAGGTTAATGAACTTACACAAAGAACTGGCAGCGTCGAACCCAGGAGTAGATTCCGATGGAGCTAATCTTGTCGTTGAACTCATTAGGAAGGTTTTCTGTAGCAAACAGTCAGTCAGAACCTGTGTAGACATGTCTCAGTCTGTGGCTCTAGCGCAGGTCGTTACTTACGGCATTCATTGTCGTTAGAGGTTAGAATCAGCCTGGAACCCTTATATCCGGCGTCGGTGTCAACAGGTCCCCATGAACTTGAGTAATAGCACGGGCAGCCGGCGAAGTTGCCCTTACAACGCCATACGCCGTCACCATCTCTTCGCCCAGCGCAGCCGCCGGCGATACAGCTACCTCTCTGACCGCAGGTGTTCTGTGTCTTAAGGTTAGGCCAGACTTTTGTGTAGAACCCAGTAGGTGTACAGGGTTGGATTTGTGGTGCGCGGAAACACAGCCAAGAGGTAACTTACAGGTGTTGGATTGCACTCGCAGCCAGCAAAGTTGCCACGGCAATATGCTACGTTCGAATTGGCGTTATACGTTCCGGCGCAGCCGTTGAGGTCGCAACTTTGTTTGGCTCCGCATGTACTCTGTATGAAAACAGGATCAGTAAAACATACCAACGACAGCTATAGTTTCTCGGTTGCTCTTACGCCTGTCGGGTTACATCTGCAGCCAACAAAGTTCCCTCGGCAGCGCGCGACGTTGGAGTTTCCATCCCAACTACCGTTGCAGCCGTTAAGATCACAATTCTGGGGGTTACCACACGTGTTGTCCGTAGGGTTGCATTGGCACGGCGCATAGTTGCCAGTGCATTGAGGATAGGGGTTGTTGCCCGTGAATCTGCCAGCGCAACCGTTGAGGTCGCAACTCTGACGGTTACCACATGTGCCACTGCCGCCTTGGGTTGGTGTACACTGGCAGCCGGCATATCTACCCTTGCAAGTAGCTCTGCCGTTAGAGTCGAATGAACCAGCGCATCCGTTGAGGTCACAGGACTGCTGAGCACCGCATTGCGTCCCTTGAGGCAGACACGAGCAACCTGCCCACTTGCCCTTGCACCGGGCAACACCATCTGAATCAAAACTGCCTTGACAGTCGTTAAGGTCGCAGGATTGTTGAGCACCACACTGAGAGCCTTGAGGCGAGCATCTACAGCCCGCCCATTTGCCCTTGCAACGAGCAATTCCGTCCGAATCAAAACTGCCTCGACAGTCATTGAGATCGCATGATTGCTGGGCACCACACTGGGTGCTCTGAGCCAGACATCCGCAACCGGCCCATTTGCCTTTGCACCGGGCAACTCCATCAGAGTCAAAGCTACCCTGGCAATCATTCAGATCGCAGGATTGCTGGGCTCCGCATTGGGTGCCCTGGGCCAAACATCTACAGCCCGCCCACTTGCCCTTGCAACGGGCAACGCCGTCTGAGTCAAAGCTGCCTTGGCAGTCGTTGAGATCACACGATTGCTGCGTACCACAGGTGCCTGTAGTAGGAGTGCATCGGCATGTGGCGTAGTTGCCCTTGCAAGTCGCGAAACCGTCTGAGTCAAATGTTCCGGCGCACCCGTTCAGATCGCAACTCTGTGCTGCACCACAGGTTGCTGATGAGGGTGTGCAACGGCATGTGGCATAGTTTCCCTTGCAGGTTGCAAGACCATTTGAGTCAAATGTTCCGGCACACCCGTTGAGGTCGCAGCTCTGAGCCGCTCCGCAAGTATTCGAAGTCGGGTTGCAAGGACAGCTTGCGAATGCCCCTTTGCAAGTTGCTCTCCCATTGCTGTCGAATGTGCCTGCGCAGCCATTGAGATCGCAACTCTGACTGGTGCCACACATGCCGGAGGTGGCCGTGCAGGCGCACCCGGCCGCGTAATTCTTGCAAGTCGCGGAACCGTCATTGTTGAAGCTACCAGCACAGTTGTTCGCGCTGCAGCTCTGTTGGTTGTTGCAAGAAAAGCCAGGCGTTCTGTTGGACGGAACACAGGGACACCCGGCCTGTCCAGTCGATTTGCAAGTCGGCTGGCCATTCGATACCGTTCCAGAGCAACCATCAGCTTCGCAAGACTGTGGATTGTTTGGGCACACTACCACCGCTTGGCTCGTACTTGTCACTACAGGCGGAGATGACGTTGTTGTAGGTGGAGAAGGACGAGATGCGGTAGTTGGTGCCGAGGAAGTCGTTGACCTCAAACTGGTCGACGTTGGCTGAACGGCAACCAACACAGACGATGGAAAAGCAAAGAATGGCACTGGTCCAGGATTTGGATACAGAGCTGGGCAGAGTTCCTGGCCACGCTTTACCAGGACATCGCCAGACGTGTCATTGCTCGCTGAGCTGAAGCCGTCCTCTTGTTGCAAAGAACTAAGTGGCGAGGCAAAAGCGCCTGCCGCAAAAATTAGGCTGAGCGCCAGCATTGCGCCGGGCAAAAGCGATTTTGGTAAAGTGAGAATGAAGATGATGGCTAATCGGAGGGGTGCCAACTTCAACAAACGGCTGACGATACTTTAAAGAGTTGATTTGATAGTGTCCTATCGAAAACAGAAAAGGCCCTCAGGTCGTACTTAATTAGACTTGCATATGTGGTAAGGGTCATTTGGCCCAATATTGGGTGACTGCATGACAGGGGTTGAGTGTTAGCTTCAATATAGTCCTGTACGTGGAGTCACCAGGGTTCTATTAATGGAAGTAGGCTAGCAAATTTTCTCTTCAGGCAGAAGCAAATGCCGCAGTCTGTAGGTGGTATTTACGTACGGGCTAGAGTCTAAAAGCTCATCAGTCACCGAACATGTCTTGTTCAAGTGTAAAAGGGATGGTTGTGTGGGCTGAGGTTCCACAATAAGCTCAACCAGCTGAACGTCAAAGACTCCAACAGAGACATTTTAGGACGCAACTCGACCAACCAAAACCCGACACCTTAGTAAGCGTCACGGAACAATTTTCTTATAGACAAAAATGTATAAGGCCTCATGCATGGGTTCAACTGTGGTGCTAGAGTCTGACCCCTACATACGAGCAAGGAATTGCCATTGGGTAAAAGTCTATCGCGCTGACCAAGACATCCATTATTTGATTTTAGACTGATAAAGTATTCGGGTCAGGTGCTGCTATACTCATCCACCTTCCTAGTTCATCTCGTGAAGCATATGCTTAAATATGCTAGGAGGGCACCCATACTACAAAGAGACCTCGTATCATCTTTTGGATCCGATAACGCGGCCACCGGCCCTCTCTGTATGCGTCAAGATGTTGAAGGCGGCTGTTTTCCACCTTGTGGCTTCTGCATTGCTTCGAGGCGTTGACTGTCAGAGCGTTCAATGTGCCACTGTCGCCGATGGCTGTGACGGCGGTTCGCGAAACCAAGCCGGCATCGAAAGTGCTATTGCAAGGTTCCAAGATGGCCAGATTTATGGCGGGAACGACCGTATCGTTATGTCCTCAGCCGAGTCTGGTGGAGCCCTTGCAATGATCACTTATCTTTGCAACGACGGGTCTGTGCCGCCAAGCCTTGAAGGATCTGCGATTCGATCAAGGTGAGTACGATCTTGAGCGGCTGTGTTACCGACGTTACATTATCTCACTACTATGTTAGCTTTCAGAAAATCCTCTCGTGTCCCAACCAGTGTGGAGGTGTAGCTTCACCAAGCAATGCCAATTGTGGATTCGGCGTGCTTGTAGCCAACAACGCTGCCGGAGCCGACTGTTTCTCCAAAGCAATCAATGTCGAGCCTGCTAGCTCCTCGCCAAAGACTGTCTCTTCTGTGGGCGGCTACACAAACCCTGTTTGTCTTTTTGACGCCCCAGACTCACGCGTCCTGAGGGGCGGCAGCAGCGATGACCATACCGGTATGACAGTAGAGAAGTGCATCGCTCAAGCTGCTGCTGATGGCTGGCGATACGCGGGTGTTGAGTTTGGAGGGTAAGTAATGATATCTGCCGAAGGGCAACCAGATGCATGTCAAAAGTGTAACTCATTTGTGTGTATAGAGAATGCTTCTGGGGTGACGTTCAAGTGAATCCAGAGAGATCCAACCAAGCAGACTGCAACACCCCGTGTGCAGGAAACCCAAGTCAAGTGTGCGGTGGAGGTAACCGCATTCTTCTTTACGAGAACTCAAACTTTCAAGGAGTGGCCCAAGCGAAAACCAGCGTTGATAATTATAAAAACGACCCCACGAACTCGGATCTGGCACGGACAGCTAAGAACGCCATTGATAAGGCTTTGGAAAGTAAGTTATTCTTCAAGTTCTGCCCGGATTGGTTTGTTAATCACAGGCTCCTCATTAGATGCGCGTAAATTTCTCGATCAAATCACAAACTCTGCCGTCAAGGCTGCGCAGGAACAGCTTGTCCAAGACTTGGTGGCGGCATCTTCAACTGCCACGACAGCTATTGCTGCTGCTTCTGCTGCAGTTGCGGCGGTTCTGGCAGACCAAATAGCTAAAGCGGTCGGTAAGTAAAGCGTGGAATGTTTCCAACGTATAAGCATGCTAACAATTGTTCGCTATCAGCGTCTGAGCAGGCAGTTGAGAATGCAAAGAATCAGAAACCGACACAGACAATCTCACAGGTTCCTTCTACAATCACCAGGGCACCAACCAGCACTCTCACCAGTACCACATCTTCCTCGTCGTCTTCGACCTCATCTGCATGCCCTATCTGCATTTCTTGCGCGGATGACCAATACCCAGAAATCGGATCTGATGACAGTGATACCGTTCCCGGTGATGATCCAGCCCCTCAAAAGAGACAGGCTGATGATGAAGATAACTCCAATAGGGGACGCACAAGATTAGTAAAGCGCGCCAACTCCAAGAAGGAGATTGAGGTATGCTCAACCAAGTACCAAAGTGGACCATATCAGGCTGGCGGAGGTCAGATGCCTTCTTATGGATATGCATATACCGTGAACACGCAGTCAGTTTGCGTTTGGAAGTTTAACCAGCTTGTATGGAACCCAACCCAAGTTGGTGGACCACCTGCCACAAAGGGAGGTTCATACGAAAGTAAGGCCTGAACGCCATCTGCTGTTAGTATCTGGTAGCTAACAGCCAATAGCGGAACATGTGTACGAAGCGCAGCTCGTTCGGCAGTTCGCCGAATACATTGCTACTTTGGATACTGGTAATATTTGTCGCCAAGCCGGGCTGATCAAGAACATCTTTGCCCGGACAGATAAGTTCCCTGGCCGAGGCACGAACCCGTTCGCTGCCAGGGGCGGATCAGCTCTGGGTCAGATGATGCTCAACCTGCCTGACAACAACAGTGGCGGGGGCACCGAGCTTGTTGCTCTCGACAAAGAACTCAACATTTTGAAAGCCGCAGTATTCAATGGAGCCACGGCCAATTTTAACTCGCCCAACGTAGCACCCGGAATACTGGCCAAGGTAACCCGCTTTGCGATGCTCTACTCCTATCTGGCCCGGCCTGAAGTGGTGGCCATATTCAAAGCTACGAGCCAGCGTATGCGAGCTACGCTGCGACTTCTTGACCAAGAGATCAACGCAAGCACAATGACGAATCCGGCGTTTTCCTTTGAAGAAAAATACTCCGATTGGGAAGACAATTTCCTGTTTGGTCAGGGATCCGTGGTGGAAATTGAGATGATGAGAATCATCAACGCGGCTATTCTCCACTTGCAGACGGCTCCAAACCTGGGGAGCCAACAGCTGCGTGACAACTATGTTCAGCAAATCAGAACACTTACGGCGACTGGAGCGGCTGCTGATCCGTCGCGTTGGTTCGACCTGGACGACCTCTTACGTCCATGAGCATAGTACTAGTACCGTTTATACTCTTCTATATCTCACTAAGTCTTCTATCAATGGAAATTCTGATTCCACCCTCGAACCCGGCTCTCTTGTTTGATTGTGCATTTTGTGTTTTGAGTTTGTTTGCGACGAAACACAGGAAAAGCACAGGAAAAGAACTTATGACAAGTATTATAGAAGAAATAGCTGAAACATGGGAAAAGCTAAATACATGAGAATTTTTCTTCTTTTAAATTGCACCTTTTGCCTGGCAAGCCGCTCAACATGTCGCTCGAGTGTTTTCCGAGTCACTCGCGCACTTCGGTCTTTCGGTATGTGCGAACACGGACAAGCAAAGACACACAGATTGATGCAATTAGCCTTTTAATGCATTGGCTGATGCTCGCTATGTCCGAGAACGCCCAGAATGGGTTACATGATTATAGATCGGTCTCGGGTAGTTAATATATCAACCTTTAACCCAAAGGCTGTCGGCTACTCGGCACCCACCTAGGGCGAAGCTGAAATAGAGGCAACTAATTAGTTGAAGACTATGGCTTATGATCCGTCAATTCCACCAAAAAATGTTAAATACTCCAAGCACCGATAAGGAAAATAGCAAATAAAATAACTGCATGATACTCACTCTGAGATAAAAATATCCGGGAACTCATCAGGAGATCTTTGAATAGGAGATGAGATAAGCCTCGTAGAAATGTTACTACTACTTAAAAGTCATAAGAAAAAGCGAGTGAGTTGTGCCAAAGAGAATTTGACAGTTATCTATCCGGGCGTGGAGATCAAATACAGGAAGCGGCATCTTCGGACCTAGGGGCTTGACAAAGTGGCATACAAGGTTTTGTCAAACAAGTTGGCTGCCTCTGGCTGGGTCTGCCCCAGCTGAAGTTACTTTCGTACTCATTCCATAGTGCTCAAGAATCTTCACAGCTAGCTTCATATGGTAATTGCAGATAGATTTAATAGACCCAAACGTCAAAACTGTGATCTGTTATGGCATGATTGTACGTAGGTCCTTGGGAAGCCACCTGTAGCGTTGAACCACCCCGGAAGCTATAAGAACCGAGATGTGGTGCCCACCCTCAAATCCCTTCTGCGTTCGTTTACCACGCATTTTTATACTAGAAATTGGCTGTCGATAACTGGAGCGAAAATGAAGGCTATTGACTTTGCAGTAGTGTTTGTCCTAGTACGAGCCGAACCCTCTCAACTTCTTAATTGCCTATGAATGCTAACTATGTATCAGAGTATTTGCCTAGGCAGAACATCCGCCGCTTTATGCAATAACAATCTGAGCATTCTTTGGAAATGCGTTAGACCCAACGGAGAGAACTCGGGATACACTGCATCATGCTGTCCTCGGGACAAGACAACTTTCCAGCAAGATGGAGCTGTAAGTATAACATGCAAAGGCAGGACACTTCTTCGATTTCTAACTTGTCATAGTGCTGCACTGAAAACTGGTCTGCTTTTAAGTCTTGCTGCCAGGCACATTCAGGTTATACTGCTTTGAGTGGTTAAGAAGTAAAAGAAGAAAACATCGACACATGACATCGTATGTGAGCGCTACTCTAGAAAGTGGCATTCCCTTCATAGCGTATCGAGGAAAGCCTATTCAAAGGCGTAGATGCAGTATTAGATTGTTGTCACTTTTCTACAATATAGACCCTCTAACTTATAACCTCGACTTCTCGTAAAGCTCTTCCATTATCATATTTAACGACTACCCTCCACTCATCATTGACCAAGACTGGACTCAGTCACACGTTAGATTCGAACCATACAGCAAGTTTGCGCATGGCTGATCGAAAGATCGTACCCATCAAGTGCTCGACTAGGTAGTCCTTGAAGCTCAGCTGTAAACTCCTAGTCAAACATTTCCGAAGGGGAATAGCAATGTAATAACAGTGACTGATGCAATAGCTAGTACAGATTGCCAGCTGCCAAAAGCAGTGGAAGACCTGGCTGCGACACTTGTGGTGCTGGCGAGCTGCAGTAATGGCGAGGGTTCGTCGGCGGACACCGGGCGGCTGTCGACAGTGCCGTTCCAACAGAACTGATTAAAACAACGTTGGCAGGCTGCGGGCACAGTAGTGCCAGTCTTGGCAAAGCTACGCTGCAAGACGAAGCACCCGACGCAGGTGCGCCATCCGGCGTCGACCGTACCGTTGCCCATAGTTGCAACGTTGAAGCCATTCTGTATAACGTTGTTGCGCTGTCCGAGAGGGAACTCCATATCGAATGTCGACACGTTGCTCCATGCAGTATAGGGAGTGTTGGGGATGTAGACGATGAGTGGAGGCACAGGTGATGATTTAGACGTGGAGTTGGAAAAGGCCGATTGGTTGTTGACATCGCAGCCAAAGGCCGTGGGTCGCCGGTTCAGTCCCAGATTAATGAAGGTCTCGGCGTCAGGGATCACTGGGAAGCGAGTGCCATTGGCAATACCACTGAGGCTGCGTTTGTACGTGGCGCGCAGCGAGGTGCCATTGGGCCATGTATACTTGCCATTTGATGAAGAGTCCACGGCGAAAATAACGTCCACAGCGCGAGTCGGTTGGATAAGTGGGTGGAGAGGGATGTTTTGGCCGTCCTCGCCGCCGTCCACCAAGCCAAGCTCCTTCTGACCAGCATTGCGGTTATCGAGAGTGTTGAACCCTAAGAACGGATTCGGAGAGTACTGGGCTATGTCGTCGTTGTTGTCTCCCAGTTCCTTCATGATATCCGTGATGGCTTCTTTCAAGAACGATGGGATATGTACCTTGTCAGATATGTTCCGAAGCATGAATTGGTTGAAAAGACTGCTGCTGGTTCCCATTATATAACCAAACTGATCAAAGCCTCGAATGCAGGTTTCGTCACTCGGGATAATACCTCCTGTGAAGTTCGACCCAATGTACCGTGTGGGAGCGAAGCCGAAGAGAGTTGGATCGAAGGAGCCCATCTCCCACGGGTTGAATTCGAACACAGTCGAATTCAGCGAGACAACTTTCGTGCCTGGCGAGCGCTCATCCGCTACAATTATAGGCAACGGCTGCTCTGCATCAGTGAACTCTTTAGTAACTGCAATGGAGGAGAAGGTGTAACCAGGGCCTCCGTCTGTTGCGTTGATGAGCTGGTAAGACAGAGTTCGACCCCAGTAGTCGGTAATCGAGGTGTTGAAGCCTTTCTCTCGTTTTCTTCTGACTTGCTCAGCCACATCGGACCAATACGAGGCTGTGTTAAGAATTGAGATGCCGCTTTCCTTTGGTCCTTCCAAGATCGATCGGTCTAAAGCCCAGATGGCTGAGTTGGGACTTCCATCGCGGAGGTTCGTAACAGTTGAAAAGTTGTTGGCATACAGAGAACCGATGAGCCAGCTACCGCCCGACAGCCCAGAGAGATAGGTGCTCGATTGGAGGAGTCCGCCAAGTCCCCCGGGACTCGTGGAGCCGTCAACTCTAGAGTCGACAGCAGCTAAGAAGCCGGCACCATTCATAAACGCTCGGTATCCGCCGCCGGATATGGCCAACCCGATATTAGGTAAAGCAGTCAGGTTCCTGCCAATGGTCTCAATATACGCCACTGCGTCGAAATCTGAAATGTTCGATCTCTTGAGGAAGTCTTTCATGTGTGATATAGTCTTCTCTCTGCGTTTTGGGAGCCATTCTGTTTCGGATTTCGAGAGTGAGTTGGCTGATCGGATTGTAGGCCGGTTGGTAGGACAATCCACTACTTCGGGAGCGTAGTTACCGGATGGACTATCTGGTAGAGCTCGCAGGTTGAGGTCGCCAAGTTGGCCATTGTGAGGTGCTGCCGGACCTGAAGCTACAACGGCGGCTGCCGAAATGGCTATAGAGGGGATGGAGGATATAGCCAGAAGAATACGCATGCTTAAAGTGATATTATTGGTTACAATGAAAATGGCAAGATGCTGGCAAATTCTGGGACGTAACAACAGATTTATAAAGTATGTTTGCGACAAGAAATAGTCATGTTAATAGACGGGTACAGATCCGTTCGTCAATACAAGTAGGTCACTTTTCAGAGATTTATCAAGCATCCAACAAGCCCTCTCCTATGTAAACGCATAAGCGCGACTGTGTGGCTGTGATGTAGTTGCGGAACGGTCGGGCTTGCTGTTAGTTCCAGTCAGTTTCTCATTTGGGATATTTCAGATGCGCTTTCGGTGTCCGAGGCTCGCGGCGTTGCGGGAACTGCCACAAAATACTCGTATGACATACGACCGGGTGTCGGCACGTCGGCACCTAACGACGCCGCTGCAGGAAGGGTCCTAACGCTAAATTCTTCTAGGCATAGTGGTACCGCTCTTATGGCTTTAGGAAAGCTTCGACGAATAATTCTGTCTTTGACTTGCAATCAAAATACCAGTCATGACAGAAAAACTCCACTCACCATTCATTCCTTGACCCCGTTCCAACTTCTGGAGGCCTCTAGTGAAGCTGCTTACCGTTTTTTGTTGTTTTCCAAAGTCTTCCTAAACATCCACAATACACATTCGATTAACTGCAAAACCGGGTAACTCCGGCATATGCCCAGTATAAGAGTTGGCTATGGCGCTCACGGCACCAGTTTTGCGACTGCGAGAATACCGTCGATGAATGACCACAGAACAAGATCCTGGTCTGCTATTGCTGTCAACTACTAATCTCAATAGCATCGCTCTTTGAAAAAGCCAGTTATTTATGGCTCGACTTTTGTTTTCTTTGAGCGGCCGAGCCGACCTTCTTTCTCCTGAACGCCCCATGGATTAGATTAGGGCGATAGACGGATCTAAGCCTGTCACTTTATTTCGCCACATCAGCCACTTGCAGAAAGCAGCATAGCGATAGAGTACCGACAAATCAGGAAACCCAACCGGAGTAGAATTTCTCAGCATGTTCGATTTTGGGGAACATTGCCTTTCACCGGCCGAATGCGCCGCGACATCCGAAGAGGCCCACAATGTTCCGGAACCTAAACTGTCGTTGAATGGGGGGCATATGATGCAAGATGAAGGATTACACGCAGCTGATCCTTCACTGATTGGAGACTTCAGTTCACGCAACCGCCTACGTATAGACTTCGCGCGTCTAGAAGCTCTCATTGTGTCCGAGAGGGCGGAGAGGTGCGCGCAGAGCCAAGCAGACCTCAATTTACAGCCGTCTCTCGTGCAAGTCGAAATATCGAATCGGGTGAGCGCTTCGCCCACTCCTCGCACTAAGTCAATCGAAGGGGCCGGCACAGAAAAGGTCAGGGAATTTGCAGGCCAGGCAAGCAAGGGGAATGCTACAGCGTCGCCACGTTGCATGTTCTATTCCTTAACAGGAGAAGCAACTATCAATGCCCATTCGTTTGGAGACTTGATCTTGGACAACGAAGAGGTTCGGACTTTGTTTACTTCCTCCGGAGGAGAAGGCAACAACAGATGGTGGCTTGATATTGCTAACCCGACCGACGAACAGACTCGTGCTATTTGCGAGGCATTCGGGGTACACCCTCTGACGACGGAGGACATCTTGACGCAGGAGACACGGGAAAAGGTTGCGATTTTCCCGTCCTACTACTTCGTCGACTTTCAATCATTCTACACCATCCGAAATGATAACGGCGGTGATGACTACGAGCCCTTCGGCGTTTACATGGTTGTGTTTCCCGAAGGAATTATAAGCTTCTGCTACAGATCCCACGTCCACTCACAGAGGGTCCGTAACAGGATAGCTATACTCAAGGATCAAGAGTCACTCAACAGTGACTGGATTTGCTACGCTCTGATGTACTGTGTCAATATTGCACATCACCAGTGCTCAGAATTTATGGCTGACAGTATCCAGTGATAACATTGTCGATTCGTTCGCACCAGAAATCCATGACATCGAGCTGATAAGCGAGGGCATCGAGGAAGCAGTCATCACCTCTCGACCCGACGACAGGCATACGTTTCTTCGACACCTCGGTGCTGCCCGCAAAAAGTCGCTTAGTCACATGCGCCTCTTGCGCGGGAAGGCCGATGTTCTCCGTGGTTTGGCGAAGCGCTGCACGAACGTCTCTAGTGGCACCCTTCGCATTGATATGGCTATCTACTTTGGAGACATCATCGATCATGTCGTCACCATGGAAAGCAACCTGTTACATTTTGAGAAGATGTTGTCACGAGCATATAGCAACTACCTTGCTCAGCTTACTGTGGACGGGATTACAGAGGGCACCAAGACGAACAACACGCTAGCCAAAATCACTTTTCTAGGATCCGTTTTCGTTCCCCTCAACCTCATTAGCAGCTTGTTTGGGATGAACGTCAAAGTCCCCTGGCAAGGCGAGGATAGCCTCGTCCCTTTCTATGGAATCGTTGGGGTACTCCTGGTATTTCCTATAGTCGCATTCCTCATCACGCGCAGGGCGCGGTATCTATGAATCACATTCATGTTGAAACGCATCTGGAAGTGTCTGTTACTAGGCAGGACCTATATCGTGCCGACTTAATGTTTGCACGGTTCTGCCCCTTGGGACGAACCCTCACTGCTCAGACAAATTCTGCCAGCCTCAGTTGACGTCTGCGTGCGATGTATAATTCGGGCCTGAATCTCAAACGCTCAAAAAAGAACCTCATTTGCACCTTTAATAGTAATAAGAATTAAATCTATAAACGGGACATAAGTTTCAAGGTCTATTTAACTAGACAATGAGAGCTCGAGATTTTCAGGACTCAAAAGGTTAAATTCGCCGCTCCTTTAGGCCCGCCACAACATGTCATGTAGATTCACCATGGGGACCCCCTTTGTCATGGGCATTTCCGGTTAGGCTAGTTCGGATGGCTGCGGTTGGAAAGTGCTACTAATCCGGGCTTTTACGGTGGCACCAATCAGGGCATCTGTGTTAGGGACCCGAGTTGCGAGGGGCTCCTGACTTGGTTCGTGCGAGTGGACTCGTCGGGGGCCGACGGAACTTGGTTACAGGGTCCGAATGAGTCTCTTACGCCCTTGCGGATAGATGGCTCGGCAATCTTTCCATCTCCATCCCCCTGGCATACAGGCGTTGCGTAGGGCTGACGTAGTGCATCTTCCCTTAACATCTTGGTGCCGTTTCGGCCGGATGTTTCCTTGGCGCCCTATAAACTATGGCCAGTTAAGCCAAGACAAAATGCTAGAACTTCTGGTTTGTCACCCTTTACTGGGTTTCGGATGCCAACTGTAGATCTCCCGTATCTGCGAATGCCAAGGTCTGCTTAGTAACTTTGACTTTGTATTAACAACATTGGAAAGCTGGGTACGTGCCAGGTGCGAAACACACACTGCCCAACCAGATCTCACTCCTTATTTGCCAGGTTAAATTTCATTTTAAGATGATTTATAATATTCTTCGTTGTGTTTATGTACCCCCCTTCATCTTGTACAACCCATAACATGACAGCAATGATCAATTCTAGCTCATTCCCGTTTATGTTATCAAGCCTCTTTGCCCTATTCCTTGCTAAGTTCCTCTTCTTCAACCTCATCCGCAATCTCATTGATCTGCTCCACAAACTTTTCAACTTCAGTAATAAAGGCGGCGTGGCCACCAGGGTTGCGCAGTACCCGCTTAAGCGTTGGGATAGTAGATATGATCTGTTCCTGTATCGCAGGGGGAATGGTCTGGTCTTTTTCGCAGAGAATGTAGTAAGCCGGAATAGTCAGATCCTCCAGCCCGATAGGGGAGGGACCGAACAGAGCATTCTGCGACTGCGGTAACAAAGCCGCCATACATTCGTCTGCAAGCTCGTCCGGCATATCGGGTCCGTAAAAAGCCGCCTTGGCCTTCTGATTGGCAGTTACCAGACCGTCCACTACATCGACAATATCCAGGCCCGGAGGCATGACACTCAACGCACTTGCTCCCTTTTGGGGAGGCATGTTGGCCGTTATATAAACAACAGCTCGGATCCCCCCCCTCTTCTTCCCCGTCTGTGCAGCTCTCTCGTTTACGGAGTACCCCTTGCTTGCGACTGTCAGTGGCGTGCCGCCATACGAGTGCGCTAGGGCAAGAAACTCAATGCCCTGCTCCAAATACGGGTCCAGCGCTGTCTGGATGCTGCGAGCGTCGTCTTCAACTGTCACCCTCGGGTCGGTTCCGACGCTGGGGAGGCGAACACCAACGACAGGGGAAAACCCGATTGCCTCTAGACGGTTCTTTGCCAGGTCGAAACAGGAGGGTAGATGAAAGCCTCCATGAACGAAGGCAATACCAAAAGGCTTTGGTGCTTTAGCGGCAGGCATCTCTTTCCTCGATTACTTCTTTCTGCAGTAGATGTGAGATGGAAGTTTGTACGTTGTGTCGCCCTTCTCGAAATCGAGGCTGTGGTTGGTCTTGAGAGTTGTTGTCTTGTATCAGGGAGATTGAACGAATACGCAAAGGGCAGACCGGTCATCTTTAAGAAGCCATGGCTCTGTCATTTATAAATGCTATAACTTATTTGACTCAGTAAAATACCTTAGCAACAAGTAGCCTGTTTGGAGGAAACAACTGGCCAATGCAGTGTGGCAAATGGCTTGCCTGACTTGACTACTAAGCCGAGACATGTCATTGGGGTGATTACTCTCAGTTGCATGTAAGCCAGAAAGTTCTATCTGACAAAATAAACCTGACTAAACTGCAGGAAATTCAATGAGGTGATTGCTTTCAAAGGCATTTATGTAAGCCAGAAAATTCTTCCTGACTAATGCGCGACTGTACAGATTTATCTAGTTTTACCGAGCTATATCAGCGCAGGGAATTGTTGATAACGATCTATTCCACGTCCCGTCACCAAACGGAGAGTACCCCTAACTTATATGGTATTCCGCCATCGCTTCTCCGTCGACATATAAAGCCTTCGCACGCTTTGTTCCCGAAGTGCGGCATTACGTCGCTCGTGTCGCCATCTTCTCGAGCGATAACCTCCTATTTGACAGCCTCATTATCGTGTCTGACGGTGCCGAGCCAGTCGAGCCGAGTTCTGGACTATTGTGTTAGGCCAGAAACAGCCGCAATATGCATTATCGTGAAGCCCTATAGCGCAAAGCAGACGAACTGAGACTTAATATACCCAAAGCTGGGCCACACCACGTCGGTTGCAGCGATGGATTCATGGATATCGATATGTACTCAAGTATCATACTCTCTACCTTTTGTTTTCTTCTTCTTCATATTTTGCTGATACCGAGTATTCAGCTACTTATTTCACGGAAAGCTTGGCATATCTTATGAGCGTATTCAAATGATACTTGGTAGTATCGAAAGCCACACGTAAAGCGCTGGTTACTGGCAACAGGGCTATAAAATACACCCAAGATAATTTATATGTTCGTTATGTTCATGAAGTGTTTTATTGTATAGGATGCCTCCCCTTTTGTCTATCTTGCTTAGGTACTGCTAGTAGCAATGAGTTGGGACAGTCCAAGGACTTGCGCCGTGGTAATCACCTCAGCGGAAGTGCTGAAACCCTCCTTGAAGGGCAGACGCTCCTGCTCGAAAACGATCTTGAGCCAGTCCAACGGCGCAGCAGGCGACGTGAAGCTTCCTCCAATGGTTCCCAGAATGACTGCAGACTCGCCCAGAGAGACGGTGACCTGGCTGGATGTGAGGTTGAAAGAAGGATTCGTAGCCTTGGCCGTAGCGATTCTCTTGCTTCTCGCTGTGGCCATAGTCGCGACGTTGACCTTGTTCTCCGTCGACTTGGCACCCTCCGCGAGATACCCCGAAGTCTCGGCCCAGACGGTCTCGTTGAAAGTCTTGGCATCGCCGGTCACTGCGAAATCAGCGCGGGACAAGCTGCCATCGTGCTCAATGACGTTGTGCTTGGCAATGTCATCGAGGTTGAAGGTATTGGGGTTGCCGGTAGTCGACGTAGCAAAGGCCGGGGTTCCCAGTGTGCGAACCAAAGACTCGTTGAAGTTGAGCGCCTTGCCGAGGCCGGAAATGAGGTTGTCCATTGTGATGGCATTGCCATCGCGGGGAAGGTAGCCGTGGTTCGCGAGGGAGTTAAGCATGGGGCAAGGAGAGCGCTTGACAGAGGCGTCAGGGGCTTGCCAGGCGAAGGCGGGATCCTCGTCACGGGGGACCGCAAAGGCACTGGAAGAAGCGGCACAGGCTGCAGCAACCATGACTGAAGCGCGCATTCTTAACTTGGAGGAACTGAGTGTTTGGAAAAGAGAGAGTGTGGTTTGTAGCTGCAAACGAAGGTGACGGTCTATTGTGCCAGTGTTGAACGAAAGTGTTGTGGGTGATTGGAGGAAAGGGGATGGAGGATTTACAACGGCGTCAAGACACTTTTATAACGATTGGATTTCGAATACCATATTGCATGATTTAAGGCCGCTAGCAGCGGAAGGGGCTATGCCATCATATATAGGGAAAGGGTCTTTAAGCTAGCTCCCGAGTACCGGCCACGATAACGGGTCACCATCCACGGCGAGCCCGATAGGGCCGGCCCCGCTGCCGTTCACTTACTATGTAGCACATAGTAGTGTACCCGAGGAAGCCGGGTTGTCCTGCGTAGAACATTCTTCAACCGTTACGCATTTCCACATATTTATCTATATTTATATTTTCAATACGGGCTAACCTCACAGTTCATCTGTTTTGTCGGCGGCCTTGGGGAGACCGCCGGGCCGTCGACTTACAATTGGTTCACCTCCTATTGGTCAGTGTTGTTCCATCAGAAGTGAAACGGCTTTTCTTAATTTGCTAGAAAAAGTTAATATGATTAAATTTTAAGAGGTTGACCGCTGGGTAAGGATACCCCATGGAATTCCAATCTGGCGTATCCGTTCGTGACCAGAAAGCCAATGACAACTTCAGACAACGGGCTTGGCATAGGCCATTTGCAGGAAAGGGGGAAGAGGCGCGATGTGGGTCAAAAGCAACCCTGAATCCACAATCACACATTTTCGAACCCTTGATATTCACAAATTTTGCACGCGTCTTCAACAAGCAACAACCGCCTCGTTGGCTTAGTGGTACAGCGCCTCACTAGTAATGAGGAGATCACCTGTTCGATTCAGGTACGAGGCAACGCATTTCATTTTTGCTTCTTTCGACTCATTTATCTGCTCATTTCATCGCACCACAGCTTCCGCAACCACCACCACCGCATCCACCGCCACAACCGCTTCCACAGCCGCCAGCGTCTTCACTTGGAGGACAGCATGTTGTGGCATGGCTGCCACAATCTGTACACCGAGGGAAAGCAAGATCAGCCAAGGGTAGCAACTCCTTTTGCCTTTCCTCACGACGCAGTCTCTCCGTTACAGCTTCGACATTAATGTGAGCCCGATCTGCCTCACAGTTCCAGCAGAGGCACACATGGTATTCCGTTCCGAACTCCTGTCGCCAAAGACCCTGCATGTCTGTTGAGAGCTCTTGCAATCGGTCCGCGCTGATCTCATCATCGTGATCGATCAGACGTCCGGCCATCTTCTTAGAGTATGCACGATAGCGGAGAGGCGAGAGCTGGTGGGTATGCCAGACAAGATCGATGTCGAGCGTCGGTACCATAACCGTACCAGGGTGTGCGCCGATGAGATGGAAGAAGTTGCGGTAGCGATTGATAGATTGTGCGAGAGTGGCTTCTGCAGCGGGAGAGCGCGACCAGGCGTAGCGGGACATCTTCACGGAGAAGTCGAACTGGCGGTTGATTGCAGCGGCAAGGTCATAAGAGAACAAGGTAGACCCGGCAGCCGATCTTAGGTTGAAGACACCAGTGGATTCCTTGGCTTCGCAAACCAGGGAGCCAAGAGTGCCATTGGCATCGATCAAGCCGAGACATCTTTCCAAGGTGATGTCAATGCCGATGGTGTTCGACTTCGGATGGGTTAGCGACCCTCTCAACTTCAAGACACCTAACCTCTTTCGAGTCGATGCATTAGAAGGACAAACTCACGACTCCAGACCAGTCAAGCCCATCTAGACCGAGACCACCGCCGAGCTCGATAAATCTGGCATATGCTTTAGGGTGCAGCATGAGAGCGTGCCATGCCATCACCACGTCAATCGGTGCCCCCTCTGTCGTTTCCCCACCTTGAACATCAGCGACCCATCGCTCAAAGCGAGACACCGCCCGCTTGCAGTAGAGGTCCCAGCCTTGTTCAGCGGTCAAGTTTGCCTCTTCGGCGAGCAGCTCCACGCTTCTTCGCAGGGCAACGAAGGCCTCAAGGAGCCTTAAATGTGATGCGCAATCGGCGGTGCTGGGAAGCTCGCGGGAGGCGGCAGTTTGGTCCTTGGCTAAGGCATTAAGCTGCACCTTTTGCTCATTCCCGACCGGAAGAACACTAATAGTGGATTAATACAAACGTTGAATTTTTGAAGGAGACAAGTGTGACGAACTGATGATCGAAGATGGCTGGCATTTTGTCGATATTATTCAAGTGTTAAGTAAGTAGAGAACCAGCCCTCGTTGGTGGTAACTTGTTGTGCAGTGATCTTAAAGCTTACTGGAGAACAAAAAGAGATGAGAGATTCCAACAAAGCTTCGAGCTCGAGGGGACAAAGAGCTTCTTATGAGCTCGCCATTCTCACGGGAGGGGAGCTCTACTGACATTTGTCGCACATGAACACAAGCAACAGCCCTGTGACCAACCTCCGAATCCCAAAACGGCATGGAGGTGAGCAAGTTTCAGGACGCCATTGCAAGACGGATTCCTGTGGCATTATCCATCGGGACCGCTGATTGGCTGCTTGAGTCCGATTCAGACGGCACAACCGGGGCCGCTGACTGTCAATCCCACTGACACCAGTCGGCACCGCACTGCGGGGGGGCCACCTCAGAGCATTGGGGACAGCGGGGGATCCTGGGTAGTGTGGCTGCTTTAGCGGGAGGTGGGAAACGGGAGTGGGGGCCTCAGGCCTTGATGCGACATTGGGGCCCCTATGGCTTGGGTTTCTTCAATCCTGCCATCTTCACCTCACTTTTTAAGGTGAGAGCCTCATTTGGAGATTACCTAAAGTCCTCCAACAGCCCCCAATATCGGTTGCTGCCCTGCATATGTTGCTGTCTTTTTATATTCCCTGTTCCAACTAGATGGGTCAGGGTTATGGCATGATATTTTGACAGCCAAGCTCCGGATCTGGACTGCTAATCTTGTTGGTTCACGAAGAAGACAACAATGATCACTGAACACCAACACGATAAGCCCAGACCCCCGGCTTGTACGTGACGCGATTCATCTCACGAGCCATGCGTTTTTCTTCGCCTGCAGGAAAGATGCAACCATCGTCTCCGTGTCGCCTCTTGTATCTCCTACCACAACAAGCCTGTCAGCCATGTGCAAGCAGGCTCTAGCTCCCTTGCATGCTCGTCCAGACAAATGAAAACCATGTCCCCATCACCACTACGCAAAAGAGACCCAATGGAATCTCCCCAACTTCTTCGCCCACCATGCTTAATTCGATAGTCGGCTGTCCCGACCGAAACTGGCATATTGAGGCTTATCTTGCCTGTTGCTACTGCTGAACTTCCTGTGCGATGCTAGACCGGCGTTCTGGACCCCATTCTTCAAGCCCTCATCCGCTGCCTGCTTCATAACCGTGCCGCTGGTTTTGGTGTCTAGCCTGGTCTTCTCCCTTGGCATGGGTTCGAGGTGAGAGTGTTGGCTGCGGCCCATGCTGCAAATACCCGTCCATGCCCACCTCCCCTTGGGGCCGCGTTTTCTTGACCTTCTCACTCCTAATGTTCTCTTTAACAACCAAACTGCCAATATGCGTTTTATCGGTATTGCGCTGCTCATAGGGGCGGTTTCAATGCTTACCTCGGCTTCGTTGATAGAGAGGCAGGCTGCTAGTTCTACATCCGTCTTTGTTGCCCCTACTTCGGTTCCTGCTCCCACCGTCAATAGTAGCGTGTATGACTTATCGCAGCACTTCTGCCGTATATTCAGGCATGCTAGTGAGTTTCCGCAGCATTATTCGACGTCGTTGAGTCCTAACCCAGACAGGTGTCTATGCTAATGGAAAGATTTACATTGATGGGGGCAACACCTACGTACCTAGAGGCGGGAATACTTTCTACAACACGCCGGCTGGGGGTCATACTGGTGGAATGCGTAAGCTATCATCCACTTGCAGTGAAGGTCTTTCCTAACATCGAAAAGACAGCCAGCTCCTCGTTTTGGACCTATCAAAGAACTTCACTAACCAGGAAACCGGGCCCTACCGCTCCATTTTCAAAGCCCCCGACGTCCCAAATGGCTTGATTGAGCATGCTCTCTGGTACTCCGAATCCACGAGAAAGATTTATCAACTAGGAGGATGGTTTTCCTTTAACAACCAGGAGAACCCATCGTTCTTGGCCACCAACAACATCCCCGAGCCTGCCATATGGGAGTTTGACATCGACACGGAAAGGTGGTCCAAGTCGACAGACTTTAGGATTTCCAACAATGGTGAAATCGTCGACCGACCTGGGGCTGCGGCCTTTTGCGATGCGCCAACGCTGAGAAGGAGCTACATATTTGAGGGATATACCCAGCAAAGATCCAGCCGCGCCAACGTCCCGTATGAGGCAAGTGCTGATTTCCGATGTAAGCAGAGGGTCCACCACACTTTATTTGGGTAGTTTGAACTGACATCTCCAGTTCTCGAGGGAATGCTCGAACTCGACACCAGCGATGAATCCCAGCCAAAGCTTACCAACATCTCGGTTCCGACATACATCGGCCCGCGTATGAATGGCGCGATGGTTCATGTCCCCGTCGGAAACAAGGGCATCATAGTTAACCTCGGCGGTCAAACAACCCGTGACCCCACGCCATACGGAGTAAGAGTCCCGAAAGCGAGCTCAGGCAATATCAACATCAACCTATCCTTCGTAGACATTTACGACATCGAAACAGGCTTCTGGTTTCGTCAAGAAACCTTTGGTCTCCCCGATATCCCTACCGGTCGCTCTGATATATGTGCAGTTCTCGTCCCCGCCAAGGATTCTTCGTCATGGAATATATACATGATCGCCGGCGTCGAAAACTACGCGACGTACATCACATCTGAAGAGATTTGGGTTCTTTCACTACCGACTTTCCAGTGGACGATGGTCCATACCCGTGCTGACGGTATGTACGGACATACCTGTCATGCTGTAGGCGAGAACCTTCTTATTGTGGGAGGCATACAGACGAACAAAGAACCCAGCAGGGGAAATGTCAACACCTGTGCGGACCACATGCCTGTCGAGATCTTCTCGCTGGCCACGCATAATTACACAGGTAGATACGATACCGAGGCCGCGAAAAGAATACCACCAGTTCCGAGCAAGGTCGTCGCGTCCGTGGGAGGAACTTCTTCTGGTGGCGCGGTCCTCACGAAACCACGGGTATGGAGCGACGTTTATCTACAGTACATTTTCGATCCGTCGCTGCCTAGGCCGGAGTATAAACCAACCTATACGCTCGTTGTTCAACCCAATAGCACCACAAGTTCCTCGCCTTCGCCGACACCTTCTTCAAACGGGCCATCCAAGGGTGCTCTCATTGGCGGAGTGGTGGGCGGTGTCCTGGGCGCCATCGCCATCGTATGCCTCGGCATTTTCATCGTGCTCCTCCGCCGCAAGAAGAAGAAGAGGGCTGAGGAAGCTGCTGCTGCTGCTGCTGCCGCTGCCGCCGCTTCCCGGCATAGCGCATTTTCAGAGTTGCCGGGGTACTCGCCGTTTCCCTCCCCCGAGCCAAAGCCAGGTTTCGGTGGCTTTCCTCCTGCGCCACCGGTCACTCATGCGGCGGAGCTTGAAGTCCCCCGTGGCGCAAGCGAGATGCCGAGCAGCCCGCGGTATGGAGGCTCGGTCGAGATGGGGAGCGAGGTGACGCAATCACCTAGAGTTACGAGTTTTACTCCGACTATTGATTCAGACAGAAACGCATATGAAGAAAGGCATTTCGGCCATAGCCCTGTCAGTCGCTGAGAATTTTTAGGGCGGAGGTTGGGTTCAAGTTTATGTTGATGCCGACGATTTGGCTATTGACGATTCAAAGGCACGGATCTACAATGAGGGTTACTGGTTTCAACTTTATCTTTGCTCTAGTATGCCACTCTTTAGGTTACATGATTTTAGAAACAATCGCAATACCGGGATGAGAATACCCTCCTGCTTCGCAAGCAGTGCCAAGCACATGCACGGTCGGCCTATATCCATCTAGTCCTCACTCATATTTGCTTCCCCAGACATGCTACACCAGCCTTTAGCGCTTCCTTGTCGTCCCTGCTCCTCTCGATAGGTACTTTCCCCTGATGTGGTAGCATGCAAGTCCGGCTTTCACGCATTCCGCAAGAGGGCTAAACCGATGAGGGAAACAAAGTTGCCGGACTAGAGCGTGATGTGAGTCCAGCTACTATCCGAGTCGTATCCTTCGGATCCGCTGTCTGAGCCAGAGAGGACCCAGGTTTCAATCATGTCGTCGACGTTAATTGGGTCGGGGCTCCTCCAGGTGCACGCCTTGGAATCGATCGTCTTGTTCAAAAATGACGAAGCACGACCCTTGCCCTCGGCGGTTGTGGCGCAAGAACAGACAAGACCATTAGCCTTGTCTTCTTCTTCCCGGCCGTTTTGCGTCCTCAAGCGGTGGTTTTCTTCCTCGAGTGACTGGTTTCGGCGATGATAGTAAGTCCGCGTCTCATCCAAGCGAACTTGGAGTTGAATAATTTCATTCTGGTCAATGTCTTTGAGGTCTTCAAGATTCTTGATCTTGGATGCCGCGGCTATGGCAGCATTCCTACGTAGGAAGACCTCGATCTGTAGTTGGGCGATGTGTGCGTCACGAATCATAATATCAAGGTGGGGAGGCCGAGTCCCCTTGCGCTGGGAGGCTCCGATATGATTCATGCCGATGGTGGTGTTGCTGCCAGTCATCATGAGAGAGACTCTTGATAACCGCGTGAAAAGTTTTATGGGATTGTGGGTTGGAACAATCGTGGGGATTGATAAAGTGGTTGGTGCGATGATTGATCACACACCTGTTTGAAGTCTGTTGATGAGAAGCTATTAGTTTATTTTAGGCGGTGCAGCAGACAACCATTTATATTTCAATGCAGAGCCAGCAGTCAGAATGCCAGTTACTGGAAACGAATTTGCGATAGCGCGCGTTGAACATGAACAGTATTTAGAATTTTCAAAACTGACTCCTGGAACTACTGGCGATCGCACCGATTGCAAGAACCAGCTTTGGGGAGGAGCACAAGGAACAGTTAACGGTGATGAGAGGGGGGGCCTGTCTCTATTTTAGTCGTCTTGTCATTTTCTAAAAAATCAATCTTGAAATTTAATGCCCCTGCCAGCTCGTTGGCGCCGACGAGCTCGCCGGCGGCTACAGTAATCGCCCACCCATATTTCAGGCAGTCTGTGCCTCCCCATCCCCAGGACGGATGGCTATGGACATAATCTTCTTTACTTTTAATCACTTTGAAGCGTGGCCGAAGGTGAGAAAAAAAGCCAGGAAAGCCCGAGCTACAAGATGCTCGATATACACTCCACTACTTTGAGCGCCAAGTTCAACTGTTCGTCCGATTTGTTGGGTCGAGTGGGCGTCGATGACGAAGCCTCACCCGTTCCAGGACGTGGGCCTGTTCGTTGGTGCTCAATATTGTCACGCCCAACGAATCAGAGTAGTCCCCCATCAGACCTTCAGTTGGATGCCTATTGAGCTACATCATGCTCAAGGTTCTGAAATAATCAAAAGGTATGGACTTGCAAAGCTTCATTCAGGCCATATTTCATGTTGGTATTTCTCTCCAATTCCTATTCAAATTTCGCAGCACAATTATTCAATCAACGGTGAATAATGTCAGAACAATCACGACATTTACCTCAGTCGAGGGACTACGACGGAGAATGCGAGAGACTTGAATTCCCAACGCCGGCTGTGGCATCGAACGGAGGCCGGACCGCCGAATTGAAAGTTTCGGCGGAGCTTCCAAAGCCGACCCCGTCCTCTCCGACTTTCCAAAGGGTAAGCAACGGAGACCTGCGGGTTCTAGGTACTTGTATCTGATATGGTGTTCAGGCCACGGCTTGGGTCTCCGATAACCCCGTTCCGGCGGTGTGCTACTGCCTCGGTACTGCAGGGCTCTTCGCTGTGGCGTCCCCGGTCTTGGCTTTCACGCCTACAATGGGTGCAGTGGGTGTTACAATGCACGGTGCTGTTGTCAGTAAGTATGAGACCGAAACTCAGTGGTTTGATATTAAATGTAATTTCACATATTTGATTGCGCTTGTTCGCCAGAGGGACTAACTGTCTTTTTCAATCAGGTTCCGCAGCAGGCGTTCTTTACACTTTGAGTGGTGTAGCCCAGGCGGTCGGCGCTGGAGCACCTATTTACAGGCTTTGGGGGAGGCATTGCTTGGAAGCGATTTTTCGGGGAAAAGAAACCAAAGAAAAAGTTGCAGGACGAGAACGAAAATCCCGTGGCTGAAAATGCCACGAGCAACAACATAATAGAAGGCACCCAGGATCAGAATGACCATGTTCGGTCGGCATAGCTTGACTGTGGTCTTGCTAGACTTGGCAGCAGCAGCCTGTTGAGAGAGCATCATTCACCCCCTTTGAGGCAGCCTAGCCCAGCGGTTTTCAGATTCTAGTATATTTAAACCTTCCACCACATTCAGAGATAGCCAGTAATTTAACCTGTCTGTTTGCACTCAACATGCGATGCCGGGTCAACCAATGCCTGGCAATCTTCTGTTGTCAATTTGGTCGTTAGGCCGTTGCATGCCTCCCCGTCCTTGTTCGAATCCACTCCGGTAGCGCCGCCGGCACCGTTGCAGATGGTTGCCTTCATCTCGCGGGTCTTGCCATTGACGCAGCTGCAAGAAAAACGGGGTGGGCCATTTTGAGGGTTTCTTTCGACTAAATTGTTCAATCTAAGCGTCGTTAGAGTATGATTTTAACACATGAGTGAAGACGACTCACTCCTGTAGTGGACTTGCGCTGACTGGTGCAAGGCTGAAGGCCAAAAGGGCTAGAGTAAAGATGCTTGATTTTGAAAAGGTCATTCTGAATTGATTTCCAGAAGTGTAAATACGACTTGCTGGTTCGAATGACTTGGGTATTGGATGATGCAAACGAGGGGTCAATCCCCTATTTATGCATCATTACCAGACGGTCGAGTACAAATACTAACACTTATCATTCGCTATATTGAAGCGGGCATTTTCACACAATGACTGCAGGTTAGCCATTATCTCTAGGCCTGGCCGACGTTCTTGACTCGTACGAATTCAAGGCCTTGAAATCTGTGAAACGAGCTTGGGCTGGCTTCTTTTTTAAGCTTTGGGTTCTTAACAAGCCTGGGGAAACAGGGCTGACTTCTGGCGGTGTCAATTACCAATTTGAGAAACGACAGAGTCGATTTGGTCATAGGTCTTGCTTTTGGTTGGCGTCTCAGCTGCTCAGGTTCGTCTAATGCGCCTCACGTTTTCGGGTTCGTCCGATGCGTTTCAGTCTGTCAAGGGTGATAGGACGCTTTGCGGCCAGACCTGACTCATCTTGTGTTGACGCTCTGTTGCTAGTTTAGGCAAATTTCTACACTCAGGTAAGGTTCTCCCGTATGGGTTTCATCTTCTTACCTCAAATACCATGTTCTTTGGTATACATGTATGCAACACATGGCTAAAAAGCACGACCTGAAGTCTTTCGGTTTACTATGTAGGGTGAGGATGAGAACCACTGTGTCCTGGGAAATTTATGTTTGGATTTTGAGTCAAAATTGCGCTGCGCCAAGTTTCTTCATCAGTAGGTTTGGTTTTCTACTGTCTGTCAATCGAATACCTAGTCTTCAGCCCTTGGTTAACCATGCGACCTTCGAGTATTGTCCGCCCCAACACAAAAAACCTTCATCGTAGCACTGGGCACTGGAATCTACTGTTCCAGCAAGTCACATTGAACTTTCTGTAACTCCTGAGGGAAAATAATAAAGTCCATCTTGTTCTGGGATGCGTGGATCCTTAGAACTGCGGCGTTCAATTTCAAAGTTTGGCGAATACCAATGGGTCTGGAAACTCAGTATGGCATCGAACCATGGAAAAGATGATCGATATCGCCTCAGTCCCATAGGGTTGAATTCGGGGATTACAGCTTAATGACTATTTAAAGGCCGTTTTCTGTATTTTCATGAGAGTGGATATCTCCTTCTCGATCATTCGCTATCACCCCATTTGACATCAAACACACCATGCTTATCGCAAAAGCCTTTTCCGCAGCACTTGCTGTGGCTTCGGTCGCCATTGCTCTACCAAGCAAGGAGGCCAGAGTTACATCTGCGAGCCTTCCGACGGATCATCATGCGGTCCACTTTCACAAGAAATCGCTCGGAGATTCAGGCAAGATTGAGATTCAGTCCGGAGAGGACTGGGAGAAGTTCAAGAAAGATCACCCCAGCATTCCAAAAGTGTTTTTCGACTTGACCGAAGCCATCTTTTGTCTAAGAAAGAAGACCGACGACAAAGCCCCACAATGGATTGATGGTTATTGTGTTGATGCACCCAAAATGACGCTTGCCAATGCGGAGGCTCTCCTGTTTCAATTTGTGGACCTCGCCGACAATGACGACGCTTTCGCTGAAGCTGGAAAGGCCATATTTGAGCTTGATGCCATGGAGCTTTCTGCCCTCAAAAGCAAATCCGACTGGAAAAACAAGGGCCCCGCACTGGCGAAGAGGATCTCGGAGAGAAAACTCAAGCTGCTAGAGAAGGAGAGAAAGTACATGGAACAGAAGATGCCTCACCTCGCACAAATGAAGGACCCAAAATACCATTCGCTTCAGGAGAAACTGAGTGATATCAAAGAAAACATTAAGGAACGCGCGGAAATCATCGGGGAGCCTGAGAAGAACCTCGCCTTTGATGAACAGAACCTGCCCTACGAGGCTTTGGCGGAGTTGGCTGCGGCAAGTTTTGTCAGCGATGCTCCCCCGACAGAACATGACGGCAAGGGTCCTAAGATTACCATCAACGGCGAGCCAAATAAAGTGGGAAAGATTTTCAACTTTCTCGGAGGGCTTTTCTCTGGTGATCCGGCCAAAGTCATCGTGGCGATTTGCGAGATTGTGCAACAGTCGGGCTCTCCCTGCGATCCAAACAGAAAATCTGCACCCAAGGACGAGGTTTAAGTCATATTCAACGATCAGAGGTTACCTTTTTTGTGGCATTTCTTTGATAGCAAGAAAATGTTCGCTTTGCTCCTTATTTAGTACAAGAAACTCGAGCTAAGTTTACTGGATGAAGCATCACCATTAAACCTTTTTGGACAGAATGAGTTAAGTACAATGTTTCGGGTTTGTATGCTCATGTTAACTGTGTTCGAAGGTACATGGGGAGATCTAGTCGTTTTGCTCGGTGTATTTAAATATTTTGGTAGTTAGTGAGTTCTCTATGAAGAGTTCATCATCAATATAATTAATTGGCTCTCATTCCAAGTCTTTACGTGCAACTTCCAGGTTTGGAATTGCCCGTTAACAGCGGTCAAGGATTGACTTTATGGATGTGGCTGCTGTTCAGCTTGGATAGCGCTGTTTTGAAAGCGAAGTACTTGTCTGCTGTTGAAGCGTTGAAGTTGCAACCAGAGCCAGCGTGGATGGACACAATTTTTTTCAACTCAACGCCAAGACCATTGACCTTCTTGAATGTACGACATTTTCTAACAGGTGTGAGTAAGTCTGCGGAGCGTCATCAAAAATTTGACAATGAAAAAAAGAGACAACAAAAGTAAGGCGTCTCGCGCTCTTAAGCATCGAAAATGTGTTTTCAAACGACTTTTACTCGGAGAGATTCTGGAAGTTTTCATTACCCTATGCTGGTTGGTAGGTAAGATTCTCTTTAAATAGGTTCAACGGGTGATTTAAGTCAGTGAAAGGATGTGAAATTACCATCGTTTGCACCAAAAATTGATAGGGGGCTTTATTTCAGGCTCAGTGCGGTTGATAGATTGAAGTTAATTTCCAAGCCAAAGTTTGCCTTTTGGTGCAATAGTTCAAGTTTTGTTATGAAATGATACTTACCCAGCTTGGTTTGTGCGTTGGTGAACCCGAGCTATTGACGCTTCTTGCAGAAAATGCACTGACATTTTACGAGACGCCTAGGGATGACCGAGGAGCGAAAAGTTCAGACTTGGGATCTACAATGTAGCCCCCTGTACTCATGTATACCAGCGACTCATATAAGCGGAGCAGAACATATTGGAGAAAGGGGTTGAACCATGGTGAAGACGCGATGACGTCCAAAACTGCTCTCGCTGGATGTCCAAGCCTTTAGGTGGACAGCCGCCGACAGCTCGGGTCACTTCGGGAATATCCCGAGACTATGCATAGGATTACGGCAAGCGGCAATCCTAATTCAGGAACGCAGAAAATGAACGTGTTTCTTCCGCCGTCTCGGCCGAGAAGGGGTAAGAAGAGCATTCGTGACACTTGATTGATGGCGGCTGCCAAGCGAAGCCCAGTCAAATATCATCATCCGAGCCGTTTGAATGCATCCGGTTTAGGTCGGTATTAAGGGAGTGAAAGACACAGGCAGGTGGTCCTGCTAAACCGACCCAATGAGGCTGTGATGCAAGGTCTCATCCTGGTAGAAGTCTGGGCACGCTAGGAGGTAAATGCGAGATATGGTTCCGCATCCCCGCTGCGGCAAAAACAACCTCCAAGGAGCTTGGAAGCAATACGAGAAGATCGTCGCATTTTTACCCACGTGCCTGACCACCCATCAAAACGAATGTTGGGGCAAAACAACGTTGCTTTCAAGGCTCCGTCATAATTAGCGGTTCGCTTTCGGTTCACTCCTCCATTCTTCTCGTGTGCCTCCCCCGTAGCACTGCCGTGCCTCCCGCGGAAGTCGTCTATTTCGCTTCTGACCCAATGTTGCCGGTTTGGCTGGGCATTATGTAACGCCAGAGGTACCTGGATAGTCTGGATAGCTCCGCGATTGGCATGCAAAGTGCATCAATCGGTCCATCGTGTCTGCTATTTCTGGTCAGGCCCCGCGCGATGGACCCTTCAGAAGATCAACCGGGTAATCCGACCGGTCGTCTAGAGAGTAGGGGCGCCCTTCAAGGCGGTGCATCTTAGCTCCCTTTGCTGAATCTGGAGTACCCGATGTGCTGGTCAATTTTGAAAGGCATTGCCGGACAGGCATTCCCCATAGAATCATTCTCTTCCCTGAGCCGGTGACGTCGACGTCGTAACAATCAGACCTCACTGGTTGACCACCGAGTTGACCGACTTGGCGAGAATAGAATGCCTGCTCATCGTATCCTATTACCACAAGTATAAAGCCTCAGTGACCTGCCTACTCTCATCGCTCTTGTCATAGCTTACTTCATCATCACACGCACTTTCAAACAAAACCAAACGAATCCCATCAACCGTCAATATGCAGTTTACTCTTGCCACTGTCGCCGCCCTCTTTGGCGCTTCTGCCCTCGCAGCTCCCGCTCCTCAGGCCAACGACGCCCCTAGGCCTTCTGAGAACATTGACATCTCCAACTTCTCCGTCCGCAAGGAGCAGGACGGCACTCTCGTCAACATCAGCTTCAACCTTAGTGGAGATGACGCCAAGGACTTGCTTTGCGAGAGCGCCAACCCTGAGCTGCCGTCGACAGAGGTCGTCACATGCGGCGACTCCAAGTACCGCTTCACTCTAAAGGAGGGCTCTGAGACTGAGTTTGCCCTGCGGATCTACCACGAGCTCGGCCTTGCGTAAGTTACCTTCCGCCCTAACTACGAAGCTTCACAAATAACTGACATGATCTGAATAGTGTTGGCTTCTGGGGTGAGGGCGATGTTCCAGCCTACTGCCACGCTGGCGGTCTTGACCAGTTGCTTTGCGCCCAGACTAACCCTACAACTATTGTCATCGACAACACTCCCCCTCCCGTCAACCCTTAATTGTTATTTCAGCGGGAATAGACTTAGAAATAATGTATAAACTCATATTGTAAACCACTCGTAATGAAGGCTCGTTTCGTTTGTTTTAGTTGTGAAAAAGTGACTTCGAATACCGCCTTCACTTGTCAGTGTCACAATATGTGGAGCTGAAATTTAGTTCTCATCTGTAGTTGAGAAGCATCGTTCATCTCAAAAGAAAAAAATACCAAAACTTCAGGGCAATGACTAAATCAAGATTGCTTCAAATTGAGTTTAGACCGATGCATCATCTGAGAGAATTATAGCACGCTTTCTCTCACTTGAGCTTTAACATCAGATCCCGGCTGTTCTGAAATTCGTGAAAGACATCACAGATGTGTTGTCCTAAGAGACAGTAGAGGTTTTCAATTTTCCGTCTCAGAGTAAGTCGCCGTTTGAAAGATTGGAGTTGCAGCCGAAATAGTGATGACACAACTTAACGCTGAGCCAATGCTAGCTGAGGAAGCAGGGGAAGCTCAAAGAAATGCTCCTGTTGCTAAGAGGAGCGGTGCACAGGCCATTCATTGATTAGCGGGGCCAGCCGGGAAAAGGTACGCCCTTCCGTACTTCTCCACCTTACCTAATGCGGGTATCTTAGCAGCTGAGGTGGCCAGGGTGAGGTAGGCACGACCATCTTGCGTAGCTGTGGGAGCCTCATACTAAACAACAATCAGCCTCGCCTTCTTGAACACCACCCCGCGAACCTCCATCACGACCCCCCGCGAACAGAAACCAAACCACATCACACTCTCTATTAGCCGAATCATTCCTCAAGATCGCGAAGATGTCTGAAGGCGCGCTGAAGCCCGAGAAGGACTTCTCGAAGGAGACGGACAAGCAGATCCCAGAGGCCGAGAAGCTCGCCAAGGTGGGCATCGCAAAAAATGCAAGCTATTGGAGCTATTTCTAACATATTCTTTCAACAGAGTGACATTTCTGCCGCCATCGAGAAGCTCAGCGTGTTGGAGAAGCAGACCCGTCAAGTGAGTAGTATGCCCCTCCCTTCGCCGACGTCACCTTGCTAATTATCATTAGTCCTCAGATCTTGCGTCGACGTCCCGTATACTCATCGCCATTGTCACAATTGCCAAAGATGCAGGAGACTGGAGCTTGATGAACGAGCAGGTTCTGGTACTGTCGAAGAAGCATGGCCAGCTCAAGCAAGCTATTACCAAGATGGTTCAGGCGGTTATGGGCTTCCTCGATTCTACACCGAACCTCGAAACTAAGCTTACCGTCATCGAGACCCTGCGAACGGTTACCGAGGGCAAGATTTTCGTCGAAGTCGAGAGAGCCCGCGTCACCAAGATCCTCTCCGACATTAAGAAAGAGCAGGGTGACCTCAGAGCGGCAACGGACATTCTGTGCGAGCTCCAGGTAGAGACTTTCGGCTCTATGGACCGCCGTGAAAAGACCGAGTTCATTCTTGCGCAAGTTGCTCTTTGCATTGAGAGCGGCGACTGGACCCAGGCCGGCATTTTGAGCCGCAAGATTAGCACCAGATACCTCTCACGAAAGCCCAAGAAGACGCCCGAGCAGCTCGAGAAGGAGAAGAAAGAGCGCGAGAAGAAGAAGGCAAGAGGCGAGGAGGTCCCCGAAGAGAAAGAGGACGACACAACCGACCTGAAGCTGCGCTACTACGAGCAACAGATCATCCTTGCGAAACACGATGACAAATATCTCGATGTCTGCAAAAACTACCGTCAGGTCCTTGACACCGAGGCTGTCGAGGAGGATCCCAAGAAGCTTCACCCTGTATACCTCCCCCACTCTATCTCTTTGCCTCGAACTACTTGCTGATAAGTTATCTAGGTCCTCCAACGCATTATCTACTTCGTCATCCTTGCTCCCCACGACAATGAGCAGCATGATCTCCTTCACAGAATTCAGAAAGACTCCAGAATCAGCCAAGTCACTCAAGAGGCCGAGCTTCTCAAGCTTTTCACTGTCCATGAGCTTATGCGCTGGCCTGAAGTCTCCAAGACCTTTGGCCCGCATCTTTGCGAGACTGACGTCTTTGATGCCCAACCTGGCCAGTCCGGAGATGAGAAGGCACACCAGCGTTGGCAGGATCTCCGCAAGAGGGTGATTGAGCACAACGTGCGTGTTGTCGCCAAGTACTACACTCGCATCCAGATGAAGCGCTTGACGCAGCTTCTGGATCTCAATGAGGATGAGACGGAGAAATACATTAGCGACCTTGTCACCTCAAAGACCATCTACGCCAAGATCGACCGGCCCGCTCGTGTCGTCAGCTTCGCGAAGCCTAGAGATGCTGATGACATCCTGAATGAGTGGAGCCACAACATGAAGAGCCTGCTCGGTCACCTCGAGCGTATTGACCATCTCATCACGAAGGAGGAGATGATGGCCAACATCCAGCCGAGCAGCGGCTCCAAGTCGGGGAAGGGAAAGTCTACTAAGGCGCATTAGATGGTTGTCAACGGTTGCCAGGTCAGGACACGGGTTATGGCGTGTAATTGTAGAACACTAGAGGCAGGCAATGATCAAGGCTGGAACGTGTAAAACGGATTCGGTCTATGCTATGATGAAACTATGTCCTCTATAATATCCGGGTCTATGTCGGTATCCAATCATTCATTCGTTGTTCGTGTATGTACGGCATAGGTCTAGACCTTACTCTTTGCCAATTCTTCGTCGGCAATTTTCTTGATGAAACCAATCAACGGCATAGCCCACTCCTTGGAGATGGGCACGTAGTGACCGCCGGGGTGGACCACAACCATTGGCTCCTCACAGCGGTCCGCCAATCCTTGACTACGTGACTCGTCTACGACGGTGTCGAGACTGCCGATAAAATGCAGTGTAGGCGTCTTGATCTTAGGCTCATAGGCCCACTTCAGGTCATCGGGCGTGGCGAAGAAACCGGAGTAGATGACGGAAAACTTGAAAGGCTCGCCGCCGTTCGCATCCCGCAACTCTTGCGCGCTGGAACGGAGCTCTTCGGGAATCTCGCGATGAGGCTTTTCCAACATGGCAGTTAGTACGGACGCAAAAGCACCACCCTGGCTGAAACCCAACACTCCGTCAATGTTGCCCCCAGCCTCCCGAATCGCGGCGGCAGCGGTAGATACGCCTTGGTCGACGAAGCGGTACGACCCGGAAGCCTCATCCTTGCGCCACCATCCCCAGGCATCGAGGTCCTCTTCGGGTTCGCCGTTGGCAGACTCTTCGGGGACGAAACCTGGGATATCGCGCGGGGAGAGCTTGCAGGGGCCCGTCGGGTAGAAAAGAGTAGGCACCAGATTGAATGGGCCCAGGAGCTTTGCGATGAGCTTTTCGAGGGCGCGGGTCTTGGAGCGGAAGAGGGGGCCAGATTGAGTGTAACCTTTTTAGTGTTAGTGAGAGGAGATACTGCTGCAGCTGTGATGGGTTGAATGGCTTGCGATGAAAAGAAGTGCGGTGGTGAGTGGTCAAATATGAGTGCCTGGGAGACAGCAGTGCTAGAACTTGAAAGTTGAAGAAAATCAAAGACGTACCGTGAAGCATCAGAATCCTGATCTCCTTCTTGCCGTTGCCGGCAGGCTTCTTGTTTGCTGAGCCGTTAGGCGTCGATCCTGTTGAGGTGGACATTGTGCAGATGAACTTGTAGGCCAATGGGAGCCGGGGTCTGGTATCGGCAGCAGGAAAAGAAAACGATCTATAAGATGGAAATCTACAATTTATGCGAAGATGAAGCGGGAGCCTCATGAGTGTCTATCTTGGTTGACGAGATGGCGTGTATGTGAGATTCCAGGTGTGTGAGGTGAGGTGGGTTCTGACAAATCCACCATAATGACTCGACGCCGAAACATGCCGAAGGGCGTAGGCTAACCTGTTGAGCATCTTTATCTACAGATAATCCTAAAAAGTCTAAACATTTCAATCAGATTACCCAAACATCATAACTAATCGCTTAAAGAAGCGAGACAAAGATGCATGGGTGAACCTGCTGTGAGGCTGGTCAAATGGTTAAAGCTTGTGTTGACATGTCACGTGATGGCTCCCGGCCGTCCGGACCCCTCGATGTGGATGTTTTCCGGCGCATATCCTACTTGGCCGGACATGAGTATTGTCTAGAGGTCCGTAGGACGCCGAATCGCATGTTTAATCACGGTCGGTTAAAATTTGCCAGAACAAGGTATGATTCAGTCACTTTGTACTATGAATTAAGCGCCCGGTTGCTAGGCAAACACGACGTAAAAGATGGCCAATTCATCATTCATAGACACGAGGATAAAGGGTCGATAGATTAGTACAACAGCTCAATTGACTCTGAGCCGCCTGTCTATGGTACAGCTTCCATGTAGAATGCGCGTCTGGGGGTTTTTAAGTCCTCGAGAGACTCCCCTGTTGCTCGACCGTGTCTATGCCATAGCCCGGACTATCCCATCAAAAGTTTAGTGGCCCTTCTTGGCCAGGGGGTTGCGGGCATCGTTCTTCCACTCATCGGCTGCGTTTTCATTATCAGTATGTGAAGAAGACCGGGGGCGTTGGCGTGCGACATACACTTGAGCATGGCGTTCTGGGCAGAGTTGATGCCGTACGCGATGACCAGACCTATATCGCGAATCAGTCCACACATCTCCATGTAACAACTCCTCCTTCTTGTTCGTGCGCATCGAAATCGTTTCCTCCCAGGGGTATTGAGCATCAATCGGGGTCTTCGAACGTACCGGCAGCGAAGAAAGGAGCCATCGGCCGAACTGCAAAAGGGAGGTTAGCAAGTTGTTGCGCGCGGCAAACGGACTCGACGAGCGCGATACTTACGGACGGGCGTAGGGTACTTCTTGAGGGCGCGAGCTCCGAGCCAAGACATCTTGACGGTATTTGCGAGGTGATTACCGGGGTGGGATAGAGAAAGGTTGGGGTTGATGACGGGCGGTATTCGGAGGTTCGATGTGAAGCTACAGAACGAGCCTTTTTCCTCCGATTGAGCTTTCGGCGGTTGGACCCGTAGCCGAGATGCGTTTCTTGTGGCCTAAGGCAACAATCCGATGAGCAGAATAAGTGGACCAGGGTCTTTCAGTCTAAGTCAGGCACGGACCAAGTAGCAGTGGAATTCATTGCCTCTATTCACTGTCTAACTGGCTTGCCAGATCTTTTCTCCTCCTTTTTCTTCTTCCTTTCATCGTATGATCTATATCCGAGCTGTTTGATATAGAATCGTTTGGCTTTGGAACAATCGTTGACTTGTTGCGCTGCTGATTGTTTTCCCTGCAGTCGAGTTGCAGGATACATCCAACAAGCAGGCATTTTCTTGGTGCCTTATGTCATCAAGGCTTCAGATGACACGGGCATCCGCTAGAATATTTCTCCGTGCTCATGGCAAGCTATCATCACTGGAACGCGCTCCTCCTCCTAGGGAATGCCTGGATTTTTCATTTCATCCTTTCATATGATGTGAAATCGCCTTCAAATTTCGGTCGCCCTATGATCTCTCATTCTTTCTTGTTTTGTTATCTTCGTGATTGGAAACGGCTTGCAGATAAGAGAATCAGCACAGATAAATCATTGGTTGGAGTGCCTCCCCACTTTGGGCGTATCCTTGTAGCCCCTCATTCTATATTCTAAGGTACATCTCATGAGAAACGGTCAACGCTGGAACATTTGTCCGCGCCTGCCTCTGTTGACCCGAGCAACCCTGGTATGAGCATACATGTGACATCATTTGACCCTTCTCCGCATTTGGGCGCTTTTGGATGCGGTACGTACCCTGTTTGTAGCACCCTGGGACCTCAGCTCCTGGCCCATACCTCATGCTACCAGGAAAGGCGTCAGCTTTCCCCAGGTTCCGGGCACCCTGCTCAACTGGCGTGGTGGTGGTGCCAAACGAGGATTGTAGTGTAGCAGTAGCAGGAGAAGCCGGGTAATAATAGCCAAAACCTCCTCGTCCCCTTGTGTCACATTCACCCAGGTTCTTGTCCTGCCACACACACACACCACACCACACCTCCTGAAGCTCTTTGCATTACTTTCCTCCCTCTCATCCTCAACGCTCGCCCTCCCTCAGCCTAAAAGTGCGGGGGAAGTGTATTCAGAGACACAGGTCGCACGGTTGTAGGCTGACCATCACCTCTCACTCGTCCAATAACATTCGTCCCATTAGCCTAGTCTGCCATTCTCCCGCTCACAAGCACGGTCTCGACTCCCACCATTACCACTACTACCACCACCTCCCAGGTAGACCACCGCCCGTCTTCGCCGCCGCCCGCTGCACGCCGACTTGCTTCCCGTTCTGTGATCCAATAGTCCTTGCTCTCGGTTTCCTGCTGCTACTTTCCGATCGAGACGTATCGAACATCATTTCCTTCCCTTCTTCACATTCCATACGCGTACCAGAGGCTTGTTACCTGCACACAAAGAGCTTGTTTGTCCCTTTGTCTTGAACAGAAGGCATACCTCTAGCAGAAAAGACACCTCTTGGTCAAGTCGTCACCACCACACCAATCCAGACCATCCATCTACATACCCCAATCACCTTTTGCCCATCTCGCAATGCTGAGCCAACGATTGGTGCGAGCAGCCAGCGCGGCAACCCCGCGTTCTGCGCTGCGAGCATTCAGCACGACGAGCCAACAGCTCAAAGTGCCGTCTATGGCCGACGTCAGCGCCGCCCCTCAAAGCGTCGCCTCTTTTAACGAGAAATCCAAGCAGTTCCGAGAGCAGTTAGTGGACCAGCAGAAGCAGCGGGAAGCAAGTGCGTATCGATCCTCTCCCTCCTCTACCCCTTCTCAGTCCCCCTCGGAATCCGCTGCCCAGAACACGATCTCATCCCTAGGTGCTACTTCAGGACAGAAGGCCGAGGCTGAACAGCCTGCACGGAAAGCTGGCCCCTTGACCAACCTCATTTACGGTACCAAGGAGGGCCGCGAGTTGGACGCACAGCTCGAAGCTAGCTTTAGTCAAGTCCTTGCCCGAGGCAAGTACGTCCACTCTATCGTCTTCCATGAGGTCAAGCCCGATAAGGTGGAGGAATACACGGAGCTTGTTGGAAACTGGTACCCGCGCATGGCCTCCATGCCAGAGAACAAGGTCAATTTGGTAGGAAGCTGGAGAACTGAGGTTGGCGACTGCAACACATTTGGTATGTTATTTTTCCTAGAGAGCCACCCCCACGGAGCTCAGAAACAAGGAAACAGCTGCTCATTCTAGCTTCAACAGTTCATATTTGGGAGTACCAGAGGTACCAAGGTTACCACGAGTCCATTCACAACATTGGATCTCACCCCGAGTTCGCCAAGTTTGATAAGAAGCTTAAGAGTCTCATTACATCAAAGAAGACATCCCTCATGCAGGAATTCTCCTTCTGGCCCACGACGCCACCTCGCGAGCTCGGCGGTGTCTTCGAGCTGCGCTCTTACACCCTGCACCCCGGCAACCTGCTGGAGTGGGAGACCCACTGGAGACGGGGCCTGAAGGCTCGCCGTGAGGTCATGGAGGGCGTTGGTGCTTGGTTTGTGCAAATCGGGGAGCTCAACACTGTCCATCACCTATGGCAGTTCGCCAACTTGGAGGAGCGCAAGATCCGCCGCGAGAAGAGCTGGAGCGTCGAAGGCTGGAGCGAGACAGTTCACAAGACGGTGCCTCTTATCCAGAACATGCAGTCGAGGATCCTCATCCCCATGCCTTGGTCGCCCGTGGCATAAGGCGATATCCGATAAGACGCTAGGCTTGCCTAGCCTTTTATTTTCCGGCATGTGTGCGGCGTCGCGGATGTGCAATTACTTTTTGCACCATCTTTCATCTGTCGACATGCGCATGCACTTGACCACATTACCACCTACCTTTCCAGGCATGCTTAGTAAAGGTCCCTAATTGCCCAATGCAGGCGAGGGACGTCAAGATTTCCGATATCAAGGCTCGATACTTGGTGGATAAGCTTTTATTTGCAGAAGGATCGTTGGGGCACTAATGGCTTGTACGTGTACAGAGTTCTGGTAGAACCCAGCATATAGGAATTGAAGATGATAACTCTGGGTGAAAAAAAAGTGATTACATTTCCTATCTAACTCCGGGGTATCCAATGCCAGCTGCAACACTGCATGGCGGGCCTTTCTGATAGTCTAGGCTGCCATAGTCTAACAGTACAGAGTTGTGTGTTTAAACGCCAATGTGCCACTCAAATGCTTCCAGGGCTCTTTCTTCACTCGTCAACTTCTTCGCCCATGACAGCCGCTAGATTCCTCCTTGCGCTAGCCAGCGTATATCCCAAAGCAATTAGCTTCGAAGACAAGGACATGAGGTTGGGGTCAGGTAAGCTCTCGACGCGGACCTTCTCTCTCACAAACACCTCGTTCGGTTCGCCGTTGCTCGATGGCGTTCCCAGCCCGCTAACGCTACTCGCGCCGCTCGTTGGGTGCGCCCTACCGTGCTTGTGCTTCTCCCCGCCGTCCGTAATGGTGCTATACGAGAACCGAAACGGGCGGTCCATCTCATCGTGTTCCAACCTCCGCACCGTTCCCAGCGCAAGACCCAGTTTCGTACCAAAATGTTGCGGTGCATCGACGGGCTCCAGCGCGCGAAGCCACAACACCAGACTTGACTCCTGCAGCCCTAGATGTATGCTGACATTCGGTCCGAGGGGTGGAGAAAAGTGAACGGGCGGACAGGAGTCGGTTTGCCAGCGGGGGTCGGCTTCGTTCAGCGGCGGGCCTTTAAGAAGAGAAGAGGACTCTCCGAGGGAGGCGGAGAGGATTCGGAGCTGAGCGGCGAGCTGGCTCGCGTTCTGTGTGGGGGTGGTGGAGGTTAGAGAGAGCAGATCGATGCACTCTGTTAGGTGGGTATGGATAGTCTCGAGGGCGGCGATGTGTATCGGGTGGGAGGCATCGATGGTCACGGTTTGTGTTGGGAGGGTCTTGAGCTGGAGATGGATTGCCTGTTCCCCATTGACCAATTAGCTATCTGCTTGAGAGAATGTGGGATGTAGGGGCCATACGCCTTTGACTATCCTTGTGCCGACTCGGGTTACCGTGCCCTTTACACGCTCGTTTCGCTGTGTGCTCATGACGAGCGTGCTACCTGGGTCGATAGGAGCGAGAAGGGCATAGCAATCCTGCAGTCCGTGGCGGATATCCTTCAGGATGGTTTGGGTTTCGTTTACGATCCATTCTAGCTCGCGCCTCTGTGGGCCGTAGTCGATTTTGATTAGCATTGCGATCAAGTATACACTTCAACTGCTAGACGAAGGACGACTGCTCAGCCTCTTGAGGATACGTACGAGGGATTCCTTCTTTTTAACGGCCAGCTCCTCCGGGGATACGGGAGGCCAGATCTCTATGGACATGTTGGGTGAACTGTGTCCTTGTTTCAAAGGACGATATTTGTTCGGTTTGGAAGATCGTCGTTGGAGGCGTTATAGGCAGCCGCAATGGGGCGTTTGGTGGTGGGATGCTAGCTAGCTCATGGTGGATGGACCGAAGCTTTGGACAGGATCTCGTCATCGCTAGAGGTTTGGGGGACCGGGGTCGGTGGGGGAGAAAGCGCGCTAGCGGAGCACAAGCAGGTGCCCTGTGCCCCGCCGATGCAGGCCACGGCGAAGGATCCACTTTATGCACTTTTTGCGTCCTGGGGAAAGCGGTTCTCACTCTTGACGGCTCATTCGAACATCTTCAAAATCATCAATTTTTACCAAAGGCTGTCTTCCGACACGGTTTAGAGAAGTTTACTTATTTGATCTCACTTGAGGAACCGATAAATTCAAGGCAACTCTCGATTATTTCCTGGCCAACCTTGTCAGGTCAGCACGAACTGAGCTGAACGACTTCTGCCTCATCTCACACCGGCTGCCTATCATGGCGCCTAACCACCCCAAGACGAAAGGCCAGGCTGGCAAAAATGATACAAGTTCAAAGAGGAAGGACTCAAATATTGAGAAACTATCTCGTTTGCCTCAAGGTAAAGACTGGTCGCTGCCTGCCTCTTCCTAAACCAACTAAAGTCTCACATCACAAACCCATTCTAGGCTCCAAGATCCAGAAACGTGCGCTGCCCCGCCGCCAACAGCCTATCTCATCAAAGTCGCAGCTCATATACGTGTCATCATCAACGCCATTCATGGCTGTCGTATCACGTGTGCGGAAGCAGCTCGACAAGTCTCTCAAGGGCAACGTACCCTCGACGAAAGGTATGTCACTTGGGCAGCGCATCGACCTGCTGCATCGTGACGGAGGAACGAAGGTTAATGATGCCGAGGCGGTTGTCCTGGGTACTGGAAAGGCCATTGAGAAAGTTTTAAGTGTGGCGGGATGGTTTACGCAGCAGAGTGATTGTGAGGTTGAGGTGCGGACAAGGACAGTTGGGACGGTGGACGATGTTGTGGTTGAGGGCGACGAGGGTGGGTTCGGGGATGAGGGGAGGGTTAGAAAAGTTAGCTGCTTGGAAGTCACAGTCAAGCTGCGGTGATGGTCTGCGAAGAGCGTTGCAGGGATGGTATGATTCTGAGGCTTGCGTGCCTCGCTTCGCCTTCGAATGAACAAAGCAATATGGAAATCCGAGCCTGGCATTGTCGGATGTCGGTAGAAACATGCCTCGAGGGGATGGCCCGCCGACATAAGGAGTTTCAGTTGTTGACGGGCATTCTGCCTATCGATGGCAGCATCCTGTGGGGTTGCGGCTTAATCATTAAGCTGGTTATCAAGACAGCAAGGAGACTCACATGATATGTTAGGTACTTCATACTGAGAGATTGGGAGGTTAGAGTAAAGAGCAGATTATTGATACCCGGCCTGTTGGCCTACCTTCACTTCTCCACGTTGGCTGTTTTTCGCATCAATGGATCGTGTGAAAACCGTTCTTGAAGCCGTGAAGTATCTAATGTCCTCCTTTCTCGGTATTACTGTCTCAAACGGATCCAGAACTTGCCCTTATAGTCATCTAGGAGCAAACTCTAGCTACCCAGTTCACTTTGCAGGCACTCTGTCGCAAGACCGTGGAGCAAATAGCTGCACAATTGAAAAAGGTGCATTGGATGATTCTGGCTTACATTAACTTGGCTCGATGAACATTCAATGACCATGCAACTGGCCATGTGCAGCAGTCTCCCAACAGGATTGATGTTGAACCGACGTGACTGTCTTTGCACAAGCTAAGACATCAGGAGAAAGAGTCTATTCTGTATTTTATCTATTGACGTTGTTATTATGGCACTCAGGTGCTGTTCGGCTAAGTTACTTCAATTGCAACTGTTGAAATCGTACGCGAGCCTTATTACTTCTTTTGTGTTCCGTGCCGGTATCGAGAGAATTTGTCCATGTCCTACGAGGACCAAAATTAGAAAATAGCACTATGGCTCCTCATAAAGTGTAGCAACACTCTTACTTGGAAATTTGAGGCACCTTTCTGCTGGAAACTAGAACCTAAGCGGATCACAATTACCACTCAACAAGCAATCCTTTGTGAGCGGCTTAGCAGGTGCTCAGGTTATGTTTCGGAGAGTCAGCGAGTGTCCACTCAAAGAGGGGTTCTTGTCAAGGTTAACTTGCTTTAGCATAAACCAAACGTCGAACGAGGGTTCTTAATGTGTGGGTGGCAGGCCTCGCCGGCCCGTCACGTGGGCTGACGGCCGCCACCACTGGTCTTAGCCAGCCTCCACAGCCCTCTAGCCAGTTAGTTAGTTCTTCTAACCAACAACACTACTTTTCCTATTCTGAGCGTTCTATGCTAGTTTCGCCCACAGGTTATAAGCCTAGCGTTATTCTTTCGGAATAACGTCGTTTTACCTATTATTCTACTCGTTTATCAATTTTCTATTAATTCACGAATTTTTGCGATTTTATTCGCTTTATTTACCTTTCTATGCGATTTTCTCGCTTTCTTTCCTCTTTGCTAACGAATTTCACTTTCTGACGCGATATTAGCTGCCTGGCGCGCACGAATATCATGTAGCACGCGACCGACTACTACAACCTACTGGTTTTCACGAACACCACGGAATTCCACTACAACAACAGACTTTTCAGTTACAACTACACTATAACTATAACTTTTACTTCGATTCCTCGTTTTCACGAGAATTTAACTATTTCAGCTTCGGTTTTTCAAACTAGCCTATTAGTTTCTCATATCTTCTATAAGTATTTATTCTTCCCTTCGATTCACCGTATTTCTACGGTCGGATCTTATATTTCTACCTATTTCTCGTGTTCTTACGTAAGAGATTCTCCCTCCTATATAACATTCATACTTCTTCAGTACTATTTACTTATTAATACTTTCTCTTTCCAACAGCACGCGTAGGTAGTAGCGAAAGTAAGCTATCTAACATATAGACACGCCTCTAAAGCTACGGCCTCGGAGAAACGCCTATAATCAAGGTGCGACCATAAGTCTATCCCGCACTGTTATAATACCCTCACTTTCAAGATGTCTTAAAACGACTTTAAGACCGTCTTCACGCCTCTCCCCTGCCTAAAAGGTAAATCCAACTAGAATACATAGCGTATACTTATTATAACGACTTTGTAAGGATACGACTTTAAGATATTCCTTAAGACTAACGTCCCTCGCCTTGCTAACCCTATCGCTATAGAGGAATAGAGAAAGAACCGTAACGTCACGTATAGTCTCCTTATAAACGCTAGCAAATCAGTTCTTAATAGACTTTATATAGCAGGTTAGGTTAACGATAGAAACCTTTACGAATTATAACAAGCGCTCGAGAAGCACATTCCGAGAATCTTACAAGACGCCACAGCTACCCTTATTAACAAGTTTGCCAAGACTACCGCTAACGATTACAAGACTCTTTACGATACCCTTAATCGCTATCACTACCTTAGAAAGCGTATTAAGACTATTTACGGTCGTTTACTAAACTCCTTCCTTGCTATTTTCCTCCTTAACTTCTTTAAAAACCGACTTCCCGATATATATAAGCATTTTATATCGAAAGGCGCTACCTATCCTACGTAGAATAAGGTAGCTAATACGATTTACATACTTACCTAAGACGAGGATCAAAAGCGTAGTTATACTACTATTCGCAACATACCTAGAGGCAAGTCTACTAGCAGTAGGGGTCCTACCTCTCCAGCCGTCACCACCACCGTCACCTCTACTATCACTACCTTTAAGGAAAAAAAGAAGTACAACTACTATAACTATAATTACGAGACTACAAAGTACTACGTCGCCTACCCTAATCTCATCCTTCTACACTACGTCAACCGGGATAAGTTAATTAAAAAAGCGAAAAAGCATATATATAGCGATCGCTACCGCTAGGATTAGCCTACTTCTATTAATAGTACCTGCTAGACTATTATCAAAGCGTTACCTACCATCTTAGGTCAGTCTATCCTTGCTTCTATTGCTAGCCTAGCAGTTTTCACTACTACCCACGATAACCTTATTACCCGAGACGATATCGTTCTCGATTCTAGTTATACTACTTTAACCTTTAACAACTTACGATATTTCGTTAAGTACGTTAAAAAGAGCGATTTAGCACCTTCTACTTCTACCTCTAGCGCTCTAGTCCGGTTACTTAGCATAGGTACCGTCTTCTTCTAAACCTAAGACCCTACTAACCCTAACGTTATTTACGATTAGATACTTTATAACGTTAAGTATAACCCTTCTAGCCTAGCTAACTTACTAAGCCCTAGAAAACTTCGTCGTAATTACGTAGAATATAATTAGCAGACCTTAAGCCTTATATACGTAACATAGCGTACTTCCCTTACTAAAGTTTATTAGGTTTCTAACGTCTACGTCGTTAAGACTTATAATACTAGGAATCATATGCCTCGAGATATTGCTATTAGCCTTGCCGCCTTCTAGGCTACCTAGCGACCGTCTCTTAAACTAATATACCGCCGGCTAGTTTACGCCTACCTATTACGTATTATAAAGGCTTGCCGCCGTATTAGCATTCGGTTTACAACGTCGGAAATTAACGCCTTTTTCTATAAGTCTTGCTATCTTAGCAAATCTACTAAACGGATTAGTCGAGACTAACTACTTCTACTTATAAGTATTAGCGATGAAATTTACCTTGATCTCGTTAGTATTCTTCCCTTATTAATAAAAGGGAACCGTTAGGTTTTATACCTTATAGATAAGTATAGTAGTTACTACTAGGTTGTTTTTCTACCTAACTATAAGTTTGCTACTATCTTAGTAGCTATTAAGAAATAGGATACTAAATTCTATAGTCTTACTAGCCTTAAGCCTAAGGTTTAGGTTTCTAACAATACTCCCGAGCTAATCAAGGTTTTTAACAACCCCTACTTCGAAGGTACTTGCTATAACACGACTATTGCCTATACGCCTTCTATAAACGGTACTATTAAGCATGCTAGTCGTACTATCGTCGAAAGCGCCTAGATATAGCTAATTAACATATCCCTTCTAGAGGAACTATAGGATTATAGTATCGATTCGGTAACTTAGATTCTTAACCTCTTGCCTATACCCTCTAAAGGTAACTTAAGCCTTTACGAGATTATAGCGAGAGAGCTAAACTTAGCTGCTAAACGTAAGGCCCCCTATATTAAACATCTCCGAACGTTTAGCTATGCTGCCTACGTATATAAGAAAGGCCCTCGACGCCCTATATGCTTTGCTAAGATAGAACTATAAGCAATTAAGGGATTCCTCGTCGGTTACGGTTCTCTTCGTAGCTATATTTACTACGTTTACCTACCTAATCGAAAGGAGGTTATTCGCTATAGAGATGTTCGATTTCGTAAGGAACCGTACAAGACAGTATTGCCTCTAACTACTAGCATACCTAATATTAATAAAATTAAACATAATACTATGTTTATTAAACTAGATATTATTATCTAGTATACTATCTATTAGAAGCTTATTAAAAGTAAAAAACCCGTAACTAGTAATCCTAAACTAGATAAGACTATCGTTAAAAAAGCGATAGCACTTACTAATACACATCTTATATCTCCGCTACTAGAAACCTATTAGAGACTACTACTATACCTCGTAATAGTATTACTAACGAATTAAATAATAACGAATTCGTCGCTTCTGTAGAAATAATAAAAACTAATTACCAAGACCCTAATTCCCTCTCTACGATTGTTAAGGAAGTAATAAGTCAACTGGCAAAGTCCTCTCGACCTCGCCGCGCCTTAGCCTAGCGACTACCCGGTTACTACCAAGCCGCTAGTAGCATACGCTCCTATACTAAAAAAACCTTCCTATCTACTAATATTCCAGCTTCACTAACTTCTCGTTAATTTTCTCTTAACATGCTTTCTACTACTACCTTTTCGAAAGTCCTACCCGACGGCATAGTAATCCCGAAGTCCTACCGTAAGGCGCAGAAAAGCCTACAGTAGCCCTAGTAAGAACAAGCCTTTAAACGAGAGATAACTTAATTTACGGAAAAGGGGGTTTACGAAGTCGTTTACCCACTACGTAACGCTAAAGTCCTACCTAGCAAGTAGGTATATAATATCAAAACTAATAAAAATAACGAAATCGTATGTTATAAAGCCTGATATATAGTTTATAGAAACTACGAAAAAGGTAACTAGTTATTACAAGAGGTTTATATTATAATTGCCTTTACTACCGCTACCCGACTCTTCTTCGTAGTTATTACACTTCTCGATCTCGAATACGAAGTATATAATTTCAATACTACCTTCCTAGCCGCCTCGATTCTAGAGGGGGTTAAGGTATACGTCTAGCCTCCCGCTAGCTACGCTACTAAAGACAACAAGGTATAGTTACTATATAAGGTACTTTATAGCTTAAGAAAATCACTACTTTAGTAGTTTCGACTTATTAAAGGTAAAATAAAACGAATTAGCTTTACTACTATTAATAAGGAGGTTTATCTCTTCGTTAACTATAAGATTAAAGCATACGTTCTTATATACGTCGACGATAACGCTATCGCCGCTCCTAATAAGCAGGTTATAATAGAAGTTCGTCGTCTCCTCGAGAAGGTTTATTTTCTTAAAGACCTTGGTAAGGCTACCGATTTTCTCGGTTTCTAGATTAAACGCGACAGGGCTACCAGTAAGATTTTCGTTTCCTAAGCTAAGTATGCAAAAGCAATACTTTAACGATTCGACTTTAATAGTTTAAGTATTGTCAAGACGCTTATAGCGACTACTAACGATCTACCTGTTACCTAAGATAAGAATAAATACTTGCTTAACGAATAATAACTTTATATCGAATAAACCGGCTATCTTAACTTCCTAGTAGCTAGAACTCGCGTTGACATAGCCTATACCGTTAGTAAATTATCACAGGCGAATTCAAGGCTTTCTAAGGCCTATCTTCGTGCTATTAAGCACTTATTCCGATACCTCAAAGGCACCGTTTATCTCGGTATTATACTTAGAGGCATCCTTACGATTAATAAGTTAAGGCTTTACGCTGCTATAGATACCTCTTTCGCTAATAACAAGCTATCACGAGTCTCGATAGGTAGTTACGTCGTCTTCCTTGCTAGTACGCCGATTGCTTAGAAGTTAAAGAAACAGACTTTCGTAACTTTAAGCATTACGGAGGCTAAATTTATTAATCTTATACTTATAATAATTATTATAAAGTAGATTAGACGTTGCCTCTCCTAACTACTTAGCAAACCTATTACTACGCCTACTATCATATTTACTAACAATACTAATAGCTACGACAACGTTATAAACCTACTCAACAAAGCACGAACCCGCTATATCGACGTCCGATACAAATAAATCATATAGGAGGTTTATACTACGAAAAGCATCGAACTCCGACTTATCAAGGGCGCTAATATAGCCGCCGATAGACTTACGAAGCTACTAGTTACGGTTAAACATAAGGAATTCGTTCGTTTGTTAAGCATAGCGGAGGGATTAGATTAAGAGGGGGATTTTAAGACTATAAGACTATTAATATTAAGACTTCGGGATTCGGAGGATTTTACAGCCTCCTATTAGCTAGGTTTAACCGGTAATTAACCGAGTTTTCTAATAGTTAAGAACTCCTCGGATTTAGAGGATTTAGGACTTTTCCTATATTTCCTATTATTCTACTGCTTTTTCGCTAAGGAGTCTGAGAGGGGGTGTAGGTGGCAGGCCTCGCCGGCCCGTCACGTGGGCTGACGGCCGCCACCACTGGTCTTAGCCAGCCTCCACAGCCCTCTAGCCAGTTAGTTAGTTCTTCCAACCAACAACACCACTTTTCCCATTCTGAGCGTTCTGTGCTGGTTTCGCCCACATAATGGTTCCAATTGGGAAACTCTAGTCGCTTATTTTCCCGCATCAAATGATAATTGCGGGAATTGTGAGCGCTCAACCCTAGAAACAAGGAACTTTACCCGCAGACCATTGGGGTCATTTCAAGAAAAACAAGAGGATCCCTGTCAACAGCACACTTTATCAATGTCAATTAGTGGTGTTTACTGCGGTCCTTGGCACCCATTATCTTCACCGCTAGCGATACCGGAAATTTCGGTGTGGGGTACTACACGCCGTCGGCACGTCGGCGGTCCCTTTGACATCATTACCGAAAATGAGTCCCAAAGAGGGGAGTTGAGGTCCCGCTTACATTCCCGCCCTCTTTTCGGGTAGAAATTCTCTCACTTGCCCGAACTCTTCCTGTCAAGAATGCTCTTCTTCAATCACGGTGCAAGATGATGTTCCAACCCTCTGCCGTTTTGATGGCGGCCCTCGCCGGGCCGGCCTCCGCAAGCTACGCCTTCTACGTCGGCAAGGACCTCACCGCCGACGGAAGCGTCATGGTCGGCGGGACCGGCGAGGAGGTCTCGTCGCACTGGCTTCAATTGTTTCCTGCCCGCGATCATGCTCCCAACGCCACCATCACCGTTGGAGTGACGGACAAAGCCGTCATCCCGGGCAAGCTCTTTACCATTCCCCAGGTCAACCACACCTACAGGTACCTTTCCATGGAATACTCAGACTTTGAAGGCTTCCCGGCGCCGATCACCAATGGCGGTCTGAACGAGAAGGGCGTTGCCGTTCGTGATGTCTGGGCTCAGAATCGCGAGGAGCTGGTTAACATGACGCCTACGCCTCAGCACGGTATCCAGTACAGCGACCTTGCGCGCATCGTCATGGAGCGTGCTACAACTGCCCGCGAAGGTGTTGAGATCATTGGCGAGCTCATGAACCAATACGGTGAGGCTACCTACGGTGGCAACACCCATTTGGTTGCCGATAAAGACGAGGGTTGGGTTGTCTGGGAGATGGCCGGCGGTAAGAAGCTGTGGGCCGCCGAGCGTCTCAAGACGGACGAAGTCCGCGTTCTGTACCCTGGCTACATCGAGGACTTCCCCACCGACTTCGCCAACAGCTCCGACTACATGGGCTCTGAGAACATTGTCTCCTTCGCTGTTGAGCAGGGATGGTGGGACCCCAAAAGCGGCGTGCCGTTCAACATCTTCAACGCCTACGGCGAGAAGGGTGAGAACCTTACCGCCCGCGATGGTGGCTTCAAGTTCATGTCTCAAGCTGCTCTCGAGAACGCCACCCTCGAGATGGTCCCGCTCACTGAGGAGAAGCTCATGGAACGCGTTCGTGACAAGCGTATTGCTGACGATGAGGCCGGCTACGGTCAAGTCGTCAGCCTAAAGGCCGGCATCGACAGCGATCTGCTACGCATCTGGAACGCGCCTACCACCTCCGTTGCGGCACCCTTTGTGCCATGGTGGCTTGGTGTCAACGATATCCCTCCCGAATTCGGTGAGCATCGTTACCTGACCACTGGCGCCTCCAGCAGCTTTTTGAACCCGGATTACCAGCTGCAGGAGGCAAGCGAGTTCGCCGGCCGCATCTTTAAGCGCGTGCTCTACTACATGTGCTCTGCTCCGGACACCTTCCACCCGCTTGTCACGCAGATGCTCACCGGCTACGAGAACCAGAGTCGTAGCGATATTGACTGGGTCGAGAAGAGCGCCAAGCTGCTCATCGAGGGCGGCGACAGGGAGGCTGCACACTCTCTTCTCACTTACTACTCCCACAGCCGGGCTTCCAAGGCGCTTGAGCTCGGAAAGGCCATAAATGACGCGCTTGACGGATATATCAAGCTCAGCGGCCAATGGCGCAACCCCGTTGGCAGCGAGATCAACGATGCTGGAGAGGGAGCCGAGACAGTCAACTGCTTGGTTGGCTACGACCCAGACCAGCCTATCTGGAAACAGCCTGCGCACCCTATGAGAAAGAAGCGGGCTCTGAGAAAGAAGATGGTTTTCCAGCATCCCCGCATCTAAATCTCTAGCTACGATATATGAAAATCCTTCATTGTATATATTCAAACTATGAAAGATAATGGAGATGAGGACGAGGACAAGAACAAAGTAAATAACTACGTTTCATGGTTTATACGGCATCTCTTCTTTTAGTCTACAAGTTTTACGTGCAAGATCTTTGGTAGCACAGCGCCAAAACATAGCCAGCTGTTGAGGAATTGCACTTGCTACAAACCATTTTACATGATGCCGTATTCTTTCATTCCCCCAACTCGTTGTTAACGAATCTCCGAGATTTTGAAATCGAATTTTGGTGATCCATTGTTCAAAATATTCCAAGATCAATCCTAATGCATGAGGTGCTGCGAAGCACTATTCCTGACACTTGGAAGAAGATGGACATCTGGTCATCATATCTCTACTATCTACAATATTATTCAAATATCTCTTCCCTAGCTAGTTTTCAGGGGTTTCTCCGGTCTTTCTCTTATAAAGAACCAAACTGCTTCCTTTCAACTAATTGGGAATTGGATGTTGTCTTTCTCTGGGTAGAAAAACGCCCGAAACTCAATAGAAGGGGGTAAATGAGGCAAAAATACCTCACTATTATACACTAGGCTCAGATTGAAGTGAAGTCGTAATCGACGAAGTGCCATAAAACTCAGATTTGAAGAATGCAAATCAGCAAGCTCTTGAATGTGGGACGTAATCGTCAGCGTACAGTTGTAGAGTTCGAGATGCTGTAGGTTTGGCGGAAGGAGATGTACGAGTTTAGGGATCCTCTCCAACACCAGAGGTACTTCGTCCGCTGCGAAACGCTCCGATATGATGCAGGTGTCAGAAAACCCTGTGAATGCTTCCATACCGATTTTCAAAGTCTTCAGTGAGACCATTTCTGTCAGCCTAGTCCCTATGAAGAACTTGTCTGGCCTATGAAACCAGCCAATCTCTCGCCACAAACTTGAGAAGTCAGCCTCGAGGCTTGTGCGAGTCTCACTGTGCGACATTGCCATCTCCACTACTTGGATTGGCGTGACTTCGTCCTCAGGCCAAGTCTCTCGGGATATCTCCGAACGTTCAACATGGCCTCGAATATATTGAAGTGAAGAAAGCGCTCGACACACACGGACAAGCTCATTGGGTGGTACTGAACTATACCCGTCATGTATGATGGATAGGTCTCGGATGTCTAACGACCGATCTGCGATGCTTCTCAGCTCATGCAAATCTCCCAACTCTGAACCCGAGAAAGATCGTAAACTCGGTATCAGAAGGACCTTTGGACAATGAGAAAAGCCTTGATTGTAGACCCCTCGACCATAGGAGGGCCCACAGAAGTAGCTTTGCAGGTATGGTAATAAGGCATTTGCGGAGTGATCGTGCTCATGTTTGTATGAGATTTTGGCCGTTGCTTGACTCTTGGAAATGGCCTCGAAGAAAGCACAAAGCCATACACATGGCTGAAGTTGATTTTCAACATAAAGTGTCTCCGCCGCTTGACAGGCTATCAGTAATAGAGCCAAGTGAGAAGTGCTAAAACCATCCTCAAGATCGTCAAGCCATTGTTCATATACCAGTTGTCCGAAGGTAGGGTTGGGCATCAGATCAAGTACGCCTGATTGAATGATCAGACTCTTGAAAGCCTCGTGCTCATCCTTTGCAGGGGGCAAGGACTGCTTTCCTGGTTTGAAAAAGTCAGAACGGTAGCTGATAGGCTTAATTATGATGCACCGAACGTGCTGAGCGAGTTCGGGTTTGACGATAGTGATGTAGCGCAGAAAATCGAGGTTGTTACTGCGGCTTTTGGGTACTTCGGACTGGTTGTTGCTGTCGATGCTTCGGTACGTATGAACCGAAAAAGGGAGTGCGACATAGTAAAGATGCTTCGACACCAGGAGAAGTGACTGCACGTCGGCTCCGGTAAACGACTGTAGAGAGTCGACGCAAGACGGCACAGGGACAAGATAAGATGTGATTTCTCTGAGTATTTCAAAAGGCAACCCAAGAAGTCCCGGAGATCTAGATTTGCCACCTTCGGCAGACATGATTATCGCGCTTTCTTTGCGTTTATAGTTGTGTAATTTGAACGGTTTGTTCAACGGTGTACCCCAGTTTGCTGGGGTGGAATATTACTTGCCATGTGAGTACCTGCGTTAGTCAGGAGGGGTTAGCCCCAGCGGAATTCCGTCTGATACAAAATCGATCTAGCTACAAGCAGCAAGATTATGCACGCACAGGATATGGCATTGGCGTATGGATACAGACTGCAGTGGGTGGAGTTTAACTTAATGGAAAGAAACGAGAATGAGTGGGCAAGAAAATCATGTTTTGTATGGTGGTAATAATGCGACATAGTTAGCGTGTCAAAACTTTAGGTCCTCTCGATTCTTTCATCGGCCTTAACACAAACGAAGCATAATCACGGAAGTATAATGGAAGTCCGAAGCTAGTTTGGAAATACCTACTGAGGCATAAGACGGTCTTTCAAAGATAGGATTTAATTAAACAGAGATAATAGTTTGACCTCTTTTCTTTAGAATATTTTACGTGAGCTGCCACGCTCATTGAGAATTGTATAAAATCCTGGGTAGTTATGGCAGGGCCCGGCAACTTTTCACGTGCTCGACATTTGGCGGACATGAGATGTCATTCCAACATCCTTTTCCACGACTGAAACTGCCGTGCTTGTCGTGATAGATGTACCCCCTGAAATTGATGACGCCCGCCTTCCGCTTCGTGAGCCACACATGCAGTACCTATTCACCGTTCAGTATATTTGTTCTTTTCTGGGACAGACTTTCGAATTGCTAGTGACTTACGAGATACCAGCAATAATTAGCAGGCCCGCGCTGCCGCAACCCACCCCGATTCCGATTTTTTGCCCATGAGTAAGATCTGTAAACAAACTTCAGTCTTCTATTGACCAAGGTCGGAAACTTGACCTTTTAGAGATAGGAAAATTTACCTTGGATCATGCTACCACTGCCCGGTGATGGCAATCCACCACCGCTAGTGGGGTTTGGCGATATTACTTTGGAAGTGACAGAAATATATCGTGTGAAGTCGGTTCCTGCATCTGTTGAAGAGGATGGACTTATTGTTGTAGCCGTTATTGTCGTGCTCACTGATGTTGATGTTCTTGTTGTTGCTCTTGTTATAGTTACAACTGCGGATGAAATACCACAGGAGAAAGAGGTTGCAGCACTAGAAGGCCAGACGTATTTTGCGCAGTGAGGCCTATTTCCTGTGCTGCGAGAAGTCTTCAGTCTCTCACCGATCTTAATGTCTCAGAAACATATCTTACTACATACCAAGTCAACATAAGCGAGTTCGATGATGTCTGTTGTTGCTCCACGCATGCCGTATAGATCGGACAGCGATTGCCTCGTGCGCAGCATCCTATGAACGTGTCTAACTGGAATATTCCGAAAAAGCAACTGTCGTTGCTATCCGGGCATTGAATCGAAATTTCTGTTAGCACAGTGTTAGTAGAATGAGTAATTTGTGGAATTAAAGCCTTACCTTCGATGTCTGGACAAGTGTTTTGGATAGTGTTCTGTCTCCCAGAAAACCTTAGCCGTGCTTTGCCGAACTTGGGAGCCTCGGTAGTCACAGGCAGTCTCCGAACCACATCATTCTGAATCAGAACGGCATGAACGAGAAGGTTAATGAAGGTAAAAAGAATGAGAAAAATGTGGATTGTGTTGAAAACCATCCTGATGAATGTCACTAGATCTTGCTATAAGCTACGGCAACATTCCTAATGATTTGGCATTGAACGGGATCTGTGAAAAGATTGTGAATAACACGATTTTAGATATGAGGCTGGCTTGCTAAATAGCACAGTCATCTCGAAGAAAACATTCACATGATGAGTATTTACGCTGGGAAACTGTTGTTTGCAGCTTTTTCACAATGTCTTGCTAGTATTGTAAATGATTATTTGGTATTTCGGAACGCCACAATATCTTGGCCGGTTCAGCCGCAGCTTTGAAGTCTGAAAGCATTCTCTCATCCAGATTTCCTTGTTAGAGGGAACTCCTGGAAGCGTGTGGAGGCGTTCAGCTGAAGCATACCTTTTCTTGGTACTAAGCTTGGGGAATCGCCAGGAGGCGGGGTTTTAACAGGTTATTTATGACTATGTCTAATGCCCACTAGTTTGTTGCAGTTTCTCGAGCCTTTTTCAAAACTTGGTTCTCGTACTTCGAGGAATCAAACGACATGACTTCTCTGATTGGGCTGGATTGCTCAAGCTTAGAATCGTTACACGGCTTTGATAACTATCTTCGTCAACTGCGGGCGGTCACGCATTTCAACGAGACCCTGCTCAATCAATGCAGAAAAACGATATGTAATGCCGTCTGGGGGGAGGGTAATCCAGACATCTCCGGCATCGGGGTACAGCCAAATTCCATTTCGCAAGCATTCAAAACTGAGATCGGCTAACAATTGGGGTAGGTTTCCATCGGATATGCCACGGAAGCAGGTCTCGGGTTCCTTTTTGCCCTGATTATCTTGGTCATACAACAGAAGCAAGGCCCAAAATGGGAATTCTTCCAAGTTGTGACTGAAACCGGGCTCAACGCCTTTTTTGGGTCCGCCGTCTACTTTGCCATCTCGCATGAGATAGCCTCCATATATATCCTCGTTAACAAAGATTACGGCATCTCGACAACTGGTCTCAGTGCAAGCGAAGCGCAAATTATCCTAGCTGTATCTGTTGTCTGTATCCTGCCACTGCTGTATCCTGTTGCACTACTACCGACTTGCATATTTCACCCTGAATCTAAACTCGGTAAACCTCTCGAAGCACGTTGTGCCAAATCCGCAAAGCCTCGAAACGTTCGATTCATTCTTTTCTCTCTATTAGCTGTTTTGTTCTTTTACCCATTTCTATCCCAATGTATTCACAATTGGGCTCCCACTAGAGTTGGGGAAGGGAACGGGCCGGACGGAGAGACACTAGCAACTGAAACTGAATGGGCCAAGGTTGAAACGATGTGCTTTGTCTCCATCGAGAGACTTTCTGATACGGAGTTGTGGGTTTTGGCTGTCTGTGAAATCATCGCGTCACTTAGCATTTTCGTTTTCACCATCTGGCTAGCAATCGGTGCTGGCGCCCGCACATTGTTGGCCCAGGACCGAGCCTACGGGGAAGAAAGACGATTGACGACGGTCTTGTTAAAGATCCAGAGGCTCGAGAAAATCTGGAAAAGCAATGCCCTAATCCGGGTGCTCTTGCTTCTCGTCCCCACCGTTTTGGCTGGCCCTTTGCTGTGGTGTATCTTCCGTCTTCGAAGCATGCAGTCAATCGCGCTGGAGAAACTGGGCAGTGATTACACTGGGGACGAATGGGGGTTTGGACAGATTATTGGAATCGTTATATTTGCGCCGGTGGTTACAGACATGACGTTTGCAGCGTGGGCAGCTCGTTCCTTGTTCACACCAGATAATCAGTCTGATACCTGAAGCAGCAAATTTACTCGAAAGTCAATTGTTGCTTCAGCATCAGATCTGATTGTGCTCCCTTTGCTGATCAATTGGGACCTAGTTCTCATGAGTATGGTGGTGACAACATAGTAAAGCTCCGCCTTGAGCTGACATTTCTAACTCTCCGAGAAAAGAACCAAGATCCTCTACATAGCACTATTCGCCCCACACGAAAGAAGTCTTAAAAACATCATTTAGCGATTCTGATATTGATAATTAGTGATGCCTAGAAGAAAGCCTTCAAAGTTATTGTCTGGGTCCCTCTAAATTACGAGCACCATTAGCGTATATATGTGGTTGTGAATGACATACGTTGTTGCACAATTAGTACAAAGCTTCAGATGCTTGCAAATCTGTAGTGGTAAGATGAGCTGTTCTATGGGCTCGTTGTTTCTTAAATGCATCGTACTGTCGTGGCGTTTATTTCGCATGTGTTAACACCAAATTCCTATTGACAAGCTTAGCGACATGACAGACTGGTGCAAGGAGAGACGCTCGCAACACTTGGTCATGAAAAGGGGCATACAAAGTGTTTTTCAAGGACATTGTGTCGCAATCCTAAATGATCTTTTTTGAGCATGTTGTTATCTGTCTAGTCAGCATCCAATACTATGGGGCTTCCATGTGATTGACGATCGAAATGACATGTCTGTTGTCGTCCTAGACGCACATGTCTTTCTGCGGAAGGATTCGACTTTCGATAACAGGACCACAGAAGCTTGCGCGATAAAGCGGAAATCGGCATCTCACTTCCAGGGAGTAATAGCGCATCAATCAGAAAGAGTAAAGCTTATCTTAGTCTCCGTCACGCAATTCTTCCGAGTTTCGCATCATGTTTATTTCAAAGAGCACTTTGCCTTTTGTGGTTAACAAGAAACTAGTAAAATATGTCCAAGGCCCAGATGTCTTGCATTATTGTGATTCATCTCTGCACCGCAAGTCGCAACCTGATCAATACCTTTCACCATGGCTCCTAACAACGTCTTGTTGCTTGTTGCAGACGATTTAGGAAAACAACTTGGCTGTTATGGCAATTCATATATCAAAACACCAAATATTGATAGACTTGCTGCACAAGGCACCAGGTTCGACAAGGCATTTGCGAGCACGGCATCGTGCAGTGGTAGTCGATCCACCCTGTACACTGGCTTTCACACGCATCAAAATGGACAATATGGACTGAACAGCGGAAAACACCACTTCATGACGTTCGACCACATCGAGACTGGCCCAGCCCTACTCGCCAAGTCTGGGGTTCGTACTGGTATTATTGGTAAAATTCATGTTGGACCGGATGCCGTGTATCCATGGGAATGGAGAGCTGAAAGCCTGACACGAGATGTATGGTGGTCTTCTCGGCGCGCCGCCGAATTTTTCCAGGCGTCCAAAGAAGACAAACGACCATTTATGCTGACGGTGGGGTACCATGACCCTCACCGCGACCGTACGCGCGGCGGCTTTGGCAATGATGAACTAGTTGATGAGAGAATCAAGAGCGTCAAGTACCAACCTGAGAATATGGTCGTTCCCAGCTTTCTATCCGACACCCCAGGTGTAAGGCAGGAGCTTGCGAACTATGCAGAAGCAATCAGTCGACTAGACCAAGGCATCGGTATGATTCTCGATGAGCTGGATGCCTCTGGTTTTGCAGACAACACCATGGTCATCTTCATCAGCGATAATGGCCCACCCTTTCTAAACTCAAAAACGACGCTTTATGACGCTGGCATATGCCTTCCGCTCATTGTCAGAAGGCCTGGCTCAAAGCCGTCTGTCAATGTTAACCTAGTGTCTTACGTCGACGTTCTGCCTACAATCCTTGATTGGATTCTGGGGCCAAACTCGCTAGCATTGAAAAAGGACCTCTCCGGTCGGTCATTCGAAAAGCTGATAGGTGAACACCAAGAGCTTCCTGAATGGGATCATGTTTTCGGTTCTCACACCTTTCACGAGTCCACCAACTACTGGCCGACGCGATACATCCGAACCAGACGGTACAAATACCACCGTAATATTGCCTGGAGACTAGACTTTCCTTTTGCCAATGACATCTACGGCTCACTTACATGGGAGGACATTCGCAACGCCGAAGATAACCCGAAAATGATTGGACAGAGGCAATTGAAAGACTATTTCTTTCGTCCAGCGGAGGAGCTCTATGATTTGTTGGATGATGCAAATGAGGTGAGGAATCTGGCCAAAGATCCGCAGCACCAAACAATAATTGAAGGGCTACGACAGAGATTGGAGGACTGGCAAAGACGAACAAACGACCCATGGCTATACCGTGACGGGATCTCTATACTCCTTAACAAGCATCACCTTGATGCTGGACTAGTGGTTCCTGACAAGTGGGATCTTGACATTGAAAACCCGGAGACAAAGACAGAAGGGCTCAAATTGTATCAGAACTTACCTTTTGGTGTGACGGGAGCTAAGTTCTGAAAGCAAACTAATTATTTGAATATATGATTTTTAGTGAATCTGCAGCCATTTAAAATTGTTGCCATCAAAGAACACCATTTGTCTACCAGGATTGGGTTGAAGCCAATGTCATCATTCTTTAAGTTGTGTGTGATGTTCTGATAGGAAATCAAACCCCAGGATGTATCCGTTAACATGGATAGGCTATTTAGGAGGCATGTAACAGCAGTCCCAACTGCCCTATTTGCTCTCCTGGGTAGTGCATCCTGCGGTTATCTACACAAGGCGAACGTGACACACAAGCCGACCATATACCTCGGTGCAAATAGTGGTGCCCTGATTCCTCAGCCATGGCTATCTTATTAAGCTGCTTCGAGATAAACTGTCTACCTAGTTTCCTAGTAGAGTTGTTGAATCACTCTCGCAGTTACCTCCCGGTACACATAGCTTTGTTGATTCGCTCACCGAGTGATTCGCCAAAGTCTTGTCTGCTGACGACTAGCCAATGTATCGCCCTGTCATAAAAGAAATTGTGGGTCTGGAACAACCATTGCACATCTCGGTTATGTTGGTAGCCCCGTAACTGCACCTTGTTTAGATGACTGGTCACAATTCGCTACCAAGTTTACTCGTGAGCGAGTTCATACACGCTTGTCTCTTTATCAATCTGTTCGAAAGAACATATTCTCAAAGAACTCTAGAAGATGAACATTGTGATAGTAAGGTATTCAGAGTTCACAAGCATACCAATCACCAATGAAACGAGGCAATAACGCCAAGAGAATACAGCTGGTTTGTGTGAAATTGCAACGAATGACTTTTCCGGCTTAGCTTTACACTTGTTGGTTACAAATGTGTCCTTTCCCTGCAGCTATCAGGCCAGATGCCCCATCTTCGGTTCCATCCCTGCTCCTCAAGCTACTTTCTTTCTTGATTCTTTACCCCATGCCTAATTTTCTTCCCTCTCTCAGCCTTCCCTTTTCCTAAATTTGAGAGGGATTAGTGTTGTAAATTCCTAGAGTAAGCCCTCGACGGGGTTTTGTAAAATCGAGCATGGAATTCAATCCCCTGTCGTCCATGTAATTCGTACGATGGAGAGCCAACCGACTCACACTGTGAGTGCTTCAACCAGAACAGTTGATTTCCCACTTCTCGGAAATCTAAGCTACGCTCCTGCTAATATTCCAAGGAACCGGATGGCAGGGCCCGCTTTGACGACGACAATGATTCTACGAAAGCCCCGAGGTAGATTCTTTGCCTCATAGTATTAAATGTGACGAGTTTCCAAACTAACCATACTATACATCTTGAAGCCTACGGGTATCAACCTCGTCTTTGAGCTCCAATATCCGAAACTACCGAACTTTACATGGCAGAACATACCAGACATCCGACACAATTGACTATTGGTAATGTACATCGAAGAAAGATAGATTTGATAAATTAACACATCTCAAACCAACGCAGGGCTCCAAACGATGACAAGCAAATTGAAGGGTTTGATATCACGTACGATCATGTCCTAAACTCTAAGACACATATGCGCACTGCGAGCCGCGAAGTAACTAATAGTGAATTAGGCATCATTTCATGTTATTGCTCATGGACAACGATCTTTTCGGTGCCCCTATAAAAAGGAATAATCTGGTAGCTAGTGTGTCTACTTTGCCTTTGCATACACGCTAATCCTCTGCAGAAAATACTCGATATTGGAGCTGGAACAGGCATTTGGGCCATGTATTTCCTCCTCCGTTTCTAATTTGTCTATCACATTCGGTCTAGAGCTGACTTCTTACCTACCAGCGATGTGGCAGAGGAACATCCTGACTTCGAAGTCATTGGAGTTGATATATCACCAATTCAACCAATCTGGGTCCCACCCAACTGCATGTTTTACATCGATGATGCCCAGCTTGACTGGACCTTTAGGGAAAATGATTTTGACTTTATTCATGCGCGAGGCCTTTTTGGTGGGATAGACAATTGGCAACGCTTCTACGACCAAGCGTTTCTGCACCTTAAGCCTGGAGGATGGTTCGAAAGCGTCGAGGCTGATAGCCAAGTTCGCTCGCAGAACGAAGATATCGAAAATGATCCAGAGCACATTTTCAAGGAGTGGGCACCATTATTCTGGCAAGCGGGTGACATTATTGGCAAGACTTTCCGCGTCGCGCAAGATGACGGTCATAACCCAATCATCATGGAGATCTGCATGAGGAGAGCAGGCTTTGTCGACATCGTACACAAAAAGTTCGAGGTTCCTGTTGGCGGGTGGCCCGAAGACCCTAAAATGAGGGAGATTGGGTTATACGCTGGTCTTTATGTCGATCAGGGACTCGAAGGATGGGCACTCAGACCGCTCAGTGAGATTCTGGGATGGACTTATGAGCAGCTTCTTGTCTTCATCGCTAGAATGTGTAAGGCCTTGTGGGACCCAGCGGCCATGCCTTACTTCAATTAGTGAGTCATCTGTAATCCCCAACTTACCAAATCAACATGGCCGTATCGGCTGTTATTGGGCTAGGGCTTACGATCTCCCAGCCACATGGTGTATGGTCGAAAGCCGGAGACTGCGGACTAAGAAAGAGGAGTGAACATGGTGATTTGCGGGTTCTTGGTGGTATAATGGTAGCATGATATCCTGGGGGGCTTCGTAGCGTCAAATATGGTGGGCCAATCCCTTCGAAACCACTCTTTCACAACTTTGCTTCGCTTCAACTGTGATTTCGGGGATGATGACTGATGTGAGCCATTTTCGGGCAAGGCTCGATGGGAGATATCAGGCGATGGATGAGATGGATTTATCTAGAACTCCATCCCTGCAACCGCAGAAGACTAACGAGTCTGAAAACCGGTGCCTGCCAAGCACCTTCCCACATGCGGGAGTTCGGGTGGTCTTGCGGGAAGTGGACTCAAACGCTCCTCATCTTTCCCCATAATGTCGTGATAGCCTCTCGGATGACGGATGCCGAGAACCAACCAAAAGCTTATCTTCACGGCAAATTTCTTACTGGGATCATGGTTAACTGTATAGCCCCAGGGAATAAGCAACGGACAGAAAAAAGAAGCGCGTTGAATTGAAGCGTGATGATGTGCGCCTTCGGCTCGGTGTTTTGTCGGCCGGCTGGTACAAAGGATGTTTTCCAAAAGATGTATATTACTATCGCTAGTCAAATGATGGTGCACTTCGATGAAATATTTAATATAATACTGTTCACTTGACATCTTTCGGCTCACCTTGACTGGTATTCATCATCTCTTGACCTTGCGTCTGGCTACCGCCTAACAATGAGTGCCAACGTACCACACATTATTGAGGTCGCCGCTGGCACCCAAAATCCGCAAAGACACAGCATTGACTCAAAGACACCGTCTTTAGATATATCTTCACCCAAAGAAGAATTCAGCGACCTTGTCGAACCTCAGGATACTACCAAGCCTGTCGGCTTTTGGGAAGCACTTACACGACGCAACGCCCCTAAAGACCTTGACTCTATTGCCACGGAGCGGAGTGTTTTCGACGACCCCAATCTCGCACCATTTTATCACCCACCCGCAGAATATGAAAACGTACATCGCTTCGACCCCCAAGAAAGATGGACCTATCGCGAGGAGCAGCGCGTCCGCCGTAAGACAGACTTGAAGATCTTTGCATGGATCCTGGTCATGTTCTTCGGCCTGAACATTGACAGAGGCAACCTCGGCAACGCCGCAGCTGATAATCTGCTAAAAGATTTGAAGATCAACACAAATGATTACAACAACGCACAGAACATGTACCGTATTGGTTTCCTCATTGCCGAGATTCCCTCACAGATGATTGGCAAACGACTAGGCCCCGATCGATGGATCCCTGTCCAGATCATTCTTTGGAGTTTGGCATCAGGCGGTCAATTCTTTATGCACAATAGAGCTGGTTTCTTCGCCTGTCGGTTCTTCATTGGGCTTTTTATGGGTGGTTTTATTCCTGATTCCATCTTGTATCTGTCTTACTTTTACAAAAAGACAGAAATGCCAATCCGCCTGGCCCTGTTTTGGTTTGTGGATTCAATGTCGGGTGTGATTGCATCCTTCATGGCATATGGTATCCTACATATGCGTGGGGTTGCCGGGAAAGAGGGTTGGAGATGGCTGTTTTTGATCGAGGCCCTGATTAGTTTGGTAATCGGTGCGCTCAGTTTCCTCTTACTCATTCCCGGTCCTACACAGACCAAAACATGGTGGAATCCTCAAGGCTACTTTACCGAACGCGAGGAGAAAATAATTGTCAATAGGGTCCTCCGTGATGACCCTTCAAAGAGTGACATGCACAACCGCGAGTCGCTTTCGATCGGCATGCTTTGGAAGAGTCTCAAGGACTATGACTTGTGGCCTGTCTACCTTATCGGCATCCTCTTCGAGATCCCAACCGCGCCGCCCAAGACATATCTTACCTTGTCACTAAAAGCTCTGGGCTTCAGCACATTTAATGTCACGCTACTCACCATTCCCGTTACGGTCTTTGCGGCTGTCAACATGCTTTGGGTCACCTTTCTCACCGAGCGGTTCCACCAGATCGCCATCATCGGTCTCCTTTCCCAAATATGGGTACTGCCGCTGCTTATTGTCGAGTACACTTCGATCGAAGATTTGTCCCCGTGGACACAGTATGCTGTGGCCTTCCTTATTCTTGGTCAGCCATCGACACACGCGGCCCATGTCGGCTGGTGTTCTCGTCTTTCCAACGCCGTGAGAACCCGAGCCATCAGCGCCGCGTTGTACAACATCACCATTCAGCTGTCCGGCATTGCCTCGTCCAACATCTATCGTGAGGATGACAAGCCTCATTATCGCCGCGGCAACAAGAATCTCATTGCAATCTCAGTCGCCACGATCTTTGCTTATGCGTTTGCCAAGGTGTACTACACACTTCGCAACAAGTCCAAGCGGAATAGGTGGAACGCTATGACCAACAGGGAGCAGGCAGCCTATTTGAACAGCACTACTGATGAGGGCAACAAGCGACTTGATTTCTTCTTTGATAGCTAGGTTAGCAAACTGTATGTGTTTTGGAAGTCTGTCGGACGTCGGATCTTTGGCAATCGTAATAAACCAGCGGGCTTGAACCGGAAGCGGGAATTCAGTCCCATAGATATGGGAAACCCCAAGAATTGGAAACATGGTACCCTAAGTCAACTAAGAAACTCATGTTATCTTACTTAACAACTCAAGTATCATTCATTCTGAGATGTTCAAACTTTTGTGAAGCTTGCCTCAAAAGTAATAGCCTAGCCTGCAGCGAACCTATTTAAGCTATCATTTAAAGGCCACCGCGACCTTGAGGGTGATAAAGACCGATTGATATCCTGTTAGCTCGTTTTGATTTTTTCCGTGAACTTGAGGATAGTAAACCTTGAAGTAGATGACTCGCATTGTAGTGCTCTCTCCGTTGAGTGCTGAATAGGAGATCCTATCGTCATTCGGCAGCCACTTGTAGTTTCTTTGTAACTGAAGTCGCAGAAATCGCATTTCTATTTTCAGTAGAGCTCCCCAAAGCTTTACAAGCTCTTGTACATTACACTAAGACCGGGAGTCTCGGTCATGTACAATTTTCACTAGTTTTGAATAAGACATATCACTAAGGTCTGAACAAACATATCCAAATTTAGATCAGCGAGTCTTTCAATCATTGCTCAAGATGCTCAATAACGCTATCATATCATTCATTTAAATATTACTAAAGTCTATACGTCTATTTTCTACGTTATTATAACCCGTTCATTTTTAATATTCTTCGCAACGCCAAACGGTTTTGGCTGCTGCCCCAACTGTGTCAGACTCCGATGCAATCCGGTCGCATGGTCTGGCTGATTAGTAGGCGGTGGTTGTCTGTCTCCCCAATCCGCCTGGGAGGGCTGTATTCCCCCCTTCACTGCACACACGGCGGCGAAGTCGAGCGTCGGGTAGCCGCACCTCTGTGGCCTCTTGCCACACACCCTCGACGTTACTATGATTATGGCAGCCGATATAATGAGAATTGTTCCGCTCACGACCACGAACATCCACCTACTGATTCTACCTGCGACGACTTGGTGGCTGAGGATAGATATGGAGAGATTCGTATACATGTCGGGCGTCAAACCCGGGCGGGGCTCTTTGAGCTCCCAGATCGAGGGTCCTTTGGTGAAGTAATTTGCGTGAAAGTAGCTGAACGGCACCGCCATGGCCTTCCGGATGGCCCTCAGGGACTGCTTCTTGGCCACCTCGCTGTCGTTGATCGGTAATGCGGTGACGGCATAGATGGCGAGTGCCGAATTGTCACCTTTCGTCGCTTCATTGGTCTTGTTGAAGCCCGGGACCACTGCGGAAAGCGAGAGCATGTATTCTTCAAGACTGACGAGCTCCTGCACTGGTGGGGACATGTCAGTCACGGAGAGGATGGAGAAGTTGCCTCGGTCATAGGTGATGGTTGCTGAACGTGCATACACGAAGAGCGACGTTGACAGTGACAGGTTGTTCGCCCAATCTGTCTCGTTAAGGCAAGTTCCCTTGATCTGTAGTGAGATCGGGCAGTATGCGGAGCCTAGCACGAGGACAGTGTATTAGCATTTACACGTAGCAGGGTTTGGGTATCAGAAGCATTCGCGCTTATTCTCACCGAACAACAGTCCATTCCGCTCGCCAAGAGCAGTGCACCAGTACGAGGCGGCATTGGCGGAGCCGAGAAGGAAGCATTTGCCCTTTGTACGAAGGCCTTCGAGGTCGTGAACTTTGCCGTATTCAAGTTGTACGACTCGCGTCTTGGGGACGACATAGGATGTAGAATCCGGACATTGCCGCAAGTCGTCTGACTGGGGAGCAATGGAGACGACACCGCCAGTGAGCAGATGCGACTCTTCACATGGAATCCATTTACCATTTGCGGCGGTACATCTTCCTGCGTCACTGCCCAAGGGGTCCATGGAGTAGGACTCCCTGTCAGACCAGGCCGGACTACCCATTTGCACCAACAGAGCGGTGGCGGTAAACTGCTTGATCTCGTAGATGTAAGAGGCATTGAAAGGGGCAATGCCAGCCGACACCGGGTACGTCGTCTCCGGAAAGGTAACCATTTCAATGGAGATGGCACCTGGGTACATAGTCAGTACAACGAAAGCGTTGATGGAGGCACAACAACGGCTTACCCATTAGAATAATACCAGGCAGAGGAATGGAGCAAATCACCAGCAGACTACCCAAAGTCAGAACATGCAAAACGAAATACCAGTTGACCGGTAGAGCCAAAGAGAATGAGACTCACCGGAACAAACTCGAGTACTTTTCCCTCCAGTCAGCCGTCGCCAGCAGACGCAACAATCCCCACACGCCAGTGCCGGAGTCAAGTCCGACAAAGTGCAGCAAGCTCACGCCGCCCGGACGAGATGCCAGCGCCCACTGCAAGTCTTCCACTACAACCACGACGAGAGCAGCCAAGCTGATGGCGCAGAGTTCCGTCAAGACACGCAGGACCAGGATCGAGTTGCCTGAAGAGGCGACGAAGAAGTGCTGGCGCATCAAGCTCTTGGCCGAGCCGGTCGAGTACACGGTCGTCAACGTCAACATTAGCGCCCCCAATAGCCACAGAGCAAAAGTCCACCAGACGAACCGGCTGGATTTGCCGGTTTGCGACCTGGCAGTGACGGAGATGGTGTCGCCGCGCTCGGTCTCCCTCCGCGTGAACTCGAAGTTCGCGGCCTCGGGTGTCGGAGGGTGCAGGAAGTTGGACTGAGGATTCCGTGGGGAATCCGTCGCCGTCACGGGAGATGCATATCCAGAAGTCTCCTCAACCTTGGAGTACTTGGGCCACTCGTCCGCGGCCCCAACGACTTCGATGTTGTGCCACTCGCCATTGTTCTTCGTGTCTTGGCGGTTGAGCCACGGCCGGGAAAGACGGCGGGAAGGCCTGATGGGCTCGACTAGGTCGTCGAGCTTTATCGTTTCGAGTCGCGGCCTTGAAGCCATCGTCTTTTTCGTGGATCCCCCGCCCCAAAGCACAAGATGCCACGCTTCTTGGCCGGTGCCGTCGAACCGTGGGGGGGTTTTGTGAGATACCTATCTTATCCGTACTTGGATGCAAAACCCACTGCGACGGCGCGCTATCGAAACAACGACATACGAGACGGAGACGAGCGTGGGTGTATATGGAGCAGAGCGGTTCTCGAAAGAGTAAAAGGTAACATTTTTTTTACAAATTTCACAACAGGTGAAATGGAGTAGTTGGACCCAAAGTGCCGTCGTGATCAACAAACAGAAAGACACCCCCCCGTATTGTTGAAAAGCCGTTGAACATGGATATGCAGGGCGACGAGTCAGTTGCGTAGGGGTAGCATTGGCGCGAGTCGTGAACCTCATTTGGAGGAAGGGTAAACCTGTGGGCCATAGGGATGAGTCAATCTATCTGAGATCTGAGAAGATCAAACATATAAGGATTTGGTCCGGGGGTGCAAGATATCTTTAGAATGTAAGAGGCCCAAACGTGATTGAACATATATTTTCTTTTGGGGTCGCCAAGCTACGCCGCAGGTGACTGGTTATGGAGTTTCGTGCATACCATTGGCACACAATTGCATACCACGTAGCAAGTTCTCCATGGCGCACCGCATGAAGTTCGGGCCACCCGGATCGTCAATACCTATCAAACTCTCTTTAACATCACGAAGAGAAGATCTCATGGTAATCCTTGGTAAAGACGCCTATATTTGAACCTCCGTTAAGACCTTCTGAAAAAACACAGTTGTTGAGATATCGTGACCAACTTCAACCATTTGACACAATATCGCGCGTGTTTAAGCGAAGAGGCAATTTGTAGTGACCCCAAATGAAATGGCAATTATACCCATGTAAAATCAACGAGTTTCATTGACTAAAAAGTCGTAAAATAACCACAACCCAGCGCCGCGCAATGCTATTTGCCCGCTTTGTCTAAACCCATAACCTATGCAGCACCACCCTCGCTAGAAAATTCTCGAAACCGGAAATGTCATCACGACAACCCAGGCAGCTCCTCAAACTCGAACCCCTTGAAACCGTCCTCGACGGCCCACGCCCTCCCCTTCTCCTTCTCATACAGCGCCTCGCACGCCCTACCCACGACAATCAAACCGGGCGGCCTGCTTCCCTCGGACTCGATGGCCTCGGCCACGTACTCCAACGTCGTCCGGATGACCCTCTGATCGGGGCAGCTCGCCCTCTCGATAACGGCGCAGGGCGTGTTCCTCGGCCACAACGCCCTCTTCGGCTTCTCGTCACCCGCCTCCGCGGTAGTCTCCTCCGTCTCCAGGCGACACGTCAACTCCCTCACCAGTCCCACAATCCGATGCAGCGCCATCAAGAACACCACCGTCCTGCTGGCGACGTACTCCGGCGGGGCCGGCGGCTTGCCCTTCTTGCCGGTGCCCGTGCAAACCAGCACCTGGTCCGCGACGTCGCGCTGCGTCGGGGGGATACCGGCGAACAACGGCGCGCTGAGCGCCGAGGTGATGCCGGGAAGGACCGTGACGCGGTCCCCGAACCCGTGCTCCCTGAAATACGCCACCTCCTCGCCGCCGCGGCCGTAGATGAACGGGTCGCCCTGCTTCAGCCGCAGCACCGTCTTCCCCTCCTTCGCGCCGGCGAGCGCGAGCTCATGAAGCTCCTCCTGCGCCTGGTCCGCGTTGCCGGGGAACTTCCTCGCTATCTGCACCTGCGTGCGGCGCGGGATGAGATCCAGCACGCCGGCCGGCACCAGCTTATCCGCGAGGATGAGGTCGGCCGTCTGGATCGCCTTGTGCGTTGCGCGCGTGAGTAAATCGGGGTGTCCCGGTCCGCTGCCGGCCAAAATAATCCTACCCTGCTGCTGCTGCTGCGGACCCCGGGCGCCGGCACCGAGTCCGGCAGCAGGGGGCTTCGCGGCCGTAGTCGCCGCCGCTGCTACCTCCGGCAAAGACGCGGAGTAAGACTTCAAGACGGACTCGACGTCGTCGTCGGAGATGGCGGCCAGGCGCTTGAGAGGCCAGTACTCGCACACCTGGCTCAGCCACCTCATCCTCCTGTTCTTGGCGGCGTCCAGGTCGGCCTCGGTGACGAGCTTGTTGAAGTTGGCCGTCTGGTCGAACGAGTCGTCGACATCGTCAGCCTGCGAGGCCAAGTGGTCCTCGGACTGGATCTTCCGGCGCACATCGCCTAACCTCGCGCAGGCGGCGCCGAGATCCGCGGGCAGCGCGGCAGCGACTTCTCTCCTGATGCGCGAGGCAAGCTTGCAGCCGCGGCCGTTGGTAGTGACGCCGATCTGCAGAGGGCCGTCTGTGTGAGTTGACAGGAGCGAGAAGGAACATAGGTGAGGCGCATCGACGACGTTGACGGGGATGCGGTTCCGTTTGCAGAGCGCAGAGATATGTGCGCTGAGGGGATCCCTGGGCCCGGAGGTGACGAAGACGGCGTCGACCACGTTGCCGACTTCGTCGCGGCCCAGCGTGAAGAGGTCGTCGTCCTGGAAGGCCTTCTTGTGCCACGCGACCTCGCCGGCGTCGATGCGCTTCTGCAGGCCGTAATGCAGGTCTGGCGTGTCCGGGGCGAGGAGGATCGGCGTGGCGCCGGCGTTGAGGGACTGTGTGCAGCGGGCGGCGGCGAGGGGGTTTGTGCCGATGACTAGGTGAGTGTTGCCCTTGCAATTGAGCGCCGTGAGAAGTGATGTTATCGTCGCCATTGTAGGCGGGGTATCTAAGTGAAATGTGTGACTCGTTTTGTGAGTCTTTTTGTGAGTGATTTGAAGACGACGGGCTCTTATGAGTCTTGTCTTATAAACCCCTGTCCCCTACTATCTGGTGAGTGTTGTGTGTAGTAGGAGTAAAGATGGCTTGAATCATAAGAAGATGTGAACCAGTGATTATTAGTAAAGAAAAAGATAAGAACAAGGTTAAGATTCAAGGCCCGTGTCCATGAATGCGTCACAATAAGAAGAGTGAAGGAAAAAAAAAAATCAAACCACATGCCTTGGCCACATCTCCCATGTTAATAACAATCGCCAGTCCATCACTAACTAAACCCTTTTTTTTTTTACCCTTTTCTGCTTCGCCCGCCTACCAAAGAACAGACCCCGAAGACGGCGCGGGTCCAATCATGCGGCAGGCAAAATAGGTCAGCTAATTTTTCATTCGCCAGCGATGACACCATCCCGACAGCCGGTCCCCCTGGAGGTTATCCCTCGGGTCCCCCCCTTATCGGCCTTTATCGGCATCTCCTATCGTGACCAATCAGCGGCATTCGCCCCCCGACTCCCGCGGAGCCGTCACCGGAGATCCATCGTCGCTGTAGGAGGGACGTGCATCTCCGCTATAGCACACTCAGTCAGTCAGTCAATCAGTCCACCACGCCCGCTGATGGAGGGGTAAGAGGGGCAATTTAGGGCGGCGGGGTTGGTTAGTTGAGTGCTAATGTGAGGCTATCATGCATAAGACTCAATTCATACCCGCGCCCTAGCATTGGTCCGGCGCCCGTCAATCCAAGATAAGCTCCCGTGCCGTTTTTTTGTCTTTGGTCACTGATATCAAGATATGTAATTTTTGGACTGTCAAAATTCGGTTGAGTTGTGGTATTGAAACATGCTAAGTGGCGGCTCTTTTGTAGGCATATCGTAACTTGCCCCGCCATTCCCGACCCTATCCTTCTAATAGTCATACTTTTGTGATGTTGTTACAATATGTTTTTTTTAGTCCCCCCCCCACCCCAAATGCTCTTGCGTTTACCCCCCACTCAATGTTATACATGCTGCTGTTGTTACATCTTTAAACAGTTACAATCCCCATCTACTCCTCTTGCTGCATCTGCTTCTTCAACTCCTGGAGAGTGCTCTGCCTCGTGCCCTTCCGTCTGGCCTGCTGTCCCTTGGCGAGGGTGTCGGGGTTACCAATGACACCGCGCTCGTTGATGCCAACCTCGACCACCTTCTCCTTCTTGCTGCTCGCCGCCTTCGCCCGCTGAGCTCTCACGCCACCGTCGTCTTCAATCTCGGCCTTGCCCAGTCGCACACTGCGGCGCATGCGTGTCTTGGCCCCGAGAGCCCACAGGTCTCCCCATTTCGCCTTCCGCGCGTCGTGGTACGCCTGTCTGCTGAAGCTCTTGGGCACCGTCCACCGCTCAATGTGCGCAGAGGGCGTGCACACGTCGAGGGTGACGTGTCCGCGGCGTTTGATGGGCGGGAGGATCTGGCGGGGCAGGGAGAGCATGTCGGGTGCCGTCTCGGAATTCTCGTAGCCCTCGAATGCGCGCTTGGTGGCTTGGTCTCCCGCGAGAGGACCCTCCTTGGCCGGAACGCCGCGCTGGACGGCGACGTAGCTAAATTGCACATCGTCGTGGTTTCGGTGCGTTGCGCCCATGATCCTTTGGAGGAATGGGGGACGGACGAAGCGTTGGGTGAAATGGCAATAGTCCTTTCGTCCCTTACTCTTGCCTGGCGTGAGGTACATTGGGCATTTTCGGTGATTAGTGCAGGGCGCGATAATCATGCCCGGCTCCTTGACTCTTTCAAAGGTTGGCTTGTGGTCCTCGTCGTCAATCTTCATTTCCTCGCCTCCAGGAGGAATGAAGAATTCGTCGAGCAAGCGGTCGCGTATGTCGGCGACGGCTTCGAAGCCGCGAGGTTGGCCCTTTTCCAAAATGATAAGAACACCACCGTCGGGGTTGAGGAGGGACCAGATGTTGTTTAGAATGGCCTTGCGTCTGTGGCCTTCCTTAACGGGCAGCAGCAGATGCGACGCGATGATAATGTCGTACATCTTCCTGGGCTGCGGCGTCTCGTTGGCATCAACGTGCAAGTGCTGGTTCTCTACGGAGTGCAGGTAATCCGGCAGCCGAGGTAGGAAGCTCGTGTTTTGCAGGAACTTGGAAACGCGTAGTCTCAGCTTTTCAGCACCAATGACGACGCTCTGCTTTCCGGGTGGGTTACGTCCGGAAACCTCGCCGCGGGCCTTCATGGCGTCCCACTCGGCGCGGACAACATCTTGCCACGCCAAAAGACCAGCTCCGCCGCCGCCTACATCCAGAACACGGGGCCCCTCGCCGTCGCCCCGTTCGAAAAGCTTGCGCATCCAGTCCGTACCCAGACGCTTGCGGACCTCCACCAGACTGGCCATGGCTGATCCGTAGGCGGGTGGCAAGAACGTCGACACAAACGCATCGGCGTCGATGTCTGACATCTTGGCTTGCCAGACCGCCATGCCGACAGGCTGCTGAGGTAGGTTCATCTTGGAAGCAGGCGTTGCAGGGGAATAGGGCAGGCCAGGGCCACCGAATGCCTTCTCCGCAGCCTCCTGTACATGCTTGATGTCCGTCCTGCCGAGCATTGTCGTAACAGGTGCGATATATCCAACATATGGCAAGCTGACCGTGCTCGGGTTTGTCGAGAAGTGACCTTCTCTCGAAAGGGGATGCATGCGACCCGAACGTTTGGAAAGCCCCTGGTCCTGGATCCCATCCTCTCCCTCTTCAAAGTCCTCCTCGTCCTCATCAAACTCCCGCTCCTCGTCCCTCATATCCTCCGCCTCCTCTTCCGCCTGTGCTCTCTCCATGTCCTGAGAAGCACGGGCATTTGCCTCGAAATCCTTCTGCAGTTTCATGAGCGCATCGTACTCCCTCTTGTTTCTCGCCACAATGTTGATGTAGTTTTCCCGCTCCTCGGGCTTGATCTCCTCGGGGGGCTCGACTTCGGTTGAAATATCCGATGTGATGTTATCTTCGATGATGTCGCCGAGAATCTTGTTCGGTGTTTGTGATGCTGCTCCTTTCCGAGGGTACGACACCTCTTCGTATGCGCCACCCTCAACCTGTCGAAGGAGGGCCGGCTCTGAAGAACCATCACGTCGCACGCTGGCCTCAGACACCACCTCGTTCAGATACTCTATTCCAACATCTTCCGGTGATGTTTCCCTTAGCGGCGGCCCGTACCATCGCTCGTATAGCCTGTACTCTTCCTCCGTGAGATAGCCCTTGGGCAAGGTGTCGCGAAATCTCTGTTTTGCCTCGCGAACAACTGTTTCGATATCGGCAGTACGTGCCAAGTCGCCAAGCCCCTTGCCATTCGATTCGGAGTCCAGAAGTTGGCGTGAGGTTGTCGTAAGATTTCTTCGATTGGTAGGTCGTAGCACTGATCGCGGTGCAGCTAGGATGCTTTGCCGTGAGTAGCTCGAAGGGGTCGGTCGTCCCGCAAGAGATGCGCCGGTGAGATGCTGACCTGACAAGCTCAAGAGTCGAGCTCGACAGCTAGGACAGGCGCTCCTGAGACCACCTGCGGATAACATGATTGTCGATTGCGGTGGCGACTGTGGTGTTGAAGGACAGGAAACGCAGGTGATTTTTTGGAGCTGTCGCAAAGAAATTTAGACAAGGTACCCGCCTTAGCTTTGAGAAGGTGGCCCCCACTCGGTTGTAAATTAGAGCCTATTGATTGGCGGTGTAACCCCTTAGCTTTTGGTACTTGTGGCTCCACTGACCCTCATTTGGAGGCGATATTGTCACTTTGAACGATAGCTACGTTACCTTAGTAATAGTGTAAAAAGAATACAAAAGAAAGAAAGAAAAATAGAATTCGAGTCTCCCTTTGCGCCTACTAAACATAGATATATACTATATATAAATGAAATCAAAATTATGTATTCCCCCATTCCTCCTTCAAAACTATACATGTTATCTACGTCGAGGAACGTCGGGCATCCCTTGTTGAACACGAACCGTGTGTATATATATATATATATATCAGGCGGGATGGTCGCCGCCTACTGTCCGGCTGGTCTTATTAGCATATCTGGTCTCAGATTTTGGTTCCGTATCTGAACCTGCACTGGTTTCTGCAAAGTGGCGCTGTACATAGCAGCAGCATTCGACAGACGTTGGTAGATTTCCGGCATTTGTTGTAGTCCTGCCGTCTGCCCGGGAGGGGTTTGCATCAGATGCCACGCATATTGCAATGGAGTTTTGCCTTCAGCATCAGGCAGATCCCATCCGGCTCCCTTCTCAAGCAGAACCCTCACAGCATTTGCGCGCCCGTTTATTGTAGCCACATGGAGCGGTGTTCGCCTTTTGCGGGATACCACGTGAATCGTAGCACCCTTATCAAGCAACAGTTGGGTCACTTCATCGTACCCTTCCCGGATTGCTAGTAACAGAGCAGTGTCTTCATAGTTGTCGCGTGCTTCGATGTTGGACCCATTGTCCAACAACAGCTGAGCAACCTGATAATGGCCGTTCCTGGCTGCAGCCAGTAATGCCGTTCGACCGTGAATGTTCTTCGCCTCGAGGTCGGGTTTACGCTCGAGCAAAAGCTGGATGATGTCCAGTCTTCCAATTTGTGCTGCAAGGTTCAGCGGCGTCCAACCACCTGCCGCCGGGAGCCAATTGTGCAAAGTGGCTTCATCTATGCCTGGTACGCGAGGGTCTGCGTGAAACTGCGTTCCTCGAACGGCGTACCGTTCAAAAGCCTTGCTATGGACGCTCGCGTCATGACTGAGAAGTAGGCGAACCATTTCGGTATTGCCTATTTGCACTGCTATGAGGAGTGGTGACCAGCCGTCAGGGGTTCCCAAATCGATAGCGGCACCATAGCCGATGAGCAGTTTAGCCACTTCCATAAAGCCTTGTCGGACCGCTATGGCCAGAGCAGAGCCGCCGATGCTGTTTGTGACTCCGGTATTTGCTCCTTTCTCCAGTAATAGCTGAAGGACAGAGACTTGGTTTGCCGCAGCAGCAAATAGTATCGGAGGAGCGACATTCGGAACTTGCGGTTGGACCTGTGCATGCTGCTCAAGCAAGAATTGAACAGCTGCAATATTCCCTTGAGCACTTGCCTGAGCCAAGGCGGTCATGCCGCGCTTGTCCACGAAATCGATCGCGAAGCCTGCTTTGAGAAGCCATGCGATCGCAGCCATGCTTCCCCCCGCAACTGCTGTTTGCAATATGCCACGGCAGGCCCCGTCCTCAAAGTTGGCGTGGCTCAAAAGGCTGTGCAGGTATTTGATGGCGGCCGTATTTCCCGTCAAAACGGCTTGCATGTACGTCCGTTCTAATATGTCTGGCATCTTCAAGACGTAGGGATCCGTGGTTGGTAGTATGTCAGAGAGGCGACTAAATATCAGTTTATGCCATTGAAAATTTCTCCCGTCGTCGAAATATTCCAGCAATTGTCGAGGTGATGACAGTTGGTTGAGGATCTCTTCGTCACGCGCCCTGAGCCTCTTATCTTCATCAGCCAGGTCACGAAGCTCCCTATTGCTCCGGCCCAGTTCTTCGTCCAGGAGGTCCTTTTCTCTCTGCAATTGGTCCAATTGGTGGAGTAGTTTGTCGCGGTAGGCACTTCTTTGATCAACGTGAGCTTTCTTCTCCCCGATATGGCCAGCTATTTGGTCGATCCGAGGGCCGATATTTCGGCTTTCCTCGAAAAAATCTTGTAGACGCTGACTATAGTCAAGCAGATCTAGCTCGGCCGTCACATCAACGGTGCCTTCTGCTGGAAGATCTAGTGGTGTAATCTCAACCCTATAAAACTGATACGTTTCCAAGCTCGCGGAGTTTACGTTGACCTCTAGATGAAACGAGTCGACACTAGCGCGGGTTTTGCCAAAGGTACTCGCCGACATGCTGTTTACTCTATTTGCCAGTGTCTGCAAACTTGCCTCCCTAGCTGCAGTCATGACATGGCACCGAGCAAGAGGAAGTGCATCCTTCACCTCTAACTCCAATAATACCACCACATGACGGGACTCTGTTTCAGTATGACGAAATCTTGTCCAAACTTGGAGTGTACTGTCCCGCTGGAAATCGACGCAGGTAATAATGAGTGATTTGTCTTGCAACCAGCGGTCTGGCGGATAGACTTCAACTAACTCTAGCTTGTCGCCGAGAGATTGCGCAGGTGAAATCTTGAAGCCGTATCGCTGGTTTCTGGTCTGGGCATCCCTCGGGGTGAATGGTGAGCATATCTTCACCTTTCTCGGGGGTTCCGCATTGAGAGGTCGTGGTAGAAGGATTGCCTTGCTTCCCTCTGGTCTCATGTATTCATCCGAGTTTGCTCCGTGTGTAACCCGGCGAAGCGGAATCCCTACTACAAGACCATCAGGCAAGTGGGAACTAGACTTCAGCAGTCCATAAGTCTGTCCCGATTGAGTTGTATGTAAAGACAGTTGAACCCAAATGAACCCCCCCGTCAACTTTTCGAGATGGATCGTGGATTGGCCAACCCAGGATACAATCGGCCTGCTGTTTGCAAAAGCCCGAGGATCAGTTGCTAAGATAGGTCCACATAGGTTACCCGTGGTTGTTTTCGAGTCGTTATCGGCCTGGCTGGTATCGAGGTCCCATGCGAGAATTGAATCGTCGTAGCTTGTCTTCATGATTTCCTCCTGGAGTCGAAGGAATGCCTTCTTGCGTCCCTCTGAATATCTAAGGTCCATCTGCACGTCGAAAATACCAAAAAGGCAATAAACGATATCCTCTTTCCTCGTCGTACTCCTGTTGGCAATCCATGACATGCGTTGTGCGACGCTCGCTTCGCGGAAAGTGCCCTTCCCAAAAAGAAACTGACGCGGAATGCCGGTAACGTACATGATAAGCGAGTGAGACAGACAAGCGAGTGAGACAGTAAACCAGACCTTCGCGACAATAATATCGAAATCTATAACAAGAAATCTTAGATTGATTAATACTACTCGGATTCCTGTTCTTCGGATGTTTCCTCAATAAATTGACATGTTCTCGCGTTGTGGCCTGTATTCCCGCATACGCCACACCGACGATGAGTCGTCTCAGACCTCACTTTGCGACCACTACTCCGTCGCGTTTCCTCTTGTAGTTGCGTGTCTGCCTCTCTTTGCGACTGTATATCCTCTCCAGTAGATATAGTAAGACTTCCTCCTTTCTGTAGACGTGTTTTCTTAGCCCTTCGACGCCGACTTAATATTGCATTCTCCTCTCGAAGGATTTGAACCTCTGACTCTAGTAATGCTACCCGATGCCCTAGTCCTTCTGTCCCTCTGGCTAGCTTACTCACAGCACTATAAATTGATGCTGGAGAGCTGCTTCGGTGGCGTGAGATTCGACTCTTAATAAAAGTAGACTGTGATCTTGCTTCGCTTGGGTTGCTCGGCGTCCTAGAGATCCAAGGGTCTGGTGTCTGAGGGACCCCCTCCTCAGGCGTTGGCGTTCGGAACTTTACATCCAGCTTTGAGAGAACACTTTCTGCATTCAAAGGGACAAGTCCAGCTCCTCGGAAACCTCCCTGGATATTTTTCCTCGTAAAAGACTGCTTAAAAGCTTCGTGAAATGCTGCAAAGAAATCTTCCTTCGAGATATGGGTTGTGCCTCGCCGCATCTTATTCTCAATTTGCCGACCGTAGGCATTCTTTAACGGCTGAAAACAACCAACATCTAAGGGTTGAAGTAGATGAGACGAGTGAGCCGGCATGCACAGTGTAATAATGTTGTTTTCTTGACAAAAGAGCTCGAAGGCTGCGGAGTGGTGACTTTCATGACCATCAACAACGAGGAGGCGATATTTCCCAGACGTACGTGGTTTTGTATAAATGTCGAAGTGTCTGATCCAGTCAATACCTCTCTCGTTTGTTGTCCATCCATTTTCAGACGTTGCAATAGCCCAATCGCCCGGAAGAGAGGTTTCTGTATACCAGCTTGAGAGGTGATACTGGCCTGCAACGATGATGTATGGCGGGATGCTCTCCCCTTGGGAATTAATAGCCTGGATAACTGTAACCCATTCCCTATTGCCAGGCTGTGTCATCTTCGTATTTGAACGCCTTTCAGCACTTGTAACAACCATTCCAGAAGCAATAACGCCCATCATAAAGCCGGTCTCATCAAAGTTGTAGATATCAGCATCAGCAATACCATACTTCGCAATTGTATTCTTCACAAGCGAAAACCAGCCACGAATCACCTCTGGATCTTCGCATTGAGCTCTCTTATAGTCATACTTGCGAAAGAAACGCGTCCTAAGCTGTGGTTGTCGCTTGACGAAATTAGAAGCCCAGCGCTTCCCAACTGGAGGCGCGTCGCGCTCTGCGAGAAGTCGATTGGCCATTTCTTCCACACCACTCAGCCGGGGAGGAAATGATCGCGCATCTAGGTCGAGAATATACTCAACTATTGTCTTCTCTTCTAAATCTGATAAATTCCGTGAATTAGGCATGCTGTCGCGTCGTGAGACTATTCCCTTTAGTCGCCGGCTTAATGTTGCGTGACTGACTGTATAGAGTGCACCTGCGGCCCGAGCACTAAGTTTTGGGTCATTTCTCATTGCTTGAAGGGCAATTTGTAACCTTCTTTCAATACTAGCTGATTCCATGATTTATTGTAGAGGAAAAGGTGCCGGTCGCGTCAAGGTGCGACGGTCGCGGTTTACTGTCTCACTCGCTTGTCTGTCTCACTCGCTTATCATGTACGTTATAAGTATAAGTATAGTACGAAAAGAAAGGCTAGACTAGACTATTTACTTTAGTAGCTATAAACAGCGAAACTTATATTATCGATACGCTACGTAGTCTAAAGACCTTCCGGTCTACTATAGTTAAACTATATTATAAAGATCCTGATTAACTACCTAATTCTATCGCTATGCTAGAAGAAGAAGAACCTGAAGCTAAGATACCGTAGTAGGAAGTAGTATGCGACGAAATTATCGTCGCTAGTAGAGGCAGTAAACCGGACGAACCGCAAGAAGCACCGGAGCTACCGAGAAGACGCCCGGGCAGACCCCGGAAGAGACTACTACTAATCGCCTACTTTACAAAGGAATTTAATAATAACCTAGATTATTAATAAATATTCCTATCGATTAAGGAGTAAGTAGACGAAGAATTAGCAATTAAACTACGACGAAAAGGTATTATTACTATACTAGGCGAACCGTTTGAATAGTTAACTAAATAAGAGATTAATAGCCTTATTGCTAGAAGAGTATTTAAATTTACCTAGTTTAATAAGAGAAGGTATTAGAACGTATGAATCTTCCGATCTCGTATCGTTAACGAAGTTAAGGGTAAAACAACTAAACCTTACGAGAAATCGAGACTTATAATACAGGGTTACGCCGACGATAGTAAGAAGGCTATATTAACCTAATCGCTAACGATTTAGCAGGCAAGTTAACGGCTAATTCTATTAATTACCCCGTTACTCCTACGAGAAGGGAAATAACTATAGCTTCGAGATATTATATAAGCCTACGTTTAATCCTCTACAAGGCTTAATCGTACTATTCTCGCCTACCTACCGAAGCAAATTCAAGACTAGTACCTAAAAGGGACTATTATAGAGGTTGTAAAGCCTCTGTACGGAATCGCAGAAGCTAGAACCTACTAGTAGGCAACGTATCATAAGCATCATAGAGAGAATCTCTAGATAGTTACTTCTTCGTACGATCTATGCTATTGATCTTATCTACCGAAAATCTATACTTTGGCTATATCGGCATATAAACCGACGATACCCTCGGTTTGTTAGACAAGGCGTTCTTATAATTAGAAGACGAATAGTTAGAAAAAGCGGCTTTTATAACAAAAGCAAAGAATATCCTTATAATTAACGAACCCTTCTAATTTAACAGAGGGATAGTCGCGCTGTTAACCGACAATTCGATCAATTTAAGGCAAAAGGGACAAGCTAAGAAGTTACGATATATTAAGACTACTAAACCTAACCTAAAATAGCAATATATCGAACAACGCGCTAGAAGGGCGTATATCGCGTTAATTTGCTAACCCGAGGCCTGTTTTGATTTATCTACTACTGCCTAATACTAAGACCCCTTGCTAGAAGCGATAAAAGTATTAAATCAACGGATTCGATAGTAAATAGAATCGCCTAACCGAGGAATAACGTTTATCTTACTTAACCTTATAATAGCTAAGCTATTCGTTTTCGTTAACAAGTCGTTTGCTAATAACTACGACCTTTCCTCTTAATTAGGGTTTCTAATTATCCTAGCTAACGATACTTCCTCTAATAGTAATAACGGAGAATTTACGATTTATAGTAACCTTGTTTATTATAGCTCTACGAAGAGTAAATAAGTTACCCGTAGCGTATTAGCGTTAGAGATCTACGGGATAGTTGCTAGCGTTAATATAGCTTACGCCCTCGCTATAACCCTAGCGATAATTACTAACTACCTTAACCTACTAACGATTTAGATAGTTGTCTATACCGATTCTTATTTGCTATACGAGTATTTTGTAAAGCTAGGTACTACTAAAGAAAAGCGACTTATAATCGATATTATAGCGTTAAGATAATCGTACGAAAGACGAGAACTATAAGAAATTCGTTAGATTAACGGCGAAGACAACCTTACTGTTACGACCCGTAAACAAGGATAACAGCTGAACGACCCACTTGGGCGTCGGGCGGCTAGAACAGGACATTTGTACTGCAGGATCACGGGAACAACAGGGACTCACTCGGGAACGGAAGAACTATGGTGCAAGTCACGTGACGATAAGATAAGAGATTAGATCCGTACGCCAAGAATACGGAGTCCGTCCTTGGCACATACGGGATCCGTATGAACGAGGAACGGACCCCGTCAGGATCAGGAACGGTAAAACAAACAAAGGGTACTGTTCGGACTTGTATATAGTATGACCTGAGCTCGACTCATAGTCAGACTTCCATAGCTCTTCAGCAATCAACTTTGTATTCATCCTCAGGATACTTTCAGCTTACCTTCACTGCGAATACTTGTTGAGCCTAAGATTGATCACCTTAGCCTCTGACTACCGATCTACGACACAGCCTACGACCTACGAACCAGACTTACGACACGACAATACTGTTTACTAGCGTCAATCCCCAACTTCTGTTAGCAGACCCTACTGTCGGATAGCTGACCGTAACACTTACTAATGCCTTTACGAAAAGCAAACCAAATCGAGCCCTCGAGAGATTCGTTAATAGTAATACGATAACGATACGTATAGAGGGATAGGTAACAAGACCGTAACTACAGGAGAAAGTAGGGATAGGAGGCCGAATTAACGAGGAGACGGAACTATATAGGGACAACGTATTCTAACCGCTTCAACACTATAAAAAGAGAGTTTCTAGTGTTGCGATAGTTGGAATACGGAGTCGTGTGGCACTTCCAGCCACACGCCCGCCAGGCTGAGAGGCCCAAGCCTCCCAGACCCACGTGACAGGCCAAGGGGGAATATCCCCACCTTCTAGTCAACAACACCACTTTCAACTATCATGAACCATCGATTAGAACCAATTTACTGTTATTTGTTATTGACGAACGGAATTCCGTTTCACCCCTGTGAAACCTACATATAGAGAGTGAAGCAGAACTCGCCTTAACACCTGCCAGTGCCAGGCATTGGCTCACTGCACCATGATGTTTCCAGTCCTATGGACGCAGTGATTACTGACGACCCAGCCACACGCAACCCCCTTCTTTTTTGGTCATGTGTATTTACCCATTGGGAGTTTCTCCGAGTCCGACTTCCAAGAAGCAAGTTGCAAGGACTCTGAATCGGACGTCGTATAAGATCGGACGAAGAACCCCGAAGGTTTAGGCGAGTTTGGTGATCCCAGCTGTTTGGGCTGCATGCTCCGGCCCCAAAGTGGAACCTGTCAATCTATTCATCCGGTCTTGCTTCCCAATGAAGAAGGACTGCGAACTGGTCTGGTTCCGCAAGCCTTAACTTTAACTTGTGGGATGGTATACACTCACCTTGGCAAGACTGGGGAATAAGGAGTTAGCAAGGCCCAGCGCAGGAAGGTAGACAACTGGGTATAAAAGCCAAGTGTTGTCATTCAGGAGCTCATGTTGTCTTCAGCAACAAACACTCTATCTCAAGCAAGCAGCATCATCCATCGCAAAAATGCATTTGTCCAAGGCCTTCCTTTTCCTTCTGTAGGTTTTCGCGTATTGCCATTTAAACAGAAACCAAACTGACATTTTTTTTTCTTATAGACCTTTAATCGGAGCCTCCGAGGCCCTTTTGTGCTCATGTGACCGTAGCACCCATGCTTCTATCTCTTGCTGCGATGCGAAGTGGAGTAAGTACATGACTCTTGTGTTACTAGGGCGGTCACTTCTGACAAAACAGACGGCTACGAATGTGAGCCGACTAACCGAGAGGCCTATACGACTTGCTGCTTGGATAGATTTTCCACCACTACTTTTTGCAGAGATGGAAGCGTCTGAGTTATTTCAATCTAACCTCATCGATGTTCATAAAGTCAAAGTGTGGATATAACGGAACCCGATGACTAAGATATCTGACATGAACAAAGCACATAATGACTATCTTTTCTTCTCATCTTTCTCAAAATGAATAGATAGTGATTTCCGTGCCTATACATCGACATGGATAAATGCGATACCATTTCATTTATGGCCAGGTGGAGGCATGTTACGCGTTTTATAGTCTTCTGGTGCACAATGAACTGTCAATACCTAGGTACATTTGTAGGAACTTGGTTCCTTCTTGGGGAATTGATACCCAAACCCTTGAACCGAAAAACACATGCTCACCTTTCCCAAAGTCTGTCAGTCAGAATCATTTACTTGTTCGTGTTCCGTACTCCTTTTGCCGGTAAATACTTGCTGTGGCCGCCAGAGCAAAGGGCTCTTTTCTAACATCATCTCCCGCCAGTGAGCTAATACACCCGGAGTGCGGGACAAACAAGCCATGGCGACTATTATGTCTGTTTCGAAGCCGAGAGCCGTGTATAGGAAGCAGCCATACAGGTCGGCGTTGGCCTTCAGTGCACGGCTAGTGAAATACTCTTCAGCGTTTGCCACGCGATCAATCTCCATCGCAACTGAAAGCAGAGGATTTGATTCAACTTTGTCCTTGTGCTGGTCCATCAGGGCGCGAATCAGTTTGACACGGGGGTCAATCGCCTTGTATATACGATGACCATAGCCGAAAAGGCGTTGTTTCTTGCTCTTGACGTCGGAAATCAAGGCTGGCACATTGTCAGGGGACTGAAGATCTTCAAAAGTTTTGTATGCGAGATCGATTGCTCCACCGTGGAGCGGGCCGTAGGCGGAGACAATGCCAGAGACGCAGCACGACAGCGGATCAGTCAGGGTAGATGCGGCGTGTAGGAAGGCAACAGTCGAGTTGGTCATTTCGTGATCGGCGTAGAGTATCCACAACTTTTCGAAGCACTTGACAATCTCAGGGTTTGGTTCGGTGTCCTCGCCGTCCCTGTGGAAGCCCATCATTCGTACAGCATTGCCAATCAAGGAATCTTCGGAGTTGGCAGGTGTGAATGCCTTGTTGCGCTTGTGACAGTAGACGAGTGCAACAACTGTAGCAAGGGCTGATATGCAATTTATGACGGCATTGTCGACCTTCTCAAGCTGTCCTGAGAAAGCTGGGCGTCTAGATTTGGTTGCAAGAACGGCACCCTCGTCATGACTTGCGTAAGCAGCTATTCCAGCAACCAAAATTGTGCTGGTCAGAGAGTCTCTGGGGAAAGAAGCGATTGTTTGAACGACATGCTGTGGAGGAATACAGCGTTCAGCAATAGCGCGCTGGAAGTCTTTTTTTTGTAGTGCCGTAGGGAGATGACCCCAAATAAGAAGGTATATTACTTCTTCGTAGTCGTGCTTTTCAACGAGATACTCAATGGAGTGTTCGCGATATTGTTTATACCCTCGGCTCCCGTCAACGAATGTGATTCTGGACTCGATACATGCGGTGTTGAGATAGCCGGGGTCAAGAATACGTAATCCAGAATGTAAACTATCGACGAGATTGGCATCACCTTGGGAAGCAGTTATATTCCTGAGTTGAGAAGCTTCAATGGTATTGTTCTTGATCTGGACTTGGTACTGTCGCTTTGTGCGGTTGTCAAGGACGGTCAGTGTCCCGAAGGAGGGGCCTACTGCAGTCTGGCCAAACAAGTGATAAATCAACCATATTGATGCTCCCATTAACTTGCGACCTAGCATTAGATTGAGAAGTATGAAGCAGACAGTATTTCTGAGCAGTTTAAATAAGTATAAAAGTGGTATGACAGCGGCGGCCTTAAAATTGCGAACTGAAGTTTGGCATGGGTCGCACGGAATCTGGCTGCTCTTGTGCTTCAAAGATCCCATGGAAGGTTCATCATCATGATTGCCCTCAAACTTAATTTGATGGCGAAGTGATGATGAAGTTTCCTGCTTACGATGCCAAAGAAAGTCTGGGTTATACCTCTTGTAGTTGCTCATTATGTTGCTCATTATATCGGGATAGCTAACGTTGTTGGTGTCTTTCTGAGAACAGGATCTTGATGCGGTTTCGAGGAAAACAGCTTGGATGACCTGATAAATACCCCTCACTTCTACTAAGACGGCATCAACTGCATCACAGGTGATAACTATCTCGACGTGCATAATAGAGCAGGGGCTCCCCCCCTGCATCGCGATGATCCAACAATAATGATGCAGTCTACCACCACCATACCATCATTTCTACAGGTTTCAATGTCTGCATCGATGGGCCGTTCGGATGTATACAAAATAACCGGCTCATCTGGAGAAAATTGTTGAGCCTCAAATATGAAGAATAGGGGTCTATCATGTACACAAATCTCAAGTGTATGTGCTGCCAAAAATGACCCTTGGTCAACAGATGTAGTAATACAGGCGTGGCTCGCCTCAAATCACACCACCATTGCATACATATAATTCAATTCGTTACCTCGCTTGACCCACTACAGCAGCTGGCTATGCTGCTTCGAGTTAAAAGAGATAAAGCAGTGGGTACATCTGGGCGCTTAGGCGCTCCTATCTCATCGAGTCTATACAACCTCGCTTTCGCTGAGTCCTTCGATTTCTGCTTGAATAGTTTCTTTGAACCCGCACTAAAACTAGTATTATAACTCGTCGGCGCCCCATAGGAAGGACTCATCATGGATTTAGTAGAAGATTTGGATGGATTTCTCTTGTTCTCAGACGGCTTTTCCTTGTGATCATAAGCACATTGGCAGCAATTGTTTTTCAGGTGTTTTTTCAAGCTCTCCTTTAGACGCCAATGTCACAGAAATGATGTGTGGGGAAAGATATAGATGTTAGGTACCAAACGAAGATGGTCTACATCTTCAAATTCAGCTCATTTTATATCGCTGCTTGCTTTCCAGGATAGAATCACCTTCTTGGACTCTAGATCTTGAAAGTACACTATGTAGATGAAACCTCTTCTGTCTAATATTACGAACTCTCTAGAAATCATCAAGAATTTCATATCTCTTTTGGGAGAATAGCTTCGTACCCTGTCCTCAGCTCCACTGACCCAAATCGAAAAAGTTTGCTAATCAACGTGCCCTCGATTAAGGCTTTCACGACCCGAGTTCTTCCTGACCAAGCGTTGCCGGGACTCGCTCGCCTCCATTTCCATGCTAGCTTCCACCCCCGACGCGCGAACAAAGACACCCTCCCGAACTACAAAGCGGGACGTCGTCCTCAGTGGCTGCGAAGTGAATAAGGACGCAAGGGCAGAAATTCTTTTCCGAAACTTTCGCAGGATGTCCTTGACATAGCTATCTGCGCTGTGGGGGCTGTTCGAAGGTAATGTTGAGGCCTCCTTGATGAGCCGCTCAACTTCATCGTCATTTATTAACCTCGCCTCGCGGAGCACACCGGAGAGTTCAGCGCTTTCAGAAACCTGAGCGACCGCGTGCCAAATGTTGCCGGGCAAACTAAAGCGTGTCGACCGGAAGAGCGCAGCGGCAGCGGTAAAGGTTGCGAGGAAGATAGCCAGGATGCCCATGGCGCCCCAGTAGCCCCTGAAGTGCTTTGGGACTGGCGTTGACTTGAATGTGACAATTTGCGCTGTGGTAGCTCCTGGAACGGCGGTATTGGGCTTGAATGCAGCAATCAAGTTGTAGTATTGGACACGCGCATACGTGAAATATATCGCTTGTAGTGCACGGGCTGGCGAGCCTGTCTCGTTCATGGTAGCCAAAAACAGCCGCGGATAGATAACGTCAGTATCCGTACTTTTTTTCCCTACCGATGAACAGTGCGGGCAGAGGGCGATGCGGCGTGGTTGTCTCGATTCGTTGAACATCGTGGACATGAGGCCGCCCCAGGTATACTTCTGCCACGCCGCACCGTCGCGCGCCTCCGCCACGCTCGATTCCAGGCTTTGACGGCTAATGGACAGGATCTGACGTTCTTCAGGCGGTATATATGAGGCATCTTTAAAGGCGCCGAGCTGCCTGCGTACCGCCCGGGTGTCAAATGCTCCGTCCTCTACCTTCGAAATGTAATTTGGCTCGGTTCGGTTACTCGAACTGGTAGCGGATATGTTAAGCTGTGTGATCGAGTCCGCTAGGCTGCACATATAGTCGTTAGTGGTCCGTGACGAGGTTTTTAAAAGATCATGAATACAACGTCTGCAGACTTACCCTGAAAATCGAGCACACATTGTCATGTTGAAACTGAACTTTTCCTCCTTTTCCTCCTGTTCCTCTTCATATTCACTTTGATACTTGAGATAGAAGGATTGTTCCGTCCATGGGCCGTTTTTCGTGGAAACAGGTCTTGAAACGGTTCCGTTTATTGCAGTACTGGATACAAGCCCCCCTACTCCCATCATTCCTCGGTTCCAGATAAGCTCCATGGTGGTCTTTTTAGTGATATTGTAGAGGGACCACTGGATACCCATGTTGGCAAAGCTGTCAAATTCTTCGAAAGTACTCCGGCATATCTGCCAGGTATAATGAGGCCATTGACTGGATGTGAGTGTGGGACATGAGAAGTTAGCGAAGTCGCTTCTCTCCGGCCATTCCAGGCCTGCGGCTTCGGCCACGGAGCCGTCAAGCCGCACGGAGCCGCAGATATGGGTCCCGGTTGTCTCTTCAGGAGCGCAAAATCTGACGTTCTTGAGTTCCGGCCTCATGCACACCACACGTGAGTCAGTGGCCCACGCCATGCCTTGATACTCGACGATTGACTGCCTTGTCTCCTGCGACGCAATTGGGAGGAATGCTCGAACAGTTGGACCTGTGTCATCGAGCCCTTCACTCGCCAGCGAGTCCGCTGAGTACTCCGCGAAAGTTTCAGCGATTTGGGGCCGTTGGCCCCATAAGCCATTGTCGTAGCCTAAGAAGACATCTTCTCGGGGAAAAGTAGTGCTACCAAGCTTACCTGCGAATGTGTACGCATTGTCCATCGGCTGTGTGAATGAGGCAATCTGGCTCTGTTCAAGATCAGACAGCAGTAGTGTCGAGGTAAACTGCACAGCAAAAGTTGAAAGGATGAGAAGCACAACTATAACTCGGACAACCACAGCTAGTGTCGAGCTCCTCAACGCAAGGAGACCTAGGGTGAGTGGCCCGCTGCTAGAAAATCGTGCAATAGAAACTTGGGCCACAGCGTGGAGGTCTACGCCGCGCCGCTCAACAGCAACGGAGGCGATCATAGCTGTAGCTATAGCAGCAAGGGTCCCGACCGCGGTACGTATGATAACGGATGCGACTGTGATACCGATCTGGAGTCGGTTCGGGATAAGCACCCATGCACGCCAGCGATCGTCTTTATGGGACGTCCACCACAGCCAAGAGACGAAGGAAACAGCACATGCGATGGAAAGCAACGAGACGAATATGCTGAGGATGAGTAAGAAGCTCAATCGCCTAGGATTTGTGTTGGGCCTCACGGGGGCCCTGTTCTTTGCGACATTATATGGCCTATTATATTGCTGGGCGGGTTCATCGTAGTCTGTGTCCTGTTGACTGACAGCATGCCGGTGCTCTTCGATCTCAGGCGGAGGCTGGTCGGAGGTGGCGCGATTGACATGCTGATACATAGGTCTTTGAAATTTCAAGCTCCGGCTATGGAAGGAAATATAAGCGGTAACTGAGGCTGAATGTTTTAAGGGATAGATGTTTTCTAGATGATAATTTATTTAAGATCAAAGGAAATACAAAAGGAAAATCAGGGCCGCAAGGCAACTATGCAGAGATGACCTTTCGATCCTGGAGCAGACCACGCTATTTTTATCTACGAAGCCTTGCCTTAGCGTGTGGCTGTGACTCCTGCAGGGTCGCCCATAGGCATTCAATCAGGAGATGCAGCCGCCCCAGCCATTTGAGACTGGCATTATATGCCTACTGGGATGGCTATGAGCACCGATAGCCAGTCAATACCATCAAGGCCAATCATTCCACATCCTCTATGAACGTGATTTGTCAAGGCGGCAGTCATTTTCTTACTCAAATACTGCGGAAACTCGAGAAGTCAGAAACCGCCCCTGCTGTTGTTTATATCTTATCGTATTGGTTCCTACTTCCACCTTTTCGTATGCAAAGGCAATTAATGCAATCTTTATGTTTTTGATTAAAATAAATGTATTTTTCTTGTTCCTTCAAACCCAGTACTGTAGTTTCTACGTTCAACTAGCGCAAGTTACAGTAGGGTTAGGTTATGATTAGGACGGGATAACTAGTTTGTATATATATTTGCTTGCTTCTTTTTTTTTTTTTTTTTTTCATGGTCACGAAACGCTTTCTTCATTTTAGTTCATAGCTTTATTCGCTCTTCTAGAAAATTGAATAGATTTTAGCTGGTAAACCCGACCTTCTTAGGTTGCGTTCAGATGGGCAGGCTCTAACCCAAGGGTCCTAGTCGTTCAAACAGCAAATATTCAACCCGCACCCATATGTGCGGGCTCCATTACGAAGGTCAAAATCGGCTAATTGTTAGTTGATCAGATCAATTTGGCATTCGAGAAGCGAGGCGGATGGGCGTCAGTCGCAGTTGAAGCCTTGCTATTCATGCTGGCAGTAGGCGCTGTCGCCCCTGCAAGTGGACCAGTTTAGTGATGTGATTCCTGCTACACCATCACCATAAGTCTTAGAACCTATTTGGATGCTCAATTCTATGAACAAATTGTCTTTCAGGTAAAGTCGTTTATATCTGTCTCAACCTGGTCCCTATATATATAGCCCGTCACAAGGTTCAAGTTATTCAAACAGATCAACCCTCTAGCAAGCATTAGACATTCATATAGGAGTGGTGGTAAAGGATTTAAATGATGCAAACAGTTCTCTGCATTTTAGATGATTTATCCAGATCCAAAAACTGCCATGACTGCGAACCTTTCAATGTATTATCTCTCCATACTGCAGACGTTAAGATGTGTTATTTCTACGGAATCTTCTGGCTTAGCATCATCACACAATGGATTTGGCGGCAGGCTAGTCTCCCCTTTAGTAGAGATTATCAGTGAACTAATGTTCCAATAATCCGAGTTAGCGCATCAGCCCATTAAAGTTTCGTAACCTCTTTCAATCATGATATCCATCCAGTATACGTCTTCTTCGTTCTTGTCCATCCATGCCCATGTCTCTTTCACCAAGGTTAACATCTGTCGTATAGGCTTAGCTGCCAAAACTCCCTCGAAAAAAGACAAGCGCGATAGAATGAGCCGTCTGGCATGTAGGACGTCGGTAATTGCGGGCGGTTCCTCCATCCTTGGACTAGAAATTCTGCTCTCTGCGAGCTTTGTCCTTAGCTCTAGCAAAGAAGTAAATGTGCGATTTAATGAAAGTTCACTGCAAATGCTGACCAGCAGCAATGGCTGGATTGATCGAGATCGTGATGACATGGGTATCTCTTGCACCAAGTCGAGCACATGCAAGGCAAGACTTGTCAACCAAGTAGCTAGCAATGATGCATGGTTGTCAGACTGGGCGGTGTCGACGACGCTGGAATATTCTAGCCAGAGAGACTCGTCCATCCAACCCGTATCCATAAACTCCTTGTTTTGCAAGAGTAAATCTGGGAAGTTCTGGTAGAGTTGAAGCAAACCAGTGCAGCGGTAGGCTTCAGCAGCTTTCAGTAGATGATCTGCTGGAGTTGTATCGTCGCCGGAGTCAACGATTGCAGTCCTGTTTGGCAGCTCAATCTTGCAAAGCTTGGAGTGAAGTTCTTCAGCTATTCGGATGGCGTTTAAAGATTGCTCAATATCATGCCTCGATGAGCGCTTCCGGCCACGAATACGTTTCCGCTCTCTTCTGACAAGCGCACCGACCTGAGCTACAAGTTCCTGTATCTCGACTCCAAGGCCTGTTTGTGGGTGGGGTATTCGCAAGTTGTCCTGCGTTGGATATCGGCACGGCTGTGGTAAGATTGCTCGAGGAGACCCTAAGGATGGTGTCGTGCTGGCTCCGGGCCTCCGGACCCACTCTGCCGCGTCTCGGCCGCGAGGTCACGTGACCTCGCTCCAGCGACCGTATTCTTAAGCGTCCTTCGCTCCGCTCGCTCACTTAGAGAATACAAGCCGTTTTGTTCCTAGTTGATGCCGCCCGTGCCTGACGTCGGTCACCACAGTTATGAGCCCAGCTTACCACATCACCCCTTTCTACTGTTAACCAGACGAAGGGTTCGTGGCGGAACACCATCAACTCCTTACGGTCTTCACAAATTTCGCTTCAAACAGCAACTTCTACAACGAAGATGTCGTCGCAGATATCTGTTCTCACGAGCACGACAAGGCTAACCTGCCGCCGGGACTTCCCCGTTTGGTACGACGCTCTCTACGCCGAAGCCGACGCAGCAGACGTCTGGGATCTCATAGACCCAGACGACACTACGTCTCCGTCAGACCCAAGAGAGGACGATGAAGAACTCTCGATCGAATCATGGATCACGCAGCAGAACGAAAAGCAGCGTAGAACCTATGATCGGAAGCGGAAAGCCTACGATTCGATTCTCCAGCATAGGGCAGAAGCGAGTGACGATACAGGGGAAGAACTCCAGGAGCCTGTAGCACAACCAACTCTCACGCAAAACACGCCCGGGACCTTTGAAAGATATACGAACTACCTCGCTTCAAAATCAGGCCGCGACGTCCTCAAAACTCGTCGGGAGCGGGACTTCGACTCTATTCAGCGTTGGATTAAGGAAACGGTCGACAAGGACATCCTCTACGCTGCGAGATCGGAGATCCTAGCGAACAACCAACGTTCACTCCGTGCTCTTATTCAGTACCTTCGGAAACGCTACGCTCCAAGCGAATCAAGCAGTCAAACTACAGTTCGCGAAGAGTACCTTCTCCTCCTGGAAAAGGCCAACACAAGCGTAAACCCCCAGACCTGGCTAAGAGACTTCCATCGAGTACTGCTCCGCGCGCTTCGATTCAGAATACCGGAAAGCCAGGGAACGCTCGCTTCGAAAACTTTTCTTCGAGCGGTGGGACACCGTTTTGCCCCCTCCTGGGCGACCTCCGAGCTCACTGAAATTGTCAAAATAGAGCGCAAGGGGGACCGCATCCCTACTGTAAGTGAATACAGGGATATGCTGGAGGACTTGCTGTATGAGGACACCCTATACGACAAAAATCGGGGTAAAACAAGCGGTGTGTACGCTACCCTTGCCGGTCGCCCGAGCGAAGCAATCTCAGATGGAAAAAGCGGTTCGAAAGGAAAAGGCAAATCCGAAGCGTGCCCCTGCAACAAACCCCACAACGCAAACCCCCTGGAGTGCACCCGCGTGGAGTACGCCCTTACCGGGCGAATCAAGCCTTCCCAGGACAAACTATCGAGGGACGAGTGCAAGGAGATTCGAAAGCGTATCAATCAGTCCGAGAACTATGATCTCCGAGCCGAATTAGCTCGGAAAGGCTGGATCTGGGCGACGGAACCTCCCAGCTTCCGAAACCCAGCGCCGCCTCGCAATAGGTCGTCAGGAAATACCGGCTCTAAAGCGAAATCGCAGCAAGAGGAGAATGAGTCAGAGGTGACACTGAAGAGAAATATCCACGCAGTAACGATCAGCCGTGAACTTCTCCGGGAAATTTCGGACGACTTCGACTCGGACTACGACCAACCAAGCGTATTTGCAACCCTACTGACGGGACCCCATGTTCTGTCACGAAGCACGGTTCTCGACAACTGCGGAGCTACGCACCTTGTTAACAACCTTGACTTGCTTGAATCGTCTTCTATTAAAACGTGCATCGGCGACGAGAGAGTCGACTCAGGAACTGCTTCGTACCCAATCCTAGCAAAGGGAACGTGGATCTTGCCAAAAGCACTAAATGGCCCTGATGGAGACCTCACAGCAGACCTTACGCTCCATAACGTTGGATACGTAGAGAACTTTCACGTTAACATCGTTTCGGAAGCACTCCTCCGAAAGACAGGCATCTGGTACTCCGGATTGGATAACACACTTCGCCAGGGAACGTACAAAAACAGCGTGGTAGTCAAGCATCTTGTTAGGAAGATGAACATTACTTTCTTCGAATATAAGACCGGTTCCCAGTATATTGCTCAGAAGCGAATTACCTCGAGTAACGCAGGAATCGTGAACCATTTGGTGCTTGCAGTACAGGATCCCGCTCGACTCTCGCTTCGTAAACCACCTGATAGGTATGATGACGCCTGGTTATGGCACCTTCGTTCGGGTCACCTCGCACCAGACGCACTAGAACGAATGGTGTCAAACGTGAGAGGAGTAAAGATAAAAGGACCCACGCGTCTGGAATGCGAATACTGCGCGACAGCGCACGCGAAACAGTTAATTTCGAGGCGAACCTCTGAACGGAAAGCAATTCGACCGTACTATAGGGTCTCATGGGATCTCTTCGACTACCCGACAAGCTTTGACAAGAACCGCTGGCTCTTAGTGATCAAAGACGAATATACCGGTCGTCTTTTCGCGTTTCCGCGCGTAAGTAAATCGCACACCTTCGTCTTCGACGCTCTCAGGCACTTCGAACGATGGGTCGCTCGCCAACGAGGCGTCACCCTGTGCAAGCTGAGACAAGACGTAGAACGCGCGGTAATTGCGATAAACGGAATG